CTGCTAAGTAGTGCAACAAGCTTCTACATTTTATTAAAAATAGTTTTGATGGGTGGAGTCAGTACGCATGTGTACTGGCTACTGAAGTTTTCCGTCCCGACGAAAATTTACGGATATGAAATGAGAGAACAGATTTAAGCTTTGCAATCACGATGTATAAAAAGTAATACAATTGGTCATATTTTTTCTAATACTGGTCCATACTTACCATTGATCTGTCTGAACCAGTTGTTGCATAAACAGTGTAAATTTAATTTAATACAAAAGTTTGCAAGTAATCCTGTCCTTCTATGTTACAGACAATAGTTGACAATAGCTTAACATATCTGACACTTGTATGATTGTCAACATAAATTACATTATGTCTGGGCATACTTTACTTTACGAGAAATATCTAGGACCGTACTTGTTTTCAGTCTTGCTCGTTGCACCCTGCAAGGTCTCGATGCCTTGATGAGTATTATGCATATTTTTCTTAAAAATCTTAAATTCATAATTGTAGTATTATTGGTGTGGATCATAATAAGTAAAGTCATAAAGATTGCAATGTATAATTCTTGCCATATGTCACACATTCGTCCGTATTTGATGATCAAATGTATAGCTAAGTTTTTTGCAACCGGCAAACGGATACAGCAATGCAAGGCATTTAATGCCAGGCATTTATGCCTAATTTATGATTTCTATCCAGGCGTTTTCTGTGAAAGTTTTCATTTTCAATCAAATGAATAAAGTTTGCGTTCATTGTTGTATTTCTTCTCGAAGAAATCTCAACTTCATCTTCGAAAGTTTACGAAACAAAAGTTTACTCACTGTCCATCTTCGTTATTATTCTCTTGTAATTCCATCTCGTAGTTTTCTTCTGGCCAGGCTTCTTCATCGAATTCTGAACAAGAAACCTTCGTTTTACAATGATAGACTTAAGTTAGTGCAGATAAAGCATGCAGTGGATGAGCTTCAGTCATCTAATTAAACACATCAGGAATAATGATAAATACCGTTCAAAATTCCATCTTCAATATTTTCTTCATCTTCAATGGTGGATGAATACATTGCAGTGCAAAACACACCAAGAGCAAAAACAAGATAAGTTATCTTCATAGTGAATTATCTAGCGTGTCTTCTTCCTTTTGAAACAGTTGGCTGGTGAATGACGATAAAAGACTTCTTTTTAGCTTCTTTGTATAGAGCATTGCACCAGTAAAAAATCTGTTAGAAATTTGCATAGTTATTTTCAAGGTTATACGCCGCAGCTCTTATATGCCAAACAAGATACAAGCACCACTTCAAAAGACTGAATTAAAATATCGAGAAATGAAGACGGTTCAACTAATTACCCATTTAGACATCGCAAAGGAATGTTTTTACAGTGCATTAACAAAGAGAATATAGTAACTGGTTGTTTTTTAGCAGCTTTCTATTAAAAGAAACCAAAAAAAAACTATTGTTTACTGTTCAAACATTCTTCACTTCTCATATTAAGCTCTTTTTGTTTGTTTATGACTTGTGTATCTTTGTGTGTGGGGGTAAATGTGTGTAGATTTGCATTCGAGATATTATGTATGTCTAAATTTGCTGGGTTTTTTATAAAAGGTGATGAGTACATGAAACCTTGTTACTACTACATTTTGAGGGGTTTCACCTTTGAAACAAGTATTTCATCCTATGGGAAAACAGATTTATAGACCACTTTAGATTTTAAAGCAATTAGAATTGTGTCTTCTAAACAAACCGAGTTTTTGATTTTAATATAACGAAATCGTTTTATCAGGTTAGAAAGTGTTTATAAGGTTATTTGCAAGAGTTATCATTTGTATGTTTGAAATCACAAACAATAAATTCACCAAACCATAACAAACAAGTCCATCATTTTGATACTATTTTATTTATTATTTTATCATTTTTTCGGCAAGTCTCTCGCTTCAATTTTAAAATAAGTCCAACATTTTGATACTATTTTTATTTATCATTTTCTTTGCAGTTCTTGCTCACTTACGCACATCATATGTCTTGTCTTAATTCAAAATTTTTAATAATTGATGTATACTAACTGTGTAATTATATCATATTTTTTGTATACAAATATGTCTTTTATCGAAATATCTTTACAGTTAAGACATTGTCGAAGAATATTCTGGTACTGCATTTTGTTTATCAAATGATGTAGTGACTATGATAAAGCTCCAGTCGTTGCCCTGTTTACAATAACAATAACACAATAATCACCTTATGAATCTTAATGAAAGCACTTGTTACAAATGATTTGTAGACACGACAGAAATTGACGAAGAAATTGATGATTTTAACCATGAATTACTCTCATCAAGAAAACTTTGTCACAAATTACGCTCATTCATGTAGACTTTGTCCTTTTGACTGAGAAGTTTGGTCTTATATCATAACCCCTTTTAGCGTGTTTGAAATATCAGTTCAAAAAAATAATGAAATGGATTTGACTTATTACACATTTCAACATAGAAGCAAATTGCTGAAAAGCAAATTTACTCGATGTTAACATAAATAAATGCAAGTAAGAAATATGTATGTTAATCAAAAAACGACTGATCGTCAATTCACCAATTGACAAATCTTATAACTTCAATAGCTCCAGACAAAGGTTGCTTGCAAACATTAATGTTAGAAAAAAAAAGTCAATTACAGTTTAAGGAGAAGTTTTATTCGAGAGAACATATAATTACATGTTACATACACTTTAAAATATTGGCTAATTTGATGTGTAAATTTGATCAAAAAAAGGGGGAGCAGTTTCACAATTTGTTTTTCAATATCAAAAACAAAAGCAGATTTGTGCTTGTTCGTAAAAGATGCAAATAAAAAAGAAGATGAATAAGGGCACCAATATAAAGAACGTTTGTATATAAGAACTACGAAGCTATAAAAGTCAGTGAATAAACCCGTTGAAGTGAATTAACGAAAAACTGAAGTAAAGAATGCACTTTTAGAACAAGTTATATCCACATCGAGAAAGGGAAGTTTTTATTTCTCGTGTGTAAACGAATGTTTGGGTATTGTTGGTCGAGGAAATAAATACTAAGAGTATGAAAAGTAATTTTCCTTGTGCGTATAAAGCGTTGTTATAATTTTGATCAGGGCGGATTTATGGTTAGTCATGAGACTAAAGTAAAAATCGAACACTTGAAATTTTTATGTAGTGATACAAATCGAATACTTGAGCCACAAGTTGAGTGCTTAAATACTCTAGTTGTCACACTACCACTTGTGCAAGGAAGCATGCATGCAATTAAGTAAATGTTAAGCATAACCAGGGTATTTGGTCTACATTCATCATCGTCGTGGTGGCGGTCTGTTTTATTTACGTAATCGGTAAGGCCGTTGATTGGATTATAGGCGTAACTGATAAGTGCTTCATTTTATTACTACATATCAACCATAATATGCTCTAAAAATAGCCATAATACCTGGAAATAGCCATTTACTGATTATTGCAAACAGTTATTTACTTTTCCCAAATGAAACACAAAAAAGATCGTAAATTTAAATTACATGTTTATATGATTAACTTCATGAAAAATGTTTCTTATCAACGGATTTTCTTTGCTCAACAACGAAGGTGATATGCGCGAGGACCGTGATCTCCAAAACGACTGTAATCACTGTAACCACCGTAACGACGACGATCACCACTGTAACCACGGTAACGACGACGACTACTGTAACTACGTTCAGGTGAGCGTTTTTTAAAATTTATATCAGCTTCCTCGTCGTCTCTACATAACACGATGTTTCATGTCAGTCAATTATTCTAAATTTTTTTAATTAGTGCAACAAACTACAACGTTTAATTATCAATAGTTAAGGTAGGTTGCCTCTGCGCATGCGTGACTATCCACTTTTGTTTTAATGAAGTTTTCCATCCCTATACATAAAAAAAGTTTGTGGATATGAAAGTAACGAACAGCCTTTAAGCTGTGCTATAGGAATATAATTGATCATATTTTTGTAACACTGGATCCATCCTTATCATTGATCTGTCTGAACTAAGTGTATGGCATAAGCAATGCAGATTTCATTCAATTCAAAAATTGTTCCATTGCAATGCTGTTCCTCTGTTTTACAGACAATAAACCCCTGGTAGGCGTATATTATTACTGTAAAACATTGTAATGTAAAAGGCTTCTTTGCCTAAACGAGGTAGGCCAATTGCCAGTAGATTAACTTGTGTTTAAATGAATTTTCAGGAAAACTACACGACCTTCAGTAAATTCAGTGTGCCGCGGGCTTAGAAAGTTATGATATAAACATAAACACAAGCGCTTAGGGCATCTTGGTCAACACATATTTTTTATATGCATTACTCGAGGCATTACTAATCCTATTAGTGTAGGTTATCGTAATTAAGGTCATACTGATTAGTCTAAACAAATAGTTCATGTTAAACTTTGTGCAATGAAAAACCTGCAATATGTGAAGCAGACATCTAAGATAGAACATAAGGCATTTCAGGCAATCACAAACGTAATTTCGCGCCAAAGATACGAGAAACTTGTATATATAATACGATGTAGCTACTGTGCCTGTATTAAGTCCACATGATAAAGTTATTACTTATTTGCTGTACTACGTATTTGCAGTAGCGGTGTCAAATTTGTCAAAATGAATAATAAAACAGAAACGATAAATGGCGAGAACGCGAGAGACGAGCTTAATACATGCAGCTTTGATTCAGAATAGTATCGTTCAACCGGCCGTTTTCTGTGCAACTCGTTTTTGCATGACAATCCAAAAGTTCAGGTTCAGCGTTTGCGTTTATTATATTTATCTCGAAGAAATCACGACGTTCGATTACAAAATTTACAAAACGAAACTTTTTTACAGCAGGTTTCTTGAAAACACTAGAAAACAACTTTTTAAGCAATGTAAAACGTGAGAGACAAACATACTTACTTATGCATTGACTGTCCATCTTCATCTTCATTTTCTTGTAATCCTTTTTGGATGTTTTCCTCTGGCCAGGTTTCATCATCGATTTCTAAACAAAACCACTTTCGTTTTTAATCAAGACCATGAGTTAGCGAACAGTAGGAAGTGGACAAAGTATGCAATAGATGAGCTTCGCGGTCTTTAAAATAATCGAATTGGAAAAACTGCTAATACCGTTCAAAATTCCATCTTCATCGTTTTCTTCATCTTCACTTGCGGCTGCGTATGCAACAGTGCAAAGCAAACCAAAAGAAAAACTATAGAAGTGATCTTCATTGTTGATATTTATACCCGTCTTCTTTCGTTCACAACAGTTGGATGCTAAATGATGATCGAAGACAATTTTGGCTCCTTTGTAAAAAATCTGTCATAAATTTACATATTTTAATCTCATTCGCCGTACTTCTTATGTGGCGAACTGAAATTGAATTACATTCGCTTTTGTGTATTTCAACTATGGCATTTGTTGATGTATATCGTACTTAACGTCACCTAATTTAAACTCAGTCGGTTGAGGTTTAAAATGGGTTTTGGTATCAATCTTTAAGAATAAAAAAATATGATAAAAATTATGTTTATCAATTATCATCCCGTTTATGCACACATAAGAAAACATGCTACTTCTAATGCTTGCCATCGAGAGAAATTGTTTGCATATCATCATGACCCCCTTTGAGTGTTGTACAAGTGTCACTTCAAAAAACTGAAATTCAATATCTGATAATGAAGTGGGGGTTTAATTACTGCACATTTTAACATCGAAAAAAATCGTTTAAACCGTGCATTAATAGAGAGACTATAATAACAGATTGTTTCTTAGCAGCGATCTCCATCAAGGAAAACAAAAGTTTTTTCTTTATTGTTCTAATTTTCTTAGTCACCTGTTTGTTTTTCGTGATTGGAGAACAAAATCGTTTCCTTCTCTTTCCGTTGTTTTTATTTGTGAATGTATTTTTGTATCTTTATATAGGGGGAAGGAAGTGTGTGTAGATTGGCATATGAAATATTGCTATGTGTGTTTTTGCCAAAGGTAGAGTGTGTACTTTGTTCCTTGTGGTAGATTTTGATGGTTACACCTTAGAAACTGGAATTACGTCCCAAGCAAACAAATGCATTGATCACTTTAAATTTTAGATTATGTAAAGATGAGTCTTTTGAACAGGAGGTGTTTTTAATAAAGTGGTAATGACACGAATATTGTCTTAGATAAAAGATCTCCTCAATTTGCAATGGACTTTCTTTTTAACATTACTGTTTGTGCATGTTTACATCTGGAACTATTCAAGTTTTTGTTTGTGATATGCAAATCAGCTTATTCAGTCATATGTTCCCTACTTCCTCACATACGCCTAAAGTCATTTTTCATTTCGTTGTAAGGCTGCAATTCTGTTTGCGTTTTATAAGAAATTTTTGATTTTAATGAGAACTGATCACTTACTATTTGATATTGGCAGGAATGTATACAAGTAACGAATACGTATGTTGATTAGGAAACATATGACCATAAATTCACTAATATACAAATCACAAAAACTTCAATAAGCTCCAGAAGTTAGCATGCAATCATAGTTACAAAGAAAATCCAAAACTTTTTCAGGCGATGTTTCATTCACGACAACAAAGATTTCGTGTTACATACGCATCAATATATTGGCTTATTTGAAGTATTTCTCGTGCAGTGGAGCAGTTTTGCGATTTGTTTCTTTAACCGAGAGGCAAAAAACTTGGAATTTATTTCAATACATTAAAAAAAAACGGTATGTGCGTATTAGTAAAAGAGACAAAAAAGATAATAAAAAGAAAGTAAGAATTCGCTAAATTGTGTTGCTGTGTTAACGGTTTTTGTAAAGAAATAAACCCATTGGCTAACAATCCAATAAAGAGCAGGTCAATTTGTTGGGCTCATGTTTTCCCGTGAAAGGAATGTCATATGAAAGAATGTTTTATGCAGTGCGGTGTTTGAATTAAATGAAATGCTCTCCACTGTGTGACTTCATAGCTCAGTTGGTCAGAGCACTGTACCGGCATCGCAGAGGTCATGGGTTCGAATCCCGTTGAGTCACCTGAAATTTTCAGGTTCATGAGACAATTGCTTAAATTGTCCAACAAAGTGCGAAGATCATATCTTCATTTAATTTCAAACACCGCACTGCATATAACATTCTTTCAATTGAGAAGAATCTTAGCTAATTGCACAAAACTCAACGAAAAAAACAAAATGAATAGTGAAACAGACATGACCACATCTGGCTTTTACAAAGTAAATTCGTCCCAATTCTCGCTTTGTTCTGAAAATGAGCAATGTTTTCTGCTTGTGCCTTCTTTACATTTTCGTGCTTGTCGGTGAAAGAAGACAAAAAAGCCTTTTTCTAGTGAAATGGGCTAAAGTTTAATTTACCATTGAACGCTCGCGTTGCCTATCGTCAGACAAACACCACAAATTATATATTTGCAAATTTATATTACTAGTGAATTAATTTTAAATAAAGCATTATAATTTATTGCCACATTTTCAACGGATGTGACGCACGCCCTAGGCCGGTTTTTCAAAAGTTGATTAACGCTAATCCAAGGTTAAATTTGCTCATCCCAGAGTTAAATTTTAACCCTGTGTTAATTTGTGTTGCTCAAAGCCCGGTTAGTGTTGACCTTGGATTAAAATTCATGAGAAATTAACCCTGCCAGCTTGGTGGTTTAACCACTTACCTGTATACTAATTACCTGGACGGGAAACCTCATCAAAATTACTATATTTTTATTAGTTTTCATTACTAGTTACTATATTTTGGTGGCTTGCTTGAATATGGATTTTGACTGCGATTGGTGTTTAAATCCATCATTAGTGAAATGAGATCTGGCTGTTCGTGATGTAGTTGAACAGTAAGCTTTCAAAGTAAAGAAACGTCTTATTCTCATTTCAAAAAACTTACTGTAAATCATGACTAATTTTCAAATTTTTACTACCATGATATAAACCAGTATAAATAGTAAAAGTTATACACTATTCCTAAAGTCATTTTCATTTCGTTGTAAGGCTGCAATTCTGTTTGTGTTTTATAAGAGATTTTTGCTTTTAATGAAAACTGATCACTTACTATTTGATACTGGCAGGAACAGTGGCGGATCTAGGGCTAGTCAAAATAAATTACTGCTGCACATTTTGGAATATATTTACATTTCTAAGCACCTCAGAGACAAGTTCATTGGTGAAATTATATTTTTAGAATTCGAAACCAATAGTGCTTTTCTGAAAATACTTTGAATTTCGAATTAAGTATCTTTAATTTATTTTGCTCACTGCTGCTCGCTGTGACTACCCCTAGATCCGCTAATGGGCAGTAACGAATGGGCTAAACTGCAGCTTAGCGGACACCCGAAGCGCTTTCATGGGGAGCGCAGGCTCGTTTTTTCTTAGGATTATACGGTTAGGGTTGGATCAGCGTCTAAGGTGTCCGTTAAACTGCAGTAGTCCCTACAGATGCTGAAGTAGTGCAAGAAAAGAAAATATTTATGATACCATTCCAGCCAGATGATTAGGATTTCTCACTTGTTTCCAACCATTAAAATTGCATGACGTCAATACGTAACAATGAATTCAAGTATATTTTGACTTAAGAAATGACTTCGGATCATTTTAAAGGTTGGAAAAAAGTCAAAAACCCTAATCATCTGGCTGGAATAATGGCGGCCACCATGCGCGGCACGACATGCGCGAGGACAAAAACATCAAAGGTTCCGACACGAGTGGCTCTTCTGTATATTCTTATTCTGTGGTTTTACAATATTTTTACCCCAATGATATATATATTTAAATAGTTCAATTCGACAAAACAAAACTAAAGCTAATTAGAACTAAGTCTACGAGGCATTTATAAAAGAAATCGTTTTCGCGTAAAAATAACCCTTCCATATTATTTTACCCGTTGCTTACGCACATAAGCTTCACAGGACCATTTTTAGGCGATTTATAATGGATAACATAAGCATGATGTAAAATCAACGGTATTCTTTTTTCATTCACAATTGCTTCGGCCAAAAGACGAATGAGACGACAACGTGATATAACAAAACCTACACACCCTGGATGGCTATCATTTTTCGATCATATTCGTCGGTTTGCAAAACAGCGAGCATGAAATGAGCAACATCTTCACGAGGTATGTTTGCCGTGATGCCTGCACCGGTGTTGAAAAGACCTTCTTCCACTCGAAAATTACGAGTACCAACAGCTGAGATGCAAAATACAAATATTAGTTTCGGAGTGAATGAAATGAGCGAGGAATAATGGTGGTCGAGTTCTGGAGTGAATGAAATGAGCGAGGAAGAATGGTGGTCGAGTTCTGGAGTGAATGAAATGAGCGAGGAAGAATGGTGGTCGAGTTCTGGAGTGAATGAAATGAGTGAGGAAGAATGGTGGTCGAGTTCTGGAGTGAATGAAATGAGTGAGGAAGAATGGTGGTCGTTCTGGAGTGAATGAAATGAGCGAGGAAGAATGGTGGTCGAGTTCTGGAGGAATGAAATGAGTGAGGAAGAATGGTGGTCGAGTTCTGGAGTGAATGAAATGAGCGAGGAAGAATGGTGGTCGAGTTCTGGAGTGAATGAAATGAGCGAGGAAGAATGGTGGTGAGTTCTGGAGTGAATGAAATGAGAAGAATGGTGGTCGAGTTCTGGAGTGAATGAAATGAGTGAGGAAGAATGGTGGTCGAGTTCTGGAGTGAATGAAATGAGTGAGGAAGAATGGTGGTCGAGTTCTGGAGTGAATGAAATGAGCGAGGAAGAATGGTGGTCGAGTTCTGGAGTGAATGAAGTCAGCAAGGAAGAAAAGTAGATGTGTTTTGGAAAAAGTTCCCCCTTCTCAACCAATAAGAACGCTGTTTGTGTTACAACTATAGGTGACACCCTGAACAAACATACCGTTAGTTAACCTGGGCGGTCTGACGATTGTGTAGTTCATATCGCCTTCATCCGTGTTCTCAACATAGTCCTCCATTATCGCAATGTCGCTGAGAGCACCGCCAATGTACAGAGGACGGATAATCCATTCGAAAAACCAGGGATTCTGAGGAGTTTTCTTACCGCACCAACTTGTAACAGCAACGAAACGTTTCACGGAGTGTCTTTGTCAAAATGAAAAAAAAATACTGAAAGTTTAGTTTCTAAACTACAGGACAAAGCTCAAAGCGAAGTTCATAGAACAAAGCGTTGCATATTCTTTAAAAAAGCATAGGTCCATAAAAGTCCTAAGATAAATGATGAACTAAAACAACAAACCGCAGCTCTTCTTCAAAAATTGATCAAGTAGAGTTTTAAAACCAACTCGAGTTTATTACATTGATGTCAATCACAGTCAAACGCATAAACATAACACAAAGATGTAAAAGTTAGTAAGTTAATTATTGGCTATTGGTTTTAAAATATTTTGCCGTTTACAGAATTTTAACCCTATACAAACAAATGAACGATGATTATTTATAAAGCATGACCGAACTTGCACGATGACTGGACCATCGGGTTGAGCTAATCACACGAAGCAATACCTTATAAGGTTTTGAGCATGGCTAGCAGCAGGGAATGTTTAATAGAGGCTAAGCTTTCCTCGTTAGTGAACTTTGAATACCAGATAAAATGGCCATTTTTGTCACTGCGAAGGATTGCTTTTTCATTTTTACTCGTAAGTTGTAACATGGATGTATGTTGGAGAAAATACATAGCCAGCTGTATAACAGACTAATTATAATTATCCCTACAAGTTACAGAAATGTCTTGGCTAGCAGAGGCAACAAGTGTCAGCTCCCGGAGCAATGACCTAGAGCCCAATATACTACATATCTGACTCCTCCAAAATGCTAAAAGTTACGAAGTGGTTACGAGTGAGGCAAGCCGCCATCTTGAAAGGTGGTAAAACTGAAGGCATTTAGGATTAATATCTGCTTTTCCTGAGTTGATATACAGTTGCAAAGTTTATAGTCTAGGTTTGGTTTTTAAATGTTTAATAGGAGTGGGTTTTTAAACCTTTTAACTTATTTTTTACATGTATTTTTGCTTTTTGCCAACTTTCAAGATGGCGTCCTTGCCTCACCCCATGGGTTCTAAATCTTTGCCCCGGGGCATTGCCATGGAAATGGTGATGATTTCGTATGATAAAGATATTCACCTCAAATATAACCATTGAAATGTGTAAACACTTGTCCATAAACATACAACGGCAGAACAGCCCTACACGTGAAAACTACCTTTTCATGGCTTCAAAGATAATCTTGACGGTTTCAGAGTATATCGTGGTAGTTTGACCAATACCGCGAGCATTTGAGCCGAGACACGACATGACAGCATCTTTCTCGGCAATCTCATTGACGAAACTCTCTAATTTGTAAGCATCTCCTTTCACAGTCTTTAAGTTTTCATGCCTACATATGGAAAACGAATATAAAAGAAGAAAATACAGTGTTTGTGAATAAATTTTCTATTGACAAAGGCTGCATTTATATGTTCTTTGTCGTTTGTCTGTAACAAAAGCAAACCATTATACATGAACTATGAAAGCTGCACAATTTGCGTCCGCCGTATGATTGCATGACTACTCAACTCACTTTATTAAAAATTTCTCAGGGGAACGTAAGATGGCAGTGATTTCATGGCCAAGATCCAATCCTTGCTTTACAAGCGCTATGCCTGTGTTCCCGCTAGCTCCGAAAACGACAAGTTTCAATGCTCTAAACGAACTCTTCGCTTCGCTTTCTTTACTCTCCATGGGCACGAATTTCTTTTCAGCGGGATCAATTTTAATCTCCTCTACTTAGGTATGCTCTAATATTTAGTACAGATATGCAAGAAGATACATTATGGAGATTAGTTTTCGAATGTTATGCTTGGCAAAGCAATCAGCTTCAAAGACAAAGACTTATGTAATCCTCTTAAGACAAATCAAGAATCAAGAAGAACGAAAACTGACGTTAACATTGCAGAGCTTGGTCTACAATGAAGTTATTTATTTACAATAAAGCGGCCTTCCAATGCCTCTGTTATATAATCCCTCTAAGAAAACAAGCTTACTCGTTGACCAGTATAGGAACTATTGACTGTAAATATAAAAAAAGGAAAAATCGACAACACTCATGAGTATGTAAAGAATGTAATATAGTTGAGGATAACTTTTTTCTGCTTATTCTTTTCGTAATGTTTTGATTTTGAAAACGCACTTAGCGTCATCACGGACAGATTTCTATTTCAAGAGGTTCCGGTTTGCTTTAATTGGCTGAAACAATGCATGCACGAATATAGAATTATGCAAAAGTGACTATAGTTTGAAAATTCTGCTACTGAAGTTGTATTTTCACCGAGCAGAGCTTGTAAAACGACAGTAGACTTTCTTAAACACTTAATGCAGATCTCTTTCATTCTCAAAATTTCACGAGTCCCAATTAAACAGCCATGCAGTGACGTCGTATCGCGTAATAAGAACTAGAATTACCTGGTATATTTGCTGATATATTGCTTCATGTTGGTGGTTTCCCGGCATAGCCTTTCACGCAAAACTTGCCAGAAAACCAACAATAAATTGAAGTTTTGCCGTGCCTTGTTATGCAACGTAACGGATAAAACGTGCGTGGATGAAAACTCAACGGAGAATGAAAAGAGATGTACACGAACTGTTAATGAAAGTATGCATGAAGAAAATGTAATTCACTTCAAGAAATCGACGTATTTGAAAGCCTCGTGATTATGCGTCTGAGTACGCTTAACACTTTCATTTTAATAGAAGTATCTTTTAGACTATCCAGTTGAAGAATTCTTTAAGTTATCGCGTTCGACGAGAAGTTCGCCATAACGTTTTTGCAACTCGCTCTCACGTTCCGTTTGTCGTTGCACATCTTCTTGCAAAGACTAAAAACACGTTTTGAAAAGTTGGACAGATAAATAATGAACTGGAGTTTGCACAGACACCGATATTCAACATTCTACTGTAATTACACTATTTCTTCATCATTATAGCACATTGGACATTCAATTATACGTATTGACTTATCAATAACGTTGTAGAATATTCACTAATCAAGAGAACTAGTCGACAATCAATAACATTTACTTATGCCGCACAACAATCGGCAATATTCAGGTAGCATTAACGTGCATTCATTAAGATCAAAGGAAGGATCGTTAAGATAAAGCAGACGTTCAAATAAACATAAACAACACTTTATATGACAGAGAAGTGCGGTGTTACAGTTGGGACAGACGATCTGCGAATGATTATTTCTGTTCCTTTCTTTAAATTTATTGAATGCACGTTCCAGTTAATGAATATTCCACCAAAGCGTGTAATTGAATGTCCACTGTGCTGATGTTGAGCAAATGGTGCAATGTACACATGAATACGACTATTCAAGTTTTAAAATAAAACAATAGACAAAAATATATAAGAACCAAGTTTTACAACAGATCGCTCCTGATAAAGGCACTAGACAGGAGTATGTAAGGACTCAAGTTTTACATGAAATCACTCCTGATGAAGACACTAGACAGGAGTATGTAAGGACTCAAGTTTTAAATGAAATCACTCCTGATGAAGCACCAGACTGGAGTATGTAAGGACTCAAGTTTTACATGAAATCACTCCTGATGAAGCATCAGACTGGAGTATGTAAGGACTCAAGTTTTACATGAAATCACTCCTGATGAAGACACTAGACAGGAGTATGTAAGGACTCAAGTTTTACAAGAAATCACTCCTGATGAAGACACCAAATTGGAGTATGTAAGGACTCAAGTTTTACATGAAATTACTCATGATGAAGACACTAGATTGGAGTATGTAAGGACTCAAGTTTTACATGAAATCACTCCTGATGAAGACACTACATAGGAGTATGTAAGGACTCAAGTTTTACATGAAATCACTCATGATGAAGACACTAGACAGGAGTATATAAGGACTCAAGTTTTAACCTCCAATCACTCATGATGAAGACACTAGACAGGAGTATATAAGGACTCAAGTTTTAACGTCCAATCACTCATGATGAAGACACAAGACTGGAGTATACAACACCCCAAACTTCAACATCAGGCGCTTCAATAGCAAGACTACGGCATATCAAGAAAACGTAAATTTAACGAAAACTTACGTTGAGTCGTTTTGGTATAGCTTTAGTTTCCTGATTTTGCAATTCCTCAAACGTTCGTTTCTCGACGTAAGCCTGTTCAACTTGGTCATGCGCGTCAGAAAGTTGCTTTATCAAGCCAACAGCCCGAGACTGAAAAGACGCACACGATACGGATTTTTAGCAGATTAATCATTCAGAAAAACAGGTCAATTAGATAATAAATATGGAGATCATTGAGTGAAATAGATGCCCGAAATGATTAACTGTTAATTGAATTTAATATAGTTGTCAGTGGGTTAATTGGATTAAATGAAATGATCAGCGGGCTAATTGGATAAAAAGACGTGATTAATGGTAATCTGGATATATTGAAATTATCGATGGGTTAATTGGATGAAATGAAATCATTAATGGATAATTGGATATGATGAAGTTATCAATAGGTTAAACGGATAAACGATGTGTCCAAAGGGTTAATTGTATGATGATTAATGGACAAATTACAAAAAACAATGAAGATATGACATCCAACATCAAATCCTTTACGTCCTATATACACAACGCAATTTCAAAGGTATACAATATATCAGAAAGCCAAACAACGTACCTGATAGCCACCCAGCAACACTTTCAATTTTTTCTCAATCCTAGACGCCTTCTTTGCGTCTTGAGCCATCTGCGAGCGATTGAGCTAAAAAAAAAACAACACAGAACCGTTTCTCCTTCAATAAAACTCGTATAAATTTCGCTTGAATGAACGTGAGAAATCAAATCGTCCACGCGCAAAGAAGACAGTTTGCTAGTTAGGTCACATTGCTATTCATATACAGTAGATACTAAATACAGTAGATACTATACGGTTTTCAACGTTGAAAAATCGATTCAAATTGATGTGTGCGACAGAATCAACTTCCTTTCTGTATAAAATGAATTTTCAAACAACAGAAGTCGACTATATGGGCCGCAACCTTTGTTCGGACGCCAATTTTGCATTAAATAAAAATTAGTGAACCGCTGGCCAGTAATGGTATATCCAAAGATACAATCGAATCCGATTAACAAAGGTATAAATCTCTCCAATTCAAGATCACCTTTCAAATCAAATTAAATGCGAACTTGGCAACAGCAGTTTACATTGTTGACGAAACTCCTCGACGTTATTTCGCTAAAAGATAAATTAGCTTCCACGTGATCGAGAAATCTACCTCAAGTCGCTTCTCCAACGATTCCAATCTATCTTTCTTGCTGGCAAGGGCGGCTCTCGTGTATCTCTTTTGAGATGGCAGAAACATCACCTGAAAGTGGGAGAAGAGAGGTCAAAAACGTCGTGTAAATCACGAACATAGAATACGATCAAATGAATGTAGACTATTCAAAAACATTCGTGTACAACACTCCAGACAAAAAAACACAATATAGTTCAGGGGGCTGTTGAACGAAGCTTGAATAGCGTTATCCATTGGATAGAAAATTTTTTAAAGTTGTAAAAAAGGTGTTTATATTTTCGTTAAGACAGAGAAATTTTGCAATCTTATAAGCAATATTTTATTTCAGTGATTGCTCAGTTCGAAACTTATATTTTTCCTTTTTGAGATGTTTTTAACCGTTTAAAAAAATTTGCTATCCAATGGATAACGTTATCCGGGCTTCGTGTAGCTGTCCCATGATAACTAAAAAATGGTAGCTATGGCTGCCAAGTTTCTAGAAGCTGTGCTGAAAGAGGCAACAGCCCTTCGATTTGACTATAGTATTGACATACGATTATAAAGGTGCAAGCCACGTCAATCATCTGGCTGGTGCTCACGCAAAGTTATAACGGAAAATTTTTCCGATGCAATTTCAGTTAAAGTATCCTCGAAAAGTCAGAAAATAGAAAAATTGAAATTATGTTATCAATTGTAACATAATATACTTTGAGAAATTTCTCGACCATGATTGGTTGATTGCAGCGCAGTTCATCTGTAATTGCACTGTGAAAATGTGTAATTGTATTGTAAATAATGTTTCTTGATTGGATGAAAAGCAGAGAAAGTCAAAAAAACTTCTTTTCAATTCAATTAATATCCGATGTCACATGATGATGTCGTATTTACGTGAGTGGATGGTTAGGCGAAGACGCGTCTAAGCCAGGCTGACTGCCGTGGAGTTCAGGTTCATCCTTAAACCAGGTTCTTAAGAACCTGACCACCCACTACATCATCTATTTCATTAAAATCCATACATATCCACACATATCAATAAAGATCAACCAACACGAGCAAAGTGTGGCCAACAGTCGTTCATTCATGGGTTGAAACTGTTCCGAGCATCAATGAAAGATAGCGCTGTATTTCGATTTTAGCTCACTATTTTACATAAATCAAAAAGCCACGGTCCCTAAGAGTGCACTGAAAGTACCATAATCATTTATACAGAGAAAGAAATCGAAAATAATCTTGGAAAATATTTGAACAATATCGACCCGAAAGTCGGAACCATAAAAATAACGAAGTTTCCTCACCTGAGCATAACATTCATCCCAAACTTTAGAATACGATTCAATCGGTAAATCACCGTGTCCTATTCTCTGTTTCACATAATCCATTTCCTTGGCCAACGTCTTCTTCGCTTCGGCCATTTCCTCCTCGGTGAATGCCTCGAACGGATCACGCTCCAGTGCAACTTGATTCGACGAGATCACCGCCTGAACAGCGTTACGGGTTTTTTTCTGCTTCAATAGTTCCACCTGACCGTGGGTGGGATGGTTAACGATGTCGTTACGAAGCATGATGATCATCTCTTTCTTGATGAGTTCCTCGGCCTGAAATATACAAAGGTTGATAGATATAAAGAAAACTTTGCAGAAATATAAGATGAAACGTACTCCAAAAGAACCGAATTATTTTGGCAAGAGACAAGACTTAAAAGCAAAATTTCCACTTCGTTACAAAGTTGTCATCGAGCCAAGTGATTATTTACAACCAAGCATGATCATAAATACTTGCTAAGGGAAATGACGTGAGAAATGAAAACGAAGTGGGAAGTTGAATTACGCGCGAATTACTTGCTAGTAAACGATCACTTGGCTTGATGCGAAGATGAAAAATAGTCGAAATATTGCTTTTAAATTTTGTCTCTCGCAGATATAACTCGTATCTTGAGTTTACAAGATGACTTTTCTTGTTGGTATTACTGAGACATAAAGGCGTCATCAACTGAGAATAGCAGAAGCGAGCTTTAGCAAGGGGCACGAGTGCGGAAGTTGGTATTTTAGGGTGAAAAAATTCATTGTGACGTCAGAGGTTTGCCGCCACTACTTCGAAGTATCGTGCAAAACTCGTTATGACGTCAGAGGTTTGCCGCCACTACTAAGAAGTTTCGTGCAAAACTCGTTGTGACGTCAGATGTTTGTCGCCACTACTTCGAAGTATCGTGCAAAAACTCGTTGTCTCGACTACGAAGTCTCGAAAAACAAAGACAGTTTAATTTTCCTTCAATTCGTTCGCATATTTCTTCGGATGCGTTTTCTTGAGCGCAGGTGAAAATTTAAAACGAAAATACGACCTCCTAAACTTTCATGAATATGCGAAACAAGTATATCTACATGATTTTGGCGCACTTCTACCCAGAAGCCAATTCTAGAACCTTTTCCCATTATTGCTATAAATAGGTTGCATACGTTTCATGGATTGCCAGCTAAAGATGCAACCTATGTCTGAAAGAAAAATGCTTCATCACCTACCAAACACAACTATCATCAGTTAACAAGCGTATTAAAGTTGTGGTCGCACTTCTTGCTAAAGCTTTCTTTTGTTAACTTTAGTACAAAAATTGTACTTCATATGAAACATGAGACATGAGAAGCATGAGACAACAAGTTTCACGTATGCACAGACGAAACGCATGCGCTCTATCCGTACCTTCTGCAAAGCGGTCAGCGGTGGATCAATATTTGCAGGACGAAGGACTGTGGTGTTTACATCTGAAGGACGAGGCATTTCACGTTGAACGGCTTGGGACCATAATCTTCGTTCCTTTTCATCTAAAAAAGGCAAGGAGACTCGTGTACGCCCAAAACTATCACAGTAAAGAAACGTTTCAACAGTGATCATGATTTTAAATTTCATAGCTAATCCTTATCAATACATGCTCCGCATGACATTCCCATGGACGAATTTTCTGGGAAGTGAGGGGGGTGCAGGAAGTGTATCAGATTTCATCCTCTCCTTGCCTAAATGAATGTTCACCCCTGTAAGAAACATTTAACCTCCCCCCCTTCAATATTTAGCAAAACAAATCAGTAGTAAGGTAGAACAGAGTTTTTCTGTGAAATGTTTCAACTCTCTACACTACCTTTGGTGGACACACTACTCGACTGTCCCTGAAATCCTTCCTCCCTTATTTTGTCCAACGTCCCTTCCTTACCAGCCCACCATCCTAAAATTTTAGCACCACCCCTGTAAAAATATGAAAATCCGTCCATGGATGTACTTCGATACCAGTTTTGGAAAACGGATTACGCATGCTAGATTCTGTTAATCCAATTCAAAACCCTAGGACAGAAGATCAAACACGTGAAAAAGAGAAAGGAAAAGTCGAGAAAAATTGAATTTAGAAATCCTCTTCATGGATTATAGATTCTCATCCTCAGGTCACCTTATCACGGAGAAATGAATGGGCCTTTACTGTTACCTACATTCTACACAGTGTGACCATATAGGAGTAATTTATAATCAAAAATGTGTTCATCTGTGCCGATAGCTCCCCCTGTTTTGAATGTTGTAATTACATAAAGCAGGCTGGGTGTCTAAGCTTACCGGAGCGGATCTGGCAATGCAAATCACCAAACCTGGCCACACTGACCTTCCATTTCTTTGAGTGCCTTTTTACGCGCGTCGATATCGGCAGCATCTTCGACGAAATTTTCGCTCTGCGATTTTTCCATCTCCTCAGGTCCGGACTGAAAGAAAGGAAACAGTGAAAGTCGGTTTCGCGAAAGATGGCAACCCAAATGTGCATCATCGAAATTTTATCATAAATTGCTATATGTTTACTCTCTTGTCAACGGTAAAATATGTTCAACACAACTGGAATAAAACATACTTCGGGAACAACAATTTCAAAGTCATTTGATGGCTTAGGAAGGCCGGCAAGACTCTCTTTCAGCTTCAATTTCTGTTCTTCCTGAAAACATACGATATGAAAATTCATGCAAAATTACAATCACAATAAAGTAGCAAAATATTGGTATTGAGCAAAAAACTGCGGTAATGTTCTTACTTGTTGTTGCTTGGCCATGTGCGCCGATTCGTATTCATCCATCAAAGCATCTTCTTGATTTATGCTCAGTTTATCCCTAACAGACCCTCGTCCGGGGGTCACTGAGCCCTTGGGTCCTGGAGGTCCCGGAGTACCCATACGCGGAGTCGATCCTTTTTGAAGCAATAAAATACTTATAATACGGATACCAATGACTTAGAAAAGTATAAATTAGTCTAAAGCTCCTGTTATAACTTCATCTACTGCTCTTGTTATAACTTAGTCTACAGCTCTTGTTATAACTTCATCTACTGCTCTTGTTATAACTTAGTCTACAGCTCTTGTTATAACTTAGTCCACCGCTCTTGTTATAACTTAGTCTACTGCTACTGTTATAACTTAGTCTACTGCTACTGTTATGGCCATTAAAACAAACATGTCGAAAAATAATTGAAAATCAATAAATTGATCCGGATAGCACATAACACACAATTTCGTTCTCATTTTGGCACAAGCGCGTTCAATTGTACGTGTTGAGATCAGGAGAGTTTGAAGTGACCATGTTCCATTTTCTCATACATACGTACATAAATTACATATACAAGATTTTCTCTATCATTTAGAATAAATGTTACCCACTATTACAACCATCCCTCCTAGTACTCACTAACCATCCCTCCTCTAACTAACTCCCCTCCTCTCACTAACTACCCCTCCTCTCACTAACTAATCACCTCTCCTCTTACTAACCACCTTTTCATTCACAACTAACCAACCCTCCTCTCACTGACTAGCCACCCCTCTTCTCACTGACTAACCACCACTTCACCACCCTCCCTTCCCAACCACCCTCTTCTCACTGATAACCACCCTCCTCCACTGACCAGCCACCCTCCTCTCACTGACCAACCACCTCCTCTCCACCAACCACCCTCTTCACTGACTTAACCACCCTCCTCACTGACCAGCCACCTCCTCCTTCACTGACCTCCTCCTCCACTAACTAATCCTCCTCCTCCTCCTCTTTCCATCCACTCCTCCTCACTCAACCAACCACCCTCTCATCTCCACCTCCTCTCACTAACTAACCAACCTCTCCTTTTACCAGTGTAACCACCCTCCTCCCGTCCGTCCCCACCCATCGTTAATCGAACCATTTAACGTTCACAGGTCGCAAAACACCACGCGTCCACAAACACACGACAACTGAAGTACTTGCTTACCTTGACCTTCTCCTTGTGGTGTTCTAAAAGGTGTTCCCAACATCATGTTTGGCGTCTGAATATCCGCCCTCTTTGGCGTGACACCCTCGAAACTGGATTCGAGGAGAGGAGTGTTCACACCTCCTTTTAATGGCGTGTCGACTTGATTTAAAGCCAGGATGTTTTGAGCTTCCTAAATGTGGAATTTTTATTTAAAAAAAAGTGAATCGGTTACGCAGCCTTATTTTTCATCAATTTTTTCAAATTCGCCATACTTCGTAAAACAAGACGAAGACCCAAATCTTCATTTGTTGAATTCGAAATTGATTTTCAAAATGTCCGTTATGATGCATGCACAAGCCGTACATCATAACGTGCTGTATAAGAAGAGCTGTTTCTACAAACTGCTCTTCCTATTTTCGAGGTTGATTTTCGGTTTGTTTTTGGTGTTACATTTAAGAGCGGATGTTAAAATACACATACTGGCACAAATTTATGAAATGTTCGGTTGAATTCATGGTCCACGATGTAGCTTGAACTTGGCACTTCGTGCACAGGTCCTTCAAAATACGGTTTCTGCAAACCGCTCTTTCGTTGTTTGAGGTTGAACATTCTCGGATTGTTTTCGACTCAGATTGAACTAATGATGCTCAGGATGCAAAAGTACAAATACTGGCACAAATCTACGAGATGCATGGCTAAATTCATAGTTCGCCAAACATTTCAATATCGTCTACTTTTTTTTCATACACCCGTATTTTTTCTCAAAGCGTTTTTCGATGATAAGATACACGTACGGAAGCAATGCCGAAGAAGTTTTTCCAATAAAAAAAAACTACAATTAACAGAAAATGGATCCGTGCCGCAACTGAAGACATGTATAAAGACTGGCAAAAGGCTGAATATGGATTACAGTTCGTCCATGTACCTGCAAAACAGTGTCCTGCGAAGCAGGTGTACGTGGTGTCCTTAGTTGATTGAGGTTGCCAGGGGTAACAGAGTACTCAGATAGTAAAGCGTCGGACGCGGCGCTTCCGTCTTCGACGCTTGCACGTGCGCTCTCGCTGGCAAAACCCATCTTGACGACCTATACGAAGTCACATGAACAAGTCACATGAACAAAATATCGTAAAAAGGTGGTTGCAATAAAACACAATGAATCGTCGTTAATTAAATCCTAAATTAGGATTAAGGATTTAAGAGTAAATTAGGATTTATATTATGTATAATCTCTGATGATGGCTTTGGAATAACGTCGTTAATTACGTGTCCATTTACCTCTTCGAGTTCGGCATCCGAAACCTGTGGTTTTGGAAGAACAAGTTTACTGCGCTTTTTGATATGGTCAGGATTATTTAACCTGGAGTAAAACAAAAACACGATGAAATAAAGAAGGACGTTCATGCCGTTCGTAAATTTACATAAAAGTTGCCGCGCATTAAATGTTGGGATTTTCCCGCGCTTGCTCCTAATGCACCCGTTGAATCTAACCTCAACACACGAGGAATTAACGCTGCGTTTGCATTAGCCTGTGCAAACTGATCAGAGCTGAATCAGTTAAATCAATCAAACGGAATTTTCAAATCAATCACGAATAAATGTTCAAGGAAAAAATCAAACATTTTATCTGTTTCGCATTACTGCTCTCTTATAAATGAAATAAAAGATGTTTCACGTGTTTGCACAGGCTTATGCAAACCTCGGAGAGTGTCGGAGACGGTTGTGAGAACTCTCGACCTTCGCTCTCGGGTTTGCACTGATCTGCTCTCGAGTTCCCCCAAAAGTCACCTGGATGTTCACAAGCCCGTAGGAACACAGTAAACATATTTTATTTCTCAAATATCAACTATCTTCCAAACAAATACATACAGGGGATAGTAATATTAAATGGGAAAATATTAAGAAAGAAAAACACACGGTAATTCTTACTTGTTGATCTGCATTACAGCTCCGGGAAGATCGCTTTCCTTTCTCTTTTTCATCTTTTCCTTATCCTTACGTCTTTCTTCGGCCTCGACTTGATCGCGCATCTTCCCATCCAGATTGTCCTGTCGTAGTTTCTTGAATTCAGGTTGGATGGGCGCCACGTTCTCATCGGAGATGTCGTAAAATCCTATAGGGAAAACACTGAACTGAATAAAAATCGCACGCCAACATGTAACGTTCTCACACCAACTGCGAGTGAGGAAGAGAACAAGAAAACAAGAGAACGCCAAGAGGCTACGTACAGCTAAATTGCAAACTAGCTGTGTTAGAGCGAAGTTTCTATGATAAATTATAGAAACCAAGCGCGTAATTACCCGAGCGATAACAGCTTTAGGAAAAAACTTCGACTACGACTAAGAGCAGGGTCGTAGCCAGAACGTTAATTAGGGATGAGAGGAGGCTTAGGGATGGTTTGGGGGCGGGGGGTAGGAGCGTTAGCATCTATACATTCAGTTGTACCCAAACGATTTCTTTTGAAAGCCAAATCACTTTCAAAACAACTCAGTCATGCACGTCCGGAAGTACGTCCATTTGGTGCAAAAGTACAGTTATGACTGCATCAAAAAGAAAAGTATTCTACATAAAACTCTTATTCGCTCGCACTTTTTTCCAACGACACAGTGCATTCAAATTTCGCACTTGTATACAAACTCGCTAAAGAAGTGAATATGGCACCATCTTGATTTGACGTTATACTGATTAAGTAAGCAATTACGTTCTCTACATCCCCGTTCGGCAAATGAAATTACACCTCTCGCCGAAACAAATTCCAGCTACGCATACCATATCTTATGGTGTTACGATGCCGAGAAGAGCTAAGATCGATTAGTTACTGAAATTAGAGGCATTAAAATTACACAGGTTTGGTGGGAAAATATAAGTGAAAAAGAGAAAATGCGCAACATACAGATGTAATTGAAATTTTTCAAACAACAGTTCTACGTGTTAAAGTGAATGGTTTGAACCCGGAGTATCGTTACATGTTTGTAGATGTAGATCGTTTTCCAGGTTAGTATAGTCCTGCAGCATCAACAAACTTCTAATGAATACTCGATGACATACCGCACCCCCCCTGGAGAACTTCACTTTTATACATACCGGGAGCTGGTTTTTTCTCAAATGGTATTTCGGCATTGTAGTCAACACCACGCCTTCTCTTTTTGTGTTTCCTTATCCTTGATACAATTGAAAACAAATAATCGTCGCGCTTCGTTATCGTACAAACCACGGACGGATTTTCTTATTTTTTAAAAGGGTGATGCAAAACATTTTAGAGGGGACGACGCAAGACATGGTAAGGGTAGATTTTCGGGGCAGTCGAATAGTGTAGCCAGCAAAGGTGGAATAAAAAGTTAAAATATTGAGCAGAAAATCCCGTTTCATCAGTACCGTACTGCTGATTTGTTTTGCTAAAAATTTATGGGTGGTTAGAATGTTTCATAGAAGGGTGAAATCTGATATGATTGGAGAACATACACCCCCCCACACCCATCAAGAAAATCCGTCCAAGGTACAAACAAGAAAAACTGTTTAACTCAACTTAACTCATAGTAAATTGGTCGTAAATTAGTAAAACTTGTATGTATAGGAAATGACTTGTTCATGAACGCATGACGAATTGGAATGGAAAATAAATGGTCAACTATAATGATCATTGCAATCATCATTACTAATGAAAGCATGACGAATTGGATTGGAAAATATATGGTCAACTAATGATCATTGCAATCATCATTACTAATGAAAGCATGACAATTGAAAATAAATGGTCAACTAATGATCATTGCAATCATCATTACTAATGAAAGCATGATGAATTGGAATGGAAAATAAATGGTCAACTAATGATCATTGCAATCATCATTACTAATGAAAGCATGATGAATTGGAATGGAAAATAAATGGTCAACTAATGATCATTGCAAGATGGGACTCAAAATAACGGCTGGTCAATGGTCGATGACCGCTCAGAAATGCCTATTGACTAAACATTTTTTTACATTATTCGTCAATTTGACGGGCCATATTTCCGGATCTTGCACAACAGTCAATACTAATTGGTTTTCCTTTCAATGCTAATTTGCAATATTCGATGTCAATTTTGGAACAGAAAAACCATGTTTGCTCTTGTAATAATGTGCTGTGTGAACGTGCATAAAAGCTTAGATTCCGATTTTATCAAGTGTGTTTTCCCGCCTTGAGGCTATGCATGATGACCTCACAAACGCTTAGAATGTCAAACATGAGAATCAGGACAGTAGTTTCAAAAAAAAAATTTAATGTTATTGAAAAAACCAACTTATACCAAGCTACAATGACATTCACAGGTCATCTTGACGGGCCACACATAGGCCATTATTTCAAGCCTTGCTCAACAACTTTGTAAAATGGTAATATAAATTGCTAAATGAAATGAAATTGATTTCAATAAGTATGAGAAGTTCTTGTTTAAATGTGTTATGAGTGAATTTAAAGTAATTGAAAGTAAAATATGAAAGTGGGTTATAATGGATAGTACAGTGTAATGGCTTACTCGATGCCAGCAGCTCGAAGTTCCCTGCGTTTCTGTAAAGCAGCCAATCTTCTGGCTTCCTCGAGTTGCTTCTCTCTGGCTTTTCTTTTGGCTTTCTTTCCTTGTGTGTTTGCCAGACGAGCCCTTGCTTCTGACAACATCTCGAGTTCTGTGGGCAGGAATATATGATGAGAAATGAAGAAGTGCCGGCCGAGAAAGTTCAAGCAAGAAAAAAATCTGTACTTTCAACATGAACACGGTAGATTACCATAAACAATGCACATGCAAAATTTCTATCAAAATCCATTGGACTGTAACACCTACCATCTTCATCCATATCAATAGGATCTGGTCTGGCTGGTTTTGTTTCAGGATTGGGATCAATTTCACCGGGTCGAAGCTTCCTAGGATCTTCCCCTGCATCTTCGCCTTCCTTGGCTTGAGCCTGATCCAAGAGGTATTCATACCTCTCCAGGCATTGTGAAGCAGTGCGACCAATCAGTGGTGCAATGGTTCGCCATTGTGTTGGCATAAGTTTGGCAAGATGAAGAAGCTTCTCATCCTCTTCACGACTCCATTCAGTCTGCAGCATATGGCGGATGAATAATTATGAAACAATAACGTATTGTTCACAGTTTCACATGCACTTGTCTTACAAAGTTTGAAAGTTTTACATGCACATTTCCTACCTTCTTTATACTTGGATCCAACCATTCATACCTATGACAAAAATTAAGCAAAATACCGTCACCTCAAGATGATAAAAATTCATCGATAGTTTATTTTAAGATGAAAAACAAGCATTTGACACACAACGCTATTATAAACACCTCTATGCAAGCGAGAGCATCCTAACATTTTTTAAAATGAAAACATGCTTATCCCCGCTAGTTTGAAAGTCACATTAACTGACAATCTACAAAGGACCGTGTTTTTTTTCGATTTCCGACCACTCGTTGGTGCTGTTGGATTAAATTTTTCATAACTGGGACAGTTTTAGAACGATTTTTACATTCAAGAAATAAGAAGCTGACAATGCGCATTAATGTCCATCTTCAGTCTAAGGACACGAAACAACGTACAAAAATCTATCTTAGTCAGGACATACAATCAAACATGCTGACCGATAAACAAATAAACAGACGGGTTTAGATTGATGGTCAATGGATGACTTAAATCGATTGATGCAAATACCATCTAGCTTTGCATTGCTTGGCGGATTTTCTATGAAGCAACGAGGCAATTCTTGACCACTGATTTAAGCCATATTTCATCACAGCTGCCTTGAGAATTTCATCCTGAAATACGGTGTAGTAACATTAAATGTTTACTATTGTTTCCACCGCGCTGAAAAACATTATCGTTCGATTTTCCGTTTACAAACCTCAGTGTTTCTCCAGACGCCACCTTTTATCAATATCCGAGGCATTGCGTTTGTCTTTGCCACAAAACAAATGCAATTTGGAAGATTTTAAGAAAATAAATAATATCGTGTTATTCAAAATGGCCGGAATGAGAAGCCAGTGAACTCCATATATATATATATGTATCTGGAATGATAACGACAATACATTTTATAGATATAAAATTGAAGCCAAAGTCCTAGTCTCTTGCGCGGTTTATACGTCAGTTCCAGTCCTTCAAAGATGAATACTTACGCGGTTTGTACGTCAGTTTCATTCCCCTGAGTGCAAAACATACACGGCCAATATAAATTTGAATACAAATTCCAAAACAAATAAACAAATAAACAACATCACGACAAACAACACACGAGGCCAACTCCTCGCAAAAGGTTATTTTTTACAGCTGAAACTTTACTAAAGTGAGTTCGTTGTTACTTACAACTTAAAACTAGGAAAAGCCAACTGAAAATTACACTGTATGCTAAAAAGACAATACAATAAGAAAATATGACGAGAAAATATTCAAGCAAAAATTTTTCTTACATCGGAAGGTAAATTTTCAAACGGTGTCAGACAGTGTTTGTCTTCTTTTGTCATTTCAGTGCATTTAAAGATTTGTTTTTCCGAAGAAAAAAGAAACTTGAATATCCCGTTTCATAAAAAATATTGAGTCTATAACTCGCATTTTAACTTTTTACAGAGCCATTGTATTTTTCATCGATTTTGATAGTGCTTGAAATACTAAATGGTTGTCATCTCGATATCAATAATTGAATATCCTTAAAGACTTTGATATGTTTTAAAGGAAAACCGCAGCGTATGAGCAGATCGACTAAGTTCACCTCACCTTGCTTCTCGATTTATTAATTTGATTCACTTTCCGTGAACCTTTTCATTCCAAAAATTTCGTTATTTTTACGCTCTGATCAAGATCTGAACTCTACCATTACTAAGGTACAAATGATTTAAAAAAATTAAAACGAACACGCGAGAGACTAGAGCCTGACGTGTGATGACGAATAATGACGACAAATATTTTTTTGGCTTCGGTTATCATTCCAGTTATTCAAATGTTGAGTTCACTGTGAGAAGCGCACGCTTAATTAGCTCTCAGTCTCCTCAGCTGTGCTGTCGAATCAAAATATGACAAAAGAAAAAGGTGGGGGGAGTTTAAGTCCTGTTACATGGGAATTTCTATGAAACTACTTGTACCAACATAACTCTTTCTTATGGTTTTATCAAGTACTTAAATTTAATTTAATATCTTGAAGTACTTGAAAGCTACACACTTCTTTGGTTCAATCTTGAAAACCATCTGTCTATTTTCTTTCTGTGTTCTTCATTAAATTCAAAAAGCTCAGGCTCCTCCGTGTAGGGCTGAATCTTCATTTTCTCACTGACATAACTGAAGGCAGGAGGATAGTCTCGTAAATACTTTAACCGGTGTTCCTTGAAGCGTTGATGCTTCAAGACACTTAACTCTTGAATGAGTGGCGAATAGAGTTGAAAAGTAATTTCCAAAGGCTCATTGTCAATAACATTTCTCAAAGTAAATGAAGCTCCCAAACTATTTTGCCAGTGGCCTTTACGAATGCAGATTCCACGAAATCTGGAGAAACCAAATATGTAACATAATTAGTTGTAGCAAAATGTTTTTGGTATGGCCCTTCCCTTTTTCAACTATTTGCATGGAGGATGCAGGGATATTAAATGTTTCCACACAAATGTCGTCAAATATCCACAAACATATGCCAATCTCAAGACATTCTTTTTCGGTGTGTTAAAACAAGCCATACAACATAAACTATCAGCTCTATATATATATTCACCCTTCACTCTGCTATGATTTAATGGCTTAGTTTTGGGTTACGATTAATACCATAAACAGAAGTTATGCTACAAAAATATTCCTTGGTAAAAAGTGAGCATTATCCACTCAATTTATATCAAGATTATTAAAATAAGCAAGATGAATGCCACACTTAATAGACCACTCTGCTATAAACATAGCAGTATGTTTGTAGATGTAGATTATTGAATTTGTCATTCAGGTTCATGCTGTCCAAAGACAAACTGTTGGTGTTTTCAACTCATGTCAACTTAGCTGCACTCCATAAGATTGCCCATCAACCAGGACAATCTATATCTACAAACATGTAACAATACACCCCAGTGTGCAAATTAGTTGAGAAAAAACGATGTGCGATTTTTTTTGACAAAAGTGTTTCTTTAGAGGCATAATCAAATTTGGCTTCTTTTTCTCACCTTATCAAAATTCCCTCTGGTTTATTTTTCAAATTTGGCTTATTTAAGTTTTTTTGTCATCTTTTATAAATCAAAATGTTTCCTGATTTTACTGAAAATACTCAAAATAGCTATGATGCCACAAACAGTACATAACGGTTTACAACGCAAATGCAAAAATTGACATTAATAATGTATTACACCCCTATTGTCATAAGCATATAAGCACCATGTATGTTGACTGTTGGCAGACTTCCCAGTCTCAGAGTGACAACCTCTTTGAATTTGATGACATTGCGTCAACATGGATTTTAACATTGTGTCAACATGGATTTTAACGTTGTGCAGTGCAATCATTTATAAAGTAAAGATCAGTAAAGATTAAGCTCGAAAACGTTTTTAATTTATGTGGCAGTAATCAATAAAAAAGTTTTTTGCATATCGTTTGAAAAATTGATGTGCAATTCTTTTCATTTTAGCTAAAACGATGTGCAAATTACACATTGCACAACATTAATTTGCACACTGATACACTCGTATTCAAACCATTCAATTTGTGATGAATTACATTATTGCAGGGTAAAGTTACTTGATCAAAATCTGAGCTCACACGCTTTTGTAAACATCTGAGCCAAGACCCATATGAAATATCAACCTGAAGACCAATTAAGTGGGTACACACACACATAAATATATGTTTAAAGATTGGTAATCCAGGCATATTTAATGTATAAAAATAAAAGATTCTCCAGATTGTATAAAATGATTTTCATTGAGCTTTCGACTTGTTGCTTCAAGCCTTCATGGCAACGCATTTCACCCAATCCAATCACATTAATCCACCCGCTAATCCAATTAGATGCTCTAAGTGTCTATAAGCTAAAAGCAACTGTAAATGGATAACTTTCTCATTCTGATAAAGGCTTGAAGCAACGGGTCGAAAGCTAAATAAAAATCATTTTATACAATCTGGAGAATCTTTTATTTTTATACACATAATTATATATAAGTTTATCATCAACCTCCTTTGGGGACTCCTATATCTATGGAGACTCCTGATACAAGATAGGCCCACTGAACTTCCCCTTCAACATTCTAACTAACCTATTTGCACCGCCAGTGGCATACTGATCAGCATATTTCACTTCGATAAAACTTCCAACACAAAACTCCTTGAACTGCATCTTTTTCAACCTGCGATAGCAATCTTTCTGTTCTAAGAATGTAAACAAATCCGTGCCTGCTTCTTCTGGAGAGGAAGGAAAGCCTTCTGGCCAGTCTTTTTCCTTCCATATATATCTTGGAACGGGGATTTCATGGTTAGGAATGTACTTTTCTGCTTTTGGGAGAATATTGTAAATAGATTCGATTTCAACAAGCGGTGTTTGCACTTTTTCAAGCTTCTTTTTTAAATTTCTCGCAGCTGTCGCATTCTTTTTCTTTTTTTCGTTCGTTGTATCGCCAACTTTTTCTGCACGCTTCTCTTGTGCTGCAAAGAAGAACACAAAAGAAATGAATGAAAACTCCTTGAAAGAATTTAACTCCTAGAAAATGACTATACAATACCAAAAACGTACCATAAGGAAAAGCACGCATCGTCGAAGATCTACAAAAAAAGATTTTTTTGGCATTTTGCATCAGTTTTAATCCATCGAAGACAAACACATTGATAGTTCTTGACATGTTGAATGTCATGGTATATTTTCTTATCTTCGAAGTTTGAACGTTGTTTGAACTTTGAACTTGTAGCGAGCCCTCGTTACCAATACCTTCAGTCCAGCGATACAAATCACACAATTGGAACTGCGGTCTGTGTGAAGAAGGAATTGACCGGAAAATCTCATCTCAAAAGCTCTCATTTTTGAATTTTGCATCATATCGATTGACTAACATGTCACATGACTGATTCAGTCGCGTTCTCGTCAAAACATATATCATTCTTTACAGAAACTCTTAACTATGTAGTTGTTGACAAACCGTACGACTTGTGCATCAATGGAGAGAAAGAGCTAGCAAATCATGGTCAAACTCTAGCAAGCCTAATTGCCAAGCAAAGACCTGAGTTGGTCGACAAAAGTGTGTGTTCGGGCTTCAGATTTCCTCACCAGCTCGACTATGCAACAAGCGGTGCTATATGTATTACACTGAACCGCAAAACCACAAGGGAGGTAGTGAAGCTGTTTGCAGAAAGAACTGTTCACAAGGAATACTTAGCATTGGTAAAAAAACCTAGCTGATACATGGCACTTATTTGTGTTCTGGATTATTAGTTCCTGATTATAAAATCCCTCCCTCCCTCCACCAACTCCCCACCAATATGATTAATCATATTCACTCAGTGAATTGTTATTCCGCAGTAAACCAGTCATGTGATCTGACAAAAACTCTTTCTATTCCACACACATTAATCAACAATCTTACAGTTCTTAAGGCACATGGAATTCGAACCAATGTTCCTTGAGATCTGCCCTTACAACCAATTGCATTTCCATTGTGCACATGTTTTAATCCATTCAAATTTATGAACAGGTTCATCATCATGTCAAAGATGACCAACTTGTGGTGATGTCAATGATCGGAAAAGATTCCAGCGATGAAACTGGGTTTGCAATGACATCAGATGTTAAGAGATACGTAAAACCCAAGGTAATGAAAAATAACTGGTGGAGCTCATTGATTTGCAACATGATGAAGTCAAAACCGTTGTAATCATTCAGGTTGTTTCAAACAGTGGTTATTGGGTAAATGTGGGTAAAGTGCTTTTGAAATTGTCTATATATCTGCTATCGACTGCCACACTCTTTCAGCAATGTGGAAGATTTGATCAAAATAAGTCTGTTATGATGTTTTTCCCAAGGGAAGGCAAAAACATATGCCGCAAATGATCTTATAAATGTCTGGCCATTTAATAGAGAAAGGAGTTTTTATGATTTTTATCATTTTAGTTTTATCAAATGAAAACAAAACTGAGACTAAAGGCTTCTAAGCCCAATTGAGAATCCCCCCCCCCTAATAATATTATAACAATAACAGGTGGGGCATCTTTTAGAGATGGGACAACTTACAAAGATACTAACCCATGCTCCAAAGCGGTGGGGCGTTAAATGGATATGGGGAATTTTTTGGCAAGGGCTTACTAGATCAAATGCGGTGACAATCACAATAACAGGTGGGGGCATCTATTAGAGATGGGACAACTTACAGAGATACTAACCCATGCTCCAAAGCGGTGGGGTGTTAAATGGATACGGGGCATTTTTTGGTAAGGGTTTATTAGGTCATATGCGGTGAGTTGCTTTCGGCTGCGACTGATGTTTACATAAGTTTCTGTCGATACATATATGTGTCGTAACGAGGCTCGAACTCAAATAAATTTCCTTTATCCAGCTGGCAGAAACGAGAGTAAAAGTCCTCGCTCGAGGGTATTATGAAGGCAAACCAGTCTCGAAACTTGCCATCCAGCCAATCACGGGGCGGAGACACCAGATCAGGGTACATTGCCGGGATATTGGTCACGCGATTCTTGGCGACTACACATACTCCGGGAAGAGAGATGTCCAACCGTATCGGATGATGCTGCATTCCTGGAAACTTAAGATACCTTTACAACATGATCCAATTGATGTTACCAGCAAAGATCCCTTCCATGTTTTCCAAGACGTCAACGGATAATTGATGTTAGACTCATACAATACTTTATAAAATCAATTTATAGTTTCCCAACACTGTCAAACTATAAAGTAAATGGTTTGAACCCGGGAGTATCGTTACATGTTTGTAGATGTAGATCGTCCAGGTTGGTATAGTCCTGAGAAGGACTGTTTTTGTTGTTGTTGACTGACGTTTCGACAACCTTAGCGGAAGTCATCTTCAAAGTCAAATGACTACCGCTAAGGTTGTCGAAACGTCAGTCAACAACAACAAAAACAGTCCTTCTCAGGACTATACCAACCTGGACGATCTACAACTACAAACATGTAACTGTCAAACTATGTAAATTGTATCATCCAATTCCACTCAACCACGAGCAAAACTTGAAAGCAATATAGCTACTGGCTTTAATCCGGGCTCAAAATTACGGCCAGCCAGTTTTTACCTTGCCGCTAATTTTGACCGATTACATTTCCTAGTCTGCCGCAACAATTACCAATTGGTTTTCCTTTCAATGTTCTTTTGAAATAATGAGCGTCGATTTTTGTACGGAAAAACCGTACTTGCTCTTGTAATTTCGTACCGAGTGAACATGGATCGAAGGCTTCGATTCCGTTTTCACCAAGTGAAGAGAAGCCGGTTGCACGAAGCTTGGATAGCGTTATCCATTGGATGGCAAAATTTTAAACTTGGCAATGTAAAAAAGGCGTTTACAATTTTCTTACGACAAAGAAATTTCGTAATCTTCGAAACAATGTTTTATTTCAGTGATTGTTCAGTTCGAATCTTATACTTTTTGCTTTTGAAAAGGTTTTATAAGAGTTTAATAAAACTTGCTATCCAATGGATAACGCCATCTTGGCTTCGTTCAACCGCCCCCCTGATTTTGAAAATTGTTCGGTCATCCATCCGGGGATTATTTGCAAATTATGGAAAGGGCGGAACGCTTTATTAAGTCTGATGGTCATGGCCTATTGTGTAAGGGTGTGGTCACTGATCTGTAAAAGCTAGTATTCATTTTCAAATTTCTTTTAATTAGAATAATCTTTGATCAGAAAATTTTATTCAAAGCGCAGTATCATGTAGTTTTTCAACGAGCAAATTGGCACAAATGATCTTGTAGAGTCTTTGGGTTCTATATAATCAATATTTGCTAACCACATTATAATATTAAGTAGATAGAACGGCGTTGCCCCACCGTTGATTTTTCGCAAGGGAAACGCCGTTCCCTGCGTTCTCCTTGAAAAACATCACTGCATCTATCTACACGCAAATTTTCATTTGTCTGCTGGCCAATTTATTGGTGTATTAGTGACCCGTAAACAAACTGACTTTGACCGAACTAAAACGAAATTGACCGACTCCACCGGTCATCTTGAGCCGCAACACATTTCGGCCGTTATTTTGAGCCTTGGCTTTAATACAGCTTTTATATACACCATCCCTTTGTTTCTTACATTTCAAATCTCTCCTTGAACAACGCGAACCTGTACATTTTCCATGACGAGCAGAACTTTTTTATATAAAACTTCTAAAGATATACTATACGAACGTGCCGATTCGAAATTATTTAATATGTGCATACACGAAAATAAAGCCCAATTTGTCCGTAAAAAACTACCGTCTGTATTTACAACTTACTGACAGAGACTCAGATGTGTACGATAAAATATGGGGAAAGTTCATTGTGAAGTGCGTGAGTGTGATACACTAGGGTAAACCTCTGTTAAATGAATATTTCATTCAGTGGCGGATCTGGGGAAAGTCAAAATAAATTAAAGCACCGCATTTTTGTATATATTTACATTTCTAAGTACCTTGGAGTACCTATTGGTAAAATTATATTCCTTAGAAATTCAAAACCAATCCAGCCAGCTCGTTTCGTCCTGCTCTGGAAATTTTTCCTTTTTCAGGCATCGAAAAAACAATAGATCTCCAAAGTAATAAATAATGATGATTCTATAAAATTTACATAGCATGACGAAAAGATGCTGGCTGGCTTCCCTACTCCATACAATATATGTGCTTTGCTGTAGCAACATTAAACTAGAAAGATTTTCAAAGGGAAAATTTAAAGTGTAATTTTATGAATCCAATGACCAAAATATGTTTTATACCCCAACCTGGCCAATACCCTTTGACGAACCCTCTCATCCTAGAACTAAAGCGATTTGATATTTTACCAAACGCACTGGACGTTCCGTAAATAACATTTTCACGCATAAGGATAAATGTTTGGTTAAAAAATTGTTCATAAATAATTTGAGCTTATGCATATTCCTAAACAGCGAATTTTCTTCGTGCAATCCGCCGTCATATTTCGTTTTCTTATGCATGGATAAAACCTTGACTTCGCTAGGTTCCTTTAAAGAAAGGTTAAGACAAAAGTTGAATCCGACATAGCCTGTTCCAGAAAGCCTGAATAGCGGTAAGTATATGTATATATGATACTTTCACCAATCTTTCGAAACAATAAAAGCTACAATAAAGTAAATACAAAGACAAAAAAAGTTCTACTTTGGCAACGAAAATATAGAAAGTCGCTATTCTATGGACGGTGCTATATCGGATTCTTGCAGCAGGCCTGGGAAGCACGCGACTTAAATAATGTTTCAACCTGGTTTGTTCTTGTACTCTTTCTTCAAAAGCGTTTCATCCCACTGCGAGGCGTATATGCAAACTAGCAGTTGAACATGAGATTGATATGTTTGAAGGACCAGTCGGTTCGTTTCCAACTTTGGCTGCAGCAAGAAAACTGATTTGATATTCTGCAATTAAAATGAACGAGAGAAATGAAAGAGTTATTCGAAAACACTGAGGGAATGGGACAACGGAGGATTGCACGGGTGACACACTGCTTTGACAAAACAAACATTTTTGTGAAAATGTACATCGCATTCCTTTGCTGTACATGCATTACACGGAGCTTACACTACATAGAGCTGCAAAAAGTTTTGAAGTACATTCAACGAAGAATATAACTATTCATCCAAGAATATAATTATTCATCCAAAAATATAACCATTCCTCCAAAAATATAACTATTAAAAATAACTATTCCTCCAAGAAAATAACTGTTCCTCCAAGAATAAAACTATTCCTACAAGAATATAACTATTCCTCCAAAACACAACGAGTTATAACAAAGCGATGCATAATAATTTGATGTACAAATCCTTCACATTGAAACATTTCAGAACATTTCAGCTACCTTAAAATGTCAAAAATGAGGTCTACAAGGCTTTTTTTCCCTCGTATAAATCCAATAGCTACTATGCTGGGGCCGGTTGCACAAAGCCTGGATAGCGTTATCTATTGGATAGCAAAAGTTTTCAAACTTATAAAAAAGCTGCTGATATTTTCGTAATACAAAGAAATTTCGTAATCTTTAATTTCAGTGTCTGCTCAGTTCGAATCTTCTATTTTTTGCTTTTTAAAAGGTTTTATAAAAGTTTAAAAAATTGCTATCGAATAGATAACGCCATCCAGGCTTAGAGCAACAGGCCCCAGTAGGTTAAACTTACAGGTAATACAGGCGACTGCAACGAACCATTTAGCAAAACAGTATGAACACCGTTGTCTTTACAAAAACTAAGGTTGACTTGACCACTTCTCGAGAACACAGCGCGAAGGCAAAACAGTAAAATAGTTTTACCTATAAATGATGAACAGACAACATGGTCGGCAACATTTATAATGGCACATATTGGAAAAACGCAAATCGAATGAACGTTTTTTGCGTCAATCACGTCAATTAATTATATCAGTAAATCAAACAAACAAATCATACATGCCAATCACGTCAGATAGCACCACAAGTCAATTCACGCCAGATGAAGCTAATCACATTACCACAACCCATAATACAACTCTATCAGACAATAAACTATGCCAATCAAGTATGTAGACCAACCAATCATTACAGGTCGAAGCGATCGATCATACCATCACAAATCAAACAAGTCAAACTGCACCAGTTAATCATGCCGACGATGAACACAAATCAAACACATGCCGCTCAGTAACATTAGTACATATCATAACAAGTCAAACTGCACCAGTTAATCATGCCGACGATGAACACAAATCAAACACATGCCGCTCAGTAACATTAGTACATATCATAACAAGTCAAACTGCACCAGTTAATCATGCCGACGATGAACACAAATCAAACACATGCCACTCAGTAACATTAGAACATATCATAACAAGTCAAACTGCACCAGTTAATCATGCCGACGATGAACACAAATCAAACAAATGCCGCTCAGTAACATTAGTACATATCATAACAAGTCAAACTGCACCAGTTAATCATGCCGACGATGAACACAAATCAAACACATGCCGCTCAGTAACATTAGTACATATCATAACAAGTCAAACTGCACCAGTTAATCATGCCGACGATGAACACAAATCAAACACATGCCGCTCAGTAACATTAGTACATATCATAACAAGTCAAACTGCACCAGTTAATCATGCCGACGATGAACACAAATCAAACACATGCCGCTCAGTAACATTAGTACATATCATAACAAGTCAAACTGCACCAGTTAATCATGCCGACGATGAACGCAAATCAAACACATGCCGCTCAGTAACAGTACATATCATAACAAGTCAAACTGCACCAGTTAATCATGCCGACGATGAACACAAATCAAACAAATGCCGCTCAGTAACATTAGTACATATCATAACAAGTCAAACTGCACCAGTTAATCATGCCGACGATGAACACAAATCAAACACATGCCGCTCAGTAACAGTAAATATCATAACAAGTCAAACTGCACCAGTTAATCATGCCGACGATGAACACAAATCAGACACATGCCGCTCAGTAACAGTACATATCATAACAAGTCAAACTGCACCAGTTAATCATGCCGACGATGAACACAAATCAAACAAATGCCGCTCAGTAACATTAGTACATATCATAACAAGTCAAACTGCACCAGTTAATCATGCCGACGATGAACACAAATCAAACACATGCCGCTCAGTAACAGTACATATCATAACAAGTCAAACTGCACCAGTTAATCATGCCGACGATGAACACAAATCAGACACATGCCGCTCAGTAACAGTACATATCATAACAAGTCAAACTGCACCAGTTAATCATGCCGACGATGAACACAAATCAAACACATGCCGCTCAGTAACAGTACATATACGAAAGAATGACATCGATTCAAGGAGCTAGTCATTTACACAGTAATCCGATCCTGCCAATCAATTATATCAATTAATTCATACACAAAACCAGAGGCTTTGCAAGTTTTCAAGAGTTGCGGCCTGAGGTCGTTCGGCATGCCATAACGCAAAAAACGTACAATAATAATGAAATTGTTTCATACGAGTTATTTTCAATCAGTTTTTCTCCTTTTTCGACCAAACTATACAAAAAATTCTCCAAAATCCCTTTTTTTTGCGTTTCGTTACATACAAATGGCTTGCACATTTCGTCAATGCTTAAACCATTTAAAATTTTCTGGTTCTTGGTGCGGTGATGTCCGTTCAATAATTTGAAGCGGGAAGTAATGTTCAAGTGTGAAGCTAAATTTTCGGGTGTCCTTCCCAAGCCCCTGCACAAACCAATCAAATCACACTATCAACCAAAGCAATCAATTGCAACAATCAATCATTCCACTACTCAAACACATCAATAAATCTTATTGACAGGATTAGGGCCCAACTTCCTTCTAAAATACAATAATGCAATTAAAGAATTTTATTGACGTTTCGTCGCAAGGCGTGACATCTACAGAATAATTGTATAAAGTTACAAAATGAGACTATAAATGACAGCATTTACATTAATATAAATGACAGTATTTGTCACCGTTGAAACGTCAATAAAATTCTTTCGTTACATTATTACATTTTACAATGGCATTACGTTTCCCGCTCGGAAAATATATCGCCACTGTCATAACATCAATAAATCATGCAAAAAAAATTTCACAAAGCATACCAAACTACATGAAGGAATTAAACAAACCTAACAGCGACTTGTCGTAATGAAAATGATACTTGAATGTCTGCCCGTCAGTAGGATATACACTGACAAACGGTAAAATAGGCGGATTCATCAACGTCCCCGAGTCTCGTAAGCAATCGGCGATCGCCGTCTCGATGCAATCTTGAACTCTACATTCAACACATGTGAAATGTTAGCAAATGAAAAATTGATGCGGGTTAAGAACGGTAATTTGGAGTTAGTTCAACATTAGCTTACTTGTGGCGGGGATGATAATAATTTCGAAGTGTTGGCCTAATACTTGAAAACGTACGTTTTCAAGAGCAAAAGCAATTAAACTTTTTCTCGCAAGTTCCTTTTTACATGCTTTTGCTATTGCTTAACATTTTGGGATGATCTTCACGGCAAGATCTTCGATTGCAATACGTTTTGTCACTTCGCGAAAAACGTTTTCCCAAACAAGAGCCACAGAGCCACAAGCAAAAACCAAAAATGTATTATTTCAACAGATTTGACTTTCTTTGTAAAATCTGTTGAAATCGTTTAGCACTATAAAATTCACAAGTGAAAACCACCTCTTGTTATGCGATTCAATAAGATCTCGGATATCAAAGTATCCACACTCGGCCGCCGTTTGGGCGGCGGTCAGACCGGATAAACTTCTCATTTGACAATCAGCTCCGTGTACAAGCAACACAGCGACCACAGAATAATGTCCATTCATGCTAGCCTAAATAAAGAGGCAAAATGAAGGATCGTAATTTTTGCCATCTACCAACCAGAGTCCGACTAAATGGCTCAACATGCACAAATTTGTCGTGGTGTGATCAAAACATGCATATTACAAAATGTTTCCAGGCACTTTGTGAACAATGTTGTTCAAGCTTCTTCCTTGAATCACAACATTGTTAACTGCACTGTTTCAGCTCATTTTAAAAGACCAACAAGGCTTTCACATGAGAATACTAATTAACTGTTGCTGCCTAAAGCGAGAAGGAAAACAGCGCGGAGAGGTTTTGCATTCCAATACAATGGGATCGCCTTTAAAAATGACGTTTACCTTGGTCCTCGAATCTTATTAAAGATGTTTCTTTATTAATTTATACATGAAATATCTTAATACAATTTTTGAATTTTTTTCATTCCACACATTGTTTTTTACATTCTTCATTGAACTTTGGTTATCTTAACTTTTTCCCATTGTAATTTTAACACGTAATTTTAACACGTAATTTTAACACTGTTTTACTCCCGTAATTTCAATGCAGTTCAGGCATATGGCAATGAACAGAGTTTGAAGTCAAACCTTGATAAGAGGTGTTTCTCCACTTAGAGACTGCTTGGCGTTAATATCACTTTCAGCGTTTAGCAGCATGAGCACTATGTTTTCAACTCCCTAAAAAATAGTGACGTCAATTTTTCAGTCATTGCTCTATGCTCGTTCACTAAACACTGGTACGGGTTATCACTGTTCATTCATCACTACCTACACTGACACACGTTATCTTAGTTTATTTTTTAGGTAGAGAAAAGACAATTCTCGTGTTCTGTTCTTCATTCATCACTACCTACACTGACACACGTTATCTTAGTATCTATTTTATGCAGTGTAAAGACAGCTCTCGTTCTCTGTTGTTCATTGATCACTACCTACACTGGCACAAGTTATCTTAGTTTATATTTTAGGTAGTGTAAAGACTGTTCTCGTTCTCTGTTGTTCATTCATCACTACCTACAATGGCACATGTTATTTTAGTTTATATTTTAGGTAGTGTAAAGACTGTTTTCGTTCTTTGTTGTTCATTCATTACTTCCTACACTGACACACGATATCATAAAGCAACAATTTATGTAAGAAGTAAAAATTACTCTCGTTCTCCGTTACAATGCAACTGTGTTGGTCATTAATGCAATTTGCTTGTGTCTCTGGTCTCACCTTCTCGCAGGCAAGAAGAAGCGGCGTGTTTCCAGTATTATCTTTGATATTCACTTTCGCCGCATGATCAAGAAGCACTTTTACAATACTCTCTTGATCCAAAGAGACGGCCCTCGCCAGTAGAGTCATTCCCGTCATACCGTCTTGAGAGTTGACGTTCATACCACCAGCAAGGGAAGCCAGGACTGTGGCGACGTCGCCTCGTTTTATAGCTAGCTTTACTTCACCTACAATGACGAAATCCATTAAGCGCTAAAAATCGCTAAATAAATTACTCTAGAAACACTAGAGGAAACGAAATGAATCGTGTCATACCGAAGATGAAAACTGAATCTGGTAAAATATCATTCGCATTTCAAGCAGGAAAGTTGTATAATAGACCAAAAACCAAAAACAGACTACTACCAAACAGACTACCACAGAAACTTGAAGAAGAATATCTATTCATGCTTTCTAAATCTAATTATAATCAATGCAATTATTATCTAATTATAGTAATCATTTATAATCCTATTAAATATTTTTATCTTAGTATTTTTAAATGATTTTATTTTGTTTCGATTTTCATCTTTTATAATTCCAACTGACAGAGCAGGTCCCCAATTTACAATTAAAATAAAGACCACTGTTACCATCTAAGGCGTGGCCATAGTGCGCATTCGGTCGTGCGATGCAAATTCTAACCAGAGGAATTATAAAAACAGAAAACCAAATGGCAGAAACTGAGCACCCATATCGAGAGACAACATCGACATACCCAAAGCCATTCCGTATCAAACATGAAATTAAATTTCGTAAAACTTCTATCGTTCAAGAATCGTTTGTAAACAGGTCAACTAGAGTCTGGAAGGATATTCCTTCCATACAGTCTCCCCGGCAACGGACTGATCACGTTTTATCAATTTATGCGTGAACCTCCGAAATACTATAAACAAGCTTTGAAAAATACCAAGGACAGGTTTTCATACTTTTTACGGGGGGTGCTAAAAATTTTAGGAGGGGGGTGAGCTGGTAATAAAGTGACGTAAGACAAACTAAAAGTCTGAAATTTAGGGCGGTCCGGTAGTGCAGCAATTGAAGGCAATGTAGATACTAGAAATACTGCCATGAAAAACTCAGTTCAACATTACTACTGATTTGTTTTGCTAAAAATAGGGAGGAGTGGGGGTAAAATGTTTCTTAAAGGGGTGACCAATTTATTAAGAGGGGTGAAATCTGATGTTCGAGGGATGGCACCCCCTTGCACACCCCCAGTAAATCCGTCCATGAAAAATACTTATGATGCAAACGATCCTAGAACTTGGTAATCCATCTGTTTGCGTTGTAAAACGTGTCGTAATCTGTCGAGTGCTAAAATGCCTTGTTTTTTTCTGAGCAACAATGCATGATATTTCTAGGGATCGCTGCAATAGGCGCAAGTGTTTGGTATTTTCCTGCTGTGCAGTAAAGTCAAGTAAACAAATAAACAAATAAATTTTAATGCGTTCAATCACGGTGAAAGCAATCGGTTTCTAATGAAATGAGCAAGGATAATGCTCAAAAATTTACACAGCTTCACCAAAACTTGCATGCTGGCCCCGCCACTGTTTATAAAAATTCTTACTATTATTATTACTTATCTATTCACTCACTTAGTGACATTGCTGTAGGAATACCACCACGAGCGAAGTCCTTCTCAGTCTAAAAAAGTTTTTCGCGAAAAACTTAATTTAAGCAACAATCGAAGATCAAACTCATTTAAAAAAGGGACAACTCGTAAAGTTTATTGTCAACCTGTTCGGTAATTTGCTCTCCCGGATCAAAGTCGTCAAGATCAAGAACAATATCGCAATCATCTTCCTCGTCTTCCTAAGAAATACAGGTCAGATATTTTAACAGGTTTTATTTAGAACAAAACGTCCAACCTTACTCTCAATTGTCCTTTGTCCCACCTTCTTAGTCCCATATGTCCATTGTAAATACAGGGAAAACTACAAAGAAGGCCAAGGACAAGAGAGCTAAGTACTGGTGAGACAGGTGGTTCGTGTCACATGTACTTAGTAGTCCCAGAGTTCTTTATGAGCTTAATCCTATTCATACCTAATTTCACCTGTCCTGTCACCCCAGTCTATTGTAGCAACTCTCCTTAATCCCACCTGTCGTTTATCCCACCTGTTCTTAATCACAACTGTCCTTTTACCACACCGATCCTTAATCCCACTTGTCCTTTAGCCCACCTGTCCTTTATCCCACTTGTCCTTTACCAAACCTGTCCTTAATCCCACCTATCCTAACACTCACCTGTCCCTAATCCAATTTGTCTATAATCCCGCCTTTTTTTAATTGCACCTGCCCTTAATCCAACATATCCTTAATCCCACCTGGCCTTTAAGGCTTTAACTTTAATCCCGCCCGTCCTTAGCTACGGCCTTCCTCAGTTTCAACTGTTCATGGGGTCAGCCTGTGGATAATCCTACCCGCACAAAATGCCACAACCTCTACCTTTTTCGTTTTTTCTTTCTTTTCAACATGCTTATCGCGCAAACTTTGGACATGTTTGGACCCTGCAGAGTAAGAATGTTTGGACAAGCTCTTAGTTTCCAGCACATTTTGCTCCTCACGTGAGTCGATTCGTCGACGCTTTTCATCAACGGAGATGCCATGGCGTCCACTTGCTGAAGCTTTTTCTTTGCCATCTTCCACTTCTCTATTTTTCGAGATTTTCCAATCAACTTTTTTCTCGTTTGAAAGAGAGATGTTGGATTTCAGTGCGGCTTTTTCGACATTCGAATCGGAGTCCGTAATAATTTTTTTCAGTTTACTCAAAGCTTGCTTCTGTTTCGTCGAGTTCGTCATGTTGCCACGAGCTTGGAGAGTGGAAACCATGTTGCTCTCAGACGTGTTAGTTATCGTTTCATTTCTTTTGCGAGCACAATTCTCGACAGACGTATTACTAAGTTCTTCGACCGGCGATTCTCCCTCGCTTTTCATTGGTTTTCCATAAGAAGGCATTGAATCACTAGTTAGCATTTGATTTTCCGACAAAGTATCTTCATTATTGCTATTCTCGACTTCATTACCGGATAAAATATTTTGATCGTCGTCATCAAGCGAAGTGTGATATTTCGACTTTGGGCAAAGAGAGACATGGAGAGAAGACGTTCTGGCAAACATGCCGTCTAAGGTCTTATATCTGTCTATTTCAGGTTGACCGGTGCCATTTAGTGTTTCAAGTTTTTCATGAGATTGAGTATGGCCACAACCAGCTCGTATACTACCATTACCAGATCGCGTACTGCCCCTATCAGATTGAGTACTGCACGATTGACCAATCGCTTTCCTTTCATATCTAGTGTCGAATGACCCAGTCCACAAACTTTTGCTTTCTTGCAACGAGCCCTCACGGCTACGAATGACTTGGCCAGAACTTGCCTCGTCATTACGGAACAAGCAATGCGCATTTTTGGCTTCATCGGAGACTTCCTTAGCAGACGAATGTTTGGATTGGGTACCATGAATTTCTTTGTCTATTTTCCTGTGAGCTAACAACGGCTCATACTTGTTTTTCATATAAGAAACATTCTCACGAAATGGATGCATGGATGGGACCACAGCCTTATGTAGGCCATCGGAGAATGTGCCGCTCAGCGGCATTTTTGCAGAATAAGGTGCAACAACGGGTTTCGCAAACCAAGCCTTATGCCCATCGACAGAAGAGGGGATATTGGCAGGAAGGGTTCGATGAAGTGTCACGAAATTCGCCATTTGCGTCAAATGATTAGTGAAAGTATTCACCAATGGAATATTGTGAATAACAGGCGTTATAGGTGACGTCGGGAAAAACAGCCTTTGAGTCTCCGGAGCAGTGACTCGGAGTAAAGGTTGACTTCTTGAGAAATAGTTGATCCACGGTGCAGTGGAAAAAGGCCTTTCGCCTGTATTTCTAGCGATCATCGCAGAAAGACGCCTGAGCATAAAATGATTCAACCTTTTTGGTGCGGGAAAGCGGTTGTTTTGTTGCACCGCGAACGGAGCTGTATTCTTCGAGAGGACGGTTTTCTTAACTGATCGCGTAAACGGACTAGATGGCTGACGTAATGGTTGGCCTACGCGAGTTTTGTCTGAGGAACATCTTTGATTGGGTTGTTCCTTGCAAGGAATCAGCGTTTTGTTAACGTGAAAAGATGCTGTGTTTGTCAAAGTTGATTCGGTTGAAGAGGAGCATGGGCTCTTGGTTTTGTATTTGCCATGCGCAAATGAAACAAATGGACTACAGCGAGCAGTTGCTGACGTCGACTTCGATGCAACGCCTTTTGCTTTCAGATTATTTGTTGACGTTTTTTCGACTTCATCTTCGGAACCGCTGATCGATAGGGTTTGTGACAATATCGGTTGATCCTCTCGAGCTTTCCCGACCTCTTTCGTCGATTTCGTCACGGCATTCCAGTCTTTCAGTTCCGCATTGTTTTGCGAAGGCTTCGCATCAGACGAAGAGAATAATGTGCTGTCGACAGCCGAGGTTTCATGCCGGCTGGCAGTTGACGTTGTTGACGGTTTTTCTTGCGTTGAGCTTTCTTCTCTTGGTTTTAGCGCAATTCCGAAGAAAGATGTTCCACTATGTTCGTTAGCGGTACCACAAACACCTTTTTTTTCAGGAACATCTTGATCTGTAGCTACGTCATCTCTTCGCGCAACGTCATATTTTGGCATTACGTCATCATTTTGTACTACATTTTTCTCCCGTGATACGTCCTCGTTTCGTACCACGTCGTTTTTTCGCGGTAGATCAATTTCGGCTGACGATGCTTTCTTAGAGTTTCGTGAAAATATATTCATACTAAAGTCTTCCAAAAATGGTATATTAAAAAATGTCTTTTTATCGCCGTCGTTACTTTTCAACGTTGTCTTGCTCGTGATTTCACTTTCTTCGCTTGTCCTTTTCTCGTCCCTTCTTAAGGCCGCTGAATCTGAGTCCACGGGCTTTTGCGCTTTGTCATGAACCGACGTCGAGAGTTGAGCGACGAGTGCATTTCGTGGTTGAGAATCGCAATGCTCCATTTTTTTTGAAGTAAATTTTAAACTAGTCAGTTCACCAGTGGTCTTCGATACAGTTTCAAAATCTTTACTGCTTGTTTTCTTCAGCTCGGCACTGTTAATTCTTTCAATTTTCTCCACCGGCCTCAAACTATTTGAATCAACATTCGGAATCCCTTGTGCACCAGTGGTTTCGCTTGCAATTTTTTCGGTTTCACTTCGTGCATTCAATTGCCTGGCCTCTCCGACTCCCTTCATTTTTTGTACGGTTGGTTCCAGCCTGTTCAAAAGCTCGTCCTTAGTGGCTTTAACGGCTCTGTAAATATCGGTCTCACCATTGCTTTCGGCAACTTCTTTCGACGCATCGAAACTGCTAGTTGAGGCAAATTGTGTCAAACCTGAAATGTGAGCAAGAACTTTAGGAGATGACGCTGTCCTTGACTTTTCCGACAAGGTTTTTCCATCAACCTGCGATGACTCAAAGTCAGACGAAAGGTTCCTTAAAGAAGTAATTGAACTAAGATCCGACTTCGGATCCGTCGATAAGTTTCCATCTTTGTTACCACTAAATTTGTGTTCGTCCTTTGGCGCGCCATCGGACGTTATGTCAGGCTGTACGCTGGTAACATCCTCGTTTGCCTGCATTTCTTGCACACTGGTCATGTCACCCTTTGATGCATCAGCACTTCCAGTTGATTTGGAGATAACGCCGAGCTGTTTTAAACATCCCTTACGATCATTTTTGATTTCTTCGAGCACTTTTGAAGACTCTTCTTCTGCAATATTATGACGTTTATCATCACCAATATCGGTCTCCCGATGCTCCGGCAAAGACTCCACGTCATCATTTCTAATTTCTCCTAGATTATCTACATCTTCATCATCGCCAGCATCAGTTTCTTGAAACCTGCGTAAAGAATTGGTGTAGTCATTTTTAGTTTCTCCACGATTATAAGATTCATCATCGCCAAAATCAGTTTCTTGAAATCTTTGTGAAAACTCCATTTCATCATTTCTAATATCTCGAAGATTTTTTAAGCATTTACTATTACCGACATCGGTCTTTTGAGGTTCTTGAAAAGACTTCCTGCAATCATTTTCAGTTCTTGCAAGATTAAAACGTTCATCATCACCTGCATCAGATTCTCGATGCCTTTCTGAAGACTCCGTTACATCACTTCTAATTTCTCCAACATAATCTAAATGTTCGTAATCACCGAAATCAGTTTCTTGGCGTTTCTCTAAATGTTCCACGCGCTCATTTCTGATTTCTCCCACATTTCTTGATGACTCTCCATGGCCATTTTTATTAATTTCCCGAAGCTTTTCAGAAAATACCTTGTCGTCGTCTTTATCTTCCATAAACGTTTTTGAAGCTCCTACATCACCATTTCTAACACTTTCAAGCCTCGGCGCCTTTTCGGTTTCAGCTTCCGCACGGTCCTTTTCGCTCATCACTTCTGAGCAAACAGAATCGTTTACATTCGGTACCTCAAACGCTACTGCGCGATCTTCACCTGGATCAGACTGGCTTTCGTTTAAAGTTTTCAAACAATTCGCTACGAAATTTCCTCCATTTCTACACTCCTGTTTGGCAAAATCCAATGCCAATAAATCCCATTCGGTGCCGGACTTCTCAGTCGGCGCAGCAGCTTTTTTTGCTTCGCACGTGTCTTCAACTGAAACGTCATTAAAATTATTTTTTGGTAATATAAAACACTCCATTTTTAATTCTGGTGACATACATTCATCGACATAATCGGCAACTGACCTCTCAGCATCACTGATTGGAGTCTTTAGCTCCAAACTTTCTAAATTGTCATAATGGACCACACGTGAAGTCGAAGCAATATTTTCTCCTGACCTTAGGTCGTTATTGATCACGTGGTATTGTTGAGAGTTACATGGCTCATGAAACTGCCCAAAACTGCCGTCGATAGCCTTTTCTTTAGGTGCACGTGTAGCATCGTTGGGCAAGATTTTTCGAGATTTGCAACCGTGTGACGTAGCGTCCGTACTTTTAACTTTCTTTTTCGCCTTGACATCGTGCTCGGTTGTTTCGAAGTGTTCCCCGTGCGATTGTTTTGAAACAATGGTAATAGCATCCTCTTCCATATCGACTTCTTCACCACGTTTTGCCAATCTTTCGTCAACGGGAAGTTCTTCCGGGGGAGGTTTCTCCGAGAGTGGGAACACCGGGGCAGCTATCGTTGAGGATGTAAGATCGCCATCTTCGCAACTAATCCCAACAGAATCTGCGTTGTAACATTCGGAATCTCCGTTCAAACTCTCCTCGTCGTCACTTCGCAAATCGAACATAAGTCCATCGTCACAGAATTCCGGAACGAATTCGGGAGATGACATGAACGAGAAGTTCTTGTCCCCGTGCTCAGCATCAGTTGAAATTGGATAAGATGACAAAAGATCGTCGCATTTATAATTCTCGAGTGAAATTTTCGTGATATCATCAAAAGTTCTTCTCTCATTCGATTCTTCAGTACTCTTTTTTTCGAATTCCTCGAGGACGAGGCTGGTTTTCTCCGACATTCCACCGTCATGGAAAGCAACCGACTTTTTCCTTGGCCTTCCTCTTTTTCGTGTAACGGAAGTCGAGAGGTCTTTATTTCCATCAGTAAGAGAAGCGACCCCGTCCAGTGAAGAGACAGAACCAAGAAGTTGGGCGTTCCTTGTCTCTTTGCGTCTTTTCTTTTTCTTTGTTTTCTTTAAGTTAGTCGACCCGTCCGACTTTCGTTTTTTACGCTACAATTTGAGATAAAAAGTACTTTGTTTCAGGAATGGATCTTTTTGGGGGAATCCACGATGGGGTTTTTTCGGGGGGAGTGGCTTTCTAGTTTGGATTAGAGGGGGTACAGTTTAGACTTTTTTTAAGATTCCGTTATCTTTTTATTACGATTGGGAGATTTAGGGAGGTGTGCTCCATTAAACACTAATCACAATTGCTTTTGCAAAATTGTTTAATATGTCATTATTTTTTAGGGAAATTTGCATCCATCCTGCATAGGCTCTTCAGTTCTTCCCAAAGGCTAGGAGAAGTGCGCCCTTTGCGAGCATTCCCTAAATCCATCCCTGTTTTATTTACGAGTCGGAAGTAGCTACAATTACATCGTTCACTGCACAAGTTACGTACGTTAATTGTTTGTTCTTTGCAAATTTCTCGGCGAATGACCTTACTTGCAGTAAAGTTCGTGCAATACTAGAATTCGCGCACGGTTGAACTTAATAATAGGTTCAATGCTGATTTTTTTCTAATGTCGTCAACTTTAGTATTTAGAATTACATGAAATGCGATGATAAATCATTATTATTATTTTAATTGTAATGATAAGGTTCTCATAAAAAAATCAACCGCTGTTGTCGCTGTTCTTGATTTCATTCAATCGCTTTCAACACATTTTTCTGCCGTCAAACAAACAAAAGATGGGAGAAAAAATGCGCCAGCAGGGGACCAGAGCCGTAACTAGAACGTATTAACATATTGGAATAGACACCCCGTATAATACATGAATACACAACCCACAGTAGGCCTTTCTAGTTAGGCCTCTGCAGGGGATAGTGAGAAGCTCGTTTTGTGCGAACTTTAGTACCACAGATTGGAAGCTACTTGAATAGAATCACTATCATCACACTATCTGCGCCATTCTTCAAGATCGAGCACATCGTTCAAGACTGGTTGGAGACTATTTCATTCGACTTTGCTCCTCCTACCTTGCTCTGTTTCGTTTTTCCATCTTTCCCCCAGAAGGCATCAAGAACATCTTTGCAATCAAACAAGTTCTCCTCTGGTTCCCATGTATCATGATCTTCATCAAATCCCAGCCATCTTACTTTGTAATAGCGAACATCCTGAAAGAAAAAAGTGTTCAAACTTGACAATAAAATAACTGGGATGGATTTAAGGGGGAGTGCAGAGGGTTGCACACTGCTCCTAGTTTGGGCTAGAGGGGATTCAAGAGTGGTACAACCTCCCCCTACAAAAAAATACTAACATATATAAAAAAAATTAAGCAATAGCATTTGCAAATGTGGTGTGCACTTCAAAAAATCTCTGAGAAGGTAACAGAATTTAACAAACCCTACATGCTAGAGCCATATATAACAACAAACAACTAACCATTGACAGTTGATAGCAAACTTGTTCATTAGATGCTCACAAAGGAAGTCAATACAGCAAATTATGAACATTATATGAACATGTACCCTCCCCAATTAATGAGTTCACTATGCTGCCAGCAACCAAAATGTTATCCAAACTAGAGAACCCTAAAAAACCATAATGGATCCACTCCTGTAAAATTTAAAATATTTTAAATCGGGGATGTACCATCATGAGTTTTAGTGGCAATACTCTAGGTTATATCAAATTAAATTTTGGTTGCTTTGTAATTCTTCATTGTAGAGCTTTGTAGTTCTTATACCATGATTAAGAGATTCTTTCGGAAGTGTGCTCATTATTTCTTTTGCTTAATTGCTTTGGATTATGTAACCCACCAGTCCACCGACAACAAACATGGCTGTTTCGAAGTCACATTAAATCAAATGACCTTAGGGCAGATCTCTAAATTGAGCATTTGTGGAAACACTTTAAAATTACTGGTATGATGTGTTATAGAATGTTAGTAATGATATTTCAGTTTAATTTAGGATAATTGGCCCCAGTGTTTCACGTATTTTTCATTACTTTCTTATATCAATGCTCAACAAGTGTTGCACTGGTCAAAAAATCATTACGTAACGTCAATTTTGTGTGTCACAGCACATTTGTGACACAGCACATTTGCTGACTCGAAACACACTATACCAAGCTAAAAACTAGTGCGAACTAAATCTCAATGTAGCAGTCACGCAGAAATAATAATTGAGCCGAACATGAATTTTTATGTATTAATTTGAGTACATTGCAATAAATACGGACAGAACGAGGGATAGCAAAGCGATGAGTATTCAAGACAAAGCGGTTCGTTTCCTACCAAGAACCAATATATCAATACTAGATTACAAAAAATTCGGTATTATTCATGCTAACCTGTTCAACAGCTGTTAGAAGGATCTTTTCTATTTCGAAAACATCATCTTCGCCCTCCATTACGGCCTCAAATGCGTCATTCTAGTCGAAAGAGATAGGAAGCAACATGTCTAAAAAGTACCAACCAAGAAAACAGCTTTCCCGCTTTGACGAAAACATCGTAAAGTTTTAAATACGAGATTTGTTTTTATGAAACGATCAACAGCCAGGAACCCATCCAAAAATAAACACTACTGTGAAGGTACCACAGGATTCATCCTGACAATCATCCTGACATTCATCCTCACATTCACCACAGGATTCACCACAACATTCAAAATTAGCATAAAGTGTGAAGTTGACACCACATTCATTTTAATATTCTTAAATAACATCAGTTTCAGAAACAAAATAGAAAAAACCGTATTTTTTGCTACAAAAAAACAAAAAATGCACACGTGTTTGGTGCCGTTGTAAAGACCAAGTTGTTTAGACAAGGATTATACTATTTTTATTTTGGTCGAAAGTCTTGGAGCAAATCTACAGCCTTTTAAAGACTACTTCCGCTTTTGTCTCTTTACGTTCATTAATTGCGCGATGTTTTGGTTGTTCCTTTCTGGAGTATGGACATTCGGTATGCATCTTCTACGTTTTATGCATTTGTTTTCTTTATTGGATTGTGCTAAGGTTTTGACCACATTGTTGGTGTGTCTGCTTGAAACTTCTTTTTTTGAATCTTGTTTAATAGAAGATGCATCTCCATGTTCACTTTCTTTAGTGTAATGAATACCTTCAGTGAAATGCTTCTGGGTAGTGACCATGTCGAATTCCTCGCTAGTCTCATCACTGTCAGTCGCTGATTGGCCAAAATCATAATGGTCGTTTCCTGTGCATTCACCACTATGAGTGTTAAATGGTCGGGACTCTAAAAATGGCAAAAACTCGCGACCCGACAACGGGCGATGCGCATTATCATTATAATTATTGTCATGGCTAGCTAACATATCTTCAGCATTTGATAACTAAAAAATGCAAACAAGTGTATTATAAGTGTATTACAAGTGTATTATATTAAATTGAGTGCATCAAAAGAAACATCGATTTAATTTGAAGTATGGTCTGGATTAGAACAAAGCAAAAAGTACCATCATTATTACGTGCTGTAATAAAGCATTTCAAGACATTAATAATTAAATATGCTTAAAATAAAAAAAGGCGATATTGATGATTACAACAATATTGAAATATTTACAATTCAACCATTACGTTATGTCTAAAGATCTAAAAAATCAAGAGATTTATATAAAGATTTATATTTGGGCACCTAGAATGGTTAGAATATTCTCTGAACACATGAGCAACCGATTTTAACTTGCATGAACCTTATATTTGTAGACTCAAGTTTCACTTGCCACCGCCACCCCCCTCCTCACATTACAGCAAGGAAATGCAACATCTATTCGACGTAAATATTCTCTTTTATTTTAAAGGCTATAAGCATGCGTCCTATTTATACAGAATGTGAGACTTCCAAGATTACGCGTTTTCAAATCCCTGTCACATGCTACAAAAAAGGTGTGAGGTTCCTGCTGACCTTCCCCTCCTCCCCCCACCATACCCCCAACAGGAAGGCTGGAAGCGCCGCCAAGAAGAACAAAGAAAAGAAATAGTTAACGCAGTTGATAAATGTGCTACAATACAATGTCTCCATAATCAATGTTCACTGACGTTACGCTCAAAAGATGAATTGACAAAAATTGATAAGACATAAATAGCCAAATATGTAAATAATATGCCAAAAAACAACGTTTCTTGTACATTTAGACAAAATACGATTGCTGTCAGTCCCAGATTTATGGAAATGCATTACCCAAATCAAAACTATTTGCATAAATCATTCCCGATAGAGTGTACATTATCAATGTATTTATTGGCATATAACCACTTAAATGCATTAATTAAAAATTGAATTATTACATAATTTAGTGCAAGTGAGGCATATGTTGCCTATGGTATGGATACACGCAAATTTTTATCGAGCTAATCCCTCAAAAATAGTGCAATAGCCTTAAAAACAAAGTTAAGCAATGCACACATGTGGGTCCAATAACTATCTAAACTATTCTGCATTTACAAGACGCCCTTCATTACATTGCATGTCACGTGACTGTGCTTATTGAGAAAAGTGAAGTCCAAAAGATCGTGCACCGAAAACCATTTTTGCTGTGAATACTTTATCCTCAAAAACTCTTTTAAAACAATTTTCTGACTCGTACATATTCCACCCAACCGATAATTCAACACGCTTGTAACTTTTGTGTTTTACATAAATAGGTTAGCGATATTTTCGACGATGTAACTTTTATTTCGTCTTTAAGTGAGGATTAACGCTTCATATAATGCAACTATATATCGATGAATTATACAAGGTCTTTGTTGTATTGATAACATCACGAAGTACAAAATGCTATAAATTTTCGATCGCAATGCACTGAGCGAGCGACGTATCAAATACAGCAAAAATACAACAATCTTAATAACTCAAATGACAATCATCGGCACAAACACAAACATCGGTTATTTATCAGCGCGTGCGCAGAAGATATCACAAATATGCAAGCGGTCATTACGTTTTGAAAAATAATTAATTCGTAATCTTTACACAAACAACCAATCAGAAAGTTTAAGATAATTTTAAAACCGCACAAAATTCATAAACCGTTTACTCTAAAACAAATGATCAATACATGAAATTAAATATCCTTTGCGTACCTTTAATCGCCCATGCTCGATTGCAGATCGCATGCCATTCCAGTTCTCGTGCCAGCGAAGATATAGGTTTTTCCGTGCAAGAAATTTGTTTCTAATCCCAAGTTCAACTAGAATTTCACCCCAAAAGCTATTTGACTCTCTGTAAGAGTCGTTTTGGTCGCCAGACACATTTGACATAGCTGCAACAATTGCATTCACGTCAAACGTGTATTTCGATCGACGACCAGCAGTGCGCTGAAAAGCACAAACAAATGCAGTGAATGATAAAAGACATGAACGACCGTAAGACAAGAAGAAACGATAACGTACTTTCATCATTTAACGTTACACGAAAACGAGAAGAGCACAAAAGATTTAAATATAATCCTGAATTAACTTTTCTCGCAAAAGTAATAATTGCTTCGATAATGCAGGAAAACCGTTGACATCAACGATTCAACGGTCAGTCAAGAAAGGCGCAAACACAGGATACAACAAAGGTTTTAAACCGTGAAATTCTTAAAATGACGTTTGCATAAATTAGCATAAACTCAACAATTCGACGAAATAAATAAGACACATATGTTCTAATTATATTGCAACAAATTAATTAGCACAAAAGTGTTGTTCTTTTTATAAGCCGTAGATTCTCTCCTCGAACTTGTGCCACGATAATCAGGACATCTTTCTAATCTTCAGAATCGCATCTTTAAAATGGTATCCAATGAAAAATGATTGCAGCGTGTTTACCACTACTTCAAAATCAGACATAATTACATCTCATTTAAATAACGCACAAATTAATTAAACCAAAAAAGCAAACTCTTTCATAAGCTGCAGAATTGCTCCACGAATTTCGGCCAAGATAATAAAACCATTTTGTAATCCTCAGAACAAGATCTTAAAGCTGATACCAAACAAGAGTATATCGCAGCGTGTTAACTAGTTCAAATCTCGGCATATTTAGAAGTTAGTGAAATAATGCTACATGACAACATGCATATTAATTAACGCAAAAATGCTCTACCTTTCCCAAGCTGTAGATTCGCTCCTGGAATTTGGGCCAGGATAATAACAACATATTTAAAATCCTTGGAACACGCTCTTTCCGATGATATGAAACACAAGTAAATTGTAGCGTGTTTACCGTATAAAAAGCGTAGTATCTTGAATCCTGTGGTACCTTCACAGTCGACTTTGCAGTGCTGTAGATTCGCTCCACGAATTTGGGCCACAAAAGTAAAGATATATTTGAAATCCTCGGAAAACGAACTTTCGGATGTTACCAAACACAAGTATTTTCCAGCGTGTTTATTCGTGAAAATTAGGCCTTTTTAGATGTCAACATTTATGCATTGTAAACATCGCGCAATTAATTAACGTAAAGAGACAAAAGCGGAAGTAGTCTTTAAAAGGCTGTAGATTTGCTCCAAGACTTTCGATCAAAATAAAAATAGTATAATCCTTGTCTAAACAACTTGGTCTTTACAGCGGCACCAAACACGTGTGCATTTTTTGTTTTTTTGTAGCAAAAAATACGGTTTTTTCTATTTTGTTTTCTGAAACTGATGTTATTTAAGAATATTAAAATGAATGTGGTGTCAACTTCACACTTTATGCTAATTTTGAATGTTGTGGTGAATCCTGTGGTGAATGTGAGGATGAATGTCTGGATGATTGTCAGGATGAATCCTGTGGTACCTTCACAGTAGTAAATAAACGCCGGAAAAATCTGATGTCAAAAGAAATACCGGAGATACTTGAAAATCGTGTTACTCTGAGCTAAAACATATCTGGAGTCTTTCATTATGAACAAGATGACAGCTCAACATTACACTTCTATTAAAGCCATTACGACAATAAATTGCAAACAAAAATAAAAGTTTTTTTTTATAAATGACATTTCGTCTTTCACTTAAAACATCTTCAGATAATATGATGAATATTTACGAGAAGCTTTAAATAAAGCAGATATTTACATGGGTTAAATTACATACGAGGAAAGTAGGAAGTTTGGATGACAGGACAGAATAGAAAGGGCAATATACTAAAGAAGGTTAAGGGGATGGTGTTATTTTCAGCAAAAACAAACCAGAGACAAATCGTGAGTTATGCCGTCGTAGACTTTGGTGATACGAGTCGGATACAGAGGGCGATTAGAAGATTGTTCGATTAGTGATGAGCTTGTTGAGTTAAATTTGCAATCACTCACACCTGAGCAAATGTACGTACTGTGCACCGGTAGAAATTCTTTGTGACGTACTACGCTTAAGAGGTCAAGGAATCAGTACTAGTACTTCCAGAAGTTCAACACACAGAATACCAACACGTTTCTATCACATGGTGTGAAGCCAGCTTGCAAGTTTGGCCGCGCTATGTAAATATTTTGGTGTTTTCCGCTCGACTTTAAAAATAAATTTTACCAACACGTTTCTATCACGTGGTGTGAAGCCAGCCTGCAAGTTTGGCCGCGCTATGTAAATATTTTGGTGTTTTCCGCTCGATTGTAAAAACAATTTCTTGAGATTTAAATAATGCAATTGATCTAAAATTTACTGCAGCCAAAAGACAAACGAACAAGTTCGTGCATGTCGAATTTGTAAACATCACAAAATGATTTAATCGTGTTTAGAACAATAAAATAACCGTAGAATCTCAATCACTTGATCAATTGAATTCATACACAATATAAGTTCGCTGAGGTTCATTTGAATTTTCTAAGTCAGTTCAATGTAAGTGACGATAAACTCTTGACTAATTTATTTTAATAAAAGATACTGTCCTACTTTTTACATTTATATCATTTGAAAAATACGAGGTCTTGTACAACAAAGATGGAAAAAATCAGCCGAGGAACAGCGCGTGGATCTGAGCACGTGACCTTCCGCAGATAGCGTAAAGGGAATTCAAATTAGTATTGTGCAGCTTGACATTAGCAAAGTACGTTCGCTACAAGCAGAATACGCTCGTAGAACAAACACTTATCGCATTTCATCAAATAAACTAATATGCTCAGGTGCAAATGTGGCATGGTCAAGTTTCTTTGGGTGCATTAAACTGAATACAAATGGAGGCTACCTTTGATATGGCATGGTCAGGTTTCTTTGGGTGCATTGAGCTGAATACAAATGGAGGCTACCTTTGATGTGGCATGGTCAGGTTTCTTTAGGTGCATTGAACTGAATACAAATGGAGGCTACCTTTGATGTGGCATGGTCAGGTTTCTTTAGGTGCATTGAACTGAATACAAATGGAGGCTACCTTTGATGTGGCATGGTCAGGTTTCTTTAGGTGCATTGAGCTAAACACAAATGGAGGCTACCTTTGATGTGGCATGGTCAGGTTTCTTTAGGTGCATTGAACTGAATACAAATGGAGGCTACCTTTGAAGCCAGTACGATAATGCGCACGTCGCAAAACAAGATTACAACGATAATTTGGGACTTTACCTCGAGCCACGCATGTTTGGAGGCTTCAAGTAAGTGCAGGCGTGTTCTAACTAAAATTAGCTTTCCAATTACATACTCAGTTCAATGGTAACGAGCTGGTTTACGACGAACGCGAACATTAAATGCGTCCTTTATGCTGCATCACGTGATGCGCTTGTGACACGTACCTCCAATTATGTGACCCAATTCAAACTTCACATATACAATAATCTACATTATTCCATATAAGGAACTGACACGTGCAACTATGTCGTAAAGGAGCCCGCAAACTTTCGGGTCCCCACAAACAGGAATCATGGAAATCAAAGCAGGATAAACTGCCGGGAGAATAGGTTTAAATTGCAGGGTTGGAAGGCCAAGCAACGTTTCCAACATGTCGACCGTCAACGCAGTCCACGTTCGCAGTTGCAAAATATCGTCGTTATTTTTTCCCTCAAATTGACGGCGATCAGGTGACGAGCACGTGTCACCTTTCACCATTTCTGGGTAGTCTATCTTTCGCCGTATGATTGGAAGAGAATCGTCACCAAAATGAGAGCGAAGTTTTGACGGGGATGAGTCGGGTGTGGACGTCAAATTTTTCTCGAGAGTTTCGAACTCAAAGCACGTGTAAAGTTTATTGTAGACACCACTCAATTGAGAGCACGCTTCGTGGAGCCTGCGAACGAACCACTCAGCACTTTTTACGTCTCCCAGTTGAGCATCACTGTCCTCGTGAAGGGTACTTTCAGCATCGGGACTTAATTTTCGCTCACCGACGAGAATACGCTTTACCGACGAGACGGACACGTGTTCCCCGTGAAAGCGACATATTTCCAACAACGTTTGAAAATAGAACTTGAAGGCCATCGTGGATTGTCGAAGTAGGTTCGCGGGCGCACGGAGGCGAACGATTATCTGAATCAAAGAGCGAAGACCAAAGCGACTGTTGAAGTCGTACGCCACAGTGTGCGATTCCATCAAGCAGTCGAAGACGATGGAAAAGTTGGCGGGACTCAGATGGTTCAATAAACCGGGCATCGTCGTTTCGCTATCGTAATCATCGCCAGGATGTTTATGAGATATGAATGAGAAAATTTTATCGTCCAATAACATCAAACCAAGGGACTGTAGAAGAAGCTGATGCGCAAGAAGACCAACGACCAGATCGCGAAACGGAATCCTTAAGAAAGGTAATTTGAAATAGCTGTAGTAGTACGCTCGTCATCGTCAGGGCAAATACCCAAAAAGCATATTACAATGACATGCATTCTTATGTATTTTACAAACATTTACTGAAATCCGTCCATTCCACGTCAATGAAAAGGTAACGTATCTACACAAAAGCTGAGCGCCAAAGCCTACAAGTTCCTTTCTTGTGATGAAGTAAGTTTTCTTTCATCTTTTAACACGGCTATGCCGGTCACAAGCCAGGAACGTGTAGGATCAGTCTCTCTACTTTTGTGTAGACTTGTCTCCTTTTCAAAGATGAGATGTGAATCGACTGTGGTCTCCCATTAATAGCGTAACACAATTTAACGAAAAAGTCATGGAGCATGCACATAGAAGTTCGGAGAGATTTGCGTGCTTAAAAACTTTCTAAGTGTTTGCGCAAGTTTGAATGAATGAAAAACATGCCCAGCAGAGATTTATGGATAGCCCGAGTAGCGACTGCTACTTTTCCTTTAAAAAATTTCGATAAAAGAAAATTTTCTGCTCCAATTGATTAAAAGATATACCTGGTGGTGCTCTCTGCACCTTCTTGGCTGTCGCTCGATGAAATGGCGAAGAAAAATGTTCGTTGATCTTCGTCTTCGTCTTCGTTCGTCGGGAATTCGTCATCGCTTTGTTCCAACTCCTCCTCGAGTTGCGATTCAAGCAGGAAAACCTTGTGGAAGAAAGACGGAAATCTCCATGAGATGAATTTGGTTCGACGAGAAAAAAAACACAATTATTGATATTCAAAACAGACGCTTGTTCTAAACAAGCGTTCACTCGGGATACTCAAGATCAGAGTTTATATTTGCGCATTGTAATAGTTGCAAAATAGCACAAGAAATTCAAGCAATGCAAACTGAGGTATGACAATGTATTATTTTGTAAATCGTGTTTTATCATACGTGTCGTTAGTGACACTCGCGCGAGAAAGGATCCAAGAAAGATTTTGATTGGTTTAAGGACTTTGTGTAAGTCAAGCGCGCAAGAGCAAAGAAAAATCTGAATACTACATGTTTTATCGACCTGTTCAGCCAACTGACCATGACGGATGGTCTGTTCCCATGATGCATCACGACGGGTTAGAACCCTTACGCGATATCCGTCATCGCCGCTGACGTTACTCGAGCCCGCTTGATAACAGAGTATCAGGCGTTTCACAGGAACGAGTGTTGCTCGCATCGCTGCACGCAATCCCTCGCAAATAATCTTCCAGATGTCTTCGTTGAAGAGCGAGCCACCAGACAATAGCAAATGCCTTAAAAACAAGAAAACGTTTCAACAAATCCAAACGAAAAAAAACAATTCAATTTGTTCAGTTGACTAATAGGAAGACTTCCTTCTTAGATCAAAACTGTCTTCCAAAGGTTAAAATTGGTACTTTTTGCTCTTCGTACAGAGTTTTCACCTGACTTCAACTCCTTAACCTTTCGCTGCCATATATTGAACTTTTTAGGGACAGGTGAATCTCATAATGTACAAGGAGATCGTTAAGTAACAAGACATGAAAACAGCATGCGTTTTTATTTGGGAAGGTTTACTCTAGTTTCTAGTCAGTGTCAGTCGACAAAAATATAACGCTCTCCAAAAGAGCATCATCTTGTAAACTCAAGATTCGTGTTCCATTAGCAAGGGACAATAATTAAAAACAACGTTTCGACTTTATTTCGAAGTCCTCATCAAAAATCGAAACATTGCTATAAAATCTTGTCTCTTGTTAACACAACTCGAATCTCGAGTTTACAAGATGATGCTTTTTCGAGTATGTTTTATCTTTTATTTCTTTAAATTTTGTTGGTGGAAAAGGTCTTTTTCGGCTGATATCAAGACCCTCCTCTGTGGGTGACGCTGTGAGAGAGTTTCGTCATTACTCATAAACGCCTTTAATTGCTTTCTACATTGAGATTAGTTGGAGGGGATTTACCCCACACAAAGGGTGTGCAACCGTTTAAAACACCGCACTAAATCCATACCTGAAGATACTGTGTATAACTGCATTTCGTTCATATTGAATGCAGTCAACAAGACGACGTGTCAATCACAGCCTTCTTCAAAACGGGTTGGAGAGAAAATTTATGATCAATGAGAAAAGTTACGGTTATTTACCTGAAGCAAGAGCATCCTACTCTTGCTATCACCTCGTTCGCCTGCGACACGGCAAGTTTTAAAAGATCCAACACTTCCTGCATCAACGTCAACACGCATTCTGGTGCCCCTGAGAACACGTTCAACATTCATTAATTCTGATGGGGAAAATTGGCACTGGGAAAAACACAAGGAAATATAAATCGAAGTTTCAACGACGGCATTGTCTGAAAACCTTAACTGGAACGTACACAAATTTCTACTATGAGCAAACGGAATACGAAAAAACTCCAACTTTAACATCACATGTAAACAGAATGCTGGAGCATATGAGGACTCAAATCTTAACATACAACCTCTTCTGATAAAGAATCAAGTTTCAATATTATGCCACTCCTGATAAAAGACACTGGACTGGAGTGCAAAAATACACATCCAAGTTTCAACAGATCACTTCTGATGAAAGCAAAATGCTGAAGACTGTACAAGCGCATATGAGAACAACACTTAACACCAAGTTATTCAAAATGAAAACACTAGATCAGAGTGCGTATAAGACTGAAGTTTCAACACCAGATCACCCCTGATGAAGACACCGCACTGGAGTATAAAAGGACTAAAATTTCAACATCAGATCACTCCTGTTGAAGACACTATAGACTAGAGTATAAAAGGATTCAAGTTTCAACATCTGATCACTCTGAATGAAGACATTACACTGGAGTATGTAAGAACTAAAGTTTCAACATCAAATCACTCTTGATGAAGACACTAGAGTGGAGTATAAACGAATTCAAATTTGAACATCAGATCATTTCCGATTAAAGCACTCGATTAGAGTAAAAAACGTGAATTTTCAACATATATCTTCTGCTGGAAGCAAGTGAATATAATCCTCTACAAAACACTGTAGCAATAATAAATCATACATGAAATTTCCAAATTTACATCATACCTTGGAGGCTCAAAAATCGCCCCATTTCTCTCACAATAAGTTCCGTCATCAACCCGCATGCCTGTTTGAAGTTGCTCGCCGTTCGTTGCCAGTATTCGGAGGTGAGTGTCCCCCTCTCCAGCCAGTTATGAAGCATTGGTAGCAACAAGTTGGTGCAGACGAGGATGGAGAAATGGGGACCTGGGACCGAAGAGATCGAATATAGCACATCGAACAACATATCAAGAGCCTGGAGCTGAAACTTCCCGGGACAAGTGATTACGGTCGACGACAAAACGTCCAAGGTCAGATACCACACGCGCAATATGCCACTGTCATCCATCGTAGTAACGCTGCTAGCGTAGCCGGACGATGGAGTTGAAGGATCTTCGACTGTGTCAACCTTCGACATGATGGGAAGCGATGGTGATGACAATGAACTATCATCCATCTTTACCGAGTGAGATCCGTGAAAGATGACGTTGGCGGGTTTCACGTAAATCGATGCCAATCTCTCAGAAATCTTCGACAGCAGATCCAAAGCAGCAACGCACATATCACCGTAAGGTCCTTCGCTCACATTGCTGGAGGTCTCGCTTTCGTGAGGACTTCGGTCGTCGCCAAGACCATCTTCAGAACCGGTCGACAAATGCAGACATTTGGATAAACACAAAATGCAGTTGACCGCTGCCTGGGAAAACACCAGCGCTCCTTTGCTGTTGATAAATAATGTGACAATCTCCAAAATTTTGGGCATTGGAACTTCTTGATCAGACACCGGAGTACGTGGTGGCGGTGACACACGAGTTGCGCCAGCTGCAGAGCAGATGGATCGCCATCCAGATTTGATGACCCCACCGTTAGTGCGAGCAATTTCACAGAGCATCTGCAGAACCTAAATTATGCATGCGTAGAGCAAACAAAAGAAAATATTAATATGTTTGCTATCACCAATTAGGCAATTTGAGATACTTTACCGCCTTCCTCAATATACAACTCTCCCTTTTCCTCATTATTCAGATGTATACACAAGTTCCACATGTATACTCCACCCTCCCCAAAAAAATATACAACTTTCCCTCTTTCTCCATATACAACTTTCCTTACACACAATTTCACTTCGCGTACAACTTCTTCTATGAACAACTTTTCCAACATACAACTTCCCACACTTAAATTTTCTCACATATTCAATGCCCACGTAAAAATTCTCCTTTATTTAACTTTTCTTAGTACAACTTCACCCACAATACAACTTCTCACATGTACAACGTCCCCTATGGACAACTTCTCACATGTACAACTTCCCTATGGACAACTTCTCACATGTACAACTTCCCTATGGACAACTTCTCACATGTACAACTTCCCCTATGGACAACTTCTCACATGTACAACTTCCCCTATGGACAACTTCTCACATGTACAACTTCCCACATGTACAACTTCCCTATGGACAACTTCTCACATGTACAACTTCTCACATGTACAACTTCCCACATGTACAACTTCCCCTATGGACAATTTCTCACATTTACAACTTCCCTATGGACAACTTCTCACATGTACAACTTCCCACATGTACAACTTCCCCTATGGACAACTTCTCAGATGTACAACTTCTCACATGTACAACTTCCCCTATGTACAACTTCCCCTATGGACAACTTCTCACATGTACAACTTCCCCTATGTACAACTTCCCCTATGGACAACTTCCCACATGTATAACTTCCATATGCACAACTTTCCCCATCTACAACTCCACTGTCTTTCCTCAACACCTGAATTTGAACAGGAAAATCCATACATTTGGAAGATTCTACATTCTCATACGCTTTCCCACTCAAAATAAAAAAACAAAAACAAACCTTGTCTTCATGCTCAATATCCAATTTGCCAGACATCAAAATGGTCGAGAAAGGTTTAAACAGCATCTCGTGAAACCAAAAATGAGCTATTTCATTGCGATTATTCAGTACAACGAATAACGTGTCCTTCATGAGATCCAAGGAGAGCTGGAACACCTTGTTGTTGCTGTCGACCATCAACTACGAAAGAAAACAACACTTCAGAGGAGAAGAGAAATGACCTTCAAACATTTACCGGGAATGGTGACTTATTAGGAGCATTGTGTACATGTTATGATAACGGATGGTTACGACAGAAAAGATCTTTAGGCATTGGTAAATCTAGGGCACGTGAAAATCAAAACAAAGCCAACAGCTTGTTCATGAAGGCATTTTTAAGGTTTATTAAGAGTACTTAATGCAATATATGTTAACAAAAAAATCGACCGACAAACTTCACGCATGTCTTGTCTTTAGGTAGTGGCAAATTTAGGGTACGTGAAAATTAAGGCAAAACCAACAGCTTTTTCATGCAGGCATTTTAATCTTAATTAGACACGTGACATTTGCTGAACGTTTTTCTCTCTTTCTCCTCGTGAGCTTCAGAGATTTCATCTTTCATTGTTGGTTGAACATCATTTCTTCATGAATTTCAATTGAGATCAAACTATAGCTGAATGCATGCCTAGTATACAAACTGACGATAGCCTTCATCCAGCCAGTGGCAAAGACACATGATTTGAATCATCCGATGTCGTTATAAATCACAAATAGGATGTTACCTTTACAAAATACCTCGAGACGGTCGACCACACTTTCATCAAATGTAAAAGAGGTCGTCTCGCGTCTCTTGTACAACGCAACACAACATCGATCATTCTGCAGAAATGGAGGTTGGAGGAAAGAGGACATTTCACAGATACGACTGCGTGGGGTTCGCGCAATAACACGTCCATTGTACCACCAACCAACTGGTCAGCAGATGCCTCGGCAAGAGACTCCAGCATCGAAACCAAGGCATCGGAGCTCAAGGTGTTTGCAGCATGTTCGAACAAGCGATCGACCGAGGTAGACAGGGCGTATATCGCACGCGTTGCATCCGTTGGATTTAGAACTTGAGTCGCATCTGGCGCGCACTCCTGATGGTGTCGGACAACGTCCGAGGCGCTTCCTCCGATAGCGTATCTGGACTAGGTACTTCGGAGGCGGACGACGCGTCAGAAATCGGGGAAGGTACTTCGACAACTTTCGACGACGGGCTCGCGTATCGCGAGACCGTTGAAGCATATTGAGAATTCTGAAGGCCAGCAATGTATGTGCAACATCTAGAAACAACACAAGATGAGGTCGTGTCGGCACAGGGGTGGCCCAACAGTTTTCATTTTTCGAACGCAAACATAACCAAAAAAAATCTTTCGCTTATGAGTCGACAAATATGAAATTGATTCTTAATTGGCTGAGTTGACTAAATGTCGATGTGTTGATGGCAAGCTTCTCAATGCTCGATCAGTAATCTCACCGTTTGAAACATGCATCGGCCCAGGCCTGAACTATTTAATGCACTCAGCCATCATTCAAGCACGGACAGCACGAGTGGTTAATTTTTTTCTATACTTCTTTCACCTGTACTATGTAACTAAGATTACTCATTGGGATCTCATATTTTTAACCTGAAGCATTACTAATCTTTAAGGTAATACGTTTTCTGGAAGCCAAAAAACATTCAAAAAATTCAAACTGTCTCTTCTCAGGAATCAAGGTCGGTAGAGTTAGACATCCTCAACCTCCTGCCCATAACATTTTTCAACTTTTCAACATTATAAAATATTTCAGGGGGCAGACTTGGTGCAAGTCTAATAATGACAACCCTGCTCTGTTTCCGTGAAGGCAGCTCTATACCGGAGTTTCTGGTCTTCGTTGCAAAAATTATTGCGTCAAGCACTTCAGCGGTCCGCATACAAACCTAAACACGTGCTTCCAGCATTTCGGAGCATGACTTCCCAAATCCAGGCCAACGGCCAACAGGGCGTCCATTGTCAGCACGTGAGCTGCATGCAGCTTCATCCTACTTTTCACGTGAATAGCTTTTGGTTTGAAACTGGAGCCGCCGCAAGAAACGTTGGCAAGTTGAGATAGAACTGTTTCACATCCTGTTTGAATACCTGTTCGAGGAAGAATATTGTTAAAACAAGGATAAGACAGGCATACGATAAATGTTGAATGAATGAGATACATAGAGGATACATGTGGGATACATATTGGACACATGGATGACACATATTGGATATACGGGGATACATATTGGATACATGGATGATACATATTGGATACATGGATGATACATATTGGATACATAGATGATACATATTGGATACATGAATGATACATATTGGATACATGGATGATACATATTGGATACATATGACATATTGGATACATGAATGACAAATTGGATACATAGATGATACATATTGGATACATGAATGATACATATTGGATACATAGATGATACATATTGGATACATGGATGATACATATTGGATACATAGATGATACATATTGAATACATAGATGATACATATTGGATACATGGATGATACAAATTGGATACATAGATGATACATATTGGATACATGATGACAAATTGGATGATACATATTGGATACATGGATGATACATATTGGATACATAGATGATACATATTGGATACATGAATGATACATATTGGATACATAGATGATACATATTGGATACATAGATGATACATATTGGATACATAGATGATACATATTGGATACATAGATGATACATATTGGATACATGATGATACATATTGGATACATAGATAATACATATTGGATAGATGGATGATACATATTGGATATATGGATGATACATATTGGATACATGGGGAATGGGGATACATATCAAATAAATGGCAAATTATGTGGACATAGCTATACTATACTATATTAGATTCAAAACGTCTGTGCTATATTTAATGTCTGAAACGAAAAATTATGAATTTAAAAGAGTGTATAATAGATACAAGGTGGACATATGCCAATCAGGCGACATGCTTTTAATTCAAGGATGGTAATGATAATATGTAATGGATTCGGTGGTAGATTGGATTATACTTACCCAGCGTACAAAAGAGGCGGGCTATTCGTCTTAGTCCATCAAGACTTGTGCAAACCGAATCCCTCTCTTTAGGTTGCGGTTTCCTTTCATCGGATGCCACAGCCAGCGCTATTCCAATGTTATCTTGAACTGTAAAAACATGTATAGACAAAGGTTCAATAATACAATGCGCCTACGATACGAACAACGACTTTCGTAATGGTAAAGAAATTTTGATCGAATCTTCATTCGCGCGCGAAAATGTGCGGCTCAGGCTATGTAATAAAAAAGAGTTATTACCAGCGGTTAAAAATGCACAGGACAGTCTCTTAAATTTATCTTCAAACCCACCGCTTAACTAGATCTAGTACTGTTTCTAGATAATTACCAATGTCTGATGAAGGGGATTCGATGGGAACTCGAAGTACTTCAAGAAGCGACTCCCATGTCAATAAGAGAACACGACGAACAAATTTCCCGCCTTGTCTTTGAATGGCGGACATTGCCCTCTCCTCCATGACATGGATGAAAATCGGATCGTTTATTTTCGGATTATTGTCCGTATTCCTTGGAGCCTGACTATTGTCCGACAATAGCTCGATGAGAGCGCGATTCAAACTGACATCGTCGGCCCTGTATCCGGCTTTGGTTAGAATATCGTAGGTTGTCACAAGGCGATAAAGTTCTCCAAGCCATACCGAGGAAAGACCAACCTCCACACCACAGTTGTTTATGCTTCTCACAAAGCTCTCCTGTTACAGAAAAATGTTTTCAGCTTTGTTAAACAATTGGATGGAAGAAAAATTCCCACTTTATTGGTAACTCGTTCAAGCTTTACCACTTTATAAATAGCTTTCTCTGAGTTTCGTAATGTGTTAAAAAATTTGTTGTAAGTTTCCAAGTTTGATAATGAAAGTTTCCTGATTTGTTCATGAGTGCTTTCAAGTTTCCTACCATGTTCATAACGCTTGAAGTTCCCACATCACCCAATCTTTTAACAGCTTGTTCTAAGTATCCAACTTTCTTAAGAACTTTTTCCACTGTTCCACTTTCTTAATAACTTGTTTTAAGTGTTTCACTTTCTTAAAAACCTAAGTTCCCTACTTTGTTAATAACTTGTTCTAAGTTCCCTACTTTGTTAATAACTTGTTCTAAGTTCCCTACTTTGTTAATAACTTGTTCTAAGTTCCTTACTTTGTTAATAACTTGTTCTAAGTTCCCTACTTTGTTAATAACTTGTTCTAAGTTTCCTACTTTGTTAATAATTGTTCTAAGTTCCCTACTTTGTTAATAACTTGTTCTAAGTTTCCAATTCTGTTACTAACATGCTCTAGGCTTAGACTTTCTTAATAACTTATTATAAAGTGCCTATATCACCCTTAGGGAAATTGTCTATTTAGATAAAGTTGAGTATTTTAAGAACATTTGCAATATATTTTATAAGTCGAAAATTTGATCTTCCTTGACTTTTGGGGGGTCAAAGTTGGCTTTTTTCGTGTTTGACCGTGAGGTGCTGTAACTGGGTCTAGTTCACCGGACGTGACGTATATTGGAAAGCACGCTGCTTTTGAACGCTGTAGTTTATAGCGAAGTCAAGAAATTTATTTTTTATTAAACTTGAGTTATATTGTGCACTTTGTTATTGAATCACACTGCAATTCTATAGCGTTAAAAAGCACCGTGTTCTCCAATGTACGTTACGTCCGGTGAACTAGACCCAGTCACTGTACCTCACGGTCAACACGAAAAAAGGCAACTTTGAGGTCCAAAAAGTCACTGAAGATCAAATTTTTATCTTATAAAATATGTTACAAATTTTCTTAAAATATTCAACTCTATCTAAATAGATTATTTCCCTGAGGGGGATATAGGCACTTTATAAGTTTCCCCCACTTTCTTCATAACTTGTTCTAGGTTTCCTACTTTGTTTAATAACTTATTTTAAGTTTCCTACTTTGTTTAATAACTTGTTCTGAGTTTTTCATTTTGTTCACGCATTGTTCTAAATTTCCCACTTTCTTAATAATTTGTGAAAGTTTCCCAATTCGTTCATGACGTTTTTAAAATTTCTCCTATTTTTTGATAACTTGACCAAAGTTCCTCGCTTTGTTAACAACTTGTACAGAGGTTCTCATTTAGTCAATAACTTGCCGAAAGTTTCCACTAACTCGTTCTAACTTTCACACTCGGTTTACAAATTACAAATACCTTAAAGTATCCTACAACTATTCCTTATAAATCTTTCAAAGTTTTCTACTTTAATCAAAAACTTATTTGAACTCATACCAGTGTAAAGAGGTCGCTGTCCTCCGGTCTTTTACTGTAATATCCAGAACGATGCAACTTTAAATTCAACTTGAGAGTTGCATACACCGCTGCATAGACGCAGTCCGCGTTCAGAATTGGATAATGCAAATATGACTTCGCCCCTTTTCCCGAAGTATCATCGAGAAGATCGGACGAGCCACGAAGAGTTCCGAAGTTCGGAACGTTCTTACGCTTAAGTGCCATACAAGTGACAGCTTCGCAAACATCAGATGCAAACTGCTGCAAAGCTTCGTCTACCGCTGCAGGATCGTGAAGGCTCAAAACCGATGGGAGAATACCCAGAAGACATCGCGCAAAGTTGCGCGCACCCTCTCTCGTTCTCTTCCACGGATTTCCGTTTCTCGATGACTTTGTCCGGGCCTGGAGACACATGTTCTGGGGAAGCCTGGGAGCGAGTATCACGCGATCGACTGACGAGGATTCCGTTAATCTTAACCACGCCTTGTTTCTTGTTGCCGACGTCAATGATTGCAGAATTTGTGAGTATCCCTTTAGGTTTCTCAGAAAATTCACCATCCAAGACATGATTGGGTTGTTGATTCGTCTTTCTGAGAATAGACCTGGAAATGGCCGACCGTCTCTCGTGTTCGTCATCAGTATCCTCGGCGGTCGGCAAGTTACCGACATCTGAATTCAAACGATGCAATTTTTGTCTGCCATCCTTGGACGCTTTAGAATATAAGGGATCGCCATTAAGACGGCGTCGTTCACTGAAATTGAATATGCGATGCTTTAAGACCGTGCGTAAAAGAACCTGTAAGGTTAAAATTTCTTATCGATACGCCTTCACATACGGACATGTTCAGGCTAAGATTTTAATAAGGTTCTTCTTTTATTCTTAGCACCCCAAGAGTTGAAGCTAAAATATATAACTCAAGCAAAACAAACTCTTCACAAGGTAATGAAAATGACCCGGCCAGCAGTTAGAATCCTAAATCAGAAATATACTGTTTCATTCTGTTTGGTTTAAAGACGCGTACAGTACTTTTTTAAGTTTGGGCATTATCTACGTAAATCCTTCCTATACACCAACAAGAAAGGATTCGCCTTTTCTTTAGAAATTGAGATCCTATTTAAGAACATGTCTAGCCTTATATAGCGACGAGCACCATCAAGAACCTGTTTAGGATAACCTGAAAAATCTATATTTTTACGGTAGGCTTTGAGCTTTGAACACATTGTAATGCATTATCTTTATTGCAATGGGACAATACACTTACTTTGCAACAGGCTTTGTCTTGGACTTGCTGTCGAACGATGCCGAACGTTTCACGACACCTGGTCTCGAAGGTGACGACGCGATGCGACGAGGTAAGCCACCGGCTCTCCGAGGCACAACCACACGTGACTTTTCACCATAGCGACCAAGTCTCTGGTCTTCCCGATTTTCGATCGTAAATTCCTCTTCGAGATCTTCGGCAAAATGGACGCTCTTATGATGGTTTGGAAAACTGCCTTCGTTTATAGCTATAAATGCACGAAATGCGTGGGTAGATTTCACTAGGAGTAAACGCCGGTCAGTGTCTTGTAGAAAATATGCACAAGGGTTTAGACCAAAGTTTGGAAGTAATATTTAATGCAGTAAGATTTTGAATAAACAATAATATATTTCAATACACATACCAAATAACGAATAAACTATGTCTGCAAATTACATTTACAAATCTTTGAATTGTTTTTCAGGTTTAATCCAGAAATCAAGGACTTTTTATAAAAATGTCAGAGCTCAAACGTGGATTCGGATATTGGAAAAGACAAGCATGTCTATTTAATGAAGATGACCGTTCGATACAATGACCTAGAACCCAATTTACCAGATGCCAGACTCGGCCTAAATTCTACAGTCGCAAGTTAGGCCAGCCGCCATCTTCAAATGTGGCAAAACTGACGATTTTAAGACTGATAACTGCTTTTCCCGAGTTGATGCACAGTTGCAGAGTTGATAGTCTAGGTTTGGTTTTTAAAATGTTTAAGAGGATTGGTTTCTTTTAACTTAACTTTGAGTTTTTCAGTTCTTTCTGTACATCTATTCAATTCCATGTTGTATTTTTCGTGGAGAGTCAACCCAACGGCGTACCGGGGTTACAGGGGCGGTCGGTATATTTTCAATATCGAATGACTTAAGTGTTTACTTATTCATCCAACTTTCCAACGAACATTGCCCGACTGCCCTTGTCATCTGTCCAGAGGCAATACGCCCCTGGTTGATAGTACAGCGGTATTCGTAGTGTGGATAAATTAACCAGTTACAAAACGTTCTCTTAGATACAGCACGAAATCAAACTAATTTAAAAGAATTTAAAAGAGAAAGAAGATAGTGAAGATTGTAAAACTTACTCTCTTGTTCACTGCCATCTGGATTGGTGCGACTTATATCCCATAACTTATCTGTACTAGCAAACTTCTCGTTGACCATATCGAAGTCCACTTGATCCAAAGATAACTCCACCTAATAAACAAAGAAGTGCGGTGTTGCAGTTGCGAGAGACTATCTAAGATAGACTATTTCTGTTAAGACAGACATCTTTCGTACAAAGTATATACATGTTTATTTGAATGTCTGCTTCATCTTAATTATCCTTCCTTTAACTTCGTTATATAAAGGATTTATATTATTTATAATCTCTGATGATGGCTTCGGAATTAACTTCATTAAATGCATGATAAAGCTACCCGAATATTCCCGATTGTTATGCGGCATAAATAAATGCTATTGATTGTCGACTAGTGCTCTTCATTGTTACTTCATGTTAATGAATATTCTACAGCGCTATTGAAGTCAAAGCGTGTAATTGAATGTGCAAAGTGCTCTAATGATGAGGACTCCAGTCAAATGTCTCCGTCAAGAGTAATCTTACGTAGAAGCTTGAGACCTTATATACTCCGCTTTAGTGTCTCCACCAGGAGTTATCTGATGTCGAAACTTAGTCCTTATATGCTATACAGTCTAGTGTCTTCATCAGGAGTTCTATGATGTCGAACGTGATCTGATATTGCAAGATGAGCACTTATATACACTTCAACTTCATCAAAATTCATCGCATGTTGAACTTTCAGTACATTTATACTGCAGCTCGTGGTCTTTATAAATGTTAATTAATCAGAGCGTCATCTTTCAAAAAAACATTTTATCAAGTAAGACCGAATCCTGATGCAGAGTTCTTTCGCATTCCTTTACAATGTCTTTGTTGATCTGATACGCGCTTCAAAACAGTAAAGATGATTTCAACACACCTGTTTACGAGCAGAAAGTGCCGGGGATCCTTCATCCACTCCACAGAGTAAATTTAACTTCCCATGATGCACCTCAATGTTGTCATCCTCATCAAAAGCTTCGTTGGCTAGAGTGAACTTGGGGATGGTCTGAGACGAGTCGTCGCTGACGTTGGTAGAGTTCTCCGTTCGAATCTTTTCCCATCCATCGACATATTCAACATTTTTCAACAGCTTTATCTGTTCTTGCGACAGACCCTCGCCTTGGCTCAGTTCTTCGAGCGAGCCGAGAAGTGCGACAACACAAATGACACTTCCTCCCACGACACTCGAATCGCCAGACTGGGAGCACTCAACAATACCATCGAGCAAGCTGCAGCGAGAAAATCTAATGAGTATCAAGTTATGCCAGATAATGTGTTAATGGGTGACATATTTTAGCAGATAGCTTGTTAATGTGTAATACAAAATACCAGATAGGGTGTTAATGTGTAATACAATACACCAGATAACGTGTATATGTGTAATACAATAAACCAGATAGCGTGTTAATGTGTAATACAATATACCAGATAGCGTGTTAATGTGTAATACAATACACCAGATAGCGTGTTAATGTGTAATACAATACACCAGATAATGTGTTTTGTGTAATACAACATACCAGATAGCGTGTTAATGTGTAATACAATACACCAGATAATGTGTTTTTGTGTAATACAACATACCAGATAGGGTGTTAATGTGTAATACAATACACCAGATAACGTGTATATGTGTAATACTTAAACCAGATAACATGTTAATGTAATACAATAAACCAGATAACGTGTTAATAATGCACCAGATAGGTGTTAATGTGTAATACAACACCAGATAACGTATATGTGTAATACAATACACCAGATAGCTCAATGTAATAAAATAAACCAGATAGCGTTTAATGTAAACAACCAGATAGCTTTAATGTAATACAATAAACCAGATAGCGTGTGTAACAATATACCAGATAGCGTGTTAATGTGTAATACAATACACCAGATAGCGTGTTAATGTGTAACACCAGATAATGTGTTTTGTGTAATACAACATACCAGATAGGGTGTTAATGTGTAATACAATACACCAGATAATGTGTTTTTGTGTAATACAACATACCAGATAGCGTGTTAATGTGTAATACAATACACTAGATAGCGTGTTAATGTGTAATACAATACACCAGATAATGTGTTAACGTGTAATACAATATAGAAGATAACGTGTTAATGTATAATACTTTACACCAGATAACATGTTGATAAGTAGATGGCGTGTTAATAAGAAAAAGTTATAATACCAGATACTACCCATTTGCTCATCATTAGAACACGTTAGATACTACATTACACGCTTTGACTTAACAACTCTTGATTGTTACTTCATGTTAATGAATATTCTACAGCGTTATTGATAAGTCAAAGCGTGTAATTGAATATCCAATGTGCTCTAAAGATGAGAAAATGATGTATGTTAATGAGTAAACATCATACCAGATAGTGTGTTGAGAAATACATCATACTAGATAGTGTATTAATGAGTAATACATAATACCACATAGTGTGTAACTGAATAAAACGTCCCACTACATGGTGTGTAACTGTATAAAACGTCACACTACATGGTGTGTAACTGAATAAAAGTCACACTACATGGTGTGTAACTGAATAAAACGTCACACTACATAGTGTGTAACTGTATAAAACGTCACACTACATGGTGTGTAACTGAATAAAACGTCACACCACATGGTGGGTAACTGAATAAACGTCCCACCACAAGGTGTGTAACTGAATAAAACGTCCCACCACATGGTGTGTAACTGAATAAAACGTCCCACTACATGGTGTGTAACTGAATAAAACGTCACACCACATGGTGTGTAACTGAATAAAACGTCACACAACATGGTGTGTAACTGAATAAAACGTCCCACCACATGGTGTGTAACTGAATAAAACGTCCCACCACATGGTGTGTAACTGAATAAAACGTCACACCACATAGTGTAACTGAATAAAACGTCACCACGTAGTGCTGAATAAAACGTCACACCACATAGTGTGTAACTGAATAAAACGTCACACCACATAGTGTGTAACTGAATAAAACGTCACACCACATAGTGTGTAACTGAATAAAACGTCCCACTACATGGTATGTAACTGTATAAAACGTCACACTACATGGTGTGTAACTGAATAAAACGTCACACCACATGGTGTGTAACTGAATAAAACGTCACACCACATAGTGTGTAACTGAATAAAACGTCACACCACATAGTGTGTAACTGAATAAAACGTCACACCACATAGTGTGTAACTGAATAAAACGTCACACCACATGGTGTGTAACTGAATAAAACGTCACACCACATAGTGTGTAACTGAATAAAACGTCGCACCACATAGTGTGTAACTGAATAAAACGTCACACCACATAGTGTAACTGAATAAAACGTCACACCACATGGTGTGTAACTGAATAAAACGTCACACCACATAGTGTGTAACTGAATAAAACGTCACACCACATGGTGTGTAACTGAATAAAACGTCACACCACATAGTGTAACTGAATAAAACGTCACACCACATAGTGTGTAACTGAATAAAACGTCACACCACATAGTGTGTAACTGAATAAAACGTCACACCACATAGTGTGTAACTGAATAAAACGTCACACCACATAGTGTGTAACTGAATAAAACGTCACACCACGTAGTGCGTGACTGAATAAAACGTCACACCACATAGTGTGTAACTGAATAAAACGTCACACCACATGGTGTAACTGAATAAAACGTCACACCACATGGTGTGTAACTGAATAAAACGTCACACCACATAGTGTGTAACTGAATAAAACGTCACACCACATAGTGTGTAACTGAATAAAACGTCACACCACATGGTGTGTAACTGAATAAAACGTCACACCACATAGTGTGTAACTGAATAAAACGTCATACCACATAGTGCGTAAAAACTTCCAATAACTTTCTAATTTTAATAAGATAGATAGATCGCTATCTATCGGTTACAGGCGCTAACCTCTTCAGCTGCTGAATAGTATCGACTTAATAGTCTCTTCAGCAACGCAATAAAATGAATTTAAAACATCTTTCACAATCCACTACCAGTGAATTATATCGATCGAAATACGTTGATGGGATGTTATAAGAGCTAACGCAGGACCATTTTTTTGGAACACAAACTTACTCCAACGAAAACAATACCATTGGTTTATTTCTATGATGAAATCACTAGCCAATCAGGCGCCGTTTTTGATCACGATGTATTCTCCAATCATATTTACCTTACAAAAGCAGCACGATTCACGTGATACTGTATTTTCAAACGCAATAAGCTCAATACGCAAACATCAATTTCGACGCAAAGAACTTACACTTTCAACAGATCTTCTTCAGATTTCTTCTGCTTCGTAGGTGAGTCGGGAGTCGACGGGACAGCGGTATCCGGTATGACAGGCCCGGCAATATGTACGACATGACTGGGACTGGCTAGAATCTAAACATGAAAAGATCATTGCAGCGTTTATTCAAAATAGTGGCCAAGTATTTGAAAGGCGGAAAGCAAATTTTCAAGATACGAAGATGGCTATTCGCAAAACAACAGCAATACAACGCTTGCGCTGATTGGTCCATAGCTGAGTTGGCATTAGCCTGTGCAAACCGAAATGAGCTCAATCAATTCGATCAATTAAAGAGAGTTTGCAGCTAAATCATCAATATATGACCTTGATGTTTGCACTGATCTGCTCTGGAGTTCTCCCAAAGGTCTCCACAGGTTTGCATAAACCTGTGCAAACACAGTACACATCTTTTAATTGTTAATTGTTTAACTGTCTTGCTTAAGTTTAAAGCCGCATGCAAATAGATATTATTGCATCCAGAGGCATAACTAGAACGTTAATTGGGGGAGTGTATATTCATATATTCAGTTGTGGCCTACTGATTTCTTTTGAAATTCAAATCACTTTCAAAAGAAATAAGTAGGGCACAACGGAATGTAAGAATATGCACCTCCCGAATTAACGTTCTAGTCACGCCTCTGATCCGAAGATCGTTTAAGTTAAAGACTAAACATCATCAATAAAAACCTTTTTTGTTATCGCTCTACTGAAAACTATACGTTGAAATGACATCACTTTTCCAATTTCCTCTTCAACAAACTATCGGCTAAACTTACGTCTGTGACTGCCTTCAATGCCTCGGTTCTCTGCTGCGGAGGAGGATACAGCAGGATTCGATGGAACAGAGAGTCGAGTACAGGCCGCATCGTGCTCATTGGTCCAACTAATCGAATCAACTCCTTGGAAATACGGTAAATGATTTGCGCGGGAGATTGAAGAAGCTTCGATTTGAGAGGCGAACCGAGACTTCGAGCCCCGCGTCCTCCGTTTTCGGGATAGGCACCGGGAGTTTTGTTTTTCGCGCCAACATCACTGATTGGGCTGCCAAGAAGATGGATCATGGTGGGACATAAGTATTGCCTTAAAACAACACAAATGATGAAGGTTAAATTTATGTGTGCACCACATTCCTGTAAAGATTAGAAGGTAGAGCTCTCTCCTGCACCCACCAATAGCATTAATCATACATGTGTTATTTACCAGCTGAGAGGTGTGAGAAACTTTATGTTATTTTAGAGAAGATACTAATCACGTGGTTTTTGTTTTTTAAATGACGAGAGAAAAGAACGATGCTGTTACGGTGCTTATAAATGTATTTTCTTTGTTATGATGATTAAACCAAAAATATCTATCTGCGAGTGTGAGTAAATTTGAAAACTTCGAAGAAACATTTCCTTATTTCAGAGAGAGTTACGTACTGAAAAAATATTTTCACGAGGTCTCATAAGCGGCCATCTTGGAAAAACATTTTTTCAGTTGAGACCTATCCAAGTAACGTTTTTACTTTTGATTTTATAATCACGCAAATTCGCGTGGCTTTTTGGGAGTAAAGCCGAACTGTTTACTCAAAAGTTCATATCTTCTACGCAGTAAAGTTCACTCTCGTAATGATAAATATCATGTTGCACATTGCTTCCTCCTTGAATAATTCACATGGCTTTTAAAACCGACAATAAAAATATAAATATCAATTTGTAAGCAAATTTGCCGCGACAAATAACGCTTTTTGACCACGGCCGAGATATCGTAAAAAGCCGCCCGCGACTACAGTAAATCAGATTGCATTGATTTACAGCCAATCAGATTGTCTGTAAAAAGGCATGTGTGAATAAAAAAATTATAAACAAGGTTTTTAATGTGCCAGCCTCACTTCTAAATATCCACAAAATTCATGTTCTCACCATACAACATTAATCAAATCCTTCTGCTGTCTGATGGCGACGGACAAACTTGACAAAAGCACGTACACAGCCTCCAAGCATAAGGACAGCTCGTCACTTTGTTGGGACGTACTTCCACCGGAACGAAAAGATATTAATGGATAAATGGATATATTGCTCAGTGCAACTGTTATAAAGACTATTACACGATCATCGTTGGCACGAAATATTCATTATTTAACGAGATGTGGGGAACTAGGAAATTATAGAAATCATTGACTGACTTATGATACTCGCCATTCGAAATTATAAATTTTCTAACTAGGTGTGTACACTAGGAGATTACAGACTATTTTAAGGTACTTGCTATTGGAAAATACAAAGTTTCTAACTGGGTGTGTACACTAGGAGATCACGTTTTACTTTATGGTACTTGCTATTTCAAAATACAAATTTTCTGTCTAGGCGTGTACACAAGGAGATCACAGACTACTTTATGGTACTTGCCATTCCAAATTACAAATTTCCTAATTAGGTTGGGCTACTAGGAGATTACAGATTAGATTAGTTGCTTCTGAAAAAATGGTTCTAAGAGTCCAAAATACGAGTTTCTTAATAATTTGCAGATACTAGGAGATCACACACTACGTTGTGATACTTGATATTCCCATACACGAATTGTCTAAAAATATAGAGGTACTGGAAAATTTAACACTCTATTCAAAGAGATTATCTTGGTGGTGGTGCTAATAGATAAAAGACTACTTTAGTATAGTTTTCATTGCAAAAATGAAAACAATGGTTGTTGGTACAAAAAGTCCAATTTTTCTACCTGTGATTCGATGGTATACGTTGACAAAAATGCTTCATCAGCATCGAAACATCTTGCGTTAAAATTTTGCTCGACTCGTTCGGGATCAGATCCAAACCTCAAAAACAAAATTAAAAGCATCAAATACAAGAACATACTCTCTGTACATTCTTATTGAATTGAACAAATCAAAGATCACGTGTTTCCAATTCTTTTCCTTTTGAAAAAAGGGATCGAATTCATCTCCACATGCGGCAAGAAGCATGCAAGTTTTGATTGCTATTGTTCAATTATTCGTTATCTCAGCCGTTATTAGTGTGGATTTTTGAATAATTTCGATGATAGCTGTGTCGAAAAACGTTGGCTAAGTTTTCCCTTCCCTAATCTACCCTACCCTATCTCACTTGAATCCCCCCCACTGGAGGATTTTTCGACCAAACTCATTTCAACGCTTCAAAACTAAGAAAACTCAAATACAACAAAACCTACCACGAATAGCATGAGGCAAATCTTTCGAATGATGAGAAAGCTACAGAAAAAATAACACTGGGGGTTAACTATGCTCTACGTACTACTTTCGAACAGTAACATAACGCACAATAACAGCATGAGAGTATGGATCATTATCAATGTAGCTATGCAAATTTTTTTACTAGATTTGACCTGATGATTAAACTCTCCCACCTGCTTTATATAGGGGGGAGAAGTTTTTAAGCTCTATCAACCAGACCTTGTAAAAAATTGCATATACGTTGAAGCGAACCAGTACGGACGAGGTGGTAAAAGATAAACCTGAGCTCGTGCAAAGAAACACGAAAGAGCAAAAGCAAGAGCGAGGCGAACGAAGTGCAATAGAGGTTTAATGTTTTTTCCCGACCCTAAAATTATTACAGTGGTTGCCACTCAATTTCTATTGTTCTATAGTAAGACGAATTAATGACGTATTTACGTAATAAGAGCTCCCCTATTCAAAATACAAAGGTCGTATTACTTGTAATGTCGTCTGTACTTGTAGTGTTACAATCCCAAATTTTGAGCTTGCAATAACAAAATCACGAAAAAGTACTCCCCAAAACACAAAAACATTTAATTTACACCATCGTTCATAGTATGCAAAGCACAGGCTAAAATACTTTCACCGCGCGCCTCGAGACTTTTACTCAACTTAGCTTCGGCTTTGAGTACAATTAATCACTAAGTAACCTCATTACAATGGTTTTACTTATAGCAACTGACATTTTCGCCCACTCCTCCCCTTTACGTTTCCCCAGAAAATCCATCCCTGCTTTATAATTATCTGGCACAGTGCTCATCACCAGTAGCGAAGCCATCGCGTTTTTACTCCTACAATGCAAACAAGTCTTATGTTCAATCACTGGAAAAACAACGAATGGAATTAAATTTCTAAAGAAACGAATAATAATTTTGCCAAAAGTTTTGCACTGTAGGAGCAAAAGGCTGCTTATCACCTCCCATGAAATGAATGTCGATTAATTGTTACCCGATAACAACCAAGAGATTAAGTAAATGTTAGTAGCATTTCATACCATCTCTTTCTTTAGGTTCTCTTCAAGTTCGCTGCACACGGAACTCATCATTTGCGAGAGCGTTGTACGGCAGGCAGTCTTTGTCCAGGACTGAGTTGATCGGGTATATGACTCGATACAGACCTGCAAAAACCAAGACATCGTCATTTTGAAGCCGAAAAACTTAAAAAGTCTATTCGACATTTATCTCCCGCATGAAAAGAGCAATTCGAACTTATTAGCATAAAATGCGCAGAGCTCTGAAGTCATATTTGAAGTGCTCTCGAGTTTATTTTTTGATCATCATAATTTACCGTAATGCACATGTAAAGTTAAAGTTATTAACTAACTGGGAAGTTATAGCTAATTTGATAAGACAAAAATTCGGTACGCATTTCACAGTTGAAAACATATCTTGTCGATGTCTGATGAAGATGAATCGATTGAATCCACGTACGCATATTTGAAACGCGCCAGGTTAAATTATGGCAGATGTTGTTCAAGCTAGCAAAGTGATAGGAATTTTTCAAAACAGTACAAGAACGTTTGGCATCCAAATTGTGGATTATTCTTCGTTTTTCCGCTTTTGAAAAGATTCGACACCTAAAGGGTTGGATGCAACAAGGCGCCTATCGGGCGTTCACTCGGGTTACTCGAGAGCAGTGTTTGGTTAAATCTGCGAATTACAATAGTTGCCAAAAAGCACAAGGAAATTTACATCATTGTAATATCACATGTAAGTATGACATTATGTAAGTAAATCGTGTTTCCCGAGTAATAATACAAAAGCTGGCGACACACAGTGCACAACAAAAAGTTCAATCCTCGATGGCTTTGCTCGACATTTTACCATCATGCGTTCGGGGGGGGGGTGATATTTTATTATTCAATTTAATTGACCAATAAAATGAAATACACCAATACTTACCTCTGCTATCTTTATCAGGTATTCCCCATGAACCTCGCACGAGGCTGAACACGTGATCATGAGCAGCATCTAAAAATCAAAAAAGAAGACATTTCCACAAGTGATAAAATGATTATCCTATTTTATCCACAAACCTTCATGATCTCCACTTGTATCTCATCCGACATGGATGGTGTTGAAACGACAGCATTGACGAATTGCACCGGAAGTTGACGATGAACGTCGCCCTCTACCATAGATTGAAAACGCTCATCTGTAATCAGGTTCTACGAAGAAAAGGCTTCGCAAATTAAACTCTCATCACGAAACTTAAGTTCAAAAATGTTTATTTACAAGTCGTCTGATTTTAAAACATATTTTCGTGTACAGTTCAGCCTGGTGTCTTCACCAGATGTGATCTTATGGTGAACATCGAGTCCCAAAGCACTTCAGTCTAGTATCGTCATCATGAGTGATCTGATGTTGAATCTTGAGTCTTTACATATTTCAGTCTGGTGTATTCATCAGAAGTGATCAGATGTTTAAACTTTAGTCAAACTTTAGTCTTTATGTACTCCAGTATAGCGTGTTCCTCGAGTGTTATCTGTTGCTAAAACTTGAGTCTATTGCCTTCATCAGGAGTGATCTCATGTCACACCGAAGTCCTTATAATATACTCCAGTCCATTTTTTATATTGAGAGTGATTTTATGATGCAACTCGAGTTCTTATACACTCAGTCTCGAGCCTTCATCGGAATGGTTCAGTTTGAGTTGTTATATACGCCAGTATCCATGAATAGAACCAATTTAATTTTGAACATTGAGTCGTTCTACATTCCAGTTAGTGTTTTCCTCAGAAGTGATCTAATGTTGAATAATTAGTCCTTGTGTATTCTAGTGTCTAGTGTTTTCCTCAGAAGTGATCTAATGTTGAATAATTAGCCCTTGTGTACTCTAGTGTCTAATGTTTTCCTCAGAAGTGATCTAATGTTGAATAATTAGTCCTTGTGTACTCTAGTGTCTAGTATTTTCACCAGGAGTGAACTAATAATGAAACTTGTGTTCTTATATACTCCATGCGATCTAGTCCCTTAACCGAAAACGATCTAAAGCTGAAACATAAACTTTTGCACGCTGCAAGCTGTATTTGTACTTGCAACAGAAGCCCGCGAGTTCAATTCTTGAATGTGATTTCGAGAACATGATCATTGAAATTTGATGAAATCTATTGCGTTGTAATGAGCGAACAACATTTGCACGTTCATCGATCAATGTTTCTCACGATACCATACCACACAAAAATACTACCACAGAATAATACATACATGGAAGCCAGTGAGAGCGTGATTGGCTAACTTAGATACACGTGACTCCAAGGCGAGCTTCAAAGGCAGAAAGCACTTTTCCCTTCAAAAATCAACATCAAACAATCAAGAAAACAACAAAAATTTTTAATGAAGTAGACTTTTCTGCCCATATCAAAAATACAGTCAAGAGGATACGAAAAGAACAATCTGAGATGTTACTGACAAGAAGAGCAATCGACTCTTGGCAAAGTAACATCAAATGTTCGGCTCCTCAATCCAAAAAAAATAAAGCTGATTTGTAGCTACTTTTGACGATTACAGATTCCTGGCTAGCGTTGGAGATGGTTTGACATGCATGATGTTCGTATGAGCGAAATTTTCCTATGATTTTTCTCGTTAGCACTTTCGAATCCCTTCACTTTCCGCAGTTAATGAGAAGATTTTCTCAACGAAAAAGTTGGGAAGTGCAGAATCTTCAAAAGAAATTTCAAGCTTTTGTCCATCGATAAGCGAAACGATTTCACGTCGACAATAAGCATAGCATGCAATAAGATGTAAGATTGTGAGCAGAAAAATGGCAAAATTCCGGCTGTGAAAAATTCACTCCGACACAACGAACTACTTCTTGGTAAAAAGTTAGCGAGGCAATGGCAATTATACTTGTCCACCGCAACACGTAAGCAATACGACGAATGTAGCTCGACTAGCTCGTGTCAGTCCGTCAAAATTTCGACGATATATGTGGAGTCAATGGTCCGTCTAATTAGCCGTAACAGTTCACTGGTCTCGCGCGCATACCTCAGTTCGTACGGCTCCACTTCACGGCCTGTTGTCTCTCTCAGAAGCGCCTCTGAAATACATGAAGTAACCAAGGTTGAATTAATTTTAAACGAAAGGAAGTGGATGTTCAAATTCTGTACATTAGTCCTTTACCTAAGCCTTCGTCACAGGCGTCGGTGATGGCCTTCATCTTTCCGGCCGTCGCAACCGTGGACAAGTTTTCCAAAATCGCTTCCATTATTTTTCAATGCGAAAAAAATACGAGAGAAAATGTCATACGAAAAACCTACAAAACTAGGACATTTTCAAAGCATCATCGCGACAATTTTCAACGCAAAACGCATCATTTAGGGTGCGAAATAGCGACGTTGAATATTTAAACAATTCATAGTACTACAGCGGTTGCATGGTTCTACCTGTCAATGCGAACAATGGATCAATAAGCCATGTGCTAGAAAGCAGGTACCAAGTGACGTTTCATTCAACGAGAAGCAACAGAAGGACAGGGAAACAAACTTGACGCTTACACCGTTCGTGCGGAGAAAATTTTACTTTTTGAATTATAGTCTCATCAAACAGAACTTTTACAATTACAGTAGACTTTCTAAAACAGTTTGTGAATAAGACTTTTCATTCTCAGGATATTGAGGTTTTCGTTTTGTTTAAAATGTGCCCGTTTCGTACAACCAGTGACGTCATATTGCATATCATTTGATTTATGAAGTATGTTTCATGATACTTTAATTCAACCGCACAATAATGTCTTCGTTCAATAGTAATGATGACGCAAAATACTGCATAAGTATTCTAACAAAAGTTACCCGGAAAATTAAGGGTATCTAAAAGTGTTCGCCGTCTTATTATGCAATAGGACGTCATCGGTAGTACACAACCGGACGTTGAAAAAACTTCATTGTCTTGAGAATGAAAGGTGGTACTTATGAACTGTTATAGAAAGTCTACTTCAAATCAAAGGTTCTATTGACTTAAACTACAATTTAAAAAAAGAAAAATTTGCACCTTCGTAATTACTTTAAGAACTGTTCAATAGTTCATTTCGCGTGCCTTCCAGTTTAGCGGTCACCACTGAAAACCGTGTACTATATATGGTAGAAGCACTCGACATATGACCGACACAAGGACTAAACTTCAACGCACGCACGCGCGCTCGCTTATGCTTATAGCTGGACCGATGTAGATAAATATATACACCGAGAAACACGAACAAATGAAAGAATGCAAAAAAATATCTAGAATTTACTATCTTCTCCTATTTACGTATTTTATTGCCATCCAGGGACTGACGTCATAGTCTAAAGGAAGATGTGTTAGTACGTTAAAACATACGAGTACCTCGTGCATAAATAGAGTGCAAATATACCAAGCGTAATTATCCGAGTTAAAGCCGAGTGGGCCGTTGAAGAGTATATGTTGGGCGACTTGTAGAGGAAAATGATTCCTTTAAAGCAAATGTAGTGAAAAGCCAAGTTTAGAAGGCTTAACAGTACCTGGAAGATGGCGCATGCGTAAGTCCTGCATTCTTCCCCTCCCACTGCAAAAAAAACGCACCACGACCAAAATTACCACTCTGAATTAGGAGAGCGAAATATAAACTTTCCAGTTTAGCCATGCGATATTTTCAAACACATGCTTCAACTCACTATACCTTAATTTAGCAGATAATGTTAAACGATATCGCAATATCGCAAATCTATTGTATTCTGCACGCTTCGAAAAACGGCGGTGAGGGTGGAGGAGGTTATGATTGCGAAGACCGCAAACAGCTACCATTTGTAGTATACCAATAAACGGTCAAACCCTAAGCCACACGATTCACTTCACATGACCCCCCTCAATACATCCCTTTTACTGTCCAAACAAAACCCTGTCTACGCTATTGAACAAAACTGTTCAGCCAATCACCCCCAAGTAACTCCTAACTCGTTTGACAATTTTGCGGCATAATTTCCCCACCCTCCCCCTCTTCGTCATCATAGTTTCTAATGAATGTGTAATCCATCATCATCATTTCAAACGGATCGAACTTCATTCGTCTCTGATTGGACTGCGCGACCTCCATGAACTCTTCGTCTGGGACGCTTCGCTCGTCGCAAGTCCCTTCGGGACGCGGACTCCACAACCGTATCGGGTGATCCACGCCACTCGTTGCTAAGAGAGCGCAACTCGGGTGCGGCTGCAAGCAGTTCACTATCATCTCGTCGCCTTTCAATACGCGCAAAAGGTTCTGGGTCTGTTTCTCCCACAGGAAAATGGAGCCATCGTCGCTACCGGCGATCACGTACTCGCCATTCGCGCCGAAAAAATTCGCTTCTTTAATGTCAGTTGCGGTATTACAATGGCCGCAAAATCTTAACTGGTAATCGTTGGCCGTCCTCCGTAGTTCCTTTTCCCCGTGATGATGCGAAATGTCACGTGATATAGATTGCTGCATCCCCGGCGTCTCGTATCCTGAGAATGTTTTATAAATATCTGTAGAGAGGAGTTTCATCCGGTGTAATGAAGGGCGGCGGAAGATTGATAAATAGGTGGGGGGGAGGGGTATGTTCATAAATACATGTTGTATAATCAGTCATCGCGGTTAAATTCAAAAGAAACCGATGGCAGAGTCAGCATACATCCATATGAACACTAGCCTACGAACTATCGATCTTTCGCCTAGTGATGCAGCGATATAGGATTTTACAAATCTACCGATTAACCCGGATATTAAAATGCCGATATTGTGCCGATACCAGTGAACTCTATAACAACTGGAAGGCTAACTTGGCCGCCATCTTTGAAGCCTGTGTGATCGCCGCCATTGAGGGTACGGAGGCGAAATACATCACTTCGAAATTGACGGATTTTTTGCACAAAACAGTGCTCTTTGAGGCAGCTTAATGTCTAAAAGCCTTTAACAATGTTTGGACTTTAATATAAAACAAGTTTGAACAACATTTGTATATGTTTAAGCTGCTTTTTAGAAGGATGAAAAGCGAACTTTCTTTTGGCACGTGAAAACATGCCTTATAACTTGAATACAAAACTGACACCCCTCGTTTTTTTTCATTAAAATGATGTAAAATACACTTGTCTATTCTTATTATACTGTTTGAATCTTTGAAAATGAAGCTGTATTAGAGTTCATTTGCCGATACCGATATTTTATGCCATTTTACTAAACTTAAACATCATAACGTATGCCACTTTGTGCTCACCAGTGACGGTTTATGTGATAAAAAACATATAAAATTCAAAGCGGTAAATTGCATTGCAGCGATAGTTCACAACACAACTGTCAATGGAAATTAATATCATGCGGAACTAACAAATTTTTAGTAGTGTCAATTTAACAAAAATTGTTGAGGTAATATATTTAGTATTGTTGAACTCTGATTCGTTTCAATTCAGTGGCGGATCTAGAGTGAGTCAAAATAAATTACTGCAGCACATTTTCGCAAGCCATTAACATTTCTAAGTACCTTAGACGAAAATCCACTGGTAAAATTCTAATCTTTAGAAATTGAAAACCAATAGTGTTTTTCTGAAAGTACTTTGAATTTAAATTTAGCAGCTGTGTTGACTGTGTTGAAATATTTTATCGGGTCATTTTTAGCGGGAAAAAAAAATTCGCAGAACCACAATTAAACTCTTACGGTTAGGTGTTCACACGTAACAGAAACGGTATAGTTTTGTACCGTTTCCACACTATTGCGGCTAGGGTAACGGTTTCATACTTTTTCATACCGGCGTCGTGTGAACATAACACAAAATCGTAAGACTTTTGCATCGTTTTCAAACTCAACCGGTATCGTGTGAACGGGGTCTTCGACAGCCTACGGAAACAGGAGGAGTGGGAAGGAGCGAGAAGGGGGATTCTTCATGCAAACATGAAAGCATATTCATTTACCTACCTTGTGAAAAGAGGGTAGCATTAATATCTCTTTCAAGAGATTTTACAGGAAAGTCGGGGAAGGAACGCTTGAATTTCTCCAAAGAAGCTGCAGCTTCTTGGTAATGTCCCAGCTTGAAAAGGCAACTGGTCTGTCGGTAAGCCGCCTTTGAGTTCATCGAATCACAAGACAACGACTGCTCGCAGTCGCGAAGAGCCGCGTAAAAGTCACCGTACCTATCAAAAAAGACGAGCTACAGTGAGTAGAGGTTAAAGAACGGTCGAGGACAATGATAAGTATGGAGTGTTTTCGCCCATTCCCTAGAGATCAACATGGCAATAAAGAAAGCGGCCATATTGGTGTACCAAACAAAACAACTAAAATGCTTTAAAATCCTTTTCAATTTGTGCACCAATAAGGCGGCTATAAAAACGCTCTGAAGAGGATATCAAGGAGTGAGCGAGGGCAATAAGGATGATGGAAAACATCGCACAATAGAAATGAGATACTGCATGTTGAGATCAGGGAATGTACCATCAAGGACAATGATAAGTATATTTAGGATATAAAGGATGATGCAAGGGAAGATGAAATATTGAGTGAGGGAGGGGGGAAGGATAATGCAAAACACTATATCGATCGAAATGAGTTAAAATGAGCAGATGTTAAAGAATGTGCTATCAAGGAGAATGGTAAGTATGGAATGTTTTCAATCATTCCCTAGATATCAACATGACAATGGAAGAAGCGGACGTATTGGTAAACCAAACAAAAGAACCTCATGAAAATTCCCTTCGATTGATACACCAACATGTCGGCTATGACGTCATGTAAAAACGCTCTAGAGAAGATATGAAGGATATTGTAAGGGAAAATGAAGAATGGAGCGAGGAAGGAAAATATGAATGATGCAAAACACCATACAGATAGAAATGAGATACTTCAAGTTGAGGTTTGGGAATGTATTGTGAAGGACAATTTTAAGTAAATGGAGGATAGAAAGGACGTTGTGAAGGGAAATGAAGAATGCGGTAAAGAGGAGAGCAACGATAATCCATAACATGATGCCATTACAAGGTGGCATGAGGTACACGGAGATCAATTAAAACAAAGCTTTCTACGTTTCACAATTCATCGGATTTAGAGCAGACAACTAGAACATGCATTACATGAAGTACAAGGTCTGCATCTTACCATCCGCGTTTAATAAAAGCTGCGGCTCTGTTGGCATAAAGAACGGAACAACCGGGGGCAAGCGTTATTGCTTCACCGTATAGATTGATCGCGGCCCAGAAGTTCTTAACTTCGTATTCCGAATTCGCCATGCGCTTCAACTCTAACGCATGGCCTGAAAGCTCGGGGGGTCCTTCTGCACATGCGCTACCGTCGCGATTCGTAGTCGACTTCGCTGTTTTTGTAAAGCCGTTGTTTGAATTTGAACGATCAGAAGATGCCGTTTGAGATCTTCGTTTTCTCAAAATATTTCCCGTAGATTGCTCGCCCGAGCATGTGGCACGAACCGTTTCGGAATCCTCGGTTGATTCATTTCTTGTTGATGAGCTTGCCTTGTCGTCTTTGTTAAAGTAATCGATCGTGTAATGTAGCGGTTGTCGCTGAGTGTTTATGTCGAACAAATACAACTGTTCTCCGCCAAGATTTGCCAACAGTTCGTGACCATTCGGACTGAAACTCAAGTATGTGCACACGACCGAGCGTCTACGAGTACTTCGCGCGCTAGCCGAAAGATGTCCGGGAGCAAAATACTGAGTGCAACCACTTTCAAAGGTGGCTGTTGCCTTCTGACGAGTGTTGGTCGAGCAGTTGTTGGCACCAACGTTCGTAGAATGTTCGGTCAACATTCGCCTGTCATAAAGTCTAACGTAGGGATCGCTACAGCCAATCGCTAGCAGTTCTGAACGACACGGGTTGACTTCAATACACTTCACTTCGCACCGTGCTACATGATGTGTCATATCGATCAGGGCATTCGCACAAGTCGCGTCACCATTGCAAGTATGTTGGCGGCGCAGGTCAAATTGTCTGAAATCAAAAAATCAACAAGTGGAGTTAAGCAAAGTTTTCTTCTTTATTATTGACAAACGGGCAACTATTGAAAAAATATTGATGTCGTGCATGTCAGTATAGGTAGTGATAAATGAACAACAGAGAACGAGAACAGTCTCTACACTACCTAAAATATAAACTAAGTTAACGTGTGTCAGTGTGGGTAGTGACGAATGAGCAACAGAGAACGAAAACAGTCTTTACACTACCTAAAATATAAACTAAGATAACGTGTGTCAGTGTTGGTAGTGATGAATGAAAAACAGAGAACAAGACATTGGTAAAAACTGACCAAGATAACGCAGATAAGTCGGTCTGATTGTAATCACCAACGACAACAGGTCTAGCGAGAGCAGTCGCTACAAGATTTACAATAAGACGGAGAAATGCATCAGCGATCTGAATACAAAATACCTGACAACACCGTCTTCAGAAGCGCTCCATATCATGTACGGTTCATCTGCAGTTGTCGCCAGTCGTTTGACTCTTGTCATGTGACATTTAAACTTGGCGATCACATCCTGACGCGGAACCGAATGAACACGAATCTGCGCATCTCCTGCGCCTGTGGCTAAAACCGTATCTCCCGAGTTTGGCATAAACTGGAAATAACGAAAAACAAGCGAATGAAAACATTACAACAACAAAATAAAAAAAACATACTCATAACAGAAACGAAAACCGTGAAAATCTACGAGTGTCGTGATTTTAAGCGGGCAAAATTAAAAAAAAACAAAAAACAGCCAAGTTAAGTAGGTTAAGAAAATTTTTAGTCCATTGTCTAGTTCTTTTGTTTTACTATCATTTCATCTAACACAGAATTTATAGTTCAGCTTTCCTGATAAAGCGAATCACACTTTGAGAAAACCGCCATATTGTCTTTCTGCCTGTCGTCTATCTACACTTCAACATTAACAGAAAACCTCGCAATTTTACCACAAAAAATTTTAAAATCAGCGTTCGATGGTTAAGATTCATAGTTGTGGCATGTTTCATAGTTGTGGATCGTTAACATTCACAATTTCTTTGGAAAATTTCTTGTATTTAGATTGATTGGAAACGGAAAAATGAACACAACAGGTCCGAATTTGCGAGATGGCTACGCTAATATTGGGTTTAGCGCATTGCTTTGTCACGATATTTTCCGTAAACCAATTTGACAAGAAATTAAATACTCGCTCACATTGTCACGTGACTGTTCAAAATTTGCATTAAGCACACCATCATTTTCACTTTGAAGTTAGTTCAGTCGACAAGTTTCGACTATTTCAACACCTTGAATTCAATAAATAATCCTAAACTACGTGTTTATAAGTACAGCAAAGTGTTGTTTATATATTACATGGCAAGCATTTACTTTGACAAATAGTGAAATTTGATTGGTCGATGATGAGCATGTTTTTTTGACAAATAGTGAAATTTGATTGGTTGATGATGAGCATGTTTTTTTGACAAATAGTGAAATTTGATTGGTCGATGATGAGCATTTACTTTGACAAATAGTGAAATTTGATTGGTCGATGATGAGCATTTACTTTGACAATTAGTGAAATTTATTGGTCGATGATGAGCATTTACTTTGACAAATAGTGAAATTTGATTGGTCATTAATGAGCATGTTTTTTGGCATGTGTGTGCATGTAACAGTAAGGAAAATTATGGCCGACTATTTATGTTGATGTACATTACCTTGACAGAGAATATATTTGCACTATGTCCTGTGCTGATCTTGTGGATGATTTTACGTCTTATAGGATTCCATAATATGGCATGAAGATCGTCTGATCCGGATGCCAATATGCTACAAAAAGGGATGTCAACTAGTTTAATAATGGAAATTTTGCTAAAAAATTTTGATTCTTGCAAAATGTATAGACACAAGGAATTTCTACCTGCCATCTTGGTTCCATTCTAAACAATTTACACACCCTTCATGACCCTAGATTTTAAAAGATTCTAGGTGAAATTGTTGGGTTGCAGAAATCTTATAAACATTAGTCTACGGTCTTATGAACAAGATAGTCGAGTTCTTTTTATACTCCAGTGTAGTGTTTAATCAAGAGCGATCTGATGTTAAAACATGGGTCTTATATAGTCATCAGAAGTGATCTGATGTTGACATGTGAGTTCTTATATACTCCAGTCTGGTGCCTTTATCAGAAGTGATCTGATGTTAACATGTGAGTTCTTATATACTCCAGTCTGGTGCCTTCATCAGAAGTGATCTGATGTTAACATGTGAGTTCTTATATACTCCAGTCTGGTGCCTTCATCAGAAGTGATCTGATGTAGAAATGTGAGTTCTTATATACTCCAGTCTGGTGTTTTCATCGGGAGTGATCTGATGTTGGAACTTGAGTCCTCATATATTCCAGTTTCATTTCCTCACCAAGAGTGATCTTGACCCCTTATAGACTTCATTCCTTTCTTTATAGATTGACAAACTAGTCTTTGCATATACCTTAAGTCTATATATCATATATACTTTAGTCCTTGCATATTCCAATCTAGTGTCTTTCGCTGGATTTACTTAAAATTAAAATTCTCTGATGATGCTATCTACTTCTAGCATCATATGTAATATCATATTGATTGATCACATACTAGCTGTGCAGTGTCAAAAATGGAATTCATACATTACTTCATTGCATATTTTCTGAAGCAATGACTTAAGATGGAAGAACAAGATCCATTGGACATATGGCAATCCATACAACAACACATAATGAATAAAAAAGCTTTCTTTTCACAAGCTCAAACCTTTTCCGACAGGCATGAATTCAAATCTGAATGGCATTGTTGTTCCAGTCCGAAGCAACCAGCCTCAGTTCAGCTACATGATAGCACTATCTTGGCTCATAAACTGGGTGCTGGCATTTAATATGTTTGACCAAGTAAGACTTGGCATAAGATCAGAAGGTTTTGAGGTCGGTTCTAGCAATGGGTTTGGCAACATTGCAAATATAATTGCACTAACATTTTAATATTTAACACTTTAACATGGCACTGAAATTGCACTAACGCTTTAATATAATTAGAGATTCGATTATGTGCCAGTTAACTTTCAAGCAACTTCGAGGGGAGTGAAGTGTATCATGAGATGTTGAAACTCAAACTCTTGCCCTTGTCACTTATGATGTACAACATCTTTGGCAAAGACGAGGCTCAACAACAGTTCAACAAAGAACTCAATTTCATTCATCTCCAAATACCTTGAGTTCCGTTTCTAATCCGAGTCGTTGAACAAGATGCTTGTACATTCTAAGTTGCCTTTCCAATCTTCTGTTGGAATTTTCCTGTTTTAAAAAATATTAATGTCAGCAAGATTGAATGGCGCCTCGGTCACGAAGTAGACAAGTTAAACATTAGTTCTATCGAATGAATTTCAAGTTCTAACAGTGTCAAAAATACGTACATTTTCTGTCCTAGCTCTCAGCAGCTGTGTCGTGTTGTAAGAAGACATACTAAGCTATTAAAACCAGACAATCCACTACCAGGATTCCTTGACATATGTACAAGGCCCTTTAAATGCAAATCTTTTTAAAATGTTCGTTAATTTACATGTTTCCCAGCACCAAACAAATTTGCTAAAAGGTTGAACGGATTTTTTTCATTCTTTCTTGCTCAAGTACCTCGCAGGTCTTTCCTCTACAAACGCGAAAGCAATATGAGATTATGTACTTAACGGGATTGACAAGCAATTCCTGCTCAAAAAATTCACCACCTATTTACCAGTTGTAATTTGTAACCGCGTCGTTGGACTTGGTAACCGCACTGGAGAATGGTGATAAGGAACTTGCTTTTGCAGCATCTGACCTAACCTGACTCAGCCTGAAATGTGAAGTCGTACGACTGGAGATCAAGAAAAATATTACCAGTAAATGGTCGTTTAAACTCGTTTTTATCAACAATGTGGCGCATGACCTTTTTGAGAAGGGAGGGGTGAGGAGGTAACACTTGTCTTCTTTTCGACATACATGTGACTGTCGTCCTAACTTTTCAATTATAGAATTTTTCAAGATACCCACTATTCATTGGAAAGTCAAACTATATTGAAACCATCAAACCAATGCTATTGTAGACAAAACTTTATGGCAGTTGATGTTTACCGCCAGACAGCACAAACCCCCGACACAGTTGATGTTTACCGCCAGACAGCACAAACCCCCGACACCTCGCTATTTAATGGATACATTCATATGGAACTCACCCCCCCCCACCAGTTCCAGCAACACCCACTATTGTGTAGATCCCTGATTGGCCATTACTACCAGTTGCATCCAAGTATGCCTTACTAATTGAGAATGCGGTGTGTAATTTTAGATCTTATAAAATAGTAACACAAAGACAATTACTTCATGGAAATTTTGATTGAAAAACTTCCACTTTGAATAATTTTTTCATTGTTCACTCCCTCCTAAGCAGATTGAGTACTTGACAGTTGAAAACTTATATGCTAGCTCTTCTTGTATGTTAATTGGCTTTCACAAATGTCTATCCATGATGTTTACCATGAAAAATTTTGGGTGTTCTCATCAGCATTGATCTAATGTGGAACAAGCAAGGGTTACAGTAAATGTCTTAGCATTGACATTCTGTATTTGTAACTGCCATTTGCTATTTCATACTTTCTAAGTTATAATTTAGATTGTTTATCATTTCACGTCACAAACAAAATGATTTCCTTTGTGGCTATGTTTATTGAAAAATTTCCTACATATTTACCACATATGTTCTGCACAGGTATTTGTACTGGACAAAAGCAATGGAATGGATGTTCAAAGTCAATCTGATCGTGATATAAGGTAAAAGGAAATTGCTGCATAATTGGCATTCTTTGCAAGAAACAGGTATTTTACTTAGTGGAGGCACAGTCCATTTGCCTGCAAAAAAGTCATACTCTCTGAACTTCATAACCCTCAAATAAAATGCATCCAAACTCTTGGAGGGCAATCAGAAAACATCTTCACAAAAGCACTGTGATAAAAGGTTATTCACATTCTCATACATGTGTGTATGTTAAGGTATAAACATGTTCACCTTGGTGTACCCAGTGGATTAAATGTTAACATGTGGGGTGTAGAGTGCAAGTCCTGGAGGTGATGAAGAGGACATCTTCCCACAAACCACCCTGCGAAATCCTGTCCACCATCCCCTCCCTCTCCCCCCTGCATCACACCTTTTAAGAGTATTGTGCCCTTGTGTGGGGTGATGTAGGTACAATTAAGGGGGGGCTGACTGGGCTACAGCCAGAGGCCTGCAGATTTTCAGGTTCTAGGGGGGCCCGTAGCAGCCAAATATTGTTTTAATATTTCATAGAAACAATTAAGTATTGCTACATTTTAACCAAACGCTTGCAGGAAATTTAGAATAAATTAAGAATAAATTTGGCTAATCATGTTAAGGTATATTATGTTAAGATATATGGACGTATTGAAACAATGCATTTTTTGTCCCTACTTTTTTTTAATTTCAAAGTTCGTGCCCAAAGTTCATGGCGTTCATGCAATTATCCGTCAAAGATGCTCCTTTATCGAATACGTACCATGCACAGCTCACTTACATAATCTAGTTGGAACAAGCGCCGCAGCCTGTTGTTCTGCTACAGTGGAATTTTTTGACCTTCTTCAAAATTTGTATTCATGGCTGATATCGTCGACATATCGCTGGCGAAAGCACCGAGAAAAACTGGCCGATTTACCTGTACAGAAAGCGTTATCTAATACGCGTTGGTCTGCCCGTTATGATGCTGTAAGTGCTCTTTACAAAGAATGTCTACAGAATTTGGCAATGCTGGAAGAATTTCCCAAAGATGAAGACCAACCAGCAGACAGTCGGATTGAAGCAAAGGGATTCCAAAAGAAATTGAAACTTCTGGAAACGGCAATTCTGCTCGAACTTTGGGATACTAGGTTAACAAAACTAAATTGTTTTTGTTAAGTTTAAAAGCAGTTTGTTTTATTCATGAAGTCTCTCCTTTTTTAATTGTGGGAAAACTAATCAATTGCCGGGAAATGGGAAGAAGCAGACAGTCTAAAGGGGCCCAACCAGAGAATATAGCCAGGGGTCCGAGAAAGATTTAATCCCCCACTGCCGTGTGATGCAAGTACAATCCACGCTGTGTTATTTATTAATCGTGGGACGACAATTGCGTCAAGAGAAACGGATCCAGTCACCAAACTCATGAGAATTGTGCCAACAATTTCAATGGTGATGCGAATGCTAAGGATTTTGAGAGCCATGTCAAGTTCAGAGCCAACCACGTATTGGAACAATTGCATGACGTTTTGAGGCAAATCGTGCATATCAAATTATGGCATCGTTTCGAGGATTTTGTAATGGAACTATAAACCGCAGCTACCACCAGCTCCAATCAACAAGCTTTGAAAAGATTACATCACCTTTACAAAGCCCAGCGAAAAAGGCACTCAAACAATATACTGCAAGCAAGTTGAGCGCGATAAATGGCTGTAGTCAGTCTGAGAAATAAGTCAATAGAAACTATATGTATTAAAATGTATGATGTATTAATCCTCATTAATCCTCAAACATTAATCCTCACGATTAATATATTATATATATTCCTGATGATGGCTTTGGAATAAAGTCGAAACACGGTGCCATCCAGTAAACTGCTATAGTGGCGAGAATCTCTCGTCCATACGCAGTTTAAAAAGAGATTTGACTCGTCTCCCATCCCTATGGGCTTTCTAGCATAACAGGTAGAGCGGCGACAAGTATCCCGAAGATGCGAGTTCAAATCTCGTCCTAGTCACATGTTTTTCATGTGCATATAAAACTGTGTTACGATTAATATATTGCAAACATTCCCAATGGTAAATTTTACCCTATACAACATTCTCTACAATCAACGTTGTTGTTGGTTTATTGAATTTAAAATGTGTGGCCGTAGCCGTCACCGAAGTGTTGGGTAGACAATGCCAGTCTAGTCGTATGTTCTGGAAAGCTGTGTAAATTAGGTCCTTCAAGATTGAAATGTACCTACCCCTTTCGTAAAAAATGTTGGCCCATGCCCTAGATTCATCACTACTAAATGGCAAGGACAAATTTCAGCAACCAGTTTTGCAAACCTAAATTATTTCAAATTTTGAGCGGAAACATTGCGAATTATTGTTGGAAAAACGATTTTTTCCTCAAATTTATGTCATAGCCCCTAATTGATATACAAATCTATTGTTTATACAGTTAATAAACATAGCATTACCTGCACAGCAGGGGTGAATGAGCGGGCTGGCATCAACATTCTGTTCTCATGCCGTTCTGCACGCTTTTATTCCGCCGTCGGGTATTCGACACAGATGTCAGAAGTATTGTTTTGTCGTAAGTTGAACTTTTTTGAAATACTAGAGGTTTTGTGACAAATTACTGTGGTGCGAACGCACGTTCTATCGAGAAAGACGTTCGGAAATGACGCATGTCGGAATGGAAACGATTCGACTGTTCGCAGCAGGAAATTCCACGTATGGCTATAGACGGGCCTATAAAGCTTATGATGTACGAAGTACGTACGCATCGAATTCTTTAGACGGTTGAGATACGGGTCAAAATAACGCGGAGAAAATTGAAGCGATAAGACAAGACTGTTACGTTGCGTTTATAGTGGTGAGGTTTGCCTTTTGGGAAATTGAAATCGGTGAAAGACTTTTGTCGATATTAGTTTGTACTAAGTCTAAAGAACGTCTCTCGGTCAAGAAAGCACTCGTCAATCCTGTGTAGTGGAAACTTTTGCTTGTATTCAACATTGCTAGTGTTGAGGTTGATTATCCTGCTTATATCAAGTGAAGAATTGAACAATGAAGTTGCTCGTATTCGGTGCCACAGGTGAAACAGGTCGTGAACTTGTAAAACAGTCGTTGAAACTTGGACATTTTGTCACTGTTCTCGTGCGAGATCTTCAAAAGATGGACATAAGGTACGTTGTGCCGGGGGGGAAACCGGCAACTCCGACGAAAATCAGGCAGACCCGCTGTTATGTATTTGTGTAAGCGAGTGCTTCGTTATCGTTGCTTAATTTTTACCAAGTGCTGCTTCGGTTGTTTTATTTATTATTTATGATGCTTGGAACGTGCAGAACGGCTCGGCTGTGGTCAGAGGATTTCCTTTTTTCTCGAAGGGAACTGAAGTCAGAAATAAGCCGGTCAACGGATCGAAATTCTCAAATGTGTTAGCAAGGCACGCGTCCGTATCATTTTCCATGCCCTAGTATCTTTTGTTCACTCAATTGGTCTCTCTAGTACGGGAAACGGCAGCACGAATTAATCTGATCATCAATCTGATAATTAATTAATCTGTCATTTTGTGATTTTTTTGATTTTAATTGTCGTTGCACCCAAAAAAAAGTTGGCTGGATTGTATACTTGGCATCTCGTCGTGGTTTAGCGCACGCAGTTATACCACTTCCTCTTTCCATCCGCTTTTATTTATTATAAATGAGTCACCACACGGCAAAGTATCTGCTTCCATATATTTCTGTGAATTGTACCCTGTTCTCTCAAACTGCATAAATTCCACGAATGTTTTCTGTCAGTGTATCCATGCGTATACGTTCGCTTTCATCTTCGTCGAGGCCTTTAAATCGGAAGTTCTAAAATTACCAATTATACTCATCAGCCCTCTTTCGTACTTCTGTACGTGACCTAAATATCTGAGCATGGTCTCTCTGGCTTTCTCAATTTCTCTTTCTAAAACATCTAACTACTACCTAATGTAGTTTGCTAGTCTGTTCATCGCCATAGAAAACAAAAAGTGGCTCAAATACCTCAACAACCCACAACAGTTACATCCCACTTTAAATCCCACTTATCCTTTTATGCTCTGTTTATCCTTCTATGTTGCATTATCATATGAATTTACCTCTGATGCATTTTAGACACGATAATCTTGAAGTGATAAAAGGCGACGCACGTGATTTAAGCTCATTTGAAAGTGTCTTGGCTGGCAAAGATGCCGTTTTGTCGTGTATTGGGACGCGAGAGTGCAGAGGACCTTTTCAGTTTACATCATTGTACTCTGATACGATGAAAAATATGATATTGGCCATGAAAAGGTACATCACTAGTACTTAATTGTTTTTATGCTCTGTGCAATATTTATCCCTTGCTACACTGACATCTGTTATCTTGGTTTATATTTTAGACAGTGTAAAAGCGTGTTTTCGTTCTCTGTTGTTCACTGTTGTTCATTCATTCATCACTACGTGCATTTACACACGTTATCTTAGTTTATATTTTAGGTAGTTTAAAGACTCTTCTCTTTCTCTGCTGTTCATTCATCACTACCTACATTGACACATGTTAACTCAGTTTATATTTTAAATAGTGTAGAAACTGTTCTCGTTCTCTGTTGTTCATTTATTACTACATCACTACTTACATTGACACACATTATTTTAGTTTACATTTTAGGTAGTGTAAATACTCTTCCCGTTCTCAGTCATTCATTCATCGCTACCTACACTGTCACACATTATCTCAGTGTATTTTTCGGTAGTGTAAACAGTAAAGACTCTTTTCATTTTCTCATTACTGCTGTAATTGTTTTATTAGGAACGACGTGAAGCGAATTGTTGCTGTAACGTCTTGGTGCACCCAGCCCGGTCCAAATAATCCTTGGTTTATCGAATGGTTTCTTAAACCCTTTATTATTGGAGCAATTCTTCGAGATATGGCTATCATGGAAGAAATGTTAGCCAAAACTGATGAAGATATGATCAATTATACCATCGTTAGACCGCCTAGATTGTTGTCTGGTAAGTTTATAGTGCGCACCAATTTATTAAAATAGTTTTTTGTTGGACTTGTCCACAGTGTATAGAGAACATACAGTAAAGCCACTCCATTGAATTTTTTGTGCCACGCATATCTCATTCGCATGTGATTACCATAATGCCAGCCATCAATTGCAATTTCTGACCAATGGGAATGATGAAATGGCTTGTATGGCAAGCCAGTAATCGTATTAGATATACAGCAGCCAGTTGCACAGCGATGTGGCCCAACTGTATATTCCCTGTACTGTGGACTTGTCGTATCTTGGTCTAAAATTAATTTTCCGAACAAACAATACCGGTCATATGAGCAGTAACTGCATGGATAATTTCGCAAGATATCCGTCGAGCAGCAATTAACATTAATTGAATGAAATTGAGTGTGATATGAAGAATTATCGTTGTCAAAGTTTTTTAATATGCCAAAGAGAAGCTGGGGTAGTCCTTAAAACTGAAAAGCTTCAAGAAAAAAATACCCAAAAAACCGGCTTGTACGACTTGGTGCTTTATATTTGATTAGATTGCTGAGTGCGGTTAGCCATGTGTAGGTTCTATTGATCAGAAAGTATGTGTTCTCGGCTGACATTATGCTAATCACATGGGTATAGTGTGAACAATATTTTTCAATAGAGTATAAGACTGTGGCTTAGACCAGCGCATCGTCATTTGCTTCGTGAGCGTTTCTAACTTTCTTATGTATGTGCTTCAATTTATATTTCAGTCGAAGGTAACGACAATTATAAAGTGCAAGAAGGTCAGTGTAATACAAATACGTTACAGCAAATACCTCGTGCCGATGTCGCTCAGTTTATGTTGAAAACACTCGAAACCAGCGATTACGATCGCAAAGCTGTGGCGATTGCAAGCTATATCTGACATACTAGGATGCAACTCGGGACGGTATTCTACATGTATTCGATAAAGTAAAGTTAGTGAATGTTGTGGATCACGCGAACTCTATATAGCATTTTTACGTACACAGTTATGATCGGATATTCGTCGATTGATAAATCAAGCTCTCATTCTGTAATGTGACGTCACTGGTTGGGTAAATCGGACGTTACAAAAACCTCAGTATCTCGAGTTTAAAAATAGACGTGCATTGAGGTCTTTAGGAAGATTCACTGTCATTAAAAGTTCAGTTTAATTGGAATGAAATTCAAGTTTCACCATGCAATAGGCTGTCGGGACTGACGGACATTTCTTAGTTATTATGATTGACATTTATTTGGGGGGTTTCAGAAGTGGGTTGTTTTTATGATGGTGATTTAGCATTACGATTATTGATTTAGTGAGTTTTAGTATCCTTACTGCGATTAGAGTGGGAGCGAACGTTTTCGCGTGGGGACTGTATTAAATATTCTTGACAAGGCTGTGAAATTCACCATCCAACGAATTTTACTGTCAGACCCGAGACTTTCCTACAATCTGCATTTGTTTCAAACTTTTGCGTGACTTTGTTTACAGACATGCAATCTGTACCTTTACACTTGGAACTCACGTAATGTTATATTTTTGCGATGTAATTAGACTTTTATTGGTCTGCTGAACAAATTGATTGGCGTGCTCGCGGTTTTACCATGCGAGCTAGCTAACGTAGGACTCCATGAGGCTGGTTACGTGGAGCATTTTCAACCCTGGGCTGAACTGAGCCCCGTTGAGTGAGTTGAAATTTGTTGCTTTTACATGCAAAATCACATCCCTCAGGATAGAATTACCTGGAATCTAGTGTAATAAACACGTACGCTTTTTAAAAAAATCAACCCTAAATTAAACACGCTTACATGTCGTATTACAGACGATTACACGTCGTAATTTTCGTCCCAGCACTGAGTTCAACACTGGACTGAAATTTCAACTCACTCAACGGAGCACAGTTCAGCCCAGGTTTAAAAATGCTTCCGTGTAATCAGCACCTAAATCGTGAAAGTGCTTATTAAGTGAAAAGTTGCACTTTAAATTACAGTTTATCAAATGGAACTTTGAATTGACGGTAGACTTTCTAAAACGATTTGCGAATATCACTTTTCATTCTTAAGATATTCAAGTTTTTGCAATGTCTTTGTAAACAACCAGTGACGTCATATTGCATAACTTTCGCCGAAAAATTTCAAATATCTTTCAGTTTCTTGGCAACTTTTGGATGAAATGCGTTGGCCGGATTTATACCATCAACGCTATTGAGCGAAGGCGTCTTTGCCAGGAGGAAGTAAAATATCGTCAAACATACCTGATAATTCAAATCACATTATGTTGTATGTGGTTTTACAAAATTGGACATGACAAAAACTTGTACATCTTAAGAACGAAAAGAGATGTTCTTAAACTGTATTAGAGAGTCTACTGTCGTTTTTAAAGTTCTGTTTCATAATACTGTAATTTAAAACGTAAAAGTTTTGCTTCATAATGCAGGAAGGTTGTTGCTAAAAATCCGCGTGCGATTAGAATATAAACGCGTGCATTATTTTGTTATTAGCATGTCTCTAAAAGACTTTTTTCCTCTGTCGAGAATTCTTATGCCAATTATACTTCATAATATGGTCAATTCAAATTCAACATCTTTAGCTAATAAATGTGGCAATTATGTTTAATGAAATATCGAGGATAATTTGTATATCAAAGTGTACGGGTCGATACACTTCGCCCGAGAAAATAATTCTTTTGTTTACAATGTAAGTAATTTTAACGACCTGCAATAGTTGTTAGCTAATTGTCTTTGTCTTTGAGTGTTCACTCCACTCGCGTGCAACCAAAGACTTCATTATAAACAGCCATTTTTGTGCCGTTATGGCTGTCGCAGTTGTCGTCGTCTTTAGCAAAAATCGATAAAACGCAAATGAGTCGCTTTCGTACATGACCTTGTGACTGGACGCCATTGCCATGACGCATTGCGTGGACTTCTATTTAAAAAAAAGAGACTTGCGCCCTTTCCCTGCATGTGTAGAAGAAATAATTGCTTTCGTACTTTTCGTCAACAATTTCATTTCATAAGATTTTATCTGTTCATAGCTTCATAACATAATAATCTTTTTTCTTTTTTTTATGTACACGATATTTAATAATACTTTATAATATTGATTCAAATAGCACACTAATTTCTCACTTTGCTAGCCACGTTTTTATGTAACATATAATCTTCATCATCTTCCGTTGGGATGTCTCGACTTTATATGGCGATCTAAATCGCGCCTTCGCACTAGAACCTTACCGCAATATTGGCATTTATATGGCGTATCTCCCACGGCATGCAAACGGATGTGTTTCGCCATGTTACTTGGATCGCCAAAGCGTTTTTGACAGTATTTGCACTTTAGCGGTTTATAGCCCGTGTGGATTCTCATGTGAATCTTCAAGCCGTATTTTCGCGTGTAGATTTTCCCACATAGTTCACAGAGATAACCCTTGTTGTTCACCTTCTTCGAGTTTAGTTCGCTTAGCACGTCTTCGTTCTGTCCGTTCTTCGTTGATTGTTTGAGCACGCCGAATTGATCTTGGTGCATGGACAAAGAGGCAGCACTTCCAGCTCCTAGATTCACCAGATCCGGCGGAGCTTGGGGATTGCCGCCGACAGAATAGCGGTTGCCCAAATTCAGGTTCTGCTCGTTGAAGAGGAGTGTGTTCACGCCAGGAGTCTGGTTGCCGTACGCCGTCATGGAAGTCGGAAAATTTGGATAGGATGGCTTATAAAACGGCATGGGAGGTGTTGACTGCACCTGAGTGCGCTGTGGCAAGAACATAGAAGAAGGATTGAACACGTCCATTTGGTGTTGCGGCGGTGGAAATGCGGCATCCGGCGAGAGTTTGTAGTTAAGATTACCGAAATCGCCAAAGTTAAGTCGGTTCATATCTGATGTCGGTGTTGTCGACGACACTGAATCCAACTGTTTCAGTCCGTTAAGATTACCGGCGAAGTGGTTTTGATAACTCGGTGATGGTAAGCCTCCAGCTCGTGCGAGATCCCTGTTTATGTTAAAAGCGTCATTTGAAAAAGAGCCGAAACTCGATGGCACCAATGGGGTAAGACTCGGTGGCTCGGACTGTATTTCACCCTCGGCCTCTCCATCGCATTTCTGTAGGTCTGCAGGCGGAGGATGAGGTTGATAACTCGAGTGATCCGCATCCACAAGATGGCTTGCCATGAAACTTTGTTGAGGCGACGACTTCTGTGGACTCAACGTCTCTCCGGTCTGACCGAAATTGAACTTGGAAAAAGGATCGTTGGCGAAGTTGGTTAGGAATGGAAAATGAGCGATCGTGTTGCCAAAACCGTTCATCATTCCGTTCATTGGACTCAGGCTGTTCAAGCCATTCGTCGAGAAGCTGTTAAAACTCGAACCGTTTCCATTCAATTTGTCCAAATTCGTCAGCGACGAGGCAGAATTCGCACCTTCAACTTCGGCAAAAACGTCTTGATGTTCCACGTGCCTTGCCATATGCGGATCTCGTAATACGGGGAGGCCATCTTCTCCGCTCTTGCTTGAGTTTTGGTTGTCAAGACCTGGAGTTAAATACATCGTCATTTTATCGCGATGTTGTTCAGGTCCCGAGCTGGTAATACTTGTTACGGTTGCTTGTCCCTCCTCCGTCTTCTCTGTGTTGACCGCTGTCGTGGTGCAACGTTCAGCGCGAGAAAGGATAGTTTTCGAACTCGGTTCTTGCGATGGGAGCCTATGTTTTCCGCATATGAACGATGAGTGCAAGCGAAACAGTTGTGAACATTGGTAGCAACGATACTTTCGCTCACCTGCAAAGAATGAGATGACAGGTGGATTTGAGTGAAATTATTGAGACGTATAGGCATTTGCTCTCCGCCAATCACGCTCGCGACCACGTGGTTCGCAACAACGTTCACAGCCTTTGTTCTCATGTGTCTTATTTCTTTTTAACAAAACGCACGCGCGCCCCATCCTTCTAGCTGGCTTCATTTCTTATTTATAGTACCTGCATCTGAACTACCCATTCAACAGCCTTAAATATCTACAAATTGTGTAAATTTTATGGTCTTGATGAGTGTTCTGATTTCATTTGGAACTTTTTTGTAATCGTTTCAATTACAAACTATAACTTACGCTATGACAATAGCACACTCATTGTAATTGTTCTTAAAGACTTTTTTGACCCGGGCCCTCAACACACCGAGTTTTATCGCAATATTAACATTTTCGACTACCGTTTAATTGTTTGAAAACCACAGGCATTTTCCAGACGGAAAGGGAACGGCCACGAGACTCTCTTTTGTGGTGCATGCATTGTGATTCGAGTAGAATAGAGCGTTCGTTCGAACTTCAACTCTTTCAATCGGAACAGTAAATTTCACGCGACAGCTGTGATTCACTTTGACTGAAAAGACATTACGGAATGCTCGGATTGTTTGTTGACTAGGGTTCCTCGATACTCGTAAACAATAGACGTCCTCGTAAACACGAGGCTCATCATAAAAGACGATTGATTGTCTAAATTTGAACAGCTGTTGTTTATTTCAACCGATGGAATTTTATAAAATGTCGTTGAAGTCCAATTTAGCGATTAATTCTCACAAAAAGACAAACATTCTTCATAGTGATATTGTAGTCAGAACTTTGTAGCTGTGTAGTGTAGTTTCTACATAATGTTTTGGCCACTCAATCGTCTAGTTATCCAAACGAACTTACAGTTCGGCAATGGCAAGTCGAAACAATTACACGGAAACCAGGATGGCTCCACTAGATGCGTTTTTTGTAAATATTTGCATTGCAAGCTTGCGAGGCACTATTAATTGTTGGCCAATTAAGTACTTCGTTACAAAGACAACCCGAGACGACGTCAAGACAGGATTGTTTTCGCAAGAGCATTTGGAGCTCAAAAATTTGACGAATTTACCATTATATATCAACGCAATTTAAAAGGAGCCGTTTTACGATTTGCTTTGCTAGGTTAGCATACCAAAAGTGAAATTTGCCCGTCCATTTTCATGTCTAAATTCTATCTCCTCGCGTCGTGTGACCTAACTCATAGTTCTTCTATTTCATGGGCTGTGTTTGCAAATAAAATAGGCTTTTGTGAGGGTACGCCAAATCGTGAATCTCTCGTCTTTCATTAGTTTTATTGAATTGTGCGTTGTCAATCGAGAGAGATTTTTACTTGCCCAATGTATATCGTGTGATGGGTGGGTCTGTAATGGTTTGTTTCGCGCTTTTGGTGTACACCTCCATTCAATTTTTTTTAATGTATTTTCTTGAACAAAAATGTTCGACTAATGAACCTAGCTGGCTATTCCTGTACGGCAATCTTTTTTCTCGTGTTTATTGAATCATATACAATAACTCTTTGTTATTCGTGGCACATTTTACTTAGATATTATTAATTGATAAAAGGTACAAAAGTACCTGCTGTTTGTGTATTCCATCGACATTATTAGCTATTTTAACCATCAGCTAAATCGATTGATGAAGTGCGAATTAAGTGCTTTGGAAACCTCTTAGCACCTAATTTACATTTCTGCCATAAACAGATGTAAAGTTTCAGACATACACGACCTGCTACATTACAAGAATTTTCAAGTATCGACGATCGTTTTATTTTAAAAAGTTCAAGCAGAAACACCGTATCCAAAAAGTTAGAAGAAAGCAGTTCGCCAAACTTTTTTCCGGGTTATCGTTTACAGCGACGGCAAAGATTCGTAATTGGAGGGGGGGGGAGAGGCTATATTTTAGTTCGTTAGTGTCTTTTTCAATATTTTACGTTAAAAAAGTTTTAAAGATTGTGGTGGACATTTTTTCACGGATTTTTTGTCATAATTTAGTTCGTTACAAATGCAGATTAAAAAATTTCTGAATGAATTTCAAAGTATATATGTTATGCGACAAAGTGTTCAGCTTGGCTTAATCCGCTGACCACGCCGTTATTGAACTACTGGTCTTTTTGCGTGGTTTCATCTTTCATCTAAAATACATGGTACGCTATCTGTAATAGAAAAGTCTAATAATTTTTTGAAGCCACATCATACACCCAGACACGAGTGTGTAATCAATCAATTTTCACTCTGCGAGAGAATCACTGAACACTACACACGCGTGACGGCGTGTAATCTTGCGTGTCTGGGTGTAAGATTTGGCTTCAATTATTTGCTTTAGTTGCGTTCCATGTATTGTAGTTCAGTGTTCCAATCACAGGATCGAGTATTTTATCTGGGCATGCGCAACACTAACCTATGTCAGATGCCAGGGCTTTATTTATTAGTACTTCACGACAAATTTTTTCGGAAGTCCAGATAGGTAACTCACTTCCCACGGTAATTTCTTTTATGATTTTACCATAGTACATTCCATCATCGCGATCTTTTTCAACGTTCGTCTCGCTTTCGTGGCGGAAGTAATGCATGAAACGTGACCACCACGTGCAGTTCAAATCTCTACATTGCAATTTACCATCCTTGAAGGTTACCTTTAAGGGAAGTATAAAGAATGTTAGGTTTAGTGTAATTTTTGTTTACATTGTCGAAACCTTCATCATTTTACGTTTTTCTTCATTTTTTTTATAACGTATCGCATTTTTCTAGTTTTTGGTTTTTCCATCGTGCTTTGCGCGACGCCATCTTTTATATGGACTTTCTTATAAAACAAAACATTAAACATGGTATTATTATCAATTCAGATGAAAAACCATCTTGAAACGCCTTTTGCCAATGCAAAAAAATGTAAATTCTGCTACTCTTTGATTGCAATGTGACGCTCCAGAGTTAAAAATTCCGCCTATATCAATTTGCTTGTTTCATCTGTACTGATATAAACTGCCTAATGCTTCGAATTTTATTCTAAAACTAAAAGGAATTGGCAGTTTTTATGCTAGATACGGCTAAGACGCCTCAACACGACGTCCTCATAATATCTAGTGTAAACCAAACAAAGACGATCTAAGCTAGAAGGGTGCAATAGACGTCCTTGACGTCGATTTTATGTTTTGGTTATCAAGTATAAAAACGAGAACGACTTTATCAGACGTTCTTAAAGTACTTATGCAGAGAAAATTTAACTTTTTAAGTTACAGTCTTATCAAACAGAACTTTTTAATGACCGAAGACGCTCTAAGACCGTTTATGAATATCACTGTTAATTCTCAAGTTATTAATGTTTACGTTTTGTTTAAAATGTCCCCGTTTTTGTACAACCATTGACGTCATATTGCATAATGAAATTTGAATTATCCAGTACATTTGATAAAATTTTACTACAACCGGGAAAAGATGCCCTCGTTGAAGAGTGTTGGTGATTTAAAATTTTGAATAGTGTTGATGATATTACATTTCCCATAAAAGTTGCCCCGAAACTGAAGGATTTTGGAAAGTGTCCGGTGTCTCATTATGCAATATGACGTCATTGCTTACAAACAACCGAACGTTACAAAAATTAATATCATCAGAATGAAAAGAGATATTCATTAACAGTTTTGGGAGCTGTTCACATGAGACCGGTAACCGGGATTCAGCGAAGCGTTAAATGATTTTGAGTCATTGAATGGAGCAAAAATTTCAAGCGCAAAACTTATAACGTTTTCTTAAGCGTCATATGTCATTTAACTCATTTCAGTTGTAAATTTCAAATCAGGCTAAATTATTTGTTTTCATTTTAAAGGTTTTGTGAGTTTGCAAAGTCCGAGCATAGAGAAGTTGCTCAAATAAGTTTTTTGTTGTGAAGTATTTAATCTTTTCCATTTTCCAAAACGATTCAGTAACACTTCGCTGAATGCCGGCTACCGGACTCATGTGAACAGCCCCTTAGAAAGTCTATTATGAATTCAAAAGTTCTATTCAATAAAGCTATAATTAAAAAAGCAAAGTTTGCGCTTCATGAACACTGTAAGCCAGATGAAGTACACGCAATGGAGTCTACTTGTGGAAGTAATGGTGCTAAGCACATCACGGAAGCCAATTCGTGAATCGTGAGAAAAGATCGCCAGAAACATTTATGTGATTGCTTTAGAACATCTTGTTTTGTTTCTAGACGTGTTAAAGCTCTTTCGTGTTCTCACTAAACCAATATTGGTTAATGCATTGAATATCATCGATGAAGTTGGAAACTTCAATTTTTTTGGTAAAGCAAAAATTATGCTAGGATAGTTAACAATAAATTATCGTATGATTATCGGATTCATTCTAAGAGTTTCATGGCTTTTCCACATTTCCTGCTAGTAGCCTCTATTCAATTTTAAATCGTACCAGATTCTTTACCACTTGTGGTATATTCATTTTCTCTTGCCATCAACTACAATACCAACCTGTCAATTTCCTGAAACAAAGTTTCATACAGTTTCATAGCGCAAAGTCGATCGTCTTCTCTATACGGGTACCATTTGGGCCACAGACGATATTAGTTAACCCATTTCTCCGTGTGAAATCCCTTCGCATACCATGCAATGATGCAAATTTTACCATTTCAAGTCTCTCCCCCCTATCTTCTAACATTAACTCGCAATTTCTCGTCGAGTTTGAGTCGTTTTAGCGTCATATTCACGCTGAGAAATGTGATTTTGAGTATCGAAGTAAGTAAGTATCCTTCGATATACGCTACCAGTTAAAAATGATAACATATATACGTAGGAGCGCTGGGTTAAACTTACACCGCCACAAGTAGCTAAAAGACAGCGAAAGACAGGTATACTGCTTCGTATACTACGGGTGGTCGAAGCGTTATCTGTAGTATATTTCGCTTTAAAACGCCTTAAACATTCGAGGACACGTCGTTTAAGTGGCTTTTTTAAATCCTAGGTGCATAGATCATAGGTAAAATGGTTTGTTTCGAAAATCACAAGGATCACCAATCAGAGCTCGCTAACGGCAAGGACAGCGAGCAATTCGAGCGCCAGTTGCTTATGCAAAGACCGTTAAGGGACCGGTTATCTGGTCAAATCCACAAGCAACTTCAGCGCATGAAGTTTCTTCTTTCCACTACGGAGAGTTTCGACGACGAGCGATAATGAGGGAGTAGCTTTTGATCACCGCCATCATACTGATGCTGTAGACAAAGCATGCACTTATTGTGAATTGAGTCGAATTGACGACTTGACCGAATTGCCCCAAATGGGATAGTTGCTTAAAAGTGCGTTAACAGGGTACCTGAATGGATGCACGACTCGAGTTTTGTGCCCCGAATACGGTTTCAAAAAGGATTGTACAGCTGCAAAAGATATGAATCACTAGGTCTTTTAGCGCATGCGCCGCAGGATGGAATATTGATGTCACATCAATGTGTCACATTCACAGGGCACATTCATTAGTTGATTGTCCTGAGCAATGCATAATGGGAAACAGTTCCCCGATTACCTTTGTAGAACACGATCTTTTTCTTTCTTTGTTTGCCTTAAGATAAATATTATTGAAATCATTCGAGGGACGGAACTCACCGCCTGCAGGAATACCCGAGTTCGCAACAACGTCAATCTCTTTTTCGCACTTTTTCTTGCACTTTACTATACTCTTGTAGTACAAAATCATAGTTTTTACGTTTTTGTAATACAAAGTATAATAGGCCGCAAGCGAGTGAACCAACTTCCGCCTTTAGTTCCACCTTTGATATACACATATCGTGGATGCATCACCCAGTTGATATGCATATCAGTTGCCGGATTAGCGGGCAACGAACATGAATGAAAATTAGATTCATGCTCATGCGCATAACACGGAACAACATATCATTGTTAAAAATAGTCTCGTTGCTCGGATATTGAGGAGTCTAGAAGCAGAGATTAAAATAAGTTCCTGTTCGTGACAAGTGGCCCGAAAACTACGAGTTGGGTTTCTTGAGTTAACGCACTTATCCGCATTCTAACATGTGGCAGCAGATGATTGTAGCCACTAACATTATAAAAACACCTGTTTATGTGCTGGCCAAAGTAGGATGCCATTAGGTATGACGTCATTTGGCCATATTTCGTGTCTTGTCAGTTTTCTGGTGGCATCAAGGAAATGCACCGTATTGGTTTGGTAGCAAATAAAAATTACCAAGACAAAAATCGAATTTTTTAATGTAAATACAACCGTCCGTTGCAATTGACGTCGCCAATCGAGAATTCTAATCAATATGTTTAAGTATTGACAATTGATGAATAAACAATGTCCCGCATTAAACGTTTTAAGAATGCATGCGTGATTACAAAATACTTCAAGCCATCAACAGTCGCCGGGAAACGCGACTGTTTTGCTAACTCCACTTGAAAGAGTCGCCAAACTCTCGCCTACAGAAGCAATAAGCGTCGCACGTTTTTGCCTTTTTGAAATGGTTTGTTGTCACAAATTTACAGAAATATGCGACCTTCTATTAGAGGGGCGCGCAAGTGACGAACTTTCGGTCACAATCTCCCGTTTTCGACTGTACACTTAAAGGTACATTTAAGGCGTAAATATTTTAACAGGTACCACGTAACTGCCCCGAAAGATAATCTTAACGAAGTGCCGAGCACCAGTTCGGTATAAAATACCTGTCAGCTTATACACACGATTAAATAGCTGCATGAGAATTGAGCAGGTTGCAAAATTTCCTACTTACGTTTTCTGTCTATAAAAATCGCTGCGAAGTCCGCGCGGATTCGATCTCGTCACCACGAATTGAGTGCGTTTCGGTCTTGACTGCAGAGTTCAAGAGAGGCGTTGAACGTTTGAAGGAAGTAAACATGCGTATTTGTTTAATAAACAATAGCTTTTCTATTGAGAATTACCTAGGTGACTAAAAACGTGCAAAAATAGGTGGGCAATTACGTAGCGAAACTCAGTTGTCGACGTGCATTTTCAATGTAAAATGAACGGTAATTTTGCAACAATTATGGCATTAGGAGGCCTTCGAAAAATGTTTCTATTGCAATTAAGGGCAAGCCTGACGAGCAATTAGAAGCTCAAGAACTTGCTACTAGGAAAAGACGCCTGTGTTTCAGTTACTCTAGAGCCTGCGTGGTTCAAACGTAACGTTTATCAACCGATAAAACGACATACCTAAAAATGAAAATTTTTTTCTTTTCATGCTGTTTTTCGTTGCGTCCACTTCGGGTCGATTAGCATCACACAAAAAAAAAATGAAAAAAAAAGGGCCTCTGCAGACCTTCATGTTATATTTAAGTCGTGACGATATTGCGAGACCGTATCACTCGAAAAAATATCATCGAGCTTACGTAGTAGATTGCGAAAAAAAGTTAGCGTAGCGTAATGACATAAACATTTTCGACACGCTTTCCTTGTATGATTATACTCACTTACGCAACCATTTCTATAGAACAATGTTTAATCCTACACGCAGAGACAGATGGCACGAAAAGGGCTAGTGGCACAATCAATTTCCAAGAACAGAAAAAATAAAATCAGTTTGACGAATTCACATTGTCCCGGTCGGATAAGATTAATGCATCTGATGTCTTTGTATAAAGGAGAATTTTGAGAATTTTGATCTCCACAAACTTGCGTCGCAGCATGATTGGTTCAATAAAAGTGACTTTTTCTCGAGTTAGTAGTTTCACATTTGATTTCCACACCATGGACGACTGCTGACCAATCAAGATCGTTCACAAATGTCGGTCGTATTCTTCGGAAGTTGGTGGAATGTAGCTGCGAAAATCAAATATAAATTTGCCGTAAAAGCGCGTTTCCTTCGATAATTCTACTGCATTCAATTATTTTCAACACGATTCCATTGTGTCTGCCATGTTTTTCTCGACTTCAGGAATCTGTTGTATCCTCTGACGGTTTTGCCGTCTCCGTCGTCAGAGGCTGCTCTGCGCAAACTGACTCCGGAAACTGTAGTTTTTCACATCTCCTAAACTTCACTCCAAGTTTCTCGTAGATCGTCCTCGCGTCTTCGTACGGATCCTAAAACATGCGATGAAAGAGTAACATGAATGTTAGTTGCAATTCAAAGATATACGTTAGTAAGAGGGATCGTGGAGTGAGAAGTGTAGGCAGGACGCAAACATCCATGATAGGCAGGTTGCATTAAAGTGCGGGGAGGAGAGATCGGAAATTGTATTAAAGAAATCGCTGCGTAAGAGAGTGCATGTAGATTTTTGTATAAGAGGAAGAAGTCTCTGTATGTATTAGTCTGAAAGAGATTTCACGATACAAAAGATATGTTTGTAATAAGCAATTCGGTTAAAACAACTGTAATTAACGAATTGACAAAAAATGTTGTATATATCTCGAAGGAGATTTGGCACGTCTCTTTCCAATACATACAAAAGACTAATGAATGTATCATGAAAGAATCTTGTAGATAAAAGAGAGATATCTCATTAGAAAAAGATCTGCTAGATATAAAACAAGTTTTCATATTGGAAACAGATCTAACTGACTGATACAGGAGAGATGCGTGTACGACATCTGCCAGATGCAACTGTTCGTCTTGTACGATGCAAGAGAAATGAATATCAGCAGAAAGAGTTCAAAGGCGTAAGAGAAATTTCCGCATAAGAAATAGATTTGCTACACGAAAGAGAGGTGTCTGTATTAGAAAAAAATCTGCTGGATTTAAGAGATATGTATGTTAAATCGTATATAAGCGAGAAATATCCTTATTAGAATTAGATCTGCTCAATGTAAGAGAAAGGTGTTCACAGTGGAAACAGAGAAGTATCTATTTGAAATAGCTCTGCTAGATACAAGCAGATATTAGAGATACATCTGCTAGGTACGAGAGATATTTCTGTACGAGAAAGAGGTCTGCTGTATAAAAGAAAGTTGTCTAGAAACAGATCCACTAAATGAAAGAGCAATGTCTGTATAGAAGTATAAAATTGGCTAGATCCGAGAGAATTGTATGTTTCAAAGAACAATCATCCATCCGGCTGTTTCACTATAAAATACTCGCCTTTAATTCCGCTGTACTTTCTTCCCTTGACGTATATTCCCTCATAAAGTAATCGTTTCCGGCCTATCAGAGAAAACACGAAGTTTTCAAGTTTCAACACAATCGAAACGATAAAAAACATGGTGCAAACCGAAACACGGCAGAGCTGCTGTTACCACATAATGAATCCTCGTATCGTTAACACGAACTATAACGTCGTCAACACGAAGATAAAATCGTAGCAAAATGAAAAAACTGCCTTGCATTATTCTCTACAGACGAATTGAAAAAAAGGGAAATAAAATTAGTTCTGCAAACTTGTGAAAGACAACCAAATCAAACACGAGAAATTAGTGGCACACCATTTTGACACTTAACAAAGCGCAACCATTATCGGCTAGCTCGTCTTCGAACAGTATCATGTCCTCGTAGAAATATATCTTTTCCTTCTTCTTTAAAACTTCAAGGTCGATCATCTCGTCTGTTTCAACAACCTATAAAGTTTTAAAAAAGAACAAGTTGATCTTGAGAGCATTTATTAAGACTTCTTCACGAAGAGACATCAAATGACATCAATAGTTCTTGTTGTGGTGATGAATCAATGTGATGTAGGTGTCAGTTGGTCTGTTGTGTCAGCTTTGCAAGTGCCGTTGCATCAGACAATTGAAGGGAAACAGACTGTCAGTCATTGGTATTGTATGATTGTAGGCTGGCAGACTGTCAGTCATTGGTATTGTATGTTTGTAGGCTGGCAGACTGTCAGTCATTGGTATTGTATGATTGTAGGGTGGCAGACTGTCAGTCATTGGTGTTGTATGATTGTAGGGTGGCAGACTGTCAGCCATTGATATTGCAAGTTTGTAGGGTGGCACACTGTCAGTCATTGGTATTGTATGATTGTAGGGTGGCAGACTGTCAGTCATTGTTATTGTATGTTTGTAGGGTGGCAGACTGTCAGTCATTGGTATTGTATGATTGTAGGGTGGCACACTGTCAGTCATTGGTATTGTATATTTGCAGGCTGTCAGACTGTCAGTCATTGTTATTGTATGTTTGTAGGGTGGCAGACTGTCAGTCATTGGTATTGTATGATTGTAGGGTGGCAGACTGTCAGTCATTGGTATTGTATGTTTGTAGGGTGGCAGACTGTCAGTCATTGGTATTGTATGATTGTAGGGTGGTAGACTGTCAGTCATTGGTAATGTATGTTTGTCAGCTGGCAGACTGTCAGTCATTGGTATTGTATGTTTGTAGGCTGGTAGACTGTCAGTCATTGGTAATGTATGTTTGTAGGCTGGTAGACTGTCAGTCATTGGTACTGTATGTTTGTAGGGTGGTAGACTGTCAGTCATTGGTATTGTATGTTTGTAGGCTGGTAGGCTGTCAGTCATTGTTATTGCAAGTTTGTAGGGTGGTAGACTGTCAGTCATTGGTATTGCATGATTGTAGGTTGGCAGACTGTCAGTTGTGGGTACTGTATGTTTGTAGGGTGGCACACTCTCAGTCATTGGTATTGTATGATTGTAGGGTGGTAGACTGTCAGTCATTGGTATTGTATGATTGTAGGGTGGCAGACTCTCAGTCATTGGTATTGTATGATTGTAGGGTGGCAGACTTTCAGTCATTGGTAATGTATGTTTGTAGGCTGGCAGACTGTCAGTCATTGGCATTGTATGTTTGTAGGCTGGCAGACTGTCAGTCATTGGTAATGTATGTTTGTCAGCTGGCAGACTGTCAGTCATTGGTAATGTATGTTTGTAGGCTGGCAGACTGTCAGTCATTGGTATTGTATGATTGTAGGCTGGCAGACTGTCAGTCATTGGTTTCGTAATTTTGTAGGGTGGCAGACTGTCAGTCATTGGTAATGTATGTTTGTAGGCTGGCAGACTGCCAGTCATTGGTATTGTATGATTGTAGGCTGGTAGACTGTCAGTCATTGGTTTTGTAATTTTGTAGGGTGGCAGACTTTCAGTCATTGGTAATGTATGTTTGTAGGCTGGCAGACTGTCAGTCATTGCCATTGTATGTTTGTAGGCTGGCAGACTGTCAGTCATTGGTATTGTATGTTTGTAGGCTGGCAGACTGTCAGTCATTGCCATTGTATGTTTGTAGGCTGGCAGACTGTCAGTCATTGGTATTGTATGTTTGTAGGGTGGCAGACTGTGAGTCATTGGTATTGTATGATTGTAAGCTGGCAGACTGTCAGTCATTGGTGTTGTATGATTGTAGGCTGGCAGACTGCCAGTCATTAGTATTGCATGAATGCAAGATGGCAGAATGCCAGTTATGGTAATCGGAAGGTGGTAGAGCGTTAGTTATTATTACTACATGAACAAAAAAAATGTACAACATAGCATGTACCTTAAATTTCATGTCTCCTTTCTCAATTAAAGTTCCAGTGTAGCTTGTTGTAAATGTCCAATCAAAAGGTTTCACTATGTTTGTACACTGTTCACCATTAGCCCTGAAGCATAAAATGTGCAATCCCATTGTTAAAATTTTCAATTTGCACAACTTCACATGACCCAGTTGGAACCATAAAAATACCTTGACTTTTGCCAATCTTCAGCACATGCTACTTTCAACAAATCTTGTTCACTGTTGACTAATCGTAATGCATCCAAAGCATTAAACTCCAATCCAAAGCCAGATTGATGTTGTACGCAAAGACAATTATCACCAAATACCATTTCAGGTAGCGAAGGCAGCTTAAGTTCTGCAGTAAATCTATAGGTTGAAAGTTCGCATGGTGAACTGTCTTAAGGAATTACACATACTCCATTAAGCTATCTGGGACATTCACATCAAGAGGTTAAAACAAGGGAGAGACGTAATCTTTCTTATTTAGGCCTTGAGTAAGTGCAGTCACTGTTCAGCCTCGATGCAATTTGCCTACTGGTTACTGTTGAATTTTTCGCTTGTAGGAATTTGAAACTGAAAAATTCTACGTGAAATTGATATTTATCAAAGTTTAAAAGGAATTTCTCCCTCACATGACAAGCTTTAAATTAGCTTTTCAACAGCGGGGACTACGAACCTTTCTATAGTATCTGCATTCAAGATTGTACCTTTCGTAGAAGTTACCGTCCATGGTCCAAAATCAAAAGTTTGTGTATTTGTCATAACAGCAACAGTAATATGATTTCAAACTGAACAATTACATTTGTTTATAGATTTGTTTATTATTGAACCATGTTATGCTCCTAATGTTTTGTAAAGCCTGGTTTTAGTTGAGATGAGCCAGTGGTATATTTAACAGCGGTGTATCGGTGAAGCATATGAATTTAAAAATGAACTTCGTTCGAAATAAAAATCATCTTTGAAAGATTATTTGTTGGATTAACTTCTCTTCATTCAAAATTTTGTGAGTAGTTGCTAACTCAAGGCTCTTCGGATGGGTGAGTTAACTTAAAATCTCTGAATTAAAACCTGGGCAATTTTTGCAAGGGATTCCGAATCATGGCAGGAAGACAAGAAATAATGCAAATGTGATTGGTCAATCGGCGTCATATGACACAATCACAGGTGATGTAGTTTGTGGCGGGGAAGGAGCACGTTTTGTGATTTAAAAAATATAAATTTCGCCGCGAAACCTTTTTTGTATTTTCAAATGGCAGATCCGAAAGAAAACGGTAGGGCGATGCCAATAAGGTTGTTCTTATTGTGCTTGTCTATATTTCGTTTGTTTTGTGTCTCAAGTCCGCATATTTCAGGCAATTCTTTTGATAAAGTTCAAATTAATGTACAGAACCATTCGACGACGCCGTGGAGGAGCGAATTATCAACGAAGAATATAAAATATGGAAAAAAAATACGCCATTTCTCTACGATATGGTGATGACGCATGCTCTGGAATGGCCTAGCTTGACTGTTCAATGGTTGCCAGACGTTACAAGGTAACCAATTATCCACAAGAATATGTTTCACTTGAAAAGTCAAATGTTTTTTTTGCAAGTATCGAAAATTTATGAAGCATGATGTTGCGTTGTCTGATGTAGTGAAGCTTCTTTTTCTGCTCATCATGGGTACATCGCCAAAACGTTTTTACTTTTGGGCCTAAAGTAACACGTTGCAGGTAGAAGGTCCGTAAAGCTGTTGTGCTCTCGAACTCTTTTTGAATAAAGTGCATCCAACTGTCATACAGCAGCCAAAATCATTTGTCAATTTTAGAAAGCTGTTTGCTAGTCACGGTCAATCATATCAGCCATTTTGTTGACAATCGAAGTACGCTGATATTTCATGTCAAATTGTTTATAGACCCGATGGGAAGGATTATTCCAGTCATCGTCTCATATTGGGAACTCACACGTAAGTGTCAATTGACAGACAGTTTAGGCACTTCGTTTTGAAAATCATACGGTGTAATCAGACTTGCCTTTCACACACTACAGCACAGTCAGCATTTTACCAGTTACCACCATCCCATTATTGTTGGCTTTTGGTCATAAGATAGGTGGCCATTTTTACTGGGTAATTTGTTATACAAGTGGTCCAAACTGAAAAAAGAGCAGAACAGGCTTGATGGTCTGTATTTATAGGTATTTCCAAATGCAGGCTCTGTGGTACTTGTAATGAATATTAACTCCATAGTCAAAGGCCTGCTGTGAGATCTCAGTGTGTGATCACTTCTTGTCTAGGCTAAAGGCTTGTTCGTCAAGCATGTTTTTGTTCCAATGAAATTTTGATATGGAAAAGGACTATTCTAGCTTTATAATGCCATGCAGTATTTTCATAAATAAGCACATTTCAGGTTGCTGGCTGAGCAACCTCGAATAGTGTTGGGTGCAAGATGGTTTTGTAGGAAGGATGCTCTAGTTTGTATTAGATTTTTGCAGTTACTTTTTGCTGTAGCATGTCAAGTTTTTTTGATAAATGATGATTGGGTGATTTTTTAAGTGCACTTCATCAAACACTAATCACAACCACCTTTGCTTAATTATTTGATATGTTAGCATTTTGTAGAGAAATTGACAGCCCTCCAATTCACCCCCTCTAACCAAGACTAAAAGGGAGATTACTTCACCGCACCCCTTCTCTGGCTCCTAAATCAACCCCCGTTGTCAAATTCTAACAGTCTTGCCTTCGCCAGGATCATATAAACAGGCTCTAAATGTAATCATCATGATGTGTTCAGGTCTGATGAGCAAAATCATTTGGTTATTGCAACCGTGCATCTTCCAAATGACTGTATGAAATTTGATGCTAGCGATTATGACAGCGAAAAGGGAGGTGAGAAGTAATGTTGGCAAAGTTGTTATTTTTACCCGATGTAGTTGAGCAGAGAATGTGGTCTTACACTTTGATTGATTTTAGAATTTGGAGGTTTCGGATCCGTGAGTGGAAAGATTGAGATTGAAATCAAGATAAATCATGAGGGAGAAGTGAACAGGTTGGACTTCGTTACTCTTCGTTACGCTTACACATTTTTTCATTTTGAATGAAACTTAGTTGCAAAAGCTCATTTTTAGTTCAAAGAATGCTCTTAAAACCGAACTTTTTAATTTTTCTACAATCAACATCGTAGAAAGCTTAGTCATTGTGACATTTGACACGTCTTGAATGAGACAGAGGGAAACAGTGTGTGTTTTGTTTTTTCGAGACCACTGTTATTTCTCAAAGCAAAGCCTAGGGAAAGACTTCAAGTTAAGAGTCAGCTAAACACACTGTTTGCCTTGCCGCTGTTATTTCTCAAAGCAAAGCCTAGGGAAAGACTTCGAGTTAAGAGTCAACTAAACACACTGTTTGCCTTGCTCTCAGTCCATGAATGATTTATCATGCACCAATTTTCAAAGAGAAAAGTGACAGCAACATGAATAAACGTGATATTTACTTTTCCTAAAGAAGATATAAATCAGGAAGATAAAGATAAAAAATACTCGATGCATTAGGTTAGATGCTGACAAAGTTTGCCCAAAGGTGGCATTTTCATATGATGACGAATGTGATTCTTTTTTTTATCTATAAGTACTGGTAGATAACGCTATTTGTCACTTGCAAGAAAACCGCTTAATGCCCTCACTCTCATGTAACACTATCTCAGACCAATGAAAAATAGACAACCCCACTTGCGAAAGAAACAATTTCCACATTTGGAACAGGGGAAGCAGTTGGCACAGACTAACTCGTTTTTTGAAAATACATTATAAATACACAGTCAGACTAATTTGTATATAATAATGGTTGTCGACTTGTCGTGAACTCGGTTATTGTGACATTGATTGTTGTGACCTTTGTTACTGTATAACCTTTGCTGTTTTCACTTTAGTTGTAAGTTTTTACCTTGATTATTGTGCCATGAATTGTTATGACCTGGGTCATCCTGACTTTGATTACTTTAACCTGGGTTACAATAAAACTTTGGTTATTGTATCCTTTGTTGTGGCATTACTTGTTGTTGCCTGGGTTATTGCAGAACATTAGTTATTATTATTATAATTGACTGTTGTTTTTGTTGTTAATACAACTCGCGTATTTCAAATCTATTTAAAAAGGTCATACTGTGTGTGTGAAGGAGCTCGTGACTCTTTGAAGGATGGTTTTCAGTTCTGGTCATGTATATGGCCGAGTTACCATCGATATGTGATGATATGACTAACCTTGCAACTCCATTCCGTCTCAAAACGTTCGAAATTCACATGTCATTTAAAAATTTTTTGATGCTCTTGTTGTTGCCCGTGTTATTGCAGAACATTAGTTATTATTGTTATTGATTATTGTTATTGTTGTTAATGAAACATCTATCTTACTAAGATGCATTTAAATTAGTCATTACAAATGATGAGAATTGCTTGTTATATTATAATTGTGAATTGAGTTCGACATGATTAACATGTGATGTGTGTTTCTCCTTCAGAGCAAGATACATGCCTCAAAATCCCTGCATCATTGCAACCAAAACTCCTTCATCGGATGTGCTTGTTTTCGATTATACTAAACATCCGTCAAAGCCTGGTAAGTTTTTATGCAATGTTGTGCTAGAAGTTCACAATGCGATGGAACTTAAGTTTGCTGTTTTTCTACCTTTGTGTCCATCTTTGTATCAAGCTTCATGTCTACCTTTATGTTTACCGTTGTGTTTATCTTTGTGTCTACCTGTTTGTCTACCTTTGTGTTTACTTTTCTGTCTATCTTTGTGTCTACCATTTTGTCTGCCTTTTTTTAACGTTTTTGTCTATCTTAGTATCTTCGTTTGTGTCTACTTTTCTGTCTATCTGTTTGTCTACCTTTTTCTATCTTTGTATCTACCTTTTTGTTTACCTTGTTGTTTATCTTTTTGCGTACCTTTGTGTTTATCTTCGTGTGTACCTTAGTTCACCTTTATGTCTGCTTTTTTTATCAAGATTTTTGTTTATCTTTTGTCTATCTTTTTGTTTATCTTTTTGTTTTTATGTCTACCTTTATGTCCATTATGATTTCTGAATTGCCTGCTTCAGTTTTTAAGAAGTTTACAAAAGTCTTTGTGATAAATACACATTTCTTTTGCTCCGTTCTATTGAACTAAGTGAGTTTAATCTTGTGTTAAATTTAGACCCAAACGGTGGCTGTAATCCTGACTTGAGACTCAAAGGACATCAGAAAGAAGGGTTTGTGCTTGTTTTTTATCTTCTATAGCGGGCTAAAAGAATGCTCCTTTTTAATCTGGTGCACATTTGTCGACAAAATACTAGAATCAACGAATTATGCTCCCAAACAAGTGGAAACATCCAAGTTTTTCCCAGTGAAGTCCATTAATAGAGTGCACTGGTTGCTCCAAGCAATCGTTTAATATGTGTAAGGTTCAAAGCTAATGATTCTTTGCGGCTAATAATGTTATCATTCTTTTAAGGTATGGTTTATCGTGGAATAGCAATGCAAATGGGAATTTATTGAGCGCATCAGACGATCATGTAAATATATTGTACTCATTCCTTTTTGGATGTTGGCAAGGGATGTTTTAAGGATGTTTTAAGACCTCGAAATACCCTGCGAAGCGTGAGTCATGTTGCAGAAAATACCCTTCCCAGTAAAATTTGACATAATATAAATCCTAACACGGTTATTATATGCGCATGAAAAACATGTGACTTGGACGAGATTTGAACTCGCACCTTCGGGATACTAGTCCACCGCTCTACCTGTTGAGCTACCAAGCCCACAGTAAAATTTGATAAACTGCAATTTCGTAAATGCTTTTTTATTCATTCGTGGCGCAATTTAATTTAACAGCGTAAGAGACGTGTTTAAAGCATTCATGCTTAAAGCGAGAAGTATAAAGAGATGAAAGGAGTGAGAACTTTGTTTCAGTGCGGGGCCAACAAAAGTGCCTCGGAGGCCAAATGCTCCCCGGTATTCTTTTAAAACATGCCTTGGATATTGGGCAAGGCAGACTCGTTCGTTTACTGCCATCCGATCGGTTGCAATCATGATAAGACGATGTCAATGTCAGCAATTTTATCAGACAAGCGATCTCTTATTGTTGTGGTTTTTTTTCTGGTTGGTTTTTTATTGCGTCGAACGTTCATTGAGCGACTTGAGTCGTGTGCTGTGAATCATGATGATACTTCATTTCATTTTCATCTTTGTTTGTTTTAGACTATATGTTTATGGGATATCTCTGGCTTAACAAAGGTTGGTTTGCTTTAAATCATTTAAAACTCGTGGATTTGGGCACGTGCTACATTCGAAAAACATATGATCGTGCTCCAGATGACAGTTTGGGTCAGTGGCGAAGCCGGCCCCGTTTTTTAGATCGCCCTGAATAAAAAATTTCGTGTTCGTTCCCTGAAACAGTATTCAAATTATTGTGCTCAAAAAATGATTGTACAGAAGGGTCACTCAGGTGTACAACGTGTTCTCATGTCGGCCATTATTCCAGCCAGATGATTAGGATTTCTCACTTGTTTCCAACCATTAAAGTTACATGACGTCAATACTTAGTAATGGATTCAAATATATTTTGACTTAAGAAATGACTTCGGATCATTTTAAAGGTTTGAAAACAGTCAAAAACCTTAATCATCTGGCTGGAATAATGGCGGCCACCATGCGCGGCACGACATGCGCGAGGACAAAAACATCAAAGGTTCCGACATGAGTGACACTTCTGTATATTCTTATTCTGTGCTATTGCGCTTAAAAAATAAATGGTAATTTATGTGAAAATTTTGCACAGCCAGAGTCGATGCTTGGGTGGACTTTGTCATTGTTCAATGTTTAAGTACGGAAAGATTAAATATCCTCTCGCCTACCTGTATTATCTCAGTTTTATGCAACTTGAACTTTAGCATTTTAAAAGTTTCCCACACCAACCAATTTGCCCCCATTTAGTGCGTAAATCCATGAAGTTTAAGCGTCGACCACGCTCATTTTGGCAAAATCTACTCTTCCTAGCCCATCTATGTGAGTTAAGCATACCTTCCGTTGAAGCATCACGCATAGATTGATACTTACATGTCACGATGTCAACGGCCCAGTGGGCAAAATATACTCACCCCACCCCCTTTGGTTAAGCTAAGGGTACTTCCCATTGAAACATAAGACTCCGGTTTACAAGCTCTAGTAAGTCTTGCGGTTTTGAGGTTTACAATTTTTATAGAAATAAATCGCAACTTTTATTTCATGTTTCGACATTTTAGGAAACAAAGACGCTGGCCGCTGAAAGAATATTTACCGGACACACGGCAGTTGTGGAGGTTTGCGTTGTCCTTCTTGACATTTTGTGTTGTGGAGGTTTGCGTTGTCCTTCTTGACATTTTGTGTTGTGGAGGTTTGCGTTGTCCTTCTTGACATTTTGTGTTGTGGAGGTTTGCGTTGTCCTTCTTGACATTTTGTGTTGTGGAGGTTAGCGTTGTCCTTCTTGACATTTTGTGTTGTGGAGGTTTGTGTTGTCCTTGACATTTTGTGTTGTGGAGGTTAGCGTTGTCCTTCTTGACATTTTGTGTTGTGGATGTTTGCGTTGTCCTTGACATTTTGTGTTGTGGATGTTTGCGTTGTCCTTCTTGACATTTTGTGTTGTGGAGGTTTGTGTTGTCCTTGACATTTTGTGTTGTCCTTGACATTTTGTGTTGTCCTTGACATTTTGTGTTGTGGAGGTTTGTGTTGTCCTTCTTGACATTTTGTGTTGTGGAAGTTTGTGTTGTCCTTGACATTTTGTGTTGTGGAGGTTAGCGTTGTCCTTCTTGACATTTTGTGTTGTGGAGGTTTGTGTTGTCCTTGACATTTTGTGTTGTGGAGGTTAGCGTTGTCCTTGACATTTTGTGTTGTGGAGACTAGCGTTGTCCTTGACATTTTGTGTTGTGGAGGTTTGTGTTGTCCTTGACATTTTGTGTTGTGGAGGTTTGCGTTGTCCTTCTTGACATTTTGTGTTGTGGAGGTTTGTGTTGTCCTTGACATTTTGTGTTGTGGAGGTTTGCGTTGTCCTTCTTGACATTTTGTGTTGTGGAGGTTTGTGTTATCCTTGACATTTTGTGTTGTGGAGATTAGCGTTGTCCTTGACATTTTGTGTTGTGGAGATTAGCGTTGTCCTTGACATTTTGTGTTGTGGAGGTTTGTGTTGTCCTTGACATTTTGTGTTGTGGAGGTTTGTGTTGTCCTTGACATTTTGTGTTGTGGAGGTTTGCGTTGTCCTTCTTGACATTTTGTGTTGTGGAGGTTTGTGTTGTCCTTGACATTTTGTGTTGTGTAGATTAGCGTTGTCCTTGACATTTTGTGTTGTGGAGGTTAGCGTTGTCCTTGACATTTTGTGTTGTGGAGGTCAGCGTTGTCCTTCTTGACATTTTGTGTTGTGGAGGTCAGCGTTGTCCTTCTTGACATTTTGTGTTGTGGAGGTCAGCGTTGTCCTTCTTGACATTTTGTGTTGTGGAGGTCAGAAACATCCCGCCATGTTTCGACAAAACCCATGCACGTTTTTAGCACTTAGCTACTCTTCAACATTATAACCATACAATACGCGTACTTCAAATCTATTTAAAAAGGTCATACTGTGTGAAGGAGCTCGTGACTTTTCGAAGGATGATTTTCAGTTCTGGTCATATACGAGTTACCATCGATCTTTGATAATATGACATACATTGCAACTCTATTCTGTCTCAAGACGTTCGAAATTCACATGTCATTTAGACATCTTTTTTGATGCTCATCAATTGCATATCATTCATATTTTCTTTTTTGAATAAGATTTTTCAACAGTTTCTTTTCTTGTTTCGTAGGACGTTTCTTGGCATTTACTACACGAGGCTCTTTTCGGCTCGGTCGCTGATGATCATAAACTTATGATGTGAGTTTCTTGTTCAGATTACAGTTGAAATTCATATAAAGGCCGATGATGCACGGACTGTGAATATTCTTAGGCCCGTTTCAAACATTGCATTTTACATGCGCCGAACGCATTTTAAAACAAAAGAAAATAAGATAAAATTCCTCGTTATCTTTTGTTTTAAATGCATTCGGGTCATGTAAAATGCGACATTTGAAACGGGCCTTACTCAGAGCTGTATAATATAGTGGATAGATAGGGGAAATAGAAAGGAAGAATAAGCTTTCGGACTGCCCGCGAGACAGCACTCACAAAGTCAGAAGATAGTGACACAAAGGGGCTGAAAAGATGAGCTCGATAACCGGGACTCAGCGAGGCGTGAAATGATTTTGAGTCATTGAAAGGAGTAAAAAATTTAAGCGCAAAACTTATAACCTTTTCTCACAAGCGTCATAAGTCATTTTAGTTGTAATTTTCAAGTCAGGCTTTGTTTTCATTTTAAAGGTTTTATGAATTTGCAAAGTCTGAGCATAGAGAAATGACTCAAATAAGTTTTTGTTGTGAAGTATTTAATCTTTTCCATTTGCCAAAATGATTTAGCGCTTCGCTGAATCCCGGCTACCGGGCTCATGTAATCAGCCCAAAAGTCATAATACTTATTTTAATCTTAATTATAATTGCTATCAATTTAGCTTTACCAAGCTTGAGCTCGAGGCGTTGATACTTTCTGAATTCTTTAAGCGTTTTAACGTCATATCGATTTATCAATATTGTTGCCAATGAGGTGCCAGGCGGGAAACGGATTCTCAATATAAATATTAGAGCCCAACAAATAATTTTAAACATAGCCATAAACAATTTGGTTTTATGAAATTTATTAAAAGAGTGACGTTTCGTCTTTACTCAAGACATCTTCAGACTAATTAGGAAGTAATTATCAATTGTTAATTTTTCAGTTGGGACACGCGCGCGTCCAGTAGCAGCAAACCTACTCATTCAGTCGATGCTCATACTGCAGAAGTAAGTAAAATTTATTTAATTTTCTACTCTTTATCCTTGGATTGTGGTCTCGTCGAAAGTAGTCATTACTGTGTACATTTTAGGTCAATTGTTTGTCTTTCAATCCGTACAGTGAATATATCCTAGCCACTGGCTCAGCCGATAAAGTAAGTTTCAGGACTGCTTCTCTGGATATGTTAGGATTATGAATATATGGATTGCTTGGAATATTAGAGAGCTTTAGCAAGAGTGCGACTACGACAACGAGTACGAAGTTTGACCGTGTAAGGGAATGGCACGAGGAAGAATGTCGTTATCGCTTCGTCAAAATTTAGTTCACCCTTTACAAAATACATGAAAGTTTTCAAGGTCATATTCTCCTTTTAAATGTACATATGCGCTCAAAAAAGGTTCCAAAGTAAAGCCTGGATGCTCGAAAATAGTATTGTAAACTAATTTCCTACACAATGAAAAAATATACCTTCTTTCTTTGCTTAAAAAGACATCGTAGTCGCGACTACGAATTTTTTACAAAACATCCTACTCAGATTGATGACGGCTACATGTTGTTGTTGTCAAAACGATGTTTTTGCGCCAAAATGACGTAATTTGTACTCGTAGTCTTTGCTAAAGCTCCCTATTCCTTTCTCTAGACTGTTGCGTTGTGGGATCTTCGAAATTTGAAATTGAAGCTTCACTCATTCGAGTCGCATAAAGATGAAATTTTCCAGGTCTGATAACTTTACTTGTGGTTTTATTGATAAACGCATTTCTTAAAGTCGTACATGATTAATCTTTACGCTGCGATTTTTTTATTGAAATATGTTGCCGGCAGGTTCAATGGTCACCTCATAACGAGACGATTCTGGCTTCAAGTGGCACGGACAGAAGACTGCATGTGTGGGACTTGAGGTGCAAATAAATGTTATCTATGAGTTTGGAAAGTGTTTGCAACGCTTTAATAATTAACTGAGATGATGTGTGTCAATGTAGTAGTGATGAATGAACAACAGAGAACGAGAACTGTTTGTACACTACCTAAAATATAAACTAAGATAACGTGTGTCAGTGTCGGTAGTGATGAATGAACAACAGAGAACGAGAACAGTCTCTACACTACCAAAAATATAAACTAAAATAACGTGTGTCAGTGTGAGTAGTGATAAAAGAACTACAGAGAACGAGAACTGTTTGTACACCACCTTAAATATGCACTAAGATAATGTATGTCAGTGAAGATTGTGATGATTGTAAACAGAGATTTACACTATGTGTAAAACGTAAACGACAATGGTTTCCGCCAGTGTAGTGTCTTGAGAACTGTCTTCGCTATTTTAAACATTCATTGAATTAATGTAGCTTGCCTCATGTGTAGCTCGTAATTTTGATGAAAAATATGTTAAATGCATTAACAGTAAAATCGGGGAAGAGCAATCACCAGAAGATATGGAAGATGGCCCTCCTGAACTACTGGTTAGCATATTTACTATATTACTTTGATCTGCAGTTCTGATCCGATTATCTAAACACTAGATAGTAATCCAAATTCCGAATACAATATTCATCTTTAACTTATTCATTTCGCGTTGAAAGAGATGTGACAATAATCAATAATCAATAATATTTTGATGTTTTTGCAAATTCATCATCAGACTGAGGCGACAAGCTAATATTGACTCTGATTAATATTACAGATATGATGACGTCATCACGAAGTTATTATACTAAATGTTTATTTACATGTAATATAACTCAGAGCCACTAGCTTGTCAGCCAAAGATGGATATTGCATTCGGAGTTCGTCGTTTCATTTTATATGTTATCCAGATTTCCTGACCTCCTTTTATTTAACAGTTTATTCACGGTGGTCATACGGCGAAGATATCCGACTTTTCGTGGAATCCGAATGAACCGTGGGTCGTGTGTAGCGTCTCCGAGGATAACATCATGCAAGTTTGGCAAATGGTGAGCGGCGCTGTTGTCAATGATGTCTCCTAAGGCCTGGGCACAAAAAAGCGGCCGGTCAACGGACGATTACCGTTCACTTGACAACTTTCAGTTTGTCAAGACCTCATTTACACAGAATAATGATTATACAGAAAGGTCACTCGGGTGTACAACGCGTTCTCATGTCGGCCATTATTTCAGCCAGATGATTAGGATTTCTCACTGTTTCCAACCATTAAAATTACATAACGTCAATTCTTCATAATGAATTCAAGCATACTTTGACTTAAAAAATGGCTTTCGGATCATTTTAAAGGTTGGGAAAAAGTCAAAAAACATCAAAGGTTCAACACACGAGTGACTCTTCTGAATATTCTTATTCTGTGTCGTTGATCTCTCCACCTCCCCCATAATAGTTTTGAAAGACTGAAAATCATTCACCTTATATCGCAAATCTCACTCATAACGTAGCCGTCATAGTAAATAATGACTGATTTTTATACTGTACACATTCCAAACGCGTTTAACCTTCTTGCCTTTTTCTCCTTGGTGGGACTTACTTGCCTTGCGGGCGAAATTTCTTGCCTTGCGGGCGAGCCCCTTTACTAAAATCCTGTCGGCCACTGGCGTACCGATTTAACTTCACTGAGAATTATATAGGCATTCGTGCCCTGAAAGTGCATTGTGTAGTCCCCTAACGAGTAGGTAATAAGCATCTACTTTTCATTCTGGTGCGAACGAAGGCTGACTTTCATCTTGTGCAGTACGCTCCACGTTATAATTGTATCTGTTTTCAGGCTGAGAACATTTATAACGATGACGAAGCAGACGTAGCACCTGGCGATTTAGAGCAAGCGCCAGCCACTTAGTTCACTTGAAGACACAACCTAATGAAAGCGACTCCTTATGGACACATGCAGCCTTCGCATTTTGTATCATATCCTTCAACTGAACTATTATTGCATGCATTGTATCAATTTGTTCACACATCAGGTGGATAGTTATCTATTTGTAAGAGATGATGAAGTTTTAGGGAGTAATGTTGGAGGCGGTATTCATTCAATGTTTCGCTCTCAATAGACCATTTATTGATTGTACCTTATATTGGAGATACATCCACTGAATATATTGCCATGTATTATGAAGTAATACTTGATGTAATAAAAATCATTTTTAGACAAAAATGGGGATTTCCCTTACGTCGTTAATTCTTGCAAATTATGATAATTTATGAAACATTGATCTTCCCATCTCATATATGCTGTTTGTGGGGAAGGAAGTTATTGGCGTGTTTGATTGCTTTTTTTGCAGCCGAATCGAAGAATGGCCAGTGTTGCGAATGCTGCCGAATTGGATATAGTGACGTGCTCCATTTGTAAAGATATCTTTAAGAATCCAGTGAAAATATCTTGTAATCATTCGTAAGTATGGTTGGTATGTTCTAGTTGAAAGAAAATTTAACTATGTTGATTCAGCGACGGTCATAGTACTGATTTTTCCTTTCTGTCTTTTCGTTTTTTGATTTTAATTCTTAAGTTAACTTTGAATCACATGTCTGGCTGTGATTTTGTTGAATCGACATTTTGTTCGCAGTTTCGTTTTTACTGTCGGTTGGCAAATTCCAAGAAATTACAATCCACAGCTTAAGTCTCTTTTTCGTTTGTTTTTACAAATGTATATCAAAAACAATTGTGTCAACAATTTTTAATGGCATGTAGCCTTTGTTGCTGCTTTGATGATTGTGAACATTGTTCACTGACTTCACTCTTTCCGATTGGACAATGGTGCCTTTTCTAGTTTGACCTACTCCATTTATTTTTTCCTGATAGATTCTGTGAGGATTGCATTGACAAAACTTGGGCAGCCAGTGGTAAATATACATGTCCGATATGTCGTACTGCATGTGATGGAACGAAGAACGTTGACTTTAGAATAATACAAAAAATGTCGGAATTGACAATAAACTGCAGTAAATGCTCTAAGAAAGTAAGTACGAAACTTGCCTCATTTTTCATTACCATGTGATGCTTTGGTCAAGTTTTATCTTTGCACCAGTGATTCCCCATCAAGGGGATGGTGTGGGGGGGGGAGGGTTGTAGTGTGCTGGAAACCAAACTGAACTGTCAACTTGGGTGCAGCATGAGACAGGTTTTCTTTTCACCTTAGTTTTGCTGTTTTTGCTTAATGAAACAAATACCGAATGGACTCCTTTTTGAGAGGAAACTTACATGTATTGAAACATATGCTATTTTGTATTTATTAAGCTGTTGAACTCTTCCACTTTCGAAACTTGGAATTTCCAATTGATACTTGATAGTACAATACAGATTTGAAATAATTAATATTTCACCAAAACAACTGAAACTGAACAACTATTTTCACTGTTATGTCTAAGTGTTCACTAACATTACCAATGACCACGACATTCACAATATTATGGATCATAAACTACAAGATGTGGCTTGTGAAAATCCCATTTGGAAGTCAAATTATCTTTTCTTAATTGTGCTATTTGATGTGGTCAAGTTCGGGTTGTATGTAATTCATAGTTATTCACAAAATGCAATTTGAATGAAAAATTACAATAATTTGCATTGATTTTTATCAGTTAGTGTATTATTAACGCTTCATAATCCAATCTTCATAATGCAGTTCTGTCCTAATCGAATCCTTTCATAATCTAATCCTTTTATAATCTAATCCTTTCATAATCAAATGCTTATAAGTTTGAAGTGAGAAGATTTTGCATGGAGGAAATCCAGAACTTTAGCCAGGCACATGATCACCTTAAGGAAGTGAAGTGAGGCTTAGTTCTCTCCTACACTACCTCCTGTGAAATGTGAGAAGAAATTGTCAGCATTCTTCGTTTCTCAATCATTCTACATTGAACCTGTGAGTTCTGTGGACTAGCAATCGAATTTTGTTTTTTCAAGTAAATAAGCAACTTGAAGTATTTTAAATGTAACTATTGTCGTTAGTCGTATCTTTAATGCAACTATTGTTTCCTGTGTAACCACTTCTACGATATTTTTTAACAGTTTAATGTGTTTCATTTTATAACTGTGTGAACCAGGAACTTTTCCAAATTGTCCCCTTTAATTATCGTTCCGGCTATACATTTCATCATACCAGTATATATTGTACAGAACACCAAACTATTGTTCTCTATGCAATTTTTTTTTCTTTAGGTCTTTGTGATTGAATACAGACGACATCAAAGAACACACGACCAAACGTCGTCTCTCAGCAGGACGCCGTCGAGAAGGTAACAAGCTTCAAACAGATAAGCCGGTTTTCTTTTTGATTGTCAACGAAAATCTCCTTGGTGAAATTTGAATAATTTATCAATCAATTGTAAAGCGAAACTGGTTATCGATCAATATTTTGTATTCGTATCTTCCATTCTGAATTGTAATACTCGTGATCTTTCCTTTTGCAGATTGGGTAGTTTTTGTGGTAGCAGCACTCGTCGTAACATCTACACTTTTCCTTGTCCTTATTGTGACAAGATGTTTGACCGCGAAGATTTGATACGTCACGTCTTGGCAGTTCATAGAGACTGCGATCCAAAAGTTGTAAGGCATTTATTGACGTGCAGAACTTGTGCTATTCTGCCGACCGCTTTTATCACCATAGTTTTGCTATATTTTAGGTAGTATAAACAATTTTCTCGTTCTCTGTTGTTCATTCATCACTATCCACAATGACGCACGTTATCTTAGTTTATTATTTTGTGTAGTGTAAAGACTGCTCTCGTTTTCTGTTGTTCATTCATCACTACCTACACTGACACACGTTATCTTAGTTTATTATTTTGTGTAGTGTAAAGACTGTTCTCGTTTTCTGTTGTTCATTCATCCCTACCTACAATGACACACGTTATCTTAGTTTACATTTTAGGTAGTAAAGACTGTTCTCGTTCTCTGTTGTTCATTCATCACTACCTACACTGACACACGTTATTTTAGTTTACATCTTAGGTAGTAAAGACTGTTCTCGTTCTCTGTTGTTCATTCATCACTACCTACACTGACACACGTTATCTTAGTTTACATTTTAGGTAGTAAAGACTGTTCTCGTTTTCTGTTGTTCATTCATCACTATACCTACTTTGTGTAATCTTACTTTATAAATTAGATCAAAAAGTCGGTCGATACTCTTTTGTTTTTGCTACTAATGCTGACCGGCTGACACGCATGAATTTATATTTGTATTTTGTGTAAAGATATTCTCATACTGTTCTCTATTTGTACATAATCGTTGATTGTTCCTCGAGAGAATATTTATTTAAAATCTTTACAAATCTTAATGCTTTAATGTTGTCGGTTCATTTTAAAGCGATAGATATCCTTTCCCCTGTGCATTGTCCATGAAAGTGTTGATAGTTGTTCATCGTTACTCTTAGGTGTGCCCTATTTGCAAAGTTATGCCTTGGGGAGATGCTAATAAGAAAAGTGACAATTTTTTCGATCATATTAAGAAGCGACATCAATTTGATTACGACAGATTCGTGGTATGATTTCCTTTCATTTTTGGTTGTATGGGGCTCTCTGCGAAACGGAATTAGTTCGTTGTTTGAGGGGGGGTATTTATATCAAATTTTACGTTTAAGAAGTGCATATTTTGTCAGGATAAACCAATGTTTATTTGTATCCTTTGGGGTGGGTTGCGCGAAGCCTGGATAGCGCTACCCATTGGATGGCGCAAATTTTCAAAATTGTAAAAAAGGTGTTTAGATTTTTCTCATGACAAAGACATTTTGTTATCTTCGAAACAATATTTTATTTCAGTGATTGCACAGTTCAAATCGTATATTTTTCTCTTACAAGAGGCTTTGTGAACGTTCAGAAAAATATGCTATCCAGTAAATTGGTTTTTCCAAAAATGGATAGAGACCGGGCTTCTCTTACCTTACACGTTGTCTGCTGTTGTTGATGGAAGGTTTTAAAATCACTTACGACAGACAATTGCTGACTACCCTGCAACCTTTATTTTGTTATTGGTGGGAGGCTTTTAATTGACTTACAACAGAAAACTGCCGACTACCCTGCAAATTTGTGTTGTTATTGGTGGGAGGCCTTTGTTTTAGTTACGACAAACAGTCATGCCCCTCAAAATCTTGTACCCGCTTGAGCCCTGTATTTCGTGTGGATAACCGTGGCATTTCATTCACAATTTATATATTTTAGGATTTGAACCAAAGCGAAGAAGATTCCCTTAGGAATGCGTTGATGCTTAGCTTGGAACAGTATTGAAATGCAAAACTTTACACCGGTGAGGGGGGAACTAAATTTTTCAGTCGTAACCATGTCGGAAAATTCCGATTACGAATAGGCATTCGTGCTTCATTCTTGTGTGGACCTACGCCCGTGTTCTAAAAACTCACACCGTCACAATTACTGAGTGCAACGTACAAATCCCGCTCCCACTACAATCAACAACGGACTCATTTCTACATCGATGGCAAGGTTTTTGCTTGAGTATTTCATAATCAATAAGTGGAGTGGAAGTACCGTCTTCGAATCGTCACGAAGTGATTTTGAATCCCCACTCAGCGAGTTTTAGCAAGCTTTTAGAATACGGGCTTTTGACTCTAAGACTTCTATACATCCTCCTTATTGATGTGTTTGTTTTCAGGCTGAGAACATTTATAACGATGACGAAGCAGGCGTTGCACCTAGCGATTTAGAACAAGCGCCAGCCACATAGTTCATTTGAAGACACAACCAAGTGAAAGCGACTCCTTATGGACACAAGCAGCCTTCGCATTTTGTATCATATCCTTCAACTGAACTATTATTGCATGCATTGTATTAATTTATTCACACATCACGTGGATAGTGATCGATTTGTAATGGATGATGAAGTTTTTAAGGAGTAATGTTGAAGACGGTATTCTGTATTCATTCATTCGTTCTCAGTAGACCATTTATTGATTGTAAGTTGCATTGATGTTGCATTTAAGATGAGGTTAATACGTATGGTAATATATTATCCAATAATACTTTATGTAATAAAAATAGTTTTACATAAAAATGTGGACTTCCCTTTACGTCGTTTCGTACTTATTTATTTATGTAAATTTATTATAAAACATCGATCCTCCTGGCTCACTGGCTCATATAAATCAGCTTATTTTAGTAGGTATTGTCGTATTCGTTTATCACTTTTGCAGCCGAATCAAAGAATGGCTAGTGTTGCGAATGCTACCGAATTGGATTCAGTGACGTGCTCCATTTGTAAAGATATCTTTAACAATCCAGTGAAAATATCTTGTAATCATTCGTAAGTACGGTGTATGTTAGTATTTTTATGTTATTTTTCGCGTTCCCTTGCTCGTTAGAGATTTTTTGCGAGGTGAAAGCTGGGAAAGTTTTTGCGTACTATATTTAAGAACAACATAGTCTTTGATCCAATATAGAATCAAGTCGTGTTGTTAAGTTTCATTTCTGTCGGAGAAGTCGAAATTTGTTTGACAAAAATCAACCGTGTACACATTCAGCAACATTCCAATTAGTCACTTTCGTCATTTCGTTTTTCGATTTTTCCTCTGAAACCCCGAAACAAATGTCTCAGCTTTTTTCTTTAATTAAAATATTTATTTGCAGTTTCGCTTTTATTTTCGTTCTAGGCGAGTTCGAAGAAATTTTGTTTTGAACCACAGTCCGCATTCCTTTTTCGTTTAATTTAGTACACGTTCTTGTTAAATGGAGAACCGTATGTTCGTCTATGCTCGGAGTTCTTTTGTATCATTAGAAATAATTGATGTGTCCATAATCTTTCGTGACATACAGTAGTCGTTGCGACTTCTGTGATTCTTCACTTGTTTCGATTCGACGCGATTTCATACTTGGCTCCTTTATGCTCCTTCGTTTCAACCGATCACAGATTGCTGCTCTAAATTGCCTCTCAAATTTGAAACCATCGCAAATGCGGAAGTCTTAATTAAATGATACTTAGGCTGACCAGCCTGACCTTCAAGTAATCTTAAAATCCTATTCCCATCCGAAGAATGTTAGCCACTGTTGCAATACCTGTGTTGACGGGTTGCTTGCTCAGTTGGTTGATCTCCTTCAGTTTGAGACCAGTCTAGATCGAGATGTTGATATGAAAAAGTTCAATGAAGATATAAAAAATTGAATGCTTTTTGACTTATTTCGATTCGACGAGAGAACGTACACTTTGCTTCGTAGCCAAATTCGATCTTTTGTTCTAGCCAGTTACAGATCGCTGCTCTGAATTGAAACGTTGGTATATTAAGAAATTTCGCCAAAGTTATCAAAACTTAGGCTCGACTTCCAAGTGCCATTTTTACCATTGCTCGTCGCTTGGGATTTTTTTCGTTTCCGCTCATGTCAATTTACAAATTACTAAATTGAGCTGTCGGTATTTAGACTTTCAATGAATAAAAAAATTTAAAGCATGATTTTTGAATAGTTCTTTTTTGGGGTTTAATTTGCGTTTGTTCTCGCCCTAATAGATTCTGTGAGGATTGCATCGACAAAACTTGGTTAGCCAGTGGAAACTTTTCATGTCCAATTTGTCGCACCGTGTGCGATGGAGCGAAGAACGTCGACTACGCTATTATGCAAAAAATGTCAGAGTTGACTATAAAGTGCAGCAAATGTTCCAAGACAGTAAGTGTAAGCTTCTTGCGTCGTTGTGTAATGGGTGATGTTTGGATTAAAGAGTGAGTGTCGACCATCATGCATTGCGCGCGTGTTTGACCATTTCGTGAAGCAAGAAATGAATAAACTGGCAAGAATATTTTTAATTGAATTTTTCGTACTCGTCGCAATTGTGCAATTATTATAATTATGCAACAACTAGCAACTGTTGATGTGTGTGATTCTACAATTGTTTTAGTATTCTTTTGGTAAAAACGGTGAATGTGCAATTATACAAGTGAAATACTGTGAAACCCTCTCATTCCCGTTAAAATAGACAAACGAGTTCAATGCATGGTGGTTTTTTAATTTGCATCCTCGTATTGATCTCTCAGTCTCGGTAGGTAAGGTACAGTGGCATAGCCAGACCGGCGTTTTCTAAACTGGCGTTTGTTTTCATGGTTTAGGTGTAGCTCGGCCAGGTTAGTAAAATCGCGAGAAGGACTCTTGGTGTTGATGTCGACTGACGTTTCCAACATCAACACCAACAGTCCTTCTCGGGACTCCACTGACCTGGACGATCTACAACTACAAACATGTAACGAAACATCCGGGTGCAAACTATTTACTTTATCATGTGATTTAGTTGGCTCTGAGACATGTTTCAGAGCAAGGAACGTTTCTAAAATGTCCTTTTCTACGTATTTTATCTTCAAGAAATTTCATCTCGGGTGCGTTGCACAGTACACAAAACGCGTTTGTCCATTTTGCAACTTTTTGTTTAGATTATCGTAATACAATACAGAGAACATCAAAAGACACACGACCATACATCGCCTTCGACAAAGTAAGTAGCTTTCTAAGCAGACATTTGCATGTCAACATGTTCAGAAAATTTCAATTGAGCACTTTGTTCGCTATGACGGCAACAAGATTTATTTGTGGTCGGAGGAGGGGAACACCTCAAAATGTCACTTACATAGATTACACAGTACTTGATATTACAAACATTTTCAAGATATACATATTTATATAAATACAAAGTGTTTAACAATGTGCCCTCCCGGCTATCACCACAGTAAAATGGTGACTACTGCACATGGGACGCAGGATGTACGGTTTTTAATAAGTATATATGTGTGTATAAAGCCTTCGTGTGAGAAATATTGTAGGGGCGACTGTCCCCTCTCGTCGATGCCTCTGTTTGTCGACCATTAATGGATGCTATAGAAAATTAGCTATCGATGATTGTACCTTACATTTATGTCTTTCCTCGTTTTCTTTGCTTGTTCAGCTTGGGTGGTGCCTCTGGTAGCAGTACTCGTTGTAACATCTACACTTTCCCTTGTCCTTACTGTCACAAAATGTTCGCCCGCGAGGATTTGTTACGCCATGTCAGTGCTGTTCACAAGGACTGCGATCCAAAAGTAGTAAGACATTTTTTGGCAGACCTTGTGCTCTTCTCCTAACCGCTTATCTTAGTTTGGATTTTAAATAGTGTAAATAAAGTTCTCGTTCTCTGTTGTTCATTCATCACTACCTACACTGACACACGTTATCTTAGTTTATATTTTAGGTATTGTAAAGACTGTTCTTATTCTCCGTTGTTCATTTATCACTACCTACACTGAAAAACGTTATCTTAGTTAATATTTTAGGAAGTGTAAAGACTGTTTTCGTTCTCTGTTGTTCATTTAACACTACCTACTCTGACATACGTTATCTTAGTTTATATTTTAGTTAGAGTAAAGAATGTTCCCGTTCTCAATTGTTCATTCATCATTACCTACTCTGACATACGTTATCTTATGTTTAGCTAATTTAGCTTTTCTTGGACAATCTGTACTATGTATATTTTAGGAAATATTTATCTCCCCCCCTGTCGATTGGCAACGAACATGTTGACAATACATTCATCGTTACTCTTAGGTGTGCCCTATTTGCAAAGTTATGCCTTGGGGAGATGCTAATCAGAAAAGCGACAATTTTTTCGATCATATTAAGAAGCGACATCAATTTGATTACGACCTATTCGTGGTATGATAATAATTATTTATTGTGTGTGTGTGGTCAGGGGGGTGGGTGCTCCTGGCAAACGGAATAACGCAGAAACCATACGTCATTACGTGTTCAAACCATTTAATGTCCACAAGTCATTAAATGTTAAATCCATTTGATGTTTGCATTATGAATGTTTTATCTGGATAAAACAGTGGGATGAGCCGGTAAATTTTACGTCCGTTTCGTGTCTGGAGTACATGATGCACAAAGAAGCTTCAATATTTGTATCTAAGACCATATAGAGTGTTTCACTGCCCTAGGTCGTAAGAGAAACCCATATAGCGACGAAAACTTCTGTCGATTTAACGCTGTGTTGAGCATCGGCGCTGTAATTAAAGTTACCGAACAACATGACCGCTTTCACGTATCCTAAAAATACACAACATGGAACTGGGCATTAATAATTCCGGTTAGGGGGGCCGGAGGAAATTTAGAGGGGCCACCAAAAATTTTTGTGCTTTTCAGGAGGGAGTAAAATTTTAAAATTAAGGAGGGGCAAGAGAAACAAAGTTAGTAGATCAGTTCGTATAACGTTGTATCACAGTATAGAGAACATACAGTAGGGCCACTCCATTGAACTTTTTCGTGCCATGCATTTCTTATTACGCATGTGGTTACCATATTGGCAGCCAGTAAATTGCATTGTGTGACCAATAGGATTGACGATATGGCAAACGGCAGCCAGTAAACTAATTAAATATACAGCAGCCAGTTGCACAGCGAAGTGGCCCACTGTATATTCCTATACTGTGGTTATATTAATATAGTGATGGACTCGATACAGTATTGAAAGGTAATAAAGTAGTTATAGCAGGAAAGTGGTAACTTGTGAGTAATTTAATTCAAAATGAGGGGAGGGGTTCGTGAAATATCTCGTCTTAATAAGGTGGGACATCAAATAACCTCGTTTAAGATCGAGAGGTCACGAAATAGATTTGCCATTCAAGAAAATTTCCTCCGGCACCCTGCCCGTAATTGATATCGACCATTCCCTAACTGATTATTATCATCCTTACAATATTATGGGTCTCCTGTTATTTGTCGAAGGCCTTTAACTTTTTACGACAGACGATCAAGCTCTCGAAAACTTCACGCCCTCCCCTTATTGTGTGCGGCATTATTTTTTCACGATTTATTTATTTTAGGAATTGCACCAGGACGAGGAAGCATCCTTTAAGAATATATTGAACCTTAGCTTGAAACAGTATTGACATGTAACCCCTGTATAACGGTGAGGGGCGAACAAAATTTCCATTCCTACTATTCCTACTATTAATTACTGATATCGAATAATTTGGTCAAGCACTCGAGAATACTGCAATCGTATAAGAGCTTGTGCTCAAAAGTTCATGTTTTCGAAATGTTTTTGGTATTCGGGAACTTAAGGCGTTGAAAAAATGTATAAACAGTTTTTGAAGGCAAAAATGCACTTCTATTTGCTTACAGGACATGGGCGGAGAAAGATCGATAATTGAGGGTGAGGGGAGTATTTGTACGTATATATATGTTCTACTTAATTAGTTCCATTAAAAATCTTTTGTTATTACGGATCATACAAAATGAGTATCCTCCCCTCCCCCCTTTTTATGGTCAATCTTTCATCGCCCCTGTAGGAAACTAGGAAATAAGTCGATAAAGAAAAATTTCACATTTAACTCGTGTGTATTTAAAATGTTAGTATAGAACGTTCGTATTTTGTAGATAAATACATACATTTACTTAATTAACAAGTAGCGATCTTCGTTTAATTTCTGCAGTTCGTTGTTCAATTCACTATATGAGTTCAAGTAAACTCAGTATATGTCTGGAACGATAACTCAAAGTCTAACTAATGCATGGTCTCTTGTGCAGCCTTTAAAAATGAACTATCACGCTACAAATAACTCGTGACATGTTTTTAGTGCCCTTTTTTGGTACGTTTATAACTATATATATATATATCTCCAATGATTGTTTAAGATTCATGCACCAGATTTATTAACATATTACTGATCTGTTTTACTTAAATCCTCAAAAGATTTGGACTTAAAGAGGTGGTCTTCGCTTTGCGATATGTCCAAAATCGGCTCCCAGTTTTCCCTTTGGATTTCTTCTTTCGCGAAACCGATATCCAAGAGGTGCGGGTTCGAGCGCGAATTTGCGAGCCTGCAAAAATACAACATCGCTTTTTACCTGTCGTCGAAATTGCGTATTTCAACGAACTTGAATTTTAAACCTGAATTCAAACTTTGCTGCCATGTTTGAAATTAAAAAGGACGGTGTAGCTTTTGAGTTTTAGGAAGTTATACCAGACATTTCACTGGTCGCGAACCTTACGGACACCGTTTATAAGTGAACGTTTAATTTACATTTCGGCAATCATAGTATTAAAAAGTAAAAATCATGGTAGTTTGGTCACTTAGTGATTAAATGTACTCGAAAGCCTCGGGAGGCAAGTAAAAGATGTTCGACCTCCCTCGGCTTTTGAGTACGATTAATCACTAAGTAACCTCACTACCATGATTTTTTTATAAATAATCTCTCCCGTAAGCTAACAACACGCGTGTCGTGGTCCATAGGTGTCGGCTCAAGGGAAGTTCGACTGTATTAACATAAATGAAATCCAAAACATATAAGAGCTAGCGCCATTATCATGAACCAAAAAACCCAGCTAGGAAATGACGCCAAGTTGGCGCAGCGCTAATATGAAGCTTTTAACTATTCGCTTTGAGACAACGGCTCCCTATTGTGTTGTACATGTTGTACATGTTGCACACGTTATACATGTTGTACATGTTGTACATGTTGTACATGTTGTACATGTTATACATGTTGTACATGTTATACATGTTGTACATGTTATACATGTTATACATGTTGTACATGTTATACATGTTATACATGTTATACATGTTGTACATGTTATACATGTTGTACATGTTATACATGTTGTACATGTTGTACATGTTATACATGTTGTACATGTTATACATGTTGTACATGTTGTACATGTTACCTTGTGCCCTATACAAACGAGCGCACTTCATGTGCCGGACGCACGAGGACCAAAAGACGATGACAAAATTTAACTCGTTCAACGAAAAGGAAGAGCTACATCGCGTAGCAAAACATGGCGTGGCAAGGAATAAATATCCTGTATCATCAAGTATCGCTTCTAGAACTTACTTCGTGAATTCTTGATCAAATTCGTCGTCGAAGGTGAAATCCTGTAACGATGAAAATTATTTACCTTGAAGAGCACAATTCTAACGAATGCAAAAATGAAGATTTTCTACGCACGCAGTCACTAACCAGTTTTCGAAGGCTTGTCTTCTTTCTTGTCGATGGCGGCGTCAGTTGTACAGATGGTGCATCAACAGACGAAGAATTTCGGCCTGAGTAATCATCATGTGGATGTAGAAAGTTGCCGTTGAGAGGCTCCGAAGATGTTCTCATTTGAATGGAGGAACCGTTCGACATATATCTGTCGGTCTCAGATTTCAGCGCGCCATTACTGGCGAGGGGGGACGGTCGATCGGTTTGTTTTTTGTCTTCTTTGACTGCCTAGAGGAGACAATTCCGTCATCTTTAAAACCTGAATTTCTTTGTATTTCGTTATTAAACATACCTCCCATGTTTCGTATGCAACATTGAACGCTTGCGCGAGGGTTAAAGCAATTGCTTTGGCCTAAAACGACATATTGATAACGTAGCAATTTTACCGTTGATTAGAAAACGAAAGAGTCGGCGATGTTACACCCAAATTATGTTGTGTTTTTTCAACGTTTACCTACCATTTTGGGTTTGGCGCACAAGAATGCCCGACATCTGATTTGAAGGCTTTGTTTTTCTCTCGCGTTGAACGCAAATATTCTCGGATGATTGGGATCCGCCGTACAATATGAAATTCTAAAATTAAAGCGAACGTCAAACCTTCAATCGACGTCCAATTTCGTTCCCAGGATAAGGAAATTGCGCTCTATGAATGGCACGTGTATACTACAATGGTGAGCATGCGCGCATGGTGTCTGTTTCAGCGGCGGAAACTTTAAACATGGAACTTTAAACGAAGGGGTGTAAAAATCATTGTTAAAATGAGGATTTTAAGTCTATAGAGTCACACGTTTGTTCTATTTCATTAATTTTTTGGAACTTCACAACAAGATGAAGTATTTGGTCTTTTGTTTCCATTTCAGCTCATGTATTTTAAGAGTAAATTCTACTTTAAAGTTATCTACAGCGTCGTCAATCACAAACACGAGAACGAAAATGGCTGAAAACCGAGGTGAGTTTTCGTCTATTTTTATCGACTGATGATTGAAAAATGAAGTCTTTAGTAGTATGTGTTTAAAATGTTCTGGGAAGAAGGATAAAGCAGTGCTTTATACTATGTTTTTATGCGCCTATTATCATATATCTTCAACCGGACTATTAAAATTTGATATAGTCAAGTGTAGTGACTCAAGTTAAGTAGAGCCCAACTACTTACCGAAATATTGGCATTACTTCTGCTTCACTCTAAAAGAGTAAAAACCAGTGTGAAATGTAAAATGAAATAATTACAAAAACTATGGTATTGTTGAGTATCAAAGTTTGGTGTCGTCGACTCCATTTCAATTTTCAATTGCAGAATTTGATGTGTAGATATCACACATGCAACATCTTTGAGATACTTGCCTCTTTTGATAGATCCTGTATTTTAATATGTTTTGGTGTAATGGTGAGAACAACCTTTTCCAGTTTCGCGTCTCCCTTCGACTTCTTCCACTGTGAGAGATGGAGGAAAAAATGTCACGGGAAGGATTGTTCTAGACAAACTCAATTAAATCAGGAGTGGCTTTCTCTGGTGCGCACACCCCTCTAAAAAATCTCTTATAAAATGTAGGATACTATAGTATAAGCTACAAAATTGTCCAACTTTGAAGTACAAGGGCAAGGGAAATCCTTTTCTAGCATGTTGAGCCCCTCTCCCAAGGGGGGATCACAGCCCCTCCGGTCAGATGAACATAGATCCTACCCATATTGAAATAATGTTACAACCTTTGCTTCAGCTACTAATCTGTTCACAGCTTCGTCAGTGACACCATGTCCTTGGGCCTCGCTCGCCGGACCGCAACCAAGGTACTATTGTGCAATAATCATACTTCAAATAATTATTGTTCATTCAAGTGAAAGCTTCAACTCTTGGAGTATTTCACAACTGTTTACCTTTACGTAAAACGAGATTCCGTCGACGAGGGCCTCGTTTTCGTGCAACCAATCTTCGTCCAAAGCTTGGCGTTATTTTGGAAAAAAAATATCGTTAACATCACTTAATTTAGATTTCCTATCGCAGGAAGATTAACGCATTGCAGAAATGTTTAGTATTGGACCATATTAATTATATGAACTTAAGGAATGACGCGCGACAACTAGCCACTTGTCGAATTTGAGAAATACATTGCTCGTTTCGAAAGTGTTTGAAATAATTACATCGAATAATGGAAATTACGATTATAATTTCAGTCGTTCGCAAATTATCGAGTTATTTACCGAGCGACGACATAAACAGGTATTCGAAGATTGCAAATATTGTTACCAAACAATAAAAGTCAATATCGCCAATTCGGCTTATTATTTATTTAAACAAATATTCCCACAAGGATTTTCATCAAGTATATGAGGTAAAAATTAAATTGGTATTTCGAAAAAAAACGACACTCTCGACACGATCAACCCTTATGTACTGCTTTTCCCCAATAGAGTTCATGTTCGGTTAACTTTCATCATAATCACGCGACTTACTTTGATGTCGGCCAAATCTTTCGTCAAATTTCTTTCTCAGTAACTGCGGACTTCTTTTAACTGCGTCTGCAACCCGACCGGCTCTCCCAATAAATGCCATTTCTAAACGACGAATGACATAAAAAACCTGCTATCGATGAAAACAGTTTTAATGTATGTATATGTATGTATACACGATGATGCTCGATTTCACACTCCTACTGCTAAGACAAATGAAATCAGTTTGCTTGATGGTTTTCTTCTGCATTAGCATAAGATAACTCAACAAATGACGATTTGCTCATCAAGTAGAGGAAGCGTGGGTTGACTTATTGAAGGCACGACGCCACATACTTTCAAAACAAAATCAATTCACGTCGAGGTTTTCCTTCGATGTTAAACGAAATGCCACCCCACGACGGCGCGTTGGTGTTTTGCATGACAAAGCGTTCATTAGCCCAGTCCGTAAATCCGTGACATATGACGACTTGGCGTTTTGCCGTCTCAAATGACAATTCGTCCTGACTCCCTTGTTTTGTTTTGCGTGACATAATGGTTGTGTAGTAAAGTCATTTACCTTTTTAAGACGACACATTGGGGTGTGTCGTGCATTGTGAGTTGTGAAAAAGACAACTTTATACATCGCAGTGAAAACAGCTGCGTGTCTTTCGTGTCTCGACATGTTTAATCATATCGTTGATAGTCAAGCAGTTAAAGTTTTTTTTTCTTCGCGTATACATGACATTGTAAAACTCGTAAAGTTCTATATAACTTATATATAATTGAAACTTGTAGAAAATTCAGGCTTCTGCGCGATCTTCACATCTTATTGTTCAAATTCTTTTCTCTGTGAAGTTTGCACCTGGGTCCACACTTCGGTTGCAGCTTGCAACATGTTTTATTGAATTCTAACACTCGTTCCAGGAAGGCAATTATAACGTGTGCAACCAGTTCCAGAAACATCGAGCTTTTAGCAAAACACTATTCCCACCATTTCTTTCGGCTCTATTCATGTTAAGGAAAGTCTATTGTTTTTCAAGAGATGCGCTATATTAGGAGACAAATGGGCCGGGACAGTTGCGACCCCCTAAAGTTTTTTTTTATGATGGGAAACCTAAATATATGGCAATTTTTTATATGATAATTTAATAAAGTGATTTATTTTGAAATAGCCGTCTCGGTTATCATATAGTAGCTTTTTCGTCGTAAACACTAATTTAAAAATCTCGAAACAGTCGTTTCTGTGAAAATATGTATTATTGGCGCCATCCATGATGGCGTCTCGTCAGATTGCTCCCTCCCCCTCCCCCTCTTTTGTATCGTCCACCACCCCCTGCCTGATACTTGCTGTTTAGCTGTTTAAGCTATTTTTGCTGCTTTACGTTGCTAGTTAGCAATTTAGCTTAATACAAAAGTTAATACAACTTATCCTGTTCTGCAGTAATTGTCCTTAATCACCTTTGTTTGAATACTGCTAACTATCGTTCGAGCACAGCTATTTTAGGGACGTTTTGTCACTTCAAAGCATAGAATAGAGAATACATGTAGTAAACATTCTACGCTTTACTGGCCAGAGTAATGGCGGCCGTTAAATTTCCAGTATGCGCAAAGCAAACTTCGCGACACGCCTGCATCAAAGGTTACCGAAGCGAGTTGCCCTCCCGTGATTCTCTATTCTATACTTCAAAGGGTAAAATTAACACGCACGCACCCTATTTCGACTTCCTTTTCGGCGCTCTCTGCTTTTATGACGTAATGCAAATATTGACTTCCACAAGGAAATGATCTCGTTGCAATATCTCGTTGCCATGTTACCACACAAGCTTCCGTCTCCAGCGACAAGTGTTAGCAAAAGCTTGCGTGTATTCTTATGGGATTTTTACCTTTTTTTTCTCGCTAACCGTTAGTATGCCTGAATTTGCCGACGAAGGATCGAATGAGAAAATCCAAAATCTTGAAAGGACAATACGAGTATTTTTTATTTGATACGATGTCAAACAGCATGCGATTTTGTTGGCTTTACTTGTCTAAATTTGTCAAGTTTTAACTCCGTGATTCTACTTTTGTATAATTCAAGGCAAGAGAAGAGCGAATTGTGGCTCTAGAAACGGAAAATGCTATGCTCTACCTTAAACTCGCTGATGTAAGTTGTATATAAGTGGTTGAGAATTGTATGGTGTCGACCACAGTATAGTGAATGTACAGTAAAGGCCGCTCCGTTGAATATTTTCGTGCCGTAACCACGCATATCTTATCACGCGGGTGATTACCATAGTGGCAGCCAGTCAATTGCGTTTTTCGCTTGGTTTTTGTAACGGCAGCCAGTAATTTAATTAAACATACTGCTGCCATTTGCACAGCGAAGTGGATCTTCCTGCGGTCTGTTCTCCAAACTGTGGCGTGAACCGAGAGCGTTGATTGAATTTTAATGTCGGATTTGTATGATCTCTTAGTGACCATCGACGATCATTCGTGATAAAACTCGAAAATTTTAGCCACAAACTCGGAATTGGTTGAATTTTGGGAATTTGAAAACGAAACAAAGAACGTGTTAATGTGAACCTTTTTAAAGTGGTTCTTATGACGTAAAGAGCTTTTTTCTGTAAGAACCTTTTACCTAGGAGTCTTTTTCGTATACGAACCTTGTCCAACTAGGAAGCTTTTTCTTATTAGCCTGCGTCATACTCCGCCTTGTCTTTCTACGAAGTTTTTGTCTTTTTTACAGAGCTTTTTTATATGCGAACCTAGTCTTTCCACGTACATTTTTCATGTGCGTACCTTGTCATTCTACGAAAATTATTTATGCACGAACTTTACATTATTCATAAAATCCGGAGAACTTTTATTTTTAAACAATATAATGCCTGGATTACCAATCTTTAAACATATATATATATATGATTGTACATAAAAGATAACAGTTTCTCCGGATTTTAATTGAAAAAAAAATGTAAACACAATAAAATAATAACTACTTATAATAAATACATTGCACTATATTGTTTATACACTTTGTATATATATATATATATATATAGGAAGTTTATAATTTATGATTTTCCGTATAAAACAGTGCTCGATGCCCGAGAGCAGAGCGTAAATATTGATAAGAAGAAGAAAAGACACAAAAACTACAATTTCATCCCGACAAGCCTGTTTCGTGATTGCTCACTCTTCAGGGGATTTAATGATTTAATTTTCATTAAATCCCCTGAAGAGTGAGCAATCACGAAACAGGCTTGTCGGGATGAAATTGTAGTTTTTGTGTATTTTCTTCTTCTTATCAATATATATATATATATACAAAGTGTATATACAATGTGCCCTCCCGGCTATCACCACAGTGCAATGGTGACTCCTGCACTTGGGACACAGGACGTACGGTTTGTATATAAGTTACATATAAACCGTCCTATATATATATAAGTTTTCATATGAAGTTCTCCGCTGGCGTACAGAAACGTTTGCAATTTTAAATTTCAAAGCAACGTTTTTATGAAGTTTGATTTCATACCATTTGCTGTTCATTACTTTAAAAATCGAAACCATTGAGAACTGTTTTTATTACTTGAGAACCGTTGTTTGGTAGTCAAATGCTACATCTCTTTAACAGTGAAACTTTCCTTCACGAGTTGGATGTAGATCGTCCAGGTTAGTGGAGTCCTGAGAAGAGCTGTACATCCATTCAGGACTATTCGCTTCATTACAATCATTTGGACCGAAATTTGGACGACTATGCGAAGAACTGTGAAGATAACAAACGCCAAGCATGTGTACACGTCAGTTAACACTCACATCAACAGTTCTCTCCATTGAACTAAAATACATGGAACGCTACCTCAAGCAAATAATTGAAGCCATATCTTACGCCAGACACGCGAGATTTTAACCCAGACACGCGTGTTTAGTGTTTTGAGATTCTCTCGCGGAATAATAATTGATTGACTGCACACGCGTGTCTGGGGTGAAGTCTCGCGTGTCTGGGGTAAAATCACGGCTTTAAAAAATTATTAAGGTTTTGTATTACAGGTAGCGTTCCATGTATTTTAGTTCAATGGTTCTCTCAGGACTCTATTGACCTGGACAATCTGCATCTAACATTTAATCACTGTAAAGTTTCCTTTGCAAATTGTTGTGTTATTTTTAAACTCAAGTGTCAAGGCTCCCTTCATCAATCAAAGTGCAATGCATCGCATCTCCGAAGACTTTATCAGAATGAAATCAAAGTGAACAACAATATGGCGTCGAATCTCGGTATCTTGGAAAATAAAGTGTCTCTTCTCAGACATGATCTAAGTGATATAACAAAAATGGTGAAGAGCATACCAAAAGTAATGGAAAAAAAGATAGCCGATTCGAAAATAGCTTGCGAAAGGTTCCTGTGGGAGAATTCTAACCTTGATGGTAAGTGTTTGTACAAAAGCTCTTATTTGTATGAGTTCATCTATTTGGGTCGACAATATGTTAGCGGGTCGACAATACGTTAGCAGCTCCACAGCGACTTTTTTTAATACTGACTGTCAAAGACTATTGATCTTTTCAAGTCTGTTGTTGGTGGGAGGACCCTAGCCTTTCCTGGACTCTTATTGGCTGTGCAGCGGGCTGAATTTTACAATATCTGACCGCTGTGCGGAATCCTTTATCCAAATACTTGACCTGAGCAAAGAGTTTTTTAAAAAGGAGATTATCAGCCAACTTTTGATTTTTATTTTAACAAAAATTTTGAGTTTTCCAAAGTAAAACGAACAGCAAAGTTTTGACTGTTTACTTAGCCGCTATTGTTGAATTTGACTACTCAATCTAATGAGATTGTTTCCTTTAGCCAAAAATAAATACGTTATATACCGTTTGGATCGGTCGTAAAGGAAAAATATTTATTCTTGGTTAAGAAACGTCCCTCGGCCTGCAGGCTTGGGCTATTTTGAGACATCGGAAAATTCTTTTTTTCATCCAGACCTCCCAGCCTGTAGATAACATGTACATACTTTTTAGATATTCGAGCCAAATTATTGGAAACTGAAATAGCTTTGGATGAAGCTTTGCAAAGAGCCTCGGCCGAGAAATACCGAAGGAGAACCTTGCATAATGTCTTGGTGGTTAGTGTCCAAAACAATTTGATCATTTTTGGAGGATTTTGAGATAAGGACCCAGTTTCTATACACATATGTGATGTGTGTATTGTTTAGGAAATGAAGATGTTTACTGTGTTTGCACAGGCTTATGCAAACCGAGGAGACCTTTGGGAGAACTCGAGAGCAGATTAAGGTAAGGCCGAATCCGAAGGTCGAGTGTTGCATCTCCTCGAGAGTTCTTACAAACGTCTCTCAGGTTTGCATAAGCGAGTTCAAACACGAAAAATATCTTTATTTCTTTAAGAAAGTAACAACAATGCGAAACAGACAAATTTAAAGCAAATGTATTCACGAATGATTTGCACATTCTCATTGATTGATTGATTTTCATTGGTCGAGCTCAGACGATTTGTACATGCTCACGCCAACACAGCTGTAGACCAATCAGCGCACGCGTTTTATTGTTCTTATTTAATAAATGTTTATGCAACATTGGTCTTAACTTTTCAGGAGATGCGTGGTAATATACGTGTGCACTGTCGTGTGCGACCGCTGATTGCCGCTCTGGATTCCGCCGGCCCCAGCAAGCTGGGAACCTTTGGAAAAGTAGAACAAGTTGTGAGAGTTGTCGACGACGAAACTGTATGTGTCCAACCGAACAAGAGCATGTCGGGAGGTAGCACATCGCAGAAGAAGATGTTCGAATTCGAAAGAGTATACGAAAAAGATTCCACGCAGGAATTTGTATTCCAGGATGTGTTACCGTTGCTTACGTCACTTCTCGACGGGTAAATAGTCTCATGTGAACCTTTTCAACCTCGTAATTATTATCTTTCTCACGTCCGCTGTTTGTGGGTGATTAGTTCGAAATGAGTTTTTCAGTTGTCTTTTATCAAAACAACGCGGAAAATATTAATTGAAAGAAAATGTTTGTAGTTACAACGTATGCATCATGGCTTATGGTCAAACTGGATCGGGGAAAACGCACACGATGGTCGGTGGACATACTTTGGACGACGATATCGACAGCACCGAAACGGACTATCCACTCGAAGGGATCATACCCCGTGCGGCAAGAGAGATCTTCAGGTAAGGAACGTGGATCATCGGAAACAGTCTTTCAATTTGAGGCTTGGGGGTGAAGATGAAAGGAGGGACACGACTGTCATATGAACAAGGCAATTTAAATAAAATATGGTATTTCAGGAAGGGGGAAAAATTTCTTCAGGAGGGTCCCTTTTGATGATCATACCTCGCGTTGCTTGGCAGATATGAAATTAGCAAAATAGCCTAAATATGATCGATGCTGACGTCGTTTCGGCTACTCCGTACAGACTAAGCATTGTATTTAATTCGCGATGTGATAGGCTTATGACCGAGCGTGAAAACCAATCAGAATCATATGACATGGAAATTTCCATCTGCGAAATATACAACAACGATGTTCGGGATCTGCTCGGTGACAAATCCACGCGGGTAAGAACGCTTTGCGTGCGATGTATGGAGTATGAATTTCTAGTGATTTAATGTCGTGTTTTATTAGGCTGTCAAGAAAGATGTCTACATTAACAGCGATGGTTCGACTGAAATACCTGATTTGATCACACGGTATGTAGCGTACAAATGCGGAATAATATTCCACAGAAAGTCAGCTGTCTAGTGATTCTTGTGTATACCTGAGCTCGTGCGAAACTGGAATGTCCTTGAATTCGAATTGAAATATTCGCGACCTCAAAAGTACTTGAGTTTATTACAATGTTTTCGAAAGTGCTCTGATTTAATTTTTTTTCATCCAATTTTTCTCAACATGTCGTCGCATTGCTTTCTTTTCAAAAGTGGAGCTCAAACTTAAACTTAATCCTTTGCCTGCAATAAAAAGCCACTCACGTTGTATTAAGGGTTAATGTCAGAAGTTTCAAGCCTGCCAACATGGCGAGCTTCAAGCCATACGAAAACACACCATTAAAAACACACATGCACAAAGATTCATTATCGTAAAGAAAATATAGCTAACAACTTGTTTCTGAAGTTTGAAAGTTTGCTATCCAATGGATGACGCTATCCAGGCTTCGTGCAACCGAACCCAGAGCTGTAAAGGAAAATATATGATGTTGTTTTCTCTCGTAGCTACTGCTAAAAAAATAATGTTTCATTGGAAAATGAAACATTATCAAAGTATCACTAAAGTAGGGCTTTTATTATGTCTATTAATAGTTCACAGCGTTTGATTGCTAATGAAATAATGATACACTTTGTGATCTTTGTTTTGTAACGTCCAACCAGTCACATAACAACGTGGAATAGGAATTTTTAATGCGCGCTAATTCGTCATGATGTGTAATAATTGGACTAAACTAAATGGAACGCTATCTGAAGCAATTAAATGAAGCCAAATCTTACACCAAGACACCCGAAATTACACCCAAACACGCGTGTTTACTGTTTCGAGATTCTCTCCAGGAGTGAAAATTGATTGACCTACGCACGCGTGTTTAGGTGTGACCTCGCGTGTCTGGGTGTAAGATTTGGCTTCAAAATATTATTAGGCTTTTCTATTACAGGTAACGTTCCGTGTAGTTTAGTTCAATGTGTGTGATAGTCGTATCATATGTTATGGCGTCCTACCAATGAGGATGAAAAAAGATTCGCGCTTTTTATTAAATAATAACTTTTTTTACAAGATATTGGGAATCATCAAGCCAAGGTTTGTCGAGTGTGTTATATGTTACACGTTTTGGTGATGAACTTTCACTGTTTGCAATTTTACCTATGTGTTTTTCACACGCCCCGCCCACCCGTGGAAATCAGCTTCGGTTGTCCGGGTCAGCGTGTTTAAATAAAGTCATTCTATGTATCCATATTCCTCTAAAGTTCTCTCTTGAACACAGGCTGGGCGTGAATGGTACGGAGTGGGGAGGGTTACTGGGGAACTCACCAAAAAAAAATTTAAAATTTTGTTGGGCAAAACTTAGTGACTTGTCGGGCAAGAGAATTAAATTTCTGAAAAATTCTTGAAACATTCGCGGATCTAATTCCTTTGTTTTGATTTGTATTTTTTTTGCGTACAATACTACTGATCGAAATCGTACGAAAAAAGAATTTTTCATCGTAATAGTATGCACAAAATTGTAGCACACTCTTTTGTCTGAGAAGATCTTGAGAGTCGAGAGCGAAGTTTCCTACTTGTTTTAACTGAACCAATCAAAATTTTGCAAAATTGGCTGATTCTCACCACTCCGTATTTTTTACGCCAGCTCCGTTTCCAGTGCGCAAGAAGTCATGAAGTACGTACGATACGGCATGAGAGAACGTCACGAAGATGCCACGAAAATTCATGCGCACTCCAGTCGCTCTCACCTTATAGTCCAGTTGACGTTGTACACGTCATCCGGTCAACACTCTACGGCAGCAAAAGTGACGACGACGGCAGCCTCGCCTACCGTCACTCCGCGTGGCACAAAAACTGGCGGAGCTCACGATAAAGAACAAAAGAACAAACCAAAGTAAGCAACAGCAAGTTTTTCTCTTGTGATTTTCAATCTTGGTGTTTGAGATCAATATGACATTGGAAGAAGCGGTTATATTGGCGTACCAAACAAAAGAACTTTGTTAAAAATCTTTTCAATTGGTGCACCAACATGGCGGCTGCGAATTCAGACGAAAAGGCTCTATGTCAGGGTGGCCCGCCCAAGAGTTTTGTTCGATACACTTTTTTCCAGCGGTCTTTCAACAGTCGCGAGTTTCCGTAATAAATGATTTCCACATAGTGTTCTCCGTATCCGAGATGTATTCTCCTGGAGATCTAGGGTAGCTGCCCTTCAAGTTTAGTGCTGGAGGAGTGGCATAACTTCCCGTCAAATTAGTTATGAAGCAATGGCATAGCCACCCCTCAAATTTAGTTCTGGAGCAGTAGCATAGCTACCCATTTATATATGTATATATGGAGTTCACTGGTTTAGTCTTGGAGCAGTGGTATAGCTACCCCTCAAGTTTAGTCTTGGAGCAGTCTCATAGCCACCCCTCAAGTTTAGTTTTTTAGCAGTATCATAGCCACCCCTCAAATTTAGTTTTTTAGCAGTCTCATAGCCACCCCTCAAGTTTAGTCGTGGACCAAGGGCATAGTCATTCCTCAAGGTCAGTTTTTTGGCAGTCTCAAAGCCACCTGTCGTGTTAAGTTCTGCTAAGTAAATATTTTGATGTTCACTTTCTAAAATAAGCAGCCAATTTCCAAAGTTAATAATCTGAAACTTACATTACAACAAGACCAGACGAACAGGCTGACTAAGCAACCGTTCGGAATACAGTTGCAATATTTCACGCTGCGTTGTTCGTTGTTTATCTTTATTTGATCTTAGAATTTGTCCTTCATTGCCTAACATGACTATTTTAGATCGTTATCTTCTTCCGGTTCACCATTACACCAAGAAACTCTCTCCTCTGGTGCTTTGACTGTCAAAACAAAACTGCAGTTGGTCGATTTAGCTGGAAGCGAATGTGTTGGTAAGTTGTTAATTATATTTTTAATTGTATTTGCAAAGCGATGCTAAACTATTTCAGTGTTTTATGATATTGACGTGACGTTTTGCGGCATTTGATTGGTTTAGGTGTCTCGGGCGTGACAGGGGCTGCGTTAAGGGAAACGTCGTTCATCAATAAGAGGTGCGAGAAAGAGTACATACACTGTTCATACACATATTTAACTACCGTGTTCATTAAAAATTATGTAATGGTTAAACGTGCTTCCCACACTTGTCAACGCATGCAGTCATTTCATCAGGAATGATATGTTGTTGAAAAGTTTTACAAAATATTCATACTTTACTGTATTTTTTCGTCAAGAGTGATCCTGATGTTGAAATTTAAGCTCTACGTATGTACTGCAGTCCAATTTCTTCATCAAGAGTGATTTCATGTAGAAATTTAAGCTTTTGTATGCCCCCCCCCCATTTTAATGTCTTTATCAGGAGTGATCTGATGTTAATACTTCAGTTTTTTTATGCTCCTGTCTAGTGTGTATCATTAGAAATGATCTTATCTCATCTGATCTTCACCTTGAGTGATCACTCGATTCTAGTGTCTTCATAAGAAATGATCTGGTGTCGAAACTTGAGTCCTTATATGCTCCAATATAATGTCTTCATCAGGAGTGATCTGATGTTCAAACTTGAGTTCTTACATACTTCAGTCTAGTGTCTTCATCAGTTGTGATCTGATGTCGAAACTTGAGTCCTTATATGCTCCAGTCTAATGTCTTCATCAGGAGTGATCTGATGTTGAAACTCGATTCTTTATATACTCCAGTTAAGAGTCTGCATCAGGGATGTTGACACCGGAGTTTATATATAGTTCAGTGTAACGTCTTTTATCGAAACTTGTATACTGTACCCTCAGCAACACTCCAGTCAACACTTCATGCGATTCTGATCAATTTATTCTCGATTTCTTTCACAGCTTGAGTGCTTTAGCTGATGTATTAGGAGCTTTGGCCGTGCATCGTTTCCATATTCCCTACAGGAATGCCAAACTTACTCACGTCCTTCAGGATACCATTGGTGAGGGATTATATGCCATGTTATAAGAACTTCAAATTCAGGCGAATAATTAGTAGTAGTATTTTACTTTTTACATATTTGCCGTTTCTTATGAAGGCGGTGACGCGAAACTCTTGTTGATGTTGTGCGTGTCGCCCGTGCAACGCTTTCTATCCGAAACGTTGCAGTGTCTGGGATTCGGGTCACGTGCAAGACAAATTGCACGCGGTCAGGTAAAGAAACGTAAGGGGACTATACCTCCACCTCAGCAGTCCTTAGGTAAGTGCTTTGATTTTTCCCTACGTGATATTTTTGACGACCTCCCGCGGTTGCCTCCATTGTCTTGATTAATGGAAAATATCCTGAACGAAAAGCATTTCCAAGCGTCGCTCCACTAATCTTAAAGTGGGAAGGTTACAGGAAGGATTGTCGATCCTTCCCTGCTTATTTATTGCGAAAATGTTTAGAAAAATTCATGGCATCCGAAGAGACTTGCTTTTCTATCTACGCGTGTTAAACATTGACGAGTGTGATTTTTTTCGTCGAAACTCAATCTGAGTTTTGCAGGTGAGAGGTGTGTGGGGGGGGGGGAGGAATTCGTATACTCCCCAAAAGACACGCCCTTCAATTCACGGCCCGTAGAACACAACTCAAGTGTTCTTTTAAAGCAGAAATCGAGATGCCCCTTTATATAACGCAATCAAATTTGCGTCACTTAAAATATACGGTTTCCAAACTTTTTGGGGCGATAGGTCGTGGCTAACAAGAGTCCCCAAACATTGGGGCTCATAGTTGTATAACTATTAAGTGCCACGTCACTGGTTACGTCATACTTTATTTTCGATGATCGCAATTTATCAGAAAACGCGCGCTTAAAGTCCATGAAGGTAAATACTTGAAATGGCAACATGATTATTTTTCAGATGTTAAAGATGTAGTCCCTACAGTTAAGTCTGGTGGAAGTTTGTCCAGACTTCCAATACCAAATGTTACTAAACGTCGCGGTTCCAATTCTTAACACGAATTTGGTGACATTGACTTTTCTGACAAACATTCATTATACATGGTTCTGGCACCAAAGTAATGTACAATGCATCTACAAAACACATAGTGATGAAAATGAGTGCAGAGGACTTGAGATACTATTGTCCTGAAGAACTATTTTTATTATAGTTTATTATATCAATTGCATTAACCAACAGAAAATCTACTCATGTCAAAGATTTTTTAGCAACAAAGTAAACACAGTGGTAGATGGTTTCCATCATTGATTTCTTATTGCCTATATATGTTGATTTCAATCTGTCTTCTTTCAGCATTTCAAATCCAAATTTGTTCACTATAAGTTTCCTCAACTGCTCATAACTAATCTCAATAGAACATTCATTTTGCATGTCTGCAAAATGATACAAAAGTGGGCCTAGGTTTATCCAATATCCACCAGGCTTGAGAATATGGTTGATGGTTTCTACATAAGATATTATATTGTTGGCTGTGTCTATAAAGAAGCAGGTTGCAACACAATTCCATTCATCAGCAGTCTCATAAACATCCGTGAAGTTACCGGCATTCATAGAGAAGTTGATGTTTCGTGGTAATTGAGTGGGGTCAATGTCGGGTATCTTAATGGCTCGTAATTGATCTTCAGAGGACATGTTGTTGCAAGTCTGGTGCACAAATGGATATATGGTGGTATGATAGGTACCCTGGCATTTATTGAGGATATAGTTCGAAGCAATAAGCATAAACAAGCTCCATTCATTTCCCTGAACAGTATAACCAAGTTTTGCCAGATCCACCATTAGACGAGCAAGACCAGCACCTGGGACTAGTATGGATACGTCACAAGGGTTACATTTGTCTGGTGGATATAAACATTTTATTTCTTCTACAATAGGCCGGTAACACAGATCTCTTTCCTCGGCACCTTCGTCGCTCCAATCACGTACAAACTGTTTAATTGTGGTCAAAACCTTTTCCATAAAGAATACAGAAATCTTGTTATCCAAGTTCATTTTCATATCCACGTGATGGTCGACATTTTCAAAAATATACCCTAAAAAGTGACGTTTACTTTATTTAGAAATACTTTGGCAAAAAAGAGCACAGTAGCTTGCATTCACACAGATGTACGTTTTTCAATAAATCAATTATAAACTTGGAAACATGACTGTTTATCGGACTCACGAAATATAATTGTGAATATCTGATTCAAACAATCGAACAAACGAGTCACCCTTAAAGACGACATCGTTCTGTCAGTGTCAACCGTCAACTATCAGTAAAACTCACGTGTCGTACAGAACTTTGTCGCAGAAATTTGAAGGCCTACCGCCTAACCCATTTTATACATAGTCTTCAGGCGGAAGAAGATTGTGTTTGGGTTTCAGCCCGTCCTTACCGGTATGTCCTATAATTTCAGTGATAAATTTATGATTTTTATCGATACATCGCCTTTGTTTTTCCAAGTTGTCCAAGTACTTTGGCAGTCGTTTGCGGTCTTGCTCGTCTAAGGAGAGAAAATCTTTTTTTGCCTTCTCGATCCTTAAGTACGAAAAGTTTTGGTAATGGAGAAAAGCGCTGACAACCTTTGCAAAATGTTCTGCCTCTTTATCGGAGCTTTCGACGGAATTTTTAGAGCCATTGTTGGAATTGATTTCATTTTGAGTGGACGCCATATTGTGTTACAATTTTTCATCTTCCAAAAGGTGATGAAGAAGACGCCGGAGTGCGGTCGCTTTTTCCGAGACAATTTATTTTACTTCTTTATCATTGTTTTGGTTTTTGCATCATATATCATCATCCTTTGCTGTCGAACTATCTAAGCGCAATCGTTTTTAATGTCCACACTCCTAATACTCTTCTCATTTCATATTTTTACTCAAAAGTACATCAAGACTTAAGTTCAGGACTCAAAGGATATTTTTATTGTACGAACTAAGGAGTACAAGTTGTTTAGTTTTTTGTACAGGAATGACCTCGCGTCAAAACCTTTGTAGACAGGAATATGATGAGACAGCTTTTAATTGACATCACGCGATATCCAACATCGTTGATATTTGATGATAAAACTCGGGTTTTTAAATGTCGCTGAAACTTCGCTTCTCTAGCGTTAATAACAGGTGTCTTTTTAGCAAAGAAAACTTTATTATACAGCAATGTTCTAACAGAATACGTGTCCTCTGTTGTTTTTATTTCCTTCATTTGTCCATAGATCCATAAAACATAATAATATTCAAATTTTCATTCATCATGTTCTCAGACAAAAGTTCTTTGTCTCGGTCTTTGCATATCAAAACATTCGTTTTAATATTATTGTTTTCTTCGAAGTTTCTTTCTTCGAAGAATCCTACAAAGCTCGAACAACCATAGAGCGAAAAACCCAAAAGAAGCATTCACAAAGAGTGTTTACTCCGCAGTCTTTCGATTTTTTGGTGATATTTTGAACGAAGAGACGCTTATCTGGTGTCTTTGATATCGTGTTGGCGCGTCGATACAGGTAACGGTATAGTCTTTATAGGAATCTTTATTTTTCGTTTGTATTTCAAAGCACTTGTGTGAAATAATCAAAGATTTGCGTCTGAAAGGAATATCTATATATAGCTATCTATATATAGACTGCATGTATGGTTCTTTCTTGACAAACTGACAATTCACTCCTTGGTTTCGGTTTCGTATTTTCATTTTCGTTTTCCGAGTAAGAATTGCTTTTTGAAAGTCGAAGAAAGCCGTCTCGTTTTCTTATTTTATAATCTTTATTTGAATTTTCTATGTTTGATTTTTCTATTTCATTTTGTTGCGAGTTGACGTGATTCAAATTGCAATGTTGTGACCATTAGTTCCTAATTTTCGACCACGATTTTTTCGTAAATTTCTCACGCAAAAATACAGTGGAGACTCGTAGCACCGAGAAAAAATGTAGAAGATATGGACATTTATATTCGAGCGATGTGTCATAACCTGGAAGTCTGATGCCATCTTGTGATTTTAACAATGGGCAAACATCGCTCATATGCTCCAAACCCAATGCAAACAAAGTCGAACAATGATTTTTCAATCATTTACATTAAGTTACATTTAAGCACATTTAATTAGCAATGTTTGACCTAGATCTAAAATGTACATGTACAGAATCAACGCGTAGAAATGATGCACCATCTCATAGATAATGAACTGCTTCAATTGAATTGGTGGGCTCTACAGCTATACAATCATCGGCGAATTCCAATATAATCGACTGAAGTGAACATGTATGTCGAAAAATTTCAAATTAAATTTTGCTCTTGCTCAACAGCTCGGCATTCGGCAATAACGTACTATGAACATGTCATCCTAGTTCTTCCGTCTACAACGTACCTTGTTGGTTAAGTTTTTTGCTTTTTTCTAAACGATCTCGTTTATCGGTGCAAAGCAGCATGGAAAATGCGTGCATCTTTTAACTATATTTTATAAAGGGGGAATCTTCATTACCAACTAATTAACTGCATTGCATGACCGTTCAAAACCATTCAAATATAGATGTATATTTATATCGCAAAGATATGTAGCGTGCAGGACTTTTTTAAAACTGGTTGATGTCGTGATAAACTGGATTTTGCATGACAAACAACCTCGCTGTAATTGTGCGTTGCTCTTTTATATTGAAATAGAGTTTCCGGTTCTATGAATGCCTCAGTCGTGGGCGGCGTCTTTTTATTGGTTATTGTTTAAAAACTGCCGTTTATATAAGGGTATACGAGTAGCAAAGACTTTAATCTTTTAAAAAGAAACTTTGTTACTGCAATCGTCGAAGGAAGTTTTCGCAAAGCTTTATATGGTTAACGAATGTACCTTGTCGGTGACAAACACTAGTCAATATCTTCAGTCGAAGAACTTCATCATTCTCAGTTCAGGATAAATAAAGCGAAAACTTTTGTGGTGAGTTTCTAGTAGCTTTCATCAATAAAGCAGTGATCAGAAGTGAAACAAGAAGCGTCTAATGTTTTCGGGCTAGTTTAAATGATTGTCATTGACTAAGACGGGTTTTCTTTAAACGGAAAAGGATCATCTATGATCTATAAACGCGCGTGTTAGCAAATGTTAGCCTTTGAAACTGAATAGGAAGGACTCTGTGCGTTGGCCCATGAATATATATATATATATATATGTTCGTGAGTCGCGTGTTTTATAAAGAAACCTCATTTAAAGATTTATTACTGGCATGCAATTGAATAAATTTCACTGGTCATCGCATGTCTTTCATTGTAAGTTTCTATATGAATTACCGAATAAACAAACAGACCAATGATAATATAGAAATCGAGTACGTCAACCAAAATGTGCTTCTAAGTCTGTACATGTTTGTTGATTTCCAAATCAGTTTTGCGAGACAGAAACTGTTTCACGGACCTCTTTTAGCATATCAGGAGTCGAAACCTTTTTAATTACAATTCAAGTGTAATTTCTTTACGTTTAAGTGCGAACGTGCTTGTGTTTGGAGAAAGAGAATGCTTCGAACCTGGGAGCATCGTTATACACTGTTTGTAGATGTAGATCGTCCAAGTTGGTGGAGCGCCGAGTGAATAACTCTAAGGATGACTGCCGCTAAGGTTGTCAAAACACCAGGCAGCATCAACTCCTACATTAATTCTTCAGAATTCCACCAACCTGGACGATTTACGTTTACAAACATATACGTGTAGTTGAGTCGATGACATGTAAAAGGGAGATCGCTGTTGAACTTTGAAAACGTCTTATCGTACTGACTCGTGCACAGTTAATTTTTAAAATATTCCAGAAACTTCTACGTGTTGAAGGTTGCTTGAGGCTTCGTAGATGAACGAAATTTTTGTGTGTTTTTTTTTAAAGTCTCCAACTAAGCCTTTGTTAGTTTTATTGAAATCGTTGTATGTTGTTCAATGAAGAATACGATCGGTTTTAAGACGAAATCTTCAAAGTTCACAAATAGAAAAGTTTGCATCATAAGACAACATCACAAGATACAAACGAAGTTCATCTCATGACTCCATGTGTTGTGTTTGTTTTTTTCGTAGCCATAGCAGACGTGTCGAAAAGTTCAGAATGAAGAAATATTTTGTAAGTATTCATTGCTCATCGCTAAATGAACTACGAGCACTTCACGTTGCCTTTACCGAGACTTACTCTTCGACGTTCAATGATTTTCCCGTTCTTATGTTAAGTACGAAGACCTGAAGGCAATGTCATCGATCGCCAGAGAGGTCTGGATGTGCGAGCAATGCTCGGAATTCGGCTACGAAATCGAACGCCTGATGACCGAACGGGAAAGACAAAACTTCACCGAAGAAATGTATCGTAAATTACGTCAGGTGACGAAGAAATGGACTTCTTGGCATCATAAATCTTTTGGAAACGTCTCTTCTAGACAGTGAGTCTTTTCGATGAAATATTTCATTTTAAAGATAAATGCCGCAAACTTGCTGTGGCGGGAGTTGGTGAGCTCCCCTGCTCCCAAAAGCTCGATCAGTGAGCTTTAGCTTGCGATGCCTGCTCTTGTCACAAATGCCTTAATCCCAAAGTGAAGTCGATGTTTACCATCAATGACTATCATATTTGTCTAGCCACGTAAATATATATAAAGCCGGTGAATAGTCTTGACTGTTTTATGTGTTCCGCGCCCGTATAAGATGTGTTGTATTGTTTTACTATAGTCATTCCTTATTCATTGATGGAAAGTGCTGCCGACAGCAAGAGTTGCAATAGAATACTTTAGCTTTTCTACTAATACATTCGATTGAACAAAAGATATGAAATGCCTTAACCGTGTTGGTCATTGCCTTACTTTTGCGATGATTTTGCTGGTCGCCGTTTTCAACAACTTGGCAATTTGTAACCTGCATATCCCTCCCCCCTTCCCCCTCACGGCTCCCTATTTAAATGCTTCAAAAAAGCCACGGGAAGAACAAACCTCTGGCATGTTTGAAAGTTCTTTGATAAAAAAACTTTGCGTAGGCTTTTTGTTTTTTCAATTGGCTTACGTATTCCATTCTCCCCGTTACAGGTCTGTAGCGGAACTTTTGGCATGGGAGCGAAGTACAACATTACTCGTCAGTCCTGTTATCAAAACAAGAAATAACGCAGGATCTCAAAACGTACTGGAGCGATTTCAGGAACTCTGTCGGGACCTTGACGGACTTCAACAGAATTTCACAAGCGATATATTGGATCCGATGTGCGATTTTTTTTGGCCCTCGACACAAAATGTGAAACTAGATCGCGTTGTTGAGAGTCTCAAGACACTTCTTTCTCGATGGAAAAGCTTACTTGCTCCTGGTTGTATCGACCAATCACTTCTCTCCGAGTCGAGTTCAAAGCACCTACACACGTTCACATTGAGAGGGCGTATTTATGATTTTGATGCCGTCATTCGACTCGTTCCAGATCTCCTCGAGAAGGCCAACCTCGCATTAAATGTCGTTCGACAATGGCGTATTATACATAAGGTAAATCTAAACTTTGTGGTTCGATACACGGAAATCTATTGACGTTCAGAAACAAAATTAAAGTGTAGGTTTTGTGAAATAGACAAACCTTACATTGACATGGATTGAAATTCAGTAAAAGCATTCAATTCGTTGACCTATCATTTCATAGAAATGGCTTACCAAATGAAATTCTTTCACGCATGTCAAAACCAAAACAGAATTCTTTCATCTCAATTTTAGGAGATTTGCGTGTCGAGGCAGAAAAGCTTTTCGCTTTCTCCTCCTTCGACGGGTCGCTCGAAGTCAGGGTCATTTGGAGAGCTCGAGAAACGTTCGAACGAAGACGAGCTTCGCTGCAGCAGCCTGAAAAAGGACATAGAAACCTACCGGGAAAAATATGAACAGTTGCAAAAAGATCTGAACGAGCACTTCAAGTTGTGTGAGCAATTGGAGGATGAAGTAAACAAAGCCGAGATGAATTGTAATATGGCTAAACAACGCTTTGACGAGGCAAAGAATGATTCTCGCAAAGAGCAATGTATAGAAGCCTTAAAACAGGACTTCAATAGATCGAAAGTCAAGTTCACAACACAACGTATTAAGCTGGTAAACGCCCGTAAGCGCTCGGTTACCCTTTCGGATAAACTCGTAAAAACTCGTAAGGAATACGAAACGCTTAAATTGGAAGGTGAAATCTCGCAAAATAAATCGCAGGCGGTCCGAAAGCAACTCGAGTATTTCCGTAAGAATATCAAAATTCAAGCGGGCATGGTTGATAGCCTGCAGCAGCAATGTTATGCGTTGAAGAAGGAGTTGGACTCCTCAAAAGCGGGCTGTGAGAAGGTCACTCAAAGCCTGACCGACGCTCAGACAAAATGCGACAGACTGGAAGAGAAGTTGCGTCTCAAGGAAAGCGAATGCTTCAAAATGAAAAACGATCTTAATAGCGCTTTGCAGCGAGAGCAATTAGTTCGCGAAGAAAATATCAAACTCAAGACACTTAAGAAAGGTGAGCAGTTTATGTAATCTATCGTATTGAAAATGGAGCGGCGCAATGCATTGTGGTTAAGTGATAGGTTTGTCTATCTGTCCTGCTCAGCCTGCTATTGGGGTGAGTGAGTTATATGCACCTGGATTGCTCTAACCTCACTGTAACTTGACAAATATTTTTTTAGGAATTTTTACGAACAGAAAGACCCCGTTACCACTGGAGAGATGACAAGAAACTTTGTAGCTCACCTCTCTCCTTCAAGATGGAATAGGTGGGTACCTTTGCCAAATTCAATTCATTGTTAGTTCGAAGCGAAAGGAGCAGAATGGAAAGAGAATATTTTCACTCCGAAATAAACACGACAGAACACTTGCAGTATTTCTGGAAAATGGAGTCAAAATCCCGAGTAGACGACGGTCAGCGACGCATTACGAGAATATTGGCAAAATGTGACATTCTTAACATCTAATTTATTGTGGGACAAACATCGCATAATACTAGTATTACAATTTGCTTCATTGTAAGAAGTCAGTGAAATAATATTACAATTTGAATAATATGTAAATAATTGTATATTTGTATTTGTAAGTATACTATCTTATCAACTGGAACATTAACAACCTTCACCTCAGTATTGGCGTTTTTATGACAAATTTTTGAAAAAGAGCTGGGGTTTTAAGATAGAAGTCTATTATCTAGGCACGCGCATTTCAAAACCAACGAAAAACACGGAAATGCTCGGCAGCATTACAAACACTCGTGTATACATTTGGCACTTCATCTCGGCAGGGTCTCTGAGTCCTATGGAGAAGAACTAAGAAATCTCTTAATGAAAAAACACGCTTACATTTTATGGAGAACCTCCCGCAGAAAATCCTATTTTGATTCTTTACGAGCTATCAAACGGATCGCAATGTTTGTCAAATCCCATACACGAAGTGGAATTACTGAATAAAAATACGAAGCGTGTTTCTCGGCTTCGTACATGCTAACATTTAGCAAAAATGGAACGGCCTTCGCTGAAACGCCAAGGAAAGATATCGATCGTGTTGTTCATCTTCGAAATATTCATACTAACAATGTACGTCGTGTTTATTGACTATGGAGATGAACTTTTACCTGTTGAGACGTCGGACCCGAAACACGAACTCGGTAAAGATTCCATCCCCATTAACGGTATGTCAGTGTTCAAACAACGAGATATTTTGTAGCAGTTCGAAGGCACATAATCCTTCTGCGATATGATTTAAGCCAGTTTAACTACCCAAGCATGAAATGCATATGCTTGTTAAAGTCGCTTTTTTGCATGTGCAGTTACAATAACAGAAGCCGAACACTTTAGTGTAAATTGTGTTTCTTAATTGGAAGCGATAAGGCTGCTTCGGTAATAGAAATGGTGACGATATTAAGCGGCTGTTTCCTTGAACCCATTTAATCGTCGAATGATTTTTGTAGATGAAACGATACGATTTTTACCGTTCGACAACGTGACATCGACTGTTCAAAAATTACATTCAACAGTTTGTTTCAATGTAAAATTTCTATAGGTACAAGTATCCGCGAGCATTGAAAATTTTGGAATTTATACGGCCGAAGTAACGACTCTTTTCAATGCCTCAAATTTATTTCATGCCTCAATGAATTACCTGTGGCGCACATGTAAATACCTCTAAGCTATACTCGACTTCTACCTGTCACGATCCTCTCTTCTTTCATCTTCGCTGTATCTCCCATTCCTCTTTTTCATCTTTTCCTGCTCTCCCTACTTCTCTTTTTCATTATCTTTCTCTTTCTCTTTCTCTCTCTTCCTGCTCCCTCTCAGTGCTCCTTCTGTCTCTTTGTCTCTCTCTCTTGCTGCTCCCTCTCTCTCTTTTCCTTCTCTCTCTGTCCCTCATTTCTTATTCTCTCTCTTTCTCTCTAAAGCTTTCCTCTCTGTTTGATTGAGTGATGGGATTTGTCTTATAAGTATGGAAAAGGGTGGGGGTGGGGTAGGCATCTTCCTTCCGTTACTTAGAAATTTTTTCATAAGACAATTGCAGCATGACTTGATCGAGAATGGTATCATATTATAGACTTTTTTAATTCAATCTCGACAATACGTACGAGACCACACTTATACCATGCGCTGTGAATGTTTAGCCTTCGAAGACATGCATTTGATGGTGTTTGTGGGCTACGGTTTTCTCTTCATCTTTCTCAAGAGGTATGGCTTCAGTGGCCTGGGTTTTAACTTTATCATCGGCACTGTCGCTATTCAATGGTCCGTCGTCACCGAAGGATTTTTTAAACTCAAAGATTCCAAGCTACAGCTGACTGGCGAAAGGTATAATGATTTAATGATTCACTTCCAATGGCGTAGATAAATCGTTTATCACGGGGGGGAGGGAGAGGTTGTACATGCAAATCGTAGTTCATTGAATGCAAATGATTTCAAATGGTAGAACATGCATATTTAAATTTGCCGCGAAATATTCACAGCAGAATATGCCTATAGGAATATGTACCCCCCCTTCAATTATTAAGTTTTTTACGCCATTTTCACTTCCACGTGTACGTATGGAACTTCATCCTAGGTTTGATCGAATAAATTTGAAGAATAACTGGACGATATTGCTATTCAATAAAAATGAAAGCTTGACTTTGTTGTAAATGAAACTTTTCTGAAGAAAAAAAAACAGATGGAAAAAACCTTAACATCTTTCACAAAAGGTTTAGTGCAATTGCTATACAAAGACAATCGATTATTTGCGTGGGCGATGAGGAGGGGAGGGTGATTCACTGCCCACACGCCTTGTCGACATTGATTTCTACCCTTTTCTAACCGGGCAACTACTTAGCTATCACGCAAGCGCAACATATTGATCATTGTATGTTAAATACCTTTCAATTTGTTCAGCATTGTGAAAGCAGAGTTCGCCACTGCGACGGTTCTCGTCACGCTTGGTGTTATACTTGGCAAGGTCAACCCTATACAGTTGATTCTTGTCACAATGGCAGAGGTCTTCATGTATTCCGTTAATCGATTTGTGTGCGAACATATTTTGGAGGCAGTGGATCCAGGAGGGGCGATCTACGTTCATTTGTTTGGAGCTGTGTTTGGCTTGGGTGTAGCAAGGATGATTTACAACCCTCGTTCGGTGGCACACGACGAGGAAGTATCTTCATATCATTCTGACCTTTTCTCCATGCTTGGTATGTGTAACTTTTCTGGTATTATCCTTCAGATAAAACTTTTCCTAGTTTATGTTTTTATGTATTTTAAAGACTGGTCTTAATTGTTCTCTTTTGCTCATTCATCACTATACATACACTGACACACGTTATCTTAGTTTACCTCATAGTAATGTAAAGACTGTTCTTGTTCTCTGTTGTTCATTCATCACTACTTACACTGACACACGTTATCTTAGTTTATATTTTAGTTAGTGTAAAAACTGTTCTTGTTCTCCGTTGTTCATTTATCATTACCTACACTGACACACGTTATCTTAGTTTATATCATAGGTGGTGTAAAAACTGTTCTTGTTCTCTCTAGTTCATTCATCACTACCTAAACCGACATACGTTATCTTAGTTTATAATTTAGTTAATCTGACGACTGTTCTCGCTCTGTTGTTCATTTATTTCAAGTTGTGCGAGACAATGAACGATTCTTATTATCTTTTAGGAACTCTGTTTCTGTGGGTGTACTGGCCTGGATTCAATTCATCTCTTCTAGTTGGGCACATAAAGCACCGAGCAATCATCAACACCTATTTTGCCCTTGCAGCGAGTTGTGTAACCGCGTTTGCGTTCTCGGCACTTTTAACGAGGGATTCAAAATTCAGTATGGTAAGCTCTCTTCAAATTAAAGTATTGCTTAATAGAATCAATTATTCCGTTGTTTATATAGTTTTCATGCAATAATTCAAACGCTATTACTTTATAAACTGTGTGCATGTGGCTCAACTTCAGTTTATAAACCCGTGATTTTCCTTTCGAACTTTTCCTCGGACGTTTTCTATCTGAAAAAATCTATGCAAGGTTCTTGTTGAATTTTTTGAAGTCACTGGAAGATTTTTTCTTCCATAGAAAAACTTTAAAAGTTCAAACCAAGTTAATATGTTTACTGTCTTAGGTTCATATTCAAAACTCAACTTTGGCTGGTGGAGTGGCGATTGGAGCTATTTCTCACATGATTATTCATCCTTGGGGAGCAATACTTATTGGGTTCCTCGCTGGAGTGTTTTGTACGTCCGGTTATGAATATTTTCAGGTTGGTTTTTTCAATATTTGAAATAAGGTCAGTTTTAATTAAGGCGCCAAGCTTGAGTATATGAAAACTCAAGATTCAACATCAGATCTCTTTTAATGAAGACGCCCTCGTGTATAAGAATTCGAGTTGCAAAACGAGATCACTCCTGATGAACACATTATTTTACTGGGGGTGTACAAGAACTCAAGTTTTAACGTTAAATCACTCACGATGAAGAAATCAGACAGGAGTATATAAAAACTTAAGACGATGTTTTAACATCATATCACTCATGATGAAGACTTTGAACAGGACTGTATAAGAACTCAAGTTTAGACATCAGGTCGGTCCTGATGAAGACATCAGACTGGAGTACACAAAGAACGAAGTTTCAAGATCAGATCACTCCTGATAAAGACACTAGACTGGAGTAAATAAGGGCTCGAATTCCCACAACAAATTACTTCTACCGATAGCACAAGACTATCTTTTATACGAACACACTCTTACTTTTTTAACCTTTTCCAAATTCTTTTGAAGCCATGGTTGATCAGACGATTGAAGGCTCACGATACTTGTGGTGTGACAAGTTTACATGGAATTCCTGGTTTACTCTCAGCAATATGTAGCGTGATCATTGCATTCGTTGCCGGATTTTCTCAATATAAACATAGGTAATGCCGTTTGCCGCTGTACATATAGTAAACGCGTCGTATATTCAGCGCATATTTCTACAAGTCCGCGGGTTTGTTGCGGGGTTTGCGATATCCATCACAATCCAGCAAATACTCTTTCATCCAACACTTTCATCATTTAACCCTTACACAAAATATCATTGCTTACATTCTTTTGATTTTTCAGTTTATACCAGGTGTATCCTGCTCGAGCTCCTTCCCGTAACACTACTGAATACGCTCAGCTTCTTGTGCACTATCCGAATATCAGTCCAGGTCAAGGAAGATCAGCAGGTGTTCAAGGTGCCGTTCAGCTTGCTGCATCGTTTATCACTCTGGCAGTTTCAGTTGCTGGTGGCATTATTACTGGTGAGTGAGAGATCGTATAGTCGATTGCTCATAGCAGGATTAGTTTGAGCATCTGCTTGGGTAAAATTCCCGAGATTTAAATGAATAGATTACGTATGTCTTCGTATTACATAGGTTTTGTTGCTCGAAGAAAATATTTTGATCCTCTCGACGAGGAACGCTTCTACTTGGATGCTCCATATTGGGAGGTAAATCATTTATCTTCATGCTCGAAAACACCGCGGGGGATGGGTCATGGAGGCTAAGCTTGTTAAAAAAACGCTTCAAACGCAACAACTATCAAGTATCAATCAAGTTGTCAATTACCATGTATAATACGCTTTTCAAAGCAGTATTTAACAGAACTAAGTCTTTTCAGAGAAGTCGACTTTTGAAAAGTTGTCGCTTCATGTGAGACGAGGTTTGAAATGCCGTCCTTTCATAGGAGATTACATTTGAGGAGGAAACAGATTACATTTTTAAAAGTAAGACAAAAAGGTAGACACAAAGGTATACAAAAAGCTAGACACAAAGGTAGACAAAACAAAAAGATAGACAAAAAGGTAGATACAACACGCAAAGGTATACTAAAAGGTAGACACAAAGGTAAACAAAACAAAAAGATAGACAAAAAGGTAGACTAAAAGATAGACACAAAGGTAGACAAAAAGGTAGACTAAAAGGTAGACAAAAAGGTAAACACAAAGGTAGACGAATGATAAATTTGTCGAATGTCTTTTTTTAAATGGCATTTCCTATGAAATAACAACCTTTTCGAAAGTGGTCTCCTATGAAATATGGTTTTATTCGTTAACGTTCAATGGAATGTGAAAGTACTGTATAATATTTCGTTCTCAGGTACCTGATGATTATGTTGGAACTACGCCTCAGATTCTCATTTCACAAGGATTGAGTCTAACCGATGACAACATGTCTCAGGTTGACAAACCAGATCACTACAATGTGGACAAACAAGAGGAGACAGCTTCCTTGGACGAAAGTCCAAGCTAGCTTTGATTCTTTTATCACTCAGCTCTCCGAAAGAAAGGTTTTCTTTCACCTTGTGTTGACATTTTTGCATTTTTGTCGCATGATGATATGTTAAGGTATACGGTGTGTGCATTTGACAGATGGTAATAAGTGTCAATAACTTTTGAACCTCCACTCCGATTCACTCGTGAGTATTTGGTTAAACTTGTAAAATGTGTTTGTCAAATTTGAGTAAAGGACAGCAAATTTTCCAAGTGCGTCATGGATACCTGTCGCAATGTTTAAACGTAAGAATAAACGTGGAGGCAATAAATTTTCCGAAAAGGATATCTTTATCTTAAAAAGGGTAATTATCAATTTGCCGTTTGACAACATCGACGAAAGTCGATTTCAATCGCTGCTCAAAAATGTCGAATGTGTCAACGTGAAAGAAACACAAGTTGTTTTGGATAAAGGCAAACTGTCGCCCGGATTGTACATAGTTGTCGCGGGACAGGTTGAAGGCATAAGCGTGAGGGGAAGACTTGCCATACGTTTCTTCAGGCCGGCTGACTTTTTTGGCGACCTATCGACGTTTTTCTCAATACCTTCTCCCCTGACCGTCAGCGCTAAAGAAGGGTGAGTGTTTTCTTTTATTTGTCACGAGAAAACAAAGCTCTATGTTGTGTAATGCTTGCAAATATGTTATCCAGGTATATCCTAGTCCAATTACAATCTCATCCCTGTCCTTAACATGAAGTACATACTGAACATGAAGTACATACTGAACCTTGCATCTCGACATCTTTAAACTGTATGTGCAAGCTTGTAGTCTTCATTGCACCTCATGGTCTCGACTTTATATCGGATCATGTCAATGTCCCTTGCTGTTAGTCTTAGTTGATGTATATGAACTGCTTTTGCCTTGCAGTGCAGAATTGCTGTTTATCAAATCCGAAGACGTTCTCAATGTGTTGTCAGAGAAAGCTAATGTGGATTTGTTCCAATGGTTCATTAGAAGGCATGATATCAACTATCGAGTTTTCTTTTTTATCTGTTGTAATGATGCTCATCATGATGTAATTTGGACTTCCATTTCAATGCTGTTGTCCATTAATTGTTATAATAAGGAAAACTGTTGCAGGCCCCAAGAATAAAGATGTATTGTAATGTTGTTTTGGGAAAAAATGAGCTATTTTATCATAATATTGTGTTGACTTATGTCAAAGTTATCTGTCAACTTGTGGTAACAAGGAAATTAAGATGAGAACATTTGTACAAGGCCTACATTTTTCCACATCTAGGAAATATGTGGACACCGGTAAAGTTTTTAAAGACGGAGCTGTGTTGAAAGAACTTGCATATCAGGCCCTACAAGAGGTATAGAAGAAAATACTTAATGAGTTAGGTGATGTTTTGTGTAAATAGCAAGTATGTTTGTCATATATGGGCTGATATGCATTTGGTGAAGGATGGCTGTGAATATAATAACTGCAATGCAGTTTGGAGTTATTATTTAGTTGCATTCAAGAAAATTTTATTTCTCTGCTTTAATTTTTTGCGCATTTAATAAAAGCGACAAGTTTTTTTAAAATAAAAAAGGTTTCAACATCTCATGATGCCATCTTCAGTATTATAAGGAATATTATGTATGTGATGAATATATATGAGTGAATATAGTGTTAAAACGAAAAACTTGAACGTTGAGATTGGGGTTAGTTTTGTTAATGTGAAGTGCTTCTTTGATTTTGAGTGCGAATGTAGTATCTGCAGTGTCGATGATTTTAAAGCAAGAGGGTGAATAGTTAGTTTTGCATGAAGGTGATTTTAAAAGTTGTCGAAAGATATGTGAGTTTTTGTCAGTTGTGGTGTGTTCCCTGATTCTGGTGGATAAATGACGGATGGGAAGTTTCGCCAATGTATCTGGAATTACATCCGCGCAATTGAATTCATATACCACCATAGATTTAATCGAATCAGGTATAGGATCATTGAATGAGAAGTAGTTTTTGATTTGATCAATAGGACCCTCTTGTCATGTGCATTGATTAATTTATTTTAAATTTCCTTCCACGTAATCAGAGAATTGAAAGCATTTGATCTCTTACTTTTCATTTTATTTAGACACCGATGTTCTTAAATTGGAGTTCTGATTGTTTACACTTTCTCGTCGAGCAAACTTTACCAGGTCAGATGTTCAAATCAAGAAATATCCTCGTATTGAGACTCTAGCTCTTCAATTTGATAACATTGCAATACCAACTGGCAGGTGGCATTGCTTTTGCATGTTTCGCATTGCATAATCATTTTTATCACTTGCCTCATAGAAATCATTGTTTTGTTTCCATCGGGCAGTTACATCTGGCGAGAGGGAGATCACGCTCGTGAGATATTCATCCTCGTTCAAGGCACAGCAAAGATTTTCACATCAGAAAATAAAGAGCTTGTGACCATCTCTTCAACAAAGCCAGTTTCTCATTGGGCGAGGAACAGTACTTCAGGCAATCTAAAAGGATCTTCGATGTTTGGTAAACTATATTAACTGTAGCTTACATAAGTATGTTTATGTATCTTAGTTCTAGCAATTGCTTGTAGTGAAGCCAGCTGATCTTTTACTCATACAATGCCAATTTTTTTCCAAAAATTTTATTCATGACTTTAGCAAATCAATTCCATTCTACACTAAAGTATTGCGTGGTAGGAGTAAAAAACGGGGGGTGGCTTTGCCTCTGGCTATTACAATGTACAATCAAACCTTTATTTAGCAGATATTAAGTGTGCACTTCATAAAGTTGCACATTTGATCCCATCTGGGTAATTCGTAATAATGAAACCCTATCAAGCCCACACTAGTTCGTTACTTGAGGGTGTCCACATGATACAGGTTTGACTGTACTTGATATTTCCCAAACATCAAAGTAACCTTGACTTTTAGTAAATGCCGATAAACACATTGCATTTTGTTGATTGTTGTTTTCAGGTCAGAAAGTCCATGCTTGGTGTTGATCGTAAGCAGAAATCATTTAGACTATCTGTTCCACAGTGATATTCAGGTAATTTTGTTGTCAAAGTCATTTAGACATCCAACCCAAGAATGCAATATAAAACATTTGTTGGATTGAAAATTTTATGCATTGTTTAAATTACATCATTACAATGCACCAATGTTAGGCTAACCTTGACTTTTTTTGCAAAATCCTTCTATGCAGTTTGAATATCATACAGATATGGCATTATTTATAGGAATTTTTTGGTTTGTTCTCCCTTAACATTTTATTTCCATCGTATCTCTCTTATGTGGGAAGGTTTTATACAAACATATGAATTTGAAGCATCCACCAATTATACCATTTTTCATATTTTATTACCACAGTGCAATGAAGAACTAGCACTTTACGACCTTCTTTCTCATCGGTGGGAAAGTCTGTTCACACAAAGAAATAAATCTCTGTATTCCAAGTACCTCGGACAGCTTGACTTGGAAGTCACGAGCATTGTGAGTACTGTATGGAGTTTTGTAGATATTTACTAAATACACTGCTAGTCCATCATTGCCAGCTTTAATTGCTGAAAATATCATACAAAGTATCAGCATTTGTACATTGGCAAAAATTGTACAAAAATGATGACTTCATATTTGCAGAAAATGTGGCAAGCATTGGTGAAATGTGGAATGGAAGTCCCATTTCAAGCTGGATTCTTTCACATGTTGTTTCTGTTGGCTCATGCCTCCGAAGTTGATGTGGGGGAAGGAATTTTGGTTGCAAGTGAACTTAGTAAGTTCCTGTGAAGCAATTGTTGATTATAAGGCAATAGTTTTTTGTTGAGGCCTTCATACAAACAACCTGTGCTGAGCAAGTTGGTGAACATCTCAACCCCCTAGACAATTTTTAATTCTCTGCTTCCTGCATCTGCTTAGCTGTAAAAAGCTGAACATCCGAGCTCATAACCATTAAAGTAATCTTTGGCCGAATTCCAAAGCTCAATATTTTTCATTATTCTATGCAAACTTAAGGACAATTAAGCAAGGTGTCCGGTGCAATCCCTTCTAAGTATCCTATCCTTCAATCTTGTGCAAAATAACTTTTTCTTCTATTCTTTTACTGACTATAGATGACGTAGCTGTGCTCATCATTAAAGGGAGAGGGGAAATTACATTGGCTAACCAGAGATTAGAAACTATTGAGACATCTGAATTATACTGTATGTTGTAACAGAGATCGCAAATTGAAGTGCATGCTTCATTAAACATCATGAATTTTGTTATGCCTTTCTTTCCCCAGACTCCTTGTTTATAAATTCAAAAAGCCAAGTTGCATGTACAGTTTCTTTTAGTTAAGTTTCAATTTGGTCAGAGAGCTGTAGTTTTCAATGTATGACATCTTGAATTACACATAACAAGTTGGAAATTTGAGGTCTTCATCCTATCAGAACTTGGATAAGGCTTATCTACCCACGATTACAAGTACATCAAAAAGGATCACTAGTTTTCAACAAAGACTTCAAAAAAATTTTTTGTTCGTGTTTGAATGTTGAATCATGATGCACTTCCAATTACATTTATAGTACCAAAGAATGATTGCAGCTATGGTGATGAGCACTGGTTCAAAGCAGTCGAGCCAACAGTGGTTTTAAAGATCCCCTATGCAGTCATCAGAAGTGCCCAAGAACAATATCCACGTTATGATGTATTTTAGAACATCAAGGTAGCAGCAGAACTCATGGAAGGTTTTGTTTATGTAAGTTGAGACTAATTATTTAGCATGGTTTTTGTTAGATTACAGAAAACTTTGTAAGACTCTTTGTTCTATAAGCAATGAGCTTGCAAGAAATGTGTTCACATTCTTCTTGAAGTGTACTTTAATACAATTTATTTAGCATACATATACAATGTACAGTTTGTTGTTTAATACTTGAACATATTTAAATAAGTACAAATAACCGTAGCCTGAGTGTTCATCTATGTTTGGATTTACTATAATGCAAGATCATGCATTTTTCACCCCCCCTACATATATAGTGTTTATAAAAACCCAAAAACATAGCTTTTGGGGGTGCTGAAATAAGTTCTTAAAAATCAAATATTTGAAACAGCTTTTTGCAAGTGACTTAGTAAACTTAAACCCAACAAAATAGCGTTTTGTACACAGCTGCAACAAGGACGGTGGCAGATTGATAATTGGGGGGGGGGGTGTCAGTGTGGCATGAATTTTCATGTATGTATGTTCTACTTTGCTGGTTTCTGATGAAGGCAATTGTTTTTGTGCTCAACGAGCTGCCCGCCCCCTGCAATTATCAATCTGCCGCCATCCCTTTGTAAATGAATTCATAACAAAACTTAACCTATTTTTCATAAGTTCATTAATAAATTCGTAACAAAACTTCATGAATTGACTAATGTCAATGCATTTATGGATTCCACTCGGTGTCTTGCTGAAGTCTTAAAAAAACTCTAATACGAATTTTCATGATTTTCTTATCAAATTTCTGGCATGACTGTCATATTAATCATCTTTCTATCGGAGTTTTCTTTTCTTGTCACTTTGATTTAGATGATCATCATAATTGGACTTTACGTCTGACATGTTCTCATTTTCATCCTCCTCGATCACTTCAATCAGCGATTCCAATTGAAGCAATCTTGCTTCATGAGATTTCACAGTTTCATTAAGAGATATCATCATAGAATATGCCTACAAGAAAATGATGTACACATTGAAGTGAAAGCTTGTGTCATTACTATAAAAGTAAATTACCATTAGGTGAAGTGTTCAGTGCCGTAGCTAGAACACTAATTGGGGCAGTGAATATCAACATAATCAGTTGTGCCTGACTGATTTCTTTTGAAAGCCAAATAACTTTCGTAAGAAGTCAGTCAGGCACAACTGAATATAAGAATATAAAACCCCCCTTAATTCCTTTTTAATCTACCCACCATCATTTCAGGGTTAGTTTCATCAACTTTGACTTTTTTATTGGAGCAAACTCCAAGTTCATAGGTCTTGATTTTATTCCAATCCAATGTATAAAGATCCCTTGTAGGAAAAATGTAAGTAATGAAACCTTGACACTTAACAATTCAGTTTTGAATTTAAATGAAGATATGATCTTCGCACTTTGCTGGACAATTTAAGCAATTGTCTCATGAACCTGAAAAATTCAGGTGACTCAACAGGATTATATAATTTTACAATAACATCTGCACTTCAGGGTGTCTCAAGAAAACTGCAAACGTTACCATGAGCACAATAGATGACTCGCCTTGTTTACATTTTGCTGGTAGGCAGATAAATCCCACAGGAGATAAGGCATTGTCGCCGGCATTGTCTAAAAGCACTCTGCCTGCCAGTAAACGTAAACAAGGCAAGTCACCTATTGCATAAAATTCACCAATCAAATAAGATCTCAAGTTAATATGTACACTTGCCTTAAACTGTCGAGTGCTTTTGGTGTCGAGTTGTACATTTTGCCAATGGGTTGCTCGCAGTGTTTGCATTCCAGGATATAATATGAACTGAAATATAAAAATGACAATTGGTGCTTATGAACAGACTTGCAGCATCACAACAGACTACAGACTTTGTAGTGTGCACCTGAGATCTTAAGGGTGCAATTTGAGAAACCCGGGCTTTTATGTGTGCACATTTCAAATCTTGTGTGCACAGTTTACAAACTTTCCCATCTCAGTGTGGGCATTGTCAAGCCATGTGTTCGGTTTGAACAAACTGTTTCTCCACCTCTCAAGCTTTAAAGTTTGTTTTGTGGAAAGGAATCTTTGCAGTTTTTCAACTGCATTTAAAAAAGAATTTTTGTTTACACCTGCCTGCACAAACCTTCCTTGCAGTAAACTTTTAGCGTAGTAAATGGTAGTTTTGACTATGGCCGTGGACTGGAAACTTTTTCATTCATATTGTCCTACACTAATGGACTGATTTTAACATTTTCATAAATATGCAGGCTGAAAATGCATTAAAAACTCTGTGTCCAGTAATTGTTCTGGTCGTTCCCATCTTTTAAACTTGTTACATATGGCAGTAAATAATTACCTTCCTAAATCATCTCCTTTCGTCGACATTTCATACTTGTCTGTTACAAATACGCATTCCGTCGTCGCTGGTAGAGAGAGAAATACACTGTGCATGACCACAACATGAGTTATAAAACCTTCGTCCAACAATGAACCAACCGCGTGTTCTAACTTTTCTAGCTTATAAATACATTACAATTTACAACACAAAGGCCATGCTTAACACACCCACCAAACATGGACACGCTTTTCAAATTCTTGTTCATCTTTGCCATATTTAAACTATCTCCCATTATATTTCGACATGACATGCAATAGAATACGTAGGTTTTTTGTAATGGTTTGTTTCGATGGTCTTGGTCTTTGTTCTTTTAGCAGTTTCCATTATCAATTGCCAGTATTATCACAGAATAGAGACATATACCTGTGGTATTGTATACCGGTAGTCTGGTGTAGTATTGGGACACCGGACAATGTGCGAGGCCAGCGGTATTTGGCGGTATTGGTTGGTATTTGTGATCACCGTGGTGATAAGTGGTGATGACCACATAATTAGTAATTGTTTTTCAACATTGGATTGTCTTATTTGGAATAAGTGATATACCAATTCCCGGTGGCCAGGGCAATCCCTTTTCCTGGATCGGTTCTACGAAAGTGCAATTTTTAGTGCAGTCCTACATTTTGGATGTATACATTTGCAGCTAACAACTCGATATTTTACGGAAAATTTCGATTTTTATCTCAGTACTGCACAAATCATTACAAAGCGCCTTGAATGCAGAAGCTGTTTCGTCTTGCGTTCTGATCTAAGACCATTGACAGATTTATGTACTAAGGCTTGTTTAGCCGGCCACTTTACTACTGCTAGTCTGCTATGCGTCTTTTTCTCTGTGTCTATTCACTGTAAAATCTATAAAACAGAGGGTTGGATATTGATGATCATTTTAATTTTAAAATGGCAGGACCAAAAATGCTATTTCCTGGGAATATTATTGGGCGTGTCCCTGATGCAAAGAATTTTTCTAAACCTGGAAGATATAATTGTAAAAACACGGGATGCTTTCTTAGTATTTGAAATGATTTGCCATGTTTATGAAACCTTTATATCGTATCAAATTTCGATTTCGATTTCGATTTCCCTTCTGAGAATTTTGCCGAAATCCAGGATGAAGAATTTTAACAAATAAGTTTCAAAACTCAAAACCATTTTAAACTTAGGTCGAAATGGAAACACGGTCAATCGTGTGGAAAATACCCACAATGCCATTCGTCAAAGAACATCGAAGCATGGCGTTGTTAAAATAGGTACAAAGCATTGAGCTCTGAGTAGTTCTTTGACAGATTACACGATGTCTGAAAAGGGAGAAGGTAAGCGAATACATCTATTCTTATTCATACTAGCGATCACGTAAGGAAAGTGTGGTGAACTGTAGAATTTTGATGTGAAATTTTCATTAGGAGAAGTTGAAAATTTAAACTCGAGCCAAACCAAATGCGAGAAAACGGATGGACCGCCATCTCCTAAACGAGTAAGTTTGTGATCCTAAAAGGCGAAGGCATTTTGATTCAGATGGATTATATACCATTAGACATCGTTACTGTCATTATAATACTCTGCTGACACGTCGCGGGCACGAAAAGACTTGTTTTTGTAAATTAAAAATTGCTTGTCTTGCAGCAAAAAACGATTGAAGTTTCTGGCGAATTGAAAAAGATGAGCAAAGAAGCTTTGCTATCAAAGTAAGTCTGAAACAATGCGCCGTTTCATCGAAGCAAGATGTAAAAGTTGTGTTTCCATTCGTACCTACCATGCTCTTTGTTTGACGTACTTTGATCTCTTTCATACAATTTCTATAATATCTGAGTAGTTTCACTCTATGGGCTTAGGCCAGCAGAACACCATTCTTCATCACCCCAAGTGTTCCATTGTTTATTGCAGGCTCCAAGATCAAGAGAAATACATCAGTCAAATGGAGGATAAGTTAAAGCAAACATCAAATGGTGAGTGTATATGAATGTAATCTTTCAAGAATGTAATCTTGTGAAAATTCTCGAAATTCTAATTTTGTAAAGAGGGAGGTGCGTTGTTTGAGCCATAAAATATACAAATGAAGTTAGGTCTGCCATATAGCGATACGCATGAATAAATTCTAGTCTAACCTTGTTTGTGGCCTTAATTACAGGGCACATTTGCACTGCAAGTGTGCAATCGCATTTTTCTAAGATCTTGTTTACAGTACATTGTATGAATGCCATGTAAAAAGTACAGTGTAAACCTTCAATTCCAGTAGTCTTTATTTCGAAAGAACATTAGTTACTGTTTACAGTGGCATTTCCTGATATTTGCATGCATAATAATTTGCTCACAAAGTTGCACCGCCCTCCCTCATCAAAAGCCCTGAAATTTTAATTCAAGCTGTTTTGGCTCATAGATGCATGGTGCTACCCATGAAAACCATTAAATACAGAAAAAGAATAAATGCCCTTTTGCAGTGAGAAGTTTGATTTAATTAAAATTGTGTTATAAAGTAAATGGTTTGAACCCGGGAGTATCGTAACATGTTTGTGGATGAAGATTATCCAGGTTGGTAGAGTCTTGAGAAGGACTGTTGGTATTGATGTAGACTGACATTTTGACAACCTTAGCTGAAGATGACTACCATTGCAGCTGACATTTTAACAACCTTAGCTGAAGATGACTACCACTGTAGACTGACATTTTGACAACCTTAGCTGAAGATGACTACCACTGTAGACTGACATTTTGACAACCTTCGCCGAAGATGACTACCGCTGTAGACTGACATTTTGACAACCTTAGCTGAAGATGACTACCACTGTAGACTGACATTTTGACAACCTTCGCTGAAGATGACTACCACTGTAGATTGACATTTTGACAACCTTCGCTGAAGATGACTACCACTGTAGACTGACATTTTGACAACCTTAGCTGAAGATGACTACCACTGTAGACTGACATTTGACAACCTTAGCTGAAGATGACTACCACTGTAGACTGACATTTTACAACCTTAGCTGAAGATGACTACCACTGTAGTCTGACATTTTGACAACCTTAGCTGAAGATGGCTATCGATGTAGACTGACATTTTGACAACCTTAGCTGAAGATGACTACCACTGTAGTCTGACATTTTGACAACCTTAGCTGAAGATGACTACCACTGTAGACTGACATTTTGACAACGTAAGCTGAAGATGACTACCGCTGTAGACTGACATTTTGACAACCTTAGCTGAAGATGACTACCACTGTAGTCTGACATTTTGACAACCTTAGCAGAAGATGACTATCGATGTAGACTGACATTTTGACAACCTTAGCTGAAGATGACTACCACTGTAGACTGACATTTGACAACCTTAGCTGAAGATGACTACCACTGTAGACTGACATTTTGACAACCTTAACTGAAGATGACTACCACTTTAGACTGACATTTTGACAACCTTAGCTGAAGATGACTACCACTGTAGACTGACATTTTGACAACATAAGCTGAAGATGACTACCACTGTAGACTGACATTTTGACAACCTTAGCTGAAGATGACTATCGATGTAGACTGACATTTTGACAACCTTAGCTGAAGATGACTACCACTGTAGACTGACATTTGACAACCTTAGCTGAAGATGACTACCACTGTAGACTGACATTTTGACAACCTTAGCTGAAGATGACTACCACTGTAGACTGACATTTTGACAACCTTAGCTGAAGATGACTACCACTGTAGACTGGCATTTTGACAACCTTAGCTGAAGATGACTACCACTGTAGACTGACATTTTGACAACCTTAGCTGAAGATGACTACCGCTGTAGACTGACATTTTGACAACCATAGCTGAAGATGACTACCGCTGTAGACTGACATTTTGACAACCTTAGCTGAAGATGACTACCGCTGTAGACTGACATTTTACAACCTTAGCTGAAGATGACTACCACTGTAGACTGACATTTTGACGACTTTAGCTGAAGATGACTACTGCTGTGGTTGTCGAAACGTCAGTCTACATCAATACCAACAGTCCTTCTCAGGTGACGTTACTCTACTAACCTCAATGATCTTCATTCACAAACATGGTACTATTGCGTTGTTGATAATTTTTCTCGGCATCCAGTAATTCTTTGCCACTGAAAAAACATGTTAAATAAAGATACTGGTATTTTGATGGTGGTAGTCGGTATTTGCGATATGGATCCGCTCTAATTTTTAATGAATGCAAATATATTCCTAAAATGTTTGCTGCGCCTAGTATTTGTGGCAATCAAGCTATGTAAATTTGCACATTTGAGCCCAATTACCCTTCTTTTATCACATGACTGTTAATTTTGGTTGTTTTTTGTCACATGAATTGAAAACCAGTATATAAAGAAAAATTTTTTACCTAACCAATAAATTGCCGCAGTCTATATCACTATTATTTGCTTGTAGATGTAAATTGTCCAGGTTGGTAGAGTTCTGAGAACGACTGATTGATCGACATTTCAGCAACCTTAGCAGTGGTCATGTTCATAGTCAAGTAGTAGTTTAAAGATGACTACCAAACCGCTAAGCTTGTTGAAATTTCGGTCATTAACACCAATAGTGCTAACTTGGACAATATAGGTGTACAAAGAACATGTAATGATACTCCCCAGATTCAAGCCATTCACTTGATCATTCGTATTCATTACAATCATTGTTGTTCAACTAACTTCTAGTTGGGGAACTGACGTCTTTACGAGAGTCCGAAGAAAAGCTAAAATTGCAGCAACAGGAGTCGACACGACGAGAAAACGTGCTTGTGATGCGGCTAGCGACGAAAGAACAAGAAATGCAAGAACTTCTGGTGAGATATATGTATGGAACATTTCATAAGACATTTGATAACCTGGCCATTACAAGTACATCATAAGCTTCCCAAGTTTGAAAGTACTCATGTGATGGTTACAATGACTGTGAGATTGCATCCGAATAATACAACGAACAGTTTTTTAATCGGGCTTCTCTTGGACTGCATCTTGTCATTAGATTGATGGCATTGGGAACAAGTGAGGTTGGGAACTTTTGATAATGTCAAGGTTTGAACATTCTAGTGATTCTTGTTCCAAAAGCTATTGTTAGCATCAATTCGACTGATCCTAAGATAATGCAGTGAAATATTAATTTATTGCTGAGAGCCAGACAGACAGAGGCTTGCTTAGCAATTTAGACGAACATTTGTTTTGGAAAACGAACTTTCTAGATAGCCAAGTAATCTATGAACACTTAGAACTTGTCACGAACTGTGGTAGATGCCATATTTTAAGCTTAGATTTCATTATTTTTAATCATTGTAGATGCATGTGAATTATTGTGGCTTATTGCATGGAAGTAATTTCTATACCTGGTAAACTAACTTGTAGTCTTGTATCAAGTTGGGAATCTTGTTACAAATGAACATTATAGACCGGATTTATAGGCATTTGAACTTTTAACTTCTCTGATTGCTCCTAATAGCAACACCCAAACGGAGAGTTTCGGCTTTAAGCGTAAACATTAGATGATTCATTTTAAAAGCATTTATTACTGTACTGAAGGACTCTAGTTATAACATCATATCATTTGTGACAAAGACTCAAGTATCAGCATCAGATCACTGTTGATGAAAAGAATGGACTATAGTAAAGAAAGACTTGACTCTCAACATGAAATCACTATTCATGAAAAGGATAGACTGGAGTATAGAAGACTTGATTTTCAACATGAGATTACTATCGATGAAAGCAATGGACTTGAGTGTGGAATAATTTTCAAGTTTTAACATCAGGTCACTTTGGATGAAGAGACTGGACTGGAGTATAGGGAGAGTTCAAGTTGAAACATCAAATCGCTCAAGATGTAGGAGAAGAATATATGAATAATATGAAGATGAGGATGAACCCCATTGCTCGTGCACTGCTCTCAAGTTGAAGGATTAAGGATCGTGAGTAACGATCGAATCAACTGAGAGACATTCAATAGAAATACATAAACACTGGGACATCGATATGTATTATGAATTTTAAAAAATGATGATCGACTCAGATTTTGTTCGTCTTGGTTGCGCGATAACTGCATCTGATAAAGGAAAGACTTTCGTTTTGATGAAAGACACTATTTTCCTATAAGTTCTTCAAAAGGTGGCTTGTTGTAAACCGAGTTCATCAGTTAATATCATTGCTTTGTAATTGTAAAGATTGTAAACCTTTTAAGATAGAATTGTATAGAAGAACCGCTCACCAGTTGACCTCGTTGACCGTTCTTACCTCTCAATTTAGATTTTAGCTTATGAAGATTCTCGTTTGAGATTGACGACTGCGTTTAAGATGCGGGTGTTTGATGTTTTTCGTCTTTCAATGCAATCACAATAATTTATGAAATTTTGAAATCATGAAAGATTGTTACCGTAGTTTTTGATAGATAAAACGAATTCACGTGGTAATTGATATTGAATTGGAATAATGAACGAACAATTAAAGGTCGAATTTCTGCAAATATATACATGTAGAAATTTTCAGCGTTGGATTCTGTAAAAGTTTCTGCAGCTTGATTTCCTCCTTGAAGGTTTTGTTTCTTGTGTTGCTCTTTGCAGATTTTGTTGCTTATGTTGATCTTTGAAGATTTTGTTTTTGTGTTGTTGCTCTTTGAAGATTTTGATGTTTGTGTTGATCTTTGAAGATTTTGTTTCTTGTGTTGCTCTTTGAAGATTTTGCTGCTTTTGTTGACCTTTGAAGGTTTTGTTGCTTGTGTTGCTCTTCAAAAGTTTTGTTGCTTGTGTTGATCTTTGAAGGTTTTGTTGCTTGTGTTGATCTTTGAAGATTTTGTTGCTTTTGTTGACCTTTGAAGGTTTTGTTGCTTGTGTTGTTCTTTGAAGGTTTTGTTGCTTGTGTTGATCTTTGAAGATTTTGTTGCTTGTGCTGCACTTTGAAGATTTTGTTGCTTGTGTTGCTCTTTGAAGATTTTGTTGCTTGTGTTGCTCTTTGAAGGTTTTGTTGCTTGTGTTGATCTTTGAAGATTTTGTTGCTTGTGTTGCTCTTTGAAGGTTTTGTTGCTTGTGTTGATCTTTGAAGATTTTGTTGCTTGTGCTGCACTTTGAAGATTTTGTTGCTTGTGTTGAACTTTGAAGGTTTTGTTGCTTGTGTTGCTCTTTGAAGGTTTTGTTGCTTGTACTGCACTTTGAAGATTTTGTTGCTTGTGTTGAACTTTGTAGGTTTTGTTGCTTGTGTTGCTCTTTGAAGGTTTTGTTGCTTGTGTTGCTCTTTGAAGGTTTTGTTGCTTGTACTGCACTTTGAAGATTTTGTTGCTTGTGTTGAACTTTGTAGGTTTTGTTGCTTGTGTTGCTCTTTGAAGGTTTTGTTGCTTGTGTTGCTCTTTGAAGGTTTTGTTGCTTGTGCTTCACTTTGAAGATTTTGTTGCTTGTGTTGAACTTTGAAGGTTTTGTTGCTTGTGTTGCACTTTGAAGGTTTCGTCGCTTGTGTTGCACTTCAAAAGTTTTGTTGCTTGTGTTGCTTTCTGAAGGTTTTGTTGCTTGCGTTGCACTTAGAAGGTTTTGTTGCTTGTGTTGCTCTTTGAAGGTTTTGTTGCTTGTGTTGATCTTTGAAGATTTTGTTGCTTGTGCTGCACTTTGACGATTTTGTTGCTTGTGTTGAACTTCGAAGGTTTTGTTGCTTGTGTTGCTCTTTGAAGGTTTTGTTGCTTGTGTTGCTCTTTGAAGGTTTTGTTGCTTGTGCTACACTTTGAAGATTTTGTTGCTTGTGTTGCACTTCGAAGGTTTTGTTGCTTGTGTTGCTCTTTGAAGGTTTTGTTGCTTGTGTTGCACTTTGAAGGTTTCGTCGCTTGTGTTGCACTTCGAAAGTTTTGTTGCTTGTGTTGAACTTTGAAGGTTTTGTTGCTTGTGTTGCACTTTGAAGGTTTTGCTTGTGTTGCTCTTTGAAAATTTTGCTGCTTTTGTTGATCTTTGAAGGTTTTGTCGCTTGTGTTGCACTTAGAAGGTTTTGTTGCTTGTGTTGCTCTTTGAAGGTTTTGTTGCTTGTGTTGCACTTTGAAGGTTTTGTTACTTGTGTTGCTCTTGAAGGTTTTGTTGCTTGTGATGATCTTTGAAGATTTTGTTGCTTGTGTTGCACTTTGAAGGTTTGGTTGCTTGTGTTGCTCTTTGAAGGTTTTGTTTTTTTGTGTTGCACTTCGAAGGTTTTGTTGCTTTTGTTGATCTTTGCAGGTTTTGTTTCTTGTTTTGCATTTTGAAGATTTTGTTACTTGTGTTGCACTTCGAAGGTTTTGTCGAAGGTTTTCTTGCTTGTGTTGATCTTTGAAGATTTTGTTGCTTGTGTTGAACTTCGAAGGTTTTGTTTCTTGTTTTGCATTTTGAAGATTTTGTTGGTTGTGTTGCTTTAGAAGATCTTGCTGCATGTGTTGAACTTTGAAGATTTTGTTGCTTGTGTTGCTTTAGAAGATCTTGTTGCATGTGTTGAACTTTGAAGATTTTGTTGCTTGTGTTGAACTTCGAAGGTTTTGTCCGTTAGTCATGTCTATATTCCACCTGCCACTTCCTAATCCCATTGCTTTGTTAAAATTTGGAAGAGTCACTCGAATTTGGCTAGTTGAAACCTCATCTTTCAAACTCATTCCTGATTCGTTCTCTTTGTAGACGCAAATTCATGATCTGAAACAATCCCAGAATCCCGCTGGTGAGCAACTCCGCTCCACGTTGCTCGACCCTGCCGTTAATATAGTATTTCAGAGGATGAAGACCGAATTGGATGAGACGAAGGAGAAACTGGAGCAGGCGCAGAACGACTTGAACGCGTGGAAGTTTACTCCGGACAGGTACGACTTTAAACGTTATGCAGTATGCGTGCGCCATTGACTCGAAGTCACGTGTTCAACTGTATTGTGCGGATTGCTTTGGAGATTTGTGCAGGCTATAATGAGATTGAAGGTGCAATGTTACCAACTTTAGTCAATCCAAGGCGTTCTGACTTTTGTCTCGGCAGCTTGTTTGTTTGTTTGTTTGTTTTTGTAAGCGATCGTCATTACCGCTATTCTGACGTGGCGTTCACAATTCGAATATGCGTCACACTACTTGTGAATTTTTTGGTGTGTTTTGTCTGCATTCGTGATCTGATGTAATGAAAAAGTTCATCAGTTACGAAGTAACTGTCGATTACAAATTTTTTCAATAAACTCGCAAGTGAAATGTATGAAAAACTTCAATCATTCTACTTTATCATGCCAAAAATGACGACGTTACACCAATGTGCAAGATGTCGGGAAATAAAAGTCCTTAGTTCTGTAAAATCGTGTGTAATCAAGTAAACAAACCCGAAACAGATCTCGAATTTAGCCATGTATTTTAAGACATCTGTCCGTATCGTATGTGCGGAGTTAGTAATGTAACTACACGCTGTGATTAACCAACTTAGCGGCGGACAAAAATTATCAATGTGTCAAAATATACGTGAAATAATACACACAGACGGTGCACGATGTTAAAGGAGTGGTGGTGTTATGAATTTAGCATTCTTTTGAAAGTCCCGTATTCACCAGAATGTCATATTTGAAAGGGATTGTGATGATCATACAAGGTTGTAAATGACTTGCACATGATCATGTAGTGTACTTTATACAAGATTGTACATGATTTGTACTTGAATATATAAGATGGTTATTAAGATTGTACATCGTAAGACAATATTTTACATCATTGAACATAATTGGTACAGCACACGTCTACATATGAAAAATGCATATCGTCGGGGATGTTAAAAAAAACGACATATCGTCGGGGATGTTCAAAAAAACAACAACACATTTGGATATTCATCCCAATGAAACGTAGTTTATTTAAAATAATCATACACGACGTCGAGCTTATGTCCCATTTATACAGCATAAATAGATTACATGCGTGCAGTGAACTCAATATATCTGGAATGATAACGACAATACATTTTATAGATATGAAATTGAAGCCTAAGTCCTAGTCTCTTGCGCGGTTTGTACGTCAGTTCCAGTCCTTCAAAGTCGAATATTCACGCGGTTTGTACGTCAGTTTCATTCCCCTGAGTGCCAAACATACACGGCCGATATAAATTTGAATACAACTTGCAGAAGCATAAACATATAAACAACATCTCGACAAACAACACGCGAGGCCAACTCTTCGCAAAAGGTTATTTTTTACAGCTGAAACTTTACTACAGTGAGTTCGTTGTAGCTTACAACTTGTAACGAGGAAAAGCCAACTGATTTTATTTAAATATTGAGTTCACTGCATGCGTGTGACAATGATTGAAAAAATAATCGAACAAGGCTGAGGCACACCATGCAAAACTTTCAAAGCGAGCCAATTTTTTACTTCGCGACGCGTTTTCTCGAGTTTGTTGCTAACGAAGAGCGAATATTGTGTAGTGTTACAGGCAAAAAGTTGATGGCAAAATGTCGCATGTTGATTCAAGAAAATCAGGAACTCGGTCGGCAACTCTCTCAAGGGCGCGTCGCTCAACTCGAGGCGGAGCTCTCCTTGCAAAAGAAATACAGCGAGGAACTGAAGACGAGTCAAGATGGTAAGTAACGTTCCACGTGATGGTCAATTTACGTTTTAAACGCAAGCTCAGTGGCGTAACCAGCCGCATGTTTGTTCATGGTCTGTAAATATTTAGTTGTTCTCCCCACTGCAACACAGGCTCAGTGACGTAACCAGCCGCATGTTTGTTCATGGTCTGTAGATATTTAGTTGTTCTCCCCACTGCAACACAAGCTCAGTGACGTATCCAGCCGCATATTTGTTCATGCATTGTAAATATTTTGTTGTTCACCCACTGCAAAAACAATACATTTCTAAAGAAACGAATAATGGTAATGACTGAAATTTATTTTACGCACGACTAAATTTGCAGGCTTGTTACGGCACTGTTTATTTTGTTATTTCTCACGTATAAGATCGTTATCCTTTTGAGTATAGGCTTCAGCACTCACTCCAGTTGGTTTTATAAATTGGAATTTGTACGCAGTTTGAAGGAAAGATCTGCGTTTAGTATGGGTGATATAGGACAGTTGTGGTCGCTCGGAGGCCGTTGTGGATGCTTAAGGTTGCTGTGGTTGCTCACGCCTCTAGCCATTAGGGAGGGGGGAGGTTGCTAATTCAAGTTTACAGCAAAGCGTCGTGGCAGTTGTGGTAAATGGTGAAGTGAGCCATCTGTGTTGATATAGTAAATAGTCTTTGGTGATATTCTTTGCTGAAGATATGAGGACTTAGTCCGTTTTTATTTTCAATGAGAAGATGAACTTGTAATGACGAACTACGGTTCTGGTATCTTAGGAAAAACTTTTTGATTGAACAATTTTTCGTTTTTCATACAAGTGCATTTTCTGCTACGGGCGATTTCTGGAGGGTTATTCTAACCCCTAAAAAATTTCGAGCGCGGAAAAGTGAAATATTTTATTATTTATTGCTGTATTAGCTGATTAATCTGTTTCATGAATTCTAGCATTCATCTACTTGGGTCAAGATGGACCTTTAAGGCTCTTGTTCGTCGGTTCGGAATTTAAACACAGATTAGATACATACGAAAGAGCATCATAGATTTTCGTTTAAAACTTCTGTTTGCTATTTTCAATGTTTCTGGGGGGGGGGGCTTATTGCCTTTGGTTTCTGCTTTGACCGAGTAAAGTAACAATGACGTATAGCGCTTGAGCAAAAATCAGTTGAGATGACATTTTGTATTAAATTGTATATGTGATGTGAACGCTATGATTAGTATCCTTGAGCTTACAAACGTCTCCATTCTGTTTTCATGAGTTTAGAACTGAACGAGTTCGTGATTCAATTGGATGAGGAGGTTGAAGGCATGCAATCTACAATTCTCGCTCTTCAGCAGCAGTTGAAGGGCGCGAAAAAAGAGCTCACCGAGGAAAAGGAAAGCAACGAAAAACACGTAGAACAGATAGGCATTCTAAAACGAAGTCTGGATCCCGTCGGAGCTCAACTGCCAACTTCTGTAGAAGGCAGGAAAACGTTTCCTCGAGACGGCGATTCGCGTCGTCACATGACTGATAGGACAGAGACCGAGTTTGAAGAGTCTGGGCACGAGCCAATGGAAACCGATTCCAGCGAACGTGGAAAAGAGAACATAAAGACTGGAGGAATTCAGTTTGAGTATAAGGCTTCTGAACCACAAGTCGATGATCTGGGAATGGACTTCAATGGCGAAAAGTTCGAATTAGATGCGGGAGGTAGTGATATCGCGAGGCCAAGCGGTGAACACGTGATTTTAGACTCCGGCGATGTTGTTCCTGCTCATGAAAATGCGCATTGTAATGCAGAAAGCGCTGTAATTGGTGATAGTTTTTCGAAGACCGTTGCTTTTGAAAGTGCACGGTCGGGCATGGAAAATGACACAACTACGAGCGGAACCTCGAGCAAGTATGTTCAAAACTCGAAGCTTGACGCGGAGTGCCAACGCACCGCATCAGAAGATGACGAGGAAGAATCGAAGAACGACGGCTTGTATAATGAACAGAAAAGGAAAGGCCTGAGAATTATCGTGGAAAATCCTAAAGCGATTACGGATCAGGCGAAGTCCAACGTAGAGCGAACAAGAAGCAGTGCCGAAAACACTAGAACAGGTATGAAACAAGCAGACATCAGCACAGAGCACCCAAGAACCGTTGACCACTCTGTAAACACCCCGTTCGACGTCGATCCCATTCCACTAGATAATGGTGGCGCGTTTTGTGCCCCTTCAGAACCAGGTCAGCGAAAAGCGGCTGGGAATGTTCCCTGTCCAACAACTTTTTCCATCAGCCAAATTTTGGGGGAGCCCAGAAGGACGCCCTCGCCCGATATACCGTCAGGGGGGGTTGATGCAGTTGTGACTAAGATTCCCTACATCGGAGGGTATAAAGACTCAAAGAGTGAGTCTACGTTTAGGACCGAAGGTCCCGGGTACATTAATGGGGGTAGTAGGGATGGCTCCCCACCCTTGGTGACTTAGATGTAGAGGCGAGAAGGGAGGGCAATGATTTGTATATGTAGGTGATGAATTCATGTTTTTTTTTGGAACTGTTCGCAATTACTGGAATAAAATCCATTTTAACTAATTTACGTTTCTAAGTATTGTCCGACGCATATGTTGGTAAATAAAGTGTTCCGATGACGAACATAAAAACTCACATCGTGTCTATTTCTTTGACGTAAAAAGCAGCTTTTTATAAAACTGAACACTCGTGAGATTAATTAATACATGTATGGAGATGTAGATCGTTCAAGGTTATAGTTCACTCCCAAGTGGACTGTTGGTGTAGGTGTTGATGTTGACGGACGTTTCGACATCCTTAGCGGTAGTCAGTTTCAAAGTCAAGTGACGTCGACCCTTCACCAACAGTCCCACTGAGCACTCCACCATCCTGGACGATATACGTCTATAAACATTTAAAAATACACACTGGCTCAAACCTTTTACTCTATCGAGATAGATTAGTGTTCCACTGGTTGAATGTATGATGTATGAAAAGACTTTCATACTCGCACTTTGCCATCTTGGAATCACACATTAGTTGCGATAGTCGAACATTTCGTGATAAAGAAGTAGAATACATTTTCACGTTTCTGTACAGTTATATCAACAGTTTCATCATTTACTTTTCTACCACAAAGAAACGAAACTTTTATTGTAGCTTTTTGCATTATAATTTGAGTACAGCATTTAACACACATTTCGTTCTACATTCATCAACCGGCATTCATTCAATATTTGGCAACATTTGCATTATTACAGACGCTTCAATTTTCATTCAATCGAAAGTCAAAGCTGTATTTGGAGTCTAATTGTTCATGAAATATGTGTAATTCGTGATGTTCCGAAGTTTAATTCTAGTTTTTCCAAAGGTTTTTACGCGATAAGATGAGCAAGCTCTTTTGGCTCCATTTGTTCGGAATTTTGTGTATGATTTTGCTTTTGTCGTCCTTTACGAAAATCGAACAACAATTCACGATAAACATTTACCAAATTTCGGAAATTCAAGAACCTTGGAATTCTTAAAATTGCCTGATTGTGCTGGGTCTAGTACATATTCATTCTGTTCAGTGAAGTAAAATTTATAAATTGATAAAAACGCTTAGTCCTTAAATTGTAACTTAAAAACAAAAATTTGTCGATTTAGCTGTCGATATAATCAAGTTGAATAGCTTTCTATACCCGAGGTAATGAACCAGTCATTAATACCGTCCATTAACTGTAGCAGGAGGCTGTAGAGTTTTCTTCAATCGAGGGTTCAGGAAACAAAATTCGCAATTTTTCAACTTTGCTTTTTTCTTCTCGCCGGCAAATGTAATTACAGTCTGTAGTTTCATGGAATGTATTTTAAATGGACGATTGATCAACTATTGCAATATGTATGGAAATAGCAAATTCGCAAAACTTTTTCGGATTTTAATTACATCAATTTAATTCTCTTTCCGTTGTTTGAACTGAAAGAGTGTTTCCTGGAAAAGCCCATTCTTAAATTTAGTGAAACCGTCACTGTCATTAGTTAACCACCCGTCGATCGCAATGTGAGACAATTTAAAGATGGGGTATATTTTCTTTTCATTATATTTTCATGACAAATTGGCGTCTTCATAGTCGCCAGCGATATTGAATTAATGAAATTGATAGAAATTCAGACTGCGGTAATGCCTTTACTAAGCACAATATTCTAATGATATTAAAATCCATTCTTCCAAAGGTTATTAGTCGCGTTTTTATCCATTTATCTATATTTTATCAGGCACCATTATATAAATGAAAACACACGGCGAATATTGAACGCCATTGCTCGTGAATTGCTGACAGCAGTCGCATGTCCGTTTTGAAACAAATATTCTTGTAAAACTTAAAATGTGACTCACTAAAATTTATAATTCACATCATTTTGTTTCAAGAACTTCGTGTCTTGATTTGTTCTCTTCCGTTTCCACAAGAAAGGTTATTGTGTCATATTTTTCGCGTAGGTGTGCTGAAGTTTGTGATTTATTTCAATAAGTAATCGAGAATATACAGTCCTGTTGAGTCGAGCTAAACACGAGACATTATCTGCGGATTTTTGATTTGTTCATTCATTATTTGGTTTGCCGTAGTATTAATTGACCTTGATAGGGATTTTTTATGCGACGAAAACATGTCAGTTCTTCGAAGTGAATCGCAGTTCGCTTCTCGTTTGCTCGTGTTTCGAAAAGTCTCTCGTAAAAAAGTTGCCCAAATTTTCTCTCCCTTGAATAATTGGTGAACGATTAGTAAATTGACTGACTGGACAGGAAAACAAAGCGCCTTGTGTCATGTAAAAAACAGACTTAAAGTAATAAAAGGTGGTTTGCACATATTGGCGTTTTCCATCGTTTACATAAAGTAATTATTAAAAACACTGCGATCATGAAGATTTGTCTTATGAGACATGTTATCCGATGCAAATGACAATGGTCTGTCATACCCTCATCAGACATAGCATTTGTTTGAAGAAGTAAATTGTCATCTTTTCTTTCAAACGCAATTGTCAGTTTTGCCAATCTTGTTCTCTATCAATAGAGGAAGTTGTTGGAACTCGTTAGCATTCAATGACAAAACGGGGTTGAGCTTCCTCTTCGACTTCGGAAATGAGCACGAATTTTGCGATGATCACGCGTAGTCTAAAAGCATACTCTCTGAGTGCAACACAAAAATCTCGCTCCCACTAGTCAATGGTAAACTCGCTCTCCCATCAATGGCAAGATTTTTGCCAAATTATTTCAAACGAAGCAATCGAGGAATTCTGAAGCCCCACTTAAGGAGTATATGAGTGCGAGTTAGCTTGTAAGTTTTAACCAACCGCTCGAAAACTGCAGAGAAAGTCTCGTGTTGAAGTTCAGGTTGTTGACCCTCCTTTGTAGTCCGTTATAAACTTGTTGAATAAAATTGACAACTCCCGCACGTTTACTCGAAAAGTGAATGCAACGGGACGTAATCCTCTTTTTTATTTGAGTAAATGAACTTCTACACGATGGCCTCTCTTGTGATGAAAAGATATACAAGAAATAAAAATCTCACGAGGATTATTTAGTGTGTTATTGCATAAAAAAACTTGCTACTGTGTTTCACGTTTTCCGAATCGTGTTCTTACTCTGATTTCCGTTAGACAACGTAATTTTTTTAGAACGAGATCGGACTCTTGTGTCCCTCCCCTACGTACACAACAAAAAGCAATATAACTTTAATTGTGTATTACCACAAAACCAATCCGCAATCCTTCGATTGTCATTGTTGCGATGTGCACAATTATGTTCCGAATTCAAGCTTTTGTTTTTAATTTGCACCTATATCGCTTTTGACATAGACGATTAATAAATCGATATTTTCGCTGGCACATCGATACGCTTTTCAATTAGTCATCGAACTTTTGTTGTCATATTTCGTCAGCGTGTTTTAATTTGCGACAGCAATAATCTTGCTAATTGCTTATGATGAAGGTCAATTTGCGACGTGTTAATTGTTCTTGTAAAACGTTGACTATTCGCTTTTTCAACGTTTGTCAGCCCACTCGTCGCATCCGGTGTGTAACAGGTGCGTTTTTCAATCCGTGACACTGGGGACGGAGCAACTATATATGACTGGAAGAAATTCATTCTTTCTCACTTACGCTTGTGACCGCATTTGGAGAGCTCGACGCTTGAAAAACGACGTTTTTAAAAGTTCACGTTGTAGAATTTCGAAAAGGTGCGTAATATTTTTTGCGTGGTTTAATTGCTGTATTCGTATTTGGGCGAGGCTCAATCAAACCTCAAGTGTCCTGACTTTCTTTGACGGGAAATCCTTTCTAACTCAATTGCATTGTTGTGCGGTTTTTGGGCTGGTCCAATTTCAACATCAGTTTCTTTCTGTCCAAATTCAACACACCAAGAGAAAAGTCTGTCCTTTTTGTGTCTCCTTAAAAAGGGCAAAGCCGTTCACTTGTTTTACTATCTTTTACTTAACAAATCACGCGTCCAATTTATTTTCCTTGGAATTTAAGTGCCGGAATTTAAAAACGTAAAGTTCAAAGTTTTTTTGAGTATTTTTTTCGTCGCTTTTAAAGAAAAACATTAATAAGCTCCTGTTCTTGATTTGGAATGCTTGTTAACTATATCTGTTGGAATTTTATCACCCCAAACGCCTCATTATTTTTACAAAGCGATAACTTGTAAGTAGCTATGGACACGCCCACAGCCTTCGTCTTCGGCTCCTGCAGCAGTTATCTCTCCAGTGTTTAATTGATGATTTCTGCTTACATACTTAAAATATTTAAAAATCGGCAGACGCGCTATTGTTCTCTACGATTTCAGCCTCCGTCCGTGCCCATCCGGATTTTTTAAAACCGAAGCAACGCGAAAGTTATACACTGAACGTGATTTGCCGAGTTGGAGAACTCGTCATTGTGTGGCATTAAAATTGACCGACCGAAGTTAAGTACGCTGTTCATAGTTTATCCCACGCGAGCAAATATCCAGTTTATATGTCTTCCCTCATTGGCGTGGCGGTGCGTCCAGCGCCTACTTTGAATAGTCGACAGTACACAAAAGATGATTTGTGTATTGAACAGTGTGCAGACGCTCTGATTGTTAATTAAAATGTCGCAGACAAATTTGTCCTGTGCATATCGCAATTTTCGCTTTTTGTGTCCGTTCCTTTTTCAATTCCACTACGTCGACTGGTTTTTTTCTTCAAAGCAAATTGCGGCGTTTTACGAAACCTCTATCTTTTTTTAGCCGCGGCTCACATCATTTGTGTAATCTGCGCATCTTTTGGCGCAGGTGGAATTTCTCCTCTTCTTTCATTTCTTATACTTCTCGAACAATGCAATTGAGTTAAAAGTCCCTCCCTCCTAAGTTCATTGTGATCACGTTTCAAACACCTTTTGATACCACAAACTTTAATGATTTTAAGCTAACAAGCATGAGTGTATTTTCTCTAACAACTAACAGCCTATTAACGAAACCTCCAAATTCATGTAGTCAGTATATGGAATGGCACATTGCACGAACTCGTGTGCTCTGTCTGTTCTTGTCTCATTGCCAGTTGACTTTTATAACTTTTTTTGCTTTTACAGTTAGAAATGAATACGTTAACGCTACTTTTGGTTTCGAGCATTTTAAGCTCAGCATTTCCATTGAATGCCGTTGAAGAAGTTCGCCGCAAGGACTTAATTGAAACCGTGAGAGATCCGGGCTTTGACGAGAGCCTAAAGAGTGAAATGCATTTCGAGCAAGGGCGCTTTGGTAGGGAAAACAGTGCGACGTTTGATTTAAACCAAGGCCGCTTTGGACGAGAAAAACAAGGACGATTTGGCCGTGAGACGCAGGGTCGATTTGGTAGGATGAATGTCGCCGATATCAGTGCTGAGGTTCAAGGGCGTTTTGGAAGAGAAGACAAGCAGGGACGATTTGGGAGAAAAGTTGACAGTCAGGGTAGATTTGGTCGCGAGTCGACCAAAAAGGTTGAAAACGAACGCTTTGCTCGTGTACAGTTTGAGAGGGACGAGCAAGGGAGATTTGGTCGTGAATTTCTCAACAGTCAAGGCCGATTCGGAAAGAAATGAAGACTTTAAGCAACAGTAACTGTGCACGAAAAGAAAAGGAATTTATTCAAGAAGGATTTTGAAGTATTTTAGGAGAAACAGAAAGTTCAGGATGTTCAATATACTTAAAGTATTGTTAATTGTAGATTAAAATCACTCAATGTCAAACTACCGTTTCGGAACAGTAATATATGTATTTTCCATATGCCATGCATAAATCTTCCCTTTCACTCTTTTCAATTTCACGATATTAATTGAACTCACAGGGACCATGAAAGAATAGATCGTTTTGAATTTGTAAATTTTCCACCTCAAAAATGGCCGGATAGTAATTATCGAAACCTGGGCGAAAAAGCATGAAGCATTTGTTAATAAAATCGACTTGTCAAATCGATGTAAACAGTGTCTATGTTGACAGAGAGACTGCATCGTCTGGTTAATGACGCAATAGCTTTCTCGCAATTTTCTAGATCCTAACTACAAACGAGTGTCAATTCATATCACAAAATATATTTTCTAATCTTGGCATCTCGACATGCGGTATATATATATCTACCGTTTGCTCGAACTTTGTACACGGAGTCACAGTCCGGTCCCGTCAAACAAACATCTGCTGCGTCCTCGTCAGTCCATAGAAAACAAGAGCCATCACCTAAAAACACACGTGTCATTTAATCAGCGATTTTTCTCTTGAAATATAAAAGCGCGGTATGGCTGTGCCGTTATAATATACCTGTGCTCACCAAACACGTTTCATTGAATTTTGTCATGGACAGGATAGACGAACCGGACATTTTGACGATGCTTAAAGGTTTACTATATAAAAGTTGCACGATAAAGGTTACAATGGTTAGAACGAGTTGGAGCAATATTGGAGAAAAAGAATGGGTCGAGTCTTCTCAAAGAGACTCGTTGTACATTGTTAAGTCTTGATGTCGATGAAATAATGGATTTTCGAAAGGATTTACGAGCCGTGATCGTTAACATGAAGAACGATGTTCCTTTAAGGTTAGGGCCGAAACATGTTTGAGTTAACGACTGAAGCTTTTTCTTAATCTCGGGATGGACTTTTGTTCTGTTATTATCAGGCGATAGTCCTTCAGTTGGGGGCTCCGTCCATCTCCAAGGGGCAGATGCCAAAAGCATCATTCCTGAAGTTTCTTTTGTACATTAGATAGTTCCGTCATCATTGTAAGATTCAAAGAAGGTTCAATTCTTCCCTTCGCTCACCTTGTATAGCGTAAGTCGTACTTGTGCAGACAACCATCTTGTGTACCGGCAACGGCCATTCTCTCCGACATGAAGCAGCAAGCGTTGAACGCGCTCGAGCCCGACAACTCGAAAAGCTTTCGAAATAAAAAACAGAGTTTTGAAACGGTGGAATTAAAGGCAACTCTCCTAAAACGACTTCACCTTTTGTCGAGAGTGAAGGCCGACACCTTGTAATATTTTATCCTCTCTCGCTAGAAGTAACAATTTTCCGTCACTTCCTACTTCTTTTTCATCTATAAAGAACATATCAAAGTTATCGTGTTGTAGAGTAAGGCCTCGCTAAAGGAGTACTATTGGCTATCTATGTTAACATTAGGTTTGTGAAAGCTATGTGAGTGTAAGTAATGTTCAGTAACTGCCTTCTGACATTCTCGATGATAACAAGTGAGAGATGTAAAATTCGTAATCCACTGCTGACTATCAATTCCCCTCATACAGCCGGCGTGTTTAAACAAACACTGCTAAGTATTCACATATCTTAGTAAGACTTACTGGTCGGTTCATCTCTAACGCCTAAATCACCGATACTGTCATTAACGGTTGCTGCAGCGCATGCGTTTATCGCAGATGAACATTCAGTTATGACTCCCAGACAAGTGGCTGTGCCACAATCCCACAGGCGGGCTGAACCATCACGTGAACAGGCTGTGATAAAAATGTCCATACAGGCAAATCAAGTGACGTTTGAAGACTCGCAAGAGAGTATGCTAACAATACACAACGAACATATATACTGACGTACAGACAACGTTTCTTCCTTTTTCAATGATGGCTGTGTCTGAAATACCTATTTAAAAAAAAGATAATTCTGACAACATTTCATTGATGATCTAATTTGAAACATCCTAACTAACCCCCTCTGTGGCCCTTCAATGTTACAGGGCAGCTGCCATCTTCTGCTGACCATATCTTGAGCTGCATATCTGAGCCACCGGTCAGTACCACCACACCAGATGGAAAGAATTGGCATGAAGTAACATCTGTCACATGACCTTCTAGTACACGCTGTATATTTAGAAAATCAAATGCTTTTTAGTAGGATTTTAGGTGGGTTTATTCAGAGAAACTACTTTCTGTTGTGGATTACAAGTTACATAGCATGGATTTCGGAGATCACTTTGCAGCCTGAGACCCTGATATGTGGATCGCAGATTAAAGATCACAGATCACAAGTACATATAATCAGGAAAGAAAATCTCAATCCTTTACACTGGAATTGTTATTTCAGGCCATGCATTAGGATTGTGAAGAGCAAACTCGTGCCCAGTACCGTACCCTGACTGTTCCATCAGAGCTTTGCCATAAATTCAGGCTTTTATCATCACCGGATGAGACACCAAGCGATCCTCCAGGAGATATGTCCAAACCACGAACCTTTCATAACAAAGAGATTGAAGTTGTTTTACTGACTAGATGGTTGGTTGTGATTAAATCATCGACATCCTTCCTCTAAAAATGAAAATTTTGTGCAAATCTTACGCTTTTTAAGTGAATGTTTTTGAAGGTGTTCGACGAAGCCACAAATTTGGTTGAACAGTTCCATTTTGGATAGGAAACTGTAATACTTGTCTGTTGGAGTAAAAATAACATTATTTACCATCACACTAAACAAAGATGTCAAAATACCAATGGTAGATAAACTGAGTATTATCAGCAATCAAGTCACCTTGTCAAAATTTTTGATTTCAAAGCCATTTGTCACCACTAAGTCTTTTTCTTTCCCATTGCCTTTAGTGATTACCTCACCATAAACTGAAGGCCATCCTATGAAAATTTTACGAATGAGGATTCAGTGATGACTGAAAAGCCTCTTCGACTTCCTTCTATTCATGCACTTGGCTGGGAAAAGGTTTAATCAACCGTTGCCATTTTTAATCAGCCTATCACTATTAGTGCATACATAGCCTGGCTGCAGTTGCAGACAAAGAATCTTCTCACAAAATTTTACCTTTCTTTGAACATGATATCCATACTTTATCAGATGAACTACTAAAAAAATAAACAATTGTTTATATTTTCACAATTTCCCTGTATTCACTCGACTTTCTAAACCTTAACACATCATTCCAGTCATGTTGAATGTTGAAAAATGGTTGAATTTTGACTGCCATTTTGGTTTTTTTTTACTCCTCCAATTATTGTAGAGTGGTCAAAATCTCCTCGGTCAATTGTTCTAAATTGGAGAGTAGTTGAAAATTGGACTGCCTGAGTCGAGTACAAAATATACCACTACTCTTCACCAATTGAACTTATCAAATTAATGAAACTACTTAATACTTGTTTTGATGATGGCCTTGGGTGATCCTTGGCACACCCAGTTGCCCACAGACAATGGTATTTATAAAAACTGTTTACACCATCGTTTAGACAAGTGACCATGCCAGTGGCAGAGCAGTTTCCGAGAGATTTCCGGCTGCTTCCGATTTAAAAAAAACTGTATTTTTCATCACAAAGATGGCGGACGCAAGCAGCGTGACAGAAACAGAAACAGAAACGGGTAAAAATAATGAAACGGAGAAAAACATTGTTTGTTTGACAAAAGTAGGTATTGACATGAAAGTAATGAACGAAATACTCTAGTTTCATTGTCATCTTTCTTTGCAGGGGGCTGCAGAAACAAAGGAAGACGATGCTGCAGTGAGTGCGAATGCTCACTCTGTTCTCTCGAAAACTTCTAGTTCAAGCATTTCCGAGGAGTTCAACGCCGTGCTTGATGATGCAATCTCAAAACTGTGGGACGAACGCTCGCGTAGTAAATCCAAAAGCAAGAGGAAACGACTGTCAAAAGACGAAGAGAAAATGTTAAGTATGTTATTATTGATTTTCAACCCTCGCTGTTGTCAATTGAATGCCCGGTCGGTTATACGATTGCGCTGAAGTTGTATGAAGGTAGTAATGTTGACTTTATTGAATGATAATGCTAAAGTGTCGTCGCATTCTCATTCCTATTCTGTATGTTTGCTACACTGCCACACACAACTAACAGCTTTAACTGTCATGGCAGTAAGTTATGGCAAAAGGGGTCAAGAGCAAAGCTTTTTTTGATGCTGATTTCTCTTATGCCATCAATATGACATAATCACGCTATACTTCTGAAAGAAAAATCTCCAGGCACTCACATGTGAGCTTATTAGGTTGGTCAAAGCTTTTGTGTTGCTAGATATAATGAGAAAATAGATTTCAATGCACACATTGCATATATTGCGACTGCAAAGATTGCAAGAATGCAGAAAATGTATTGAAATAAATGTAAAGGTGATATTTGAAGCAGCAAGAATGCAGTGTGACTTGTAGCTTGAGTCATATCCCAAACCCAAAGATTATACAGTGTTTATAAATGAAGACTATGAGGCAGTAGTGCTTTTTGCTATTGAAACTTTGTGTATGTCAAACTTCTCTTTTACCCATTTTAATAGAAATAACATTAGATGTATGTAGTCACTAAAGCGTGGCTGCTCTTCTATCTTTATGTTAGTCTCAAATCTTGTGAAAGTGCTTTCAGCTAATGAAAATCAAAAGGAATCTTTACAAATCATGGGAAAACGGCTTTTGCAAATGGTATGTAAATCCCATTTTTCACTTATGTCGGCCCATTTTACTGCATACGTATATGAATTCCGAATCTTGAATTTAGCCGGAATCCGGATTGCGGATTCCTTTACATAGGGCAACTTTTTGAATTGAGTATTTTTCTGTAGTTTAATGCTTTTTCATTCTTCAGTTGGTAGAGAACAAGACGGGCGAATATAAATTAGATGAGCTTTCAAAGCGGTGTATTTCGGTATGTTATTTCATGATGTTCAAACTACAGTCAAAGCTGTATGAAGCAGACATCCTCTGGAACTGACTAGTGCCCGCTCAATAGAGGTGTCAGCTTAATAGAGGTATCCGCTTGATAGAAGTTTCATAATTACGAATGAGTTATATAGGATCAACTTTGGGACTTTACGAAGTGTCCGCTTAATACAGGATGTCCGCCTACTACAGGTTTGACTGTACTTTAAAGAAGCTTTTTTGTTTTATAACTGCTGCTGAGTGGAAACGTTTTGAAAACGCCGCCATTTAAACGAAGTCTTAAAAACGCGAGCATTATGAAATTTTAACGCGCGTTGAAATTTGCGTGCATGAAAATCCGTTATATCTACGGTTGTAGCACTTCAATAATCCTGGTACATATAGATCAGTGGTCGATGAAAAATTCCTTTATCTGCAGAAGAAAAATCTTAAATCCATGTAGTAACTTATCTATGTTGCATGCACCCATCCATAACCACTAGAATCCATACTTCGTGATTATACAATAGGAAATGAACAAGACAAAAGGTGGAAAAACCGTCCGTTCGTAATGTTTTATCGCATTTTGTAGCTTCTTGCACAGTTTTCAAGCCAGCAATCTCTAGTCGAGATAGCATACACTGAGGCCAGCCAATCCCAGTAGATTATCTTTTCCTATGATTTTTATATCAAGTATCTTCCATAAGATGAACTTTTTTGAAGAAATTTTAAAAGGATCAATTGTTGCTAACATTTTTTGCACAGCTAACGAAAGACAAAGAGGATCTGAATGGACAGTACCAAAAATCAAAGCTTGCTGTGGCAAAACTGGAAAGCTTATGTCGTGAATTACAGAAACACAATAGATTAATGAAGGTCGGTGTGTGATTCATCAAACTAAATATGTAACTGGATGGAAGGCTTCCTTTATATAAACATGCCTGTACTTGCACGAAGCCAAATTTTACTCCCAGACATGCGTGTTCGCGTTCTTTGGCCCGCGTGTGGAAAGTTGAATTGCCTGCTTTAACTTTTGGCGGGACGTAGCCTTCCAGTTATATTAGTTCATTGGTGTGGCTATGCTCAAAATGTGACTTTGCATACGCTCTATTATCCGAGGTCAGCTCATGCCGAGCTGGTGTGTTAACTTTATGTGATGGTTTTCCTTTAAGCTTAGCAAAAATTAAAATTCATTCAATGAAAATCATCATGGGAATTCATCATAATACTTCTCAGATCAAAGCTAGTATCCGGGCTCTTTCATGCACGTTGGCAGCGTTGATGGTACAGTAGCGTTTTATCCAAGTCAAACATTAGGCGGGAAGTCCGGGACTAATCGGCTTCCTCCGATCTTTTCCGATGAAAATAGAGCAGGTTCTATTTCCATTCGACTTTTCAGACCGATCGATCCGACTGTCGTTGGCTCGCTTTATATGTGTTCACACGATCCCTTTTTTAGAATCCGACAAAAATCGGATCGTGTGAACGGGCCTTATTAGCACTTCGCAAAAAAAGCTAGTACTTGGGCTACATATTTCACGCACGTAGCATCGTGGGTCGTGTTGTCCACGCTAAACATTAGAAATCCTTGTTGTATATTTCGGTCTCATCTCGACTTTACCATACGCACGTTAGCATCGTAGGTCGTGTTGTCCACGCTTAACATTAGAAATCCTTGTTGTATATTTCGGTCTCATCTCAACTTTACTATACCAACAGGAGGAATGCGATCATAGAACAAAAGTGGAAGAGGCAAAACGTCAAGAGCTTTCCGCGAAGTTTCAATCGTCGATCGGTGAGATTACCAACCAAATGCAGGATAATCATTCAAAGAATCAGCAGTTGAAAACAGATAATGCCGAGTACGTTTTCATTTCATCGAGCAAGAAGCCGTTTTTATTGCTTTTTGCTTGTTGCCGCGTAACTGTGTGCTAATTTTTTTATCGGCGTAGATTGGCTTCGAAACTCAAGGGTTTGGTGGACCAGTATGAAATGCGAGAACAGGTAAGATATAACTGCAGTTTTTGCAATACGCCGATCTACAGAAAGCAGTATTCGTTGAAATTATAAAAAGTACAATACAAATGATTGCTTCTTTCTTTTTATGCGTGCTTCAAATTTGACCTTATTTCATTTTATTGCTATTACTGCGTGTTATTTTTCAAAAATTGTCTCGCTTGTTTTAGACCAATGTAAATGTGATCCTCTCCCCATCTGTTAGAATGTCCCAAAACTTCAAATGATAGATTATAAAACAAAGAGATTTCAAATTATAGAACAAAGAGACTTTCTTATTGATGTAACGTGATAATTTTATGTAAGTGTACTTTTGGATAGGGGTGCAATAACATTGGAGACATTTTGTATAGTGACATGTGTGAAGGCATACCGTGTTCATGAGAAAGCGTTCTTAAATTAATTTAGCGTTTTTACGCGTAGTCGGCATGTGTTTGAAAGGAACTTCCGTTGCGATGCCTTGTATTTGAGAGTAACTGTTTGGAGGGCTTTCCTTTTTTCATGTGGATGTGAGAAAGATGTATATGTCTATAAAATCATTAGCTCATCGTCGAATGGACCGAGTTCATTATTTATTTGTAGTACGTGGAGAAAGTTATAAAGCACAAGCAGGTTGAGAACCAACTTCTCGAGGCGAAACTTGCGCAGCAATCGTTAATCGTGAACGAAGAACGAGAACAAGCTCTGAAGGAGAAGCAAAAGTTGCTGCAAGAATCGCTGGCCTATCAGAAAAAGTGCGAACAGCTCGTCAAGGATGAGGCCGAATTAAAAATGCAGGTACCGCTCACTGATCTATATGCCAACCGGATGTAACAACCGGTCACCCAAGCCGAATTTTTACCATAAAATTGATATTGCTCGACTGCGAAACGAGGGCATGACATAATCTTTCCACGATTTCATTATATGACATGATTTTTCCCCAAATCATAATCTTGCAAATCCAGCGTAATTGCATTGGGTGGCATATAAAGCGACTGTGATTGAAATATTCTGAACGATTTTAAGTTTCATGACGACGATTCACGTCTGTATTCTAAAAGTCACGAACACTCGCTTTATGCGACACAGAATTCTCGCTTCCACTAATGAATTGCAAAGTCGCATTTCACTGATGGTAAAATTTTTGATAACATATTACAAATCGAGCAATAAGTGTAGCGAAAATACCGTTTTCGAACGGATTTGAGGCGAGTGCGACTGAGCTTTTAAAATACAGGCATTAGTCTTATACGTTGCCTGGATATTCATTTCTAATACCAACTAAGGATTTTTAGTGATGTTTGAATATGTTTTAGTGTTAGCTTTTTGTGTGCACGAAAGAATTTTTGCGATTATTAAAACTTTTCATTGATGTCATCGAAGTACAAGGAGGGATTTCTTGTGGCGATTGAAAGTTTTCTTTCACAGTTATCGATGTACACGAAAAGACTTTTGGTCGATTGAGAATTTTATCGATAGTCATCGAAATACAAGGAGGGATTTTTTGTGGTTAATGAAAGTTTTCTTTCACAGTTATCGATGTACACGAAAAGATATTTAGTTGGTTGAGAATTTTATCGATAGTCATCGATGTACAAGGAGGGATTTCTTGTGGTTAATGAAAGTTTTCGTTCACAGTTATCGATGTACACGAAAAGATATTTAGTTGGTTGAGAATTTTATCGATAGTCATCGATGTACAAGGAGGGATTTCTTGTGGTTAATGAAAGTTTTCGTTCACAGTTATCGATGTACACGAAAAGATATATAGTTCATTGAGAATTTTATCGATAGTCATCGAAATAAAAGGAGGGATTTTTTGTGGTTAATGAAAGTTTTCTTTCACAGTTATCGATGTACACGAAAAGATATTTAGTTGGTTGAGAATTTTATCGATAGTCATCGATGTACAAGGAGGGATTTTTTGTGGTTAATGAAAGTTTTCTTTCACAGTTATCGATGTACACGAAAAGATATTTAGTTGATTGAGAATTTTATCGATAGTCATCGAAGTACAAGGAGGGATTTTTTGTGGTTAATAAAAGTTTTATCCACAGTTATCGATGTACACGAAAATTTTATCGATATTTCTTTGATATTCAAAGAAGGATGTTCATGTTTAAATATTTTCAATCGACAGCTTTCGATGTACACGGAGAAATTCGAAGAGTTTCAAAAAACCCTGACGAAAAGTAACGAGGTTTTCGGGACGTTCAAAAAGGAAATGGACAAGGTATCTATGCTGTATTTTCCTTATATCATAAAGTTTATAGCGGCTTTGTAAAATAGATTGCTCGCCCCAGTACACTAATGGGTGTGGGGTGGGGTAGGGTAGGTTGGGGGTGGGGTAGGAAAATGCCTGTTTTGTAGGCTATTAATACAACATTATTATAGGCTGGAAAAGAGTACAGTAAGGCTTATATAAAAGTTCAATTTAAATCTAATTTCAATATACAACACCCTGGAGAATTACAACATTTTCCATACGGGCAGTCTAGGAACGAGAGGTTCCTTAGAAGCATCCTGATTCAGGCTGTATAATATTTTCGCACTGTATTGCTGGTTTGTTTTTTTAAAGTGCTTACTTTGTTTCTACTTGTTGGTATTTAACCTTTCGATTAAAAAGTTATCGACTTTTATATTTTGTTCAATGAGAATACGTCCTGGGGCGTACGTTGTAACTAGAGAAAAACAACGAAGATCTATGTTTCAGACTACATGACGTGTCTGCAGTGACGCAATAGTGATAGTAGTTTCGTAGTAGTTCCAGTTTGGGATTAAACCTGTTGTCTGCGAGCGTATAAGTGGAATGTAGTGATCTTCAAGGTTGTTACGAGAAATTACGTGGCTCGGCAGGTGCACCATCAAAGTTTAGGGGACCTTTCTCCCCGACTAACGGACGCGAATTACCAATTTCTTTTGCTTTCTTTTCACCCCCCCTTTAAGCGGGAGAACCGTGGAAAATTACCCCCTTAGCCCCCCTCCCTTGAACGGCCATGGTGATCGTACGTGTAAATTATTCTGGAAAGGATGTTTAAATTTTGTCTAACCATTGCCTGTTACTGATGTTGTTAGCGTGCATTTGTAGATGACAAAAACGATCAAGAAATTGGAAAAGGAAACGATTATGTGGAAGCAAAAGTGGGAGAAAAGCAACCGATCGTTGCTAGATTTAGCTGGTGACGTAAGTTCTGTACTTTGTATTTCACCGTGTGTTTTGTAGCCCAATCAAATTCGTTTACCAAATTGGTAAAGGATGATATGGTATGGAATATTTACCATGATAAATTAAACGCATTAAAACGCATGCGGTGATTGGTGAATAGCCGTGTTTGCATTAGCCTGTGCAAACCGATCCGAGCTCAACCAATAAATACGTTCGAGCAGTCAAAGAGAATTTACAAATCAATCATAAATGCATTTCAGACGAAAATTAAAACGCTCGCTTGAAATTTTTCTGTTTCGCACTATTGTTATTATAGAAAAGAAATAAAAGATGTTTTTCGTGTATGCGCACTAGCTTATGCAAACCTGTGAGACGTTTGCGAGAACTCTCGAGCAGGTGCAACCACTGATATGTATGAAACTGGATGACGCAGCTTAGTGCTTGACTTGAAGCCGGGCGGCGACCGTATTGGACTGTCCACTTTTTCAGTTTTTATATACGTTTTATATAACAAACTGCTACTCTCGCATTTATTTTGGATCATTCGTTTCACTCTTGTGACAAAAAATAATTATTATGATGACAAGACTGTAATAGAACTGCTTTGGGCGAAAATTCAAGTTCGCTCAATTTTATATAGAAATCTTCCCCGTTGTTAAAATATCATAATGAAAGATTTGGCATGATTTTGGACAGAGAAAATAACAAAAATGCATATTACAAGAAAAATTCATTATAAAATATATACACAAGAAGTGGACAGTCCAATATGGCCTCTGCTGTCAAAAATTGGCTTCAAAATTTTCTAGGCACCAGAATTAGGTTGCCTTATCCAGTCTATATATATATCAGTGGGTGCAACCATTGAACTTCGGTTTCGGGTTTGCACCGATCAGCTCTTTAGTTCTGCAAATGGTCTCCTCGATTGGCATAACCCTGTGCAAACACAGTATACATCTTTTTTTTCTTAGTTGCAACACACTAAACTTGAGTTAAGATTTAATTACTTTTTGTACGAAATGCTAACTCGTTGTCTTTGCAGAATAAGAAGAAAACAGACGAACTCCAAAAATTGAAACAGAAAAACCTGCAGTTGGAAAGTTTATGTCGCGCCTTGCAGACTGAAAGGAAGCAATTGCTAAATCACGTATGTTCAAATTAGGGTTCTATATACAGTATTTTTCACTTTTGTACAAAGCACTGGGTTGTGCAATTACTCAAATTTCAAGATCAAGTCACTCGCGATGAAGGCACCACACTGGAGTATATAAGGACTTAGGTTTCAATATCAGATCACTTGTGATAAAGTCACTAGACTGGAGTGTATAAGAACTCCCGTTTGGATATCAGACCACTCCAGGTAGAGACACTGGTATAATAACTTAAGCTTCAACATCAGCAACTCTTAATGAAAATAATAATCTTTAGTGTGTATGGCCTTAAGCATGAAGTAATTACAGTGGAGTATAATCAAATTGCTTCTCCCAAAGTACCACACTGAGTTGTTGTAACTTTTATAAAGGCATTGCCAAGTACAGCGGAACGTGCAACTCCTATTCATAATGAACTCGAACCCGAAGAAAGCAATGATAACCCCGAGTCGGATCAACTAATTCAAAACCAGGAAAACGATGTTTCTGATGTAGAGAGCGACCGTTTAGCTGGAGAAAATAGACTTTGTAACGATAATGTTTGCGTAGAAGGAAACGGCATTCCCTCGAAAAATGGAAATACCAACTTGCGTCCTGTAGAAAGTGCAAGTTGCGCGCAGCACATCGTAGAACGAACTGAGAGCGAGCACACAGAGGCGGCCGAAAATGAAGATTCGTCTATAAAGATTTATAAAGAGACCGAGCTGGAACATGCAAAGAAAAGTGGAGAAGCTAATGAACATGTAGCAAGACCAGAGGACGAAACTTCTTTGAATAGTGGAGATCATCGTGAGGATAGTATTGTACTCGAAAACGCACTGGTAACCGCCGGTAGTTATGCGAATGGAATCGGCGATAAGAATGCGGAGGTGAATGGAAATGAGCATTCTCCGGGTAGTGAAGATGAATATGCGCTGCGAACTGGCGATGAGTGTTCTGAGGAGACTAGAAAGAAACTCGCTCATGCGACTGAGGACGAGCATGACGATGGGATTGGACAAAAATGTGCCCGGGAAATTCACGACAAACATGATCAAGAAAATGAAAGCGAGCATGCGGAGGGAAATTGCAATGAGCTTGCAGATGGGACTGGAAACGAGCAAGTGGGTCAGCCTAACTCAAGAGATACATCCACAGAAGAAATTGTGGAGGATAACCAGTCAGTAATCGAACGTAAAACAGCAGAAAATGTTAAAGAAAAGTGCAAGGGTAGGATATTGCATAGCTTTTTTTCGTACGTTTTGTAATTGAATTAATTTTGTCTCCGAATCAACAACTTCGCATGATTTACACTAAAACTAGCCGGGGGCAATTTCGTTTTATTTTTAGATGAAGATACAGAAGACGATAGGCAACCTGAGCAAACCAATCATGTGGACGATACGCGAGAAAAATCCCTTAGTTCCTGAAGTTTGTAAGTACGAGGAATTGGTGTCAATGACCTGTAAACCGTATCCGGTTTAAGAACACTAAAGCCCAGACTGAAACATTCACCTTTGCCATGTCATTTTCAATGGAACATCCAATTTAATTCTATTTGTTTATCGCCGCATGAAAAAAGCGGAGATTTCTTCGCTCATAATGAATTTTGTGTTTGAAATGGGAGAAAAAGCATATCGATGGTTTCGCATAAACAAGAAAGGAAAGTGTGGCGCATGTCACGAGTCTGACTATTTGTTTAAAGTAGATGCATTCTAAATACCATATCGTGTTTTCCTGTCACAAACACCACTACAATCTGTAGAATTATTGCAAAGTATTTGAAGAACGTGTTTCAACTGGCTTCGAAGCAATCTTCTTTTCTTTTATACATCAGCTATTTTCACAAAACATGCTACTGTTCCCTTACTTAGCTGTATAAGAAATTGTTTCCGTGTTTTAAGATGAGCAAAGGTAGCGGTGTTTTATTGTGGAATTGGTTTGTTTAATTGTTTTTACGTATCATCATAGCTGTTGAATATTATAATTGTTATAATTGGGTAGTGGGCTCGAATTCATATATATTCATATGTCATTATGATTTATGATATAATGCGTTAGCACAGTTGATTTCAATAGAACCTTAAAAAGTAGAACGTGCAAATACTGGATATTAGCCCCCAATCATCGAACTCTCACTATCCCTGGATAGGAACAGAACAAAACGTTGCCAGAAAAACCTTGCGCATTTTACCACCCATGAGCCTGGTGGGACGGGTGGGGATTTAGGCTATAGTCCCTCCCTCCTTTCCATACTTTCCGACTGAACTTGTAAACATGGCGAGTACGTAAGCCTCGCTAGTTGCGAGGGAAAAGGTTGGGCAAACGAGTTCGTGGATCTTTTCAGCCTTTCCTCGAAAAAATATCTGATGTGCTCCGCGGTCCTTGTTTCACTTGACCGAATCACACAACATTTTTTATAAGATAGTAAGTTTGTGTTCTCATCTGCTGTGGTACGTGGTGTGGACTTGGTGCAGTTAATCCTTTCATTCATCGTTCTCTGGTGGCATCATTGGATACTCGTTATTACCTCCATGTGGTCCATGGTTATCCAAAGCATGCAACATGGCGACCAAGAGAGCTTCTAATGAGATTAAGTAAATGCACTTCTTTCAATTTATCTTTGATAGGTTTTGCTAAAAATCTGTTTTTAATAATCTAGCTAGGCCAACGTCTTTCAGTTCAATTTCAGTTATTTTTCGTGTATTTTTAGACGTGCCAAGACGCAAAAGGGAAGACGCTTTCTGATAGCCAGGGAGCCAAAAGTAGTTGAAAATGCGAAGACGACAATGTTCATTCGTGGTGGAAAAACAAGTGAAATAGTTACGCAAGCTCTGAAAGATCTAGTATGTCTACAGAAAGCATATTTACATTATCGTCGATTGGAATTGATTTGATGTTTAGTTTAATAACATGTCAAATAAATTGCCAATTTTCTTGTTAAAGTGTGCACTCAAGAAACCAAATTGTGTGCTGTTCAAAAGGTAAGAGTGAGAATATGCGAAGTAATGACTGGAGAAAACGAATTGAACCTCACATGGAAGATTTCGCTCTCAATATTTTTGTTGTATTTTGTGAATGAAGATTTCTCGTTCATGACATCGACATTCTTAAAGTTTTGTTGTTTGGGTGCCGAACGATTTGATGACACTAGCAATTCTCTGCTGTCAGATGTACAAACATTCTTGATTTAGAAGTAGCTTGTCGAATATTTTGTCAGTCAATATTTCATGATGAATTATAAAAGAACAAAAAAAAAGTGTGTAATAAGACTGATAAATTAAATCAAATAACAAGAATTTTTGAATCAATCATCAAGATACATTAGAAGAAAAATTAATGCATTTGTTTTAAATTTATCTGTTTTCCATACCTAGAATATTGTCAACCTTTAGTTTCAGGTTTGCGCCAATATGCTTTAGAGTTCTCCTAAATGTCTCCTCGAGCCTGTAGAAATCCAAAAAACTTTGATTTCTTAATTCAAAAACAAATTATTTGAACTTGCAAATGAATTTGATGCCCCAGAAATAAAAGTTAAATCATCCTATTTCTGCCACTCATACATTAAATGTTGCGTAGGTTTCAAGCAATTGCTCAATTCCAATTTATATTTTCAAGTGCAACTCCAAAAATATAAAGTTTCATCGGGCAGGTATGCCTGGAATTATTTATTGTTGGGATGATTATGAACATACGTGTAAAAATATGAGTTACAAGAAATTGTATTCAGAAAGTTACTAAAATAATTAGCCAATGCAGGTATAAGAATTGGCATTGCTTACCTTTGATAAAATATACATAAAATACCTCCAATGCTTGCATTATTGTATAAAGTTATTTGTCTACTATTTTTGTCTATTATGTAATCCTTTTGCTTCTTTGTTTATTAAGGAAAAATATTCTTCGACCATTTCAAGATGAAACTTCTATTGTAAGTAAAATATCAATGGATTCCAATGTCATGTTGTAAAGTTGGTTGTTTTTTCCTAAAGATAGGCTTCATGTTTTAAAAGTTCAGTCGAACTTCCGTCTAACCTAAAGCAACTTTTTTCCAGTCAAAAACCACATCAATGACTGTAGTACAACTTTATATTAAAATGTTTAAGGGAACCACTTAGTTCCGAAAGAAATGTAGTTCCACTCAAAATGCTTACATTATTTGGTGTTGGTGTTGACTGTCGTTTCGACAACCTTACTCGTAATCTTCATCAGCGCCAAGGTTCAAGTTCACTTGACTCTGAAGATGACTACTGCTAAACTTGTCGAAACGACAGTCAACATCAACACCAACAGTCCTTCTCAGGACTCTGCTAACCTGGACAATCTACATTTACAAACTTGTAACAATACTCCCAGGCTCAAATCATTTACTTTATTATTTGATAAATTTGAAACATAACATCAAAATGCTTACATTATTTGGAATTACCGTTGTCACGTATATGTATTTGCAATAAGTTACATCTTTGTGTGTTGGTTCACTATCTTATAAACTTTTCAATTCGTATCATTTCAATATAGGAATTTTTTTCAAATAAAAACGATGCATCAATGTTTATCTTTGGGTCGCACTCTAAGAAACGACCCCATAATCTTGTCATGGGTTTGTAAAATATTCATAACTTTTCTAGTTCAGTCACTTTCTCGTTGAGCCTTTGATATAAGATATGTCTTGGCTTTAGGTCGATGTTTTGATGGACACATTTTGGACATGATCGAATTGGGGATTGAAAATTTCACCCCGCTGTCGAAATTCAAGGTTTGCTTTAAGAAATTCAAATTCGATATATTTTACAGCAGTATTAGGCTATAGTTTGACTGTCTGAACAAATCAAGTAGTTTTCTGTTTGATGCAAGAAACAGGTCTCGCATCATAAATAAATCAGATGTGAAATCATTTATCAATATAGAGGAAGGAGTACGGCATTTTTCTTCATCGCTTGAACCCTATACGTTGCCAAATATCGCGTTTGGATCGAAAGTCGTTTCGATGCAGTCTGCAGCTCTCAAATATCAATTTATTTCAGCAAATCAGCTTGAGTTTAGTTGTAGTTTACCTTTTGCAAGGTCTTTAGATGCTTAATGCATTCACGTTGCTGATGTTGTGAGTAAAATGGATTCGTTTGCTTTAGTGTGAAACTATTACGACTTCCATCGAGAATTTTATGATGTTTTATTCATTTAACATGCGAGTAAAATGATCTGCCTGTTCGAATAACGAAAGCAATTTAGGTATGACGAATCCAGATTCTCTACTCTGATCAATGGAATCCTTACGAAAATTCTCCCAATGAATTATGCAGTTATGCAATCACCTCTGGTGCATTCTATTGCCTCGATTTTTCAGAGTTTATATTAGTTCTAAGTATTCCGCATTGTATAAGACATCTCGCAGGATTTCAAACTTTGCAGTTAGTCATTAAATTCTGCTTTTATGTATAAAATTTACTCGTGTCGTTTTTATCCGTGTCCGAGTCCTTCACGAGGCTATGATGTTTGCAGATATAGCTTATAGCGCGCTCGGAACTCCTGCAGGATGCGTGCACTCATTGATCCAGTCGATGCCAATTTCCTTTTACAGACCGAAAAATGTGCTTCTGGCACGAAACCTTGCTTGCTGTTTGTGGGCGAGGCGTTTGAATCGGATCCAGAGTACATGCGACTGAAGAATCTTTTAATAGGTAAGCTATCTTAGAGCCGTATGAAGAATAGCGGTATTTTTTTTCTATCACGGAGAGCAGTAGAATCAAAACGCCGTAAAACGAACCATATGTTACATTTAAGCATGTTATACACCATTTTCTCTATTGTCGAGTAATGGCACATAACGATATTCATGCCGAGAAACATTTTAAGATAGTTTTTGCTAGAAAAAGCGACAACTCTGTCTGTGATTTAGTCTACTACGTTTGACTTATAGACGTATTCCGAGGTCCTGATGTAGAGAAAGTGACAACTCTGTCTGCGATTCAGTTTACTACGTTTGACTTATAGACATATTCCGAGGTCCTGATATAGAGAAAGTGACAACTCTGTCTGTGATTCAGTCTACTACGTTTGACTTATAGACGTATTCCGAGGTCCTGATATAGAGAAAGTGACAACTCTGTCTGTGATTCAGTCTACTACGTTTGACTTATAGACATATTCCGAGATCCTGATATAGAGAAAGTTACTACTCTGTTTGAGATTCAGTCTACTAAGTTTGACTTATAGACATATTCCGAGGTCCTGATATAGAGAAACTGACAACTCTGTCTGTGATTCAGTCTACTACGTTTGACTTATAGACGTATTCCGAGGTCCTGATGTAGAGAAAGTGACAACTCTGTCTGTGATTCAGTCTACTACGTTTGACTTATAGACATATTCCGAGGTCCTGATATAGAGAGAGTGACAACTCTGTCTGTGATTCAGTCTATTACGTTTGACTTATAGACATATTCCGAGGTCCTGATGTAGAGAAAGTGAGACTTCAAGGTTTAGAGCATGTGATGCAGTTCACAGAACTTGACGGAAAAATCTTTTTTCGCAGTTACAGGTAAGGTAGCTCCAATATGAAAGCACTTTGATCTTTTACTGCTATAACTAATTTATACAATACTGCGTGCGTTTCTTGTTCTGTCTTCTGAGATGTCTACTTGGCGTCTATTTTCTTCGAGTCTTTCCGTTTTCAGCTCTTCTTTTCATGCTGGCAAATCCGTCCTCTTTCATATTATTTGCATTCCAATGCTTTTCCTTTCCTAAGGTTTTTCATCCTCGTTTTTACTCTCAATTTACTTCTTTCAACTAGCCATTTCCACGAATCCAATACTAATAAACTTATTCTATCTAGTGAACTTACTGTAGTCATATATTGTTATAACTTGCTGCTCCTGTGCTCGTGAGCTCCTTGATCCTATACTATCTTCACTAATTCATCGTATGACAGTGGCTTGGCCAGCCTGCAATTTTAGTTTTGCTATGTAAATTTCAGGTCATTATTTCTTTATAAATGTATTGTTTTTAAAGTGAGTATTGTGCTGCATTGCCAGCTTGTGCTAACCCAAGGTTGACTAATAATTTGAAATTTGCGTTTGCGGTTATGTTGTGTTTCAAACACTTAAGTTAATAGTATTGTTGTGTTTAGAATTTTACTGAAGAAATCTGGCACGAGGACTCCGCGCGTGGAACTTGAGGAAATGGGACCATCTATGGATCTAGTGAAACGGCGAGTCAAACTGGCATCTGACGATCTTTGGAAGAGAGCTGTGAAGAAACCCAAGAATTTGAAGGTAAGCAAAAGACCGACATTGACACACGTTACCTTAGTTTATATTTTAGGTAATGTAAAGATTGTTCTCGTTCTCTGTTGTTCATTCATCACTACCTACACTGACACACGTTATCTTAGTTTATATTTTTGGTTGTGTTAAGACTGTTCTCGTTCTCTGTTGTTCATTCATCCCTACCTACACAATGACACACGTTGTCTTCTTTTATGTTTTTGGTAGTTTAAAAACTATTCTCATTCTCTGCTATATATTCATCACTACCTACACTGACACACATTATTTTCACTGAATTTAGCCGAAAAAGACGAAGAACATATCCCATGATGCTTTTGGCACTAAACTTGCCAACATTCACATGAAACGTCAGGACTATAGCAAATTACAGACGCGGAAAATGAAAGGATTGAAAAGACAAGCGGATAAGACGGACGGTCGTGCTAAGAAACGGAGAACATCTGTGTGATAACCGGCTATGACGAGAGCTGCTTTGTCGCATGTGGCTAGATTATGCAAGGTTTTTGTCTGTTTTGGCAATAGGGGCGTATTCTATACCAAAGAAATGACTGACATTTTCTTCAACAACTGCACTAATTGCTCATTTCTTTGATCCTATTTATGTCGTTCTTTTTGGCTACAGCTTCATCCTTTGTAGCCGTTATCCATTGCATGAGTTTTTTTGCGCAGCACAACGAAAAGATTTGAGTGACTTGGACTCGTTGACTGCTATCTGAGTGAACGCAACGGAATTAACTTGATTAAGTACGTGAAAATGTGCTTAGAGAAAAATCCATTTCTGTTTGCAGTAATTCATATCACGATTTCATAAGCTACCACAGATGACAGCATTTTCACATCAATGGTAATAATAAGATTATAAGCCTTGGAGTAAGATGAAAGGGTGGTAATTGTGCTGGCAATTGGTGATGATGAAACTGGCAAAGAAATGATAATGTTTCAAATGATATTCGGCAATTAAATTTTATAAGAACGCGCATCAATTTTTGAGATATTTCAATAGCTTGTTTTCGACTGATCACTTGAAATCGTCGAAATTCTATATTTTCGGCCCAGTCTGCTTGTGCTCGACCGATGAATTTCTGGTGGATGGTAAATAATCAGACTTTCATTTGTAATATGGCGGTATTTTTGTCTAAAATTTTCCGTTTTCCATGGTTTGTTCTTTAAGTTTTACTTTTAAATATCCATCATTTGAATCTAGCAATGTCAGTCATACTCGAAACTACCATTGGCGATTTGGTTATTGACCTTTTCACTGAAGAAAGGCCCAGAGGTTCGAATTCTATACAAATTTTCTTATTGTGAGTAATTTAAAATTTGACTTATTTCTTGTTGCACTTACTCGAATTCTTTTTATTCGCAGCGTCTTTGAATTTTCTGAAGCTGTGCAAAGTGAAGTTCTATAACTTCAGTCTCTTTCACTTCGTTCAGGTAAGTATAAACTACCATATTTACAAGCTTTGGCATCCTTAATTTTCAAAACTCGTATTGTAAATACATGTGAATCACTCAGAATCAGTGAATTTAAGAAGGCCAGCAAGCATTTCGTTGAATTAAACTGAATTGTGAAATTGGCAATGCTGACTATGATTTAAACAGTTAGTGACAACTACTTCATCCAACTAGAGAGACTTTTTGGCACAAACTGGTGATCCTACTGGTTCGGGACGAGGAGGAGAATCTATCTTTCGATCACTGTATGGCGACCAGGCTAGATTCTTTAATGCAGAAGTTAAACCCAGAATCAAACATGTCAAGAAAGGAACTGTGTCTATGGTTAATAATGGTCAAGATATGCATGGCTCACAGGTTTGAGTTGGAATTTTTTTCTCCACTTTTGGATTACCGTGGATGATCCTATCAATGCATGGGGCATTACATGAATTCTTTATAGGTTGTACACGGGGCATTCTTCAGATAGGAGTTGTTTAATAGAAAGCTACCTTCCTATAAATTCTATCATCTTGACTAAATTTATGGCTTCCAAGCCCGATTAACAACCGACTGTTATGGTGATGGTGGTGATGTACCTTAATGTTTTATTTTACGACTGATTGGTTGTCATGGTCCGTCCGCTTTGTCATCTGTTTGCTAAGGAAATAAATCTTATCATATGTTTCATGAATAGGGCTAAGTATTTCACCATGTCTATTGGGAAATTTTTAGAGGGAATTTCATGGAATTTAAACATACATTACAGCTGTATCACATATAAGACACTTTGTTTGTACTAAGCATCTACAGTTAAAACTGGTGATCAATCACAATTTGTTTTTATATTAATGAATAATCATGTCAAGCATTTTCCATGACTAGGTATCTTGCCCATCGTTTCATTCAAGGTTTCGTTTCTTTCTAGTTTTTTATCACTTTGGGTGATGATCTAGATTACCTGGATGGAAAGCATACAGTGTTTGGTGAGGTTGCCGAGGGTTTCAATGTCCTCGAAAAATTGAATGAAACCATTTGTGATGATGGCCACAGACCATATCAAGATGTGAGGTATATTTCTGATTATGAATCCATTTCAAGTTATATTAAAAAAAATTGCATCAAATTTTTTCCTTCTATTGCTTCAAATGTTTGAAATTCTCAATAACTGGTTGCCAATAAGATATTTTTTTATGTCATAGAGTAACTAGTTAATTTTCATTAATTCATTTGATAAATTCACTGTATATAATATCTTTTTTACAAAAATCACAAACTTGATACATATTTCAAGTAAATAGTAGTACAAAGTTTCTCTCTGAAATTGCCTCTCTCTGTTTTTCTTCTGCACCACTTCTTGTGAAGTTAATGATGGCAGTTGCTATTTTCCGTAGACTCTTTTTAATTCAATACTGACTGCTTGAATGACCATCATATCAACAATTTAAGCCTCATTCTTCACATCACCCCACCCCCCTCCCTTTCATAATTTTTTTGACAATATCTTCTATAACTGGCTGGTAAACACTGTATTTATATGCTGGTACCAAATACTACAGCTCTGCTGTGTTTTTTGTATTGATTTAGAATAACGCACACTGTTGTCCTAGATGATCCATTTGATGATCCAGATGGTCTGCAAGTTCCCGATAGATCCCCAGAGCCGACCAAAGAACAACTTGATGTAAGGTTTAATGATTTGTTTTGATATTTTGGCATCAATAGGTGGGTAGACTTAGGAAAAGGTTTTGAATGCAGAAATGATAGATCAAAAATGGGCTTTTACTTGGAATATAGAGCGGACGTATTGGGGCGGATGAAGATATTGACGATACAAAAGACAAGACAGTGGAGGAGATCGAAGAGATGATTGAACAACGAGAATTCAAGGCTGGTGCTCAAATATTGGAAATGGTAAGTTTAAGCAACTACACGTTTAGCTTATAGAGCAGTCTAGAGATGGAAAGACTGGGGCAATCTCGTGTGTTTATGAAAAGTTTTAGAGAGATGTAGAGATTATAAAGTAATGTGGAGATCGAAAGACTTGGGCGATTTCGTTTGTTTATTGGAAAATATAGCGAGGTGTAGAGGTTATAGAGCAATAGAGTAGATCGGCAAGTTCAACATGAAAATTGTAAATATCGAATTGTAGAACATCATAAACGAACAGAGCAGCTCAGTGTGAAGTATTCCTTCGTAACTTTTTTAACATAAGCAAGATCTAAATAAATCAGTTCATAAACTACAAACTAGAAATTTGCGTTTTGGATGACGTCACGACTGTGTAATCCGGGAGTTGCGAGCTGGGGGTCTGGAACACCACACTAAAATGAATGTGTTTACTTAGGATGATGACTACGTTTTAGACATAGTCTCGAGATTGCGACTTCGTGAGAACCAGCTAAAAAGCTTTCCTTTCTGGTAACAACTGATAAGAAATCTGCCTACGTCGCGTTTCTCTCTATTTCATGTTATACAACGTTTCCCCTCAAAACTTTGCGGACGCAACGATGTTTAGTTTAAAGTAAATGGTTTGAACCCGGGAGTATCGTTACATATTTGTAAATGTAGATCGTCCAGGTTGGTATAGTCCTGAGAAGGACTGTTGGTGTTGATGTTGACTGACGTTTCGACAAGTTTAGCAGCAGTCATCTTCAGAGTCAAGTGAACTTGAACCGTTGAACTTGAAAAGTCATCTTCAGTTTTTGACTCTGAAGATGACTACCGCTATAAGGTTGTCGAAACGTCAGTCAACAACAACAAAAACAGTCCTTAGGACTATACCAACCTGGACGATCTACATTTTCAAACATGTGATGTTTAGTTTGCTTTATGCTCGATTTATGTCATTTCACTTGGTCCCGTCTTAAATGACGTTTATGGATAATTGCTCATTGTTGTTTCTAAGGTTGGCGACATACCCGATGCTGACATCAAGCCACCTGAAAATGTTTTATTCGTTTGCAAATTGAATCCGGTCACGACTGACGAGGATCTCGAAATCATATTCTCAAGATTTGGATCAATCAAAAGGTATCTTCGGGCCTTTTGCTGTACAATGATCATTTCCGTGCATCGTGATAAGGGAAGACCTTTGGTTTCTCATTGAATTTAACCTCTCGTCACGTGTAAAACAACACGAGTTGATGTCTGAGGTTTGATGAGATAACCGAAAGTGATAATTTATCTATGACGTAGTGGTTGCTCTACAGGTGTGGTCAATGGAACGAGTCTGTCTTGACCATGTATTGCTCAACCGACATTGAATTTTATTTTTAGTTGTGAAATAATACGAGATTCTGTATCCAAAGAGTCGCTGCAATACGCCTTTATTGAATATGAAAACGTAAGTGAAATCGACTTTTTTTTAAAGACAATTTTCGATTCTATCGTCTGAATTACTAATCCATTTAAGTGCTTGTCACCCAATAATGTACAGTGCGAATCTGTCTGAACTGTATGTTTTTTTTCTGAACCTTGAAAGTGTTTTTTCACCCAATAATGTACAGTGCCTTATCTGAACTGTCCTCTGAACCTTGAAAGTGTTTTTTCACCCAATAATGTACAGTGTCTTATCTGAACTGTACGTACTGAACTGTCCTCTGAAACTTGAAAGTGTTTTTTCATCCAATAATGTACAGTGTCTTATCTGAACTGTCCGTACTGAACTGTCCTCTGAAAATTGAAAGTGTTTTTTCATCCAATAATGTACAGTGTCTTATCTGAACTGTCCGTACTGAACTGTCCTCTGAAAATTGAAAGTGTCTTTTTACCCAATAATGTTCAGTGTTTATCTGAACTGTATGTGTTTTTCCTCTTAATTGTCCATCCAATGATAAACTTGGTATTATCTGAACTGTACGTGTTTCATGAAAACAATTAAAGTTCTTTTTCACCAATAATAAACCACGTATTATCTAAACTGTACGTGTTTAATGTAAACAATTAAAATTTTTTCACCCAATAATAAACCACGTATTATCTAAACTGTACGTGTTTAATGTAAACAATTAAAATTCTTTTTCACCCAATAATAAACCACGTATTATCTAAACTGTACGTGTTTAATGTAAACAATTAAAATTCTTTTCACTCAATAATAAACCACGTATTATCTAAACTGTACGTGTTTAATGTAAACAATTAAAATTCTTTTTCACTCAATAATAAACCACGTATTATCTAAACTGTACGTGTTTAATGTAAACAATTAAAATTCTTTTTCACCCAATAATAAACCACGTATTATCTAAACTGTACGTGTTTCATGAAAACAATTAAAATTCTTTTTCACCCAATAATAAACCACGTATTATCTAAACTGTACGTGTTTCATGAAAACAATTAAAGTTCTTTTTCACCCAATAATAAACCACGTATTATCTAAACTGTACGTGTTTAATGTAAACAATTAAAATTCTTTTTCACTCAATAATAAACCATGTATTACCTAAACTGTGCAAGTTTTATCCAAACAATTAAAGTTCTTTTTATTTCCAGTTGCTATTTTCATTATTATTATTATTATTATTATTATTATTATTATTATTATTATTATTATTATATTATATTTCTATCATTATTGATTATTTTATTCGAATGTCACAGGTAGAAGATTGTGAACGTGCTTATTTCAAGATGGATAACGTTCTTATCGATGATCGCCGTATTCACGTCGATTTCAGTCAGTCCGTGGCGAAACTAGTTCATACCAAACCCGGTTAGTTTAATGATTTTCTCGTTATCATGTACTGTCATTGGATGTTTCCTGAATGTGTTTTGTGAACGTGCATCATCGTAGGTGCAAAACCTGTTTACGAGTTGAAGAGCAAACCGGATCATGTGACCCCTAAACTGGGCATAAAAGATACTGCGAGGAAAGACAGCAAACGCTACGACATGGTGTTTGACGATGAGGACTCGGACGAGGGAAAGCGAAAAAGTCCGATGGCAAACCGAAGCACTCCGATACGAAAAGAAGACGCCGTTCTTCGAGCAATGACGATCGTTACGATCGTAAAAGGTCGGCAACAGTCAGTCGCTTATTAAAGGAATATTATCACTCGGCGAACTCGTTTATTGTTATTGCTTTTTTTCTCTTCTTAGGAAATACAAAGATGACTACGAGAAGAAACAAGCCAGAGAAAAATCAGATAGACGCCATTACTCAAGAAATAATAGATCTCCCGAAAGATCTGACGATAGACGTCGAAGGTCGTACGATAGTCACCGACTTTCGAAAGCGGACGAGAGGCAAAGGAAGTCGGATGATTCGCACCGTAAATCAAGAGACTATCATCGCCATTCAGATGACTCTCACAGGAGGTCGGGGAGTGGAAAACGGAAGTCGTAAGAAAGAATTCGAAGGTTGGCGAGTCTGTGAAAACTGAATATTGGCCGAGTTTATTTTGGGGATTGAATAGCGGCATACAAGCCGTTAACGAAACCGCCATTCATGGTATACTCTCTCATGTCATTTAGCTACGTACTGTGGATTTCAATGGAAGCATGAGTGATTTTGTATTGCATTTGCAAACAATCCGCTGCTTCGTATCATACGTCAGATGGTTATCTAGAGACCTCGCGAACTTTGTAAAGACAATGCAAAATGCGATGAATGATTTGTAAAATTCCTGCAACTCATGGTTGGACGATTCGCATTCCTCCTTGGAGTTATCTGAATTCGGCCTGACACCGTAGTGCGATGATAACGCAATGATGTAGTTCGATGCAGAACAATATTTCGATCTGCCATGCATGCTTGCTGGCCTATGTATATGTATGTATGTATGCAGCAGTTCTTCCAGAGAGGAAAAAAGTGTTTTCAACAAATGGTCGAACATCTGTTTGCAAGAAAAAGTTTGTAATAGTTGAGCTCACCTTTAAACGGACGAATTTTTCACGTGGGTTATTTTTTAAGAAAAGGAGTAAAAGCTTGTAAATAGCAACTTGGTAGAAATGTGATGGCTCACAGAACGTAGCTTTTATTTTCGGATTGCGTTCGGGAAAACAACAATTCGTATTCATAATTACGTATATTCATAGCGAGAACAAACCAGTAACTACCAGGGATGTTTTGCAAATTTTAGGAGTAGGGGAACGCTTTATTAAGTCTGATGGGCATGGCCTACAGTGTAAGGGTGTGGTCACTGGTCGGTAATAAGTAATATGCAAATTGTGGCATTTTCAAATTTACTTTTAATTGGAATGACCTTTAATTAGAAAATTTTAATCAAATCACAGTATACAGGGCTGGATTAACCTTTCGTGGGGCCCGTGGCATATTTTTAGCCCTGGGCCCTTCTCCCTCCCCCTGGCCGGCTGCAATTCAGATTGTCCTAAAATCAGAAAGATTAAAAAATAATATGTATACCATGATGTGCAAAAATATCTGTATGTTAAAACAAGAACGTATGTACATTAATTTGAGTATTTGAATTGTCATCCAACCCAGCTTAGATCAATAACATTAATTGACAATTATATAGAACTTGGTTATGAAGTAAAAATTAAACCTAATTAACCAACTGAACGTTCATAAGATTCAGTATACATGCTCTGATGCGGCGATGCATGCTCGCTCGACATGTATGTAAAATGTACGTGTAAGTAATTTTAACACATCTTTTACTAAAGTCTCATTTTGTTTGTAAACGTTGTGTTTGCGGGATTTCTTTATAGCAAACTCTTTAATCAGATTACATCGTCCAGGATGTAATCGATCGTATACATTACAGACAGCTCTCCAGAATTCTTTACAACAAACTCTTTAATCAGATTACATCGTCCAGGATGTATTCGATCTTATACATTACAGACAGCTCTCCAGAACAGTTCGAGATCTTGAGACTAAAGCCTGTTTTCCGCTAGCCACGTGTATCTTAACGTATCGTAGCAAAACGTAACATGGCGCGTGCGTGCTTATGAATTTGATGGTCAATATGCACAAGCACGCATGCGCCATGTTACGTTTTGCTACGATACGTTACGATACGTGGCTAGTGGAGAACATGCTTAAGATAGATCCGCAGTGCAATTACAGTGTTCGGAAATACAGTTTCCAGATTGTTCTCCAGAAGAAGTTTGTACATGCACAATTCCGAAGAATCCACGTTAGTTTTGACATCGTTGTCATCTTTCGTTGTGTCACCTTCGCCGTCAGATTCATCAGAGGATGTTTTGTTCATCCTCCTTCAACAATGCGTCGAAAACTATTAGAACTGAGTAAAGTGCGGGGCCCGTGGGTGGACGCCCCTCTGCCATATGATTAATTCGGCCCTGACAGTATCGTGTAGTTGTACAACAAGCGAATTGAAGCAAATTATCTTGTGGAGACTATGGGTTCTATACAATTGATATTTGCTAACCGCAATATAATACGCGTAGGAGAAACGGCTTCCCCCACGTGTGATTTTTAATACGGGGAACGCCGTTCCCTCGCGTTACCCCTGCAAAACATCACTGGTAACAACTAATGACTGTAACTGTAAATTTGACTAAAGTATGACGAATTCTTATAATAAATGCGTTCGCCCTACTTAAGGCCATGGATGAAAATTTTATGAAAGTGCCCCTACCAGCTACAAATGCGAGTGGCGGCGTTAATAAAACTCGGGTCGATTTCTAACCTTTCCGTGATACAATTTTTCAACTTGTTGAAATTATCCTCTTGTAACTGCGATTTAAAGATATAATAATTATAAGATATTTACACGGTGAAATTTACACATCTTAGTATATATGTATGCGAACTTCCATTTAAATCACGTCGTCTAATCATTTCTGCTGTATTATTGTGTGGCACATTCTTATCATATGAATATTTTTGATGGCAATCAAATGCTCACCAGTGACGTACAGTTCGATAATTTTCTGGGGGGGTGTGTAAGACGTTCATATCACGGGAGTGTCTTTAATGGCAACTAAATCTTCACCAGGGGTCGGTTGCACGAAGCGTGGATAACGTTATCCATTGTATAGTAAAAATTTTCAAACTTGTAAAAGGTGTTTAAGTTTTTCTTACGATGTAATCCTTGAAGAACTATTTTATTTCAGTGTTTGCTCAGTTCAAATCGTATGTTTTTCTCTTATAAGAGATTTTTTGAGCTTTCAGAAAGATTTGCTATCCAGTGGATAGCGCTATTCGGCCTTCACTGTAGACCGCTTGTGAAATCCATTGTTAATTTTGGTATTGCAGTTTATAAATAAGCACATAACAAGAGTATAAATATATCGAGCTTGGCTAAGGCACTGATCCTTGCATGACAAAAGTTAAACAATTCTTTAACTTACATTGCTCTACAGATTTCTTAATGAGTTTCTCGACCATCGAAGCCACGTGATAAAGCCGAAAGTAGCTGTCTCCGTATATTATACTCGCGCAATCGGCTGTTTGAAATTTGTCATCGTAAAACTCGTGGTATCTGCGTAGTGTTTTCGAGCATGGACGTAGCAACAAGGAAGATTGATAATTGGGGGTGTTGTGTTGTGTGAGGGACATATTTTATGTATTGTTTCCATATTTTCGTAAAAGCATGAGACATGTCAATAGTCGTGAGACATTTAAAATAAACGACAAATTTTTTCATATCAAACATGTTTCGTACATGCATGAATATTAACCACTTCGATCTTTTCGCGTCCCTGTTTTCAAGTAAAAAAACTATCGAAACCATTGCCCAGACGGTGTATGTTGTTATGTATCAGTAACGTTTCCCTTGGATACGTCAGTTGGTACGTTCAGCCTTAACTGTGAAGAAACATCAAAGCATTCTACCTGAGACATAAGGCACAGGGGGTTTGTTCATTCAATGATTGCTCTTTGGTACAGATTTTGAAGGTGATCTTCCGAATCCACCATATGACTTATCACAAGCTTAGAATAGTTCTTTCTGGTTTCCAGGTTCCTCTTCCTTTGCGACGGTGTGGCCAGATTTGGTAAATTTTATTACCAGATCCGCTCTGCGCTGGCGAGCTCGGACAGCTCCACCTATTTTACATAAGTACAACTTTTAAAACAGGGGGGAGCAGTCAGCACAAATCAACGCATATTTGATGATGAATTATTCCTATATGGTCACACTGTTTTGTGCAAAAATTTGATACCTAGCGATATTTTTTCCAACTTGATACGACATCGCAATACATTGCAATTACTTTTCTGGCGGACACTTGACTTGTTTAAGACCATTACATTTACAAGACCAGTACAAGTTTCAATACAGTGATTTTTAGCTAAAATTATAAATCACTGTATTGAAACTTGTACATTTCCCTCACAATGGAAAATAGCAAAGGTTAAACCACTATTCAAGAATCAAGGAAACAAGCAAGATATTCAAAACTATCGTCCTATTAGTATTTTGCCTATTCTTTCTAAAGTCTTTGAAAGACACATCTTCAATGCAATGAACACCTACTTAACAGAAAATGCACTTTTATACCGCTTCCAATCAGGGTTCCGTAAAAACCACTCCACGGATACTGCTTTGTTGTTTCTTCTGGACCAAGTCCTTCTTGACCTTGATAAAAACAATGTCAGCGGCTTAGTCTTTGTGGACTATAGCAAGGCATTCGACTTGATCAATCATGACATTCTCCTAGTAAAGTTAAGATCATATGGATTTCCAGATAATGTTGTAAAGCTATTGCAGAGCTATCTACTCAATCGCAAACAGTGTGTCACTGTAAATAACTCGACTTCGTCACAACTTATGCTAACCAATGGAGTTCCTCAAGGTAGCATATTAGGACCTCTACTGTTTTTAATCTTCGTCAATGATCTTCCCGAAGCTGTTGGATCGGACTCAACTATTCATGCTTACGCGGATGACACCACATTTAAAGCCAGCGCTAATATCGATAATGCACCTTTGGAATTGGAACGACGTCTTCAAGAATACATGGATAAATTAAGTAAATGGTCTAGCGAAAATGGGATGGTCCTAAACGCTGTTAAAACCAAAGCATTACTTATCACCGGAAAGAGGCTACATTCATCATTAGTTGATGGCAATCACCTGTCAGTAACCCTTGATGGGGCTGAAATAGAACAAGTAACCTCTTATAAATTGCTTGGTGTAACACTCGATCAAGATCTTACATTTAGTGACCACATTTCTAGCCTAAAGGCCAAGCTTTCTCTGCGTATTGGTTTATTGAAAAAGATAAAGAGATACCTTCCAATAAAAGAAAGACTTTTATACTACAACGCTTTGATTAAACCCGTCCTTATGTACGGGAGCATGGTTTGGAATACCTGCGACGTTAAAGAACTCCACTGTCTCCTAAGGTTACAGAAAGGGCTGCCGAGTAATTCTTGGAGTAGACCCTTATTCTAGAAGTGTTGTAAACTTTAGTGAACTAGGCTGGTTGCCTTTTTTGACGAAATAAAACTAAACAAATGTGCCATGATTTTAAGAGCCTCAAATGCGATGTTCCTATTTATATCAAAGATTTGTTCAAGACGAACAGTTCTGTTCACAATAGGTCCACGAGACATGGCAATTTAAATTTAGTGTGTCCCAAATACCTAAGAAATAACGATGGTGGCAAGGCATTCAGTGTTGACGCAGTTAAGTTATGGAACAGCCTTCCCATGATATCAAAAAGCCTAGTATAAATCTATTCAAAACAGCTGTGAAAAAGCATTTTATAAGCTCATATAAAACCTGGACAACTTTGAAACAATATTAAGCAATAGCACACTACCTAATTTTAATTTTAATTTTTATAAATTAATTTTATCTTTCTGAATATTTTTATGTGTCCTGCTATTTTATCATAGAATTTTGTAATTATTTATATATTTATTCATTTATCAGTTTTTGTAATGCTGTATAATCTAGTTAGAGGGCCACAGGTTTGTCAGCTTTTCAGCTGTTACGTGTCCCCCTCTTCAAATAAAGTCCTTATTATTATTATTATTATTACTTAATTCACCTTGATCAGGAAAGTCTGATGCTTTTCCAGACGTTCAGATGATGTCACTGGTCAACGCCACGTGTTACCTAATCTCATTTCTCCCTTAAGTGCTAACTGAGACCAGTGGCATTGTCATCCAGCGAGAGGAACGGGTCATCCAAATATAATCTTCAATTGCCATCGCCGATCAAGTCGTGTACAGATTGCATCAACGACTCGACTTCAGTACCTGGGTTTAGGCGCCGTCCTACAAGGTGAGTTTTTCTCCCCTAGTAAGTTTACGGTTCTGTGAACTAAATTATATACGGCGTAAGCTATTTATGGCAAAGCGGATTAAACAGTCTAAAGAAGCATGATCCAGCTGCATACACGCACGTAGTTAGTGAGAGCGTTGATTTGAGAACTGTAGATTCATCTTTTCCGACCATTTTAACTTCTAAAATTGGCCATTAATTTAAATTGATGACATTGTCATTGCAGTACTTAAGGCAATAAGGAGCATATAACACGCAAGCACCAAGACATCACAAACTCGTAGACACTTTTTGAGACGTTGAGCGTCGCTCACAGCCCTAGAGAAACCTTGATCAGTTGCACTGGTGACGATACATCACGCTGTGCGTTAAAGTTCTGTCCTTGAATATTTCTACAAGCGCCATGCATAGAAACCATCTACCTTCGTGCATGAAACATGTGCCATGTAATGACAGAGCGTTCGTGAAAATCATCATCTTCTGACTCAATATGTAAAACTTTTTAAGTTTTAACCGTAGTAGCTATCATGCTGTCTATGCATGAAAACCGGAAGCTTGTTACGCCATGTTTATAATGTGGTATCCTTGAAATAAAAAAAGATATTGATATGATTGGAATTTGAAGAATCGTTTCACTCCGAGGAAGCGAAGGTAAGGAAATCAGTGGACACAGTGGTTAAATTGGCTTTAGTAAACAAACACTCCAAATTTTAATAACTTTTTTGACTTTGGAAATGCCGATTACGAAGTCTATTTCATTCCTCAACTGGTTCGAAATATCGCTCTTTGGCTTTAACTAGTCCCGAAGTTTAGACTTGAAAAGCGGTTTTTGTGTTTTCGTTCAGGGAGGGTGAATCACATGGAAAGGTACCATGACATTTTTATTGACAAGCTATTGAAACGTCCGAGCCCAAAGGGGCGTGCGCACCCCCAGTGGGTCTCCCTGTGGATCTGCCTCCGGACTTGCCAAGAAAATACTTCTAACGAATCACTACAATGCGAATACTTTTTTTGCGATATTTGTATACCTATGCGTGCTTTCGCTTTGCAATGTGTTATAATATGTGAACATTGATGATCTGACGAAACAACTATTGTGTCACACGAACAAATGTATAAAGCAAACGAATGATATCGCAAACGAATGACGCGGGACTTTTATCATTTGATTGTCATTTATTAAACATCAAACCAACATCAAACGAACTAATTTACGATAGCTAATGAGCGAGAAAGGTTCCTGAAATAAATCAAATCCAGTTTAGCGATTCTTTTCAAGGGAACACCTTCTTGAGCAATCAAGGTTATCGCTTTACCCTGAAAATAAAAATAATGTTAAAATGCAGTACGCGCGCTCATGCGCATTCTAGTGAAGCTCGGTCTTACCAAGCGAATTTCTTTCTTGCCTTCTTCTGACCGGGTTTTTTCCGTTCGACGAGCCGTTTATCTCTGGTCAGTAGACCGGCTACGAAGTAAAATAGGAGCTATTGGATAGACTTATGAAATACATAATGATTTTTAAGCAGACTTGTCGTCATTTTGCACTCTTTCTCTCTCTCTTTCGGCTTTCCTCCATCCATATCTGTCTCCTGCATCCTCTTTTCTCAAACAACATAACTTTAAGTCCTTATAACGTCCACAGTACCTGTTTGTAGTTGTGAGAAGTAATCTTGCGTCATGCTTGTGAGGGCTCTGCTGAGTGCAAGTCTTATTGCCCCGGCTTGACCTTGGATGAAAATTGACAACACAGAATTAAGGAAACGATCCCATTGCAGGTGGAACTTAATTCGACACGCTGTGTCTCACTTCAAATATGCAAGTCGTCCTATCTCTTAGGGGAAATCGCCGACTTTGTTTTGCAAAAGAACGTTGATTGTTTTTTTAGTATAAAAACTCGTCGGTGTAACTGCTTCGTTTTTGAGAAGGTAATTATACTACAGGTATTATACGGGCAGGGGCGCGTATAATACCTGTAGTATAATTACGTAGACAGAAAACTGTCTACGTTTTCTCAAAAAATAGGTGTTCTAGGAAAGATTTTCATACCTATATTTAAAAGGAATGACCGCAATTTTAACCGGACCGACTTTTTCGTCCTCTAGAAGGCTATCTGGCGTTAATTTCTCATTGAACTGAATCCAACTGAAAGGCCACCTCGCGCCAAAATTTTCAAAGCCAGCAATTCAGCTCTGAAATGGCCTTTTAGTCATCCATTCAGTTCAATGTATTTCCTACGGCGACAGGTAAAGTGACAGTTACATGGATAAATTGTGTACCTGTCGTGCCTCCTCCGATCACGTTGCATTCTGCGTCATATTTTCCCATACACCGAAGGGCGATGAACGGATGCCAAACTTGATTTCTGGCAGGCGTTTCATGACAAGAGAAAACGTACAATGATTATTTTATTGCGATGGCAATGTTCTGTGATGATTTTCCATACGAACCTGTCCTCTTGCTTTGGAAAGTATTCGATAATAGGAACATCGTTGATGACGACTTCACCCGTGCCATTAGATATCCAAACTTCGGCCATTGCTCGCTTCCTGTAACCTTACAGTAATGACAGAAAAAAAAGGTGACCGACGGTGATAACGAGACACGCCGCTGTTCGGTTGTCTCCTAAGTTTTAACGATATTTTTAGCGCCAGCTTGAGTAAATTACTCCCATGAAAAATCCCATATTAATGCTGAAAATGTTTAGGGATCTTGATGTGGTGGACGCGAAACCCTCAATATTACATATTGCACTTATTCGTGTTTTTTAATTTTACCAATGAGGATTATTGTCTTGAAAATATCACAAGGGGACTCGTGTTTTTTAATTCTACCAATGAACACCGTAGTCTTAAAAACATTATTTTTGGGCTGGCGCTTACCCCCCTCTCACTCGCAGGCGCAGCTGCTTTGTGAGATAAACAAGAGAAATTTTTGATGGGAATGAAATATGGGAATGAAAATAAAAATATGTCACGTGAATGAAAATCGAGAAAAGAATGAAACCATGCAGTTACCGCGACCATGAGCCCTTCCATCTTCGTCAAGCTGAAAAGTACATAAAAATAATATTATTTTTTAAGGAGAGCAGTTGCCACGGTAAATGGCCAAAATAACCTAAGAGTTCTAAAAGAACCGTTTTAATACCAAAACCCCGTACCCCAAACTATTCTACTCTCCCACTGCGAAATAAACTCTTCCTGGGCAAATGTCGAGCATCGTGGCTAGTTTACGAGTTAGCGTGTGCGTGTAATGCTCTCTATGTAGGCAGAACTTCTCCAAGGTTGAGTGAGAGGATATTGAAAGCAGCGTTAAGACTTAAGACCGTTCTTTTACGACAACAACCAAAGCGTGATTGTATTGTTGTGAAAAATTGATTTCATGTGACTCAGCTATTGGGAAACATCTTTTGAATATAGGGCTGTTTACATGATCCCGGCTAACCGAGTTTCAGTGAAGCGTGAAATGATTTCGAGGTATTGAAAGGAGTCAAAACTTCAAGCGTAAAAATTACAACTGTTTATTAAGCGCCACAAGTCATTCCTGTAGTACTTCTCAAATTAGGCCAAATTGGTTGTTGTAATTATAAATGTTTTGTGTAGTTATTAAACCAGAATATTGTGAAATTGCCAGAGAACATTTATCTGATGATGAGTATTGAATCGTTTCCATTTGCCAAAATCATTTAAAGCTTGACTGAATCCCGGCTACCCTAGCTCATGTAATCAGCCCCTAACACTCACATGCGCCGATTACTATTCCGACGAGTAATTATAAGAAATGTCGCTCGTTATTACAGTTTATGAGTCTTGGAGTGTATTGATTAAGTTGAATCTGCCTATTAAAGGATTGCATATTTAATCTATCCCTGTGTGTAAGCGTCATTTCCCAATTTGAAGATGACGTCACTCTTTTTTTGCCATAATAAATATCGCGTGAATTTAAGTTCTCATTTAGCTGACGCTGACACGTGATGTGTAGTCTGCCGATATGCATCGCGTCTTGTAGATATTTAAAAAAGTTCTTTTTAGAAATATTGGGATGTGTTTTGGAAATAAAACATTTTTGGCATCGATTGCCGGACCGAAATAGGTTGAGCTTGCTGCACTAAACCTTTTCCGTATGGAATTGAGATGCTTCGTCCACAACTGGCGTTTTGAATCTTTTCAAGAACTTGTTGATTTCTTCGGAATTGTCCAATTTTTTGTCGTCAGTTAATTTCTTCAGTCGATGAATTAAAACGTTATACTACATAAAATAACAAGAAATTTTTTTTGGCCCTACCTTGGATTAACGACAAAGAGTGAGAACAGAATTCATAACTAAAATAACGAGTGTCAGTGTATGTAGTGATGAATGAACAGCAGAGAACAAGAACAGTCTTTACACTACCTAAAATATGAACTAAGATGACGTGTGTCAGTTTAGGTAGTAATGAATGAGCAACAGATAACAAGAACAGTGTTTCCACTACCAAAAATATAAAGTAAGATAAGGTGTGTCAGTATAGGTAGTGATGAATGAACATCAGAGCACAAGAACAGTGTTTACACTACCTAAAATATAAACTAGATAACGTGTGCCTCTAGTGTTAGTGTAGGTAGTAATGAATGAACAACAGATATGGCAAACAGCCGTTTCATTGGCTTAATAACAACTAGGATAACGTGCGTCAGTTTGGTAGCAATTTCAAAAAAAAACACCAAAAAACAAAGTCTTGCTCTTAGAAAATATATGCTCATCATTATGATAATTACATCTTTCAAAGCCAGCTCTTCTTTTAAGACAGCTTGCATTTCAAGATGAGTCAACCATCTCATTTTTCTTGTATCTTTACTCTTAGTGTCATCCCTAAAATTAGATCAAAAAGTTAACAGCAAAGTTCTAGACTAAGATTGGAGACAATAAATTTTGAAATGAAAAACACTGCCCAAATCCTTGATCATCCTCTGACTTGACATCAACTTCTTCTGAGTCTTTGTTACTGGCAGATTCCCTTGGTCTCCTATGTCTACTTATGTCCTACAAGATTGTTTATTTACAAATTGTGAATAGATGAATGATGTTGCAAAGTGCTGCCAATAGTTTTTAGGATGAAGCGTGTGGTGAGAGGATAAGTGATGATAAGGTAGGTGACAAGAGGGTAAGTGATGAGAAGATAGGTGATGAAAGGGTAGGCGATGGGATAACCTGTTCATAGGTAATGAGAAGGCAAGTGAGAAGAGTGTAAGTGATGAGAGTGCAGGTGTTAAGAGTGTAGATGATGAGGGGGTAGGTAATGAGAGAGTAAGTTAGGAGAAGGTAGATGATGAGAAAGTAGAGGAAGGTGTTGAATAAACATTGTGACGAGGAGAAAGAAACTAGCAAGAATTCATTATTTTTGAAGCAATGCATCTAAGGTTTCCAATTGAAAATAATTCATGTTATATTTGACTTGAACAAAAGCAAGTTTGGCAGTTTTCCTTAAAGGTTTTAAAAAGATTACTTACATATATTAAATCATGAAAGGCTATCGATCCAGTGTAAAATGCAGCATGAAGAGGTCGATCATTTTCATCTAAGTTGCCTTAAAATCAACATTAGCTTGATGAGGCAAGCTAAGTAAAACAAGCTAAACTCGCTTAGAAAAAAAAACAAAGGTCAAAGACATTGTTTTCTACCATAGTTTCTTTATCTTACAACAATTTTCAGGTAGCTATTTTTCAAAGCTTACTTTTACTTCCTGGAAATAATTCTGTAGGATGCTATAAAGATAAAACGTTAGAGTGCAACAAGCTGTATGTATGAATGGCTGATGACATACCTTCATGACTGGTCGAGCATCTTTTGCAAAGAGTTTAGTGGGCAAAAGATACTGTAGCGATTCCTGAAGTCAAAAGTTGATCAATAGACAGTATTAGTGGTATGTTAAAACTATTTCAAAAATTCATCTAGTACAAAGCTTTTCAAGCTTTAAGGAAACTTGACCTGCACATCATTGTCCGTAAACGTTTCCACATCGACGCCCATCATTTTAGCTAGCCATCTCTTACCCATCTCGTACTTTTTTACTTCTTCTGCCATAAACTCGACTGTTAAAACACAATAAAAGCGGGTTACTTCTGTATTTTGCATAAATACTCGTACCGTCATATCGTTTCTGAAATTCTGAATGAGCGAACTGCGAGCATTTAATTCATCAACGTTAACAGCTACCAGGAATTGCACAGTTTCAAAGATTTCGGACGTTTGCACAAACCGTTTGACTGATCTTCGACAAGTTTAGTTCGGCGTTGTTGTTGGCAGGAGTGTGTTTTCTGAATATTGTAAAAAATACTGTCCAGTGTGACATTGAATTTTTAATTTATTTTTGCATTTCAAAAATCACTAAAGTTTGCATCCTTACAAAATTTCTGAAATTCTTCTTAAAAGCTTTTTTCCCATCTCGCCAACCGTACAAAGAAGTGTTTATAAATCTCAAATAATTTCTTGTTCTCGCTCCTAGGTTGACCACCATGTTGCAAGCAACGTTCCAGGTGTAATTATTTTAAAGGTCAGCGATATAATCGTTTTTTGTCGGTGATTAACGGATTATCGGTTGCTTATGTTAAGCTTTTAAATCCGGAGAATAGTGATTTATATTCACTTTCTCGAAGAGTAGTGGAGTGCAATCGTTTATTCATTTTATTGACCATGTCAAACCTAACGTGTAAAAACAGTGAATGCAGTTCAAAGGAAAGAGCACATCGTAGGAATAAGGTAAACACCGTTGCAGCTATAGTCAGGGGGATTTTTATGATTTGCATAACGCAGCGTTGCGAGAAAATATGCGACTTCCTTTGATTTTCATTTCACGCTTCGCACTCATGATCGCGCACGAAGATCTCATTTGTTTTTATCCTCCTTTTCACGAGTCGCGTCCCTATTTGTTACTGAAATGTTAAAGGCGTCAACTTTCACCGCTACGAAAAGGAAAATTAGCGAAACAGGTGATTTGAATTGACGTCAATTAACCTTCACACTTTGCTCAATAATGCGTTGCAGGTCAGTTTCCTTGGTTATTTATTATGAGATATTTTTCAAATCGACTTTGAAGGCGCACGTGTGACGTTTGTCTGCCTTCAAATGATTGGCTCGACGATTTATTTAGATAAAGTGACTCTTCAAGAAGGAAGTGAAAATCGTATGGCCGAAGCCATTTCAACAGCGCAGCGTTTCAATCGTGGAACGCGTTCTTTGTTTATATATCACGACCTGCTTCATTCCGTTTATTTCAAAAGAACATATACGCGGATATGCACGACACGTTGTTTGGCTCCACCGACAGTTCGTTTTCGGGATATTTAAAGGTGGAAGAAGGCAAGAACAACTGGGTCGAGTATTGGGGAACTCTTCGCGATAATTCCATATTACTGTACACGGATAGAACATCCGAGGAAAGTGGCGAAAAGGCGCTCAAAACCATCGAACTTTCAAGCGACACACGATGTGAATTACTCCAAAGAAGAAATTATCACTTCCGCTTCAAACTAGTCGTTGGCGACCCATCCCATTTGTACAAGTTTAAATGCACTTCGGCATTTCATCGACAGCAGTGGATATCTCGAATCGTTTCGGCATCGTCCAAGGACCGTGTTATCGATTTCAACGACTCTGGAGGGACAAACGAACGCGAAACTGACACGCAGATCATTCCTACGGCACCGCAATTGAACCGAGACGATGAAAGCTTGTACAACTCCCATGTGGATTCGGGTACCACTTCTCTGGACCGTGCGCGACAAAGTTTCTCACATGCAAAAAATCCTAAGGAAGTGGTTACGAAAGAACGCAGAGGATCGGAAAGTCTACTGCGCAGACTCTCGTTTAGAACTAGTAAGAAACTGAGAAAGAACAGCAGTACTTCATCGTCCGTCGAAAGATCATCGTCTCTTAAACATAAAGAAACACAAGTAGACGACGTTGAAACTACGTCTGTCTGTTCCCCCATGTTTTCTGAAAGAAGTTCGGATGTTATTCGAGTATTTGAAAACCCTGCGTTCGCGGCTACCCCTCCCTCAAGCCCCGGTGTAATGAGAAAAACCACAGTCTAAGAGTCCGTCGAAGTCGATGTCCTAACTTAAAAGAATTCAACTGGCGCAATAATAATGTGATGACAAGATACGAAATTCTCAAGGAAATCATTAGTGCTTTTACCAAACAGGAATATTCAAATTTCCCTCAATTTCCGTCCGTTTTCAATGAAGCGTCCGTCTAGATCTCAATTACTGGAATTTTTTGTGCCCGCGAACTGTCTTAGGTTTCGTACAATCAGAGTGTGCGATGATAATGACTATCAGAGTGATGAGTGATGATTGGCGACGACAAGGTGTTTGGTTATCGATACATAATGGCGTAGAGTTACTAGAGAGAATGAAGGGCTCTGTCATCAGTACGCAACTGAAATATTCATATAAACGACGCTCCTGTTTTTGTTAATGTACACGTGTCAAAACTTGTAAATACGCATCATGGATTGTGCGCCATGTTTTGTTATGAATAAATAATTTTTAAGGATTTCTTCGGTAAAAGTGCGAATCGGTCCTCTCTTATGATTTTCATTGATTTTTGTCCGAGCCCATGTAGGAAACTGATGCAAAATGGACACATTTTGTTTCACAAATTTCTAACGTAATCTACCGGAAATAACTTAATAACTAAATTTCTCGTGATGATCTTCCATATGTTAATGTTCTGTTATTGTAGCAAGTCGGGGTTAATGGAGCAATTTTGCTCTATGTGCGCTTTTAGCACGAGTTTGTAAAATCAACTGACCACCCGATTCGTCTATGCGAAAATGATTTTTGTTATGTGGGAAATTCGCCCACGCGTGAACACATCAGATTGTGAATAAGTATAATGCCGCCAGCCATCTAATTCACCTGCTATATGGGATGTATACGCACTTGAGATAACGACATTTCCAAAAGCGTCATTGCCCGTCGTTTCATTTATTTTAATTAAGTCGTCTGTAGCTCAAGTTCAGTTGTTTCATGCAATTATTTCTTCACCTATATTCATACTTCACATTCATGCAAGATATCCCACAATGCTCTTGCTTGCGCGTAGCCGTCAGCGCTTTTGCAGTCACTGCTTTTTTTATTATCTCTTTAGAAAAAAAATATTATCGATAACAGTACTTTCTTCGTCATCGCTGTCATAATCGATGTGCCCTCGACCTTCGAGTGTGGAACACCCTAGCGGCTTTTCAGAATACCTGTCCTCACATTCGCTTCTGACTTCGAGATCCTCGACCATCTCCACCAACGAGTTCGGATAGTGTGGTTTCCAGTTCTTCTCGAATATTATGTTGTCGTGGGAAAGAGTTGGTCGTTGACGGTGTCCCGGATTTCTGGTTTGTACAACGAATAACCAAGATTTGCGTCTCTTTCTGAAACACGTTTCGATGTGATTTTAGGAAAAATATATGGTTATATAGGCATGGCTTACGGGTTGAAAATATCAATTTCAGGTTTATTTTTATGAAAGTTCGTGGGTTTGGTATGCAACAGTCGTAAATGGTTGAGGAATAGCCCGAGTATTTGAAATAACAATACGAGGTTTAATGTTGTTATGCGACGTGCGATCGGCCATTTTGGTAGGTTACTTCAATCAAAGGACCAATGCTCAAAAGATCATGCGATAACAATTCATGGGTTTTCTACCAACATGTAACATACACATACATGGGCAGTAAATACACTCTAAAGGGCGCGGTTGATTTTTTGCTTATTACAAGATTCAATCAAGTAAATGGTTTGAACCCGGGAGTATCGTTACATGTTTGTTGATGTAAGATCGTCCAGGTTCGCAGAGTCCTGAAAACGACTGTTAATGTTGGTGTTGACCGACGTTTCTTAACTTGACTCCGAAGATGACTATCGCGAAGGTTTCGGAACGTCAGTCTAAATCAACAGCAAAAGTCCTTCTCAGGACTCTACTAACCTGGACGATCTATATCTGCAAACATGTAAAAGATTCAACGTCAAAATCACTTTTGACACGACTCGCATATTCGTCACGAATTCTCGCAAGTAGCTACGTACGATTTTGAAACTAACTATACCTGAAACTTTGTTGCTTTGTTTGAATTTGGTCAAGTTTTGATTGAGCTACGTTGGAAACATTGACACTCCGTAAAAAGTAAACGTTATTTATTCTAAACGTTTCGACAAGTGTTAGATGTCGTCATCAGTAGATAAAGTGAGCTTTTCAAAAAAGCTTCGAAAGCTTTTTTTTAAACGCTCACATGTATCATTACTGATGACGACAGGCAATACTTGTCGAAACGTTCAGCATAAATAATGTTTACTGAGTGTCAAAATCGTTTTGTGTTTTACTAAAATATTTTTTGCCAGTCGTAATTCAAATGTCAACATTTGCAAACAACATCGGGGGCGTGCGAGTGTAAAATATCCTAAAATTGTCACGAAGTTAAATACTTGCCTTCAAAATGAATATCTCCTTTTGGTAAATATTGCCTATATCCGCGATGAGTATTTCGAACGGATCGTTCGTCTTGCACATTCCTACTGGGTAATTGCTCCGCTATCGTTGGTATTGTTGATTTAACACCATCAATGATTTGTCCATAATGCTCTGCAGGCTCGTGTTGCTTGATGTAGTCATTTAATGTTTCTATAGATGCATCACGTGGATCATAGTCGTGGGCTCGAGCATATTCTCTTCTTTCCGAACGCGGGTCATGCGATATTCCCATATGCTTATCCACGTCAGTCGACCGATAAAGGTAATTTTTTGGAAATTGATGCTTTGTGCCAATTACTTTAGAACGTTCATTTGTTTCAACGTCCCGAAAGATCCCTTTACGAGCACATTGTCTGAGTCCCGTGGTAGGCTATTTTCGTGATCATGCGCTAACCCACGTGGGTGAGGATCACGAGGGGAGCCCATACGGTAACGAGCTTCTTCATGAGGCAACGCGTGAGCGGAGTAGTCCGAAATTCTTCCATGGTCATTGTAAGTTTTTTCAGATGATCGAAACGATCTCTCGATTGGCATCCTTCTGGCTTGATGTTCTTCCAAGTTTGGTGCTTGAGGAGGTGATTTTCGAAACGATCGGTATTCCACGAGAAAACCATGATTTTTCTGTTCTTGCTGGTGTAATTGAATGTCCCTTGCATTTCCATGCAACTCTCTCTGTACTGGTCGGCCACCTGGTGAATACCCAAATCCTCGAGAAATAGACTCCCGATGTTCTAAAGTATCACCGTGTCCCTGAATAGGACCATTTCTTCGCACGTCTTCGCGATTCAAAACTGGTCGTCGAGATTTTGACGTCACTCGTTCCTCGTCCTCGTTGCCAAGACGGGGTTCGAATCCATACGCAACGTTCATTTCAGCGTTAATGTCGCTGTACACACCTTTGTCCGCAGGAGAATTCTCGGAATGCATGATACCTCTAAGCAAATTATTGTATTCATCTGGACCTACTTCATCATCATAGACATCGCTGTCGGAGTATAAGTTGTTGTTGTTGAAGTCGACATGCCTCACACCACGGACACGTTGTTTACTGTCGAAAGCCCTCTTGCGCACATCAGATTTCGCGAAATATGGATCATTCGAGCCTCCTGTGCGACTTCCACTGAATTTTTTGTAACGATGCTCAACCAATTTACCATCTTCTTCGCGATGACTTTCGTTATGTGTTGTATATCCGTATGCGTGAACGCTTCTATTCTTCACGCTGTTATCAATAAAAAAAGCAAGTTTGCCGTGTTTTGGGGACGAAACAGTGTTTCTATCTTGATCAACAGATGAATGATAAACGTATTTTGGTGATGCATGAATTGCTAGACCATTTTGATTCCCTCGATAAGATCTTTCGTGCGGAGAAACGTTGGTTTGTTGGGTTGGTGATGACGGTTGGAAAATGCTTTCATTCCTTTCGAGTGGTGATTGTGGTTTATGAAGAGAGTACTCTCGTACAGACGACTGTTGTTTGCTCCTTTGTTGATGTCCTTCGTCGACGTGCTTGCTGACTGGTGGCGAGGACTGTCCTGTGCTCGACTGGTTTTGCCGTTTCCATTGGGATGATCGCTTGACTTCATCTTGGGATCTTTTGAGCTGTTGTTGCATCACATCGCGTTGCTCTTGTTGCTGATGAAAGAATGCACCGTCGTGAATCGTAGGACTCTCGTGGGCTTGTGCCATGTGTTTTTCTCGATGGAGAATAGCATCTTCGTGCAAAGTGTGCGCTTGTAGTTTGCGTTTGGCCATTTCATTCGGTTGCACCTCGCATAGCTCACTCTGCTTTTCTCGTATCGTCGCTCCGTCAACCTTTGTGGATCGACGTTCCTCTTGCGCAACCACTTGCTGTTGCTGCTGTAGGACTTGCAACTGCTGCTGGAGTTGCATTTGTTGTCTTTGTATCTCTATCTGTTGTTCTTGCAGCCTCAACTGTAAGGCACATTCCTTCAAGTACAACTCGTGAAAGCTACCACTCGAATCGACGGAACTGAAGCGCTGCTCGTCCTCTCCGTGTTTCTGCTCAACATTGCTGACTTTCATGTCGAACAACGAGTTGGAATATATTGGTACAGGAGGTAAACCCCACTGTCGTCGACCTCTTGTTGCCGTAACTGTAATGTTTTGGTCAGTTTTGTTGCTATTTGCCTCGTTACCATGAAGCTTGTTTTGCTCAGACGGTTGGTGATCACCCATTTCTAGCGAATTGAAAGACTCCTTATTGAAGGTATGAAGTGATGGTGATGTTTGCGTTGTCCGAGGTAGCGCCTTAATCGTTCTGGGTTTCTCTGCATCCTCTTTCTCCTTTCTGCTTTTAAAATCTCTCAACTCCTTCTGGTACTTCTTCGAAAGCTTTTCACTATGTTCCAGTCTGTTTTTGAGAGCCTCCCTTTCTTCTTTCAGTTTGTTCTGTTCAGCTTGCACGGCATTTAACTGCTCCTCGAACGACACCCGTTCCTCTTGAAGGCGTTCTAGTGCCAGTTCTCTCTCTTCGCCTGTCTTGGCTAACTCCTTTATCAGGTTAGCAACTCTTTTCTTGTCCTCGACATTAAGGTTCTTCAAAGACGCGCGTCTGCTAGCAAAGCTGTTTCCAGAAATTTGCGAAGTGTTGCCGATATGATAGCCTAGGCCAACAGCAAAGAAAACAAATGATCCCCCACACGCATTCAGAGCATTTAACGTTTGACAACTTTCACCAAATTATTAACGGTGATTCAAAAAATAAAACTATAACTATACCTGTTACGTTAGTTGTTTGATTGCTTTCTTTGGGGTGAATAATGGCTTGTTTGTTTGCAATGAACACTTCGTTAGACCGCGTATTCGAAATCGCGGAATCCGACTTCGACTTTTGCACTACTTTTACGCGCTTAGTGGTTTCAGAATTTTTTGACGCAGTTTTTGAACGATTCAGTATCACTCCTGGCATATGCAAATTTCTAAATTGTTCTTCTTCAGGTACATTCCGCCAAAATACGCTTGTTGTCTTCTTTGTTTTGCCAGAAATGCCTACTTCTTCCACTAACGAAGTTGTCGCCATCTTGAATTATTTGTAATTTGCTTAAAAAGAAGAAGCAATTTTATTGGCTTCCCCGTTCAGCCAATCACGGAAATGTAAGGCCTGGTCACAATGCGCGGTGTATTTCGTTTTGTTTTTGTGTTTTGGTTTACCTACATGTATTTCGGTGTTAAAACTTTGTCTCTGTTAATTTTCACGCCTTTTGGCAAATCCTTGTTGTGTTTTCAATGTAAGCATGTCTTTATAGAGTCATGAGCCAATGGGGCACGCTAAGAAAACGTCTGAAGGAGTCGAATCGAGATTTGGATGCTGAATTTGAACAGTTTCTAAATGAGGTATTTGACTATTTGTCATGTCATAATTTTAGAAAACAAGTATGCACTTTGTCCAAGTAGAATTTTGCACGAGTCGTGTTTGACTTTGACAATTTCTTAATTTTTTTGATGTATGGGCTTAAAATGACTAATCTTGCTTGTAATATGGACACATGTGACGATTAAATGTTATATATATGTAGAATATACTTACTCATGTAACGTGCTTGTTATGGAGAATGTATAGTCTTTTGTAAAATGATTGTGTTTTCATACTCTTAGTCACTCTCAGAAGAGTCTCTCAGCTCTCCTAGAGGAAAGTCCCCAGACCTAAAAAAATATGACCAAAATGAAGCTCAGAGGCTCTCTTCCACTGCTGGCAAACCTTGGTGGGAAAGCAGTAACGAGGATGACTCAGCTTCAAAAGTTGCAGTTGAGACATGGTATAAAACACCAACTTTGAAAGAAGAATGCCACGAGTCAGAGAACTATGGTAAAGAAATTGATTTAAAAACTACGGAAAACAATGATGGTGCTGGGCAATCACCTATTGACCTTGGAGCGTCCGTTACAATGAGCAAGGATAGCTTGGATGAAGTTGGTGTGTTTTTCTTGTCAAAAATTTTCACAAAACACCCTAAATTAATCATTGGAAGGTTACATGCAGCTTGAAAAACAATGGAAGAGTGTGCCTTTGCAAAATAAGAATGTGCAAATTTTGGATATTTTTTGACACAATGACCAAAATCTCATAAAATTCATAATGCAAACTGCCTAAAAATATGAAAGAGGTGAAAGATGCAATGTTAAACAGAAAATCACTCACATTTGCCCATTTTTCTTTCAAATGCTATAAATAACATGACATTCCATTGCTTGAACCATGTAGTCTTTCATTGCATTTGAACTGGAGCCGTTTATTCAGTAATTTATGTGCACCTGACCAGCATGTTCAAACTGGATTACTTTTTGTTTTGAAACGCCTTACAGTGCTTGTTATTAAGAATGTTTATTATTTACCTTCAAACCCTCATCCCTCAAGAATCACCATCAGTGCCTCCCATATCCATGGTTTCCTATTTACTAGGTGTTAAACTGGATGAAGCTGCCAAACTGTCCGATATTGAAAGGTAAATTCATTATTCACTAACAGGAATGGAATCACTGGGTGGATAATAGAAGGAAATGGAGAGGTGTGCATCCTCTCCTATCCTAGGCTGGCTAGGTGGTATGCAGGGACCGGTAGCACAAAGCATGGATAGCACATTGAACCAAAATTCATGGAACGCTACCTGTAATAGAAAAGTCTAATAATTTATAAGAAAAGTCTAACAAATTATACAACCAGACACGCGTGTGTAGTCGATCAATTTTCACCCCGGGAGAGAATCTTGAAACACTACACACGCGTGTCTGGGTGTAATCTCGCGTGTCTGGGTGTAAGATTTGGCTTCAATTATTTGCTTCAGGTAGCGTTTCATGTATTTTAGTTCAATTGGAATAGCGTTATCCATTGGATAGTAAAATTTTTGAACTTGTTAAAAAGGTTGATTGTATTTTCGTTATGATAAAGAAATTTTATAATCTTAGAAACAGCATTACATTTCAGTGATTGCTTTGTTTAAATTTTATATTTTCCCTTTTAAGAGATACGTCAAAAAAATTTGTTATCTAGTGGATAGCGCTATTCGACCTTCGTGCAACCGTCCCCCCGGGATGCTAATTTCCCAGCAAAATATAAAATTCCCAAGTAATGAATTAAAAGCAATAATGATATGCGCTTGATGAATCACACGTGTAAAAAATAACAGAACAGAACACGAGAAAAAAAAACGTTCAGGCATGTCAATACCTGAAGTGTACCCACTAAAATAATGTAGTCCAAACTGGAGCAAATCCTGCTAAATAGTCATCCTAGATCCACTGTTCTTTACTACCAGAAATTTATTTTATCTATAATGCACAGAGGATTGGTTCTCTTTGATTTTTTTTGACTTCAAGCTCTTTGATAGACGTGACGTAGTTAGCTTTTTATTATGTTATATGACTGTAGAACACTTAACTTATGTTGTTTCCTGTATTAATTTCTTTAGTTTTGCTTATGCTGGTCTCTAATCAACTGCTTTACTAACTTTCTTGCCCAAGTCATTTTTGAGAGTTTAGAGAAAAATAGAAAAGAGTCGACATTATTTGAAAAATATCAAACTTTTTATTGAACATCATACTTATTAAACATTTGTTGAGTCGTTTTTTGACTCGTCAAATTACGTCAATTGACTTTGGCAATCAATACAGAACACAACGTGGGCAAAATTGTACTTTTATGCAAAAATCCCAACATTGAAAAAATATGACTTAGACAATAAAATTAGTAACATAACGATAAGCACTTACAATGCGGTGTTTATCTACTAGTTCATATACTTGTTCATGTGCTTTTTGATCTAATGTCTCGTACGTCCCAGGCTCCATGTGATGGCGTCCGATTTATGACATAGATCACCTGACGAAGTCCTAATTCGTGCGATTTTTCTAGCCATTACGTTCTAATTCATGTGATTTTTCTAGCCAGGGCGTTCTAATTCATGCGATTTTTCTAGCCAGGACGTTCTAAATCATGCGATTTTTCTAGCCAGGACGTCGACGAAAACGAGAGGATCTATAGCCATACGAACCCTTCTGGATCAAAAATGTCCTCATCGGCATCGCCAAACCACATAGAACAGACCGAAAAAGATGATGGAAGCGTTAACATCGACACCATTGGTAACACAATGAACGAACTAGCCGATAAACTAGAGTTCTTCAAACAACTTGAAGATGAGAGGTCGAACCTAGACTATGGAAAGCTTAACAAACAGCTGGATGAAGAGACGAGCATTACAGATCACGCGAAAGCTGATGATCCTCTGCAAGCCACCGGAGCTGAGTTAGGAAACTCAATTTTCAATGCAACTGGTAATGTACTATCATGCACACAACTCATGTACTATCATGCACATCACTCATGTACTATCATGCACATCACTCATGTACTATCATGCACATCACTCATGTACTATTATGCTCATCACTTATATGCTATCATACACATCACTCATGTACTATTATTCACATCACTTATGTACTATCATTCGCATCCTTCATGCACACCACTCGTGTACTTTCATGCACATGACTCATGCACTATCTTGCACATCACTCATGTATTATCATGCACATCATTCATGTACTTTCGTGCACGTCACTCATGCAATGCAAACGTCGCTGTCTTTTACTTAAATATTCTCGCAGGAAGTGTTGTTTCAATATTTACCATTAAGAATTTGCTTGATAATTATTGTTTTTCACTTGACTAAGTAGTTGAAGGACCATAGCATCAAGACAGAGTAATCACTCCTCAGCTATGATACTTTCAAGTGCTTATTCACGTTTTTGCTGTCTTGATAACCGTGCGTTAAATATGTGCACGAACTTGAAAATTTTCTTATGATCGTCCGTATATTTGCTCAATTTTCGTGGCACTAAACTTTAATAGTTTTTATTTGTTTTATTGATACTGTTTCTTTCAAACATGATTCAATGTTTTGCTTCTAGTCGAACCATATTCACATGTAAGTCTAATGAATGTCTTCTTGTTTGCTAGAAGCAGCCATGGACACCTTATTACCCTCGACAGATAAAAAACGTTCGAAGGAAAAGGTAACATAAAAGGAAGTGCACTAAGAAAGACAGTCTTGAAACCGGCTCTTAGGACGCATCTAGCTTACGCTTTTACTTCAATTTTGAAATGCACGTGACTGTTATTGTGTTACGGTATTGTTCGACGTGCGCGTTATTCATGTTGTGTGCAATCTGCACACGTGTCATGTGAATGCTTAGCGGATGTTACACGTATCGTACATGTTGTTTGCAACTAGATATGTGCTATGTAGATAACAGAATGCTTCAGATTCTACTACGAATACGATGACCGCTACGAGATTCGACAACTTCTTCGTTCAATTGCTCATTTGCATATTTTGTGACTTAATATTCCAAAACGAAAAGTGTTATTTTCTGCTGGTCGAGGTACGATGAAAGCGGTAAATGTTTTCTCACACGCTCCAGGAGCTCAATTATGAATAGTTGTGGCTTACATAAGCACACTTTCTTGTTGTATCGGTGCGGCTTGACAAGAGCAGTGCTGCCACTCGTAGGGGAAATCCCCTACAGTAGGGGGATTTAGTGGTTTGTAGGTGGTAGGGGAAACCTACGGGGAAAACTTTAAATTGTAGGGGGATTGTAGGGAGAAAGAAAAATTGTTTAAAAATGAGCCTCATTTTTGCCCAAAATACTCTTTTCTTCCTGTGTTCTCACCATTTAGCAAGTGATTGTAACAGAATCTTTCTTTTGGCACAATTTGTGACCATATATGGCAATAGAAGATCAGCAACTTAGATAAACTCAGTGTGTCATTTGCGTCACCTGCATGTCATTCCTTCCTACACCAAATTACTAACTTTGTCGTCTAGATGTTCTTCGTTTTCAATGAATCTTTTTTTGTTTGCATTTTTTAAAAACAGACTAAAAAATTCAATGGTCCGACCCGACGTAGGTATATAATAGGGGGATATGTTGCTGTGTAGGGGAAAAATAGGGGGAAACAAGGAAAATCATCGTAGGGGGAGGTAGGGGGAAAGTAAAGTTTTGGTAGGTGAAATGTGCATACACCGAGTGTCAGCACTGGACAAGAGTCCCATTAACCGCCTGCCTTGATGGATCAAAATAGACATGTATAATTTTAGTATTGAAGACCGTTTAGTTAAGGTAACTCCTTGTAGCAAATCATTAATGGACGATGTAGCTATTGTTTGTTGTTATAACGAGGAGTTGTTATGTGCGAGGAGACTTTTGTTTTGTTGACTTCGTAAACAACAAGTTGCTATATTAACTTTTTACATTCGTGAGCGAATGCATGTTTCAAAGATCGATTTCTTACTGGACATTTCAACTAAAAGTATTTCATTAATTAAAATTGTGTAAGTTGTACTTACTCTAGGTCTTCGTCTTAAAGTGCCAATGAAACGAAAATTTTGCTATCTGAGTAATACTTTTATTCAAGAGATATTTTAAAGTGACAATGGACATTCTAAACCAGTTTATGCATATCACTTTTAATTCTTGAGATATTGAGGTTCTTGCTTTGTCCGATATATCTAGCTTGTGACGTCACATTGCATAATGACAACTAAAATTATTAGGTAATATTTACCTACGTATACTTCACTTAACAAGGGCAGAGTTCCCTTCATTGTGACGTGGTTAATGCTAAAAAATGTTGCCTACTAGTATCAACCTAAAGTTGTCAGGAAACTAAAGAGTATTTGAAACATTGTGGGAACTCATTATGCAACATGACGTCACAAGTTGTATGAATTGGAAACTGTCATTTCAAAAGTTCTGGTCATTTCAAACATAATTTAACTTGCAAAATTTTCGTTTCATAGGCACTTCAACAACAACCTGCTTGACTACGAGTACGACAACCAGTTCTGGAACTCAGATCTCCTTCGTGTAAACATCGTAGCGGTTGTCGTACTCGTACTCAGATCTGAAGCTCTCTAGAGTGTGTATGTTACGCGTAACATGCATTCGATCAATTTTTGTCAGCGTTATACTTGCGTGTGATCTATATTGTGTTACGAGTATCATCGATTTACATTTTTAAATTTGTTTCTTTAGGACTTGGATAGTAAACCCTCAATGTTGTCCAAAGGTAATGCTTGTGTGTACGTTCTGACCGAATAGTGGTTCTTTCAAACAGCCTGATGATATTTCACTTTTAGTAACGCTAATGGATTCTATGGACTCCACTGTCGGCACCGATCAACGCGAAAAGATCAAGCAGATTCGACATAAGCAGATTGATGTTCCTGTTTCTGAAGGTACTATATTTATTATGTAAGGATGTTGATGTCTATCAGCATCACTTCCATTATGTTATCCTTGGTATGTAAAAGGATGTCGAGGCTCGTCACTTCCATCGTGTGGTCCTTGTTATGTAAGGATGTTGGGATCCATCACTTCTACTATGTTATCCTTGTTATGTAAGGATTTTGAGGTCCATCACTTCTATTATATTATCCTTGTTATTTAAGGATGTTGAAATCCCTCACTTCCACTATATTATCCTTGGTATGTAGGGATGTTGAGGCTCATCACTTCCACTCTTTTCTTCTTTGTGTGTAAGGATGTTGATGTCTATATCTTTCAATGTATTGTCACGTGGCAGGTCCAGCGTGAGTAGAAATAAATTCTAGCAGCTCTATTTTGAATTACGTTAACCGAAAATGCTATTCGCTCTGAGTTTCTTAAGGATAAATTTTATCTATCGAAATGCTTTTTAATGTATTTTGAATTTATTTACGTTAAAGAACGAGCGTTTTTTTTCGATTTTGACGTACCATGCATCCGGCACTGTTATCACGTCTTCTATGATATTGATAATCATGTGGATTTCATATATGCTTCTATGTCTGTACTACGCAACTAATGATGATCATCGGTAAACTTTAATATATCCACGGTATAGATGACTGTTATTGTCCTTTGACACTATCGCGTAAGGCGTGAAAGTTTCTCGCGTTTTTAGATGAAAAACTTGGAACTGACGTGAAAGAAGTCGCCCACGATGATTTCGTCGGTGATGACGTCGTCGGTGATGACATCACTCATGACGACGAATCAAAAGTCGAAGAATACTCGGAAAATTTCGAGAGTGACGTTGAGGATGCACCATCCGAGACTGCAAAGACCGGAACGGAATTACTTAATACTTTTGATGTCGGAGAGTTGGCCGACTTGCAGCAGGTTCTTCAGGCTGCTAATCTGGAAGGCACTAAGGATTCAAGTATGTATAAATCATAGAGTTACATACTAGACAAATATCTACAAGCATTATTTATTAGTAAGCTAAGTTAACGGCTAACGTGTGTATATATTGTTCGCATTATTTACAGTATCAGTTACCAAGCGGCGTTGAATGGCGTAACTTAGTTTGATCGCATCATCGTCTTTCTGCCTTCATCATTGATCACTTTTACCTTTTTGGCTGCTTTCAATGACCCAGCCAGCAAGCATGAAAATTGCTTTGCGTACGGCTTGCATACGGTTCTATGTAGCTATATTGTTCGTTCGGATTGAACGGACTGGTGCTTGAGAGATGCCATGGCAAAGTGTTATGGCATGCTCCTTATAATTGTTCGTATAGAGTATAGAGATGCCTACTTTGCCCTTAGCCGTATCGTTTAGGCTGCCTTCATTGCCTAGCCTTAGTATGGATACATATTGCACGGCCTTAGCCTGCATTGCCCAGCGTAACTTAACATGCACGAACTGTAGACCACAAACGACAACAACCCCCAAACTAAGTTCCAAGAGTCTGTTGTTAACTATGGTATAGATATTTATCAATACATTACTGTCTTATATGTCGGGTTCTTACATGGTTCTTACATTAACAAAAAACATATAAAATGTTTTACACAAGGTTCACCATTTTGTAAGGTTCACCACGTTGCATCCCCCTTGAAAAATCCGCACCCCTCTTGTCAAATGAGCATCGATCCCTCCTGCACATAGTCAAGCGTACGTAAATGACTCTTTATCATATACAAGCCAGTCGTATCAAATTGATGAAATTCTAATACAATAGCTCGAGTTTGTTCTGTGCCGGATTCCTATCGTTTTTTTCCACTTGTAAAACCAATATGGCAACCACCCTTTATAACATGATAAAGTCATTGTGTGTCTGTCTTTCAGGCCATTCGATTCAAAGGAAACAAGAATTTGATGAATCGAACCAAAGTGTTATCGTTGTTGACAAACCACCAGCCCCCTTAAGGGAAGAAAAAGCTGCCTTCCCCGGTAAAGTGCGTGTTTCTGCCACTGCTCAACCGGCTGTTGCTTCTGTATCAAGTACAATTTTTGAATCGAAAGGATTTACTTCTACTACTTCCGGTTCCGTTCCCTTGCTCAATCAAACTTTACCACTTCCCTTTGATACGAGTGGGTCAGCGCAGGAACAGACTGGAATCGCTCTGTCAGCTAGCGCTTTGGGTGACGCGCACGTAAAACGAGTTTTAGGACGCGAGGACGTCATTAAAACCGGATCAACTGGTTTTCCGATTGGTATGTCGACGGGCTTCGAGCTTCCAGTCATGAAAGAGCCTCTTCAGTATGCTGGCACCAAAGATACGAGCTTTTTACCGCAGACAATTCACGAAGTTCGTCCCTCCGAGGTCCAATACGGTTTCAGTCTTAAACCTGCCTCTGATGATGCGAAGACGCGCGGTGAAGATTCTCTCAAATCACCAAGTCGAGTTCAATATGGTCATTATTCAGGAAATATTGATCAAAGTACGCCAGATACGAAAGCAGCCTCTCCACGGAAGTATTTCCCCAATGAGATGTCAACGGACGAGGACACTCCCCCTCCGGAAAGTTTAAAAAACATCAAGTCGATTGTTCGACAGAGAAAAGAAACACAAAGTGTTGCAAAGCTGCTGATAGGACGACAACGCGCAACGAAGAAAAGCTCGTCGAAGATCGTGCCTAGGAGTTCTCTGGGGCAAAGGAAAAGGACAAATATTGAGGAGAATGCAGGAAATGTTTTAGACGAGAACGTAAAGCCGGCGAAAAGAGGAGACAGAAATTTAAAAATAGACGATCGCTTTGGATGGAAGGATAGGCGAAAAGAAATAGCATCCAGAAATAGAAAAGAAAAGGTGATATATGTGTTGATTTATGTGAAACTATGGGGTGAACTTTAATTTCGAAAAAAAGGGTTTAGGTCGGTATTATGAATCTGAAATTTCGGAACGGAGAGTTTTGATGTTATTTAACTCATTACTTTGGATATGATTTAACAGTTAGTTTGTGTATTATTCAATAGGTTTGTTTGAAAATAATACAACATGTTTGTTTGTGTGTGTTATGCAGCTCGTTAGTTTGGGTATTAATCGACAGTTTTTAAATACAGATTAGTTTTGGTATTATTGCAACGCGTTGCACCCAATGGTTACACCTCTTTACGGAAAAGTTATTTGCCATCAGGAAATTTGTTTTTGTGTGATTTTTTGACTTGATACGAGCACCTTAGTTTCCCTCTGAAATGCATTCGTTGCACAAATTACTTCTCTTCGTAAAACCTTCGCCTCTTCTGCAGTCCAAGATCTCAAAAGAACGCTCACCAGAAAAATTGATGGCTTCCGTGGAATCTTTTGCGGAGTATCTTAACAGTTATGTGCATTCTGATGCTGACGTTGTCGGTCGCGATCCTCTCGTGGAAGATGAGAGAATGTCCGAAAGAGAAATCGGTTCTACTCTCATGTCACGTGAACAAGCTTTACGGAAAGAGGTGGAACATTGGCAAGCCATGTGGCAGGTACGATGCGTTTTGTAAGGCGTTCTAATTTCAAATCACTCGTAATGAAAACAATACACTGAACTAGGGTCCACACATAGGTCATTCCTGATTAAACCTCTGGAGTATATAAGGACTCGAGTTTCGAAATCAGATCACTTTGGATAAATACACTGGATTAGTGTATTTAAGAACTCAATGTTCAAAATCAAATGACGTTTAGTATATAAGGACTGAGGTTTCATAATTAGATCACTCTGGTGAAGACACTACTAGACTGTAGTATATAAGAATTCGGGTTTCATTATCAGATCACTCCCGGTGAAGACACTAGACTGGAGCATATAAGGACTCAATTTTCAACATTACATAACTCCTGATGAAGACTCTAGACTTAGTGATCGAGTAACAACATCATATTCTTGCATTTAAACATCACACTTTCCTAATAAAAACATATAGCTTGAGTATGTTAAAAACTTTATTCAACATAATGCAGGCAATATACACTCACGTAATTTATGTTCACGTGCTCGATGCGATACTTTAAGGATGAAAGGAGCGAGAAAGAGAGGTTGGTCAATGAACTAACAGAAAAAACCAGAGAATGGAAGAGACACGAGCAGTCACTCAATTTACATAAAAAGAAAGAAGTCGACGAACTAAAGCAAAGAATATTTGTATTGGATACTCAATTAAAGGACGTAAAGGATAAAAAGATGCTTGATAAAGGAAAGAACTTAAAGGTATACCGTCAGAGTTTTGCTCCGTTTTGGTGTTGTGTTCGAAATGGCCGCGTTTTTGCAACGCTGTTTTTCGTTTCATAGCATAGAGAATCGTGGTAATTGTAATTGGGGTAATCGGGGTAATAAACAATTCACTATGATAACACTCACATGTAATGAACAGTTATACATATGAATTTTATTATGGCATCGACTAAAGAACTAAATTTTGATTTGAAAACAGCTTAAAAGATTTTACATTTTTTCTGAGCGTTTTTTTTTCAAAGCTTATATCCAATTTTTTGACAATAATATACAATTAGAAACTTTTAGATCGAAACAACTAGGTTTTTACGATACTTGGATCGATTCGTTTATCTTTTACTTCCTTTCAGTCGATGACCGACGACGAATTACGGAAACTTGAGCGAGAAATACGTGAACAAGATCAGTTATTGACGGGCTATCAACAGGAGAACGAGAGGCTATATGACGATTTGAAACAAGCACAGATTAAGAATAAAAATGCCGAGACGCAAATGTTTAAAGAAAATCAAAAACTCGGTGAGGCTTGCAGAAAACTGTTAATGAAATAGTATTGTCAGTGTAGATAGTGATGAATGAACAACAGAGAACGAGAACAGTCTTTACACTACCTAAAATGTAAACTAAGTTTACGTATGTCAGTGTAGGTAGGGATGAATGAAGAACAGAAAATGAGAACAGTCTTTACACTACCTAAAATATCAACTAAGATAACGTATGTCAGTGTAGGTAGAGATGAATGAACAACAGAGAAGAGGAACAGTTATTACACCACCTCAAATATAAACTAAGGGGCTGTTCACATGAGCCTGGTAGCCGGGATTCAGCGAAGCGTTCAATCATTTTGGCAAATGGAAAAGATTAAACAGTTCACATCAAAAAACTTATTTGAACAATTTCTCGATGCTCTGACTTTGCAAATTCACAAAACCATAAAAATGAAAACAAATAATTTAGCTTCATTTGAAATTTACGACTAAAATGAAATATGACGCTTGTAAGAAAAGGTTATAAGTTTTGCGCTTAAAGTTTTTACTCCTTTCAATGACTCGAAATCATTTCACGCTTCGGTGAATCCCGGTTATTGGGTTCCTGTGAACAGCCCTAAGTTAACGTGTGTCAGTGTAGGTAGTGATGAATGAATGAAGAAGAAGAACAGTGTTTACACTACCTATAAAATATAAACTAAGATAACGTGTGTCAGTGTAGCCAGTGGTGAATGAACAACAGAGAACGAGAACAGTCTTTACACTCCATAAAATATAAACTAAGTTAACGTGTGTCAGTGTAGGTAGTGATGAATGAATGAAGAAGAAGAACAGTCTTTACACTACCTATAAAATATAAACTAAGATAACGTATGTCAGTATAGATAGTGATGAATGAACAACAGAGAACGAGAACAGTCTTTAAACTACATAGAATATAAACTACGATAACGTGTGTCATTGTACGTAGTGATGAATTAACAACAGAGAACGAGGACAGTCTTTACACTACCTAAAATATAAACTAAGACAACGTGTGTCAGTGTAGGCAGTGGTGAATGAACAACAGAGAACGAGAACAGTCTTTACACTCCATAAAATATAAACTAAGATAACATGTGTCAGTGTAGGTAGTGATGAATGAACAACAGAGAAAGAAAACAGTCTTTACACTGTCTAAAATATAAACTAAGATAACGTGTGTAAATGCACGTAGTGATGAATGAATACAGAGAACAAGAACACGCTTTTACACTGTCTAAAATATAAACTAAGATAACATGTGTCAGTGTGGGTAGTGATGAATGAACAACAGAGAACGAGAACTGTCTTTACACTGCCTAGAATATAAACTACGATAACGTGTGGTAACACAGGTAGTGCATGAGCCTTAAAAACGAAAATAGTCGTAACATCAATCTATATTTTTCTTGACATTAAGCCGGTGAAGTGGCTGCTTTAAAAGAAAAACTTGAAAGGAAAGAAGGAACATTCGAGATCAGTGGTACAGCTGCTTTAGGAGCTGAGCGCATTGGTCAGCTGCATTCCCAATTGAAAATGTTAAAATCGAATGAACAAGAAATGAAGAAAGAAATGGATGCTTTAGAAAGTGAAAAAAGAGCATTGAAAATTGAGATAAAGAATTTAGAGAGAGAACGAGACAAAGCAGTTTCTAGAGCGGAGGAATCTTTTGGTAAATAGTGAATTGTTATTTATGATAAACACAAAGCCATCTGATCGTTGTGACCTGATAACTTTCGTGCCTTCAATAAATTATTGGACTTGTTAAGGCTTAGCCATTGGGTTGCGTTCGGGATCGAGCTTATTTCATGATAATGCTATGATTAACAATTTCAATCACTACTGGGAGTTGTCAAACATTGTATTTAATGAATTTGTTGGGTTACAACGTTCGGATAGACTGACGCAGTTTATATTCAGTCAGATTTCATTTTTTTTGTGTCATGCTTTTTACATTCGACAATTTGACGACTTAGGTGTGGTAAAAGATGTATACATGTGTTAGACTGTTTATAAAGACTTAAGTTTCCTGGACAGATCACTTTTGATTAAGAACTCAAGTTTCAACATCGGATCAATGCTGATGAAGACTCTAGATTGAAGTATATATAGACTCTAGTTTCAACACAAGATCACTACTGATGAGGAAATTAGACTGGAGTACGTAAGGACTCAAGTTAAAACATCAAATCACTCTTGTTAAAGACATCAGACTAAAGTATATGAAAATTTAAATTTCAACATTCTACAACTCACGATGAAGACACTAGGATACATAAGAGTTAGATTTCAACGTCACATCACTCTTAATGAAGGTACCGGACTGGAATATGTAACGGGTCGAATACGAAAATTAGACTCGAAGGAAATGAAATTGCTCATATTGTTTGGTAGTGAAAATTTATATCATGTTTGCTTTAAGGTGTAAGTTCGCGGACAGTTAAAGACATGGAATCCACTCACGCAAACGAGATCAACCGTCTCAATAGAAAGCTAGCGTGGTACGTTGAAAATCAAGAGCTTCTGGACAAAGACGCCGCATTGTTGAAGAACAAAAATGAGGAGATAAAGGAACTCAAAGATCTGATCGAAAGACTCGAGGCAGAACGTGGAACCATCAAACAAGAGAAAGAAAGGAAAGAGAAGGAGAGAACCGGTGATGCTAAACGCATTCAAGATCTCGAACGACAGGTTTGCAAAACGCAAATAATTTTTAGCTGCATGCGAAACTAAATTGCTTTGTAGAAGCGATCATCTCTTCTTGAAACCGCGACTATGCCTTGCTATGCAGTGACAATTGAAATTTAGAATACTTTCATGATCAATCTCTAAGCACTATAGAAAAAATAAGCGACATGATTATTGACTATATGTTTGTAAATGTCGATCGTCCAGGTTGGTATAGTCCTGAGAAGGACTGTTGTTGACTGACGTTTCGACAACCTTAGCGGTAGTCATCTTCAGTGTCAAATGAGGAGTAAACGTCAGGTTAGCCGTATTTGTTATCTGGTTCTTACGTCATTGTATTGTGTGTACAGGAAATGTGTATTGTCATTGTGAATTAGTGTGAAGTGAAATACTTTATGATTATTGACTGGTGCTTCATTTAAGATTTCGACCCTACAACTTCAAACCATGCACTGTAATTCGGTGAACTAAGTCTGAGGAGTCTGGGAACTAATGTGATTCTGTGAATTCACATCGTGAAGTTGGTGCAACCCTGCGTTAATTTTCATTGAGTTCTTACATATTATGGATGGGTCAATTCGACAGCAGCAATCAACGCTCATTTGTGAATTTCTATCTAGCGTCAATGTACTTCATTGTACTTCATTTTTGCCTCTGAGTATGAGCCCTGATGATAAAAGAAGATACCGAACCATAATCTTTTCACTCCTCGACGTCTTTACGGCTATATGCCATTATAATAACATTATTCACTATGTAAACGATGTCGGGTTTTGATTGGTCAATCACCTGCGAATGATTGTCGACATCTGTAATTCTGACGTCTTATCAGCAAGTAATAGTTTCTACAATTATTCACGCCATTAGAAGCCGGTTTTGAAAAAATTCAAGCAACAGTGATGATTGCCACTGTTTCTAAAAACGATATCCATTAGCTTTTGAACAAAAAAGGTGCGGAAAACACTAAAAAGCGGCGAAGCTGGCGTTCAACTTATTTAAAACAGAAGAACTTAAATAAACTGTCTGACAAGGCAAAATTAGCGAAGGTTTTAAAAATGTTCTACGTTGATATGTTTCAATATTCATCTAGTTGAAGTGAATAATAAAACAATTATTGAATTCGACTTTCGCATGATATCAAGAATTATTCAGACCTAGGTCAGTGCTATTCGTCTCAGTTTCGCTTCGGTCTGAATGATTTTTGATATCATGCTCTACCTCATCCAATAATTATTTATTATCCTTTATTGTACTAAGGGAATTCGACACATTGGTTTTTGGTACTTACCTATCATTTCACAAATCATCCTCATATTGTGTCCCGTCTCGCAAAATCGTTGTTTTCACCGTTTCTTATAGGTGCGTGAGATGGAGCAAATTATCAAACGCCGTTATCCAAATTCTATTCCCGCTCTGATATATGCTGCCTCTTCAGCGCCCGGCGATGGAAAACCGTTTAGACCCGAGGATTCCCCGAAGAAACAGAGCGGACCTTCGTACGCGTTCTTGGAAAACCAAGTGAAGAAACTGAACCGAGAGATTGAAGAACGAGAGGAGGAATGGGCGCGAAGTTTTCGAGTCCTCGAACAAAAGTACAACGCAATGCAATTGGAGTACGAGAGGCACGTGACCGAATTAAAGCGCGATTTGGTAGATGAGCGTGAGAAGGTGACTTCGTATAAACGAACGCGTGCGCAAACTTCGTCTATGGAGAAAGAGTTAAAGGATTTACGTGAGCAACACGAACGGAATGAAGAAGAACTCAAGGCCAAGATGAAGCAGGCACGCGAGGATTATGAACGCAAAACTGGTGAACTCAATGTGGAAATCAAATCCTTACGTGATATGTTAAGTGCGAGAAAGAATGTTAGCATGGAGGGAAAAAACAATAAAACGCGAAAGGCTAAGAGAGATGTAAGCAAGAATAGCACACCCGTCGATAACGAGTTACAAACACGTTTAAAAGAACTGAACGAAATGTGTCGGGAAAAAGACCGCGTGATTGAAGAACTGCGGGCGACGTGTTCCCAGCTGCAATATCAGAGACAAGAAATGCTTTTGGATACTAGAAATGTTCAAGATAACTCAAGGGAAAAGATGGATGTGTTAAAAATGGAGAATAGACAACTGCGCGAAGAACTTTCCCAGGTCACTGTGGAAATGGATCAGCAACGCGTCAGGTGAAGACTCAGATATTCTGAATACACAACATCGTTAGTGTTCTTGGATGATGAGAATGTGCTTAAATTGTTCACTGTAGTTGTGTTTAATGCACGGTGTGAGTCCAGTTACACTATTTGTTGATCGTTTCGTCTCTTAAATGGCAAGAACTTACAATTTCACTGGACTATGTAAAATAGTACTCCGCGGAATGTACCTTGTGCCTTAATGAAGAGTCGCCAGCTCCAGGGGCCGGTTGCACAAAGCCTTGATAGCATTATCCATTGGACAGCAAAAATTTTCAAACTAGCGAAAATGGTGTTTATATTTTTCTTAAGATAAAAAAATTCGTAATCTTCGAAAGAAAATTCCATGTCGGTGATTGAAAAAATTGCTATCCAGGCTTCAAGCAATCGGCCCCAGGAATATAAATGTTTTATGAAACCGTGTTTTTATCTATATTTGTAGAGTGAAAGATTAGCCCTCTTTACTCCTTAGTTTTGAACTCTGCAATGGGCGAAGTTCTTGTTTTCATCCCATGCGACTTAACTAAGAAAGACTGTCTTTGTGCGCTCTTTATTTAGCACTCAACCAGTTTATAACTCTCCTTCTATGTGTTCAGGTACCAGGCCTCTCTTGCGGAAGTCGAGCGTATCGCTCGTCAGGAACGTGAAGCCTCGCACGACGAGTTGCGCTCACTACAAAGCCAGCATCGACAAGAATTGGAAAACATGAAGCAGGAGTTTATCGCTCAGCATTCGCGCTCAAAAACTGTCGAATTGAGCAACAAGATTGCAGGGTTGGAAATTGTAATCGAACGTTTAAAGGATAAACTGGCAGCGAGCGCAGAGACAGAAGCTGACCTTGCTTCAAAGAAGGTATTTGATGTCATGATTTATGTTTAAAAGGAAACCGGGTTTTTATGATTATTTCAACGTAAGTGTTTGGTTGCTCCATTATCACTGTGAAAACAATAGATTTCTAGTAGATAGTAGCTACGATCAAACTTGAGTGCTGGCTGCATATCTTGTATTAACCAATCGACAACTTGCAACGGTAGTTATGATCGAGCATTTTAATCCACCGTCCTGTGTTTCGACCTAAAACGTCATTTGCCTTAAAGCATTATTATTATTTATAAAATAACAACAGCAGAACGAGTGCGCTGATTGGTCTATAGCTGTGTTTGCATTAGCCTGTGTTTTGCGTTAGAATGTGAAAACCAATCGGAGCTCGACCAATGAAATTAATCAATCAATCAAAGAGAATTTGCAAATCAATCATGAATGCATGTTGAAGAAAATATTAAAACGTTTGTTTTAAATTTATCTGTTTCACATTATTGTTATTTTATAAGACGTTTCTGACTAGGTGCAACCTTCGACTTCGTTCTCGGGCTTGCACTGATCTGCTCTCGAGTTCTCCCTAATGTCTCCTTGGTTTGCATAAGACTGTGCGAACACGGTAAACATCTTTTATTTCTTAATTACAAATATTTGGAGCCGGTAACGTCTCAAACTGGATCCTAAACGCGAAAAACAACCTTAGTCGATCAAAATAGAAGTTTGATTTTCAAATGGCCGCGTGGAAAATAATTTTGAAAAGAATACTACATCTATAAAAAAAGCTATCTAAAAATAGAAATATGAAATCCAGGAATACTTTCTTTAACATTTTCCCTTGCTTCTGCTCCTTTAGAAGCAAAGCTACGTTTTAAAGCGTTAGTGTTTGTTTTGGGGCGAGTTGAGAACGCCATTGTTTCTTCGTAATTCATGTATTTGGTTTAGAAAAATGGAGAAAAGTCCTCAAAGGGAATCACGGTGGAATTACATTTCATTATTTGTATCATTAATGTCTGCAATTGCTTTTCTCCTCTTGCCTCTAAAGTGGGCCAAGAAAGTTCAGTCCTTCAATCCTTGCATCGACCCTACTTTTGGACAACAATTGTATACAAAGGCGTTCTAACTCAATCTAACTCATACACATCGTGTTGTTGGGAATATGCCTGAACGCCATTTGCAAGTCAAGATTACGGTTGTGCTAGAGTTAACGGATTATAGCCATTAGTTAACGATTTGACGTTTGTTCATTTTGTCACAGGTTCAAGAAGAAGTTTTGCGACAAGAAATCAGGCAGTTGAAATCGGATCTGCAGAAAGCGAAGCAATTTCACACGCCCGAAATGAAACACTATTCTCAATTGGAGGAGAAGATTGCCACCATGGAAACGCGGTATTCCCGAAGAGAGCACGAACTTCAGACGATAATTCAGAATCTCCGGATGAATGCCGACGATGAAAAAGACGCCGTTCTTACGAAATGGCGGGCCTTGCTACGGAAGAAAACCGAAGAGACCGAGCGTTTCCGACTCGAGCTCGATTCCATATTGTCAGTACTGGAGGAACTTCGACAACAAGGTGTCGTCATTCCAATGGGTAAAGTGAAACATTTACAATACTGAAAAATGTATTTAAAAAATATTTATTGGTATAGAGAATTCTAAGTATATAGACAACCACGCTACAAAGAAAAAACCAATACATGCGCAGTGTATCGATTCTTTGAAAGACTTTACAATTCTGTACAGTTCTGGGGCCGGTTGCACGAAGCCTGGATAGCGTTATCCCTTGGATGGCAATTTTTTTTAAACTTTTATAAAAACTTTTAAAAAGCAAAAAATATAAGATTCGAACTAAGCAATCTCTGAAATGAAATATTGGTTCGAAGATAACGAAATTTCTTTGTCGTAAGACAAATACAAACACCTTTTTACAATTTTGAAAATTTGTGCTATCCAATGGATAACGCTATCCAGGCTTCGTGCAACCGGCCCCGGCACGGTACATGTATGTATACATATATACACCAGTGATCTACACAGGGACAAACACGATGGCGCTGTGCATGTTATATTAATGAAAATTGACCACCGTATCATATTCAATTATATTTTTTAAATGGCAAAGGAATTTTAGAATATCCTCTTTAGGAATTCCAACTTCGGTAGGGTTTTCATTTTTGCCATCAATTGTTTGCTACCCGTGTGTTACACAATTTGGTATTTACACATTATTTTTTTTCATGAAATACGACAAACCCATAAAGTTATTGCTGGTTTTTTGAACTTTAAAATTTACAGGTTCAATAGCTTCGTATGAGAAACGAGAAAAATCTCGTCAAATTTCGTATTCAAGGTACGATTGCACGTGTTAATGCATGTTAATGCGCGGTTATTACAGAAAGAAGCATTGTGAATGTGTGGTTATTACAGAAAGAAGCATTGTGAATGTGTGGTTATTACAGAAAGAAGCGGTATGAATGTGTGGTTATTACAGAAAGAAGCGGTGTGAATGTGGAGTTATTACAGAAAGCGGTGTGAATGTGGGGTTATTACAGAAAGAAGCGGTGTGAATGTGGAGTTATTACAGAAAGCGGTGTGAATGTGGGGTTATTACAGAAAGAAGCGGTGTGAATGTGGAGTTATTACTGAAAGAAGCGGTGTGAATGTGGGTTATTACAGAAAGAAGCGGTGTGAATGTGGAGTTATTACAGAAAGAAGCGGTGTGAATGTGGAGTTATTACAGAAAGAAGCGGTGTGAACACATACGAAAATTTTCTTTACCAGATTTAGTCGGATGAGCTTAAACACTCCCCGTGTTCTCAACTTTGCAGCTGTATAAAGCAGGCGGGAGAATCTAACACAGAGCCCTGTATCAGGAGAGTTGGGACACCCGAAGTTAGATTGCCTAGCGTCTGCCATTTCTGTTCCAAAAGGCAGCAAATATAAAGCATTAAATGGTGGAAAGACAAATTTCCTGTTGAGTTTTCTTATTCATGTATAGACAGCGATTCTTACATTTAGAATTCAGTTGTTTATAGATGTTATAGTAATAGAAAAACGTTTATTTGGTGCAGCGAATGTAATTTATACGCCGTTAATACTATTTTTGCCACAAGGGAGCGCGTATCTTTCTATTCTTCATCGCTTTGACTGGTACTATTACAACGCAACATAAAATTATTGCAAACATTTTTTTATAATTTATTTCCAATGTAAAAAATGGTTATAATTTGCGCTTTTGGACAAAAAATGGCGGCTGGATGCCCATGTGACCATATTTACCCAATCACCGGTGATCACAATGCAAAATGCAGAGAACAATACGTGTCCCAACTCTTACAAATACATGGCTCCGATCTAACCTCATCAGACCAAATCTAGTAAAAAAATTGCATGTATGGCCACGCTGGAAAGAACTAAAATACGCAAAAAGAAATATTTAAAAATAAAGAAGTGTAACTGATATTTTTGATGCTTTGCACACAACTGAACTTCTGGTTTCGGAATAACGTATGAAAAATATGTAGCAACCGACATAACATGCGTTTCGCTCATTAACATCGGCGGTAATATTTTTGGCAAAGAAAGCATGACTGCAACTTATTGCCGTAGCCTCAGCTTCATTAACCATCGAAACAAATATTAATGGAAATAATTACCGATTTGTTGAAGAGCGTTGAAAAGCCGGTATTCTCTGCCTCCACTTCAGTTGCATGCATTCTGTGCTGTGCGGTCATCTCTGTAGCCGAAGGAAGAACGCATGTTTGGAGTGCTCGGAATGAGTTGGAAAGTATCTGTCGTAGAAACCCGCAACAAACCTCTCGGGTTTGAAACCGAACTTCTGGTAGAGTAACATTGCAGGATTGTCCGCGGCCACATGAAGTGTGACGTCCTTACCTAAACACGTTTGAATGAGATGGTAGATCATAAATGAACCAATGCCCGCTCTCCGCCAATCGGGATGCACCACTACAAAGGAAATGTAGGCCTCGTTGCATTTTACATCCGGCACCATGAAAGCACAGCCGATGATCAGTTTTTTATAAAGGACAATGCACGTAAAATCCGGGTACTGAAGACACTCCGAAAGATCGATGCCGCACCAGAAGAACTCGCGACACAACGCATTCACGCCGGGTATGTGATGCGGTTGGACATAACAGTAGTCTATTGAACCGAACGTACACGTGTCGTGTGCATGCGCCTCGCCTAGGAACTTTTTTTGAAACCGCATTGTGATTTCCTTAAGCACTTTCAGTTTCGTGGGCTCGGCTTCAAAGTCCCGACGTATGAATGGTTTCAATACCCGCGAAGTGTAAGGGCTAGTGATTGATCGGTTCAGAGCGCTCGGGTGGCAGCCAATCAAACGGCTAAGAAAGCTAACTGGTTTGATTAGTCTCTGTGAAACCGGTTGCATCATGAAGCGATCGAGAATACGATCTCGTCTTAGAGCAATCCGTTGCATTGATGTACCTCGAACTGAGTCTGTGTGTACTTCCGGTTGCTTCAATACCGCAGTGCACTCTCCTTTGTCTACGATATAGTGCGAAACAGTGTTCATGGAGTTTTCTATGAATTTATCAAGATCAAACACGGGCAAACCATACTGACGTTTTTGACGGTTGAGTAGCAGTTTTCGACGCAATCGCCTCGCGCGAACATCGCTCGAATCAATCTGATTAAGTTTCTCAAGGAGGTCTTTCTCCTCGTGAGGGTACATCGCCCTCAGATTTTTCTTTCGACTTTTATCTCTATGGCCTGTGCTCTTTTCAACATGGTCGTTCTCAATCGTAAAAGCCGAAGATTGAGTTCCGTGCACTTCCTTCGGGTCAAGAACAATAACATCGTTCTCTGTTGAATCTAACGGAGTCGGTTGTTCTACTTGCTCTAATTTGGTTCCCGTATCCTCCTCGCGTTCCATTCTGCTTTCCGTAAATGAAGCGTTCAGTGAATCGTCTGATCTGTTTAAATCTAAACTACGAAAGATTTCGTCCATTGCGCCCGGATCACCAATATCTAGGTCAGACATGTCACCATTACAATCTAGAAACGTGTCGATGTTTGCTTCGTCCATAATGGATATCATCGAGTCGTTCGTGTCCATACCATTCGTCGAAACCGTATTACCGCAGTCAAAAATATCGTGGTTTACATCCGCGTCACCGTTCACATCGACCTTAGCTTCCGTTTTGCTTTTTTTACTTCCTTTGCCACCACCAATCGAAGACCGCTTCTTTTTTCGTTTGTGGTTCGGACCCTGCATCATAACCTCGGGTTTCTCAGACGGGGGGAGCACCTCGTTGAGCGACCACCAACCGCCTTCTTTGAACTCCTTTTGACCATTTTTGAAGATTTTTGGACAATTGCTCGACAAAGTACCAGCCACCGTGCTGCACCACGACATCGTTTTCTTTTTCTCTGCGTGAAAGCAGTTCCAGTTTTGTTCGATAAACTGACACAAATCGTCCCTCCATCGAAAGTAACCCTTTCGTCCACTGCCCCTGCAAATGAGATTGTACAGCGCCAGATATACAACCTGCAACCAGTTCATGGGTTTGCGTTTAAAAATCTCCTTTCCAGTCTCGGAACAGTCTGCGCACGTAAAGTCGAAGAACACATCGCCTTTGAAGTTACTCGGTCGGCCGTTTTTCAGGCAATCTCCATGAAATAGCTTCTCGCAATTCGTACACTTCAACATGCTTGCTGTGATATTATCACCACAATAACACACCACTGCGTCTTTTGAGGTTTCTGTGTTAGAATATCCGTCGCTTATGGTATTTATATTCTTTTGGTTCGCTTTAGAAGCCATATTTCCCTCCAAAATTTGTATTTATATTATTATTCTTTTCGAACGCCATCTTGTTCTTGAGCCGGCAAACCTGTAGGTCTGTAACACTATCACCCATGAACCTTTCCGCGAATTAAAGTGCTACAGTTGTCCTTGAGATCAGTGAATTGGCAATATGGCTGAATTTTCAGGTCCTCAAAATGGAAAAGGACCAGATCCCGTGCAAATAACGCTGCAGAGGGTGCGTTTTGTGAGGCTAACTTGCATAATGTTTTCTTGAAACTAAGGGACATTTCAGTTCCATTTTTGGCGCATAGTGTGCTTTGCTTGCTCTGAAATTCATACTTGAATCTGAATGTTTTTCTTTGGTTGAATCATTGTTATCGTTCTCTGATATGTCCTCTGGAATTTGTTTATTTTTGTCAGAAAGCAGAGATGAAAGCGAAAGGAAAGTTTTTCCCTCCTGAGCAATATGGATCGCTGATAGTAAGCCCCAGCAGCATAGTTGAATTTTCATTAAGATTGAAGTCATTAGTCATTAGTCATTCATATTTCTTGTGTGGATATTAACAGCGGGATCCAGCCTTCGAACGGTGGGGCTCGATGCGAGAAAATACCCAACAGCATTTTAAGTTTCGTTCAAGAACCATCTTCCTTGGCGTTATGTGGTGTGCAGTCATTCCTGGCGCATATTTCCTCTTTTTGAAATGGGAACGGGTAAGAACTTTTCAGTTGAAATAACAAAAAAACTTGTGGCATTTCTTCTATTGCATTATGCCTGCAAGCCATCACATAGCATCATACTTGTTTTTGCTTTGGAGATGGTTACACAATAAGTATGTCTCATTTTCTATTTCATTGCAGAAACGAAAACACTTCTTGACAGGAAAGACTCCGCAGGAACATTTAGGAGAAACAGACTGAATATATGTAAATATACGTTGCTTTGGTCATTCCAACTTGTTGGGAAAGTTCTGATAATTTATTTAACAAGTTTTTGTACCTTTCCTGCATATTCTGTAGCTATTGTTGAACTAAATGGTTTTTGAATGTTAGCACACTATCATGCAATTGATCATTCCGGCATTTTCATTTCTTGGATTCCTTCTGCTATGAATAATCAGCAGGGATTTGCAAGCACATATCATGTTTGATTTCTTCGATACTTGGCTCATATATAATGTTCACCATAATGTTTCAGTTTCCATATTCTTGAAACATAGGGTGATTCGAACATCTTTGTATGTACTACAAGGTGTATCAAAAAAACCTTTAATGGAATAGGAAGTTGGACTTCCGATGAATCATATGAGGGTAAAATTTTCACAAAAAAATAACCATTTTTAGAGTGAGAATTGTGTTACCTAGAAGTACTTTTCAATTAGCTTGCGCATGAAAATAACAAAGCTTAAAGCAATTTGATTACATAGGGTTAAATATGGCACATGCAGTTCAAGCTTACAAATTTTTGAAATTTCGCCAAACCGTGAACGAACGGCAGTCATCCAAATTGCGGATTTTTAGCGTTTTGGATTTTTAATTGTCATTTTCTTAAAAACCCTCCTCAATTATTCATAATTGAATAATTCAAGCTCAAATTCACGCGTAATTGATGAGGATTATAACAGGATGAACTTTGAAAACAAAGATTTCAAGATAACTTGCATTTTGAAAACTAAGCGTTCGCATACGCATCAGCCAAAGGTTCTAAAATTTGTTACCTTGAACACATGCCATATTTAACCCTACGTGTTCCAATTGCTTTTTAGCTACATCATTTTTATGCGTGAGCTATTTCAAAAGTGCTTCTTGGTAACACAATTCTCATTGTAAAAATTGTTTTTTGCAACAATTTTACAGTCAGATGAACCATTGGAAGTCCAACTATTTCCGACAAATGTTTCTGCAAATCTTGCGACTATATAGCGACGTTTTCAAACTGTTCAGTTTTTTTATATACCCTGTTTTACAACTGTAGTTACCCTATAGTTACCCTGTAGTACAACTGTAGTTGCCCTGTAGTACAACTCTAGTTTCCCTGTAGTTACCCTGTAGTTACCCTGTAGTATAACTGTAGTTACCCTGTAGTACAACTGTAGTTACCCTGTAGTTACCCTGTAGTAAAACTGTAGTTGCCCTGTAGTTACCCTGTAGTACTACTGTAGTTGCCCTGTAGTACAACTGTAGTTTCCTGTAGTTACCCTGTAGTTACCCTGTAGTACAACTGTAGTTGCCCTGTAGTACAACTGTAGTTTCCCTGTAGTTACCCTGTAGTTACCCTGTAGTTGCCCTGTAGTTATCCTGTAGTACAACTGTAGTTGCCCTGAAGTACAACTGTAGTTTCCCTGTAGTTCCCCTGTAGTTACCCTGTAGTACAACTGTAGTTACCCTGTACTACAACTGTAGTACAACTGTAGTTACCCTGTAGTACAACTGTAGTTACCTTGTAGTTACCCTGTAGTACAACTGTAGTTACCCTGTAGTACAAATGTAGTTTCCCTGTAGTTACCCTGTAGTACAACTGTAGTTACCCTGTAGTTACCCTGTAGTACAACTGTAGTTACCCTGTAGTACAACTGTAGTTACCCTGTAGTACAGCTGTAGTTGCCCTGTAGTACAGCTGTAGTTACCCTGTAGTACAACTGTAGTTGCCCTGTAGTTACCCTGTAGTACAGCTGTAGTTACCCTGTAGTACAGCTGTAGTTTCTCTGTAGTTACCCTGTAGTACAGCTGTAGTTTCTCTGTAGTTACCATGTAGTACAGCTGTAGTTTCTCTGTAGTTACCCTGTAGTACAGCTGTAGTTTCTCTGTAGTTACCCTGTAGTACAGCTGTAGTTTCTCTGTAGTTACCCTGTAGTACAGCTGTAGTTTCTCTGTAGTTACCATGTAGTACAGCTGTAGTTTCCCTGTAGTTACCCTGTAGTACAGCTGTAGTTTCCCTGTAGTTACCCTGTAGTACAGCTGTAGTTTCCCTGTAGTTAACCTGTAGTACAACTGTTATCACTGCCTATTTATATGGATAGAAATGAAAGTGTGATACTTGGCAAGGAAATTTCTGCATTTGGGTTATTTCCACTTCCATTTGCAACAGTTTCAATCTGAGAGCAATGACGTCGAACGAAGGTTTGACTTGAAGTGTGTAAAGTGGATAAAGATTGAGATCGACTTACCTGAGGCAAGATTGACTTTACTTTTGCTGATTTATTTCATATGAATGTTTTATGCAGTGCGGTGTTTGGTCATGGGTTCGAATCCCGTTGAGTCACCTGATTTTTTCAGGTCCTGAGACGATTGCTTAAATTGTCCAGCTAAGTGCGAAGATCATATCTCATTTGATTTATTTCATGTGAACAAATTGACCTTAACTAAATTCAGTTCGTTGTAAATATACAAGTCCGTCGATCTGCACTGAAATTCTCTTCAATTGATGGTCCTTTTCATTGTCGCTACACAGTGTGTATCAAAAAAAGACCTTTAGTTATGAACATGTTGTTATAAACTCAATGCCCCCTTTATTTTTCTAAGTTAATTAACGGAGGCGTAAAATACTCTCAGCTACGTGCATAAATTACAAATCTTTGTTAAAAACAGAACAGTTTTTGCTCGTGGGAACTTTTCGAAACTATTTACTGCAAAATTTGCACAATAATGCATTCTTAGGATCGTGATCAGGTTTTGAAATTTTAACAATGGGCCAATTTCTAAAGGCGTTCTTTTTTTCATATACACCCAGCATGAGGATTGTCAAAACGCTATGGAAACCTGGCGTCGAGTTCTTTCTTCGTTGTTTTGACAAACGCCACTTGAAAAGTCTTTTTGGAAAATCAGCGAAGCGTACAAAGAGGACAAAGAAACGCTCAATTTGGTTGAGGTCAAAATTTTTGAGCCTTACACATCATAATAGTAAAATATGGCTTCGGTCAAGGAAATGCAGTCGGAGAATATTCAGCTTTACGACGGCAAAACTCTATCGAACTGCGCCCGAAAGACGGATGATTTAGACGCGCTGTTAGATATGTGCTTGGGAAAATTAGAAGAAGCCGAAACAAGTTTGGATAGAATTCACGTAATGGAAACGCTCGTGAGCGACAAAGGTTTCGAAGTACAGAAAGAGATCAACCGAACAGCGGACGGTATGATTACCACGATACAACAGCGAAAATGCGAGTTGAATGCGCAGGTTAAGTCGACTATGAAGGCAAAGCAGAAAGCTTTAACTTCGCAGAAGACCAAGTTGACCTCATACATCCAGTCTTTGAAAAGTTCCATCAACTATTCCAAGGATGTTTTGGATAGCACGGAAAGCGATGCGAGCGAATGGAAAACCGCGCTGGCCGGTTTACTCAAGGAAGCGTTAGATGAAGAAATCGACACGGAGCCGGCCGCAAACGAGAATTTTCATTTGACGCTAAACGAAGAGGAGTACGTGTTTGATCTAGAAGAATTTTTTACTCATCTTTGTTCGCGCAAACGAAGCAACTTGTGCTCAAGCAGACACTTAAAATGTTAATTTCATGTTAAAGATTTCTTTTATCAAGAGACAATTGAGTGGGATGTTAATAAATTTAATTTTATCAAGGAATTTTCTTCATTAAATTGACCGACACGTTTAGATAGTTATAAATTCATTTAGAAGTAGCGCGTTGTTTCTGCGAATGAAGAAAGATGCTGTCCTTCGGTGAGTGCGATTTCAGTCATTGTACGTTGGTAATGTTGGTCCACCTTTTTGGTAATTTCCACTGATTTCAGCGCCACTGAAGTCGAATCCCGGATTCTGTTGAAGAGCAAAAGACTTTGTCGGAGGAGTGTCAACATAATTCATTTTAATGAGTTTTTAATTGACTTTGGACATCGGAAACGCATGGCATGCAAACGATTCGATTCTCTGGTTTTGTTTCGTTGAAAATCAAACTCATCATGAAACAGCAACGGTGAAGATTTTTGAATTATTGAGAGGGGGGAGGGATGACGAAATGATTCGAATGATTTAGGGTATTGTATGTGAGGCAAATCTCATTGTGTTGCTAAACTGCTTTAACCCCTCCCCAAATTTGCTTTGACTGGTTATCAGTGGGGTCGAAGCATGTTATCTAATACTAAATGTACAACAATCACAGAAGTCGAGCTATCTTGATTTTCCGCACTATTCTAGTCAGTGTCGTCAACCGTTTTTGGGCATAAGTCAATAAAAACGACAAAACGGGTTTGTTGCTTTCTCGTAATAATACATGTGATCGTCACGTCACCTCGCTTTGAAATCTTTCAAGCGTCAACTTCTTTTCCATTTCCATGAACGTCAGTGGATCTGCGATGTACTGATCAACCAATAACGACTTCCAACACTCGCTCGCTTTTCGCTGTGATTTCACCAACATGATGTTTAGTAATATTTTATCCTCTATAAACGTTATGAAATCACAATATAATCCGATGAATTAGTTTACATTCGGTAGAGGAATCACACCATAGTTTTAAAGGGGTTGGTTCCACGGAAACCGCATGGCGTCTTAAGATTTACCATCTTCATGAAGTGTGATCTGACGTTGAAACATACATGCTTAAAACTAATGATTTCTCTGAACAGCGTGTTTGTCATTGTTATTCACAGTTAAGTAGTTCTTTAGTTTCTAGTAGAACTTTTGAAAACCAAAATAAAGATAGCTATGAAATTAAATGACACCAAGCAAGATGTCAAAAGGATTACGTCTTTACCTCGATCCTGTTTTAAAGTCACCTCCCCGTTTAGGGGGTAATGTCATTCTTCCTTGTCTTCATCATTAACAGAAGTGGATTTTCGGTTTTCATCGAAGTGGACGTGACACCTGACGAGAAGTCTACCGGAATGCATTGCGTCATTTAATTGTACAGCTAGCTATCTTTATTTTGGTTTCAACAGTTCTTTTAAGAACCATTCGATTGTCGTTCACCACGACAAACACGCTGTTCAGAGCAATATATAAGTTTTTTAACGACAAATACAACCGAGTCTTTGTTTTACTGATGTTTTCATTGGTCACGTTGTGATGTTCAATTTGCTTGAGTAATTGAAAATTAATTCATTTTGCACGTCAAGTATTAGAACTTGATGAAAGGAGAAAGATGTATACTTCGACTTTTGACAGTGTTATTGTATATCAAAAACTTTATTCTAGTACAAAAAACGTTTTTATTGTGTTATGACATTCCAATCGAAAATGTTTTGACGCCCAATGTAATGAAACATGAGATTGTTACGAATGGCACGTTTTTAAACGTCCTTACGAGCAGCGCAAACCAAATTTCTTCAACCTCCCAAATGAAAAACGTCGCGAGCGTTTAACTTTTGTCGGTCGATGACAACGGCTGATGTTTGTTGAAAATCATTGTAGTCTATAACAATCATTATTATGTCTTGCTACGGTTGACGCAGTCTTACCTATCGTCCATATGGTTTCGTCGGTAAGAATCGATGCGTACGTCTGTCCCTGTGTAGAAATCGCAATAGTAGTTAGAGGCCTGGGGCCAGTTGCACGAAGCCTGGATAGCGTTATCCATTGGATAGCAATTTTTTTGAACTTTTATAAAACCTTTTAACAAGCAAAAAATATAAGATTTGAACTGAGCAATCGCTGAAATAAGATATTGTTTCGAAGGTTACGAAATTTCTTTGTCGTGTGAAAAATATGAACACCTTTTTTACAAGTTTGAAAATTTTTGCTATCCAATGGATAACGCTATCCAGGCTTCGTGCAACCGGCCCCTGGGTTTAAGTTTCATGTTAGTTGAAAGCAGAATTTGTTGCTGTACTGTAAGCATTTTTGTTTTGCTCTTTATTGGAGAAAAATATTAGCGATGCAAAAAGGTGGTTGGCAACTTTCAAAAAACCAACCAATGTAATCATGTGAACTTCGTACGAATATTATTGAATTGAATAATATTCTTGTTTTGGCAAATGTCTCGAAAATTGTGTTTATAATCTAGCTTCAAAAGACATTGCATTTTTTTCAAGTGATTTGTTTTGATGAACAACATGGCAAGATCTCCTGGTCACTGTGCAGCAGCAGTAAGTACTCGCGTTTTTTAATCTAACTTAGCAGTTCGTAACCTGCTGTGTTGATGTAGTAACACGCACATTTTATAAACTCTCTGTGTCAAACAATGTGTAATGGTTTTGTATGGAGTTCTCCGTTAAACTACCAAACTTTCCCTACATATAAGGCGTGCTTAGTCGAAGTGATTTTACTTTCAAAAGACATGTACTGCCACAAAACCTTAATCCAACACAATCGGATTAAAATATTGTACACAAATCTTTCACGCCAATGCACGGCATTCAATTTAATAAGTGTTCATACATGGTTTATACATGGTAGCAAGATTGACAAACTATCGCTGAGCAGGGGTGTATTGCCAAAATTTCAACAAGGGGGGGCCTCTCTGCTATATATCACCAGCAGGGCGAAAAATATTAAAGTAAATTTTAACGAAAAATTTTAACAAGGGCTGAGCCCACCCCGAGCCCTCCCTCCAATACACCCCAGTCGCTGAGAATAATGTCTTATGTTGTGTCAGTCTACCTCAAACACAACGGTCCCTTTCACAACGCATTGGATTGATTTGGCCGTAGTTTTGCATAAGACTTGCTTGGAGCTTGTACCCTCTGGTAGATCGACTTTAATGAATATTTCCTCGATAGTTTGACCCCAACTTCCCCATTTAGTCGAACTCCAAATCACTCCACTCTTTTCGTCAAAGTCAACCATATTGACGCCCGCGGACTAATAGCATAAACGTGCAGCAAGAGATTACTTTATGTAGATAAGTTATATTTTCATGCAACAACTAAGTAAAGTTCTTACCACTAACCAGTTCTCTGTACATAACGTTTTATTGCCGCATTGTTTTCCAATTATTGAACAGTATTGATAAAAATGGCTTATCATTGAATTCTTTGAAAAAAAACTTTTGAACAAAGTTGTCTAATTTCGTAAAACAATTGCGTCATTTTATGGTGGGTTTGATGTGGTCACTGGTCACCTGTTTGTTTCAAGCACTTTCAAAGAACTGGAACTAGTGTTCGATAAAAACGAAGATGGATGGACCTGTAGCAGTTAGTATACGGCATATTTTGGTTTTGTTTGTTGTCATTTTTGAACCAACATCAGTCGAGTCAGAATACTTTGTCCGCACATGCAAGACGAGTAGCGGTAAAACGTTTTCCGGCTGGTAAGTCTTTCAATGTGATTACTATCACAAAAGCTCTGGCCACATCACATGAGAATCAATTATGTATTACAATTTGGAAACGTCCTGTTTCCTTAGTTTTTTTTATTTTCAAAAAATATACAGTAAATTTTTCTAATGTTTCGAAGTACATTACTCACATTCATCATAGAATTGAGCATGATTTTGTAAGAATTCTCTTTTAGTTGTTTAATTGTACGACATTTTGTTGCATTTTGTCAATGACTCATTAGATATTTGTCCTAGTTACTCAATTTGCTAGCAACATGTTTTTGCAATTTGTATTATTTTGCTAGAGGATAGTATTTACACTCTTAGTGTTTTAAAACAAAGCTGCTGGCTGCATATTTGACCAACGTGCATTATATCATGTAGCCATTAGCATGTCATGTCAAGTTTTGATTCTAAGTACCTTTTGTGTATCTTTGGGATACAATGAACATGAAATGGCCCAAAGTATTCTGCATGTAAGTGCAATTATAGGACTCCTTGTGTTGGTCTTCAAAGTACAAGTGTGCTAGCTCAGAAAATGAAGAAAATAGCTGGAAATTTATCTTCAAACTGATAGCTTATTTATTTATTTATTTATGCATATTCCTAACCGTCTGGTTTTGTATAATTGCACACATTTATTTTAAGACTTTATAGAGTGAAATGCTATTGGTTGACAAATTGTTGTTGATTTGCATTTTGCCACCGTTTATGGTCATTCATGTATTAAAGTCCTCATATTCACTTTAAAATGGCCACTTGTGTCTGCTGAATGAAATGGCACTCTAGCTGCCTTATATATTTGAAGCGCATGTATATATAGTTCATTTAATGAATTTGAAAAATGGCTGTTTTTTGTTGGCATCAAGTTTTGCCAACATTGAAAGTGACTTTTACCACTCAAGAATTACAAGCATAATCAACTATCTATTGTTATTTTTTTGTGAGATGTAATATAATCGCCTGCTTATTTGAAATATTAAGTTACTCATGCTTTACCTGGAATATGGAAAGCTTGCAAAATGCGTGGCCAAGATCAAAGTTGAGAATTTATGTTTTGCACAGCAGGCACAAATGACTGTAAATTTTTTTGCTAAAGGAAGCAAGGAAACTGCCATGACATTTTGTGCTTTAAGATGTCAAAATTGGGACATTTCACCTATTAACAATTAATGTGACATGAACAAAACAGACTGTTTATTAATGAAATACAAATATGTTTGCTGCTGCCCCATAATGACTGAATCTTTGACATTGAAACTATCTGTGAATTGTTGCTTTTTTTCCTTATGACGAAATATCAATACCACTGTCAATTTATCATCATGTCGACTTCATGCAAAATTTGTTTTAAACTTTGTCCAAACTTCCTCGATTCTTCTAACTTTATCAATGACTGTAATTCATGAAAATTGTGCAGAATATCGCAGGGATTTGTGAATGTATGCTGAATCACATTTGTCATAGATGCATGTGCGTTACATCTTTATAGGGACTGGGTGGTGACAAATGAGCAGAAAGAAACTTACTTCATCAATATATGTGGCCATGCCAAGTGTTCGACTCAACAAAAGAACATAGCGATTTGCAAAAAAACATCAAGTGGCACAACAGAGAATTATGGTTTGAGCATTACAGGCTCCATACCCACTGTTAAGCTGAATGGAGGAAGTGGTTTTTTTGTCAATTATACTGGAGATGAAAAGCTAGCTGCAAAGGAAAGTTGCAAACGCAGATCACTTTTCATTGTGACAAAATACTGGTAAGACTAAATGCTTCCAGGGGTTAATTTACAGTGTGTGGGGTTTGAGCACCGCTCCGAGCATTAGCTACAGGAGGTGCAGGAGTGGAGCTAATTTCCTTATGAAATATTAATGCTCCAAGCAATCAAGTGAAAGGAAATGTAATTTTTGTTTAATGGAGCACATTATCATAAAATGTCTCTCGATCATGGTATAAGAGTAGGAGAATTAAACACAAAAAGTCCGATCTGGTATTGCTTCGTCCACAAAGTAGGCAGCAAAATCTAATTCAAACCTGAACCTCCTCTCGGCCCACACCTAGCTTACCCAACAAAATCATGCTGGATAATTTTCTTCCCAGAATGCTCGAAACAATGTTAACAGTTTCACGTCTATTTCAAAGAGTGTCGCTCTCGGAGTGTGTTCGGTTCTGCATTTTCCGAAAGTGTTCGTTTTGTTAAAAAAATTTTAGTGTTTCGTGTATTTTCAATGGCTTGTAACCAGTCAGAAGTTTGGTCCCGCTATTTAAAACCTTGGGTGCTATCTCATTCGTAGAAACAATAGATTTCTGAAGAAGTAAATACTATTAATGATCTGAAATGCTCGACGAAACATGAGGGTTTTCTTTGACGCTGTATGATAAACTTTGTGGCAATCAAGTGGAATTACCGTATTTTAGGGTGTACAACCCGCGAGTTTTTTCTTAGTTATGACGTGATTACCGTATTTTATGGTGTACAACCCGCGAGTTTTTTCTTAGTTATGACCAGAATCATCGCTGCTGATACGTCGGTGTGGATAATTTATTAAATTATTTTGATCTTTTTCCAATTTAACGTTTTTTTTGTTCTTGTCAATGTGATGTGGGTTTTACGCCAGAAAATACGGCAGTTATTTTGTTAATTACATAAGATCTTCATTAGCAATCGTTAAAACTTTCCATTTTCGAGAGACATTTTTGTGTTATTATGAACGCTTTGGGCGTTTGATAAATTATAGCTGTGTGTGTGTGTGTGGGGTGTTGGGCGTTAAATAGATATGAAGCGTTTGATAGACTGAGGTCACTTTAATGTGAACAAATTAAAAGCAAAACTAGGAGAAAAATACGGTTTCTGAGCCCAATGGACAACCCGCTGTATTGATATTATTATTATCATCGTAATGTGGTTAGTAGAAAGGGACTCGCCTTGAGGGGAATGTTTATTAGATACCGGGCGTTTATTGGACGGGTGATGTTTAGTTGATCATCTATATTTATACTTCTGGGGATTGTTGCACGAAGGCTATGATTTGAACAGGGCAATCAATGAAATATAATATTCGTTCAAGAATTACAAAGTTTCAAAATCGTAGAGAAAAAATAACTACCCTTTCACAAGTTTGAAAAATTTACTATTCCACGGATAACGCTATCCAAGCTTCGTGCAACCGCTCCCTGCTATGTATATCTTCGTGTTTAAAAATAAAAGTTTCTCCGGATTTTTTAAATAATTTTATTGAGCTTTCGACTCGTTGCTTCGAACCTTCATCAGAATGAGGAAATTATCTATTTACACTTGCTTTTAGGCTCGAAGCAACGAGTCGAAAGCTCAATAAAATAATTAAAAAAATGCGGAGAAACTTTTATTTTTAAACAATATAATGCCTGGATTACCAATCTTTAAGCATATATCATTGTGTGCATATGTGCATACATGCGCCGTGTCCGGGGAGGAAACAATGCGCAAATATGGTAAATGGTAATAAAAAAGAAGAATGTCTATTGAGATGAGCTTTCCATTTTATGTGTTGACTAGGGTTCACCCGAACTCGTTGATGACAATGGATGTGTTTTGAATATCGAGTTTTTTACGAAGGAAGCTTGTGAAGGCAAGAAGGATGCTGTGACCGAAATACCTTGCGTTGCATACAATCCCAATGATAACAATAAAACAGATCTCTCGCCTTTGATTAAGGTCTCAGGTTTGTCAGCCACTGTGTTGTTTGTTGCTAATTTTCGATGCGGTAGAAAAGTAGAGGGTGCATGGAGTCTAGTTCCGAGTGGAGTATATATGGAATCAGGTTTTAGCATGAGACCACTCCCGATGAAGACATTAAACTGGAGTTCTAAAGAACTGAGTTTTAACGTCGGGTCATTCTTGATGAAGACACTAGACTAGAGTATATAGACAATCGAGTTTCAATATCAGATCACTTCTGATGAAAACACGACTGGAGTTCTAAAGAACTAAGTTTTAACATCAGGTTATTCTTGATGAAGACACTAGACTAGAGTGTTTAAACAACTGATTGTAAACATCAGATCACTCTTGATGAAAACGCCACACTGGAGTACATAAGGACTGGAGTTACATCACTCGTTTTAAACACAAAACACTAGACATTGGCATACTTTTAATTCTAGGTGGTCATAGAGTATCGAGCGATGTTTGGGGTGTAGAAATGTACATTAACGTTTGCCGTGACATAACGTTCAATGCACAAGTTCCTGAGAACGCTTGTTCCCCTGGTAGCTCGTCTGCTTGTCGCACAGCCATCTCAAAATCCGTTGGAAGGATCACGAAAGATACGAAGCTTGCTTATGTTGATGGTAAATTGAAACTTGTTTACAATACGAGCGATGCCAGCCGTGGTTGCCCAAACGGTGTTGTCACTGAAATTGTATTCATTTGCAATCGAGAATTTTCAGCAGTAAGTATGAAGCATTGAACAAAGATAGATGCTAAATAAAATTTGTCGAATGATTCATGAAAGACAAGCATACGGTCGACTTTTTTGAACTCTCCCCTCCCACGTAAACGATACAGGTTGTCTAGGTGTTGGACGTTGTTTTTTTCTCCTCGGCAGTCGAATGCTTTGGGAAATACTGTCAAGGAGAAACATAATCTGTATAAAATGACGATAAGAAAAAACTAGTGCAAGGAAGAAAATGCCAAAACATATAACTATTTCATATTTTATTTTACTTCAATGACACGAAGTTCACGAATAGCATCTTTGGCAATGAAGCCGATCATGACGAGGGAGTCGGGGGTCTTTATAATTCGATGGGGGCCCTTCCCAAACCGCAAATGTCCAATGCGGCTAGTGACTTGATTTTTTAGTGAGTACGCATTCCCATCTAAGGTCTACGTTTGGAAAAAGAGCAAAATGCCGTTTCTTCTTTCGCAAATTAATGCGTTGCCCAGAGATTTCTTTTTATGTAAATGACATTCCTTGACTTCATCTTATGAAGACAGGCTTTCTTTCCCCCCGTTTGCTTTAAAATGAATTCAACCGGCTGGTTAGATTTCTTAATAGTTTAGTAAACACATTTGCTAGTTTATGAAGCACACATGATGCTCGGCTACCTACTATCAGTGTCTTAGCCAAATGTTAAGCGCTATATTCAGCGTGAGCTCATATACAGTTTTTGCCAGTTTGGGTTGGATGTGCGTAGTAACTCCCCCTCCGCTCTTATCTTTGCCAAGATTCAGAGCAGGGGGGAGACTCTATGCTCATTAGACCAAATACAGAAAAAAATTTGCACGTATGGATGACCACACTTGCTATATTTTATATTGTTTACCACAGGGTGGCACCGGTCCCGTTCTGATCTCAAACGTTACTGCATCAACGCCAGTCTGCGTGTATGAGATCATCTGGAGAACTGGTCATGCTTGTCCCAATAATGATATCATCACTGACGAATGCAAATTCAGCAATGGCGAAGTAAGCTTTGATCTCACGAAACTGGAGAAACCATTTAAAGAATACAGCTATCAAGTACTCTCGAAGAAATATGAGTACAGGATCAAAGTATGCCGTAATGGACAAGCTTGTGGTAAGAATTTTTGTTGAATCGCCTTTATGAAATATCATGAAAGCATATGTTCCTGTGATGTCAGTCAAAGTGCCTATATCATTGTAAGGCAAATAACTTCTTTATCTAGTTAAATCGATTTTAAGAACATTTGCGATATATTTGACAAGTCGAAAACTTTACCTTCATGGGTTTTTGTGTCTTAGGGGTAAGTGACTCCGCACAGGATGTGTCGTAAAGAGAACACGTGCACGCAAAGAGGAGAACCGGGCATTTTTAGACACAGCTTTCATTATATTGAACCAAGCTGTCATAGCAAATCTTTTTTAAAAACCGAAAAAAATTTAAGATGCCGCAGAGTTGTATTGTTAGACGACATCGTTTCAGCGAATAATCAGTGGAACTCTGTTTTCTCCTTTTCACGTCACATCTGATGCAAAGTCACCTACTTCTAGTTCTAGGGCTCACAAAGCCCTCAAGGATATAACTTTCGACTAATCCAATATATTGCAAATGTTGTTAAAGTCGATTTGACCATCTAAAGAAGTTATTTCCCTAATCCTGACGTAGGCACTTCAATAGTTATTTTATACCTTAGATGTATGGTATAATTACGATTTTTGCTACTCTTTAGGTAGTGCAAAGACTGTTCTCGTTCTGTCTTGTTCATTCATCAGTACATACATTGACACACGTTATCTTAGTTTATATTTTAGGTAGTGTAAAGACTGTTCTCGTTCTATATTGTTCATTCATCACTACCTACACTGACACACGTTATCTTAGTTTATATTCTGGGTAGTGTAGAGACTGTTCTTGTATCAAAATCTTTTCTCGCAAGACAATTTCAGAAAGTAAAGAATGAAGTATATTACGACAAACAGGGACATCTTGCAAACTTAAGATATGAGTAATGTGGAAAAAAAACGAGACGCAGTATTATTCAATTGGTGATGTGGCGACTCTATTTTGGTCCGGTTTCATAATGATTCCGAAGCAGAATCGAAATATTACCAATTGAATAATTGCTCTCGTCCTGCTTTTTGATCGACCTCACATCTTGAATTTGCAAAACGTCTTTCAGTCTTTTTCGGAGTTTGTTTCATCGTCATGTTCTTGTTTCCCCGTGATTTCTTTTCGTGCATAACTGCGCGCATTGTTATGTGTTTTATGTTATTGGTTAATTGGGGCGGACTATACACTGTACTAAATTTGTTTTATGCATAACCTGTTGTAACCGTACAAACTCGTCGTGGAAATGAATCAGATAGTTTGCTTTTATTAGAAGTTAGTGAGAAAAGGGGCTCTTTATATTTTCACCGTGGATTGATTCATTATTAACGAGTTTCAATTCGTAAATAGAAATTGAAAATTTAGTGTCATGAAAATGGTTATGATCACCATAATTTGCTATATGATTGAGTTTGCATTTTAGCTTTAAAAGCACACAGGTAGCTGAATGCACACGAAAACTGCTATATATTCATTTTCACTTAATATGTATAAATGATTATAAACAGTTTGCATATCCCCATTGACAGCAAACAATAAAATCATAAGCGAAATATTCCTGCTTTAGAAAGTGAGATGATAATTTTCGATTTTGTTGTCTTTATACACTGCTACGTGAATGTGCCATAAGCAATAACATAAAACACATAACCAATAACAATATCCGTTCCTACTCTTTCAGGTGACGATGTTGAAGGAAAAAGGACTGCAGTGTGTCAATTCGACAACAAAACAGGAGCTGCCGTGTCATGTGGGAGTGCCAAAGACCCCAGCATACGTTATGCGGACGGAGTACTTACTCTCGTGTACAAAGGAGGAAAGCCATGTAGCAGCTCCATACGTCGTCGAACCATCATCACCTTTCGATGCGACGCGAGCGTCGACGTAGGCGAGCCGACTTTCGTCGAAGAAAGTCATTGTTATTACTATTTCGAGTGGAAGACGCGTCACGTGTGCCCGTCGCGGAAGCCCGGTGTCTGTTCGGTTATCTCGAAAGATGGCAATACCTACGACTTATCCGTTCTCACAATAGTGGACGATAGTCCGTGGCTGGCGCTCAATGAACGCTCCCGCGCCGTAGGAAGTATTTTTCTTATTAACGTTTGTGCGCCCTTACCCAAGATAAAGTATCGTGAATGTGAAGGAGCTGCAGCATGCGAGGTATTTATGTCTTTTTACCCGATTTAATAACTGCTGTTTGTTGGTGGTTTTTTGTCACGTGGACAAATATAGTTGAAACGTGTGCACTGAAGAATTTAATCACGTTAGTAGCTACTTAAAATTTTTCCAGATAAGGTCTCGGAGACAATAGAATGTGACACGCTTTAAGTGCAGTTGTACTGAGAGTGTATACGAATTAAACTTACAACATTGCATCATTTCTGATGAAGACACTAGACTGGAGTATAGAGCAACTCATGTTTCAACATCAGATCACTCCTGATAAAGACACCTGACCGGAGAATATAAGAACTCAAGTTTCAACATCAAATCACCCCTTATGAAAAAATTAGACTAGAATATATACTCAAGTTTCATCATCAGATCTTTACTGATGAAGAAATTACACCACAGTATATACCTAAGAACTCAACTTTTAACACCAGACCACTCTTGATGAGGAAATTAGTGTAGAGTATATAAGGACTTAAGCTTCAACATCACTCCTGATGAAGACATTAGACTGGAGAATAGAAGAACTCGAGTTTCAACACCATATGACTTCTTATGAAAGACTTTTACCAGAGCATGTGTTGACGTCCCGTCTGATCTTTAGATAAAGAACAACAAAGCGACACCAATAGGAAATTATATCAATGGTCCCGATCCAGAAACTTTACAGCTCGTGTACAATGCCGGCAAATGTCCACATATTGCTGGCAAGAATTTAACGACTACAATAAAATTTCTCTGCAAGATTGGGGACTTGCAGAGTCCACCCGAGCTCGAATCGAAATCCTGGAACGGATGTGAATATGTTTTTACTTGGAAAACAGGTCGGTATATTTTGATTTCGAAATTTGTGCATGTCGATTTTATTTTTGCGAGATAAAGGCAATGGAGGTATTTGGCAACGTCTCCAGATGATGACGTGCTGTTATTTTTACGGTTATTTAAATTGTTTGAACCATTTTATGTAACCTCAACGTTGCAAATCACAAATCAACGCGTTTCGTGTATCAAAATAATGCAAAAATTTCACAATCAGTTGATAAGTATACCGGTCGTCAGACGTCATATAAGACATCTGTGTACGTAAATTTTCGTTCGACCAGCCAAAAATAACACGTGACCGACTACTTTTTGCCTCGGCCGGTCGTTTGTCAGTCTTAATGATAAAATTATTTGCAGCCCTGCCGCTAATCTGCAAAATCACGTGCGAACTGGCTAACACTGAACTGTGCAAGTTAAATGCATCTGGTCGTCGTTTTTAGAATCGACTAAAGACATTGGCAAATCATTTTTTAAAAGTAACCGAAGTAAAGTTTTCCTTCCAAGAAAAAACCAAAAGCGAGCCACGCAGCTCTAACCTGTTGAGTTCTCTGTCATCTAACATTGCTTATGTTAACATTACTAAATATTCCACTGAATATTTCAGCTTAAAAAAGTATTGCGTTCCGTTCACGCTCTTTTATCATGAAAACACACCAACTACGAAATAAATTTCATGTTGAAGTTCAAGCTTTAGCAGGACTGAAAATCGTTTTGTTAAGTAAACTGACAATTGACGATTGACGTTGTCTTTTGAAAAGTACACTTGCTTTTCTTCACAATATGTTTTTTTATTTTTTGTCATGTCTCTTCGTTTACTACGGCGGTCATAATGTATACGTATTATATAAGGGTTTTTTCAGTGCTACAGGTCTGCACTCTGATTGGTAGATATTTTCAGTTCTATATTTTGATTGGTGGATTCTGATTCCTTAACTCCTTGAAGCACGGGGGCTGTTCCGTGCATTTTTGTCAATGTTTCTTTTGCTTCGTTATTCAACTTAAAATTACTCTGTTCTCAGTAGTGTTTTTTTTGAATCGAAAATCAAGTTCAACGTAGCTAATTCTGTTTTTAAAAATAATCCTTGGACATTCACCTTGTAGCGCAATTTCCTTTTATGCCATGTTTCTATTTTCATGAAGTGTTTCGCACGCAATGGAGTCAGAGATTAGAATCGTTTGGGATGTTTAAGGATACGTAATAATTCCGTTTGGATCATTATGAATAAAGTATAAAAATGGCATCACTTGTCTATTGTAATTTTTCCCTATAGCGGCCGCCTGTCGTTTACATGTGATAAGTGGTGTTGGATGTACATTGGAGGATACTGTCACCGGTAATGTTTACGATCTTACGCCTTTGGCTGCGGGTGGTGCTTTTTATAACATCACCAAAGGTGGATTTAAGTACAACATCAAGGTATGAAAAATTTGTTTATATGTATGTAATGTATTTTTTCTTTTAAAATAGAAACTAAGATGTCATGGTGTAACTAACGTGTGTCAGTGTAGTTAGTGATGAATGAACAACAAAGAACGATAACAGTCTTTACTATACCAAAAATATAAACTAAGATAACGTGTGTCAGTGTAGGTAGGGATGAATGAACTAGAGAGAACGAGAAATGTCTTTATACTACTTAAAATATAAACTAAGATAATGTTTGTCAATGTAGGTAGTGAGGAAGGGACGGGGCGGGTGGCTGAATGGTTAATTGCGTGAGCTGTAAGCCAGACGGCGCGGGTTCAATCCCGGCTCGTGGCACATCTGGCAATGTGTCTGTAAACCTACCCGGGTTGACCAAAGCCATGTGAGGGAAATTTGGTAGAGGAAACTATGTCCTCGGATGGACTGTATCTGCATCTGCAATGTTGCAGCCTTGTCACACTGTGTGTCACGCTGATATCAGCGTTGTAGTTGCGTGAAAGGTACGAGTGATTGTAGTCTGGTCAGCTGCCTTCACTATAATTTAAGTAACCAGGATGTTCCACTTTGTGGAACCCTCATACGTCGAAATCGACGGAGTCCATTATTATAGGTAGTGAGGAATGAACAACAAGATGAGCAGTCTTTTCGTTACCAAACATATAAACTAATAGCCTTTTATACTCCAAATTATTTTCTTCATCACGAGTAATGTGATGTTGAAACTTAGTTTTATAACATTTTTTGATTTTATCTGGATTGATTTGATGGTTGAAGATCGGTTTTCAAACAACAGCCTAATTTTTTTTATGGTAAGCGAATAAAAATTAGTTTTTCTTTTTCATCCCATCTTTCAAGGTGTGCAATAAGAATGGTTTGGACAAATCTATATGTGGTAATAAGGTTTCAGTCGGAGTTTGTCAAAAATCACTAAAAAAAGATGGTAAAGTTTTGAATGCCGGCCAAGTTCACGACAATCTCTACTACTATGATGGCGTGTTAAAGATGAAGTTTGTCGGTGGTGATCAATGCAGCCTTAAAACGAAACCAAATCGCATGTCTTACATCACGTTCTTTTGCGATGAAAACGCTGGTCGAGGCAATCCTGTATTCATCCGCGAAACTTACTGCACATATTATTTTGCTTGGTACACAAAATACGCGTGTCCTCTGAAGGTAAGAGTATTGTTACGTGTTCGTATGTGTTGATAGTCAGTTTGGTGGGGTCTTGAGACGAACTGTTGATGTTATGTTGACTAACGTTTCAACAACCTTAGCGATGGCCATTTTGAGCAACCTTAGTTTGAGTCAAAGGAATTGATCGACTCTGACGATGACTACCGTTACTAAACTTGTCGAAACGTCAGTCCACACCATTCGCAGCAGCCTTCTAGGGACTCTGCTAACCTGGACGGTCTACATCCACAAACATGTAGAAATTTAATTTGATTTGAAGATTTTTACTTTTCATAAATGGTAGCGCGTCTGCTAAGCGAACGAAAATTCGCGTTAAGGTGGTTTTAACTCAAATGTCGAGGTAGAGCGTTTGTATCTACCTGTATTTGAACAAGGTTTATGATAAGTGCGAAGAAAAATGCAGTAAAATACCCTACACGGAATACTCGCCATGCTTGCTACGTATTTTATAATTGATCCAATCCGAAAACCAGAGACTTTCTCGTGATTACAAATTTAAAAATTGTTTTAAAAATAGCCTATACCATGGTGAATGGTGGTAAAAGATAATTCTTACACGATAGTTCTTAAAAGAACTGTTTGAATCCAGACCACTTACCCAACAATTGTAAAAAAAACTGTTTCTAAAGCTGAAAGACACTATGCTTCTGCTAAATGAGAGCTTCAGATCATGTAATATTTATAATGTTACGAAAAAGTTAAAGTCATCTCTAATTTGAGAGATGACGCTTAAAACGTGTACTCGCTCGGTGAAAGGATTACGTGTTTAATTTATCTCTGTTTTAAGCGTCATCTCTCAATTTTAGGGATCACTTTAGCTTTTTGGTAACATTATAAATATTGCGTGATTTTGATGCTCTCCTTTAGCAGACGTTGACACTTGGCGAGTGGTCTGCCGAAATGTATGGTGTCTTTCAGCTTTGCAAATAATTCTTTTAGAATTGTTGGGTTAGTGTTGTAGTTTTAAACTGTTCTTTTAACTAAGAACTATTGTGTTATTATCATTTACCATTCACCATGGTATTTGCTTTTTTTCAAATCCGAAAACTCATGCTTGCAGGATCACACCATTATGATCAAACTTACCATATCCAAATTGGCGGGCATTTTTTTGTGTATCCCAGAATTGATTTTCTTCGTAATTTTGGCGATTGCTGTGGGAAAACTGTTTATTTTTACAACGGACCGCCAAAAATGTTTCTTAGCCTATCAATGCACACGATTTCACATGAAGTGACATTTACCATTCTTAACACGTGATGATCACGATTAACGAATGAAATAAAATTTTAACGGTCCCTCGACCTCATTCGGTTAACAACGATTTACATTTTCAGTCTATTGAATGCATCGTGAAAAACGACGAAGGAAACGTGTACGACCTGTCTCCATTGGTAAAGACAAAGAACAACTGGCTAGTGATATCCAAAGACGAACAGACCCAATACTTCATCAACGTTTGTCGCGTGTTGCATCGCAATAAAGCAGTGACCGAGTGTCCAGCTGAAAGTGCCGTCTGCCAAATAAAAGCCAATAAAAAAGCAACAAATATAGGTACAACGATTACTGTGTCATTGTTTTACGTGGTTTCGTAATTAATAGGAATTTCCGCACCTGTTCTTTCGATGTTACTCCTTTCAAAAACTTCCTATGTAAGCTAGTCCATTCGATTTTTGATACCATCCATTTGATAGCAATTTTTCCATACAACTTCTTTCGATTTACCTATTTACTTATTGATAGTAATCTTTCCATACAACTTCTTTCGATTTACCAATTTACTTTATAATACATTTTTGACAACACACTTCTCTCAATGAGTATCGGATCTAGCATTCGTCAAAATAATTTATAGCTCCTCAATTTAAGATGCAAAGTACTTTCGGACAAAGACTGTTGGTTTTGAATTTCTAAAGAATATAATTTGAATAGAATATAACGCCAATGTACTTGTCTCTAATGTGGTTAGAAATGCAAATATTTTCTAAAATGTGCTATGATTTTATATTGTCGTGCTCTAGATCCGCCACTGCTCTCGATGATTTTTTTTCATTTTACACCTTTTGATACTTCATCCCTTGATACCATTCCTTTCGTTATGAATGGACACATGATGATTCTTTGGACATTACTGCTTCTTTGGACATTACTGTTTCTTTTGACATTACTGTTTCTTTGGACATTACCGTTTCTTCGGACATTACTGTTTCTTCGGACATTACTGCTTTTGATATTTTTTGTTTTGATAGCGAAGGTATGTGATATGTAAGAACGATGAGGCTTTCTTTTTTATTTTAGGTAGCCTTGTCTCGCCTTTAACTGTTACACCCAAAGGATTGCCCGTACTGCAATATCAAAATAGTAAATACGGATCAATTATAACGTTTTTGTGTGATAAACGGGGTAAGGTAAGGATGTCATTTGATATTCGTGGACATTTTGTCAAAGAAACGTACGTAATAACTTTTCATAATGCTTAAATTATCTGCTAATTGAACACTTAAAACTTGTTTGAGTTCAAATTAAAATATAATCTAATAATCTATAATCTACAATGACGAGAACAAAACATTCTCTACACTACCTAAAATATAAAGTAAGCTAACTACCTACACTGTCAGTGTAGGTAGTGATGAATGAACAACAAAGAACTAGAACAGTCTTTACACTACCTAAAATATAAAGTAAGATAACGTGTGTCAGTGTAGGTAGTGATGAATTAACAATAGAAAACAAGAACAGTCTTTACACTACATAAAATATAAACTGATATAACGTGTGTCAGTGTAGGTAGGGATCGATGAATAACAGAGAAGAGAACTGTCTTTATATTATCTAAAATACAAACTAAGATAACGTATGTCAGTGAAGGCAGTATTGTATAAACAACAGAGAACGAAGACAATCTTTACACTACCTAAACTATGAACTAAGGTAGTGTATAAGGTAGTGTAACAAAATCATAAACGAGCCACGTTTATTGAATCAGTTGAATTATCTGATCAAATCATATGTCGTTCCCTTTATAGGTTGGTAAACCGGAGTTAGACAGCTCAGACAATAACTTGTTTTCCTTCACTTGGCAAACCAAATACGCGTGCGCAGTTAAACCAAAGGTTGAAAATGGTTGTGATGATGACGTGACCAGGTTGTCCGTTTTGAGGACAACAGACAGGACAGTGAGTATTTCAGAAGTACTTTTTGCAGTAGTTTACATTCTGGAAGCAAAAACGAGTTTCATGTCTTTATACGGCGTTCATGCAGTGTTCCCTTACACAAACGTTTGTGTACATGTCTTTATACGTGCGATCATGCAGTGCTCCCTTACACGAACGTTCGTGTACATGTCTTTATACGTGCGTTCATGCAGTGTTCCCTTACACAAACGTTCGTGTACATGTCTTTATACGTGCGTTCATGCAGTGTTCCCTTACACAAACGTTCGTGTACATGTCTTTATACGTGCGTTCATGCAGTGCTCCCTTACACGAACGTTCGTGTACATGTCTTTATACGTGCGTTCATGCAGTGCTCCCTTACACAAACGTTCGTGTACATGTCTTTATACGTGCGTTCATGCAGTGCTCCACACGAACGTTCGTGTGACTTTATACGTGCGTTCATGCAGTGCTCCCTCACACGAACGTTCGTGTACATGTCTTTATACGTGCGTTCATGCAGTGCTCCCTTACACGAACGTTCGTGTACATGACTTTATACGTGCGTTTATGCAGTGCTCCCTCACACGAACGTTCGTGTACATGTCTTTATACGTGCGTTCATGCAGTGTTCCCTTACACGAACGTTCATGTACATGTCTTTATACGTGCGTTCATGCAGTGTTCCCTTACACAAACGTTCGTGTGCATGTCTTTATACGTGCATTCATGCAGTGCTCCCTTACACGAACGTTCGTGTACATGTCTTTATACGTGCGTTCATGCAGTGTTCCCTTACACAACCGTTCGTGTACATGTCTTTATACGTGTGTTCATGCAGTGCTCCCTTGCACGAATCGAAACACCACAGATCAAACACATAAGCATGTCATGAATCGAAAGTGTTTTCGTTCCCACGATGTATAAAGTTGACCAACGAACCCTATTTTGACGATTCTTAAATCATTTTATTCCAGGGTTACGAAATCACCATTCCCAACACAAAAGACACGGTTCACTTGGATATATGTCAAAACGTTAAAAGTTGTGGCAGTAGAAAGCCATCCACTGCATGTCTTGTGAAGGATGGAAAGATAACATCTCTCGGACGTTCCGATAAAAGCTACATCGAACATGATTTGGATGTTACGACTTTGACGTACCCGTAAGTCATTATGGACGTACAATTATCTGTATCGATTGTGGATTATTTCGTGCGTTTTTTTTTATTTCAACCATTGTGGTGTTAAAACTTGAATTGCTCTATACTCCAGTCTAGTGTGTTCATCAAGAGAGATCTTGTGGTAAAACTTGAGTTGCTCAATACTCCAGTCTAGTGTCTTCATCAGGAGTGATCTTGTGTTAAAACTTGAGTTGCTCTATACTTCAGTCTAGTGTCTTCATCAAGAGTGATCTGGTGTTGAAACTTGAGTAGCTCTATACTCCAATCTAGTGTCTTCATCAGGAGTGATCTGGTTTAAAACTTGAGTTGCTCTATACTCCAGTCTAGTGTGTTCATCAAGAGTGATCTTGTGGTAAAACTTGAGTTGCTCAATACTCCAGTCTAGTGTCTTCATCAGGAGTGATCTGATGTTAAAACTTGAGTTGCTCTATACTCCAGTCTAGTTTCTTCATCAGGAGTGATCTTGTGTTAAAACTTGAGTTGCTCTATACTCCAATCTAGTGTCTTCATCAGGAGTGATCTGGTGTTAAAACTTGAGTTGCTCTATACTCCAGTCTAGTGTGTTCATCAAGAGTGATCTTGTGGTAAAACTTGAGTTGCTCAATACTCCAGTCTAGTGTCTTCATCAGGAGTGATCTGATGTTAAAACTTGAGTTGCTCTATACTCCAGTCTAGTGTGTTCATCAAGAGTGATCTTGTGGTAAAACTTGAGTTGCTCAATACTCCAGTCTAGTGTCTTCATCAGGAGTGATCTGATGTTAAAACTTGAGTTGCTCTATACTCCAGTCTAGTGTGTTCATCAAGAGTGATCTTGTGTTAAAACTTGAGTTGCTCTATACTACAGTCTAGGGTCTTCATCAGGAGTGATCTGGTGTTAAAACTTGAGTTGCTCTTTACTCCAGTCTAGTGTCTTCATCAGAAGTGATCTTGTGGTAAAACTTGAGTTGCTCAATACTCCAGTCTAGTGTCTTCATCAAGAGTGATCTGGTGTTAAAACTTGAGTTGCTCTATACTACAGTCTAGGGTCTTCATCAGGAGTGATCTGGTGTTAAAACTTGAGTTGCTCTTTACTCCAGTCTAGTGTCTTCATCAGGAGTGATCTTGTGGTAAAACTTGAGTTGCTCAATACTCCAGTCTAGTGTCTTCATCAGGAGTGATCTGGTGTTAAAACTTGAGTTGCTCTTTACTCCATTCTAGTGTCTTCATCAGGAGTGATCTTGTGTTAAAACTTGAGTTGTTCTATACTACAATCTAGTGTCTTCATCAGGAGTGATCTGGTGTTAAAACTTGAGTTGCTGTATACTCCAATCTAGTGTCTTCATCAGGAGTGATCTAGTGTTAAAACTTGAGTTGTTCTATACTCCAGTCTAGTGTATTCATCAAGAGTGATCTGGTGTTGAAACTTGAGTTGCTCTTTACTCCAGTCTAGTGTCTTCATCAGGAGTGATCTGGTGTTAAAACTTGAGTTGCTCTATACTCCAGTCTAGTGTCTTCATCAGGAGTGATCTGATGTTAAAACTTGAGTTGCTCTATACTCCAGTCTAGTGTCTTCATCAGGAGTGATCTTGTGTTAAAACTTTAGTTTTTCTATACTACAGTCTAGTGTCTTCATCAGGAGTGATCTGATGTTAAAACTTGAGTTGCTCTATACTTCAGTCTAGTGTGTTTATCAAAAGCGATCCGACGTTGACACTTCAGTGCTTATATACTCCAGTGTAATGCCATCGTCAGGAGTGATCCGATGCTTGCACTTGAGTCCTTTTCACTCCACTTCATCATTAGAGACATCATGTTGAAATCTACACACTTCATGCGTATTTTAGAGAGAATCTAATTTAGAAAGTAATCTTTTAACATTTTCCTTTTCATTGCTTTAGCGGTGGTGACAAATTCGAAACTAAACAATATGTTGCATATTACAAAACCAAGATCAATTTTATCTGCACACCTAACATCACGCGAGGTAGTCCTGTATTCCTTAAGAAGGAAGGTTATGTCTATTATTTTGAGTTCGGCACGTCTGCCATTTGCAACTTTGACGATGTGGAGTGTGTCGTCCGTTACGGTAAAGATACCTACGATCTGAGCCCTCTTAAACTGCCAAACGGTATGTTATTATTTATCTATTTCTCTCGATTATGTTGATTTTCTTTCATTGTCTGTTTTAAGAAAATATAGCATTCTTATATATTCTGGTGGAAATCACATCCATGCAATATAACGATGTCACAGTGAAATAAGAACGAATTATTTCTTTTAGATCGTTGCGTGTTTTTAGGTAGTGTAAAGACTGTACTTCTTCTTTGTTGTTCATTCATCATTACCTACACTGGCACACGTTATCTTAGTTTATATTTTATGTAGTATAAAGACTGTTTTTGTTGTCTGTTTTTCATTCATCACCACCTACACTGACACACGCTATCTTAGTTTATATTTTAGGTAGCGTAAAGACTGTTCTCGTTCTCTGTTGTTTATTCATCACTACCTACACTGACACACGTTATCTCAGTTTATATTTTAGGTAGTATAAAGACTGTTTTTGTTGTCTGTTGTTCATTCATCACCACCTACACTGACACACGTTAACTTAGTTTATATTTTATGTAGTGTAAAGACTGTTTTTGTCCTCTGTTCATAATTTGCCACTACATGTTATGACATAAAGTAAATGCTTTGAACCCACGAGTATCGTTACATGTCGTAACACGCTACATGTTTGCAGATGTAGATCGTCCAGGCTAGTGGAGTCATGAGAAGGACTGTTGGGGTTGATTTTGACTGACGTTTCGACAACCTTAGTTATCTTCAGAGTCAAGGATGTCGAAGCGACATTCAACATCAAGGCCAACAGTCTTTCTCAGGACTCTACTAACCTGGACGATCTACATCTACAAACATGTAACGTGTTTCGACCTCAACAATTTACAGATGATTTTATTCCCCAGGTAACTGGATGGCTGAAGATACACGTTCCCACTTGGATTACTATATAAACGTTTGCAGTAGTTATTCATCGGCAAACGTGCAGCCGAAATGCTCAGCGAATGCTGGAGTCGGTGGATGCCAAATAGATACCAAAAGTAGTAAATCACACGACATGGGTCACGTGGGTAGCCGCCCTTCAGTGTCGTCGGAAGGTCATCTGACGTTGCGGTATATCGGCGGGGAGAAATGTCACCAAGGGAAGTATTTCCGTAGCACAAGAATAAACTTCTTTTGCTCCGACGTTCACGTGAGTTTTTTTTATATATCTTTGTTTTTACTTATATACGTTTCGGGGAACCTTCAGTGATCAAAATTTTTACCGTGATAAAAGAACATTTGTGTTCGTGCAAAATACAAAAATAATCACAAATTGTAAATGTTATGCCCATGGCAATTTTACAATGATGCACAACAAATAGTTGATAAAGATACTTTCATGTTTGTAGATGTAGATCGTCCAGGTTAGTAGAATCCTGAGAAGGACTGTTGTTGTTTGATGTTGACTGACGTTTCGACAACCTTAGCGGTGGCCAACCGAGATTACTGCTAGGAAATACTTCAGTACATCGCTCGGTGCCTGGCTATTTTTCACCGAGATTACTGCTAGGAAATACTTCAGTACATCGCAGAACTTTTTAGAAAAATAAGTAGTTTAGAAAAAAGGCATATGAAAACGAAGGTCAGAATATGCCATAGACTGTTTACCGTGTAAGTAAAGAATATCATGTAGGAATTTATTGACAACCGCTATCTGTGGTATGCGAGTGCTTGCTTTCAACAGTTTTTGATGAAAGAAATGCACTGGAATATTATTGTTGGTTTAGGGGGGGGGGAATTTTTATTTGAAATCGGCTGCCAGGAAGTGAAAGAATTTTTGCATGCTCACTTTACTCATCTCGCCGTTCGTTCTCGTGTAGGGCTCGCCCGTTTACATGGCCGAAACCGCATCATGCGAATACCTTTTTAATTGGAAAACTCCAGCAGCTTGTCCTCTCAAACACTTTCAAGGTGCACATTGTCAGGTTTACGATGAAAATTACGACTTCAATTTTGATCTCACTTCGCTGACCAAAGATAATAACAAATCCATCGAGAAGAATCTCAAGTACCGCGGGAACTTTTGTGGAAAAAGAAGTTCTTTTTGCTCCCTTCAAGGTGAAAAGTGCTGCGGAGTTTTATTTTGATATCATTGCTATCTCGTGTGTTTGAAAATTCTTGTTTTCACTTAAGCTTGATCGTTTTCCTTTTTTTATTTATATTTTCCTTGCTTATGTTTTTCTTCCTCTTCTCTTCCAATGTCTTCACTGTCCTGTGTTTGTATTTATGTCATGTATGTCCTCTCTGTTCTGTGTTTATATTTATGTCATGTATGTCCTCACTGTTCTGTGTTCATATTTATGTCATGTATGTCCTCTCTGTTCTGTGTTTATATTTATGTCATGTATGTCCTCACTGTTCTGTGTTTATGTTTATGTTATGTATGTCCTCTATGTTCTGTGTTTATGTTTATGTAATGTATGTCCTCTCTGTTCTGTGTTTGTATTTATGTCATGTATGTCCTCACTGTTCTGTGTTTATATTTATGTCATGTATGTCCTCTCTGTTCTGTGTTTATGTTTATGTTATGTCGTTGGTACTGTTAAAGACCTGCGTGGCCTGACTTTTATGTTTATCTGCTGTTTTCGCATTTGTATCTTGAGTTCGTATATATTGTTAAAATATGAAACTTTGATAATTAGTTTTCCTCATATCACTTCATATTCATACTTCGAGGAACCAAATCTATCTTAAGTATTTAATTTGCCGATTTTAAATTATCTTTCTCATTTTGTTTTGTAGGCCAGAGTTCGACCGTAATCTTTAATTTTGAAAGCCTACAGTATTACAATGGAAAAATTTTGTTCAACTACACGAGCTCAAGTGATGCGAGCAAACTGGTCAACGAGATATCATGTGACATAACAGAAGAGAAGGTTAAATACATGGGTTATATACAAAATGGAAAGAACTATAGTTTGCTGTGGGGCAGCAAGCTGGCATGCCCCCCCGTAACGGGAGAGGAATGTAGTATCACACGCGATGGAGCGCTGTACGATCTTACCGTACTTGCCAAAGAAAAGTGGAATTGGATTGCAAGGAATGATTTGAAGAATTTCGGTTTTCAGGGTTGTCAATTCTATTTCTCTGTGTGTAAATCACTGAAGAGAATTCCTGGTTTATCTAGAAAGGGATCTAGAGCTGCTATGGTTAATGGTAAAGGGTACGTTGGTGCTTGCTGTTTGTCCATATTGATGCAGCTTGTGGCAATTTACAGTACGATAAACGTCAATGTAGGTAGTGATGATAGGTATAGTGATGAATGTACAACAAAGAACAAGAACAGTCTTTACACTACCTAATATATATACTAAGATAACGTGTGTCAGTGTAGGTAGTGATGAATGAGCAACAAAGAACGAGAACAGTCTTTACACGACCTAAGATATAAACTAAGATAACGTGTGTCTGTGTAGGTAGTGATGAATGAACAACAAAGAACAAGAACAGTCTTTACACTACCTAATATATATACTAAGATAACGTGTGTCAGTGCTAGTAGTGATGAATGAACAACAAAGAACAAGAACAGTCTTTACACTACCTAATATATATACTAAGATAACGCGTGTCAGTGCTGGTAGTGATGAATGAACAACAAAGAACGAGAACAGTCTTTACACTACCTAATATATATACTAAGATAACGTGTGTCAGTGCTGGTAGTGATGAATGAACAACAAAGAACGAGAACAGTCTTTACACTACCTAATATATATACTAAGATAACGCGTGTCAGTGTTGGTAGTGATGAATGAGCAACAAAGAACGAGAACAGTCTTTACACACCTAAGATATAAACTAAGATAACGTGTGTCAGTGTAGGTAGTGATGAATGAACAACAAAGAACAAGAACAGTCTTTACACTACCTAATATATATACTAAGATAACGTGTGTCAGTGTAGGTAGTGATGAATGAGCAACAAAGAACGAGAACAGTCTTTACACAACCTAAGATATATACTAAGATGACGTGTGTCAGTGTAGGTAGTGATGAATGAACAACAGAGAACGACAACAGTTTTTACACAACCTAAGATATAAACTAAGATAACGTGTGTCATTGTAGGTAGTGATGAATGAACAACAGAGAACGAGAACAGTCTTTACACAATCTAAGATATAAACTAAGATAATGTGTGTCAGTGTAGGTAGTGATGAATGAACAACAAAGAACGAGAACAATCTTTACACTACATAAAATATTACCTTAGATAACGTTGTCAGTGTAGGTAGTGATGAATGAGCAACAAAGAACGAGAACAGTTTTTACACGACCTAAGATATAAACTAAGATAACGTGTGTCTGTGTAGGTAGTGATGAATGAACAACAAAGAACAAGAACAGTCTTTACACTACCTAATATATATACTAAGATAACGTGTGTCAGTGCTGGTAGTGATGAATGAACAACAAAGAACAAGAACAGTCTTTACACTACCTAATATATATACTAAGATAACGTGTGTCAGTGCTGGTAGTGATGAATGAACAACAAAGAACAAGAACAGTCTTTACACTACCTAATATATATACTAAGATAACGTGTCAGTGCTGGTAGTGATGAATGAACAACAAAGAACGAGAACAGTCTTTACACTACCTAATATATATACTAAGATAACGTGTGTCAGTGCAGGTAGTGATGAATGAACAACAAAGAACAAGAACAGTCTTTACACTACCTAATATATATACTAAGATAACGCGTGTCAGTGTTGGTAGTGATGAATGAGCAACAAAGAACGAGAACAGTCTTTACACAACCTAAGATATAAACTAAGATAACGTGTGTCAGTGTAGGTAGTGATGAATGAACAACAAAGAACAAGAACAGTCTTTACACTACCTAATATATATACTAAGATAACGTGTGTCAGTGTAGGTAGTGATGAATGAGCAACAAAGAACGAGAACAGTCTTTACACAACCTAAGATATATACTAAGATAACGTGTGTCAGTGTAGGTAGTGATGAATGAACAACAGAGAACGAGAACAGTCTTTACACAACCTAAGATATAAACTAAGATAACGTGTGTCAGTGTAGGTAGTGATGAATGAACAACAGAGAACGAGAACAGTCTTTACACAACCTAAGATATAAACTAAGATAATGTGTGTCAGTGTAGGTAGTGATGAATGAACAACAAAGAACGAGAACAATCTTTACACTACATAAAATATTACCTTAGATAACGTTGTCAGTGTAGGTGGTGATGAATGAACAACAGAAAATGAGAACAGTCTTTACACAACCTAAGATATAAACTAAGATAACGTGTGTCAGTGTAGGTAGTGATGAATGAATAACAGAGAACGAGGGCAGTCTTTACACTATCTAAAATATAAACTAAGATAACGTGTGTCAGTACAGATTCTTTATTCTCTGAATACTGTAAATAATTTGAGATCTGTTTCTTCCTTTTAGAAAAGTAACAAGTCTTGGAACGATGATTAAACCTCTCAACATTTCGAATGGTTATCTCACAATGGTTTATGGTAATGGTGATGTGTTCCATCATTGTAAAAACCTACAAACAACTATTCAATTTGTCTGCGATGATGTCGTACCCGAGGGTTGGGGTAAGTTGTTTCGGTTAGAAGAAAATGGATGTGATTATCCTATTGTCTATTTCCTGCTGTCCTTCGTGTATTGCTGGCGCCACTTATCCCTTTTTTGCTGGTGGCATCTCGGTACAGTATTACTGGAACCAAGCAGAAAACGCCTGTAGAATTCTTTTTGCTACATTTTTGTTCAAAGTGGCTACAAACTTAGTAAAATGTCCTGTAATGTTTTATGATCTATATCCGTAACTGTTGATGTCACTTCGAAATGCGGTTAGAGTAGTATTGCACGTGTTTCTTATACAACATTGCGTGCAGTGTATATATTTTATAAAACTATTTTCATAGCTCGGGCCGATTGTTGACGGGTTCGATGTCGGTGCATGTGCTCTTCACGTGACCTGGTTAACTCGTGCCGCATGTAAAGTACGCAGTCTCGACGCGCCTCCTGCAAATTTACCACCTTGTGCAGCAATCCATCCAGCTACGAGGAAGGTCATCGATCTTCGTGTTTTAAATAACACGAAGGGCTACCCGATGAATCAATATAAAATCAATATATGCGGCGTTGTTGAAGGTGAGACGTTGTATGTCAAGTTCGGAAAAGTCTGCTTCAATTTATTTCAGACTGGAGTTTATAAAGATCAGGTTTCTACATCAAATCACTTATGATGAAGACTCTAGACAGGAGTACATAAGAACTCAACTTTTAACATCCGATCACTTTTGATGAAAACACTAGAGTAGAGTACATAAAGAGTCAAGTTAAAGATCAGATTACTCCTGATGAAGGCACTACACTAGAGTAAATAAGGACTCGAGTTTCAACATCACTTCACTACTGATAAAGACATTATCTGCATCATTTGTTGTCCAGGTTGTCCAGGAACTTCGTCGATTTGCAAGAATGACAAATCAAAAAAACCAACGAGTTTAGGCAACGTCAATACTCAACTTCAATATCGTCAGGGGTTTCTGTTTCTCCATTACACCAACGGAGACATGTGCGTGCCTGAGCTAGGCCGTAAAATGGAGACGATGATTACATTCATCTGCGACAGTTCAGCAGGCCGAGGATCGCCTGTTATCGAGAAAACAGGCGACTGCACGCATTTCGTGACATGGAAAACGGACCTAACTTGTGAAGCCGAGGTTAGTGTACACGATCCAATGGAAGCTGCGGTTTTGACGGTTTTGTGTTTGAATAGCGATATTTTATCACAGGAACGCGAAGAAGTGTTGTTTTTCTATGAGATTGCTCTTGATGAAACAGAAAATTGCGATATTTACAAATTGAAGTTTCAACTTAAGATCATCGTGATGAAGGCACTAGGCTATAGAGAATATAGGGCTCAAGTTTTAACATCTGATCATTACTGATGAAAACATCTGACTAGAGTGTATGGAGACTCAAGTTTTAACATCAAATCACTTCTGATGAAGATCCTAGACTAGAGTATATAAAGACTTACGTTTCAATGTCAGAACACTCCTGATGAAGACATCATACTGGAGTATATATGGACTCTAGTTTCAACACAGATCACTCATGATGAAGACACGAGACTGAAGTATATATGGACTTACGTTTCAACACCAGATCACTCATGAGGAAGACACGAGACTGAAGTATATATGGACTTACGTTTCAACACCAGATCTCTCATAATGAAGACACTAGACTGAAGTATATATGGATTCAAGTTTTAACATCAGATTATTCCTGATGAAGACACGAGACCGGAGTATATAAGAACTTCAGTTCCAACACCAGATCGCCCATGATGAAGACACGAGACTGGAGTATATAAGAACTCAAGTTTTCATAGCAGATCACTCCACATCAAATGAAACTAACAATATCCACAGCTCAATTTTCAAAATATCTGATCTCAAAGATCGGATGTATTGAACTATAGTGTGTAGCGTGTGAAATTTAAAAGTGTGAATTGGTGTAAAACATGAAGACATGGGTCATATAATTTTTCCGTCAGGTTGACTGTGTGGCTCATGATGGAAAGACGTTTTACGATCTCACGCCTTTAGTAAGAAATAACGCAAATTATGAGGTAAATTGGATATTGTTTTGTGTTTATTCCTTTTCATTTAACACACCAGTTAACTATCTAGGTGTTTGATGTCATTGCAACATAACTGTTAAATATCTAGGTGTTTGATGTCATTTCAATATAACTGTTAAATCTGTTAAATATCTAGGGGTTAGTAGTTGTTTGATGGGATTGTAATATAACTGTTAAATATCTAGGTGTTAGTAGGTGTTTCATGGGATTGGAATATAACTGTTAAATATCTAGGTGTTAGTAGGTGTTTGATGGGATTGTAATATAACTGTTAAATATCTAGGTGTTAGTAGGTGTTTGAGGGGATTGTAATATAACTGTTAAATATCCAGGTGTTAGTAGGTGTTTCATGGGATTGGAATATAACTGTTAAATATCTAGGTGTTAGTAGGTGTTTCATGGGATTGGAATATAACTGTTAAATATCTAGGTGTTAGTAGGTGTTTGATGTGATTGCAATATAACTGTTAAATATCTAGGTGTTAGTATGTGTTTGATGTGATTGCAATATAACTGTTAAATATCTAGTAATTGGAGGTCATTACAACACAACTGCGATTTCTCTAGGTGTTGGACGTTGACTCCCTAGGTTTAGAGGTCGTTGGAATACACTTGAAAACACCTTAGGTGTTGGAGGTCCTTCGAGTACACCTGTAAACTCTCTAGGTGCCGGAGGTCCTTGCGGCACACCAGTTGACCCCCTAGCGGAAGTCCCATTTGAAGACAGAAAGTTCATTTTTTGTAAAACTAAGAAATATTTATAAAATTTGAATTGACAATATCTTATGCTCTCAACAGTACCCTTGTTTTGTTCTTCTTTAAGCTTTACTACGAAAATAGACGTTTTATCGTAAACGTTTGCCGATCGTTGGTTCAAGGTTCTGGTTGTCCTGCTAATGCCGCAGTTTGTCAAACAGGGGTATGTCTCGTCACAATTCACACAGAGGATTAAAAGACTGATCAAAATACCAGTATCGCCATAACATATGTAAACTATAAACAATTATTAGACGAACCTTTCAGACTGAGGTCAATGTTTCGGCAAACATGTTTTGGGCATACTTTACGCGATTTTCATAGGAAGTTTAGATGGGTACAAAATAATACATATAATGTTATGTGTTAAAAGATTAAACCTGGATTAAGTTTATTTCATGTGAATAGGGCTATTGACTACATACTAACACAATCCTCGTCGGTAAATCTTGCGGCCTTCCTGCATTCCCTAAGCCCCTGGCAGACCCCTGAGTGTGCGCCCTTCCCTCGGCAAATTCATCCCTCATTTGTCGAAATGAATTATTTATTTGTTTGGTCTGCACGGTTTCCCTTCCCGGCAGTGAAATTTTGAAACTGCTCGTGTAGCAAAAAAAGCTATGCTACGAAACAGGAAAAGGAGATAGGACAGTTTGGAAATCTTGACAAGCTTTCATAAAACACAGGACGTATTGTCTACTTCTGATGCATAGATTGCATAAAGTAAAGTTTCATATTTTCCTCAGCAATAAAAATCAATAATGTTTTCCTTAATGTTTTCATTACAGAGTAAAAAGAGCTTGGGGAAAGTTAGCGGTCCACCTCGGATAACGAAAGAAGGAAAAGTCCGATTGAATTATACTGACGGATCGTGTACAACGACGATAACTTTCATATGCAATCAATTATTGGTAAGTGCGTTTACTTGAATGACTGGTTCATTGTCATCTTTTGTTAGGGGGATGGGGGTGGGAGGGTGCTCAAATTTGGATTAGATTTCGGTTGCTTTTTTACAGATGTCACCGTTCCATGTCAGTCTTCTTTATCGTATTTTCTTAGTTTTATTATCCATAATTTGGAGATACTTTTTGAAGTTTGCTCGATTAAAAACAAGTCACCATTGCTTTTGCTTAATTCGTTTGCTATGTTGAAATTCCACAAGGAAATTTTGCGCCTTTCCTGCACCCCCCTGGCCCTAGACGAACCTTATAGGGTGGGCACTTCCCTAAGTAAATTCATCCCTCATTTGCTTGAAATGAATTATTGATTTGTTTGGTGACTTTGGTCTGCATGGTTTCACTTTCCAGCGGTGAAATTATAAAACTGCTCATTGCTGTTATCTTGACCGCAAGGTAGAAAAGCTTTTGAACTCGATGTGTAAATGGGCGAAATGCCTTGACTAAAGATTTCAAGACCTGTCTTGGAATAAACGTCCTTTCATCGGAGTGAACGACCACTGTGCTTGTTCATATGAACAGAAGTTGTGTAAACATCCAGTTGTGTACTCAGGTCATCGATAAACATATCATGGACCGATTTACTGGGGTGGGTGCAGGGGACTGTCACCCCTCAAACATCAGATTTCATTCCCCTAAAAAACATTTCAACCCTCCAAATGTTTGCAAAATAAATTGGTAGTACAGTTGAACTGAGTTTTTCAGGGCAAAATTTCAACTTTCTACACGACTTTCGATTGCTGCACTACTAGAACACCTTAATTCTAAACCCTTACATTGTCTTACGTCATCGCTTTATCAGCTTTACTCTCCTTCCCCGCCTGAAACTTTAAGCACCACCCTTGTACAAAATATGAAAATCCGTCCATGATGCATAGGCTTTTTCCCTTTTTTCTAACTGTATTTTGTCAACGTCTACTTCGATTTTGTTCATTTCTAGAACGAGCAAGTCATTACTCAAGCCAAAGGTTGTAACGTGTCTATTTCATGGTCGACAACTTTGGTCTGCGCGAGGCCTTATGCCAATAACAGCTGCATATTTGTGGGGCCCAAAGGCGACTATTGCTTTGACCTTAGAAATTTGGGTTGGTCTGAATCAATCACCGCCACTGTAAGTTTGTAATATAGAAGTCAATTGTCACGAGTAAATGTGCGCTTCGTTTGTTGGGCAGACTTTCTGTGCCTGTTTTGTCCAGAGGATCGTAGAAAGATTGATGATTGGGAGGGGCTAGGGCCGGGTGATCAGACTTATATTACCAGATCCGCTTTGGTGAGCTTAGACAGCTCCACTTAATTAAATAATTGCAACATTCGGAAAGGGGGGCATTTCATAGGGATCAACGCATTTTTGATGATAAATTATTCATGTATGTTCACATTGGGGGGGTGTTGTATTTATGTATTCATTCGATGCCGAATAAAGCTCCTTTAAAATCCATTGTTTTCTACGGATTACAACGTGCATTTATGAATACCCCAAGCCCCGTCCTCAATCGTCGATCTTCCTACGCCCCTGTCGTCCAGTCCAAGTTCGCTGGATAAGATTTGCTGTTTTTTCATCGCAGATACCCAAAGGAAACCTTATCCACTTCAGCCAGTGTGGAAAGCGCATCAAAAAATGCGGAAAAGAAGACAAACGTCCATTTGAAGCTTGCTTGAAGATGGCTGGTAAAAATGCGACGAGTTTAATACGTAAGGGCATCTCATATAACGGAAGTGAGGTCAGAATTGATTACGACGACGCCGTTTTGGTCTTGTACTGCGGAGAAAATCAAAATTCGAATACTCCACTCTACATAGGGCAGGTGGGAGAATCGATGATTTAATATTATAGATGTACACAATAGACTGCAGTATATATTCTGGTTGAAAGTGATTTGTGAGAGACACAGCCACATCGATAATCCAGTGTGTAGTAAGTATTTAAGAATTTGGGTTTTGAAGTTTTATCACTTATAAGTCATTGGCTGAGGCAATTCAGCTCTCACGTGTCGTCATTAGATAACTCTTCGAGAGACCTAATGTTTCAACTGGAGTACATTAGGACTCAGGTGTAACATCAGCTCACTCCTGATAAATTCACTTGACTGGAATTTATAAGAACTCGAGTTTAACATAACATTATTCCTGATGAAAACACTAGACCGGAGTATATAAGGACTCATGTTTCAATATCAAATCACTCCTAATTAAGACACCATACTGGAGTTCAATAAAGAATCAAGTTTAAAATGAGAAAATTCCTGATGACAACACTGAAATTGAGAAGATAAGAACTTGAGTTTCAATATCACATCAATCCTTCAAAGACACTAGACTGGAATGTGCAATGACTTCGTAGCATCACTCTTAATAAAAACTATTCATTATTGCATATAAGAAGTCATACCTTGTCATCTGATCAATCCTGATGAAGACACTAGAATGGAGTATATAAAAACTTAAGTTTCAATATCACATCAATCGTTCAAAGACACTACACTGGAAATGTGTAATAACTTTATCGCATTATTCATGATAAAGACTATTCACTATTGTATATAAGAAGTCGTTTCCTGTCATCAGGTCTATCCCGATAAAGACACTGTACTGGAGTACAAATGAATCCTGTTGCCATCACCATAATGCATGTTTGCGTTTGAAAATGAGATTATGACTTGATAAAGTGAAGACTGGTTCTAATGTCGTTAGTTAATACCACGCTTTTTGATAACCTTCGTCAAAAGCTCTATCGTCTCATTGTGTATAACTACATCGTTGTCAGTTATGCTTGTTTCTTTTCGTACTTCAGTATGCGGAGGCGAACCAACTGAAGAGGTATTTGTTCAGTCTGATCACTCCTGCGGTGTGCCCGCCTCGCCAATTTGCCTGCGAAGTAAAACACGGGAAAAAAACGTACAATCTGAACGGCCTTGCTGACCATAGAGAATTTTCTGTCAGCCACCATGACACGGTGTAAGTATGGTATATATGTGGTTGTATATGAAAGTAAGAAATTTAACTGGGATCTTCGACATTTGTCAAGCGAAACTTGACAGAGAGACGTTATAATCGGTGTGTGTTGAAATATTTTCTTACGACCCCCGACATGGGGACAATTTGATGGATGCGATGTCTTGGGTATTTTTTGGGCAAAGCATGATGACGGAACACCTCAATACGTTAGATCATGGCTATTTTTTTTTTACTTCAGGTACTTGATCAGTATTTGCGGTCATGTTCGCTTCACCCCTAAAACTGGTTAGTAAAATGTTGCTGTTGATTTTTTGGCTCAGTCAAATGGGGACTGCCATTTTTTCACGATCTTTGTCGAAAGTAGGACTTGCACTGTTCTGTATCTCAAGAATATTAAGGCTTTCTCTTTACCATCCGATTGAAATTTTCGCCAGGCGTTTGTTCATCTCGAGCTACAACAGTACGTATTAAGGATGGTGGTGAACCAGAGATTATAAGCGTAGATAACAACTACAGCCTAACTTATCAAGGTATGCATCTTATCACACAAATGATGGCACAGTTGCAATGATTTCAAAAGATCGGTTTCAAAGGGTAAACGCCTCCCACACATTTATTCCCTCGCCGTTTCCCATTAGTGCAATTTGGAGAGAAAAAGGGGTGTTGTTTTGTCGAATGCACTTTCCAATATCTGACCTAGGGGAGGGGGGCTCTGTTCCATTACATTACCTATTAAGGGAGGTTGTATGATTGCGCAATTTTACGCCATTGCAGTTCGCAAATTATGACGATATGGAAAAAGAAAACGAGCGTACTTGCATGGCGGCACTTTACAAGTAAACAATTTGATGATAAAAACAACGTATTTGTTGCATTCATGTATCGGCAAGTAGTTATTTAGTTCAGAGTATACTCATTTTTGTTCTTTCTGTGTTTGTCTATATTCATTTTTACTGTTTCCATTGTTTATTTGTTCTCATGTTTGCTGTTTCTATTGTTTGTTTGTACTTATTTTTATAGTTTCTATTGTTTGTCTACACTCATTTTCACTGTTTTTGTTGTTTGTATGTACTCATTTTTATTGTTTCTATTGTTTGTAAAAAGCCAATCAAAATATCATAAATATTGTTAGTAACGGTTGTACCTAGCTCATTCAGTCCACTGATGATGACATGAGATTGCCGAAACTGGTGTGCAATAAAGAAACTTGTTTTTGCATCTTGTTAGTAATTTCTATTGTGCTTTTATGTAAATATGGAAATGAGCTAATCAAAAATAGCTGCCTCTAAATTACCATAACACCGTGGAAACTTGCTTGCAAATTGCATCATTTGATATTCGTTCAATGGTAGATATAGTGGTTGCTGTTCCCAACCTATCTTTCCATTGCCATTTTTCGTTGTATTCATAGAAAATGAAGAATATCCCATTCGTCTTGTATACAATGGTAGCCAAAGTATTGATCTGTGTGGCGGGAAACTACCGTCTGTTGTCCATAAGTTCAAATGTGCTGGAATAATTCCTGGGCCAAGTTTTAAAGGGTAAGAATACTGCATATATTAAATTGTAGATTATATGAGAGTTATGTAAGATCTTAGACCACTAAGTCATAAGTCCTGTGTCCAGCTCCTACTTGTTTGACGGATAATTATTAGTTATTTCTGTATGCTTTTGTAAACTTTTTGCGATTTGATCGAATTCAAGCTGAACGGTCAATGAAATTCGTGGCATGTCATGGTTTTGACGGTCGGTTTTGAATGGTATTTTAGAGAAAGACTATGGACATAGACTTCGCTCTTTTCAGATTGGGTGAATGTATTTTATGCGAGAATTATGTCGTTCTGGATAAAACATTTTAATCGATATAAACTTAACCAATACCCCTTTTGACCTGTTTCACAAACTTCTATCTTTACACGGGGCTAATCAATTTGCTGTATTTTGCTTTGGATAAGACAAACAACATTCATTCTAGATCATCTAAGCAAACTCCAATGAACGTCACATCTTATCTCTTCACGTCGGTCTATTTCGCCGAATATTCCTCAGCCTTATGTCGTCTTTACAAAAAAAAATATGTTCGGAATCAAGGCTTGGAGTTGCTTTTGTTTAAGCTCTAAATAAGACTTCGCGATCAAAGCCTTCTTTAGAGCTTCAACAGAAGCTTCAGCGAGAACTTGTAGACTTGCGTGTTTTGTATACGTTTACGGCGGCACATTGCAAGGAAACTTCTTTGAGTCGAGAGGATCGTTAAAAGCGGGGAAGGCGATATGTTACAAAACATGCATGTCACTGTAAGATCACATGCATTTCAATCTTCCCAACGCACGGTAAGCTAAAATGCGGGATTTTACCCCAGGCGCAGGTATCCTGAAATAAAATGTGGCTTCATGAACCATGCATAGCCATGTTTACCTTATGGTAGCCGACTTCAAGCTGTATGGTCAATGTAGAAAACTAGCATGATTGCCTTAATTGTACTTTTATATTGATCACCCGATTTGTCTTTGTTTTTGCTTTCATGTAGATTTGACAAAACGAACTGCCAATTTACGTTTTGGTGGCAAACATATGAAGCGTGTGCCGAGCAAAGGTATTGTCTGTTACACGAGTTTTTCGTCTGATGAAGACGCTTCTTTTTATTGATTCATACCATATATTTAGGTCCGCGTTGAGAAAAACGGGAGACTGGCGATTCAGTGATAAAAAAGCCGCAAATTGCGAATTGGATTTATATTTTCTTAAGAAAGAGTAAGTGAAAGAACGCAAATTTTTGCGATATTTGATTTTTTGCGATATTTGCGATATTTGCGATATTTGATTGTATATGTTTTTACCGATAGCGTGTAATTTAGCGCATCGCTTCTGGCAAAAACTTTAGACATGAGTGTATAAGAACTCTTTAAATCCCATCACAGATGATGGAAGCAATAGACTGGAGTCTATAACACAACTCAAGTCTCAACATCCGATCATTCCCAATGAACACACTAGACTAGAGTGTGTAAGGACTAAAGTTTCAACATTTGATCACTATTGATGAAGACACTAAATTGAAGTATATGATGACTCAAGTCTAAACATCATATCATTCCTAATGAAGACACTAAACTGGAGTATATAAGAACTCAAGTTTCAACATCCGATTATTCCCAATGAACACACTAGACTTGGGTGTGTAAGGACTAAAGTTTCAACATCTGATCACTATTGATAAAGACACTAAATTAAAGTAAATGATGACTCCAGTCTAAACATCATATCATTCCCAACGACAACGTTAGACTAGAGTATATAAGAACTCAAGTTTCAACATCAGATCACTCTTGATAAAGACACTAGACTGGAGCGTTTAAGGACTGAATTTTCAACAACTTATCACTAATGTTGAAGACACCGGACTGAAGTGTGCAAAAACTCAAAATCTGACATCAGATCACTTGAGTATGCGAGTACTTACTTTGTAACATCACGCAACTCCTTTTCTCGGCATATTGCATATGTCGTTGATTAAGTCATTAGTTAAGCGTGATTGGTTTGTCTTTGTGTTTGTTTAGAATTCCAAAATGTGAAAGAATAACCAGTCTACAACTTTTTGCTCATAGTAAGTATGAATGTCAAACAGTAATGATGTAAGAATAAACCTTAAAGAAACAACTAGTCATCTCTCATATAGCAATTGTTTGAATCTTGTTATCGGTTGATTACTAGTGAGTGGCTTGACATCTCATAACGTATAATTTTTATATAACTAATAATTAATAGCCTTAATATATCATAATTATTAATAATTATATAAAATAATATTAATAGCCTTAATAATTATTGTCCATCAATGAAGTGGATGCCGAAAAATTACGTGTTCGGAATATGATTTGTCGACAGACAGACGTGCAGAATGATTTATTATAAATCTCAAAGTTATAAACAAATCAGACTTATTCCAAGGATGGATTTAAGGGAGGGGTGAGCACCCGTCTTAGTCTCGGATAGATGAAGTACGCGGGGCGTTTTAATTTGCTTTGCAAAATACCAAAACACAAACAATAAGTCAAAATCATGGGAATTTGTGTATTATGGAGAGCGCTTTCAGAAACCTCCCAATGACAATAGAAAGGCAACAGACTTCAACAAAACAAAATCTATCTTGGTAGAACAACAAGTCCTCGCCGAAATCTAATCCAAGCTAGTGCGCCACCCTCTCTATCCCTGATTAATCTGATCGACTTTCAAAAAATCTGCCCAAGGAATGTATCTCCATGCCATTATACAACTTGTGGAAAATCTGTAAAACGATTAATGGCATTTCTTTTGATTGTCTTTATTAAAGATGACGAATATGAATTGTTAGTCAATTGTTCTTCAAAAATTATTGTGGTCAATCTACTGTGTGGCGTAAGTTTTTATGTTGTGTGCACTGTTTCTTGAAAATCAATCTTACACACGTTTGATATTGAATTGCTGTCACCGCAGAATGATACCAAATTGAAGAGCTTTACTACTGGTCAGCAGCGGCATTTAACGTTTGTGCGGGTGACCACGCGTGTTTGCGATTTTTCAAGGTAAACCGGTTATAGAATTATTCTTGAAGCTTGATGAACCCATTCATGCGCCCGTATTTATGTTTTCTCTTTGAGTGGATATTTAATAAAACTTGTATTTGCTCGTGTAAAACTTGAAGAAACTTAAGTATAAGGAAGAGTTCTATCTTTATGTATTAATTTTGAACAAAGAGTAGCTCGTGATAACGCAGAGTTTTAGCTTTGTATGTTACTTTTCAACATTGAGTAACTTGTGGTAAGGTAGAATTCTATCTTTATGTGTTACTTTTGAACATTGAGTAACTTGTGTTAACGTAGAATTCTATCTTTATGTGTTACTTTTGAACATTGAGTAACTTGTGTTAACGTAGAATTCTATCTTTATGTGTTACTTTTGAACATGGAGTAACTTGTGGTCAGGTAGAATTCGATCTTTATGTGTTACTTTTAAACATTGAGTAACTTGTGGTAAGGTAGAATTCTATCTTTATGTGTTACTTTTGAACATAGAGTAACTTGTGGTAACGTAGAATTCTATGTTTATGTCTTACTTTTAACATAGATTATGTAACGTAGGTCTCTATAATTTCAACATACGTAACTTTTTACTTTCATAACACACGTCATAGCAATTCTTTTTTACTGTATTTTAGATCATCGACTTGTTCCCAGGCCCTTTCACGTTCAGTTGCGAAGTCAGCGGCTGCTGTAATTGGGACGTTGGCCGGCATTGGCTTACTGGCCGCCATTTTATTTGTTGCTTGCAAACCAGACAGACGGTAAGTCTCGTTGGAAGCGTTTTACATTTTTGATGGAGTTAAGGTTAGAATGGTTTGGATTTGATTTCTCGAACGGATTTATTCACAGTGGATTTATTCTTAAACAGTTTAATGTTATCTCGTACATGACATAAATTTCATTTTGATGTTAATGTATTGAAGGCAAACGACAGCATTATGGTTGAAATGGCATGTTCGTAAATACATTTGCTGCAAACCGTCTTATCGTGCATCGTATCGCTATAAAAGGGTAAGTGCCACTATTGAATTGTGCCCGCCGCCATTTTGTCTTGGCTGCTATATTTTTTTGTCTTTTGACTACTTCATCTCACCCGTCGTTAGAAACTTGATGAAACAGTCGGAGAAGTTTGATTCGTTTATTTGTTTTTTTTGCAAAATTACTGCATTTTATCATCTTATATTTGTTCATTCCCCTGTCGCATCAGGAAATCGATGCGCGTACAATTGGGACAAAAGGCGTAAACTTGCGAATTTTTCAAAAAGCCAAAATGGCAGGAAACGTTTCGAAGCCTAATATTTTTAGCCATAAGTTACATTTTTGTCGTACTAAAGGTGTGGTGTACTTAAAAATTGGGACCACAGAAAGAATGGTACTACAGAAAAAATGGAACCACAAGAGTTTTCCCACTAAATAGGTCAGGGACTTGAAAAGGGAAGTGCGTTCTACAGACCCAGTGGCGCCGGAAAAATTTTATTTTTCCGGGAGTGGGGAAGACACCCACGAAAAGTCACTTATATATTACTCACTGTTCAATATCACTGAAGTTACATAGTAAACATTGGTATGGGAAAATTTCCCCCTCTTTCCCCCTTTTGCTGGGGCCACTAGTGACTACACGGGTACGTACTTTCCAGAGCTTGTTACCGTTGACTTTTGCTTCAGGTAAAGACGGATGAGGTTGACGGCGAGACGGATTTCATTGAGGAGATTGGTGGAGGGTCTTTATTTAGTGATGGGAGCGATGATGATTACGACAGTGGTAGTAACGAAAACGACGACGATGATCTCTTGCCGTTAGACGATGATCTATTAAACCTGGAGGAATGATTTCCATCTAGGGGGAGGGGAGGGCTGCAATCAATGAATACCAATCTAACGGCGCATCTATCTGCTTGATTTTGCTATTTGTGATATTCAATTTATGAAAGCACATTTAATGTCAAAATTTAAATTTTTTGACAAGTGAACGTATAATTGTAGGTAATTTTTAAATTATTGTCTATCATATGCTTTTTGTATAAATTAAGTTAATATGAATAGAATTTGTATTTAAATACTTCAAGTTTTGCATTGACGACAGTTATGTCTTTTTTACAGTTATTTATATAAAGTATCGTCGCTATGAGGTACTCAGTGGGATCCATGGTAACAAGATAGCTATTTTATGATTAGGCTTTTGTGCATTTGTGTGCTCCTGCCTTACAAAAACTCGATGGTAGATAATTTTTCGATAAATGCGTCCTTGCAATAGAAATTTGCCTTTCGAATCACGATTTGAAATGTCAAATAATGTGCTCAATCACATGCAATGGTATCGCGGGCTCGTTCGTCTTGTTACTGGGTTACTTACTGCACAACAAACTCGGCAAAACGTTTTTGAAAATGACGATTTTTCCTTTATTGTGCTTCGTGTTTCGAAAGTTATTTTGATAAATATAAAAAAAAAGGAAGCCTAAGGCAATAATGTTTCAAGATGAAGACTACGAACCCGTGTCTTTTGGTTCTTCGTGGAAAACAAAACGGTATGTTAAAATATGACATTGACATATAAATACATTAAAACAGTTTACAATGGGACGAAGCGACCAGCTGCCTCATTGTTTGAACTGGATGTTCATACAGAATAGTTCAGCAATACTGTAATTGTACTAGTTTGGCAATCGAATAAGGATTTGTGGCGTTTCTATTTTCGAAAAGTTTGCATGTTAGTTTCGATGTTGTTTAGCTCAGTTCAAGATGGCGCTTGTCAAACCAGCGAGATATTGGCGAATGAAGCTGAGACACAAGCTACTTATAAACAGGACGTTATGGTTAGTTCAAATAACTTCATTTGCATAGAATGGCGTGTAGAGTGAAGTGGCCTGCCTCGCTTTTTCACTACTTTTTAAAAAGAACAATTTGCCAATTTATGTCATGTGACGTTGAAATGCCCTTATTCATGTAAGGCAGGGGTCTCCAAACTGCGGGCCAGATGCGGCCCGTTGGGCTTCTCAATCCTGCCCGCAGAGGCACTTCAGAAAAAATAATAATATTATTAAACAAAATAAATTTTGTGCAGAAAGTTCACGTTATGTCGCAAGCCAACTAGCAAGAGTGGCTTACGTCAATTTTTCTCCCAACTTCCAACTTCCGTTTCAAGCACACTGTGAAATTTAAAAAGCTGAAGGATAACGTGGAAATTTTTAATATTCTTCGGCCCTCAACATGCTGGATGAAAGTTCATGTGGCCCTCTGGCTGTAAAGTTTGGAGACCCCTTACATTGTAAGGGATATAAGAATTTATTATCGTTTTAACATTTTAGAGTCTCAGAATAATGACAGAGTGAGACCTAATAGTATTTAAGGTTCAAAGTGCCTTTGAATAATATTATACGAAATTTTTTAGTCTTCAATAACAGCTATCCTATCGCTTTAGTAGACTTCCTTTTTAACAATGATTTTTTACAGCTCAATTCTGGAACTATTGAAGTTTTTATGATATTTTCATTTGATAGTTTATTGTAAGTGGCCTTTCTATGTAATTTGCTTGCTACATACCATGATGGTATATAAGAAAACTGTAAGAGTTGCAGCTAACTATCCAGGATGACTTTGTAGGGGGGAGGGCGAATCTAGTCTTTATAAGATGCTGTTTGGTCAGTCAGGCTTTGATTAGATTTTGGTGACCCTTTTGTGGGTGTTGTTATCCCATTCACATTTAAGGTTCTTTGTGAGTTTGATATGATTGATACCCTGGGAAATGTGCTGTTTGAAAGTTGTTCTAGTTTAATTATTTGGTTTATTAATATTTTGTAGGGGAATCTACACCCCCTGCACTTCTACCTAAGGCTAGGGGTTGTGCATCCTTCCCCTAAATTCATCCCTGCATCTTTCTGGTCAATTTTTACCTAATTAAAGCAATGTTTTTTATTTAATCAAATGGTTTTCCTTTCAAGTTTAGCTTCATTCAAATAAACAGCATGTGGTTGTTGATATTTCCGTTTTGCATTTAATTTGAGATCACCCCATCACTATTGATAGAACTGGGTTGCTGATAAAACTGGAAAATTTTTTCATCATAATAGATTCAAACGGAGAAAGAAGATGAGAAGAAGGCAGTAGCTGCTGTAGAAGAGGAAGACTCCCCTGTAAGTGTAGAGTTGTGAAGGTGGCAGGTTGCCTCTACACAAACCTTGCTTCCCTAAAAATGTATTATTGCTTTGGCAGGAGCTGCTTGAATTCCTCCGGCGAATATATCCAGCACTTATGGCAGAACTTGATGCCAACACCAGGAGCCATGCTTTTGATGGTAACTAAAAAGAAAAGCTTTACCCTTTCGAGCAAAGCCTCTTCATTTTTTTCAACAAATTTTTTTTTTGTGCTAGGGTATCAGGTTGATTGGGAGGATTCGACTGACTCTGTTCATTGTCTACATACCCTCACACACTCATTTGAAGAGAAAGTAAGCACTGGTTGGGAAACTGATTTTGACACATGCACTAGTTGTGTAGAACGTTCATGTCTGTTATTCATGTTCGATGTTTATTTTACAATTATGTCATTCCCTGCATCTTTATCTGAAAAATTGCATTTTCGTCTTGGCAATGTTGTAGCTAGTTATTTAACTGTCATACGAATGCAAATCGTGAAAGAGAAAATCTTCTAAAGAAGTTATATTACATTTTAAAGGAATTTTTCGAAACATTTCAAAATACCCAAAAGTGTCCGATGTTTTTCTGCCTTACTTGACAATCCTCTTGTGCTTGTTTCAAAAACAATAATTAAGTATAACACGTAAGGGCTATTTTTATGCGATTTCCCGCCTGTAAAATCAACCTTGGTTTCGCCACTGTCAGCAGCCAACAAACAAGAAAGAAATTCGGTTGTTCTTTACCCTTAATCGTTATATCGTTGCTATATTTTAAGACATCTGTATTTTTATCATTGTGCATCTGATTTGTTATAGTTGGAAGTTACATGTATTTCGTGGAATCCGACCGGTGCTGTTATTGCCGTGGCTTATGGCCGTTACGATCATCAGGATTGGTGCACACATAAGGTAATGTTACGCTGTTTATCTATATTCATTTAAACATCCTTTAGAATTCTTGGAATCGTTAAGTCATCGAAGATTGTCCGTAGCAAAATTCCATGTAGGCACTGACGGATGATTTCCACCGTCGTTTTTTTTCACTTATGTATTTTTTATTCGTAAGTCGTGGCCAAGTCCGTATTTGAGTAACTTGGAGTTCAGATTTGACACACCACTCCTCCATTTTGCCAACATGATTTCAGATTTAAGATTCCCCTGTCCTCCATTTTTTCCTCAATCAGTCGTCCATTTTGCCAACCTAGTTCGGATTTGAGAACCTCTCTCTCCATTTTGCGAAAGATTTCAGATATTAGACCCCGGTCCTTCATTTTGGCAACATTAGATCAAATTTTAGACCCCAGTCCTCCATTTTTCCAACGTTAGCTCAGATTTGCGACCCTAGTTCTACATTTTTGTTTTTCTCCACCTGTCCTCAATTTTTCATCCATCAGTTCTCCATGTTTGCACCATAACGCACGTTGCTCCTTTCTTCCATGTAACTAACCAACGGCAAATGTGCTGGCAACTCAATTGTACCAATATTCTTCCTATCCTTATTTAATTTGTAACATTTTTGTCTTCGGTTCTCTTCGCGCGACATTCTTGTAAATATATCTTCCGTATTGTTTCTAGTCATCTGTTTGCACATGGAATTTAGATAGAAGATCGTTCGATCCAAATAAACCGGATGCAGTTATCGACATTTCGGTGTGTATTAATATTTTTTTAACGTGGAGAAGTTCTTTCTTGTATCCACAGAAAGTGGAGGTATAAACCTTGATGGAAAATTTGATATTTCCTATATTTATATCATGTAGACTTGCGTTATGTGTATCGCTTTTCATCCTGTTCTTCCCTCTCTCATCCTCGTTGGAACATTTAACGGTACTTGTTTGACGCTTTTTTCACAGCTTATCGAAGTTTTAAAATTTGATTTTACTGTTTCATTTACTATTAATACTAGCTTTTACTATTAATGTTTCGCTTGCAAATTAAATTTGCGCTATTGAGGTTTATAACGTCCTTGCAATCAATACGATTGTTGTGATTGTAATCATTAAGATTGTTGTGATGGATTGGCTTTAGATTGTTGTGATTGTTATGTTTATTAAAATTGCTGTGGTGGATTGGCTTTAGATTGTTGTGATTGTTATGTTTATTAAGATTGCTGTGGTGGATTGGCTTTAGATTGTTGTGATTGTTATGTTTATTAAGATTGCTGTGGTGGATTGGCTTTAGATTGTTGTGATTGTTATGTTTATTAAAGTTGTTTACCATGTTTCGTGCTTGTTTATCATGTTTCGTGTTTGTTTACCATGTTTCGTGCTTGTTTACCATGTTTCGTGCTTGTTTACCATGTTTTCGTGTTTGTTTACAATGTTTCGTGCTTGTTTACCATGTTTCGTACTTTTTACCATGTTTCGTGCTTGTTTACCATGTTTCTCATTTGCACATGACATATAGGGGCCGTTTTTGTCTACGATATCGCTAACGAAAACGATCCATTAATTGGATCTTCTGGCGTGGGTGAAAACACTCATAAAGATCCCGTTTCTCAGGTGAGCCATAAAATCATCCCTGTTATCAGTAAACGCTCATCCATACGTCAATGAAATCGTTATCTTATACAGGTCACATGGTTCAGCGATCCCACCTCAAAAGACAAAAAGTTCAGGGTATGGGATATTTTCCGTTCGGCACCTCACTTTACAACTAAATAAAGAAGCGTCGCCCGTTCGCATGTAGTGGTATAGTTTGCAGTACAGTGTGGAAACCACCGATCATTGTTTAATGTAAAGCATGTTGTGTTCGAGCTAAACACGAAGATAGTTAAATCGCAAGTGTATGGAAAATCATTTTATTTCTCAATAATGGATGAAGTGTGAGGCGTGGAATTTCTACGCGAATCTTTACTTACGTACTTCTCGAAGACGCCTTTAAGATATCATGATTCTTACCCGTAATTGTTTTTTTTTCTGAAATAAAATTGTGTATCAAGTGGTGATTGTTAATTGCTGTGCTTATGAAAATACCCTCAGGTCATCAGTGCGGGCGCGGATGGCAAGATCTTGATATGGCGACTCAGTCAAAGCAGCAAAAGTCTTAAGTTATTGCGAGCTTATGTCTTTCAGACTGACAACATTCCTCGTAACTTTCGAGTGAGTAAAGCCCGTGACGACAGCATGGTTGGAGGTTTGTTTGAATTTTTACTTTAATGGACACTTCGCCGAACATTTGGTTTTCAGTTCGGGGGACGGCTGCACGAAGGCCGAATAGCGCTATCCACTGGTGTGGCAAATTTTTCGAACATTTAAATGAAAGGGTAAAATATGAAATTTGAACCGAGCAATCACCGAAAGAAAATATTTTTTAAGATTACAAAATTTCTTTGTCGGTAACAAAAAATAAACACTTTTTTTACAACTTTGAAAATTTTATCATCCAATGGATAAAGCTATCTAAGCTTCGTGCAATCGGCCTCAGTTCGTTTAAAGATTGTGCTCGTTCTCTGTTGTTCATAAGAGAGCTTTACCTATAGTACGAATACGAAGTTTGACCGTATAAGGGCATGGCACTAGGAAGTTTGTTGTCTTCGTTTCGTCAAAATGCTATTTTAATTGTAAACAACTCGATTCCTATAGCTAAATACTAGAGCGAAGACTTGCTTTGTTTTTTAATTGTTTTATTTTCAAAAAGGAAATTTTCAGCCAACTTTTTATTGTAATAATCTATTTTGAGTTTTCCAAAGTAAAACGAAGAGGCAGAAGAGCAAAGTTTTGATTGTTTACTTGGCGGCCATTGTTGAATCTGACTAAACTATCTAATAAGATTGTTCCTTTAGCAAAAAATAAATATGTTACTTACCGTTTAGTTAGGACAAGATCGAAAAGTACTTACCCTCGATCTCAAAAACGTCCATCGGTTTTGGGGCACTTTCGAGACCTTGGGAAAATATTTTTCCATCCGGACCTCCCGCATGTAAACAACGGATATACTTTCTTCTCCTGTTTTGTAGTGACCTGCCTATCTTTTTCTCACGAGGACCAGACGACTTTTATTGCGGGCTCAGAAGGTGGTGGTGTATTTAAATGTTCCACGAACTCCATTGCTCCTGCTTCGTCAGGTATCTTTTACTAAACTTCATTTAATTACTTTAAGGTTTGAAGGCATTTATTTTGACAAAGTTACAAGGTAAAATACTTCAGGGTTGGTTAGAGAAAGGCTTTGTTGCCCAGAGTAAAGTTATTTTTAATGATCAAATTTTCAGAGATACATTGCTTCTGTGATTGCGGGAGGGAAAATACTACAAATTAAGTTCACTGTTGTCTCCGTTAGTAACGATGGAATGTTGAAACTTGAACCTAAGTATACTCCAGTCTAGTGTCTTCATCAGGAGTGATCTGATGTTGAAACTTGAGTCCTTCTACACTACACTCTAGTGTCTTCATCGGGAATGATGCGATGTTGAAACTTGAGCTCTTATATACTCTACTCTAGTGTCTTCATCACGAGTGATCTGATGTTAAAGCTTGAGTCCTTTATACTCAACTCTAGTGTCTTCATCGGGAGTGATCTGATGTTAAACTTGAGTACTTATATACTCAACTCTAGTGTCTTCATCGGGAGTGATCTGATGTTAAAGCTTGAGTCCTTATATACTCAACTCTAGTGTCTTCATCAGTGATGTTAAACTTGAGTACTTATATACTCTACTCTAGTGTCTTCATCACGAGTGATCTGATGTTAAAGCTTGAGTCCTTATATACTCCACTGTAGTGTCTTCATCACGAGTGATCTGATGTTAAAGCTTGAGTCCTTTTATACTCAACTCTAGTGTCTTCATCGGGAGTGATCTGATGTTAAACTTGAGTACTTATATACTCAACTCTAGTGTCTTCATCAGGAGTGATCTGATGTTAAACTTGAGTACTTATATACTCTAATCTATTGTTTCCATTAGGTGTGATTCTGAAACTTCACCCCTTATATACTACAATCTGTAGTTGAAACATGGTCCCATGCATACTCCTGTGTGGATAGGGTTGAAATATTGCACATGTTGTTCAAGCTTAAAAACTTCCGGAAATTTGCCCGAACCGTGCACTAACGCTAGACATTCAAATTGTGGATTATTTTGCGTTTTTTTCTATTTATAGTTGGCATTTTCTTAAATCCCTCATCAGTTATTCATATTTGGTTCAATTTAGGTAGAAGTTTGTGCATAATTGTGAAATTATTACAAGTTGGCATTTGAAAACGAAAAATTCAAAATAATTCGCAATTTGAAAACTAAGCGTTTGCGTACGCATCAGCCAAAGATTCTAAAACTTTGTCACCTTGAACAACACGCGCCATATTTTAACCTTATATGTTTCAATTGCTTTTTAGCTGTATCATTTTCGTGCGCTAGCTATTTCAAAAGTGCTTCTCGGTAACAAAATTTTCACTCAAAATGTTTATTATTAGCAAAGGTTTTACTGTCAGATAAACTGATAAACCATTGGAAGTCCAACTAACTGTTTCCACCAAAGGTTTTTGCAAATCTTGCGCGCTGATGAGTTTAGCAACGTTTTCCAAACTGTTCAGTTTTTTCTATACACCCTGTAGTTCAAAACTATATGACTCACTTTGCTTCATGCAAATTTTACTTTGTTTATGATTGATTTAGTTTATTATAATAATCTTTTCATGTTAAATGTAGTCTAGTATTTTACTCTAGCAATTAGTTATGTATTATTTTTCTCTCTCTCTCTCTCTCTGGCCATTGTGCTTGAACTATATTTCGTTTAATATCACTTGATAGACGACATGAATTCGATCCCAGTCCATTCTCCAGTCACGCTTGCCTATTATCCATACTTGGGTCCAGTTCACTCAGTTAGTTGCTCTCAGCATCATCGCAACGTATTCCTTGCTGCTGGGGCTGACACGATCAGACTGTACAACATGCTACAGGTGAGGAATAATGGGATCACTTGTGGATACATTGTGATGCTTTGGTTTATGAAATACATTACACAAACCAGTGACGCTAATTCCTCGAGGTTCGTAATTATTCCGTGTTCTATAAATATGCAAAGTTTATCCCTAACCCTAACCCTAACCCTTAATCTCATAGTACCGCTTTCTGCTGAGGTTTTGGTTACAGATTGGAGCAGGGATCAATCTTGCGTATCAGTAGAACTCAGATTAATTACGGCGAGAGCTGACAATCAATGCTGCGTTGGCTGGAGTAAACAATTAAAACAGAATTGTATTTTCGTTATATTTTCTCAGTTGACGCCTTCTCTTACCATCGAACCTTCTCGCGATTATCTCTACTCGATACGCTGGTCCTGTACGCGATCGGTCGTCTTTGCTGTAACTTGTGCCAAAGGCAAGATACTCCTTTATGATCTTAAGGTAGGATGATCAATACTATTGACCTAAATGATATGTTCAGTGCCGTGATTTATAAATAAAGAGAAAATTGATCCTCCAAACGTAGGATCATTTTGGAAGGCTATACGTACAATTGATGTAAACGATTTGCTCACTGCTGTGATAAAAAAGTAATGGGAGAATAAATAAAGTGCTCTCGTGAGCAAAATTTTTATTTGCAATTTTAAAACTTGGTGTAATATCTAACGTATCGGAAGAAAACTTTTCAATTTGGTCAAATCGTCATCTTGTTATGGCGGTAAATAATTGCATTTTAATGCACTTTGTCCGTCGTTGCATAAAGTCTGGGTCCATTCAAATTCTTACTTCGTCCAAGGTAGTTGGTATCATTGAACTCATCATCATCATATCTTGTCGCGCCACGTGAAGCCTTGCTACTTGTCCCCATCATTGAACTAAAATACATGGAACGCTACTTGTAATACAAAACCCTAATAATTTTTGAAGCCGTGATTTTACCTTAGACACGCGTGTGTAGTCGATCAATTATCACTTCGCGAGAGAATCTCGAAACACTACACACTACACACGCGTGTTTGGGGTAAAATGTCGCGTGTCTGATGTAAGATTTGGCTTCAATTATTTGCTTTAGGTAGCGTTCCATGTATTTTAGTTCAATGGTTGGTATATAAACCTTGTGTTGAGGAATCCCTTGCATGACGTCACAAAAGTAAGTCATTCCAGATTTGGACGACTGGCAAGGTCCATTGAGACGAGCGTTTTTTTCAAACTTAAATAGCCATGAATATGGAACCAAAGCTAAAAATGTTTTTCACTGTTACGTTACAAATCGCACTTAAATTTAGTATCGCAAATGAATTTTTTTGCGCAAAGGGAAACTTTAAGATATACAGGTACCCTAGCCATACAATTGATATAAATGATATGTGTGCTACATTCTATAAGAAGATTGAGCTTCAAACGCTCAGTTCAAATATGTTTGCTCCATACCAAAACCCATGTTTACGGAATCTCTACATATCATCAATTAATTTTGTCAGGAAAACAGAATCAATCCCGTACTGACGTTGATCGGATGTTCCAAGGAAAGTTCTGTTTATACTGCGGAATTCAATCCTTCTAGGTAACTTCAGACACATCAATTGTTCATTTCGATTGCATACAATCGTTTGCCTATATGCTGTACCTTAATTCTGTCCAATACTATGTTGTACTTTAGTTATGTCCCATACTATGTTGTACCTTAATTCTGTCTTATACTATGTTGTACTTTAGTTATGTCCTATACTAAGTTGTACCTTAATTCTGTCATATTATGTTGTACTTTAGTTATGTCTTATACTGTGTTGTACTTTAGTTATGTCTTATTCTATGTTGTACTTTAGTAATGTCCTATACCATGTTGTACTTTTATAATATCCCATACTAAGTTGTATCTTAATTCTGTCTTATACTATGTTGTACTTTAGTTATGTCTTATACTATGTTGTACTTTAGTTATGTCTTATTCTATGTTGTACTTTAGTAATGTCCTATACCATGTTGTACTTTTATAATATCCCATACTAAGTTGTACCTTAATTCTGTCCTATACTATGTTGTACTTTAGTTATGTCTTATACTATGTGTTATGTGTTCACAAAGCAAAAGACTTCTAAAGAAATAAATTGTGTTAATGATCTGAAATAAACTAAGCATGAGCAAACGGGCCGCCTAATGCAACTGGTAAGAACCTTTGGCGGCAACTATCTTAATTAAATTAAAAAGCTCGAAAACGATGACTGGAGAATGATATAAGTGAGTTATTTGTGGTTAAAAGCTTTTTGTGGGATTACCGTAGGAAGAAATAAGAGAGCCTTTTGAGGTTATAGGTTTTCAGTGGGATAACAGAAGGAAGGAAGAAGAGACTTTGAATGTTAAAGGGTTTGAGTGGGATAACAGTAGGATGAAGTAAGAGAGTAATTCGGGGTTTCAGATAGCACATAGATGGCCTGGCAAAGAGTTGAAAAAATCTTGTAATAGATAAAAGCTACTTTTTTCACTTAAAATTGTTCCTTCACTTCAGTTTCCTCTTGTCATATGAAAAATCGATAACAAAAACGTTTTCGTTACCGTTTTCCAGGAAGCATTTACTTGCAACCGGAAACGGAGTTGGCGAGGTGAAAATTTGGAAACTAAGCGACGAGCTTGTGACGCCCAAACCACGTGACCAAGATGTTCTTGAAAGCTTGGCTATACTTTACGGAGACTGATTGGCGTGTCGCAAGGTAACGATCTATCTTGTATTGTTTAGCTATGACACGAACAACTCGGTGATTATTTATTTATGAAAATTATTTAAGCGTCAAACAAGTATTTATGCACGTGAATGAAACGTGACTACGTTTCTTCGCTACATCCACCTCCTTTGTAAAAGGTTATTTTCAAATAAAGTTGTAGGAGTATCGAGAACGATGCATTTCCCATTGTAGAATATAAGTCCAGTGGCTGCTAAATCCTGAAATTTTACAGCTGACGCCAAGTTGAATTGGTAGGTGCTGATCCTGATCCGAATCTAATCCTAACCCAAACTCTTATCTGACCCTATCCTCTAATGTCACTCTATAACTCAAATTAGGCTGTTGCGATTTAAAAAAAACCGGTATCGATATTTATCGATGTATGGATATTTTTTCGGATTGAAACGATTGATAAGATCAAATTGAAACTTAGCCAGCGATTGCCGCGCGCGTGTGATTGGGTCATGATTGTCTAATGGTATACAAAACCATTTAAAAACCGCTATAATGCCATTAAAAAACCATAAAAAGTATCTATAATAACTAAATATATGGTAACACCGAATATTTCGGTATTTTTTTCGATATTTTCGGCATATCGATTCGATGTACCGAAAAAACCAATATCGATAAGCCGATGTTAAAAAACCCCCGATATTCATCGATATTTCGATATACCGCAACAGCCTAACTCAAATGTCACCCTGCGCGATGAAGGCAAAAAACCAGAAAACAAGAAACCACATCTGTACATTTTTTCAGGATTTAGCCGTTACTTCGAAGTCTGAAGCACAAATTTAATGTGTGGCCGAACAACAATTATTGTTGCTATGGTAACATTGTTTGCCTTTCTTATCGATTGCCTCGATTAAAATTTCTGTTCAATGTTTTGACTCGCATGAAAAAATATTGATATGCTTATTTTAAACACTAAAGTAAAACGCGCCGTTTCGTTGTATTTCGAAATGGGAATGTCCGGGAAGGTTTAGGACTTGCATGTACAATCGTTAAGAGCTCACACGTATTCTGTTAATTTGTCACTTGTCCGGCTGTAAACATATTTAGGAAATTTATTAACTATATAGACGCTTAATATAAGTCGCTTAGTAGCTACAATGTTTATGTGTTTATGGCTATCCGAGTCGTAACTCTTTATGATTTTTATGAAGTAGCCGGATGAGCGAGCCCGATCACGATATATTAGTTGTTTCAATCGCTCAAACTCGCGATAGGATTCTGCACAACTGGGATCATCTATTTGCTAAAGTAGATCCGGGGAAAAAGATTCAATTGATTGGTACGGTGGCTCACAAGGGCCACCACATAAAATAAAAATATTAATGCACACACAAAATAAAAATACACATACAAAATAAAAATACACACACAAAATAAAAATACACATACAAAATAAAAATACACACACAAAATAAAAATACACACACAAAATAAAAATACACACACAAAATATGATTGCGGGCGCTTGCAGTGTCGGCTTACTCGGAATTGCTCGTAATTGATCGTTTTTGTTTTCAAAGTTCTAATGGTTCCAACTTCCAGAGTACATAATAAAATTCATTGATTTCACTGTGATCAATTATTTCAAAGTTGCTTACGATATTGCTCCCCGTATTCTGGTTAAAATTAAGGTTAATGTGTTGTCCTGGTTGCGGCAACAATTCCGGCTCAGTCTCGGAATCAAACACGTACTGTGATGATTGTTTATCAGAGGAAAACATTACACGCTTGATAACAGGTTATTTCAATCGTGGTTATCCGTATGGGGCAATCGTCAGACTTTTGCAAACCTCCGGTATTCTGATGTCTATACGGACGTTGAAGCGCCGCTTCAGATCTTTGGACTTAAGACGAAAAGGACAAGTCGTTGATGAACAAAATTTAAGAAATGTTATAGAGTATATAAAAGCCTAGGAGCAAACGCTTGCTGGCACCTCGACGGTAAGATTACATTAATGTAGTTTCTATGAATTTTTAATCAAACTTATAGATAATGGGGAACAGTTACCCAAACCTAGCTTTTTTGTAGCACATTATTGAGTGCAAATGTCTAACAAACTCTTCCCTTTTTAAGGATATGACAAACTCAAACCATATGGGTTTGCAGTACATGGTGCTGTTTGTGGTTACAGCAGAAGAATTCTGTGGCTTGAGGTTGTCAGATCAAACAAAAATCCAAATGTAATTGCAGAAATATTTCTTAATGCTGTTAAGGAGTTTGGAGGCTGCACATTGTGGGACAGAAAATGTTTTATTGTCTGCAATGCAATGCTACCTGAGAGCTGATGGAGATGATGAATGGGCAGGGGAGAAAGCTCATGTTTATGGATCCTCTCTTTCAAATCAAAGAATTGAAGCATGGTGGTCTTTCCTGAGACGAACTAGGTCAGGCTGGTGGATTGACTTTTCCAAGATATGGCACAAAAAGGTTTGTTAGAGTTGGGTAATACCTACCACATGGAGACACTGTGGGTTTTTTTTAACATGTTATTTCAAAAAGATTTAACAAAAGTAAAAGATCACTGAAATAGCCACTACATTTGTAGGTCGCAACATGAAACCGTATCAGGAGTTCCAGACATTTTGTTCTTTCTGCCAGAATACTATGGGGGTGAAAACTGCCTAATAGAGATTTCTGCTGATAAGCTGAGTGAAATGGAAGAGAGAATTGACCCATGCATTTGTGAGGACATTTACAAAGAATATTTTGATTATGTCTTGGAAAACAAAAATTTGGCATGTCCTGAAGACATAAATGAAGGATTTGAAATTTTTCAACATTTAATTAATGTACCACAATGAAGTTAGTGTTAATTATATAGATTATCACACAACATAATGAAAGTTAAATAAAGTAAATGGTTTGAACCCAGGAGTATCGTTACATGTTTGTAGATATAGATCGTCCAGGTTAGTAGAGTCCTGAGAAGGACTGTTATTGTTGATGTTGACTGACATTTCAACAACCTTAGCAATAAGCATCTTCAGAGTCAAATCGAAACGTCAGTCAACATCAACAACAATAGTCCTTCTCAGGACTCTACTAACCTGGACAATCTACATCTACAAACATGAAAAGTTACTATGTAAGAAGTATTTGGCATAATGATACCCATGCCACAAAGATGAAATAGAAATATACTGTTGCAAAAAGAGGTTTTTGCAACCAATTGCAAAGCAAATAAAACTATATTATGAAACATGATTTGTTGTAAATTGTTGAATACCATTATGGTAAAACGTAGCATTCCGCCACTAAACTTGAAATTTAGTGTTATAAACACGTTATAAGAACTATGAACTAATTGAATATGTACTTGTTATAAAAAACTGCTAAAAAACTTTATGGAATCCCAAAAGGAGAATTTAAAATTCCATCATCCATTTTTTCTTTAAAAGTATCATATTGCACTTCATCCTTTGAACCACCAGGGAATAGAGGGAGATAAAGTGTGGTATCACATGTGTTTGATCTTGGACGAACATCTTCCCAAAAGCATAGTGAAGGCATTGGTGTAAAGCCAAGAGGTGGGATGTCATCACTTCCTGTTGCAAAGATTAGTACATCTCCCAAAGTAGCACCACATCGTCCAGCTAAACAGAGAGCAATATACGTGTTGATGTAGCAACTAGCAGTGTTTAATTTCTTCGATTTTTCAACTGCAGAAATAATAATGCATACTTACAAGTTCTAACTTAACATCTTAGTACTACAGGATTTTGTAAATACTGTAAACTAGAAATATAGTCAATGAACTACCTTACATTACCTTCACAATCTTGCAGATAATCCCTCCAATGCATAAGTGCAAGTTCTTGTCGGGGTATTTGTTACTTCTAGGTTCATAGAAACTACATTAATGTAATCTTACCGTCGAGGTGCCAGCAAGCGTTTGCTCCTAGGCTTTTATATACTCTATAACATTTCTTAAATTTTGTTCATCAACGACTTGTCCTTTTCGTCTTAAGTCCAAAGATCTGAAGCGGCGCTTCAACGTCCGTATAGACATCAGAATACCGGAGGTTTGCAAAAGTCTGACGATTGCCCCATACGGATAACCACGATTGAAATAACCTGTTATCAAGCGTGTAATGTTTTCCTCTGATAAACAATCATCACAGTACGTGTTTGATTCCGAGACTGAGCCGGAATTGTTGCCGCAACCAGGACAGCACATTAACCTTAATTTTAACCAGAATACGGGGAGCAATATCGTAAGCAACTTTGAAATAATTGATCACAGTGAAATCAATGAATTTTATTATGTACTCTGGAAGTTGGAACCATTAGAACTTTGAAAACAAAAACGATCAATTACGAGCAATTCCGAGTAAGCCGACACTGCAAGCGCCCGCAATCATATTTTGTGTGTGTATTTTTATTTTGTGTGTGTATTTTATTTTGTGTATTTTTATTTTGTATGTGTATTTTTATTTTTGTGTGTATTTTTATTTTGTGTGTATAATGTATTTTGTGTGTGTATTTTTATTTTGTGTGTGTATTTTTATTTTGTATGTGTATTTTTATTTTGTGTGTGTATTTTATTTTGTGTGTGTATAATGTATTTTGCGTGTATTTTTATTTTGTGTGTGTATAATGTATTTTGTGTGTGTATTTTTATTTTGTGTGTGTATTAATATTTTTATTTTGTGTGGTGGCCCTTGTGAGCCACCGTACTTGTGAGCCACCGTAGATTGGTACTTGGCAAGCAATGCTAAAATATTACATAGTCGGCAGAATGTCGTGTATATCAGTCTGCCAAAGAGTCTGTCATCTTGTAAGAGAGAAACGTGTTACCTATGTTCTTTAGACATATATCGCGTATTTTTCAAGCATTTTTAACTTATTAATGCAATTACGGCGAACGCGTTCGTAACATTTTTCAATGACCACTTTCCGACTTGCAGCTGATCTTAAAAATGAAATAGCTACATGTGTACAGTTGCCTGAAGATCGCCCTTCGAGGTGAAACCCTGAGTTGGTACAATATATCCTTAACTGTATGCATACAGACTTCAAAGACGATAATAGCGAGTTGATTGCATTTTTATAAAGTAAAGTCAGAAATATAGCTTTCGGACCACACTATGTGAGCATAGTAGAAAAGTTTACTTAAACAACCACTTCAAAGCAGATGGGGATACTTATATCTAGTAGTTCTTTGGATGCTGGAAATATTTTTGAAATGCCTTTGAAATGTATTGGAAATGAACTTGAGTTTTCGAGATGCCTAGGTATAGACATTTTACGAATATCGTGCAAATAAAATAAATACTATGTATAGTTAATTGCTTCCCAAAAGTTGAATGCCGTACTAATGGACTGCGATCATGCAAAGAAAACCAAATTTCGGAAATATATGTTTGATGAACTGAACACCAAAATGAAGAATCTAGTTGTGTAAGTGCATGAAATTACCAAAATATATCGGTCTTGTGGTTTGGTATCGAACGTTTAGGTTCCCATATACAGAAATTTTTATTCAATGGAAGTTTACGATCTAGTTTGATATGAGCAAAGAGGAGTAAGTTGAGTTTTAGTGCGTTAGTCGGTCATAGTTTGAATACTGGCTTGGTCCGAGAACTTTATACTTTTGAGGCTGTCGAATAGCTTGAATATATATCAGCCTGGCCATATTGAGATTAGTAATGATACGTTTGAAACGATGACTATATAGTATTTGATCTAGACCTCTTATGTAATGCGTGTAATGATTGCACGTGGTTGAATTGCGTATTTGATAGAAAGAACTGTTCGTGAATATGCAGGCAAACATAACTTGCATGGCAACTTGGGCGCACGGCTATCTCGTTGAAGCAGTAGGTCGATTCTAGCATCTTCTGCTTCGAATGGTTCTACTCAGCAGTTTGACACTTTTAATGGCCTCTACACGTACAATTCAAGAAAACTTTTTGCCTAAATATGCTGCTCATGTGTCGTCCCTTAGCGAAAATGCCGAACTTTACTTTGTAGCTGACATAGCAATCAACTCGCTATTATTTGTATTTATGTTTTGTTTGCTTAGCGGTTTGGCTAAACATCTTTGATATTTTAGCACCTGGTCGACGCCAGGCATTGCCTCACGTATCGCAAACTTTCTTCTAATTAAAACCGTTAGAGAGAATGAATAATTCTGGCCGCGAACATGTTTAACAGTTCGGTCTCGCGAAAAACACATTTTCCATTAGTGGTGTCTGGTTGAGTCTGCCTATCCGATTTCTCGTGTGCCTTGCTCATGTGAATTGTGAAACGGCTTTGTGGAACAATGAGGCGGCGAGGCCATTTCTTAAGACAGAGGCGCTTTTAAAGCGTTGTTTAATTTGACTAATGACGCGCTGTTTGGCGCCGATGTAAAACCAATTAAAAATGAATATGTTAATCACGTGTCGTTACGCTTTAAAAACATCAATAAAAACTTTCGTGGCGTTTGCAGTCGCGTTGCCTCCCATTATAAATTCGAAGGATACGTCGCCCGATTAAAACGCTCGTCTTGAATGTCTCTTCACACTCGCCCAATCGATGAGGACATTTCGACGTGCGAACCGTGATGAGGATTGGACGCGTCGAGACGCAATATTCGTTACACGTCACAACTGAAAGAACCGTCGAACGCGTGCAAAGCTCATGTATTTGAAACAATAGGACGGCAATTAGTACGATCTCCAAATAAAAAGAAAGCATTGTCAAAGTCTGCCCGCTAAATTATCGACCTCGTTTGCCCCGACTTGCTAAATTGCCGCTTCCTTCATTGATGCGTTATTGTTACTTGGACTTGCGACTACACCGCATAAATGACACATGCTCTCTACTCGATTCCCACTCCCCATCCCCCTTTCCGTCCGTGAAAACAATCTGGCAACGTGTTTGACGACAGTGCTCTTCGCACAATTTATTGTGGTCGCTCTCGAGAAATTCACTCCGTAGTTTCCTTTCACTAAAGGGGCAATTAAACTGTGAACGCTCGTTTTATCGCCGCACCTGCGCACCTGTTGACCTCATTTTCTTGTAATATGCACCCTAGTGACATTTTATTCGTTGGCACTGTATATTTAGTAAAAGGTGTTTGTTAGTTCGTTAGACTTTTAGCTAATGAAATTACTTGGGGTTAAGCTTTAGTCGGTAATTATTTTAGAAACGTCGCCCTCTGTTATGCACCTTTGCACCACGCTCGTTTCATCGCCGCACCTGTGCACCTGTTGACCTCATGCTCTTGTAATATGCACCCTAGTGACATTTTATTCGTTGACACTGTTTTTTTAGTAAAAAGTGTTTGTCAGCTCGTTAAACTTTTAGCTAATAAAAGTACTCGGGGTTAAGCTTTAATCGGAAATCATTTTAGAAACGTCGCCCTCTGATATGCGCCTCGCTCAGGATCACGACATTTGATGCGCGTCGCGGTGCCAAAACAAACAAGTTTTGCTGTTGATGTTTGCTCGCAAATATTTTCCAGGTATCATCAGGTACGATATTTTGTTGGATAGCCTTTGCAAACGATGGAATTTAGTTGTTGAATTTTTCATTGAGTTATGCATATATTGGCGACGAACAAAGGTTGTTTGCGCGCGCTTCCTAAAATTAGTCTCTGTTGATCATTGTGAAAGGGGAAATGGGTCATGGTAGAAAGGGGAAATACGGTCATGATAGAACACCTGAACAGTGTCTTGATAACGTTAGTGGGATTATAGTTGATATATAGATAAAAAGTTGCGAAAGGGTTCTTCATTCTTTGGATGATGAGAAAAAAACAGTTAGGTTAGAAAAACGCGATTTCCTTTTGTTGTCAATGGCAAAGATTGGGAGCCTTATGTGTGGGATAGATAGGGACAGTATAGGGATGCTTGTGTCTCACGGTAGCCCATTAGTTTTTATGGGATATTTCAAACAACTCCAGGATGACTCACGTCTCTTTTGCTTAAAAAACGAAGCACAGGTAGACATATTATTCATGCTATATAATGTTTGACGACAGGCAATGGCAATGTGACAAGATGTGAATCTTACCGCGACCATTTAAAGGCATCCGCGGTTAAAATGGCGACATTGCTCGTCGACTTAACGAGGTGCATGAATCTAGGCATAGGTTTCTAAATTGCCAAAGCAGATCAATGCAATTTTATCGATTGCAACATGTTGTTTGTAAACACTTTGTTGTTCTTTGTGTTGGCCGCCTGTTTGATCACGTGAGTTTTTTTGGTTTTAAGTGAACGTCTTGTTACATAAATTATAAACAGAATAACGTAGGCGACGATGAGCGAGCACTGGAGAACAAGAACATTCCTTGCACTCTCTGAATTATAAACTAAGATAACGTGTGTCAGTGTAGATAATGATGAATGAACAAAAGAGAACAAGAACATTCCTTGCACTCTCTAAAATATAAACTAAGATAATGTGTGTCATTGTTGGTAGTGATAAATTAACAACAGAGAACAGAACAGTCTTTACACTACCTAAGATATAAACTAAGATAACGTGTTTTAGTGTAGTTAGTGATGAATGAACAACAGAGAACGAGAACAGTCTTTACACTACCCAGAATATAAAGTTAGATAAATTGTGTTAGCTGTGATGAATGAACTACAAAGGACAAGAACAATGTTTGCACTACATAAAAAGAGAAAGTGAGATAACGTGTTGGTGTAGGTAGTCACAGAGAACGAGTGCAGTTTTTACAATACCCCAAAATAAGCAGTTTGTCAATTTAATTTATAATAAATACAACGAAAAGAACGAGAGCTTGAGGAAAATAATTTCTGACAAGAAACATAGGATTCCACACGAACTCCATCAATATAGGTAATATTATTCTGACAACACCAGCAAAAACTTTTTAAAATATATGACTTATGTGAAATTTAGGTTCATATACTTCCGAAATGCATTTGATGAGTGCATCAGGTAGCTAACTGGACGGTGAAAACTTAAATTTATAAATATCTCGTTAAACCGACTTTTTAATGTATTGTGGAGAAGTGTATAAATTCATATATTCTTGTAGTCTTCGTACTTAGCAAAATATTTTTACACGAATTATTTAATCTTCAAACTCATAGTTCACGCCCGCGCCAAGCCGCTTTAATTGAGAGTATATTGAGCTGTTTACGACGCAATTCTTTGCTTGATTATTGGAGTTTTAACATCCTCGTTTAGTAAAGGGATCGTCAATTAAACATTGCTCTGAAAAATTCGTAAAACACCCATGTGGTTTGCTTTTTGATTCGGCGAAAACGTCGAGAATCTTGCATGTTTGTCACATACAACTAGATAACAACCTTGGTGATTCTTCACAAGCTCACTGGGATTTTGTTCAGTATAACAGAAATTAACGTATACACATCTAGCGCGAAACGGTTTAACCGTCTGTACTTTTCCAGTCAACTTTAACAAGGCAATTATTTTCAATAACGTTATCCAAAAACTCGACTAAAATTCTTTTATATCGCAGAGTCGCATGAGTGAATAAGAACGGTTGGAAACAACAATATGCTTTTAGCGTATGCTTGTTTAATTTAAGTACATGTATACTTAAAGCGTGCATATGTACAAAAGAGCAATTGTATTACATTGTGAAGGAACTTGAACCAGTTCGCAGATGTTTTTGCACTTTATCACAAAATGTTCTCGAATATTCTCAACCCGGTAGTGTTTCCTTTTCTTCAGAACACGTGCTTTATTGCCATGACTCTTTTCGCGCAGTCAGCGAAGAAGATCTCAGTCATTATATGAGTGAGTCTACATTGAAAAGAAGGCAGTCATAGTCGGCACTTTGCACTATTAGCATGGCCGTGTTTCATTGCATCGAGGCGACGCTCAACCGTCAAAAGTACAAGAAAATTCTTTGCATATTTACACTATGTGAATATAATGTTATGTGGGTTTAGCACCGTCATGCTATGTCGAACGTCATTCGTCTTCTGATATGACGATCGAAATAGGTTTAAGTAAATGTCGACCTCGAGGTTTTGTTCGTGTTTCGTATATACATCGCGAGAACCGCTCGTCAGCTTTGTTTGCGATTTTGAAGTGTACAAACACGACACTCGTATAGAATATAACGAACCAAACTATATAACTGCAAAGGAAGAAAATGCCACAAATATGCGAATCATTTTTACTCATATAAGTAACTCTGAAGTACTTGTTGCTCCTTAGCCTCGTTTAGACGTGATGTTTAGAAATTAATTTGCTCGAAGAAGCACGACGTTCAAGTCCGAGTGCCTAGCGAAGTATGCATTTATAACAAGTACGGGTATAGCCTTTGTGACTTTATTTTTTTTCCGTTCGTACTTCATCGAGTAATTTGTCCTCATTTGGAATAGATGACGTCATTATGTATCACCGCCAACTGCATGCTGACGGAATTCCTCTGCAGTTTAAGTAGCGTTCGCCATTTGACTCGGTCATTACAACAGAATGCACACGGTTGCAAGCTGCATGACATTTTATTGTGCAATTTATAATGGAAAAACTTCAATGACGCCGATACTTTTTTTGCCTATGATAGCTTTAACGTGTTGACGATCCTTTGTCCCTAACCTTTTTATCGTTTCGGCCCTGTTGTTCATGGACCATTAAAATAGACCCCCTGCGTGCATGCGTGGACTCCTTTCTTTGCATTTTCGATTTTATTTTATTTTTCGAGTTTTGGAGGAAAAAAGTCGAACGCCATAGCTGCTAAGGCTATGGCGTACGTAGTCGGCCAAACAGTCGTTCAGCCTCGTTTTCTTCCTTCTAGATATTTCTTTCGCGCGTGGGAACGTACCGATATAGTTATAGCAGGAGATATCAATGCGTTAACTACTTTCTTGTACATTAAGAGGATCTCGTCCCAAACATGCAAATAGCTATCTCAAGTGGCCATGCGTTTTTTAGAGCATCTCAATTTCTTTTTGTCCAAGTAAATGGCGATGTGATATCGGGCATCGAAACTCTATGAACATTGCAAATGTAAGCTGTTTGAACATCCAATCAATTTTAGCTATATATAGCTACATATATATTTATATTGATGAGGTTTGTGCGTTTCCTACACTAATTTCTCCATCATTTTTCCCATCATTATAGTACATACATGCAGTGAAGTGTTTTCTATTTAATTGCAGGTCGGGACTTTTGATGCTTGTGTAACACAGACGCGATTTTTTTCATGGTGGGCGATTTGTCCCTCAAGTTCCTTGTCACTTGTTAAAAGTTTCTGATAGATTTCATAAACGTTCTATCATAGCTCTTTTAGCGTGTATTTTACACCAAAGTGCGCTAGATTTACGGGTGGCCGTCACTTTAGCGCGTGCGTTAGACTTTTAGCTGTTGAGAATCGTTACACCAGTATAATGCGTCACCGGACGGCAAACAATACCACTACATGTTTGTCGTTTCACATGCTTGCTTGTGCAATATAAACCACCGTGACGCGTTCAAAGAATACCTTCGAGCTAAAGATCTCGATCGTGTGTAATTAGAACCAAGTCTATAGCATAAGTGTCTTTGTCTCAATAGTGAAAATGGAGCAGGTCGATGTGAGATAGGCCGTGGTTTTTTTGTTCGCGCGTGCTGGTCTATTGCACGCTCTCGAAAGAAAGTAGCAGTGGTCTAGCGAAGCTGCATACGTATTCAATCCAAGTGTTGGAGGAACTTTTTTGAAGGTAAACTCTTCTTCTTTTTGCAATTACAAAAATTGTTCTTCGTACGCGTTTTTTGCGGAAGACAGTTGTTTCTGTATGTCGGTCGTAACTTAAAAATTTCCGCTGTCAAGCATCACAAAGATAGCTAATGTCTCTAAAGAAAATTTTTTCACGAATTTCCGTCAAGTGCGCTCAAGCCGTCTTTATATAAAACTACCTCTTGTACATCGAATCTTTTTAATTATGATCAGCTCATTAACGTTTCCATTCGGTCCGCGCGAAAAACAAATACAGCAAGCGCAGAACAATTCAAACAAGCTTTGAATGAGAAATGTTTCGCATTGTGTCGCGTGTGTCAACAGTCGTAAATTAAAAATCAAACAACCCATAATTTCCCGATGTATCGCAGAGTTTGGTGCGACAAACTGCGTTCAAACTGTGTAAATGCAAGCGGCGAAAGCGGGAATCCCATGAGCGGCCTCTTCTTTCATACTTGGTGTGAATTGGAGGATATTGCTTGAATGACAGTGGATGTAATGTCGCTACAACGAATCAACTCCTTCCTTGTAATGCGCTGAACGGCTTTTTCCGCGTATATACGTATGTTCAAACACATTCATGGCGGCTAATTAGGAGCAATACCTTCTTCGGCCAATCGCAAGTAATTGCGGCTAATATTAGATGGCGCGCGTCGGCTTTCCATGTTATAACTTTGTTTCGTGCATGCACAACGTCCAGTATCTCTCACTTAATTAGTACGCGAACAATCGTTGCTCACGTTTCATCGTGGAACGCATATACATCGTGGAGATAAAAAAAAATTCACATACTTTGGTCGGCTTATTTTCAAGTTTAAAGTGCCTTGTCACTTGGTCGTTGAAGCGATTAACACTAGAAAGCGGTAGGCTCGCAGCGCGTTCGAGTCACCTCAGGGCCATTCGATTTACTCGGCATCCAGATCAACGCAACAACGTTCTCCGACTCGTAATATTAAATTCGAGTGCGTCGTTTTTTTTTCATTCAGCGAGCTCGATTCGGGTGTATTTGTGCAAAGCTGCAATTACGACGTTATAGCAAACAACATCAAAGACATTTCCGCACAATTTTATAATCCGGACGATTGTGTTTGAAGAACGTCTTTAATTTGGACAGTCCTTGCAATTGCGTCGGTGTATTAGATACACTGGCGATTTTATATCCGCCGTCGCGTCGATGTTTAAGGGAATATGTCAATATCTTAACGTTCCCTTCTTGTGAACAACCATTGCTCTTGCGAAATTACTCACGATACCTTACAGCCCGTGTGAATCGAACGCTCGTGTCCTAACCGTTTTCTATTTCGTGTGTGTAGACTGCTTGTTGAAGTGCTTTTGCGAGTGTTCGTCTCTGGTGGAATTTTAAACGTCCAAAGACTTCAAACTTTTAGTCGGGCGAATTCGGCGTTATACGTCTGGTTTAGCTCTCCTGGCGTTACGCAAAAGCATTTTGCTTCTCTTTGACGCAATCGCAAAGCAATTTAAAGGCAATTTGTCTTTTTCGCAGTCAGGTCATAAGCGGTTTGCTGAGTAGAACACTCGTCCAAGATGAAGTCCACGGGATTTACAGTCAGTCATATCTTGGACAACGTAGAACCGGAGCACGTTAGCGAAAGGAAAAACGAAACTCGTAAACCAGTGAATGACAGAGTGTCGTCCGCGCAACAACAGCTATCGCCCGGCGTGGAAATGAAACTTAACATTGTACTTCAAGAAGCCGATCTTTGGAAGAAGTTTCACTCGTTAATGAACGAGATGATAGTGACGAAGAACGGACGGTGAGTTAGAGTGAGGTTTTCCGCCATTTGTGAAAGTAAATTTGCCATCAAAATCATTTTTAAAGTGCATGGAAAGAGTAGGCATTGGTATATCCTGTAGCCCGAGAGGTGTGTACTTCAATGCGTGTCTATTTGGTAAAACTGCGGTGGGCTTCAGTGTTGCATACTCTTTGCACAGGATTTTATATGAACGAAATATACATCGTGTATGTATGTCAGTAATGGCTGGGATATTTATCTGAGAAAACGAAAACAGTTTTTAATGCCATCTAAAATATGAACTAAGATGCCGTGATGAATGAACGACTGAGAACAAGAACTATCTTTACATTTTCTAAAATTTAAAATAAGATAACGTGTATCTGTGAAGGTTATGATGATTGAAGAACAGAAAACGAGAACTATCTCTACACAAACTAAAATATAAACTAAGATAACGTGTGTCAGTGTAGGTAGTGATGAATGAACAACGGAAAATGAGAACAGTCTTTACACTACGTAAAATACAAACTAAGATAACTTGTGTCAATGCTGGTAGTGATGAATGAATAAAAGAGAACGAGAAAAGTCTTTACACTACCTAAAATATAAACTAAGATAACGTGTGTCAGTGCTGGTAGTGATGAATGAACAACAGATAACTAGAACAGTCTTTACACTTGATAAAATATAAACGAAGTTAACGTGTTTCAATGTAGATAGTGATAAATGAACAACGCGGAACGAAAACAGTCGTCATTTTAGACTGAAACAACAGCAAAATGTCTTCCTGGACAAAGGATGTTTTAATTAAATTTCGTACCGTTATATCTTTGTTTAATTTCCGATTTTCTGGCATCTTTCAAGAACGGAACTGTCTGCTCTCTCGCTAAGCCGCTGATTCATATTCGCATACATTTGACATTTCCGTTGGTACTTACGCTTTTGTACGGATTTTCGGTGTATCGCTTTTTATCAATTATTGTAGCTGCGATTGTGTGCTTGGTGACAAATATTTTAGGATTCTGGTGCGATTATGTTCTACGATGTTTTTTATGGTTTATAATTATATCGTAAAGACCGTTCTCGTTCTCTGTTGTTCTCGTTCATCACTACACCGACACACGTACTCTTAGTTTTTATTTATATACTGTAAAGACTGTTTTCTTTATCTGTTATTCATAGCTCACACATTTTTTGATTTCGAAAAGCCTTGAAAACCCTGTTTTCGTGGTTGTCCTCTTCTAAATCGTACAAACCATTCTCTCACTCTTTCTTTCTCGGAAAACAGGAGAATGTTTCCAGTCATCAAAATATCCGTAAATGGTTTGGACCCGCAGTCAATGTACTCGTTCCTGCTTGATTTTGTTCCAGTCAGCGATACAAGATGGAAATACGTAAACGGAGAATGGATTCCTGGCGGGAAAGCAGAACCGTCAAGTCCGAGCAATCTTTATCTGCATCCCGACTCACCAAACTTTGGATCCCACTGGATGAGGCAATCAATTTCATTTTCAAAGGTTAAGCTGACAAACAAGCAAAATTCTAATGGACAGGTAGGCGATGCATGCATGCAGCTGCCCCGTTTTTGGTAAAATGAATCGCGATATGTTGAGAAGTATCGATCTGTTTGCACTAAAGGGCTATTTTTCATTTGCAAAAATGGCAAACAATGTTTTACTTGAAGTCTGAAAGCTTAGAAAAGAGTCGTTTTATCTACCACCGAGTTTCTCTTTTGTCGCTTCAAAAAGGGAAGTCTGAATCCCCTCCCTCGAATTCAATCAAAGATTCTGTGAAAACTACCGTAAAAGCTTAAAGCGCTGCTTTTTGACAAATCGGAGCAATGTTAGAGAAAAGCAAACATTCGCGGATGCTCCGTTACATTTGCAACATGCATGAATAGCGATGTTGTTAAAGAGCTTTAGTTAATACACAAACTTTTTGTTTACATCTTGAATTATGTTAATTGCGTGGTGGAAACATTTTACTAGTAATATTTTGTCTGTAATTGCACTATTTTTTGACGTGTCTTTAAGAAAAAATTTTTGCAAAAGTGCCTGTGAGTGTGAGACTTTTTTTTCATTTTCCACAGACATTGGGCGAATATTGCCACGGCAACCGCGCGATGACCTGCTTTTTAGAGTCGATCAATTTTTCTGTTGTTTGTTTGTCACACAAAACATTGCATGGCCAAACACTCCAGCATACAGCTTGCATGGTATATGATGTGGAAAACTGTCGAGCAATGACTTGTTTCTCGTGATTTTTTGTCCGGGAAAGAAATTTCCATTTAACGGCACTATAGACATATTTTTCACGTACAGCCGTGAAAACGTCGCGTTTTTTCCCGAGAGCATCATCCGAAGCGATTCTCGATGCATCGTTTTATCGTGTCCACGTTAAAAGTATCGCGTATAGCAGGTATATGCAAGGGTGAACAAACAGTCATTGTTCTCTTTCTGGTGGTTCGAAAGTTCTCTCGTGTTTTGAATATAAAAGATGTTTTTCACCTCGAGGGCACCGTTTGCAAACACGTGTTTGTATTCTAAATTGTCTCATCTCCCTTCCTGTCGTTATTGTCTTTGCTCGTGTACCTGCTTAAATAGGTTGTTTATTTTTTTTTTCTCGAAAATCTCGAGTGCTCTTCATTCATTTAATGTGCAGGCATATTCTTTTTTGGACTCGGCTTGCATTCATGGGAATCTCTTTCTATATGCCAGCATGTGGCTAGCTAGTTTCTTTGTTTTCTGTTTGAAGTGATCTTAAGTCGTTGAATGGGTTGGACAAAATTTTAACTTGTTGCGTGGCGATTCTATTTCATTTTGCATTTTCCTTCGACTTTCGAGAAACAGGTGGTAGCTAGGCCGTTTCTACCACGCTTTAGAGACAAAATAACACACGTGTTTTTTTTTTCTTCGTTCGAACTAACCGTTGTGACAAAGCAAACTGCTCTGAAATCTTCCCATTTCGAAACGAAAACTGAAGTACGCTCCATTGCTCTTTAATCTTCTTGATGAAGAAGACGAAATTGTAGCTCTCTCCGCAATTTGGGAACGTTGCAAACAGACCCGATACTGTTTTAACGAGGCCTGACTTTTCATTGATCAAACACGAAGGTATCCACAAAGCATTACGTGCTTAATATATCACACTATTCCTCTAGATCATGCTGAACTCCCTGCATAAGTACGAACCTCGAGTTCACATCATGAAAGTTGGTTCTTCGTACGAACAACAAACTGTATTGACCCATTCATTCGCCGAAACACAATTTGTCGCTGTTACAGCCTATCAAAATGAAGAGGTATGCCTTGCAGGCGGAAAAATTTACTCTTTACAATATTCAACATCGCGTATTTTCGCAATTTAAGTGTATTTTCTTCGAATTGTCCTTTGCTTGCATGTGAAGCGAAAGGCGTTTAAAATGCATAAACCAATTACGTTTAGCTACGGACTTATCCTTACAAACTCACGAGGATTTTTTCCTGGAATGTCAACTGTAATTGTATCTGGTTTTGTTTATATAACAATGTGTCCACATAATCATAAAGAAGATGAATCAATTCATTCGAAATATACAATTTCTTAAACTACGAGTTTCGTTGGAATAACTTTGAATTAAAACGTCTCTTCGTTACTTTTCGTCTTTTAGATAACATCGTTGAAAATCAAATTCAATCCCTTCGCCAAAGCTTTCCTGGACGCCAAAGAAAGGTGAGACTGATGAAAATCACAAAGTAAAATCGTATTACTGCGTGCTACATAGATATATTTACAGCACATTGTCCCTTTCAAAATCACGTCAAATGTGTAAAAAGAGATTTTTAAAGTGTTTATCCATTGTGTTGTGTTTCTTTGAAGTTTTTGTCATTCCATGGTGCTTTCGTTCTTTCACCAAAAAGTTCCACGTTGTATGTTCTTTCATATATTCATGGAACAACTAAAATTGACAGCTATGGCTTAAGTCCCTTTACTTTACTTTAAAAGAATTGTGTATTTCTAAAAATAGAACTTCATTTTTTTGAAATTAGCCGCATCGGATTCAACTGTTTTAGAACAATCGTCGTACATCTAGACGTCTTCTTGTTTTTTGGTGGTTTTTTGCGATGTCTTTGTCGCACTTTTGTCAGTTCTCGTTCTTCTACAGTTTCCCTACTTCTTCTGTCAGTTCTCTTACTTCTTCTGTCAGTTCTCTTACTTCTTCTGTCATTTCCACTACTTCTTCTGTCAGTTCTTTTACTTCTTACTTCTTCTGTCAGTTCTTTTACTTCTTCTGTCAGTTCTTTATTCTTCTTAGACTTCTTCTGTTTTCTTCTTCTTCATTTCTTCTTTTAGTTCTTTTACTTCTTCTGTCAGTTTTCTTCTGAGTTCTCTACTTCTTCTTCTTTACTTCTTCTTCTTTACTTCTTCTTCATTTCGTACTTCTTCTTCTTCTGCCTTCTTTTTCTTCTTCCAGTTCTTCTTCTTGTTCTCCTACTTCTTCTTCTCTCCTTCTGTCAGTTCTTTTCTTTTTCTTAAGTTCTTCTTCTTTTTTCTTCATTTTTCTTTCATTTATCTTCTGATTTATACTTCTGTCAGTTATTTTGTTCAGACCTGGTACTTGTTTCAGTTCTCGTATTTGTTTTGTCAGATCTCGTCCTTTTTGTGGTGTAACATCTTGCACTTGATGTAATGTCAAATTTTGTACTTGTTCTGCTTTCAAACGTCGTACTTGTTCTGCTTTCAAACGTCGTACTTGTTCTGCTTTCAAACTTCGTACTTGTTCTGTTTTCAAAAACTTCGTACTTGTTCTACTTTCAAACTTCGTACTTGTTCTGCTTTCAAACTTCGTACTTGCTCTGCTTTCAAACTTCGTACTTGTTCTGCTTTCAAACTTCGTACTTGCTCTGCTTTCAAACTTCGTACTTGTTTTACTTTCAAACTTCGTACTTGCTCTGCTTTCAAACTTCGTACTTGTTTTGCTAGCAGATCTGGTACTTGTTCTCCCAGCTGATTACTTGCTGTTGATACTATAGAATCTCGTGCTTATTGTGATCATTGTCGAGTAATAATTTGGGTTTTTTCCACCGCAGGCACGAGCACAAAGAAACGGAGACAGTGCAGGAAAGTCAGGCAAACTGTCCAACTTGTAAGTAATTTATGTAGAAATAATGCGTACTGAGATAATGATCGAGAATCAATATCCGACAATAGAAACTTTTTGCTTTTCGACACAACGAGAAATATAGCTTGCTAGTGTTGGTTTTACTAGATCACATATTAGTTCACACAATGAGTTTTCTGACAAGCAGCTGTTGCTGAGGAAAAATCAATAATTTCTCGGCGTCCTAGGGGCAGTAGTCAAGTTAGTCATTTAACTTTTTCAACTTTCCTTTGCGCATAATGTAAGCCATAATTAATATACGTCTCTTATTTATAAATACCGCCCACTCCTATTCACAGTTCTTGTACAGATTTAATTGCGAGAAAACATGTAGATCTGGTGGGTGCTCCTCGCTTCCCGCTGATTTAATTTATCGCTTAACAAAACAAGTATTTTGCAGCTATATGCTGCTCTTAATGTTTATCCAAACACACGAAACATTTCTTCAAAGATTTGCCGACTCGTGTCGGCATCGGTTCCGGGTTCTGCCGAAGAGTAGTTTGTCGCCAGGCAGTCGCTGTTTGTCGAAGGAGCAAAAGTGAACCGCTATATTCAATCATTTGTAAGACCTATTTACCGCCTGAATATCAAGTGCTGTGCCCTGTATAGAAACCGCCAGTTTCCAATACGGTAATTAGCGTCAATATACACAGAGTCGGCTGTTGTGAAGAGAGCGTGCATATGTACTAAAGTTTTAATGAAATGAGCAGGCTCCATTTTGCTTGAAAACCACGTTTGGGAAGGTGATTATCATTATCGAACCTCGTCATTAATAACGAGGTTAGAAAAAAATACATTCCTTGCCACCTTGCCGGTCTATGGGGAGTTAAGGAGATGTCTTTAGCATAGAAACAGTGAAAATTTTCAACGTTCATAACTTCAAAAGTATTATTTTGTCAAGGAAGTTTTAACTCATTCAAAACATACTTCCTCACCAATGGGACAAATTATTAGAACATAGTCAGCATTAAGAGAACATAGTCCTTTCCTGACAGACAATTCAATCAGATATAGAACGAACGAAAAACGCAATTGTTTCAAAGAATCCAAATTTAGTTCGGTCAGCAAGATGACGCGAAGCTCGATTTCGTTTTATGTTAGAGGACAAGCAAAACGTGAAATTGTCGTAACGAAATTCCTGCGTTCGTTTTATCGTAAAAATCACTCAAGTGGGAAAACTCGCCGCCATTTAGAAAATAGATTTTCTTATGTATTCCTATGAGGGGGCTCTTTAATCAGCATGGGACCCACAATCTCTTCCGTTGACGTTGTAGAATTAGAGAGAATTCCGGATCTGCTTGTATGCTAAGAATTTCTCCATGCTGATGAGCAATTCTTATGATGCGGTTAGACACACTTTCGAATAGTAAAAAGTCTCTCGTGTAGCTTCAAGATAAAAATAGATCACTTAATGCTGTTATGTTGAGGCAGTTTAATAAAATTTCATTAATTCCAAGCGGGTTTGTTAGAACCGACAAAACCACAAACTTTGCATTGTCGGTAAACGGAGTTTTTGATCTCGTAAATGACTAAACGCATTGTACGGTGGATGTTTTAATTTGCCCGAAAACGTTGATCAGACTTCTTTCAAACAGTGTAATTTCTTTTGTACACACACTAACATAAATTTAATTGCTGTTTATCTGCCGAGTCTCATGACGTTTGTTGTCGAGCTAATTAGTTGTACTTTACTTTAAGGCAAAAAAATCATTTTATGAACTGACTTTTTCTGTTAAATATTAGGTTCCGATCTTAAAACTTAAGTCGAAAAATTGAATGTATTCATAATTTTAGTCCTTCGTGAGTGATCCGACGTCGAAACGGAAGTGTTTCTATTTCCACTCATGTTTAGCGTTTTGGTCGAATTTAGATCGGATCCTTCGGTCTGGTGTCTATCAGGATTGATTAGATGTTGAAACTTGAGTCATTATATACTCCAGTCTACTATCAGAAATGATATCACGTTAAACTTATTCTTATATACCTCAATCAAGTGTCTTCATCAGGAATGAATTGATGGTGAAACATAAGTCCTTATATACTATAGTCTAGTGTCTTCATCAGGAGTGGTCCGATGTCGAAACTTGTGTCTATGTATAATACTCCAGTCTAGTGTCTTCATCAGGAGTGGTCTGATGTTGAAACTTGTGTCCTTACATACTCCAGTCTAGTGTCTGCAACAGAAATGATTGGACGTTGAAACTTGTATCCTTATATATTTCAGTTTAACGTCATCAGGTCGAAACCGGAGTCTTAGATAAACAAGTTTAGCGTCTTGCTCACGTTTTATGTATTTCATATTTCATGCAGTGATTTCTAAAGTCTATTATTATCTGATGTTATGATTGAAATCTGTTTCAATCTCTTGTTTAGTAACTTTTATCAGAACGATTACATTTTGCGATCCTTCAATCTATGGTGGTCTGATTTTAAGTCTCCAAATATAGTCCATCGGCGTGAAATTTTATGTTTATGCACTCTCGTTATTCTTTCACAGATAGTTGGCTATGTTCGTCAGGCATGCATTCAGCCAATCACAGCTCACATCATCACAGATTCCACTCGTGTGATCGATTTTCGTTACGTAATCATCGTTCCAATCCATACAATAGTTCGTTTGTGAAGCGGCCACAATTTCCCTCTCCAGGTACGTAAACTGATGGTATATAACTTGGATTAATTTTTATCGCGTTTCCAGCAGAATCTGGAAACACGATAAAACGGACATTCACTTTTTAACAATAGGATCATCTCACCCTTACTACGAGGCGCAATCGTCCCATTTTGAATTTCTCTCAAGAGCGACTTGTGATCCGCATAATCCATTATGGATCCCTGCTACCACTTCGTCTTCTTTACCCGAAAGTATTCGCTATCATCATCACAGCGAATTGAGCAAACTCACGCCCCCGGCATTTGGCATCGGGGGTCACATTCCGACATTAGCTTCAGCCGGATTCGGACACTGGACATAGTATCTCAACCGAAATTATGCGACATCTTTCCTTAATTTTGGCGTACATAAAACTTGAAAGAGTCAATACAGATTATATAACAATAATTTTTAATGTATTCCTGTATAGTAGCTGTGGGATTTTATTATCAACGCAAGCGCCTAACATCGACATACATATCATATCACATATAACTATCATACTGATCATCTCCTTTGATTTTGTGTTAGCGCTGTCAGTTGTGGATCCGCGATGGTTTTGTTGGGGTACTCTAGTGTGAATTTGATTTCAGTGGCTAGTGGTTGCCGTAACATGTTGTCAAATTTTGTTTTTTTCATTATGATTGGGAGATTTTTAGAAGTGCGCTCCATTAGCTTTTACTCCATTTATTTTTGCAAATCAGTACCACACCTCGCACCCCTCCTGAATTCATCTCTTGGCGTTACGGACGCCTTTGATTCACCACACAGCCACAGAATAGACTCGGCCATTTCAGGAAACTGAGGGAAATGCCAACCATTTTGAATGTATCCAGGGAACAGCAAGTGCAGGGAGTGATTGCTCCCGCTTTCTGCCCCGACCGAGTGGCGAGTCAATGTCAGTATAGCATTCACACAAAAATCATTGGAGATGATGATATTCTGTGTGTTAGTGTCATGTGATATGAACAATCATGCTACTGCAACGAAGTCTTGTAAATAGATTAAAAATGTAATTTTACTTAGTATTTGTTGGTATTTATGGTAAATGATCTTATATTGCTCAATTCGACGTCCATCCTTTTTGCGTCGTTTCTGATTGGCTTATTTTCTTTACGCTGTGATTTTTATAATTGCTAGCATTCGTAAAAATGATGTTCGAAACAATTTACGAAGAAAATTTACTCGAGAGTTCACCGTAGAAAAAGATGTGCATTTTTCTCATTCAATGTCGGGAGTTTGTTGTAACATAATTTGGTTTACAACATGTTAAATCAGTTCTCAATCGTCATTCTTCGAGAAATACGAAACACCTTTCTTACAGTACAGCTCATTACTCATCAGCTATATTTTGTCATATTATTTCTGAAACCGCGATAATATTGTACAGTGATATATACCATTGTATTAAGCGTTCGAGTCATTCGAGTGACTGCGCGGAAATTTAAATCTCTCCCAAAAATGGCAGACGATTTAGCGGCAAGTTTGGAGATTTTGAGCGTTGAAACACTTTGTCGCTTGTCTCCTTCAACGTGTGGTAACATAATAAACTTCACTTTGAACGATGGGAAACTCCTGAGTGTCATTTTTACTGGCAGCCATCTTATACACGTTTTGAAAGATAAAAAAATACAAGTAAGTTTCTCAAACAAAAATTGATTAATGTGCTCTGTTACTGTTGCAGAGATAGTTTATTTTATTGTAAACGGTTTTCTAGTGAAAATTACACGAATTTGAGCATGATATCATTGATATAGAAAGTTTTCAGCAAGCTTTTTGTTAGAATTGTTGAATGTAGTATTTCATTTTATTTCTTTGCCTGTTTGCCATTTCAAAGTTCACAGAATATAGCCATCTTGAAATTCAGTACTTGAATTGAAAAAAGAGACATACAATAGAGTGTTAATTTTCAACTATTTTTTCAAGCCATCCTCGGGCACATGCATGAACTTACATGATGTATCTTAATAACCATAAACATGCATAGGGATACCAATAACTAATACAGTAAACATAGGTACAGAATTATTTAAGTTTTAGCCAATCGCAATCAAGAAGACATAAGTAATCTATCTTACTAAGGATTTGGGTATTTAACGTTTTTGTGCCAATGTTGCAAATGTGAAACAATCAGGAAGACAAATGAAAATACATTGAGAAAAAACTCTAGGCTTTTGGGGTTTACAGGATGGCACAGTATTTACAACCGGGCACGATGTGCAATGTACATCCAAAACAACTTCATATGATCTTCAAGACTTCATCTGATAATATTGTAATGTGTCATCTCTTATTCATCCTTTGTTTGGTAGTGTACACAGTAGTACACACTGGTACCCAATACTACACAATACTGAAACTGAAAACTCATATGAAAAAGCAAATTCCATGCAAAAGGCTGACTAAATTTGTTATTAAAGCTGATATGAAATACAAAAATTCAATGAGTCTTTGATGATATTGTAGATTTTACAATTTCATTAATTGATTTTCTTTGTTTTATTTGATAGGCTATATTGAATCTTGGAAGTTGCGTGGTGAAAGTTTTGGATTATTTGAATGAAAAAGATGAGCTATTGGTCATCACAAAAGATGGAAAATTGAGAGCAATATCATTGCTGCAAATGGTTGAACAGTTAGGTTACTTCGCTGTTTAAATTCGTAGTGTACAGTGGCATGTGAGTACAAGTACTTCTGGACATGGGCAGATCCCTCCCCTCCCCTTACCCACCCACCAACTGACATCCTCTATGGACAAAAACTTTAAAAAATTCAACATTTTTTTGTTTTACAATGAAAAAAGTTTTGTGCACTACAAATCGCGATATTAACAATGAATGTTTCAGCAAAAGCGTTATATACGGAATTTATTTTTCCACAGTGATTTTCTATACAATGACTGGTCACAATGTGTCTTACGATGTATTTTACAAACATGAAATTTGATCCCATTCATAGTTTATAACGAAACGCGAAATTGACGACATCTGATGAAAGCCCTTGAAACTTTGCTTGTAATATGAAGTTTTATTTGTAAACCAAAATGCCATCTTCCGACATAGCTCTTACGACATGAAGGCGATATTTCCATTTTCCATAAAAAAATGACTTCGCTTTGCGCCGGGCCCCCGGGCCATTGACTCACCCCCGGTGTTGGGACATAGGATATTCCACGTGAGACTTGATTGATGAACACATAAATGCAGGGTTGTAGCTGGAATAATAATTGGGGGCTATGTTTATTCAAATATTCAGTTGTGCCCGACTTACTTCTTTTGATAGTGATTTGGCTTTCTAAAGAAATAAAGCTTGGCACATCTGAATCTATGAATACACACCTCCATTAACGTTCTAGCTACGGCCCTGCATAAACGTGAATATTTGCAAACAGGTAAAGTATTGTGGTCGGACAATGTACTTTGTTTGTGCATTTTCAATTGACTACGTTCGCGCAATATCTTTTATCAATGTACTTTAACAATGTACTTTACCTGTTTACGCTTATATTACTCCATCTGAGAACCGAGCTATAGGGAAACTTATAAATGCATTAGAGTCTTTCAAGTGTCCAATAGCAGTGGACAAGGGAGTATTCGTTTGTTCGGGACCCATTGGGATATCATTTTTAACAAATACGATGTAATGGAATTCAACATAGAACAATAAGCTAGTTTTTAAAGAGAAAATAATGTGGTATGTCGGCATAGCTACGTTTTTGTCCATAAAACCAATTTAACACGGTCTATATTGTCGTTGTACTTTTCCGTTTAGGAAAAACGTAAAATCCATTGCTGACGTGAGCAAGGATATTTTCGAGGAATTGTTCGACGAGACCCCAATAGAACGCGAACCCACCACTGAGAAGTCTAGTACTTTATACGACAATATCCACATGCGGGGAGATGATGATGATGATGTCATTTATTGGGAGTCAGATCTAAGAAATGTTGCCTATACCTATCATTACTTGATAACCTGTTCCTGGAATCAATCAAACACCAGAGTAGCGATGTACGAATTGAATGACACGAAGTCGTCTGGGAGCAGAGAAGTTTGCGCAAAGTGTCTACGTCACATCCGCTTGGCAAGTGACGATCACTGTTCCACGAGGAACACCGTCTCTTGTTTGAAACATGTCTGTCACTCACCGAAACATGGACGGAATGTACTTGACTTTTCAATATTTCACGCTTTATTTGCCGACGAATCAGAAAGCAACTTTTCAGTGCTGTTGGTCGGTCTACAGAATGGAAAGTTGGGCTATACGTACGTGGAGAAAGATTATTCCGACCAAATAAATACGAGTCTAAAAATGCTGCATCATCTTGAGCAAAAAGTGTTAGCTGTATTTCTGGTCCGTCTTGGAGGTGTAATCCCTGACACTTCGCCAGTTGCCAATGCCATTTGTATTCTCGGATCTTTGGGGAAACTGGTTTTGTTATTCCGAAATGTTTCCGACGCATCCACAAGTCTTATTACATTTCGCGAGTATTATCTCCCGGGGCCTATAATGTGTGCGACTATGAATAAAAGCAAAAATACTATGTTTTATTCCACGCGTGAAAAAATCTGTAAATTTCGACTGGATTGTATTTTTCAATCTGGAGAAGATTGCTCTCCTCATTCCGTCATGACACCGAAAGTCTTCGATATCCCTAAAGTATATGCCTTATCAATTGACGATGATGACTCATTGACATGTTTAACCACGAACGGACGGGTACTCCTGGTTGCGTTATCGTCGGCCCGTCATGTTGAACAACCTCCTACGAACGGGAAAGTGATCAAAACATGCTTGGAGGATCTACACGCGAAATCCGCGAAGCTCGATAAGGTTCTCGAGGAAAATCGATTGCTTGACGAACTCATCCGAGAGTTGAACACAGTCACGCATATTTTGTTTGACGTCCTGAGAAATCGTAAATCGGGTGTATCTAATTGTGATGGGGGCTTAACAGCCACCGAGACTGGAATATCATTCAAAGTTGATGTCGCTTACGAAGTACAAGGATCTAGCTTGAACCCAAAAGTCGTTTTACGATGTCGCCTAACAAGCTCATCAAGATTTCCATTTTCTTTGCACTGGTCGTGGATTGTTAAAACTCACATCTTAGAGCCTTGGTACAACGAAGACGGTTGTACTCGCTCAACAAGAAGTTATTCTGTGTGTCTAAGTCCGTCATCCGTTCATCACATCTCTATAACGTTGGACGAAACTTTCTCTTATCGAACTCCGATAGTTTTATCAAATTATTTGTGTTGTTTTGTGGGAGACTTGATTCCTTCGCTTCTCAAAGAAAAACAGCCGAAACTTGGCGAGCAAGGCTTTAGCGTATTTATCTGTGCCAAAGAACTTGATATTCTCAGCTTTCTACGCAGGTACGAGCCCATCTTAGCTGGATTCCCTCGATGGGAAAGTCCAGCTTGTTTGCTACAGAAAACTTTAAATGATTTCAATGGTTTACCGCCTTCTGACCTCAATGAGCAAGAAGATACTTCAAAATTTCATTCTTTTTGCATTCGCCTTTCGAAGAAAGCTGTTGATTTCATTTGCGATATTCATCACCCCTCGTCGGACGTCGCCACCTTCGAAGAACAGACTTCAAGTGGAAAATCAAATTTTCCCGCGATAAACAGTGACGTCATTCCTCCGGAAGCAATTGTACTTCACTACATTCTTCACGGGTCATCGGCAAATCTATTTAGCCACGATGTAAGATCTGTCGATGGTCACGTGGTTGCTAGGACGCCTCACGAAGAAGTGATAAAGTTTCAAGTGATCAGGAGGACACAGGACATGGTAAACTTTGAAATACGAGTACAGGCAGCATCTCGGGAGCTTGCTTGTTCTGTCCACTCTGCATTGTTAAAAGCGTGGAAGGTACGAAACTAAGAAACTCTGAATGTGAATTATATTCGACAAATGGTATCCTGTTTTACTTTTATCCTTTCTTTTGTTCTTCAGCCTGTGTTACGAAGAACAATTCACGATTCCGATGCAAATACAGATGTTCCTGTCGGTGATATGCAAAAGCTATTGGTGAAACTGAAAGTAAGTTGGCTCATTGAGTCGGCTTGATTCTGGCCGTCATTATTTGTGGTTTAACTCATTTTACTCCCTCGACTGAAGCTGCCCCTTTACTCAAACGTGTTTTGCTTTCTTGAACTTCGCCTGGATATGATAGTATACATTTTATAGTTATCTATTACGGCTAACTTAAGCTTGCTTAACTTGAATGTTTCGCTAACTCCCTGGATACGATAGTACATTTTATAGTTATCTATTCCGGCTAACTTAGGCTAGGACGAGCAAAATCCATTTTCCCCTTCTTTGTACAAATCCCAACACAACTGCCACTGCGTTGCCGTTTTTCCACGCATGCAAATTTCTTTCCAGCCGATCTCTTCTTTACGTTTTTCTTAGAATGGAAAATCATCCTTTAGATTCTCTAAGGTCCGACACCGTGTATCTTTTTAAGTGTAAATGCCGCAATCCATCTTTATGTGGATCAAACTGCACGTCATTTACACACGAAGCACTTATCTTCCCTGGCCGACAGGAAATCAAATATTTTGCACTGTGTTTGCCAAGTGGCTGAAATTTGGACTCACCCACTGCCTTGATAACTTTAAGTCATCTCGTCTTCATATCGCTCATTTATACATTCATCATCTATTTATTAGTAAATCATCCCTGACGACCAAGACAGTTCAATTACGTGGATTCTTCTCTGTGATTTGACCATTCATGTTACATAATCATTTTTCATAGCATTCTACGTTATTGTAAAGACTGTTTTCATTTTCTCATCTTCATTTATCACTACCTACACTGACACACGTTATCTTAGTTTATATTCTAGGTAGTGTAAAGACTGTTCTGTTCTCTTTTGTTCCTTCGCCACTACCTATAATGACACACGTTATCTTAGTTTATATTCTAGGTAGAGTAAACACTGCTCTCGTTTTCTGTTGTTCATTCATCACTACCTACACTGACACACATTATCTTAGTTTATATTTTGGGTAGAGTAGACTGTTCTCGTTCTCTGTTGTTCATTCATCACTACCCACACTGACACAGGTTATTTTAGTTTATATTTTGGGTAGACTGTTCTCGTTCTCTGTTGTTCATTCATCACTACCCACACTGACACAGGTTATCTTAGTTTATATTTTGGGCAGAGTAGACTGTTCTCGTTCTCTGTTGTTCATTCATCACTACCCACACTGACGCTCGTTATCTTAGTTTATATTTTTGGCAGTGTAAAGACTGTTCTCGTTCTCTGTTATCCATTCATCACTACCCACACTAACACACGTTATCTTAGTTAATATTTTTGGCAGTGTAAAGACTGTTCTCGTTCTCTGTTGTTCATTCATCACTACCCACACTGATACATGTTATCTTAGTTTATATTTTATGTAGTGTAAACACTGTTCTCGTTCTCTACTTTTTATTCATCACTACCTACACTATCACACATTGTCTTAGTTTATATTTTATGCAATGTAAAGATTTTTCTCTTTCTCTGTTGTTCATTCATCACTACCTACACAGTCAAACGTTATCCCAGTTAATATTTTATGTTGTGTAAAGATTGTTCTCCTTCACTGTTGTTTGTTTGCCACCTTCACTGGCAAGCTGGGATTTATTTTTACGAGGAATACTTCATGTCATGCCAAGAGAGTTTATACTGACTTATAGGAAATTCAAACAAAGATGCATCAGTTGAGGCCTTCACGTCAAGACCAAGAACCTCTGCTACACAACAGGAGCTCAGACCCATTTCTACAAAAGCTGATAAGTATTTATTCCGAACTTCAACAAATCCCCATGGTTATTCCATAATACTATATGAATGTTAACGTGCAAGCGCAACCATTATAAATTTTACATACATGTAATGTTTACAACATTTAAAGACAAAATGCACCAACACTAAGGCATGGTCTTAAGAATGGGAGGGAGGGTGGTGACGTATCTTTTCCCCATCCCCCCCCTCAATGCCTTGTCTGAACTGCACGAAGTGAAAACGCAAGTCGGTCGTACTTTGATAAACTTGTTTCCATAGCTACAGCTTGACTGGCGTTACAATGAAAGCGTGTCCAGGTATCTTTGGGTATATGTTATAAGGTGCGTGTTATTTTCACATTTTGGCCGGCAAATTCAGTAAATGCAATTTTCAGTCTCCCCTCTGATGTTCAACATTTTGGTGCTTTTTTTGACAAAAAATCGGCATGCATTCCCCCTTTGCGACCAAAAATAAGATTAGGTAAACGAGGCACGTGACTTAAATTACAAAACTCGTTTGCGTTGCCGTATTCGACGTAACTTCCACGAATTTTAAAAGCTGAAAAGATAAAAATTGTGCAATTTTTCTATTATAAAAAATATTTCATTTCATCTTCAAATGTTGTAAACTGCATGGTTGCTGAAAGACTTAAGATGGATGTCTTATAATGCACATCAAGATCTTAAAACCATTTGAGCTAACTTTAAAGTTTACTGCACATGCATGTAAATATCTCATCAAAAAATATCAAATATTATACAACACTGATGTATGAATTGTTTTTTCACACCAGTTGATTGTGACCATTTCATCAATTCAAATTTTACTATCAGTTTTTATAGGAAATTCTTTGTGCAACAATTTCATTCATTTTCATTCAATTCCATTTTAAATGTGTTCCAGTGATAGCAACGCTTTTCAATCACCAGCAACAAATCATTCAGACGTTAGTAATTTGGGTAGGTGGGTTGATAGCTGGTTGGGTATTGTCCTGAAGCACTATAGTCATATCCTGGAGCTTGTGAAGATTTCGAATATGGATTGGGGTTTGTATTACCACCTTGATTTCCATATCCCGTACCGGTAGCAAAACCAGGGTCGACCCCAGCACCAATATATACTTGAGATTGGCTTTGACCAGAGTAAGACTGAGTTGGTGCTGACACATTGGGATTTTGAACAGGCACACCATCATTGTTGGATTGGTAATTGTATTGAGAATAGGTCTGGGCTGTTTGGGGGTAAATGTTAGGATCATAGGCAGGAGTTTGTGATGGGGGCACTTGGCTTTGAGGGACTTGGTTAGGGGGTGGTAGCATATTATACCCTTGTACAGGTTGTGAGGTTGATGCCGTGGTTGGGTTGAATGGTTGATTGTTGGCAGTGTGGAAGTTTGGCTGTGACGTATTGCCAAGTGATGCTGGTGGATATCCTTGATTGAGGTGGGTATAAGTGACTTGTCGCTGGCCTATACAGATATAAGATGTTTAATTTGGTCTAAATTCCTATGATCAAATCTTTTCATCGCTCATGTTGCACTTGAAAGAATGGATGTTTAAATAGTCATATTTTTTGTTTCTTTTCTACTTACTGATTCCCTCAAAAGAAAAAAAACAACTGAAACTAAATGACAACATTGCCATTGCCCAATTCCAGTTGTACATTGGTACAACTATTTCTCTGTTGACACATATTGATTGAAGTTCATTTGGTACTAAAGTCACAAGTTATCATTATGACAAATGGCAAATCAAACTTACCAATTTGATCAAATTGATCAGCAGCTTTGCTATCTATTTGATTAGATTGCTGTTTAAGAGGATCAAACATGGCAGCATGGACTTTGGCAAGAGGATCGATTGGCTTATTTGTGTCATTGACGGCGGGGCCTACAGGTGCATCTAAAAAAGTAGAAAATGATATAAAAAATTGCCGCCTGTGGTATTGTTGGTCAACTCTGAAAAGTTAGGTGAGTGATTATCAAAAGATACCTTTTTCGGGATTCAAACTTGCTTTGTTATCCATATTCTGGGCCTTTGCTGATTTCTCATTGCTTGCTTCAGTTTCGGCTAACTCCAGTCGATCAAAAAGAAAGTTGATTTTGTCTCGGATACCAGCAAGTTCCTTGCGAAATTCCCGTACCAAGTCGTGCTCCATTGGTCGCGGATGCTGATTTACTTAAACAAAATAAACAAGGTACAGGAAAGTTTCAATTCGAATGTACTCGTCGTATTATTATTCAAAGAGACAGACCAATCAATTTGATAAGTGACACCTACCAAATAAAGTGATTCTAAGAATTCGGCTCACAGATTTGGCATAAGATAGATCTGAGCTGTCGAATATCGAGATCAAGTCACCATCTAAATAAACAAACTTTATTAAAGCAGCTTAACATTTTTGATCTAGTACTGTATCCATGATAATAATTTACTAGCCACATAGTTCGTTTAACACCTTCGTCTTTATATTTTATGGTTACATCGTCGGAATTTGATAAACGTCCGCGGAAAACACGCTGCATCATTAGTAGCAAATCGTCGTAAGTTAAGTCTTCATTATGAATAGGAATGCATCGTATATCATTTCCCAGTTGAGCCTTTATGATCAGTTTTCCACTCATGTCCATTTTCGGAGTTGGGAAAGACAAACTATCGTGATTCGCACTTTTCATCCGGCCGAATATTTTCGTGAATATTATTTTCAAAAACCTGATGTATTTGTAATCACGTAGGACCTGTTTAGTTGCTTCAATATGAAAATGAGTATATGATGACGTATGTGGTACTGTTCCTCGTGAACCGTCGATATGGATTTAGATTGGATTAAGACAAGCCAGTGATAAATCTAGATTACACTCATCGAATTCGCACTAGTGCACGAAATCAATTCCCAATACACTCCTAAATCCCTTAATTAAGACTTTCATAATGTAAAGAATTCTCATTTTCGAACAGTTATCAGTCTTCCAACAGCCCTTGAAAAGACAATTGCAGATTTAATCAATAGTTGATCTAATAAAATTTAGCTTAAAATCTATTTTCATGAATCTGCACTTTTGTAACTTGTCCAGCAATGCAGAATTTATTCAAATTCCTATTAGGTCTTTGTTTGATGAGTCTTGGGCGGATTAAGTCTGAATTCAGTTTCAACTCTTTCTCAAATAAAGGAATTTGGCTTGGTCCCAGGTCCATGTCAAACACGAAGTACCTATGTGTAAACAGAAGGTAAGTTTATATCTTATAGGTTTGTATCCACATTAAGGACAAGATTATTTGAAATAAGTCACCTTCCATGAGTGTGCCACTCATTGTGTGCCTTCATTCTGTAAGGCAATTCTTGTTGACCAAGATTTTCCATTTTACGGACAACTCCTCCCTTCTCCATAACAAGAACAGCAACTCTTCTCAAAATATTTGCCAGCCCTTCCTAAGTAGATTGTGCAAATCATTGAGGGTTGTCTCAGCTTGTTTACTATTCTATACTGTAGTAGTAGAAGTGAAATGTTATGTTTTTATAATACTTACATTATTTAGAGCTTTTGTTATCAAAGACAACTCGTATCGTGGCATGTCTGAAGACAATGTTTTTACATCATAAACCTCAAATATACTCTACTAATGCTTGTTAGTCTTCTTCTGAAGTGTGGTGGTTTGTCATATTTTGGTACGTGGTTTTGTAAGAACTTCATGTAACTACCTTGAGTATGCAATGTAGGGACACATGGGTGTGAAAGTGAGTAGATGTAGCATCCGAGCAACAAGAAACCACACAAAAAAATTACCATTTTGCGCATGCTCACCCCGAGCCAGTCATCCCCAGCCAAATCAAACAGAACGGAACACTGAAAGTTGGAAAATATTGTTTTATTATACACGATAATTTATTATTTTTAGACAGTTGATAGCGTTAATAACAGTTATATGTTGTTTGGGTCAAATTCTGTCTTGTAGAGGTTTATTCTGACGGGATTTGGTTTGACCGAATTGGCTGCTCATCGTGCTCGAGTTTAGTTCAATTATCCGACGGAATCCGACAAATAACATTTGACTTTGCCAATTTTTGAAGCCTAGGATCAGACTTTTTCACAGTTTTAAGTGTCTTCAGAGGGATATGGCCAAAGAACTCTAGCATGAATCGCAACTATGTCAGGTATGGTAATGTTTTGATTGGGAAGACAGCACGAAGTGCATTCGTTGCAAATTTGAAACTTATAATTGATAAATTACAACACCAACGCCGTCTTCGAATGCATGAGTGGAAAGCAAGTGGTTTGTCGATTGCTGGAGGCTATGAAACTTGATGTGTAATGCTAGCTGTTCTTGCTATTGTGGGTCATTTTTGTGTAATGGAGGGTGAAATCATGATTGAATTAATTTTTGATAATGTTAAGTGCACAGATCAACCCAGATCAACGCCTGAATACCGGTACTTATCTTCCTGATCACCTTTGATCCCATGTAATTGTCCTTGTATTGTCCTTGCCCATATTTGCAATTGCCTACAAGATGAGACATTGGCATTATTTTGTATGAACAATGCTCTTAAAAGTTTGGTTGTGCGATAGTTAATGTTTTTTTGAAAGTTGAAGCATTGTTTCAAATTGTATGCAATGAGTGTTGCCTGTGTCTTTAGAGGTTCACAACTGTGGAATCTAAATGTTTACAGTTGGAAATATTTAAGTTATGTTGAGTTAAGTACAGTAACTAGAGTATTCATGTGTGCCTTGAATACTTTTTTTATTCAAGGTAATGCATGGGTTGTAACAGCTGATGAGAGACAGAAACATGAGACAACGTTCTTGTCACTCAAACCTATCCATGGGCGGATAACAGGTAGAGAAACTTTTGCTGTACATTTGTGCTCATTGCTGAAAAATGTGCATGTTCAAGTACAATGCATAATTGCTTGCCTGTATCATTCAAATATGTCATTGTAGTAATCGTATGTCGATGTGATTGACATCACATTTGCCCTGTGCAAATTCTAGATTTAGTTTCAATCTGACTTTATTTTGAGTGTGACTTTTAATTGTAAACATGTTAAATTATGACTTTTGATACTTTTATATTTCATGTTTTTTACAAAACTTGCCAACAAAAAATAGTTTAGTTGCATTCAAAGGTAAAAACAATGCAAAAAACAAATTAGTGGTTATAGCTTTTGCAACATGAGCTATACATGTTTCAGTAGAGAGTTATTATAACTGCTTTTTTTACTGCTGTGGTGCTTTTTAAATCCTTCAGATTCTTAAGTGAAGCATTTAATCAGAGCAGTGCTCATTTTATTATTTTCAAGCGTTTAGTGATTTGAAACAAATATTTTTATTAACCATTGGTTAGGTTTTTAAAGTCTAGTAAAACTGTTTACATGATACAGTGTCAATGAATACAATGTCCTATTAATTGTTAAAGTTTTTTAAGCTAACGATGTGCTAGCCAATCGTGGTAAATGCTACACTAATGTTGCCCAGGTGCATTGCTTAAATTGGAGCGGTGCTTAACAAAAGGGGGTATTTAAAAGAGTGCTGAAATTAGTATTTAGGGTTTTTAATTCTTCAATATTGTAAATGGGGTGAAATAACTGATTTCTATATCAATAACTAAATGAAAACATTCAGATATCTATTTAAAAATATCATTATGAAATAAATATTATTATTAAATAATAAATTTGTAATAGATAATAATGATCATAATAAAATACGCTTTATAATATATTAAATAATAAATATTATTATTTTAAATAACATAATGCCTGGATTACCAATCTTTAAACTTATATATATATCTAAACAGATATTGAGCACTTTTCTATTTAATTTTTGTCTACATTTTATTTGATACTGTATTATGAACCAGATATTATAAACGTATAAATGTACATTCATATACATATAATTTCGTCTTTCATAAATTGTTAATTGTGAATAAAAAGAGTGCTCAGTACAAAGGTAGAGCGAAACATAATTATTTATTCAAAATATAACATAAAAAGAGTAAAAATAAAAAGAATTGTTAAAATAACAGTGAAGGAGCAGAAAAAAGTTCTTTAAACACTTTAACAATCACTGAACTTTGTGAAAAACTTCTGACATTGTTTTCAGAGTGGCAGAAATTTTTTTCATCACTCGGATACAGTTTTTCAAACATTTTTACAGCAATTCCCTGTTTAAATATCAATGGTTGTATTATGATGTTGACATGCACCATTAGTTTGTTGTAGTGGTTGTAATCCTATGTTACATTTGACATTTAGGTGAGCAGGCCAAGAAGTTTTTCTTGTCGTCAAACTTACCACCAGCAACTTTGGGGCAAATATGGTAAATGGAAACTTTGCTTGTCAAAACAGTATGGTCTTTTTTTAAAAGTATAAGTTAAATAAACAGGGGAAATTTTTTTAGGAATTTGTCAGATTTGGACAAAGATGGCCAGATGACTCAACAAGAATTCTGTATTGCAATGCATCTAATTCAGTGCAAGTTGAATGGAGTCAACCTTCCTACATCCCTCCCCTTAAGTCTGAAGACATCATCACGAGGGAATGTTGGCGCATCTCTCCTTAACCCAGTTGAGAACGGATTTACCTCTCAGCCAACTGCTAGTCAAGGTACAGGATGGTCTTCAACCCTTAAAACCGGACTGGATGCACAACCATCAACTGGATGGTCCGTTAGCCTGACATCCAGCCTACCTCCCCCGCTTATGCCTGTGAACAACCAATTGCAGACATCTGCCCCACCGTCCAATTCAAGACCACCAACATCATCATCTCACAACTTTGCCCCCAACTTTGGCATGCCATCTAATGGACCAAATATGATGCCATCAATTGGCATGGGAACACCAATGCCTTCTGGGAACTTGGCCGTGTCGTCTGTGAGTGTGCCTACATCAACTATGCCTGGTGTTGGTCACTCTTTTCGACAACATCCTGTTGCCAGAGCGGGAACTTTCACTGGTATGCTTCCCAGTCCTCCAGTCCCGTCTGTGGAAGCAGCTATCATGCCTATTCCACCCAACTCAAGGCTGAAGTTTAATCAACTATTCAAAGCAAATGATTTTGAAAAAACTGGATTCATAACTGGTATTGCAAAACTCATTCCATAGTTGTACTATGTTATTGCTGTTGATTGTGATTTTTGAATACTGACAAATATCTAAATTCTCTTGATTTAGTTTGACTTCTTTTGATGCCATATTTAATTGTTTTGTCATCAGGTGAACAGGCAAGACAGATATTTCTGCAATCGCATTTACCACCACAAACACTTGCCCAGATCTGGTGAGTTTTGCTATTGATTTGCTCACTTTTCTTGAAAAAGGAGCAGTGCCTCTTACTTTGCATTGGAATGGCAAAATTACCATGAAACAGAATGTTTACTGTAGTTCTATTTTAACTTTAAGTACCGTTCATCCGCTTCAATGTCAGGTATGATTTGTACGTAGGTTCAGTATCATGTGAAATACTATTATATAGGTTCTTTAGGTTCAATGTCGTATGTAGTTAGTACGTTCAGTCATTTCAATTTCATATATGGTTTGTACGTAGGTTCAGTATCATGTGTAATACTATTATATAGGTTCTTTACGTTCAATGTCGTATGTAGTTTGCTTGCTACGCTCTGGTAACGACTAAATGACTTTCAAAAAGACAACGACATGTTTAAATAGTTAAATCAATTTCTTTAACTTTTCCGCATTCAGGGAACTGAGTGATGTTGACAAAGATGGTCAGCTAAATATGGAAGAATTTGCGATTGGCATGCATCTTGTCGATTCAGCAAAGAGTGGTAAACCATTACCTGGGGTCTTACCGGTGGGATTGCTTCCACAGCAGTTCAAGAAGTCACTATCGGACAGTATGGAGAACGACAACGTCGAGAGTGTGGTGCAATTAGATCGACAGAGATCTACGAGCTCGTCCAGCGCAAACGATGACTTAACGTTCTTTAAAGCAGGTAGGAAATTTTTTAGTCTTTTCTGGTTAATTTTTTCACCACTCAGAGGTTGACGGAAAGCATTGAAAGGTTTTTCACCAAAATTAGAAGCTTCCTGCTCAGCTGTTATTTTCGTTTAAGAATGTTTCATTATTAACTATAGAAAATAATCGCTTGCAGTAAGTGGTTGCCTGTAATTTCCCAACTGGTATCGTTTACATTACAGAATAAAGATTATAGTATAATCTCACATACTTTTGAGGAAGGCTTTACTAATTGCTGAGTTTTTCTCAATAATTGAATATTTTTCTTCGAATAGTTAAATAAAAATTGAGTTCATTAAAATAATCTGATGTGACTTGTCACACGGCAAATTATATACAATATATCGAAGGTTGAGAAGTTGCGGTACTTTTGAGCAGCGTTCCTAAACCTTTTCCTTTGTATACTTTATGAAATGCGCAGCAAAATAACGAAGAACGTTTCGATTATTTTTAGAAACATTCGAAGACAGGCGTAAGCAGAACTTCGAACGCGGTCGACTGGAGCTGGAACGAAGACGACAGGAAATGGAGGAACAAAGGAAGAAGCAAAGAGAAGAACAAGAGAGAAAAGAAAGATTGGAAGAAGAAAGGAGACTTAGAGCAAAGTACATACATTTCAATAATATTACTCTTGTATTCTAAATTTCAACTTGTATTTTGAAAAGGTTTTTCGTACGTGCAAACTGGCAACGGTATGTTGTCGTCGTACGTGCAAATTGGCAACGGTATGTTGTCGTCGTACGTGCAAATTGGCAACGGTATGTTGTCGAGAAGACTGACCAGCACCAAACATAGTTGTATTTTGGCAATTTGTCGAAGCAAAATGCATAAAAATTGCATTTTAAATTGTTTCATATTTTTCGTGGAATTGAGTGTTCACAATTTGTATCATGAGCTTTGCAAAACAAATTTCGGCGAGAGAAATATTCCACTTTACTAGTCTCCGAATAAGGTGCTTCAGCGGCGAAGTCGTTTGAGCCAACATTGTGATGCATATAGGTACTGTATCTAGCATGCATTCGGGCTTACCTATTGTGTTAAAAGCTGATAAACGCCCAGCCGACCGACGTGGATTTTTCTTCGTGCTGTGGTGCTTTACCGCCGCAAAAGATGGCCTGCTAATGATCAGTCAAACTGTAATCGTACTCCTTGCGGTGTATGATGCCTCCCATCATGAAGACTTTACAACGCATGTCTTAAGTTATGTTATCGGTGAACATTCTGCAAGGATATTTTTTTCTCTAGAATGGAAGCTGAGCAAAAACGGCAAGCGGAGATCGAGAAACAACGGAAACAACAGGAAGAAATGGAGAGAGAACAGGAGGCCCTGAGAAAGAAAATGATTCAACAAAAATATGTATGTACCTTTTTCGTGTAAAGGTAGTCCCTTATTATTCTTTCATGTTCGACATTTTTGCATATAGTATCCATTGAAATCCTTAAGTTTTCTTTGAGATCCCCACCACTTGGTTTATAATTTATGTTATCTTGTTCATTTTCAAACTATTTATATTTTCAACTGTGATATCTTTATATTTTATAATACTTACTATCTTAATTTATCTTCGATTATTTGAATATTTTCAACTTTTATATCGTTCTTTGCTTCTCGTTGTTCATCAACGAGTGTAGAATAAGAAATTCATTTCCTTTTACATTCGATTAAAACTTTCTTTTTAAAGCCGTTGTCTCAAATCTTTGACCTTTACACGTGTTTCGTATTTATTTCTCAGCAAGCGCAGATTGAAGCTGAGCGTCAACGTCAACTGGAGTGGGAAAAACGAAAGAAAGAAGAATTGCTGAACCATAAAAGTCTAGAAAAGGACATAGTTACTGGTCTTCAGGTCAGGAAAGACAAAATGGTCGCGGAAAGAGAAAACTTGGTAAGAGCAAGCATGCTATGATGTAGCTAGTCGCGAGGATTTTATGATGGGTTGGCCAAAGTCGAAATGTACTATTATCTACTAATACTACGACGTATGGAGATCAAGCACATTAATTTCTTATGTACCATTTGCACTGTGACATAAGTATAAGGAGATCAAGTACAATGATTACTTAAGAATCATTCTCACTATGACATAACTGTAAGGAGATCAAGTACATTGATTTCTTATGTATCATCCTCACTATAGCATAAGTATAAGAAGATTAAGTACAACGATTTCTTATGTACCATCCTCACTATGACATAAATATAAAGAGATCAATTACATTGATTTCTTATGTACCATCCTCACTATGACATAACTGTAAGGAGATCAAGTACATTGATTTCTTATGTACCATCCTCACTACGACATAACTGTAAGGAGATCAAGTACATTGATTTCTATGTACCATCCTAAATGTGACATAATTATAAGGAGATCAAGTACATTGATTTCTTATGTACTATCCGATGATATACTTGCTGTGACGTAAGTATAAAGAGATTCAGTTCGCGACGTGAGCTCTGCTCATTCATTTGTTATCTGCCGTTGCAATGTTTGCAAAATCTAATTTTAGTCTCTACCTATATATATTAAACGTGGACTCTCGTCAGACGGAAAGTTTTTTCGTAAAGTCATTTGTATGTTTTCCTCCTTTTAAATAGGAGAAAAAGTTGGAATCATTGAGAGAAGAGCTTCGAAAAACGAAAGAAAGACGTGCGGAGGAAATCGCTGCAAACGAGGATTTCACGAAGACTCGCGATAAATGGATCGCTGAGATCGCCGACTTAGAGAACAAGAGAAAGGTAGGATTGTCATCTCTGTGTTGAGAATTTATTTTTTCCAAGTGGAATATTTTACTTGCTGTTTACCACCAACAAACATCTATTTATAAAGTTGTGTTTGAAAATAAGCCACATAATTATAAAAGAAAGGCATGTGCTGTTGCACATTTTTCTCATATTGTTCTTTGTGAATTTAACAAATTGAATTTGGAAAAGTTGAATCCGAGGGGCAAAATCTAAGCTGAAATGTATAGAATCAATAGTATAGTTTGCATGTTTTTATGGATGATGTGTTTGCCATTTCTTTTTCGTTCTCGTTTACTATGAAAATGAATGTCTAATAAACTGGCGATCATGAATTTCGACTGACGCATTTGTGCATGTTTAATTTTATATAGCTCTGCCATCAACAATTGCCTGGCTTAAATAATGAAAAGGAAAGGTTACAAAGGGAGTTGAATAAACGGGAATCAAGTATTATGGGTTAGTATGGACCGGGTTTGGTCATGTGATACCTTCAATGAACCAATAACATCATGCCGCACGATCGTAAGTTTGATTCACGCTAGAGGACCAGTAGTTTGTTGTCGGAATATTTTTCTAAGGGACATTCATTGGGTGAAGAACTCCCCTCCCCCCGCACACCCTTCGTGAAGATCTCATTGTTACTTTAAGACATCAATATAATTTTTGATGGTGAAGTAAATAGGCCACAGAATGTAGAATATAAGATAGGTGTATTATTACGTATTTTGTGACCTTGCTAATGAAAGTAGGTGTCGTTTAAAAAGAAGAATTAAAACATATTCTTTTCTTAATTTCGTATCACGCCGTAGCAGTAAAACTAATGCTTTTTTTCATTTGATTTTCACAAAAATTTCTACGGAATGCGCTAAAAATGTGGCGATTACCAGGATCGAAAAAATATTAGAAATCATTTTTATTGGATTGTTCACATTGAAAGATTTTAATTGGTTCAAGGACTTCGTGCCAGTCGCGCGTGGTTTGTCGGATCTGGCGATATAACAAGAAAATCCAAATTCATTTTTAAGTTCGAGCTTGATTTCGGTTGCTCGAATAAATTGATAATTTTGAATTGTGAGGGCTCATATTTATGTACGTATGTACTTTATTGTGCGAAGAAAACAATGGATTTCAAAGGAACTTAATGCGGCATATCAAGCAATTATGAATATGAGCCCTCCAATCATTGATCTTTCTACGCTCATGCGGTCAGTGCTTACTACCGCGAGCAGTTTCACGGTCCCTTTTATTAAAATGAAAGTAATTGTTTCGTGGTTTCGTTTAAATGTAAGTTTTTGTTTGAGTTATTCAATAAATATAGATATGAACTCACCTCTTCATTCGTTATGCGAGTTTTACGGTAATGCACTCACCATTGAATCTATCGATGAATTTTGAGTTTGCACTTAATCCTTCATTCGTTAGATAAGGCTTACGTTTATGCACTGTCATTGAATCAATCGATGAAGCTTACAGTAATGCAATGTCAATAAAATCAATCCATGAGTTTTGAGATAAAGTCAATTCATCATTCGTTAGATGAGGCTTACGGTAATGCTCTGTCCAGTATTGAAGACACGACCAGCGGAATACGCAGACAAATCATGAGCAGGAATAATGTTCAGAGCGAAGTTAAAACAAAATTCCAAATGGCAAATGAACTGAACAGTAAATTAAAGGTGAGGTTTTTGTCTTCGATAAAGTTTGAATGTTCGTCCACAGTTTTTTAAAACATTTCTATACGGTGGAATTTATGGACAAGTTGTACAATTGTCATCTATTCTCGACTTGCAATTCAGTTATGCTGCTGGTCTCGTACAAAAAAAATTATCGTTTTATTGTACATGGCACCAGTCGTCGTTGGCGTGCAACATTGTTCAACAAATCCCAAGAGCATGGTTGCAAGTCAAGTGCATAAAATACGTATCACATTCCCATCTTTTCTAATCTATTCATAATATACTATAATGTTACTTTAATAATGCAAGAGCGAAATCCCATCATTTAATGCTACACATCATAATTCAGTCGTCAATTATACATCAGATACATCTTCCATTCTTCATATTACATGTACATCATAGCATCATTTCCCTTTTACTACATCATGTACACTTTATTCAATACTTAACTATACATCCACTTTTTAGCTACTTTATTACCATATTTTATTATACACATAGCGACTCTTTTCATACTATTTCATCGAAAAAAATTAGAAGGCACACCGTCAAAACCTAATATTATTTTACGATTTCTTAATGTTGCTATGATCGCACTTTGGTAGCAGTGTTGTGCTTCTTTACAAATACCGAAGTTCAAAGTTTGAAATCTGTGCTGGTCTTTGTGGTTACCAAAACTTAAGACGTCTTCTTTCTTATGCCAAGAATACTCGCACAGAACTTCATAGCCAAACGGACGAGAACAGCTCACTTCGACGTACTCTCGAGACGAAGAAGAACGAGTATCAAGCGATGAAAGTGAAACAGGAGGAAGAACGAAAGAAGAAACTGGAGGAGGAACTGAGGCTGAAACGGGAAGCTGAGAAAAAGCGCAAGAAAGAGGAAGAGGAGAGAAAACAGAAAGAGCGAGAAAAGGAGGGTGAGTCGTGTTTAATGTCTTCGGTTAGAGGATCTGATTTGAAGCGTTAAACAACTCCAGTTAACTCCATGATGTACTGTTTAAGCTCTAGTCCTTATAATATTAAATATTAAAACTTGGGTACTTATATACTCTAGTCTAGTGTCTTCATCGAGAGTGATCTGATATTAAAACTTGTGTTCGTAATATACTCCAGTCTAGTGTCTTCATCGAGAGTGATTTGATGTTAAAGCTTGAGTCCTTATATACTCTACTCTAGTGTCTTCATCACGAGTGATCTGATGTTAAAACTTGGGTACTTAGTTACTCCAGTCTAGTGTCTTAACCAGGAGTGATCTGATATTAAAACTTGAGTTCTTATTTTTTCCAGTATAGTGTCTACATAAGCAATAATGTGTTGCCAAAACTTGTTCTTGTATACTTTTCTCGACGATCTTCATCAGGAATCGTTTTTGAAAAACATAGCGCACAATACATGTCTCAATGATATGTTACATTTCGTTATTTCATTCTCTAGCAATGCGTGTCGAGCAGGAACGACAAAGACAAGAGCAGGAGAGAAGACGAAAACTTCAAGAACAGAAAAAAGAAGAGGAGAGACAACGTCGTCTCCAGGAGGAACAGCGACTTGAGTTGGAACGTCAATTGAAAGAACGCGAAGAAAAACAGAGAAAGCAGGAACAGGAAAGACTTCGTGCCGAGCAAGAAAAACAAGAGCAGGAAAAAAAACGTGCTGAACAACAACGACAGGAGCAGGAAAGACTTCGTGCCGAACAAGAAAAGCAAGAGAAACAGCGATTGGAAAAAGAACGGTATTTTATGTTTTTTATATTGAATTTTTTTGTTGTAGCCAGATTTTTCTGGCAATTGTAATGAAAATGTGTTGTCGTCCAAAACGCTAAGAAAATCTTTACGACTTCTTCCTAGCCTTAATTCTAAACTTATTCAATCACTTAGTTTTTTAGCAGTTGTATTGTTATTATGTATAAATGTATATTATTACTATCCTGAAGTATTCACCCCAGACCTTCATTGTGGAACGGCAGAACGTTCGAACGGCTAAGCTAAACAAGCTGTATGCTCTTTAATTCTATTCCGTAGTGTTGTTGCTTTACGTTCTTATAACATTCCCTTGATGCTATTGGAAAACGTGCCAAAAACTTCATGTTGCGTTTAGTGTAGTGGAAGTATTTAGCGATTTTGTTGTTTGTGGTGAGCTGTTGCAAGAATTATGTTCAAACGTATTTTTTATCAAAATATCCTGTGCATAACAATGAGTTATTAGAGACTTTCATATTTTACTACGAGTGCGACTACGGCGATGAGATTTGACAGAGAAGGGGTCTGGGTTCCATAAACAGGTTTTCTTATTCGTAGTGAACTAAACTGTTGTTTACACTATAAGTATGTTATGACGTCCGCGTACAGCCGAAGCTACTTCATTCCTATACATTTTGTTAAATGAATTACGATAAATGTACTCTCGAAGTATACATTCACTCAGGAATATATGAGCGAAGAACAATTAGTTGTTTACGAATGCCAAAGCCTTTGGAAGCTATTTGGAAAACGATCGCATCTGTAGGCAACTAAGCAAATAAACGACAATACCTAGCTTGTAATGAAAGCACCAACTTCATATTTCTGTAATTTTTATTTGTCTGTCTCAGGAGTATAGTTAGGAGAGGGGAGGGGTATAGTTAGGAGAGGGGAGGGGTAAGTCTCCCCCCCCAAGCCTTTGCTAAAATCAAATAAAAACACCCACACGAACAACTGTGATCGAATCCAAACTATAGACGGACTGAACGATAAAAGTGGAGCACTCATTCTGGATCCATGTCTGCTCTGTCATTTTGTTTTGACTATTGCTGGGTTCGTAGTCGTACTCGTAGTCAAATCTAAAGCTCTCTATTAAGAAGTGTCAGCGGCAGCTGTCCATACTCTATCAATGAACGAACGATCTCCAGATTCATTGCAATCCATGCGAATCTCGGCGATTTCATTTTATCTTTAAAAGGCAAGCACAACAGGAGCAACTACGGCTCGAGAAGGAACGCAAGCGTACGCAACAGGAAGAGACGAAGACAATGGTTCAGTTACGACGAGAAGAACTTGCAAAACAAGAAAAGATCGCACAGGAACAGGCAACAACCTTGACGAAATCTCGGACGCCCACTAAACCACCACCTTACGGTAGCACAAAAGCAGACAAGGAAGCGGAAGTGAGGAAGAAAGTTGAAGAAATGCAACGAAAAAGAAACGAGCAAAAAAAGGTAAAGCTTTTTATCGTCTCGAAATCTGTTCTAAATGCAATGGTTATCCGCACCCATGGATGGATCCAGGTAGTTTTTGTACAGAGGGAGGGGGGGAGGGCTGCTCCTTTAGTTTTGATTTAGTTTAGACGAAAATTATTAAAAAAACGCCCTAGAACCAACTTAATACTTTTTGGATTCAATTGTTTCATGAAAGTTCCAGTGTGAAAACCTAATCACAAGCGCAAAGCACGACTTTCGCACTTTTCCTTTCATTTCATTCGATGAGCAGTTACTCCAGCCCATATCTTTATGCACATTACTAGAGATGTATATGACGTAATTTCTTTGCTCATTGTTTTGCCATTTAGGGAAAAGAAACCGAACATTCTGTTACGGAATCCTTTCGAAATAAAAAAGAGTACTACAAAGCTATTTATGTCTTCTCGCCGCGAAACCCCGATGAACTTGTGCTAAAGGAAGGTGACCAAGTCACCGTAAGTTAATTTTATTCTTTGTGGCGGATAAGCGTTCAAATAGACATTTATACTAAGATAACGTGTGTCAGTGTAGGTAGTCATGAATGAGCAACAGAAAACGAGGACAGTCTTTACACTACCTGAAATATAACTAAGATAACATGTGTCAATGTAGGTAGTGATGAATGAACAACTGAGACGGAAATCAGCCACTTTGCATTACAGGTTTTTCCTGATCGACCCAAGGTTCCACCAGGATGGTTATTTGGTTCTTGCAATGACAAGGAAGGTTTATTTCCAGCCAATTATGTAGAAAAAAGTACGAAGAGCACAGGTTAGGCAACATTCCACTGTCATTGGCTTGATACTCAAATTACGTTATAACTTTAGATGTTTGTTCATTGCAGAGCCTGTTCCTACTTCCAGTAAAGAAACAATCAGTCAAACAGCCACAACTGTAAGTATCTGTCAACCACAAAGGCGGCTTTATCTTTTTGTGTATTGGTCGCGAAATATATAAGTGTGAGAAACAGCTCGTACCATCAGTAGCGTATCCAGGCGTTTACTCCCGCTGTGCAAATATTTTTATGTTCACTGACTGCGAGAACAATACATTTTTATAGAAATATAAGGGTGGTTTAATGGTAAACATAAAGGTAGACACAAAGTTAAACTTAAACATAGACACAATGGTAGACATAAAGAGAGACACAGACACAAAGTCGACAGACATAAATGTACACATAAAGGTGGACACCCAGGTGGCTAAAGGGTTTTAAGGGTGGTTTAGGATGATTCAAGGTCGGCTTAAGAGTTGTTTCATGTTGGCTTAAGGGTTTTTTTTAAAGATGGTATAAAAGTGGTTTAAGGGTGGTTTAGGGGCGATTTTAGGGTTTAAGAGTGCTTTAGGTGTGGTATGGTAGACACAAAGGTAGACAAAAATGAAGACAAAGAAGTGGACACGCAGGTAGTTATAAATGTAGACACAAAGTTAGACATAAAGGTAGACATACAGGTCGAGTCGAAGCAGAACATAAAGATGGATACTTTGACATACACACAATGGTAGACATAAAGGTAATGATTAAGGTAGACATAAAGGTATTATAAAGGTATTCAAAATATTACACTCAGGTAGGCATAAAGGTGGACATAAAGATACACATAAAGGTAGACATAAAAGTGGACATAGAAATACACGTAAAGATAGACATAAAGGTTGGCACAAAGGTAGATGGACGTAACATAGACATGAAGGTTGGACATACAGAGAGAATAAAAGTAGACAATGCTGGTTTGTGTAATCTTACCAGCATGCGATGCGTTTTAGTGAAATCCAATTTATCATCTTGCTTTTTTTTGAGAATGGAACTATGATAGTTTCATGACGACTACGTCATTCATGAATCATTTCAGGTTTCAACAGTATTTCCCAGCGGTCTGCAAGCGGTGGCTTTGTATCAATATCAAGCGAAGAATGATAACGAACTTAGTTTTAACAAGAATGATATGATAATATTAAAAGAACAAAGAGACATGATGTGGCTCGGTGAAGTCAATGGAAAGGTTCGTTGATCATGCTCATCTTCATCTTTTTTTAACTTATTTCATCATAATAACGATGAAAATTTTGAATATTTTTTTCATTGAGCGTTACCTGTGCGTTTGTGTCCCTCGGTGTGACATTTTTTACATCGTTTTTCTTGTACAAATCAAATATTTGTCCTGTTGTCGACCGCTGTTGTCAACAGTGTGACCATACATGAATAATTTATCATCAAAAACGCGTCGATCGCTGCAGAATGCTTCCCTGTGTTCTAAATGTTGCAAGTATTTCATCCGGTGGAGCGGTCTAAGCTCGCCAGAGCGGATCTGTTGATAAAAACTATTAAGTCTGGTCGCACCGGTCCTGTTGTCAACCGCTGACCTAACAGAAACCTATCAGTCGAAGTATACACGATTGCGATTAACTGTGTTACTTGACTCATTTCTTTCTTGTATAGACGGGCTGGTTTCCAAAATCATATGCCAAACTTCTTCGTGGACAAAGGCGTGGAGAGTAAGTATACGATGTCGTCTCCCCAATATGGGCAATAGTAATAGTTAGTCGCTGGCTGTAATCCAGACACTAAAGGTTTTGTCTACGTTTTCGTCGTCGGTCAAAAGTTATATGTATGTCATAATCTTAAACTGCTTTCGTGGAACAACATGGCCACGTGAAACTACAATCATTGACCCCAAGTCGGCGTTAGTTCATATCGTACCATTTATTCGGATAAGCGTACCAGCACCACATCTGATCTCATAATGCCAAAAGATCATTAAATGCCAATTGTGGACTTCCATTTCGCCAGCGACTAAAGCTCTAACAGCGTATTGTTAAATTCAACTCGACTCGCTGATTATCTGTTAACTTATATATTTTCTTTGTTTCTTAAGGTGCTTTGTATAGTGTTACACCTTTACACGTTTATATTTTCTCGTCATTTTATTTAGAGGCAGCACAAGTGATGTTCCCCCTGAGAAAGCTTCCGTGCAAATTCCTTCTACCGGTGCTTCCGCTTTTACGGAAGTGCCCGAAACTCGTCCAGCCGACGTCGTATCTGGTAGGTTTTTTATTAGTCTTTTTGTTCCTGGGCATATTCAAGAAAACTTATATATCTCCAAAAATAAATAAGATAAAACAGTTCCACGCAGAAAAAGTTATTTAGTCATTTTTAATTGTTTTTACAATCCCACACTTTGAATATATTGAAACAAATTCCTAGCTTCGTGTGAATGGGGTGTGCGCGGAAATATATGGAAAGGAATGGCTACCTGAACACGCTTTGATCGTTAGCTCTTTTGATCAGCTCACGACGAGTTTCGAGTGTCCGCTTTTTCGTTGTGATTTTTCCTCGTAGCAAATAAACGCGCTAAGAAATACATCCAAAACCAATACAACCTGTCTTACTTTTTGATCGAATTCACTTTGAGATGTACTGGAAAGTACAATGTTTTCTTTTATAGAGTGTGTTGCTTTGTACTCCTACAAAGGCCAAGCGGGTGATCTGAGCTTCCAGGAAGGCGATGTGATAAGCATCACAAAAAATGAAGGTGATTGGTGGGAAGGGTCGTTGAAGGGGCAGAAAGGGATATTTCCTGCGAACTACGTGAAAATGAAGGAAGTCGAGGTATATGAAACATCCACACATCGTACAATGACCATTGACTGAGGATAGTGTTGGCTTAATTATTACTATTTGTGTATTGCAGGCGCAGACATCGTCAACGAAGCGTCCAGGTAGGGAGCTTTTTTTGCATTTTATATTGTGGTCTGTCGAGGGGGGATGTTGGTCGTCTTCAGTGGACTAGCTTAGCCACTGTTAGTTTGGTCGTGATATGTAAACACTGCTGTGTTCAATCGCTGTAAAAACAATAGATTTCTACAGGGCGTTGGACGTTGATTTTTACAAATGTTTCAAAAATATAATTAAGGTCGAAAATCTGCAATTTACGTTGGACGGTCAGTTAAATAAAACTTTATTTTTAAAAAAATGTCATCGAATGGTTACGTAGCTTTGTATCCGGACTTCGTGCGCATTGAAATACAAGTTTTTGCTTATCCTATACTGTCTTTTCTATCTATGCTTTAGTCGTAATTCTTTCATTTCTGTTTTATGTTAGAAATTGCGACTGTGATAACAGCTTACACGGCAACTGCACCTGATCAGCTGTCGTTAGTTCCCGGACAGTATATTGCCGTGAAAGCTAAGAATGATAACGGATGGTGGGAGGGACAGCTTCAGGTATTGTCCATTTGCCCGTAGTATTGACTTTTCACGTCTGCGTATACGAGCAAGCTAACTTGCTATATATAGTAGAAATGAAGATGGCGTATTTCAGTATGCGTAGATGTAAATAAAAAGCATTGAAGGACAGTTTGTATCCTCACTAAAATGTAGATCGAGATAGCGTGTGTCAGTGAGGGTTATGATTACTAAACAAAAGATATGCTATGGTAAAATATAAACTAAGATAACATGTGTCCCTGTCGATAGTTATGAACTTAGAACGAGATTATGAGAAACATAAACTAAGTTACGTGTGTCGCTGTAGGTAGTTATGAACTTAGAACGAGATTATGAGAAACATAAACTAAGTTACGTGTGTCGCTGTAGGTAGTTATGAACTTAGAACGAGATTATGAGAAACATAAACTAAGTTACGTGTGTCGCTGTAGGTAGTTACGAACGAGATTATGAGAAACATAAACTAAGTTACGTGTGTCGCTGTAGGTAGTTATGAACTTAGAACGAGATTATGAGAAACATAAACTAAGTTACGTGTGTCAGTAAAAGTGCTTGAACTTTAAAAGGAGCCCTCAATACGATCTGAAGTATTAAATTTTCATAACTGTGTGCTTCGAACTCGTAGTAAATAAGTACTTCATTACTTTGCTTCAGGCCCGCGGCAAAAAACGACAGTCGGGTTTGTTTCCAGGCAATTGTGTAAAACTTCTTAGTTCTGGTTCGAACGCAGCATCAGCGAACAATGATTCAACCACTTCACTAGAGGAATCGGTATGTTTGCATCGAAGGATCACTTTATCTCATGATGTATATTTTTACAGAAAACCTCTCTCTCTTCCTTTTGGATAACTATTCCAAAATGAGAACATAATTCTTTAGGACTAATCAAAATACGCGATACCCCTTTTTATATGGTTGATCACAGATTATAATAAGCATTTTTTGGAATGATTGCTAGATATTTCTCTATTCCTTATGCCATAATAGAAAATATCAAACACTTCTCCATGACCGACAAGTTTTTTATATACTTGAATGTCTTTCAATGTCAGTTCTGACTGTATAATTGAAGACGTTGAAAGTCCTTAAATTTATAAAATGGCCTTGAAAGTTTTTGAATTGTTTTATTTCGGTCAAATTGTTTGTAAGCATGTTGGTTAGCGCATCTATTTCCTTAGTGACATGGCGGCTTTTACTTCACTGGAAAACACAGTATTCTTTCTAAATTGTAGTTTCAATAGAAAAAGTTCTTTGGTATTATTGTGCACGCGATTGTCAGTCGTACTCGTCTTTAAATTTTTTAAAATATTTCCTTGAAAGACCTTGAAAAGTGCTTAAATTTCATTACTCCCAATATTGTACAAACCCTGGATTACATTAAATACAAAACATATTGGCCATCTGATATTGCCACTGCAGCCATGTGTAAAGCTATGCTTGTCAACTGAAGGCAATCCCTTTACCATCTTTCATAAATTATGTTATGATATTGCCATTGCAGCCATATGTAAAGCTATTCTAATTTGCGGTGTTCAGTTTCTCTTTCCAACGTCCCACGTTTTTTTCAGTTTCTGTTTGTTTGAAAGATTTTTTAATTTCGTTTAGTTGTATGCTGTGCCGCGGAAACATAAACCAGAAGGTCAGTTGAATTCAATCTTGGTGGACATATTATTTTCTCGTTATCGCTTACATGTATTTTTGTAATAAGATCAGTGGCGTAGCCAGCTCGCGATTTTTGGTCATGCCGTAAATTTCAGATCGTCACCATTGACGTCTTTCAAAATTTATTGTTTTTGCAGTTTACAGTTTCACAAACTCCATAACCGATTGCAAATGTAGCTACCGTTAAATTTAGGGACATCCCACATCAATTTTGACGAAGTTCTTGTTATTACTGTTTTGATGTGTACTTCAAAAATTTTAAATAGCTGTAAAAGTTCATTTTTCAAATCGTGTAATTCAGCTTATGGCTGCGAATTGATATTATAAAACCGAATATCTATCTTACTGTCATTGAACATCGAAATATTAACATTGCTTGTAGAAAGAAACGGAGCTTGCTTTGCCATTGATTTATGTTGATTTATGTTTCTTTTATGTTTATGTTAATTTATGTATGTGGTGGTTTGCTGCTTTTCCTTTTCGTTTGACGTTTTTCTTGCTTGCTTCATTTCAGAAATATTAGATCAAGTATTAGCGATGTTCTCGTACACTGCTCAAAATTCCGATGAGCTGACATTCTACAAGGGTAGTGTAATAACCGTGCGAAGCCGCAAGGGCGACTGGTGGCAAGGAGAGTTGAACGGAAAAGTCGGCGTGTTCCCCAATAACTACGTTCAACCGCTGACCGATCTACCAAAGACGACTCAATGTAAGTTGATATGTTATTGATGTTGCCTTGCGTTCTGACTGCGTACACGTTGTTGGTGGCAGTATTACCAGCCTTCACCAAGAAATTGAAGATTAATTAGCGGCATTATACACTTTCAACCGGACTTTAAGTTGTTAGGAAGTAACATGTTCATTAAGTTTTGATTTTTAGCGAATCGTGGCGTTCTTCGGTAGTTGCGTAGGAAAAACTAATTGACGTTTAGTTAGGTCTCCGCGTAGTATGTACAGGCCGGTCATTGAAAGATGGGTCCGTTACTTAGGGTCAAAACTAATTGACGTTTAGTTAGGTCTCTGCGTAGTATGTATAGGCCGGTCATTCAAAGATAGGTCCGTTGCTTAGGGTCAAAACTAATTGACGTTTAGTTAGGTCTCTGCGTAGTATGTATAGGCCGGTCATTCAAAGATAGGTCCGTTTCTTAGGGTCAAAACTAAATTTGATGGCAATTTGGATGTAATTCAAAATTACCTTTTGATCGAAATTCCGTTCTGATCGATCGTCTTGGAAAATTGTCGTATGCTAAGCAGCTTCTCTCCGTCAAGTTGAATTTAGGTCATTCAAAATATGTTTGAGGGGGGGGGAGAGAGAGTGTCTTTAGCTTATGAGACCTGTATGAACCCTAAACCCAGCTAAATATAAAATCACCTCCTTACTGTTAATTATGCATGGCCTGCGGTCAAGGCCCGTTTTTATCCACAGCCCATGTTAGGTGAATTCTCAAATAATCGGCGAATATCTTTTAAGGCTGAGGAAATCGATCAACATTTTATGAGAATTGGTATTGATTGATGTATTCTTGTGTAATTCACCTCAATCAATTTTTGTATTTTTATTTGGATTTCATTTAGGACCAAGAAATGCTTTGGGCCAACAAGGATCTGCTAAATACTTTTCACTGTGTTTGCAAATACTTAGCAATTCTGTTCATATCTCTCAGCATGTGCTGCCTTATGGCGAGACAGCCGGTACTATCTCAAAATGATTGTCCTTTTCAAATGAAACCAACTTCGTTGAAATTCTTTAGTAAGATATTCTAGTTTTCTGTTCCTTCACGGTTTATCACTTTCGTTTGAAGGAGTAAAATTGGGAATTCTTGTTAATACCGGGACGTTCCGTCTTGTTCTTTTGTATCGGAAATCCCGTCATAAAACAGCGCATGCGTATCGCACATGCCATTTTTAAGATATTCTTAGTTTTATTTTTAGCTTATTTCAACCTTAACAATGAACGATAAGTAGGAAATTTTAGTTAGCATCGTAATTATTTTTTTGCAAGTTGAGTTTTAGCTGTGCGTCCAAATCGGTCCTAAAATCTCGGACTCTGAAAACTGACCACGTGTCCGCTTGCGGAATGTAAGATTTCTCATTGAAAGTTCATATTCCGTCTAGTTTATTACCTTGATTATAATGCACTAATGAAGCAAGCAATATATTTACAATTTGTATATTTTTACTAATATATAAGATTTGTTACATATGTCATTGCAATTCTTCAGTCTTTTGTACTTTGATTAAGCAAATGAATCACAACGCTTGATATTTAATGTGCAGTGATCGGCCCAAAGCATTTCAGCTCAGGAAATTGATCTATACCTATTTTGTGTTGCTAAATATAAACAATAAATTGTTATGAAATATTTAACCCGAGATTCAGCATAAATTATGCTAATTGTTATACGTAAGTTAAGTTGTTGATTTTATCTTTCACAAAAACAATCTTTGTTTCATGTTGGAATAATTATTTCAACTATTTGTGTGTATCTTTAAACGTCTACTTTTAGCAACATCAATCTTTTATGAACCTAAACATATTATATTGGATTTATTTACATTTAAATCATGTTGTCCGACCCGTTGATATTGGTGAATTTACCATCGATATCGTAGTATGAAAATTGAACTGAGGCACAGACTAAGGTCTTTGTTGCTATGTGAAACATTAATTAGTTCAATATGGAAACTAAACTTGACATTAAAATATAATTATTCGCCATGGTAAATACCTACTAATATGGATAGACAATTTTCCTTGAGTTTGATTTGACTCACACTGATCATGCATATAAGGACAATGCAAGTCTTCCTCCTTAGAGTTTCGTGACTGTACATGTTTTCTAGTGTATAAAAGTATTATTTTTTGATGCATCAATGGATTTCACAGCTTCGAGTTAAGTTAGGGGTACTTTTGCGATGAAATAGAACAGTGTGCTTTTTTCGCCTTTTCATAAACACAAATCGTAATTTTTGGATACATTTGTGTAATCTGATGTAAAATCCTCAGAGAACGTGTTTTCAAATACGGGAAACTACACGAAGCAGAAAATTATTTGAACTGATAAAAGCTGTTTGCTTTAGCACAGTGTAGTTTATGTTTGAAGATCAAGCAAGCATTATCGCGCTTTCGTAATTTCTTTGGCTAGTTATCTTGACTTGGAGATTTGAATGACTTTGCACTTGCGGAATCCTCAAAACTTTCTCAATACCACATTCTTAATCCTTATACGTTAATGTAATTCCTTTGTAAACGTTAGTGTCGTTCTTTAGTAAGTGTAATTGCACAGTAATTTTAACGTCATTCCTTGTAAATCCTAATGTACTTCCTTACATGCTGTGCATCTCAGGGACTGGAAATTGGGATCGTCAATTATTGGACTCCATGACGTCAATGGAACGCAGCAGACAGGTGAAAATATTTTTTGCGTTTTATTGATGCGTATTGCAATATTTCTTGCTCTCCTTAATCCGTTGCAATTATTTATTTTACATGTTTGTAGATGTAGATCGTCCAGGTGGGTATAGTTCTGAGAAGGACTACCGCTAAGGTTGTCGAAACGTCCGTCAACAACAATAAAACAGTCCTTCTCAAGACTATACCAACCTGGACGGTCTACATTTACAAACATGTAACGATACTCCCGGGCTTAAACCATTTACTTAGTTACTTATTTGTTGTTCAGAATTGCATTTACGAGCTCATCAACAGCGAACAAATTTACGTTGACGATATGAGTTTGACGTTGGAGGTATGTCCTAGTCAGAGCATAGGGAATAAACAGTAGGACAGTTTCTCCGCGCGACTTGCTGGTGTATTTAACAATTACATTACGTGCTCGAGACTGCTATGAGATGAAACCCCCGAATCGACTATCTCATGGAAATCGAGAACGAATAGTCCAGTTGTTTTAGTAGAGTCATATTAGTATACATGAAAAAAGGGTTGCGATGGATTTCCAAATTTGTTGTTTTGTGTATTTGTTGTGGTCGACATTGTTTATAAAAGCAAGCGACTCTTGCCCAATGCGCGTTTCGTTACTTTAATTGAAATTTTGTTTATTATGCCTTTAAATATCTTAATTTCGTATTTAATAGCAACTTTAGTCTTTTCTACAATTGCCTTTTGATTTGGAGTAAACGATCAAGTTTATATTCAGAAACCTGAGTAAAACGCGAGTCGGTATGGTCGGCAGCCAACTTTTTGCGATACCTGCTATCTATGGAAAGTTGGATAGCGAGTAGAGTAGCCAATCAAATGAAAGCATTTGCATTACGTTACTAATATGATTCTACTAAATTTGATTAGATCACTGGGGCCGGTTGCACGAAGCCTGGATAGCGTTATCCATTGTGTTATCCTTGAAAAAGGTGTTCATGTTTTTCTTACGACAAAGAAATTTCGTATCTTCGAAACAATATTTTATTTCAGCGATTGCTCAGTTCGAATCTCCTAGTTTTTTTATTTTTAAAAGGTTTTATAAAGTTTCAAAAAATTGCTGTCCAATGGGGATAACGCTATCCAGGCTTCGTGCAATCTGCCCCTGTTTGCAGATATCCAGTTGAGTGTCATTATTGTTCAGAAAAGCCAAGTTACTGGCTGCCCTTTTTACGCAATAGTCATGCTAAGTCATTTTTAACTGCTTTGGTGCAATGTGCATCCACTTTTTTACGATTCCCAAGCTTTTATTTCTGACTCCAGGTTTTTTACAATCCAATCGCCGTATCTAAACTTCTGGACGACAACGAAATTAATACGATTTTCGTCAACTGGAGGGAGCTGATTTTCTGCAGTACAAAATTGCTCAAGTATGACTCTTTAAGGAAGATTGAAAGATCGCTCTGATTGGTCAAATCCGATGTTTGCGTCAACGGCATAAAAAAGCACATCAAAATGTTTTGACTTTACCATGAGATAAATTTCATAGCATTTTAAAATTTTTTTGTTTTGCCTCATTTCTTCTCTGTTTCGGTCGTATGAGTTGCAGAAAGATTACCAATTGATTTCGGTGTTCTTTTTAATTTTAGGTTTAAGATTAATTTTGGTGTTTTTCACGTTATTTAAGCTAGAAGTGAGTGCTACAAACACTGAATTAGGACAAGTCTACGAAATCATTGAACTATAATACATGGAACGCTACCTGTAATACAAAACCCTAAAAATTTTTAAGCCGTGATTTTACCCTAGACACGCGAGATTTTACCCCATACGGGCACGCGTGTGTAGTCAATCAATTTTTACTCCGCGAGAGAATCTCGAAACACTACACACGCGTGTCTGGGGTAAGATTTGGCTTCAATTATTTGCTTCAGGGAGCGTTCCATGTATTTTAGTTCAATGGTCTACATAAACCTGAACCTTGACCAATCAGTTGCTTAACATTAAAAATCGCTTGCATCTCGCTTGTTGAGTACGTCTTGAATGTCATTGCTTTATTGTAGGGCTTTTCTTGTTCGAAAGAAACTGAACAACGAGGGTTTAATTTATACCATTGGAGATGTTCTTTGTGAGCAGGTACGAGATGGAATTTATTAATTCTAAGCCCTGATTTTGATTTTTAGTTTGTCAACAGGGGATGCTACAGAATGCCCGAACTAGAGTCAATTGACAACTAAGAATAAATAGAGGACTGTTAAGTTTAGAATAAGAGTCTTTAGAATGTTCAAATGTTTGTCTCCAGAGGTCTATAAACTATAGAATAAGATATAAAAAGTGACCATAACATTTTCGAATGATAGCCCCCAATAGAGTACTATACGAAATGGTCGAAAGCCTATCAATGACGATTATAAAGCGTAGAATGAGACTGAACAGAGAATGTTCAAATGGTAGTTAACTGACAGGTGTTGAATGAGTGAATGGGATTCAGCTGAGAAGTAACATTGTATTACATATTGAAATGATAGTTGTTTATTACTTTAAAGAACCATCTACTTGTCATGACTCAAATGTAACCTTAACCAGCCAATCGTGTGCAGTCAACAACTCAAATGTAACATTAACCAGCCAATCGTGTGCAGTCAACAACTCAAATGTAACATTAACCAGCCAATCGTGTGCAGTCAACAACTGTTGACATTAACCAGCCAATCGTGTGCAGTCACTGTTGTTGACTTCCTATCCTACTATTCTTTCAGCTCTCTCGTCTCACTCCTTACCTCAGACTCCGGAGCTGATGATTTTTTCATTCTAATTTCAGCTCCCTCGTCTTACACCTTACATCAGATTTTGTAGCTGCCAACTGAAAGCGTGTAGACTGCTGCAAAATAAAATCGAGAACGTACCGGAGTTCAAAAATCTTGAAAAGGTACTTGATTCTTGTTGTTTGTAGTGAAAATTCTATAGATTACGAATTCGTCTCTGTCGTTTCGTTGCAACCTTTCTTGTTTACTTTGCGTCAACCGTCGCCCTAACTTTACTGCCCTTTTCTTAGCTCCAATCAAAATATGTGAGAAGTTTTGCCATTGGTTGAGCAAAGGCGATTTTCTGGGATGTTTGCCTTGTCCACTGATGAATTTATCGGGGAAGTGCAGAGGGTTGTGCACTTCGATAGAGCGCAGGAGCGGTGTCGATTTCTAGAAAATACTAATATACCAATGAATTTAGCAAAGCAATGAATTTATCGTGCAGAGTTTAATGGAGCGCGACTCTTACTAATGAAAAGGTAATAGAATTCGACCAAAAAGTAGCCACCGAATTCTTATCCAAACTAGAGCACCCCATAACCATGTCCGATCGATGTTGTAACATAACCAACTGTATCACAACAAGTCTGCTTTTGGTGACGATGACGATTCTTTCACGTCCAGTTTTTAAGGTTAAATGACTTGCATATATGTATTTTTAAGCAATGTAGTCAGACACCTCGTGCACGTGGTCTACCTCTGAGTAGCTATCTCCTCAAGCCTCTGCAAAGAGTAACAAAGTATCCGTTGCTTATACGAAAGGTATTTGATTTTAACATGTGTTTTTTTTTGTTACTTTTTTCGTGTGCAATTTTTCATTATAAAACACTTGCTTTTCTTGATAGATTCTCGAGGACACCCCTGAAAAACACTCGGATAGAAGCGATTTAGAAGATGCTCTGGAAAAAGCCGAAGATCTGTGTAGACAGGTATCATGAATTGTACGACCGGCATTCTTAGATGTTTAAGATAAAATTCAATTTCAGGTCACTTATGATGTAGACATTAGACTAGATACGTTTGAACTCAAATTTCTACGTCAGATCACTCCTGATTTCGACACTAGACTGAAGTATATAAGAACTAAAGTTTCAGCATTCGATCATTCATAATGAACACACTAGACTAAAGCATACAAAAAATTCAAGTTGTTACGTCCGATCATTCCCGATGAAGACACTACACTGAACTATATAAAGACTCAAGTTTCAACATTAAATCACTCCAGTTGAAGACGCCAGACTTGAGTATGTAAAAACTCAAGTTTGAACTCCAGATCACACCCGATAATGACATGAACAATTTTTCCTCACCAACCCTCATGTTAATGTACATCTGAAAACCTGGTCATTGCAAATGCTTTTTTGAACTCAATTTTAGGACTCGTGCATGCAAGAACTTGTGTTATAACATCAATGCATCAAATTATTCCTAACGAGGACACTTGTCTCGATTCTTCTTTCTAAGTATTTTTCATTGTTATCTACATCGTTCTTCTTTAGATTAATGAAGGCGTCAGGTCGCAAGAAGACACGGATAGATTAGAATTCATGCAAACACATATTAATACGGAGGGTCTTGACGAGGTATTCTTTGTTCTTTATCCAGGCTTATTTGCTGGTAAGGCTCTGAACGTATGACGTAAATAAAGTATGTTCAGAGCTTTACTCTTGGGTCGTCCCAAGAAAGCAAATATCTTAAGCTATATAGACAGATAATATTTTAGCTAGCATATCTTTATAGCAATATCACATTGCTTTCAACCCCCAGCCTCGAAATGGGTATCATTTTCTGCCGTTAAACGGATCCGGCACATCCCTGGGACCGGTTGCACGAAGCCTGGATAGCGTTGTCCATTGGATAGCAATTTTTTTAGACTTTCATAAAACCTTTAGAGAGCAAAAAATATAAGATTCCAAATGAGCAATCACTGAATTAAAATATTGTTTCAAGATTACGAAATTTCTTTGTCGAAAATAAAAGTTTGATAATTTTGCCATCCTAATTTTGCAACTCATTATCTATCATTGAAGCATTAATCATTTTAATTGAATCTTTATTGAGAATGCCAACATCACTAAAAAGTGGTTTACAGAGAGGTCCTCTAAAAGTAACTAAATATAATATAACTACTTAAAAATAAAAATAAAAAGAATACAAATCGAAAAATATGAACATAAAACTACATCATTTGAAAATTAACATGCTAAAAACGAAACTAATTAAAATAGTGCTTTTTTGATACCACGCTTAAATTGGCTTAAGGTGGGCACATCTCTTATGGAAAGGGGTAAGGCATTCCAAACGTCCGCTGCAAAATTTATTGTTATCCAGTGCCCCCATCTTCTGTGTGCGAATGATTTGCGGATATTTCGCTTTGATCGTGTATTATAGTTATGATAGTTACTGTTAAAACAGTAGTGAAAAGTGTGCATAAAAAGGTTATTAACTACCTTGAACATGAAAATAGCACGATTAATATTAATTCTCGTTCAGCGTCTAGTATTTAATTCACAAACGAACTGTCTTGGCCAACGAAAATTTGTCTACGATGGAACTTTGTTTAAGGTGAGAAATGCACACGAGCTCACCGGCGCAGACTCATTTTGGGAATAACATTTTTAAGTGATAAATAATAATATAGTAGGAAAACGATACTGGATTGTGATTGTTTGGTATCAGTACATTTATTCTTAAATAGCGATGCACAAGTCTATCTCTTTCATTGTTAAGATGTGAAACAATTTGGATTCGAGTGCGTTTGGTATCGTATTTTCACTGTATCCAGGGGGGTGGCTGTAGCTTTTTACTCTGTCTGAGTGGGGTGAATCAATGGAGAATATATATAGAGAGTCATATGTATTTTGTGTTATTACCAACACACGTGAAACATTGGCGGTACAAGTCGATATCACTTTCCAAAACACACGGTTTTAAAGGTCAAAAATTGAAGCGCAATTTTTAAAATACACCATTTTTTTGGAAATAATCTTTTCTGCCACTAATTTTTTACTGTTGCTCCTAGTTTTGAACCTACTAATTCATCTTGATGAATGACTACGATCAGGCACGAGATCGATCTTTTGAAGCCATGTTTCTCTTACTGAAGTTAACAACTTTAACCCTTCACTTGGCAAATTTTGTCGAAAGTTCGTACACATGTCGTTTGGTGATTGTTTTAGATACTCTTCACTGCCACTGATTTATTATGAGATCAGTGTACACTGCCAAGTAAACGATATTAACAATGGAGATTTTTTCCATGTTTTGGCCCGTGTTCACGATCAATTTTTTTGAAATGCAATTAAGTTTAGTTAGCTTTCGGTGTAGTTAAATCACTTGCCTAAATTGTGTTGATGTGATATGTAATGTTACCCTACCAAACGGCCATATCGAATCGTGTGAAATGAATCGAATTCAATACGACCGTATTGAAGTGCGTGAAAGTGGTTTGTGATATTGAGTGCGGGGTGTTTATGTACATATGTATACGAAGTGTCAAATAACTAAATTTACATGTGTGCGGGGTGTTTATTTACATATGTATACGTAGTGTCAAATAACTAAATTTACATGTGTGCGGGGTGTTTATTTACGTATGTATACGAAGTGTCAAATAACTAAATTTACATGTGTGCGAGGTGTTTATTTACATATGTATACGAAGTGTCAAATGACTAATTTACTGTGTGACGGGGGGTTTATTTACATATGTGTACAGTGTCAAATGACTAAATTTATATGTCGGATGGACTGTATTGCATCTGCAATGTTGCACGAAACACTGTGTCAGCCGACAATTTAAAGAAGTGATTGTAAACAAATTTAAACCAGATGTTCTTGAGAAGAAAATCGAATCAAAACAAGATACGAAGTAAACTGTAAATTTTCGACTTTATTTCAAAGTCATCCTCAGACAGAATGATCATCCTCATTCGACTTTATTTCAAAGTCATCCTCAGACAGAATGATCATCCTCATCTGTCTGAGGATGACTTTGAAATAAAGTCGAAAATTTACAGTTTACTTCTCGTCTTGTTTTGATTCATATTTTGCAATCTCAAGATGTCTTGTTTCTTCGGAATTTGTTTTATATTATATGTATACGAAGTGTCAAATAACTAAATTTACATGTGTGCGGGGTGTTTATTTACATATGTATACGAAGTGTCAAAATACAAATTTACATGTGTGCGGGTTGTTTATTTACAGCATAAAAGCGGCAAAGAGCTACAAGCGTTCTTATGTAACGATTTCCTCTTGTTAACTCGTGAGAACAGCTCATTGGCTAAGAAGATTGGTAAAGATTCCGAGAAACAATACGTTTTATATCAACCGGTATGTGCCCGCGACTCCATGCGCACGCAGCACTATTTCTTGTAGTTAGACAGACCATTTAAAGTGTTTATCACATTTTTGTTTAATTGCATTGAAAAGAGCATGTAGAATGACTTGATGACCTCTTTAGTAGAATTGAATTATTGTACTTTGTTCATGAGATATTCCACTTTTTCTTTATGCAAATGACATCGTTATGACATCACAGAGCTTAATGACACTTAAAAGATCATCAATTTTTACATCCAAAATTCTTTTAAAGAACTCATGAACTCATTTTAACTTGCCTTTACAATTCAATCAAAAAACAAGTTAAAATTTGGTGTCATAAACACTCTAAGTGAGCTTACAACAACAGGCTATCTTTTGTTAATGTGAAGGCTACATTATATGTGGTATTAATCTCACAAAGCAATATTTTTACGGCTAGGTTTCATATGCAGGCTTACGTTTATATGTAGGCAGCCATCCTGGTGTTATACAGTTCTGTAGTTTTTACACCTACTATTTTATTCGTATGTTTATTGCACTGATCACGCTAGAAACATTTGAATTACCGTGACCGGATGTTTCTTCAGTACTCAGTGCTACAGAAAAATGCATTCATGTGTAGAATTTCGTCCATCATCGATTGTATCCTTCGAATGTGATGCAACTTTGTACAAATACTCAATGCAGACACATTTCTTTTGGATTTTTTTATTCGTGTATCGTACTTGGCGTGCATATGAGGCCCGTAGTGTGAGCGGCCCATTTATTTAGTCCTGCTGTGAATATCTTTGAAGCTCACTGCGGAAACAGTAGAGTTCTAAAGAATTAGTAATGAGTCTGAAACTTTAATAAAAGCGCTAAATTTGTGGTATGCGGTGTGAAGTGTCGCACTTCAATGCAGTGGCATGACCAGCTTGCATGTTTAAGTCCAGTTGTGTTGGTTCAGAACATCATTCATTTCTTTAGAAATCTATTTTTTCATTGTGAGTGAACATTAAAAGGAGCAATGAGAAGCGAGCTGGTTATATGCGACCGTTTTAATGTGGAACCAGAATGTTTACAGTTCAAACAAAAGTGAAATACGATTAAACAATGATGTAAAGATCGCTCCGACATCATCGAATACACACCCATCCCCCAGTCACCCCTAAATTTTCCAGTGGGCGTTCAATGTGTGCACGTTAAAGCGTGTCAGAGCAACTTCATAATTAGGGAAAAGTTTATTTGTTTCTTTTTGAACCATTAACACCTTGCCTCTCGCTTGACTGTAGTATATTTTTTTCCTGTAGCCAATACGACTGAATGAGATTACGGTGAAAGTCCCCGATCAACACAGTAAGTGTTACTATAAAATTTTTCTGATTGAACGACTATGGGTTTTTTGGGCATTTGTGGTGAATGCTTGGAAGTGAACTAATTTTGAATTCCTATTTGGAGTGCAACACTGATTTTCTGATTGCGTGTGGGAGATCCGAATGTTTTTATTTCTAATGAAAGAAATCATGAAAACTCGATCTTGAGCACTCTGCACTGAACGAAAATCTACTTTTATTAACACCCTCACCTTCAAATTACACGACTATAAGCAATCAGCTCTTCAAGCAAGCTCACTTGGCAATTTTTGTCTTCTCTTGTGAAATGACCTTTCTGCAAGTGGACTGAGCAAATTTTTTACCAATACAAGCTACGAGACTTTTTGACTCAATGTTATCGCCTTTTAATGCATGGGATCCGTTTTTTTTTAATTTCATCGTGTTTCACTCTCTTTTAGGTGAAGAGACTTTATTTCAAGTTTCACACATAGACAAAATGTATTTATTACGAGCCGAGACGAAGAATGAAAGGTATGTTGTTCATGTATCATTCCGTACACCGTGTACTGTCTGGCATTTTTTACTTTTATAAGAATAGAATTTTTGTTTCTTTTGCATAGAATAACGTGGGTGCGAAAATTGAAGCAGGCTTCTGAGCACTACATAGAGACGGAAGGAATTCGACGTCAGAGAGCATACAGAGGTATGCTTAAAAGAATAGAACTGCGTTATGTAACTTGTTTGAGCTTTTGCAAGCGGTTGACAGGATTACATTTCAATCAATCATTTGCATTCCGTCTTCTGTTTGCTGTCCATCTCGAACGGTTTATGTTACTCAACGTGAAACAACTCAAGCAAAAATGTTTGTCGAAAAGTAGCTTGAGTGAGATGTAATGTTATCGTAATTGCATGCCACTGAGATAAACGTGTTTCTCGAGCGCATTTTCCCGAGTACAATCTCTCACCGGAAAAGGTTATTATTGGAAAACTTAGTTTTCGTCGCGTCGTACTGGGACTTGATTTGATTCTTAAATTGTTTGGCGTACAGTCGTCTTATTAGTTTTAGTTTCAACACATTTATATATTTCAGCTGATGAGGATTTATCATCTCTCTTACTCTACAATTTGCAAAACAATTTTCATGAATCACCTGCATTTATCATTTTAGCGAGATCTTTTCGGAAAGACAACATTGGAAAGCTGATTGTTTACATCATAGAAGGATCCGATCTTAAAGCCTCGGACCCCAACGGTCAGTAAGATTATTTGCAACGTAATTACGGAAATATGTTAGTTATTTATTGTTGATCAATGGCTTTTTCGTTTGGTGGACTTTCGCTTTCGTTTGGTCGAAAATAAATTTCCAACATTTTAGCATGTGTTCGTTGTGTTGAGTTGTAGTATTTTTGTGTCGAGTTGTTCTCATCTGCCATTATCATCTATATATACGTAATGCTTGCTAATACATCTAACTTTCATGTGTTGGGACATGTTTCTTTACCAGGCTTAAGCGATCCGTATTGTGAAGTGAGTCTTGGCAGTCAAGAGCACAAGACGAAAGTCATCACAAATACTCTAAATCCAAAATGGAATTCTTCTGTAAGGATTTATCTTACCCTACAGTTTTGCTTATAGGTATTTAAGGTGTTAGGTTATGCCAACAGGTTTTTCCAGTCCCACTATCCTAGGTTTTCTGTGTTCACTTAGTGCAAAAATAATAGACCTCCGATGAAATTAACAATGATAGTTATTGATCTGAGATTTACATACCTGGACCAAATCTTGCTACTGGCTTTGCCATTGGTTTTGTGTAATAGTTAGGAAACTATTGTGCTCACTTTGTCCGATGATTATCTTCGAAAGTGGATTGAGCATGTGTGTGTGTGTGTGTGTGTGGAATGCCTGAGAATTTGAGATACTTATTTATCTCTCGGAAGTAGTATTGATGCCGCTTTTGTTTTGCTTAAACACGTCCCTTCTCGTATGTCTTTTCCATGTCGTCAACCTTTGTCATTTTCAGATGCAATTTATTCTTCGAGATTTGAAACAAGATGTCTTGTGCATATCCGTGTTTGATCAAGACATGTATTCACCAAACGGTAATACTTTTCGGTTATTTTCATAAGTATATTAAATCCACTTGTTAGCTATTCTTTCTTTCTATTCCATGAAAAAAAAAGCTTTCTGACGAAGCGCCGGTTACACCAGGGCTCATCTCTGTATTAAACTGCATGATCATTCGCTACGTTTGTCGCAAGTATTTTCAAGCGTGTGAATTTATCTGTTCACCAGCAGTAGCGGATCCAGCATATGGTAATATAATTTGCAACAGCTTAATTTCAAATTCAAAATACCTTCACAACAATGCTATTGGTTATGTAACTTCCAAAGAACCAAATCGAATCGGTGTAAGTGCATCGAAAAATGAGCTGTTGTGATTTATTTTTCATAACGCTGGATCGACCACTGTCTCTTGTGTTCTTTCTAAACCATCACGAAAAAAAAACAATGCGTAAATTTATGGCGCCATCTCATTGTTAGGTGAACTTTTGTATGTCTGCTGTAACACCTATTAGCAAGGTCAACCCTCACTGATCTTTATACGATTACCTGGAATAAGCAAGGGCACGGAGTAGTACGAAAAACAAGGTTCTTATTTCGGAAATCGTAGGGAAAACCTTCAATCCACGTTTTTAGGTATAGAAGAAGTGAAAAAGTTTGCCTTATTTAGTACGTAGATGACAGTCGCAGATTTTTATGTCATATACTGTGCAATTGTACTCTGCTATAATAAAATGTAACAATTAAACATTCCAGGTAATTGATATACAGGTCAGTGCCAAAGACAATCCAAATTAGTGAATTTTTGAATATTTCCTCTTCAAATTTCCTCCAGATTTTCTTGGAAGAACTGAAATTCGCGTCGACAGCTTGATGAAAGAAGGTAACGGTCCGTGGCAGAAACGTTTGCTGTTACACGAAGTAACGACTGGAGAACTCTTAGTGAGACTGGAAATTCAGCTGTATAAAAAGCAGTGAACTATCGTTTTCACTGCTCCTCCAATGACAGATCGTTTCAAAATAAAAACTATCCAATCGCTGCCGTTCATTCATGGGTGAAAATAATCGTTATTGTGCGAATGACCAACGTATATAAGATGCTGTAAATTTTTTTTAAAATGCTATGCTGGATTATTCACATTTTACTCAATGTTAAGTGCAATTTCAATTATGAAACAGCCCGTATTTCTATTACAACAATGAAGTAAACATGCGTACGGTTTTGAATATATTTGTACCGTAAATGATGTAATAAACGCCCGGGGTGTTTAATAAATTCTAGCAGTTGTAGGACAGTGCGCGGCGTTCATAGAGAGAAGCGTATGTATGATTTTTCGTATATATGGCTAAATGTACTGGTATCATTGGATTTGGCGGTGTGTCAATTACTATTAGAGAGGGTGGTTATGGAGAGAAGCGATAGGAGGTGTCTATAAGGATCATTTACTACGGTACTTCAAGTCCAGTGTTTGCGCGAGATCAGTGTCGCGCACACTCAATGCCAAGCTAGCATGGTATGGCCGTCAATGTGGTCCGCGCTTGAAATATTGTTGGAAATTTTACGTTTTTACTGATTTTTAGTGTTTAGATTAAGCCTACCTTTCTGAGGTTAGTATTGTGCACGTAAAATGTACATTTTCAATAATTCCTCGCGATTTAGCGTCAATATCGACATATTTAAACGTTTTAATAAAGATGGCGGGCCAAGGTAATTTAGGTTTCAGTATCGCGCCGAGCTTTCACTTTATATAGAAAAATATCCAAGAATAATTTGTTTCTGTTAGGATGTCCTTTACTGAAAACTAGTTTGTTAGTGATGTGCTTTAACTAATTCTAAAATGGCTGGTTAGAGTCACTTCTCATTCTGAATGATTGTAATCTTTTTTTTAAGGTCGTCATAATCTGAAAGATGTGGGGTACAGGGCACTCTCACCAATGGTGGCCACCCAACTATATGTATGGCATGCCCCAGCAACAGCAGAGTAAGTCAATGATTCTTTTTATGACAAATTTTCCAAATAACCATTGCGAATTTGACATTGCTAGTTAAATAGCTGGAATAATGTCTGTAAACAGATTTGGTTATGAAATAGTGTTTCTTTGCACTTTACCTTGGAATATGTGAGCTCAGATGAAATCTAAGAGGAACTTGTCTCTTCCACTGAGATAATAAGAACTATGAGAGAATTGAATTTAAGATGATTTTGTAATTGCACATAATATGATCTCTTTGTTTGCAATGTACTATTATATGTTTTGTTATTTCTCAGTGGGCTCTGCTGAAAGTTGGGCAGCTCGAGCAGCACTATGGGCTCAGCAGCGTCATGTGGAACAACACTATGCCCAACAATATCAACAGCAGCAACAAACCGAGCCTCAATCAGCTACTCCAGCATATCCAGCTCTACCTCCAGAAAATGCCCCACCTCTCCCACCAGATAACATGGGCCAAACAGGTCAGCCCCCTGAACCTGAACCACCTGGTCTTCAATCAGAACCAGACCCCCCTGGTCTACCATCAGAACCACAACCTCCTGGTCAGCCACAAACTGATCCCTCTAGTAATGGTCATGTGTCAGATGTGCCTCTTCCTCCTGGAGAGTTGTATCATGGTGAACCAGCACCGCCAGGAAGTAGTGTTGTCTGTCCCCCAGGTGAGAGTTCTACAACTGAATCACAAAAGGAAACACCTACATTAGATAACGTAGAAGTTGCACCAATGGAAGAAGATGACATTGGCATTGCAGATGAATGCATCCAACCCCCAAGTGATGCTCCCCCACCTGACCTTTCATCAGAATTACCTCCTCTTCCTCCTGATAATCCTACTCTTTCAAATATTCAACCTGCTCACTATAGCAATACGCATCTTGGAGAGTTTCACATGCAGCAGCATCCTGCATCGTACCATAACAACTCTCAATTTGCAAGCGGATACCATCAACCACATCCAACCTATGCTGCGCAAAGTTTCCCTAGCAATCAGCTTGGACAGTATCCAGGCTTCGATCAGAACCAAGGTGTCATTCCTCAGGTGCCATATCATAGTGACCCAAACATTTATCAACAATTCACCTATAACGAAGGCCATGGTCATTACAACCAATATGAACAGGGTAGAGAAGCAGATTATCACCAGCAACAACAACCAAAGCCATTGCTACAAACAGAGATATCTGTGAGCAGTTTGCCAAGTCATGTTGTACAAACTGAAACAGGTTGGTTTATTATATCTTCTTTTGATTGTAAGAATAAATGGGTGATGCAGTTGGGAAGGCCAGCCTGCAAGTTTTGCTGTGCTTCGTCTATATTTAAGCATTCCTTCATTGTGAATTCTGCTAATGATTTAATAAACGCCTCCTATCAAATACATCTCTTTGAAGCACGCAAGTTTCCATTAGATAGCAATTTATTTCCTCTTCTAGATCCAGTGAAGCGAAAAGCAATTCCCCAGTGGATTAGAGAAGCACTGGAAAAGCGGGAAAAAGAAAAGCAGAAGGAATTGGCTAAACAACAGGATGAGATTCCTTCCGAAGTTAAAGTTGAAGACGAAGACAAGTTCGAGAAGCTCGATGATGTTTTAAAAGATGAAGTGGAAGAAAAGAAACCTTTCTTTAAAATTAAAAAGGTTTGTCCATTCAATAATTATTGGCTTTGGTGTGTTATGGCTGGGTCTGTTCAATCAACCTTACCGGTCAGTATTTTCTTTGGGTATACAAGAACACCCAGAATCATCCACCAACTTTCCGCAATGTTTTATGGTCTCTATCATTAGTAACCGATCGGATAAGTAGTTTTATAGGAGTAACTTTACATTTTTGTGTGCTATGAAGAGAAGTCCACATTACCACAGTCAATTGACTGCTCTAATTGCTATTGTGTTTCATTACTTCATAATGCTTAAACGGATGTTATATTGATTTTTATGATCACATCACTATGAAGTAAGTACATTAAAGTAAATGGTTTGAACCCGGGAGTATCATTACATGTTTGTAAATGTAGATTGTCCAGGTTGTTATAGTCCTGAGAAGGACTGTTTTTGTTTTGTTGACTGACGTTTCGACAACCTTAGCGGTAGTCATCTTCAGAGTCAAAAAAATGACTTTTTTTTTATGACGTCAGTCAACAACAACAAAAACAGTCCTTCTCAGGACTATACCAACCTGGACAATCTACATTTACAAACATGTAAGTAAGTACATTCATGCTTACAATATTTATGATATTCGTATTTACTGGGACATAAAATCAGTTGTGATTACAAAGGAAACCAGCTCTTTGTTTGATATCTATTACGATAAAACCAGATATAACACACCCGCAATATTTCTTGATGATTGATTTCAGTGATTTGCAAATTCTCCCGACAGTGAAAGAGTGGATACCACTTACATGCATGTATTTACAGTGGTTTATGCGAACACATCAACCGACAGCACGTGTTTCATATTTTTATTTTACAATGTGTACGAAGCTCTGTATTGCTTGACACTATCCTACCCTATCCAACTTTACCACTTAATTAAGTCGTGTGAATGCTTTGTTTATCCATCGTCATTTTCTAAGTTCTACTTTCAAGCAGTCGGTTTTGCATATCTCAACAAATAAACTTTATTACTATGTTGTGGAAAACTGCAGACTATTAGACTAATACCGATACTTTACTCCAGCGAAAGTCTAGGTTCGCACCCCATTCGGACAGTGACGACGAGAAGAAGAAAAAGACCGGAAAGAAGAAAGCCGACGATGCGAAGTCCGGAGACGAGGATAATTGGAAGTCAAAAGAGGACAAACAAAAGGAAAAGGTTCAACTTATCGTTCATAATGTCTCGAAAATTAAATGTAGAAGATTGTTCGTTAATCGGACACCAACTGCTATTGCGAGAGTCCAAATTATTCCCCATTGTCTTATATTTTTGCACCGAGTGGCGCTAGCGAGAATGTTGACAATTTAGCCTTTCTCGCGTTATTGCGTATTGCCATAATATCGGTAGGCAATTGCTCCACTTTGACGTCATTTCTTAGGACATGGCAGCGAGATATTGTCTCTACGACCAGTACTAACCCAGCGGCTTTCCCATGGAAAAACTAGGCGAAACCTGGCCCCCTCTTCCCGAAGAGTCAATTTTATATATTTAAAATGGGAGGGGAATGTTATGATTTCAAACAGCAATATAGCTAGTTGCATCCTGCGAACAGGTAGCTATATATCAAAGTTAATAAGCAACGTCAATGTCTGAAAGGCGTCTTTGAAGATAGGATTGACTTGAATTGTTGACAAATAAAGTTACGTAGCAGCGGAAGTTACTCTTGTAAAAATAGTTTGCTTTTCAAGAAGGCATGCATACGATCTCTATTAGGAGGTCTCGCGCCAGTTCCCTACAGCATTCCCACTTCCTCCCGCCTTGTCACAACAACCTAGCGACGCCACTAACGCTATTTGTTGATGTGTCATTACTGTGATACATACTCGTTTTAATCAATGTCAACCGTGCTCTCTTAATCCTTTTTAATGCTAGAAGATAAAGACCTTGGTACAATTTATAGATTTGATTGGGCTTTACTGATACAGAAGTATTAACGTATAACTACAATTTTTAACCTCCCTCCCCCGTCCCCCACATTAAAGTCATCAAATGGAATTATTAAGTTTTTCGAGCGAAATGTCTGTTCTACTTTTCATGCTAGCAAATTCTTGAAAAAGTGCATGTACTTCATTGCAAGGGTGTCGCGGGCCTGTCAAGCTCACATTTGTGGGATCTTCCGATACTCTTTCACTAATCATTTTAACTCTTCATTCTTTTACAATTTCAGCTTATGAAGGTACGAAAAATGTTGACGGATGTCTTATTAACGGTAACGAATGAAGAGATAAAAGCGGTAGCACGCGAGACTATAGCCGCTAGGAAAGGTATAGTCGCCACTTTGATTTTCTGCGCGGAGCTATGGTTCGTTCTTGCCGATTGCATTACGCGAAATTTCGAACCTAAGTGTTTCCCTATCTCGTTGCAAATTTCTGCTTAAGTAGGTACCGTTTTACGTTTTGCGTAGTTCAGTGATTTTTTTTGAGATGAAACCGTTTTTCTCTAAACGAACGATTTTAGTTTTGACAAAAAAATTCTTCACGTTAAGTAAGTACCAGTTTCGTTTGGTCATTGTGTGCACGCGTTTATCGCTAACGGTCGTCTTTGTTGGTTTTTCAGCTTCAAGATTATCTTCATCGTATGGCTCACGTACAAAAGAGAGCGGGAACAAAGGTGAGGAGCGTTGATTGTTCTCATTATTAAAAGATGTTGCGTTCACAAGTGCACACGCATGTACACCGTCATCCAAATATTTTAGCTCATTTCATTGTTCATTTGTGTTTCCCGCATGGTAACTGCGAACTAGTTTGCGCTGTCGCTCATCACAATTGCCATGCGCGACGTTTTTGCTAGAGGATTGGACACCAAAGTCCCAACGCCGCTCTGAAAGCATTGGAAATTGTTGACTTTAAGGGGGAGAGGTATGTGTCCCTTAAATTTGTGTACCTATGCTTATATGAAGTTTTTGTTCTTGTGTAGGACTTGTGCAGTATGACGGTGGCTCTGGTTCCGAATCATCTACCCAAGAAGTCAATAGCGTCACGGGTGGCCATAATGGTAAGGGAGGAGAAAAGGATGCCGGAAATATTAGCGAATCTTTCGATGAGAAAGCGAAAGGGAAAAAATCTAGGAAACATAAAAAGTCAAAGCGTGATACCCGCAACAGTCGTGAAAGGTCATCTCGTCGGAAAAAGTCTGTCCAGAGTCGGGAGCCCTCGTATGAGAGCGACGGAAAAGCTTATAAGAAGGAAAAAAGGGACAAATCTCGCAACAGTGCTGAAAGGTCTGAACGCGATCTGGAAAAATCGATGTATGACCGCGACGAATCTATAGAGAGGACGGAGAAATCGTTACGTGGCAAAAAACACCGGCACAAAACTGCCGGGGATCGAGACATGTCGCCTGATGATCGGGATGACTCGCTACCTAGTGAAAGAAAGAGCAGGAGCAAAACATCTCACAAGAAGCAAAGTGAGGATAGTGGAGAAAAGGTTTCTAAATCGTATGAGCAATCTGTAGAAGCTGTGGAAGGATCGAAAATAATTCGTGAGCGATCGGAAACAACACGTGAGCAATCAGTTGAAGTGTTATCGCAGGATGAGGCAAAGTCTTCTAAAAAGAAACATAGATCTAGTCGACGAATTTCGTCAAAAAGTCCTGAACCTACGCCTGCGCAGGAGAAAGAGAAGTCTAATAAAAAGCACAAGTCGGTTAAAAGTCGTGCTCGGACGCCAGATGTTCGTGATGAATCACCTTCTAGTCGAGAATCATCAAACGAGAGAAGATCTGCTCGTAAACCTCAGAGGAAACACGAGCTGTCTCCCGAGCGTTCTAAAGAAGACAAAAAGAAGACCAAGAAAAAACAGAAGTCACGGAAAAAAGATGTTGACAGTAGGGAATCTTCACCCGTTACTCGAAACAGTCCAACTGATCGTCGTGAATTGTCGGTCGAAAGTCGTGATTCGTCTTACGATCCAAAGTATAAGCAACGTTATGAAAGCGAAGAAGAACAATACCGATTAAATTCTAAAACGAAAAAATCTTTTTTTAAAAGGGCAGCATCATCTGACAGTCGAGAAGCGTCGCCTGTTCCCGTGCAGCCGCGTTCGTCTAGCAAACGCAAGAAGACCAAAAAAACTCGAGAAAGGTCAGAAAGTAGTGACTATCAGAGTCCCGTCAAGATAGAGTCTTCAACTAAAGCCAAACGATTGCCAAAACGTCGTGACGAATCGGAAGAAAGTATGAGCAAGGGGAAATTCAGCGAAGACGAAGAGCCAGAAATTGATAACTCCTTTTCAAAAAGTGGAAGAAGCGCGCGTAGTCGCGAAAGATCGGATAAGCCACGTGACAAGTCCAAAAACGCAACGAGATCTTCGAAGAAAGACAAGGGAAAAGTAAGAAAGGGCAAACGCGATGAACAAAGCCCCAGCGAGGAGCAACGACGCCCCAGCGAAGAGCAACGACGCACATCCACGAAACGTCGTAATCGTAGCATGTCTATAGCAAGTGACGAGGAAGCGGAAATTCGAAAGGAGTATAAAAAGAGAAGCAAAAAGAGAAAGCATCGAAAAGAAAGTCCTAGTTCTTCTGAAAGGAAGTCTTCAACTAGTGAAGTAGAAAATGTTAGGGGTAAGGAAATGCTTTTGCCATGTATCTTTTACTCCGCGGTATGTTGGAAATGTTGGCTATTTCTCTCGATATTTAGTCGAGGGAATGGTGCATTTGAAACGTGTCATGCATCTTTCTTTCTTTAGAGAGCGAAAGCTCCGACGTGAGCGTCAGGACGCCGAAGAAGAAGTCGAAAAAACGCAAAATGAATGAAAGAAATAGGAAAGAGAAAGAACGTGAAAGATCAGAGGAAAGTCCGATGACCTCTCGAAGTTCTAGTCCCGAAGTCAAGAAGCGAAAGAATGGTAAGAAGGACCAAAAAAAATCCAGACACAAATGAAGGTAACATACGATTTTCTACCAAGAGCTTTTTTCTTTTTTTCTACTTACGGCGCTAATTTGAAATGAGCAATAACTTTTTTTTAACATTTAAAAACGTATTGTTACACATAACAACCAGTTGGTTCACGCTATCCACTCTCGAATTGAGCGAAACCTATTTGTCACATCGCCCCGTTACGGCTACGGTCTTTACAGTTGTAGAAATTAGCTTAATTAGCTGGCAGTAGTTACGTTAAATGATTGGTTGATGATCACGTGGGTGTCATATTTATGGGAGACGAGAGAACAGGTTCTTGGTTACTGTTGGTACAATAGTGTGTTAGCGTCACGGCAACATAAGAATATTTTATTTCCAAGAAAGATTTTCTGCCATATGTGCTCTCGACTCAGTGCGCATGTATGCAGTGACGTAGTCGCCTGCAAATTCGGTCGTGCTATGTTCATTTCATATCGTTGGATACATTTCTTCGGAAATCTTATTGTTTTATTGAGTGAACACCAAAATACTTACTTAGCTCGACCATACCTACTTGCTTGCGGGCAGGCAACGTAATTATATTAACGAGGTTATTATATTAACAAGGTTATAGTATTAACAAGGTTATTATATATATCAACAAGCTTTACAAGAGAAATAGTTAATTTGCAATAACTTTAGTGTTCTAATGTCTAGACGTGTATATGATGAAAAGGAAATTACATTGTATTGGATTTGCAAAATTGAGAATTGCTCGCAAGAGAGAAATACGCTTTTTAAATACAGCGAAAGTCTTCCTGCATTTCGAAACAAATGACAAGAAAGGTTTCCGTGACAAACGATTCCTACAATGATATATATTTTAATAAATATTTAATGATACGAACTTCTCTGCTGTAAAGAGAATCGCAATTTCGTAGATTGATGGTCAAAATTGACACCAAATACTGTAGTATGCAAGCACTAGCCCGCGTTCAGGTTACTTGCAATATCTTTTATTAGGTTGCCCGCGATCGATCTCACCCGTGAATGGTGAAATCTCTGACTACTTCGTGACTCGAAAGAACTGTTACTCTACGTAAAATGACCTAGCTCGTAGCATTAAACAGGAAATTTGTCTTTTTGTGTAGATAATCGTGTACCTTGACAAAAGCGAAACAATCCAAGACTCGTCTCAAGGTACCTCACAAACATTTGATTTTACTAATAAATATTTTCGCAATTTATTGTAATTAGAATGTCTTAATAGTTTCGCAGATTATATTAGACAATTCCGATGCTTGTATTATTTGTTCGATCGTCGCGTATTTGTTACAGCAATCACGCCCAACTAATTTATGAGGTGCAGGATAAGTAGGTTATCACCTAAATTTTTTTCCGTCGTGCTGCTTGTCACGAATGCAAGATGGATTTGAAATTTCAAAGAACTATGACTCCTTCCCGAAAGTCGCCGTTCCTTGTTCAACTGATACGTCATTTTTTCTACCATAATTTTTGCCATTTTGAGCAGTTTTAGTCTATTTTCCAAGTCAGAACATCGAGAAACTTAGTGAAATGGATAATAAGATTACTATCCTTTTATAATGCCATTTCCTTCTGTCTTCTTTTTATTGGATGCAAACAGCTGTTTTTGTTTCAGTCTATAGACAATAACACGCAGTGGGTGAGCGATGTAAGAAAGCACGTACTTTATTTACTAAATGAAAAAACTACATTCGTTTCGATACAATAAGCTACAATCGTTCTCCAAAATTATTCATTTGAGAAAATCATGCAATTTATGTGTTCACTTCTCGAGGACTCCATTGTATGGAAGATAACTTTAGCGGCCTTTGAGATCCCTCGAATGACGTAATTTCTGAAAGGTTTCTCTGGTCTTTTACAATCGTTTCTATTTATTACGACCTGTGATGTGTATAACAATTACATTTCATCTCTATGTGACAAATATATTACGAATATCGATGCTCATATATCTACGGCTCTGCAATTAACATAATGGATTTATTTTTCGTAAAACACCAAGTAAGGCCTCAGAGATCCTGCCATACCAATGTTTATGAGAGTATTTTGATCACCCGTCGGCACGTTATTTCCGGACCGGATCGTGGCAGTGATGGTGAGTGTTCCCAATGATTGGCTTAGCCATTTTCGACTCGCACCATTCAGATTTACCGTGTTCCAGCCTTTCGAAATTGTTTTACTTGCAAACATCACGTTTTCGGTGGATTTTTTTATCTCGATTAGGAAGTTACCGTTTGCTTGTACGTTTACGACGTAAACGCGTAGTTCGTCGCGAATTATGTACGTTTTCTTTTGTTGGAGTGCTTTCAGGCTGGTCGTCAGCTTCCATGTCGGGTTGTTGCTCAGTTCTAAAGGAATGCAGTTGTAAGTTGTCGTTTATTGTTTATCTTTACCACGTACTAACTTCTGTTTTTGTTGATTTACAGATCTGGTGTGAATAAACACGGCACAAACGTGTGCATCACGTAAGCAAACATTCGCCTGCCTAATTCTATCTTACATTGTACAGTATGTTGGTTAGTAATGGCTGGTAGTGCAGCTCCTGTTGAATGCAAAAGGAATGGGGTGAACTCGTGGAACTCCTTTCCCTTTGAACTCCAATTATATATACTTGATTTTCTACTCCACTACCGAGCCCAATTAAGCTTGTTAGCACTTTTACGGCCTGGCGTCATCAAACTAATCACTTAAAGAGATCATTTTCATGTCTTTATTGTTTAATAATAATGTATTCGCGAACAATAACCCTTATGGTGATGGCTACTTTTCGTTCGGGTGTGGTAAAGGGTAAGATGGGTTGATTCACTTGTTTTCACTTTAGTCGTTTTAGATAACCAGTTGCAATTACGTTATTGCTTCTCGTGCACCCCTTTTATGAAAATGAACAATGTTTTTATGCATATAGGTATCCTGAAAAGACTAATTTGAAGGAAAACGATAGTTTTGTCAGGTAATGGTTTTCATGCATTATTGCTCCTCACATCGAAAATGATTTCTTCATAAAGTTCGTTTACTTAGTCAAGAAGTGTTTTACGAATCGCGTCAGTCATCGTGTGTGATCTTTGTAAACCAATGAAATTGTTCGCGGTTACCACAATATAAGAAGTATCTTGATTGTTTATTTCATGGCCATATACTCAAACATTGTTTAATGTGTGGTTTGTCTGGTGTCGAAGGGCTTAGCCACACGTATCTGGTTTTTTACCTGTCAAATATCGTCGTTTCAATATGAGGAGGGAATTTCAAAGTCCCGTTCTTATTACATTTAAATTGGTTACGGTATAAAAACTCAACGAATTCACAGTACAAATAAATTTTTTGATTTTCTACTTTATCGCTATGTAGCCGAGAACCGTGGATTCCTCGATAGCAATAACTGTCTGCATTATTCGTAAAGTGACGTCATTTATGAAGTATGTTTAGCTTGTACCATCCTAAATCTAAGAAAACTTACTTGTTATCGTTTCGAAGTACATGGATCGAATCGACGAGGCATTGTACGGCATGATCTTCGTGAGGGATGAATTTTTGTACAATTCCAGCAGATAGTCAGGTATTTTAGTGTTTTGTTTGTTGCTCTTGGCGATTGAATGCAACGAGAAGATCATAATGATCAAAACGCGTAGAGATGTTCCACGAGTTGCCATGTCTGTTTATTTGCTTGATGATCTCTCGGGTTCGTGCGCCGCCCTTCGAATGAGAAAAACAGCGAAATCTTTCCTTTATATACAGCGTAAACGGCTCATTAGGCGGCTAAACTTTCATCGCTACTTATGCAATTCGTTATAATTTGTGCGTAATAACTTTGCAAAATCATATTAAACACTAATTGTAGATAGCAGTTAAAGTATTATTTTTAGAATGTTATAAGTAGCTTATCTGTCAGCCATGTTTTCCGCACACTTCAGGAGAAAAAAAACTTGCAAACGTTTTATTTCTTTCATTCTCACCGACCGTGCTTGATAATATCCCGCGTATGGAAATGCTGTCTTTTTTGTGTAACTTTCATAAATCTGTGGAAAGAAGTGGATGAAGTACAGGATCTTGCAAAATGAAATTGTGAAATAACAATGAAGATTTTTTATTGGCGTGTTTGGTTGATCATGCATGCATTCCGTTGTTTTCCGATATGAACGTGATTGCACGGTTCGTCTTAAAAGGAACTATTGATTTCTTCGTTGATCTATTGAAAATACATCTTTAGTTTTATGTTAACATTGTTGACCTTAGCATACGATTGCCGCAAGCTTTTTGTTAATCGTTTGGTGTTCGTACTGACCAAGAAGAAAGTTTGAATAACATGTCCTAGTTAGTTCAAAATTTGACACGAAAAACCGGGTTGAAGTCAACGACCATTTTTGAAATGTCACATGATGCGAATTGCCATGGTTATGTATGAGCTAAGATACAATTTTATCGCCATCGTGACATCGTCTGGGTCTTATCGATGTCTCACATAAATTGTACCTTACCATATTAGTCTAGATTTACAGTCTAGGTTGATTTTAGTTGAATTTACAATCTAGGTTGATTTACAGTCTAGGTCTAGATTAGTCTAGGTTGAATTTTAACAACAGAGACTGTCAGCATGGTTTTTTATGTGATGCGCGCCAAAAATTTTCGTTGCACTGCCCAGACCAGAGCTTATTTTTGGATCTTATATGTTTGTAGATGTTGAACGGTCCACGCAGGTCCAGGTTAGTTAAGTCCAGAGAGAAACTTGTTGGTGTTTAGACTGGCGCTTCGATAGGTCCTCTTGTTTCAAGTCAACCGTTGAAACTTTTTTAAGTTTTTCGATTTGTTTTAAAGATTTTGTTTAAGTTTTGTAATTGGAATTTTGTAGTTGTGGTCGAATTTTTATGGTTGTCGGAGTTTGGGTGAAAGGTCCGACTAATCCGGACCTTTTTGCGTGGGGAAGTAATTAAATTAAATATAGCATACAGGAAGTCTTTATCAGTTTCTGCGGTTTGATGAATGTCTTACAACTTATGGTGTTGAATTTAATAGAATATATCTCCTGCCAAGGTCACCTCTCTTATGTAACTAATTCAAGACTCGCTTGTGTAACTCATCGCGTGTCATATATGGTGTTTACTTTCCCAGAACTCTATCCATTGTAATGAGAGTACTTATGGGGATTGACAATTTCATCCCATGCAATTTATCCATAGAATTCCTTATAAGTACTCAACGCTACTGTGTGAATGTTTAAAGAAGTTTCTTTGGCTCCAAAATTGAATTTTTTCATATTCACGTGTAATAAAATTATTTAAATACTTTATTAATAATGTCAAAAATTTCTGCAATACCAATGTCTGAAGGTTGAAAGTGTATCATGGTATATGTCCTTTTTGTAATAACTTGTATTCTCATTTAAAAACCTGCGACAATGACAATCACACATACATGTTGATCAAACAAAATAAATATTTTTTCATTAATTTCCAGTGCTATCTTCCAAATCTCTGTTCACATTTGCTGTACTTGTGCAGTGTCTCTAAGAATTTGAAGTGGTCCAGTACTGCTAAGGAAGGAACAAATCTAGAAAATGAGTAGAATAGGCAAAATGTAAGGTAATAGCTTTTTTACAATTGGAATTACTTGATATCACAGATTTTATTAAAGGAAAATGAATGGTTATTGATTACCCATGAATTACATGTTGAGAAATTTTAAAATTTTTGGAAATCTGAAGGTTTGTTTAAGTGGTTTCAATAACAGTTTGAAACAGCTGAAATGTTCAGACAAATTTGTGAATTACATGAATTCTGTAAGCCTGATTTGCCAAGGTGGATAATTGCAGACACTGTTAAGTTGTCCAAATACCAATGCCAAGTCAGGATCTGGGAAACTTCTTTGATCTAAAAGATGTAAAGCATTTATGAAATGTTGTTTAGAGATGGGAAGTCAACACAGTCCTGCCAAATTGGAAATGATTGCATAGCTAAATATATTGAGAGTATATATGAAACACATTGAGGAAAGTTGTCAGGATGAGACTGTGTTGTCAATTTCCAATGAAATCTTATTCTTATCCTGGATTGTGTGAAATTCAACTTCTCACAATATCAACTACTTTTTTACAGCAGTGTAGCCAGCCTGACTTTTATTTTCAGAATGCAAATAGTTTTGTGTTCACTGACTACAAAAAACAAATTTCTAAGAAATGAATAATGATAATCTTTCAGAATTTACATAATGGGAGTAAGCTGGCTGCATTACTGCTCATTTGATTTACTTGTGTTTATACAGGGTTCCTGATACAAGAAGTTGTGTTTAAGTGTTACCTTCTAAAAGATTATTCATATGTTCCACACTCATTATATTTGGTAGGTTATCCTTGTTTTTAATGCCGATGCAATAGTCTTGTGCAACTTTTGTAATTTCTTCTTTCCCTTTGTGGTATGGAATTGTGCTCAAGTGCACCTTCCTAAAAGCTTTCTGACCTATGAAAGATGAGCAAAGGTTTTTGGAAAAGAAATATGATGGTTGTCTTTTAGGTAAAAACTATATACCTGAGCCATTTAGTCCATTGTGATTTGTCAAACTTTCATCGCTAAATTGTAGCTCATAGTCACAGCTTGTCATGTCTTGTCTTATTTGATACACTTCATCATATAATTCTGTTCTCCTGTCATCTTCTAAAGCAATAGGGAACCAACTCAAACAAGGTGGTTAGGTAATAGAATGTGGAATGTGCAAGAAAAAGTTCTCTGAAATACTGACAACGATTCCATTCTCAAAAATCACGAACAACATTTACAGTCCGCGTTCTGCACATATTCAGTGAGCAAAGTACAGTTTGTATGATTTTTCAGCAAGGTAACGAAAGTGCCGTTTACATTGTTTAAGCTTACCATCAGTTGAGTAGACGCTGACATATGATATTCCGATCGTAAAAGACCAAACGATTATTTTCGCTAAAATTGTTAAATCCACATTACTCTCCAATAAGATCAATGTCAAATGACGAGGAAGGCTCGTCAAGGTCGCAACTTCGGTCAAAATTTTGCTCTCAGCATTTTCATCCGAGAATGCCCAATGAATCTTGCGCTTTGTCAAGTTGATGTAGTACCGTGAGTTCAATAAAACAGTAAAAAATAGAGTGACGAAGAAATGAAGGATTTTGTAAAGACGTTGCATCGTGAGAAAGATGAAATTTAATCCACATTGTTCCTCGTGTGTATGCCTATCATGTTGGTAGAGAATCTTGAATGAAGGTCAAACAATGCTATAAGATTGTTGACACGTGGAAAGGAAGTGAAGCTTTGCCTTGACGTAAATAATGTCATAAGTAACAGCCGCTGTTCGGTTGTCTGGCGGGCATTGTTTAGATGTTTACGCATTATGTTTATACCGTAATATACCACCAGTCCACCACCTTTTCTAATTAACATTATAAAACCAATTTCTCAGCTTTTCTTATTTGGCAAAGTATAACATGACCATACCCCTCTTTAGTTGATTTCAAAACTCTATCATTGAATTCTTCATAGAAGGCAGAGTATTTGTTACAGCATTAATATTCCAACCTTCAATGAGCACATTTGTGTTAAAGCAAATAATTTATAATTTAATGAACAGTTTCTTTGTACAAGTTCTGATGAAATATGCTAATCTACATCATTTCTCTTATGAGGAGTCTAATATCTTATTTTCATTGTCACTTCTCAAGGCTTCTGGAAGAATTGACCACATATGTTTGAGTTGAAAAATTACACAGTTGCAAATTAACAGCCAAGCTGGCAGACCAATGGCACCTACAACATGGAGACAGAGTAGGTAAAAACTTTTTGTAATAATTGTACAAAAAGATCAAAAAACATACCATTAACATTTGTTGGAAATTTTAAAACAACTGTCAAAGGGTACAACCATTCCTCAGGTAATATAATTAGAGGAGAGGACAGATACGTCCATGCCAAAAACAAATGACATAATACCTGAGCAAGAAAAATTACTTAGTGATAAGTGCCATTACATCAACAATATATTTGTTTGTGACTTACTGTCAGGACCATGCCTATGACCCACAAAGCACCTTTGAGTTTGATCCTTTTCTTTTGGTGCTCAATTCCTGAGAACAAGTATTATTTCACATCAGTACTTTATATCACAATAGGTAAGATGAGAATTATAGTGAAACCTTTCGCTTTTGCTTTTTCTTGTAACTTGTCAATGACTCGTCTCAGCTTCGCATATTTGCTGAATTCATTCTAAAAGTTACCAAAATTCCACTTGGTTATTCAGACAGTGTGTGTCTTCCATATGAAACCTGGACCTGATGTAAATTTAACCAATCACCACATTACCTGAGGACTTATTTGAGATAGTTCATACTTTTTGTGTTTGATATTGTCCACAAGTTCTCTTTCGTCAGTCCCACGTTTGTTTATCATCTATAAATATTACATGATCATAGAATTCATGTTGAATAATTAATGACATATCTATTGAAGACAGACTGTGTGTGATAGCTGTGCGATAGCGTTCTATACATCAGTCTCGTTCCAAAGACAAATCTCTAGGTTAGCTATGTTAAAAATCACTATCAAAGCATTTTACATACCCGTGGAAGAAAGTCGCTCAAAAATTTACGAGTTAGATCAAGTCCGAAGACCATCAAAAATACTGTCAATGGAGCCGCCATTACAAATTATGATTATTGATTACGTCATTAACGGATTAACCAGGATTAACAAGTGGATTTGCGATGAACCAAAACTTTCGGGATTCTGTTTATTGTGTTACATACTGCCAATTCCAAACCTAATATCATCATTGAAAAGTTATTTGTCGCGAGTTTACAAGATGATGATATTAGCAGCTTGTATAGTTGGTATATTTCTCAAAATTGTCAGCTGAATTATTCCACTGCATTCAGCAAAAATTTTTCTTCATGAAGTACCCCTCCGGAATCAAATCGAACTTTGCCAAATGTAGCAAATAAAACTAATGTTTGAACGAATTTAGGAATGAAGACAGTGAACGCAAAGGTGTCTATTCGTAAAAACCGAATTGGTTTTAAATGTTATAAGGGAGATCCCAGCATGGGATAGGCAAAGATATGACGATATCTATTCTATCATCATGAATTTTGGCTCCTGGGAGCGATTAATTTAAAATTACTCTGGATCTTCTTACTGTCCACTCTATATGATAAGAGCAGCTGGCCAAGGTTCAGTAGCCTTGCTGCAGGTATATCGACGTCTTATTGATGAGGAACTGTACAGTGGAGCCTTGCCTGCCAAAAAATTGCTCAAATACCTCGGTTACTGGCACCGATCGAGAAGAATGCGTGGATATTGGAACAGAAAATATATTTTCGCCGACTTTACAAGCTTTGTTTATCATAGTACTTCTCGTTATGATGGCTTCAGCTGTGCTTGGAAACACTGTTGTATGTTATATTGTATGTAAAAAACCTGCTATGCGCTCCTCTATCAATCTACTTCTTGCTAATTTGGCATTGGTTGACATATTGATAGCTCTCTTCTGTATGGGTGCATCGTTTGTGACTTTGGCCGCCAACGACTGGGTGTTCGGCCACATTTTATGCAAAATGAATGCGTTTTGTCTGTCATTCTTTGTGACCGAGTCGACGTATATCTTGCTGGCGATAAGCTGGGACCGCTATCTCATTATTGTATGCCGGCAAGAAACGCTTACACCACGCAAGGCTAAGTTTGTAATTGCACTGACGTGGGCAATATCATTTCTTTTATCATTTCCACCCACAGTTGGATGGGGAGATTATGTTTACAAACGGGGGCATGTGATATGTGCTTTAAATGATGATGCCTATTCATATTCACTATTTTTCTATACTCTGACCATTGTTATACCTCTTCTTGTCATGGGATTTGTTTACCACAGAATTCTGTGTACAGTTCGCAAAAATTCCACGAAAATTGTCAACCATCCCCCCGTTTCTGGAGCTCAAACACGGATTCACAAATCTGGCAAAATGAGCATCAATTATGGTTTCAAGACCCGAGCATTCCTAACCATTTTAATTCTCTTTGTTGGCTACATTATATGCTTTCTGCCATACCTTGTTGCTCGGTTAGATGCAGCAACTGGTCGGCATTTAAAATTGACTACTTTAACAGAGGTTGTTATCATTTTCATTTGCTATCTTAACAGTGCCATCAATCCTTTGGTCTATTATACTCGTATCAGCAAATTTAGAGAGGCTTGTAGGGATATTGTGCCCAGTTGGTGTTGCAGTTCAATGCCGTGCACGCCCAAGAGACCAAGAAGGCGAATTTTTCCACATGTTATATATGAAGTTGGAGACAGCAATGAAAGATCAATATCCTTTAATGGAAGCTCTTTGGGAGTATTTAATTAATGTTTGAACGCTTTATTGAATGCATTATTTAACAGTATCAGTGCATTTATTATAAGTCAAGCCATGGTAAGGAGGCTACTACTAACTGCTACTAACATGGTTTTACTTACAATTATAGAATGATTATAGACCGTATATTGAGATAAATATACTGTATTAAATATTATATTTAAACAATACCGACTGATTGTTTGGGTTCAGTCTTCCATTTCTATGACCGCGTGGTACAGTCAATTTGCAACCAAGACATCTACTGTAATTACTGTACGAGAAATTAGAATACCTGCTTTCCCAATCCAAGGAAAGCTCTATTTGGCTAGAGTTTTAAGAAAAAGAGCAAATGCTAGATTTTTGATACAATTTCAACATTTTTCTTTCAAAGTACTGCACACTTTTAAGTTCTTGCGTTCATAAACGCTCGTTGATTAATTTGCAAGTACTTGTAAAAATGGCCGCCTCTGGTGTTAGTGCAACTTCTGTGGACGATAAAGTAACCTTGATTACAAAAAATTTAAAGGTATTTCGACGTTAATTTGAAAAAATAGAACCGTTAGTTATAGTTTTTTGGCTTGTTTCGATGCATTTTACTTAAATTACCGTAAATTTCTAGCATGTTTACGTGTATTTTTTGATATGAGTATGACACATCACTTGTAACATCTTTATAACTTTTTTGAAAACAGGAGGTTTTGGGCGAAGAAAAAATCAAAGAAATCGTTTCTGAAAGACCATTGAAAATTTATTGGGGCACAGCAACTACTGGAAAACCACATGTAGCTTACTTTGTGCCAATGACGAAAATTGCTGATTTTTTGAAAGCAGGATCAGAGGTGAAGCATTTTTTTTTGTACTTGTCTAGTTGAAAGTTCAAGCTTTTCAAGGTTGGCTGCTGTGCCCATAATATAAGCCATGCTGAAAAGCCAAAACGACCATACCTCTTTGAAAATATAAAATTATCACAAAGGTAGTTAACCTACCACGATAAAATCTGCCTTGTCTCTAAAGACTTAAAGTGCATGTAAAACCATTGTTCTTTTAAATTTTCTTTAAAAGTTTGTGGAAATTGTCTGTCATAAATAGTAGCAAGATCACTTGTTTTTAACAATTAGTACATTTTCACAGTGTGCTGTACTTGTTTGCTTTGTTCCTGATGGCACAAGTTTCATTGAAGTTTCGTATTTTCATGATAAAGGTTACTGTTTTACTGGCAGATCTCCACGCGTACTTGGATAATCTCAAGGCACCATGGGAACTATTAGAATATCGTGTGCAGTATTATGAAGAAATTATAAAAGTTTGTTTTCCATCTTTGTTATAGAAAATGTACCATAAATTTTGAGTCAAACGGAGCTTTTTTGCTGATTTAGGGAATGTTAGAATCAATTGATGTACCATTAGAAAAACTCAAGTTTGTCAAAGGAACAACCTATCAACTTAGCAGGTTTGCTTAGATGTGGACCAATAGTGTAAAAAAATAATATGTTAATCTTACTACTTGTGATCAAATTATTCGATGAAACGATGACACTTGTAGAAGTGCTACTCTTTGCATGGCCCAACTATACATGCTTTTCATTAAATATTCACTAATCATGCCTCTTAAGAGGTGTTTTGCAATTAAATTTTCATTGCTTTGTGAAGTTTTTGTTGCATTGATTCCTGTGCAGTTGTTTGTAAATGCTTTGATGTCCATCAACGTTTAGTAGTTTAGGATGAAATTATCAAAGAAATAATTAAAACTTATGACATTTGGCTGACTGTGTAGTTGTAAAAAGTCACTAACTGTTTATTGCATGATTTGATGTCTTTCTAAACATATTTTGAATTCTTTGTGGACGTTTATTTTGAAGTTTGAACTCATAAAAGTGCATGTGAAGTGACTTCAATGTTTATAGGAGATTTTTTAATGTCGGATTTTTTCATTTTATTTGATAGGGAATACATTCTGGATGTGTATAAATTATCCACAGTTGTAACTGAGGTTTGTTTTCTTAATTTCTTATGAACAGTTTTTTTTGTGAAGCTTAGAGACTTCATTAATATTGGACATTAGTTGCATAACATGTAATTTTTGTATCTGAGACTTGTGTAACAAGCAATACAAGAGCTGTCACTAATTTCAAGTGCAGTTTAAGGCTTTGTGGATTTATTGATGGTGTGTAAGGGGTGCACACCCCTTTCAGCCTTTGTATTAAAAGGCTTGCCAGTTTGTTTTCGAAACTTTAATACACCAAGGAATCAAGCCAATGCAATTGGAGAAACATCTGACATGGCATAGGAACATCCACAAAAACTAGCCCCTAAAATCCAATCCAAACTAGAGCACACTAGTTCTAGATACAAAATCATCCTAGATCCATGCCAGTTTGAACAAGGGCCACGTGATATAACTTTCCCAATATTTTTCAACACAGTTGATATCATATTGCATACTATGACAATGTAATTAAATGCTGACAAATGTTGTTGAATGTAATCAATGTGGTTTGATAATATTTATACACAGCATGATGCCAAAAAAGCCGGAGCAGAAGTTGTGAAGCAAGTGCAACATCCATTGCTTAGTGGACTTCTTTATCCTGGATTGCAGGTGCAAATCATAGTTAATTGTCAAACTCTATGTTGGTAGCTGGCATAATTTGCTTGTGATTTGGACTGCTTGCTTCTTACTACTAGCACAAAACATTGTCTTTGAGGGAGGCAAAACTTTGAACAAAATAATTTTAACACCATGCCTGCCTTTATCGTACGTATGAAATTAAGTCTGAAATTTTAAATTTGATTGTAAATTCATTAATCCGTCATAATCAGTTGATATCAAATTTGATCGTAAATCCGATAATCCGTCAGAGCCAGTAGATATAAAATTTGATCGTAAATCCGATAAGCTGTCAGTTGCAGTTGATTTCAGTGAAATTGTCAAAGGCATATTGGGTGCTGCTTGGTTGCGACATTTGTCTTGTAACTATTAATTTTACTGGATAATTTATGTTTGGTAACCAATCAGAGGCTTTGTCTACAAAACCTGTTTTTGAATTCTTTATGAACTTTCGGAATTGTTTGTAAGTTAAAAGTTTACATGACAAACTTCCACTGGCTTATACGAAATCGTCGTGTCCAATGAAAGACGTAATTAACATATGTAAGATACGACTTTTTCATTCACTCTTACGTCACAACGGATGTGAAAAAGTCGTATATAAGATATCACGTTCGTAGACCTTGCCTTTGAATAAGAATTTTAAGTACAATTTTCTTAAGTTTTGGTTGGATGATGAGCGAACAAAGTTGCTCTCAATATGAAGAGGATAGTTTGTACCGCTAAGTACTCGGCTAAGGATGTTGAAACGACAGTTAATGCCAACACCAGTTTTCCTTATCAGGATTGCACTAACATTACAAACATGTACGCTAGTATTGAAAAGCTCATTCGTACTCACTCTCACAGAGTGCGAAACGGAAATTGTGCTTCCACTCTAGTCAATGGCAAACTAATATATCCAAGGATTGCAATATTTTTCTAAAGTATTTCAAATCGTAAAGTCAATGAAGTGAAAATACCATCTTTGAATAGTTATGAGATGATGTTGAAACCTACCCAGCAAGTGTGAGTGTTAGTAAACTTTTAGAATAGTTATGAGGTGATGTTGAAATCCAACCGGTAAGTGTGAGTGTTAGTAAGCTTTTAGAATAGTTATGAGATGATGTTGAAATCCAACCGGTAAGTGTGAGTGTTAGTAAGCTTTTAGAATAGTTATGAGATGATGTTGAAATCCAACCGGTAAGTGTGAGTGTTAGTAAGCTTTTAGAATAGTTATGAGATGATGTTGAAATCCAACCGGTAAGTGTGAGTGTTAGTAAGCTTTTAGCCAACCGGTAAGTGTGAGTGTTAGTAAGCTTTTAGAATAGTTATGAGATGATGTTGAAATCCAACCGGTAAGTGTGAGTGTTAGTATAGAATTTATGAGATGATGTTGAAATCCAACCGGTAAGTGTGAGTGTTAGTAAGCTTTTAGAATAGTTATAAGGTGATGTTGAAATCCAACCGGTAAGTGTGAGTGTTAGTAAGCTTTTAGAATAGTTATGAGATGATGTTGAAATCCAACCGGTAAGTGTGAGTGTTAGTAAGCTTTTAGAATAGTTATGAGATGATGTTGAAATCCAACCGGTAAGTGTGAGTGTTAGTAAGCTTTTAGAATAGTTATGAGTTGATGTTGAAATCCAACCAGTATTTGTGAGTGTTAGTAAGCTTTTAGAATAGTTATGAGATCATGTTGAAATCCAACCAGTAAGTTTGAGTGTTAGTAAGCTTTTAGAATAGTTATAAGGTGATGTTGAAATCCAACCGGTAAGTGTGAGTGTTAGTAAGCTTTTAGAATAGTTATGAGATGATGTTGAAATCCAACCGGTAAGTGTGAGTGTTAGTAAGCTTTTAGAATAGTTATGAGATGATGTTGAAATCCAACCGGTAAGTGTGAGTGTTAGTAAGCTTTTAGAATAGTTATGAGTTGATGTTGAAATCCAACCAGTATTTGTGAGTGTTAGTAAGCTTTTAGAATAGTTATGAGATCATGTTGAAATCCAACCAGTAAGTTTGAGTGTTAGTAAGCTTTTAGAATAGTTATAAGGTGATGTTGAAATCCAATCGGTAAGTATGAGTGTTAGTAAGCTTTTAGAATAGTTATGAGATGATGTTGAAATCCATCCGGTAAGTGTGAGTGTTAGTAAGCTTTTAGAATAGTTATGACATGATGTTGAAATCCAACCAGTAAGTGTGAGTGTTAGTAAGCTTTTAGAATAGTTATGAGATGATGTTGAAATCCAACCAGTAAGTTTGAGTGTTAGTAAGCTTTTCGAATAGTTATAAGGTGATGTTGAAATCCAATCGGTAAGTATGAGTGTTAGTAAGCTTTTAGAATAGTTATGAGATGATGTTGAAATCCATCCGGTAAGTGTGAGTGTTAGTAAGCTTTTAGAATAGTTATGACATGATGTTGAAATCCAACCGGTAAGTGTGAGTGTTAGTAAGCTTTTAGAATAGTTATAAGGTGATGTTGAAATCCAACCGGTAAGTGTGAGTGTTAGTAAGCTTTTGGAATAGTTATGAGGTGATGTTGAAATCCAACCAGTAAGTGTGAGTGTTAGTAAGCTTTTAGAATAGTTATGAGATGATGTTGAAATCCAACCGGTAAGTGTGAGTGTTAGTAAGCTTTTAGAATAGTTATGAGATGATGTTGAAATCCAACCAGTAAGTGTGAGTGTTAGTAAGCTTTTAGAATAGTTATAAGATGATGTTGAAATCCAACCGGTAAGTGTGAGTGTTAGTAAGCTTTTGGAATAGTTATGAGGTGATGTTGAAATCCAACCAGTAGGTGTAAGTGTTAGTAAGCTTTGGAATAGTTATGAGGTGATGCTGAAATCCAACCAGTAGGTGTGAGTGTTAGTAAGCTTTTAGAATAGTTATGAGGTGATGTTGAAATCCAACCAGTAAGTGTGAGTGTTAGTAAGCTTTTAGAATAGTTATGAGATGATGTTGAAATCCAACCAGTAAGTGTGAGTGTTAGTAAGCTTTTAGAATAGTTATGAGTTGATGTTGAAATCCAACCAGTAAGTGTGAGTGTTAGTAAGCTTTTAGAATACAGACGTTAATTTTGTTCTTGATTGATGCTCATTTTTTTGAAAATAATTATTTAGTTTTTCGTATTATATAAAGAATTATCAAGCATCAGTCTTTCTTACTCAACCTACGACTATCGACCTGTCGACTAAGGTTTATAGCGACAAAAGTACACTATGCTCAGCCTTATTTGATAGTTGTTAATTAACCAATTGAAATGAAAATATAATCTTTTTATACACGCAGGCGATCGATGAAGAATATTTAGGTGTGGATGCTCAGTTTGGTGGCTTGGATCAAAGAAAAATATTCACATTTGCTGAAAAGGTTTACGACATTACTACTATGATGATATTTTATTGACTGGATTGACTGGAACTACATTCTTTTCGTGACTTTATATTTCTGCTCGTTTTTTAGTATTTACCAACTCTAGGATATAAAAAACGAATACATTTAATGAATCCAATGGGTAAGGAAAATCCTCGTTGTATGTAAAAATAATGGCCTTCGTTCAATGCGGATCAATGATACGCACGCAAAAACAAAGGGTACCATTTTGGGAAATCGAATTGCCGTGTTTGAAGTGAAGCGTTTGCTTCTTCATATTTAAATAAAATTTAAATATTAGCTAGTGTACTTGCAGCAAGTCTGCGTCTTGAAATTTTATGTTGAAATGTTGAAAAGCTTTTATTTGCTGCAGTTTTGAGGAATGAGGATGTGTATTCTTGATTCTTGCATTGGTATGTCATTCAAGGGTCGTTGAGTATTTGCAGTTTAAGGAATGAGGATGTGTATTCTTGATTCTTGCATTGCTATGTCATTTAAGGGTCGTTGAGTATTTGCAGTTTGAAGAATGAGGATGTGTATTCTTGATTCTTGCATTGCTATGTCATTTAAGGGTCGTTGAGTATTAGCAGTTTAAGGAATGAGGATGTGTATTCTTGATTCTTGCATTAGTATGTCATTTAAGGGTCGTTGAGTATTTGCAGTTTAAGGAATGAGGATGCGTATTCTTGATTCTTGCGTTGGTATGTCATTTAAAGGTCGTTGAGTATTTGCAGTTTGAAGAGAAATATTAATTAAAGAATGAAGAATTTACACATCCTCAATTTTTTAACCTAAAAGTTTTTCTAGAGGCAGATTTCGTGGAAGTCTAGTTTGCTAGTCTCTGACCTTGTCCATAGTTTTTTCCTCAAATTTCATTTATTTTAAAATTGTAATTTCATTATAAAGTTATGACCGTTTTTATTTTGTACAACTTCAACTGACACGTAAGCTCTTCACGTTTTCTCGACTTCAAGTTTTGTGTCGCCGGAGAAAATGTCAACATTATCGACATGTGTACATCAGGGCTTATGGCACGGACCCCGATAACGCTACAAACTTGACAGCGAAAAATTTCGAATATTTTCTTCTTGAGGATTGGAAATCAATGCTGTCTAGAATTACGTATCATGTAAAGTGTTTATTGGATTATCTTTGCTTTGCTTTTCAGTTCCTGGCTTAACTGGAACAAAAATGAGTTCTTCTGACGAAGTAAGTGTACATTCCGAATGGCGAGGTTACTGCTACTTGTTCATTTTTGTTGGAAGTTCAGTTTGGAAATCATCTTTGAAAATTTATAAATTTAAAAGCTGCGTTATGATGACGGTGAACTGGGGTTGAACTGAACTTATTTTATAGCTTCTGGCGAACTTGTGTTCGCATTACCATTTGCTTTTTGGATGGTTGTGATATTTTTATGCATTGAACCAGTTGTGTAAAGTATGTTCAGCTATCGTTAAAGCATTCAAACGAAATTTCCACGAAAGTGCTTTTTTCACCGATGTTTTCACTAATTTGTTGTTTCCTCTTAAACGTGGTAATTTTCGATGATCTCTTCTGACTGGGCTGTTAAGCAAGTGACTTATTTATTTTAAACGCATTGTGCATCTCACGTTCAGGTGGATTTTTTAGGATTCAAAGATAGATATTTTGGATAGTGCTTCATCGGTCAAAAAGAAAGTGGCAAAGGTACATTTACACTTCTTGGTGCTGAGTTTTACTCCTCCCCTCGAAAATCTCCGCCCCCTTTCTTTTCTTCCGAATCCCCGCTTTATTTTTCATTTAGTTATAGCAAGATTATTTCCACTATGCATTAAACACATGAAATAAACAGAAATTCGGACGAAATATATTGCAATTGTGACACGATGAAAATGTCGACTAGACAAGCGATGTATAGTACCGCTTTCCCAACGCCGCTCCGCGCCCCCCCCCCCAAAAAAAAGTTTCAGTCTCCATTTGTATTCTCCCCCACCCACCCCCCTTCATATTCACTTCTTAACCAGTAGCGCCTATTTTGTGCTGTTGCCGTTGCTGCAAAGATGTTTATAGCTGTTCAAAGTTTTGCTACGTATAATGAATTACTATTTTACTTTTGAAAAATTTTAGGCGTTCTGTGAAGAGGGAAACATAAAAGAGAATGGCGTACTGTCGTTTGCTAAGTTTGTCATCTTTCCAATTTTAGAATTACAAGGAGAAAGTGGTATGTTGCTTGTGAAATTCGTCTAACTTTTACTTAAGTTCACTCTTGAATTATATATTATACACCATGAGATGTCTGATATCATCTGATTCATGCTGTTTTAAAGTATATTTAAGTTTATGACTAACGCCTGTATTCTGAATAGTCGATGACTTACGCCTGTATTCTAAAAGGTCACTCAATCCGACTGAATGCGATATAGAAATCGCGCTACCACTAATGAACAGCAAACTCGTTTCTCCATCTGTTGGCAAATTTTTGCAATAATATTTCAAATCAAGCAATCAGTCGAGTGAAAATAACGTCTTCGAAAAGTTATAAGGTGATTTTGAATTCCCCCGTTCAGTGCGCGAGAGTGTGAGTGACCTTTTAGAATACGGACCTTAAAGTCTTTGTTTAGCATTTTATACGTAATCGCAGCATGTCAATTACAAATCACAGGTATCAAAACCTATGCATGATGTAAATGGGATTGCTGGAGATCCCATACCTAATCCTTCTCACGACTGCAGACATGCAATGTTATTCTACATGCGCCATTGTTCATAAAATGTATATGGGATGATATACTCCCCCCCAGTCCACTTTTTCCATAGACAAGCAATATACTCAGCTTCCCACTTAGAAAGTATGTTCTCGTGCTATCCCCCAACACACGCATAAACATACTTTTGAACAGGCTCCGCATTGTCTGCTTTGTTGAAAAAATCTGGTGAATTCAATTTAAAATCAATGATTTCTTTTTTCTGTGTTTTTTAGAATTTTGGATTCGGCGCAGCGAAGCAAATGGCGGGGATGTTTCTTTCAAGACTTTCCAACAGCTGGAAGAATCGTTTGGAAGAAAGGTAAAGTATAATTTTAAGCTATTGCAAAATTACCAGTGTTGGTTTTTTCTGTTTATTGATAACTGTTCGTATTCTTTCCATTATCCTAACGCAGGAGGTTCATCCACAAGACCTCAAGAATGGTGTTTGCATTGTTTTGAATAAGGTAAAAATTTCCTGAGCCCGTGAGGGCTGCATAGTTTACACTGTGCAAGCGTAGCTTCTATAACTTACGAGCGTAGCCGGCGCGCTTATTTAGTCGCGCTTTGCAAATTTTTCTCTTCTAAGTCTTTAGATTTCTAATGAAATGAGGAAGATGTAGTTTGAAGTTTACATAGCAGGACTAAAACTTGCGGCCTGGCTGCGCCACGCTTAGTTCTTAAAATTGAATTGTTTGAACCCAGGAGTATCAGTGCATGTTCTTGTACGTTGATCGTCCAGATTAGAACAGTCTTGAGAAGGACTGTTGGCGTTGGTGTTGAACGACGTTTTGACAACCTTAGCGGTGGTCATCTTATAAGTCAAGTCTAAGGTTGTCGAAACGTCGATTAGCACCAACATTCGTTCTCAGGACTGCTAAAATCGCTGGGACTTTGCCATTTAAAAATCAGTAATTTTTTGATTTCATTATATCACTACCAATTTTTATGAAAAATCTTATGTATTTAAATCCCGTATTTGTGTGCGTGTGTTGCACAAGATAGCTACCAAATTAACAGAGAGGAAGTTGTTTGAGTAAGCTGTACATTGTTCTGACAACTACAAATTCATGTTTTACTATTCAAATTTTAAGGTCCAGATAAAGATAAAAATATAAGTTCTAAAAGGACTAATGTCATATTGAATTATGTTTCTGCTCTGTATGTTTCTTTTTGTCTTGTATTGTAAAACATGACCAGTGCGCTCCTATGACCAATGACCAATGACCAATGCGCTCTTATGCCCAATGACCAATGTGCTCTTATGACCAGTGACTAATGTGCTCTTATGACCAATGACCAATGTGCTCTTATGGCCAATTACCAATGTGGTCTTATGACCAGTGACCAATGTGCTCTTATGACCAATGACCAGTGTGCTCTTATGACCAATGACCAATGTGCTCTTATGACCAATGACCAGTGTGCTCTTATGACCAATGATCACTGTGCTCTTATGGCCAATTACCAATGTGTCCTCTCTTATGACCAATAACCAGTGTGCTCTTATGACCAATGAGCAATGTGCTCTTATGACCAATGACCAGTTTGCTCTTTTGACCAATGACCAGTGTGCTCTTATGACCAGTGACCAATGTGCTATGACCAATTACCAATGTGCACTTATGACCGATGATCAATGTGTTCTTATGACCAATGACCAATGTGCTCTTATGACCAATGACCAGTGTGCTGTTATGACCAATGACCAGTGTGCTCTTATAACCCATGACCAGTGTGCTCTTATGACCAATGACCAGTGTGCTCTTATAACCCATGACCAATGTGCTCTTATGACCAATGACCAATGTGCTGTTATGACCAATGACCAGTGTGCTCTTATAACCCATGACCAGTGTGCTCTTATGCCCAATGACCAGTGTGCTCTTATGCCCAATGACCAATGTGCTCTTATGACCAATGACCAATGTGCTCTTATGACCAATGACCAGTGTGCTCTTATGACCAATGACCAGTGTGCTCTTATAACCAATGACCAGTGTGCTCTTATGACCAATGACCAGTGTGCTCTTATGACCAATGACCAATGTGCTCTTATGACCAATGACCAATGTGCTCTTATGACCAATGACCAGTGTGCTGTTATGTAATTTATTTTGTATTTACTACGGATAATTTGACACGCAAAATTATAACTCGAAGTCCAAAATGGTTGTTTAAAACTTAGCTTTGATCTATAGTTGTTGTCCATTTGCCGATGGAAAATTTTAGTTCTCGTGTTTTGAACGTATTGTACCCAACGTCACCTCCGAGTGTTGATTTACTTATATGATAGTAGTCGCCCGATTGATCTGATGGAACTAAAATTTAGTTCACTTCCAAGTTTAGTTGACGTGATTGAACATACTCGACGTGTGCAGCTTTGCCTTGCATTGATTTGCTGGTTTTTCCTCCTATGTAGTTATTGGATCCAATCAGGAAGAAATTCGAATCTAGTGAACTGCAGAAATTGAAGCAACAGGCTTATCCAGTTGAGAAAGCAAAAAGTAAGGCGCGTGCTCATTCAATTTGTCATGCTTTATAGAAACTTTAACAGCCTTCTCCTTTAGAAATTTCTTTAGATTAATGTTTGGAATGCATACACAAAAGAGCATTGCCGTTTACACTTTTTTTTCTTCAACTTACATAGAAGCAAAAGGCAGTACCGAATCGAATCGAGACGTCGATCCTTCAAGACTGGATATCAGAGTGGGAAAAGTAATATCGGCTGCAAAGGTGTGTATAAAGTTTAGTAGACGCTCTTGTAGATTGCTTGCAACTCCATGATTTTTATATGATCTATAAGTAATTAAAGCAATATCTGAATATTGTTTTTGTTTTATTGCCTTGAATTTCCAACGTTAAATAAATGTTGAAGTTGTTGATGCTTGCTAAGTTTGAACAAGTGGACAAGTGTCTAATTCAGTAGTGGATTAGAATGATCAGGATGAAGAACTTTTGGTTCTTTGATAGTAAATTAGATTAATCCAGGTAAACCAGCCTGCAATTCTTATATAGTAGATTATATTGATGGAGGGTAAGGGACATATATGGTGATATTTGCCCAGAAATTGCCAGCGAAAATTCGCTCATTTACTCACGTATGAAGAACAGCTTTTTATAGTCGTAATTTTTTTTGCGACTATTTTTTGGTAACATCCTTAAATTGCATAGTTTCTTTTATGGTTTGACCAATTGTGGGTCACTTTTGACACTGAATAACATCTATATGTGTGTTCCATCCTTGAAGGGTGTGCCCGGTACTTCGTTGATACTTATATTCTAATATTTTTATTCAGCATCCAGAAGCGGACTCGTTGTACTTAGAAAAAATTGATGTCGGAGAAGCAGGTACGTTCAATTGTGTTTAAATGTACGTTTACTGTCTTGGCTGCCCTGATGTCCTGTTTTATATTTTCATTCACGTTGTATTAGATAAATGTCAAGAAGGGTGCATTAATTGATCTTTTCCCTAAAGTTAAATACCCTAAGAAACTCGTCCTCGTGGTAATTTTGTGCTCTTAATATTCCAATAATTTGTCTGTATATTTTAACCATCAGCAGTAAATTAAAACTGTTTTGGCTGTCGAGTCGTATTCTTAAATGACAAAGTATCAATTTCCCAGCTAACAGTAAAACTTCATGTGACACAGGACCACTGCGCAGCTTGGTTTTGTTTATCAAATTAGCTCACTGACTGCTGTTAGTGAGCTCAGTGTGCCTATCGGTCGAGAAGCGCAATTGACTAACTTCCACCAGTTTGCGTCAAATCAAAAACTAATTTATTTATGACCCCTTTTTCCCGCTACTCGTTCTTAAAACAGCTTTTCGAAATGATATTACAGAACCTGGTTTTCTATAACTCATGTGACCAAAAATCAGCTACGCTTGAGGATTTCTTTTGTTTAAATTATTTGTAAACTTCATAACGTGTTTCAAAATTCTTTTGCTAATGTTCTATCATAATGTACGTAGTAGTTTTGCATTCGATGATATACTACAAGATATTCACTTCGAAGATTTGGAAGTCATTGACATCTCCCTCTCGTTGTCATTTGTAGAGCCGCGCACTGTGATCAGCGGTCTCGCCGGGCTTTACCCTTTGGAAAAACTTGAAGGTCGCGACGTTGTGGTGCTTTGCAATCTAAAACCTGTGAACATGCGCGGTGAGTATTAAGTAGGCGCGACTTTGTTTTGGTTGTTGACATACCACATGGCTGAGTTTAAACCAGAACATGAAAGATTTTTTGATTGAAATATTTTGACTTTAAACGACCCCAAGAAATTTTGAAGATGCTACAATCATAAATAGCTCACGGAACTCTTTAAATTTCGCGTACGTGCTGTTTTTATCTATTACTTTCCTGTTTTTTTCCGTCCATTCAATTATTTTGTCATCCATTCAATTTGTCCAAAAATACTTGGCAATTTTCATTTTGTCAATGTCATGTAAAAACGGAAAGCGTATAAGAAGCTCCGGCCACAAGAATCCGGATAGGGTTTTAACCACACTCTATAATATTTTCACTGCGGTATTTCCTACCATAGGAATCCAACAACAAATTCTCCCACATGCTGGTTGTCCGAAACGTTATAAGGCTCCCTTCTTTAGAATCCAGAAATATTTAAAACCGCAATCTATATAACTGTACTAGTGTATTTCCGTCCACAGGAAACTAACATCAAATTCCAGCAAATGCGGAGACCGTGTTTTTGTGATAGTAATAAAATACCCAACTTTATTTACCCGCGGTACTTTTCACTAAAGTTACTGTAAAAGTAAAGGGGAAAGGGATCTTATAGGCCGTGTATATTGGAAGGCCACGTATACACAGAAGAATAGGAAATGGAATCAAAACAAAACTTAAAGGAATTATAGGGAAACAAAGAAAAATTTTATATGTACATTAAAAAACTAGTTTTATCAAAGTAAATACCTGCTTTCGTTTGAGTAAATTATTTTTAAAGCGCTTTAAGAGTTTAGAACTTTATCAAATGTTAAAGTTTTCCAAGCCCCCGCACATCAACGCGAAAAATATTGTACCTAACTAAGTACTAGGCTTCTGTGACATTAAGTTAGATTCAGCGTTCATGCACATGTTTTTACTTGATACATCGTTGATTGTTACTTCTAACATTCAAATTTATTATCTCTTGTTCATTAAGTACACCATCAACCTATATATATATATATATGACATACGGCTAAAACCACTATGTATGTAAAATCGTCTGCAATGTCGGTTCAAAGAGTGAACAGTATGAATGTGAAAAAAACAACACGGTATGCGGTTTTAGTGTGGGAAAACAACACGTTATCCGCATTAGAATGTAAACAAACTAGGTTTTCGTTTTGGCAAAACGCCGATTCGTCGCATATGGTAAGTTATCCTGTTTTAGATGTATCCCGTATTTGTGTGCACAGGAAGTGCACATTTTGTACACCTATACCCATGTGGACTCATTTTGTATCTGTTTTGATAACTATTCAGTCAAAAATATGACTAACCCAAGATAAAGTATATCTATGTTGAAACGTGTTTTTTTGTGTTTGCATCACTAACTCAGAATCTTGTTTACGTTACCGTTAGAACTTGTTTTCTGCGTTGTTTTCGGCCAAGTCCGGAAAAATTCATATCAGTAATCAGTTACAGATACTCTGGCATTTTCTCCCTTTGTAAGGACGCAATTTTATTGCAACCTTGCCTGCCTTGTTTTGTACATTAAACTCACATTTTACTGTATCTATCAAACAAGTGAGTTGCACTAAAGTATTAGGGTGTTTTCATCGATCGTCATGTTGGTAGAAAATCCAAGATTGCGAGAAAGTTTTATGTCGACTCCTTGCTATGTTCAGCATCGCCGCTTTGAAATGGCCGCTTTGACATCACTTGAAAACACTCTGTTATCGCAACATTTTTTTACTCAGCATTACCTTATGTATATTATGGCCCATGGGTTGTTTATATTTTTTTGTGTTTTAATTGGAACTAGTTGCAGCCATATTCAGTGTTTACATACCAGAGGATAAGTCGGTCTGCATTTTTCGGCATTTTGAAGAGCTTACTGATCTCGTTGGCTCTTACAGCAAATCATTCATGCTCCCTTTATGTCTAAAGTTGTGTGCTTTCTTTACCGTTTTCTTTTCAATTTCTGTTCAAAGGCATCAAATCTGAAGCTATGCTGTTGTGTGCAAGTCTTACTGGGTTTGTTTAATCTTTTGTGTAGTTCAGTAACTAGTTTGCAACTTTGATGCTGTCTTGGTGATTACGAGGCTGTAGTTGTCAAATATTGTCAACCTCCGGACAAGGAGAAATATTTCAGTATATTGTTGTCCGTGTTAGTTGTGTGTTTTTTTGTTGTCATTTTGAGACCACGCAAATTTTTGTTGTCATTTTGAGACCACGCAAGTTTTTACTGTCGTTAATGGAAGATTATATTGAGTCGTTAGTAAATGCATTAATATGCTGTCGATTCACTATCAATGTGAAGTGGTATTAACTCGCCCGACGTAATACAGAAAGTTCTTCTGCATGGGAACTAATTATGAATGTTGACTTTTGCCACAGGGGGAAATTTTTACGTAGTTCGCGGCCTCTGCGAAACACATTTTGATTGGTTTAAAATCTTTCGTTGCTTAGCGGGGATATGCGCTGATATTTAACATTTTCTAATTTCCAGCTGTGATGGTGAACGAGAAGTTTCTCCTCTAGATCCACCTCCCCAGAGTAAACCGGGCGACAGGGTGATAGTTGAAGGTTATGAACATGATAAATTAGGAGGTAAGGTGGTATCGAGTTGTGTTATTACCGGTAATTTGTCTTGGGGCTCGAACATTCCTTCGATGGAGTCGAGTATACCCGACTGGAAACGAACTGTGCTTAAGTGGCAATCAGCAGCGAACGCAAAGAGGGAGAGTTAGGTTATCTACTCTCATCAAACCACGCTCTTTATTTTATTTTATTTTATTTAACAATATTTATACGCGGTAGCCTATTCGATTCATACATTGTTTTTCAAAGGGCCGTAACTTACTTCCCAACTTTTATTTACTTGTGTGTTGCTGCCTCTCGCCACCGTTTCTCAAACTGTACTTTAAGACCCCACGACTTTTAATTAACTGTACCATGCTGCTCCCGACCACCTTACTCCAACTGTATCTAGTTACCCCCCCCTCTCCATTTTTCCAAACTTTACCTCTCCCCTTTCCCATTTTTTCACTGATTGATGTTTCTTTTTCTTCAGAACCGGATGCGCAACTTAATCCAAAAAAGAAAATATTTGAAAGCATACAGGTGAAATTTCTGTTCGCATTGCTTTATGCCTTTGACATTTCTGTCGTGTCTTTGGGAATTAGATGTGCGTCTTAGACTACTTTGCCTGTTTACCACGAACCTAATTGTATAAGCCTTTCGCTCGAGATGAATCGATGAAGCACAGTCGGAGGCGAAACCTTATGCACAGTTATGATTGTTGGCTATCTTTTTTAAAAGCCATTCACCATGGCAACTGCGCTTTTCAAGGAAATTTTTTTAGTTTTATCTTCACGGCCAAATTAAAGCAACTTCCATTTAATGTTCGCGGTACCTTCATGTAGTCATTGACACCTCAGTAATTAAGCCCCATTATCTTAAGCTTTTAAAATAGCTTTGACCTTTGTCGGCATGAATCCATGACGATTTTTGTATTTCCGGCTTAAGACTATTACCGTGTTTGTTGACAACACGGTGGGTCTGTACTAATATTTCTTTCATATTTGATCACCCCAATTTGTTAGCGTATCGCGACCAGTGAAGAAAATTCATTGGAACTTTATTATTGCTGTTTGTTATTCCTTCAGTATTTGTTCACCCATATTACACATATGTGTTTGTTCAGCCCACGTTGTTGAGCGTCGTGTAATGTTAATTGTATTAGGATTCGGGCAATGTAATTAGCATAATAAGCACGTCCTAGCTGCGAAATGTGTCACGTGGATTGGAATACTGCAGTTTATGGATTTTGACTGCATTCGAACTTTTCTCTCCGATGAATTATGTAAACTAGGTACTGGGATACACATGATGTTTTGAAGCTGCTTATGCCCGTTTATGTACAACATAATCTTTGAATCAGTAGTACATTATATATTTTACACGAGCATTAGTGGATGGTGGAATACTTATAAATCCTCCGAATGCACCTGAACACTAGTTACTTACAAAAATCGATCATTGGGGGCAGTCTTATGTTTGATTTTGTATTTTATTTTGTATGTGACTTTATTTAAACAAGGATCGAAAACCATCAGTACATTAGATTACACCAAGATAAAAGGTTAAAAATATGTACTATTATTGGTAAAAATATTGTTCTGCCTGGTTGTCTGGTTGTCGTCTGGGAGTCTGTTTGTTTTGGAATATAGAGACTCCAGCTTACTTTTGAATGACGTTAGAGTAGGCGTTGACCTAAATGACTCTGGCAAGTTGTTCAAAAGAAAGCTCCACTATATATGAATAAGAACATTTTAAACAATATGTTTTAGCTGTATAGTAAGGAACAACTTGCCATACGGAGTACTGACATCTACTAGCACTTAACATTTCCAGTAATTATTTAGAGGTTAAGAATTCATATCCTCATCGTCATGTCATCACCAAATAAAAAATTATCGATCTTCTTACGTCCGTTTCCTTACGTCCGTTTTCGAGAAAACTCGTTGAAAAGCCGGTCGTATTGTTTGTGTATTTACCCAACGCGTCTGTTTTTGTAGCCCGAGCTTGTGACGTCGGAAGTTGGCATAGCTGAATACAAAGGGAGCTCCATGGCAACGAAACTTGGTAAAATTACATCGTCGTTGAGAAACGCGAAAATTTCGTAGAACTGTTTGTATTGAATAGTGATATTAATAATGACGCACTCCTTGTTAGGCGAACACTATTTTACGAATTTACTCCTGGTGCAACACTGATATAGCTACATTTTTGCCGTTGGCACCATTTTCTAAAATGGCGCAATTTTTTCTCTAAAGGAGAAAAACTATTTCTTTTATATTACACAGATGCAGTAATCAAACCGTATCATTTTTATATACGGAAATAGTATTTCGTTCCTGCTGGAGTATTTTTACTCACGTTAATCTCCAACCCAAGTGGCTGATCACATGTTGGTCGTTTTGAGGGTTCATATTCTGCTCATTTTTACCAGCGAAAGTTTTCTGGACTCGACCCGATTTGTACATAAATGTTTAGACGGCGCAGACTAAACCTTTTGTACGACCTTTTGTACGATCGCATTTTAGTACAGCTTTCTTTTGAGTTGTGTACCTTCCAGCATTTTACTCAGTCTTGAATTTCAGCATTTTAGTTCCTCTTGAATATGTGCATTTCAGCATTTTCGTTCCACTTGAATGTATGCATTTCAAAAGAAAGCATTGCAAAGAGCCGAAGAGATTTTGCACTGAACGGTAATCATCACGTAAAGTTTGCGATCTTCCGTTTGTATCGACATCTTGAAATGTGCACGACCACTTGTTTCATGAAGATAAGTACTTGATGACGATTTGATTTCAACAAACACACATCAAGCATCCCCGAATACTTCCGTTTCGTAACAATTAATTGACGAATATGTTTATTTCATTCAATTAGTATTCTAATTAAAGATCGTACATTCTAAACGAAAACGTATGATGTTAACAGGGGCAAAGCGATTCTTACCGCCGCTCACGAGCATATAATGGGAACGTTTCGCTTATCAACCGGTTTATCTCGAAGGGCCATCTACGTGAGGTCTTTGTTAGACATTCAAACCTGACGTTTGGTGTCCGCATTTATTGGAAACAATCAAGAAATGGTTGGCTCTCGACGCATCAAGTCGCGTGCTCTTACGGCGTGTTTTTTATTTTCCATTATTTTTCTGTTTTATTTTATAAGAAGCTCACACATTTTGCTTCGCATGATCCCGGATCATGATGCAACTCCTGGGACGTCAATGCCGAGGTCTTTGACGAACAATGTTGAAGTCGACCTGATCGTGGTTGAGGAACATCATGAAGGTCTGTGTGTTTCATCTCTATCTCACATGCATTTCGCCTGTAAGTAAATATAAAAAAAGTACTCTTTCGTGTTGTGACATGCAGAAAACCATACGTTGCGAGTTTTCTTCCATTTTTCTTTTATTGACGAATTAATGTAATTGTGTACGTGTATGTTATATAAATAATTTCCTTTACAAAATGATTTGGGCTCTGTCCGATCAATGAACATCCACATCGTTTTTAATATGAAAGCTGATCATTTGTATGATGTGTGAACTACCGCTGAGTCAGTGCTTATACACTGAGGCATTTTTCTTTGAATATATACCTGCATGGCCCCGCACTCGCAGTTTCTTGGATGTTACATTTAGTTTGCGTGTGAACATTTGTGATGAAAACAAATGGATATTTGAAAACTTTTCTTAACTTGTGTGTAAGTCGACCATTGCTTATTTTGAAACAATGGCATTCGGGGAAGTTTAAATATTTTAATCCTTTTTTTAACTCAAAAGGACGAGTACCCTGCTGCAGTTTCATTTTGAAAGCTACCGTACGAAAATGCATTTTTCCTTACGTCCATGCACAATCCGTGCTCATTACTCAAACCGAAATCCTTTCAGCGCGCTTTCCATTCATGTATTTATAGAAAATAAGACGTCAAAAAGATATAAATAATATACGCTTATGGAGCAACTGCGTTGATGGCGTAATTAGCACTGGATCAACTGCGCCCTCGCGTTTCTTAAAATAACGCTGTTTGTGCCATTTACTCTGACGCTGTTTATGCTAATTTCTGTAGCTTGTTGTTTTGCGATCGTTAAAGGCGTGTTGTTTGCACAAATTTTTAGTTGTTCCGGAAACTTTGAGGTGAGAATTGAGTGAAAAGTATGCTTTTTGCTGTCGTCATTTTTACCGTCACACCACGGGGCAGGCTGTGTCTTATTACAATTTTAGTTTTATCGGCAATTGGTCGTTTTGTGCACATACTTTTTGTTTTCCTTTTTTTTTTTACCTAAAATTGTGAATTGTATAGCATTGTTGATGTTGTCTATCAGTAGTGAAATTCGTGTTTGACGTATTCGACGTCCTCTATATACGTCCTCAGTAACAATGATAACAATCAGTTAACGTTCAGATATTTTGGGATCAATTCTTAATTTGAGAATCATGCATGTACTGTTTCTTTACTTCGACCATTTAGGTCACGTACCTTCATTCATGCGACGTTACGCCGACGGAAATCCTTCAGTCAAAACAACCGGCCAATAAAACGCCTGTCGTAGCCGCAACTAGCCATTGCATCCGACATTCAACATGTATGTTTTGTCGTATAGTGCTAAGGTCAATTGTTATTTATAGTTTTGCCGAGGTCTTGACTGACATGAACATTTATAGCTTTTAGTAGGCTAAATTTGATCATTTAAAGAGTCGCGTGGTCACCCCGCACGTTTGGTCGTGCTATGTAAGATGTTCACGCTCAACTGTAAAAGTAATGGATTTCTGAAGAAATGAATTTTGCTGATGATTTAACATTTACATAGCACGACCAAGCTCGAAAGCTCTGGCTACGATACCTGTTAAAGCCTTAGGTTAGTTGGCTCATTATGTGTTGTCATCCTCTTGGCTTATGAGGGTTGCATTAGGTGTAAAGATGGCAGTTGATAGGACGACAAAGTTTTATTTGTTAGGGTTAGGTCGTACAACTGAACTCCAATAGCGATATTCATCATGGACAGTGACTTTTTCAAACGTCTGTTGAAAGATGGTTATGTTTTCTGTGCGAGAATGAAACTTACAATCTTACAAACAATCTTACAATTGACGTTTTGTTTTATTGATTTTCTTATTCAAATGGTAGATTTGTTCTCTTTTTTAAAGATTTTGAAACAACCGATCCTAGATGCGTAGCCAAAGTACGTAGCTAATAGAACAATCGATGTGTTGCATTTTATTAGAGGTCGGTGTCAATAAGTTGCTGAAGCGAAGTATACTAAGGAACTCAAGAGGCTTTCGTAGAAATAAAGACTTTTCAGACTGCGACTTGAACATTATGTTTACAATGTATAGGAGGAGGTGACGAAATAAATCGTTTGCATTTATAATTTTTAATCGATGCTAAACTAAGATTGTTGAAAAGTATGAAGATTATCTCAAGTGTTAATTGAATTACAGCAGTGAAAAATTTTATTGAGATGAATGTTGTGAACGGTTTGAGCGAGCAATGAGTTAGTACAGCGATGTCTGGAACGACGACCTAGCGTGAACAGAGTCATCACATTTCACTTTAAGATTGTGTGTCAACCAATATGCATTGCGCGCTTTTGTTTTTTTGTTTATGTTTACGTCGATACTTTTTGGGCTGGCGGCACACTGAGTTAAATTTTGTCACCACCTCGTCTAATTTCTTTGAAAAGTTACACACATTACACAAAAGTTTGGGGTGTTGCACTCCGCACCCTTCCGTTTCTCGTGCATATGCAATTGACTATTGTTTTTCCAAAGCAAGATAGCGAGAAGACTGTGAAAAATAGCATAACGCGACTAAATAAGAGGTTGGCTATGTTATTGGCAAATTTGCAACTCGCGCTGCTTTCATGGTTACGCTTTGTCCGTCTGTCTCTTTAAAGCCTCCCCGCGCTACCCTCTCATCGTGTAGACTTTACTTGTGTTGACTGCACGACGATTTTTTATCTGAGATTTTTAAATGTTGACCTTCTTTTTACAGTTATGGAATATTGGTTCGATGCGGCAAAGAAGGGAATAATACCACAGACAGGAAATATTTTGGTAAAGTAATTTCATTACATACAAATAAAAGACCAATTAGTAATCTCCATGTTGAAAACACTGTACAAACATGTCGTGCACTGTGCCTGATGTTCATTCTTTCAGCTGTTCGGCAAGGTCATTTATCTTTGCCTTTAGACCTACTCTATTTTTTGCGAATTTCTGTTCAAGAAATGTTTTATATTAAGGGTGGGCTTTTTTGGGGGACTAAAATTATTTTAACTGAATACAGATCGGTGCTTTGTAAATTGCTTTTAAAAGGGCAATAACACATTATAGGAAGACGATTGTCAGACGCTGCTTATGCAATGTATATTTGTAAATATTACATATCATGTGTATAGAAGAATATTTTTTGAAGTTAGAACCGAAGCTAGAGCAAACGAGATCGTATAAGTACACTACGCTTATGCTGAAGCAGAGCATATGAAATATAAGATGAAACACGAGTTACTGCATAAGATTTTATTTTACTGCAATTCCTATGGAGTAACTCCTTTGATTTTTTATTCTCAGTGATCGTTCCAGATATGTAAGTGTTTAGTTTTGAGTCGTGCAATCTTGACCTTACAAAATTTGGCACAAAATACTGGTGTATATTAGCAATGTAGGTGATAGTCTGTTGTAAATTTTTTTTCATTGAAAGGTTTTTTATTATTCATGTTCAGATTAAAAAGTATGATGAATTTACATTGATTTTCTATATATTTATCATACTATAACAAGAATTACATGTTAACTTTATTATATATATATTTACAAGATCTAGCAATAAAAGATTGCTTATGACGTTTGGTCCCGGATAAAATACTATAAGTTTTACTTTTACGCAACTCGTGCGAATTTTCCTTGGGATAAGGTACTAATAATTTGCATGGATGATCAGGTTCCTCTATAGTCCTTTTGATCTCTTGGGTAGTTGCTAGGTCACGCCTGCTTTTCAAAGATGGCAAGTAGTTTTTATCTACTTGTAAAATTTTTAAACTTCTTCTTTGTACACGTTCAATTTCTTGCTGTAAAAAATGTGGAAGTCCTGCCCAGAAAGCCGATGCATACTCTAATACTGGTCTTATTTTTGATGTATATTTTAATAATCCAACATCTGAAGGTAATTGAGACTTCCTACAAGGTCGAAGATGATATAGTCTTTTATTTGCCTTGCATGTAATTTGGTGTACATGCACAAGTATATGTACATTGTTGTCAAGTCAAAAACTCTTCTTGAAAACTGTCTATGTTCTGTAGCTTCACGTTGACGCCCACAGCGACATGGCTCCACCTGAGATGAACGATAGTTATCCTTTATTCAGACGACCCATAAATCAACGCGAGCTTAAGGCGATGATGCAAAGTAACGACATGTTTATACAGGTATCAATATCGAGTTCAGTCGCGTTTCTTGATTTTATGGTAAATCACTTTTTAGAGGATTTTGGACAGATAAGTTTTGCTGTCTTGAAGTCCATGAAACTTTGACAAATAATACTGCCGCAAGTTTAATTTTATACATAACCACGCATAACCATAAAGTTTCTAGTTAAACCGACAGAGTTTCTGTGAAATACACAGTTTGCTTTTACAAATTTTTGTTCAGGCAGCGGCCATGACAGGATTATTTCAAAAAATCATCTGGGTTTGGCCATCATGGGACGAAGGTGAGCACCGCTCGTACGACAAAATGGTAAAATTTGGTCTCGGACTCACGGTTTCCCCAATAGACGGCGTAGAATATTTCTGCGCATGTGTGTACGAAGGACGCGACGTATCGCTTTGCAAGTTCACGAATCGCACGATGTTTGACGCACATGGAAATTATAACGGTAGCAAAATCGATCCCAAGCTTTGCAAAGTCAAGGTTGAAATCGATGTGGTAGAGATTGCCGATTACCTGGCTTTGAATAAGCTGATCGATGGAACTCTTATCCGCGAAGGTGAGTCTGTGCTTCTTGATATAGACGAAGATTATTTCGGCGTTGTACTTCGGGGTCATACTCTTCTCGATGTTGGAATATCATGGAGTACTGTGGACGAAATCGATGAGATATTGAGTGAGATGTTTTGCCCGGATGTTATCGCTCATGAAGGTGTGTCGAATCACTTCATGCAACTTCTTTTAAGTTTATTAATTAAACATTGTAAGTCCAATGAAACTGATTCGATGGAATGTGCGATACCAGATACGCCACAGAACAAGCAGTTTTCGGCCGCAGTGAGTCGCATCATAAAACGATATCTCGGTAAAGACATATTTTGCGGAGCGGAAGGTAACGATTTTCAAAAACGCTTCGAATTACTCATCGAACTTTTCTTGTCGTTGAATGTTCAGCAGTTACGCACATGCGCAGAGATGGGCTTCTGCATGCAAACTTCACCACGTTCTTTAAGTGTGAATGGGTTTTCGTTGTGCCATGGTGCCAACCCACCAAACTCGACCCTTGTAACCCAACACACACCTAGTAAGAACGAGTTGATTTTGCGTTTAAAGCGTCTGCGTCGGATGCTGCACAAAGGTAGATACCCGAATCCCGGTATGGTGACTGTATGCCGGTCGGTACGAGATGGTTACACTTACGTGAAGTATTTTGAAGACATCGAGAAAAGTTTGATTAAAATAATCAAAAGTAGTCGAAATGACGTGAATTTTAAGGTTATTTACGATGTTAATTTATTGGGAGGCAAAGGTGGTTGGTCTAAAAGGCATAAGACCCAAACGCGTTTTCAGGTTTAATTTCATACACACTTTATGAGACCAAAACTACTAAAAACCGTTTGTCAATAAGCGATGTTTTAAAATTCAAAGAAAAAATGAAAATTTTTGGTATAAAGAACCCGCGTAAAACTCTAAATTGCATGATTTGCCAATAATGTACATTTTCAACAATTTTCTCATTGACATGTATATTTGATAGTTAAGCGAAGTTTCTAATATTTTTAATTTGTTATATAGTTTATGAAATATGTTCCTATTTACTCATAGGTCATTCGCATAACTTGTAAGATAATTCTTTGAAGAATAAATATACATTTTATATACTTCTTCTATCTGCATAATGAGCGAAAATCATTTTATGAACACTTTAACAATTACATTTTTATTCCTGTTGATTGTAGCAAATGAAAGAGGTTTTGAGATAAATTTCATTGTGAACGGTTAATATGCAGTGAAACCAACTTATTCGTGATTAGTTCTTGTATTGCTCTATCAGGAATTTGTGTTCCACCAACGTACTAAAAATGCCTGTTTTTACGTAGTTTAAAACCACTATCTAAATATGGCGAATACGATTAATCATCTTTTCTTAAAGAGAACCTTGGTGGTGAATGAGAACACGTGATAATGAAGACCTTGGGGTGATTGACAACGAGTGCTAATGAGGTCATTGGTGGTAATTGAGAACGAGTGGTAATGAGGTCTTTGTTATATAAGTACGAGTGCTAATGAGGTCATTGGTGGTAATTGAGAACGAGTGGTAATGAGGTCTTTGTTATATAAGTACGAGTGGTAATGAGGTCCTTGGTAAGTGAGAACGAGTGTTTGAAAAGGGTAGTGAGTGAGGTAAAACGATAAAGAACCCCGATGGTGAGTTTTAACGAGTGGTAAAGAGGACCTTGGTGGTGGGTTAAAACGAATAGTATTTGAGGTCCTTGGTGGTGAGTGTGACCAAGTGATAAAGAAGACGTTAGTGGTCTGTGGGTACAATTGGTGAAGAGGACCACGCCAGTGATTGACGAATTTCGTGAACTTTGGGCTTTGTCTTGCTATGCCACATTGGTAGTTTTGGGTCTCGTTTTTAAATTATTGACGTTTTTATTTCTATTTGAATGCATCAAATCCGAAGCCATGGTGTTAAATGCAATGGTCATTCTGAGTTTTTTTCAATCTTTTTTCAATCTTGTTTCTGGTTTCTTATTTCCATGCATGCTGTCTTGTGATTGCAAGACTTGTACCTATTAAATATTGACAACCTCTAGATAAAGAGAGACATCTCGTATTTTTTCGCTAACATTTAACATTCTAATTTCCAGCGCAAATGGTGAACGAGAAGTTTCTTTTCTAGATCCACCTCTCCGGAGTAAACCGGCTGATAGGGTGACATTAAAAGCTTGTGAACATGAAAAATTACGAGGTATGTTGGTGTTAGTTAGTTTGACTCAAGCATTCCCTTCGTGGGAATGAAGATAACTGGCTTGAAACAATTGTGCCGAGGTGGCCTTGTGGTGTAAGCGTTGAGTGTGATCCCCATATTTTCTACCTCCGATCCAAGCCATAATTTCAACCTTGCTTGTAACCTGCATTTTTCTTTACTTTGCTGCCCCTCAACACTTTCCTTAAAATGTACCTTGCAGCACCCCTCTACATAACTCCCTCTGTACATAGCAGAATCCTTTTACTCCATCTGTATCCATCTGCACTCATTACCGTCCTCCATCTGCACCTTGAAGCACCCCGCCATTTTACTCGATATGTATCTGGCTGCCACCCGCACTGATTAAATTGTACCTTCCTGCCTCCCCCGCCCCCCCCCTCCTCTTTCTTCCTCTCTAATTGATCTTTCTTTCTTTTCAGAAGCGAAGTCGCAACTTAATTCAAAAAAGAAAGCATCAAAAAACATACAGGTGAAATTTACAAGTTAACGCAACAACCAACGAGTATTACGGCGAACCTCACCAGTCTTTCCACAGTTTTACACCCCTTTGTAGTCATGCAGAGAAATTGATATAAATCCGAACTTTGTTTGATAAGGTTATTGCTAGTAATTCATACGGGTTTTCGACTACTACTCAACTGAGTGGTGCTAAGTGTATTGCCTTACGGCAGCCGGCAATGTTTACCGAGGGTAAACACACGAAAGACGCATGACTGTGGCGTCGAGATTAAGTCCTTCAACAAATGATAATGATAGAAATTCCTGCCTTAGGAAAATCCCTGATATAAAAAAAGTTCTCGCATCCGAAAGCCATTTACATGAACGATTGCGATGAGAAAGACGTGTTATCTCTCTATTTTTATTCTCGGAGCAAACGACTTTGTTAAGATTAGCAATATTAAAAAATTCCGATGAATTTTCAATGTTATTGATGATGATGTAGGAGTGTATTTTGATGAGGTTTAGTGCGATGGAACTGGAGACTTATGGAGTGTTTTATGTCGGGCAATTGTATTTATTTCTAAGAACAAGTGATTTCCAATCAAAAAATTTAAACTTCTACCATTTGCAGTAATTTTTGTTTAAATATTAATCTTCTGTTTACAGTTTTGGAATATTGGTTCGATGCGGCAAAGAACGGAATAATACCGAAGACAGGAAATATTTTGGTAAGGTAATTTGATTACATATCAATGAAAGACCAATTAATAATGTTCATGTTTGAAAACATTGTCCAATCACAGCATGGTCATTTGGCTTTGCTATAGACTAATCTATTTTTCGAGTTAGCTAAACTTATAAAGTTTTCGAATTTCTGTTCATGAAGTGTTTTACAGTTAGCACGCTGCTGTGCTTCCAAAAAAAGAATTATTTTTGATTGAATAAATATTAGTGCCTAGTACATTGCTTATAAAAAGGTCATGACACGTTAGGAAAAGGTTTATTAGACAATGCTGATGCTATATACAATGTATATAAATAAGAATAACATATATTAAAATGTGATCTGTGTATGTCTACATATCTGGAACGATAACAAAATTACCCGATTGCTAGGAATAGATTCAAAATTGAAGTCTAACTTCAAGTCTCTCGCGCGGTTTGCACGTCAGTTCAGTTCGGTTCCATTCCTCTGAATCGAAACCCTTGAACGTCCATTATGAATTTTAATGCTTTTGGGAAAACAGAACCACGTCAACGACGAGGAATGATGGTGACAACCATTTTTTGCCTTCAGTTTTTGTCATCGTTTATCGTTACAGATATTTTAATATCAAGTTCAGAGTGATACAATGCTTACCTCTGTTACTTGTGTTAACTCAGTGTTTACCAGTGTTTACTCAGTGTTTAACAGTGTTTATCTCTGTTAGGCACAAAATACTGACGTATAATAATAGCAACACAGGTTATTACTCTGATGTTGTCTGTAGCTTCACATCGACGCTCATAGCGACATGGCTCCACCTGAGATGAACGATCGTTATCCTTTATTCAGACGACCCATAAATCAACGCGAGCTTAAGCGATGATGCAAAGTAACGACATGTTTATACAGGTATCAATATCAAGCTCGGTTGCGTTTCATATTTGTATGCTCGGTTCTAGAACAGATCTTAATTTTGGGATTCCATATTTTTTGTACAGTATCAGTTAAAGCGAAACAAGTTAAACTGTCATACACTGATTTTTATCTCAAACTCATTACGCAAAAGTTTTGTAAAATCGAAGCGACATCAACTAAGTAGTAACAGCTACAAAAACGTTATCGTATTTTCCATAAGTTGCTACGAACATGGATAAACTAGCGTGTGACTAAACTAACCAGGCGGAACACAAAGCTATTGCAGATATTTCGGTGTCGTTTTTCTGGGACACGCTGTGTAGGCAACAAGAACAACTGTCGTATGACAAAAATATAAGACTGTTCCCGTTTCTGCTCGCCAAAGTCACACGTACGGCTAAGTAAAGGACAAGTAGTTTCAGACTAGTACACAGTTCTCTAATTTTCTTTCAGGCAGCAGCCATGACAGGTTTATTTCAAAAGATCATCTGGGTGGCCATCATGGGACGATAGTAAGCATTACTCTGACCACAATATGGTAAAACTTGGCCTCGGATTGACGGTTTACCTAATAGACGGCGTACGATATTTCTGCGTATGTGTGTACGACGAATTGGAATGCAGATTCATTAATCGCACGATGTTTCTGATTACGGAAGGATTATAATGGTAACAGAATTGACTCCAAGATTTGCAAAGTCATGGTTGAAATCGATGTGGTAGAGATTGCTGATTACCTGGCTTTGAATAAGCTGATCGATGGAACTCTTATCCGCGAAGTCTGTGCTTCTTGATATAGACGAAGATTATTTCGGCGTTGTACTTCGGGGTCATACTCTTCTCGATGTTGGAATATCATGGAGTACTGTGGACGAAATCGATGAGATATTGAGTGAGATGTTTTGCCCGGATGTTATCGCTCATGAAGGTGTGTCGAATCACTTCATGCAACTTCTTTTAAGTTTATTAATTAAACATTGTAAGTCCAATGAAACTGATTCGGTGGAATGTGCGATACCAGATACGCCACAGAACAAGCAGTTTTCGGCCGCAGTGAGTCGCATCATAAAACGATATCTCGGTAAAGACATATTTTGCGGAGCGGAAGGTAACGATTTTCAAAAACGCTTCGAATTACTCATCGAACTTTTCTTGTCGTTGAATGTCCAGCAGTTACGCACATGCGCAGAGATGGGCTTCTGCATGCAAACTTCACCACGTTCTTTAAGTGTGAATGGGTTTTCGTTGTGCCATGGTGCCAACCCACCAAACTCGACCATTGTAACCCAACGCACACCTAGTAAAAGCGAGTTGATTTTGCGTTTAAAGCGTCTGCGTCGGATGCTGCACAAAGATAGATACCCGAATCCCGGTATGGTGACTGTATGCCGGTCGGTACGAGATGGTCACACTTACGTGAATTATTTTGAAGACATCGAGAAACGTTTGTTTAAAATAATCGTAAGTAATCGACATGACGTGAAATTCAAGGTTATTTACGATGTTAATTTATTGGGGGTAAAGGTGGTTGGTCAAAAAGGCATAAGACCCAAACGTATTTGCAGGTTTCTTTTCTTATATACTCTATGAGGCATAATTTACTAAACTGCGGTGTTTCATCATGAATGTTCTGTAGAGGGGACATGACACGATTATTGTTAATTTTTCTCTTTAAAAAGAACGCAAATATCACTCCTTTCAAAGAAACTGAGATGCAAAAGTATTTTGTGATTTGTATGATTCGCAAATGACCTATTTTTCGGAATTTACTTCTTTTACATTATGAAAATTATGTTGATGCTACGAATATCGAATCATTTCCCTCTGGATTCATAAAGTTTCCTTCGTTAATGTGGTTTGATTCTTGTCGGTGATGAGTGAGAACAAGTTGTAAAGAGAATATTGATGGTGGGTGAGAACGAGTGGTAGACTCCATCTTGGTGGTGAGGGAGAACGAGTTGTAAAAAGAATATTGATGGTGGGTAAGAACGAGTGGTAGACTCCATCTTGGTGGTGAGAGAGAATGAGTGGTAAAAAGAATATTGATGGTGGGTAAGAACGAGTGGTAGACTCCATCTTGGTGGTGAGAGAGAACGAGTGGTAAAAACAATATTGATGGTGGGTAAGAACGAGTGGTAGACTCCATCTTGGTGGTGAGAGAGAACGAGTGGTAAAAAGAATATTGATGGTGGGTAAGAACGAGTGGTAGACTCCATCTTGGTGGTGAGAGAGAATGAGTGGTAAAAAGGACCTCGGTAATGAGTGAGAACGAGTTGTAAAGAAAATTATGGTTATAAATTATGGACCTAGGCATCTCTCTGCAACCTCAGCGTTGCAACTCACTTCTTATCGCCAACATAACGTGACTGTATTCTTAGCACTGACCGTAGAAAAAGTGTGCTAATTATTACTTGTGTTGCGCATTTCGCATTTTCAAAGTACAACAACCTGTAATAGTATAGACATGTAACTTTAATTATCTACAACGTTCATTGACATGTTTACTTGGCATCGAGGACCAATTAGTCATACGTCTTCAATATCATTAAGAGCATTGATAAGGTTTCTGCTATAATGCAAGCTCTTCGATATCATCAATAGTATCGTGAATTGCATTGGAAATAGCAGTCGGCCCAGTTCTCTCTTGTGTGGCGCGTCTTCTGGGTAGTAAAGATATAGTGCCAAGACTTGCTTGCTCCGCATTTTGTTTGGTCACAAATTTATCCGACAAGAATCCGAGTGAGTTGTCGGGGGATTTTGTTTTCTCGCTGTCCCCCTGATATCCGAAGTATCCCCCTGCTACACCTTCACGACGACGTCCGTACCCCGCTCTTCGCGATAAACCCGTATCAAACACATCTGACGCGTTTTTTACACTGTTACTCATGGTTGGGGAGTATTCCCCAAAAGTAAAACTACCTTCTATACTTTTGTTCTTAATCGCCGAAGCTTGTTTTTTACCGTCCTTCAACCAGCTCAACCGGTCATCCTTCGTTGAGATCTCACCACGAACCTGGGCGTCGGGTTTATGTCGTGGAAGTCCAAGAATTCCATCCTGGTCGCTTTTTGCGGATTCTGATAAAGTAAAGACCTTTCCCTTGGGCACAGCTGGTAAACCACTGTGTAAGTTCCTGTCGGCCTGTCTTTCCTTGAAGTTCTTTGGCGTGCTAGGTGTGAACTCAGTATTATTCAACAAGCTGCTAGTGCCAAAGTAAAGAGGATCGCTGTTGGAATGTTTAGAGTCGTCCACTGCCTTTAACCTTAAAACGGAAAAGCAAGTTAGGTTGTGTAAACTACTGATTTATTTCATACAACATGTTGACATTCTACAGTACAGAACACGCATCGAAGTTAGAAATTTTATATTTTACAGCATGAAGCCCGAACAAAAGATTAAGGATATCTAGCTGAATGAAATTACCTCGCAAGCAAGGCGTCTTTTTTCTTTCGCGATTCTTCATCTTCAAAAAAACTGTTCGCTTTCTTTTCCTGTTCTTTTCTTTTAAGCTCGTCGTCTCGTCTCAGCTGCTCCTTCATCAGTTCTTCATTTTTGCGTTCCTCGTCCCTTTGATGTCGCTCTGCTTCGATTTGTTTTTCTTCGGCTTCTTTCTGTTTTATGGCCGACTCCTCCCGCCATTTTGCTTCCCTCTCTGCTCTTTCGTGACTCTCGGTTCTTGCATTTCTTTCAGTAGACGTTCCGCCTCCTCTTTCTCTTTTCTCAGTCTCTCATCTTCATGTTGTAGACTTTTTTCAAAGTCTTCTTCTATTTCTTTCTCGTGATCTTTGAAACTATCATCCATGACAGCTTTCCCGTTATTCGCGCTATTTAATAAGCCATCGTGAACAACAGCCTTGTCGAAGGAAGTCGCCATTGGTGACGAGATTTTTTGATCCTCGTCGTGATCCGAATCGTTCTCTTTGTCGCTTTGAGTTGTTAGGAAAACCGAGTTAAATTTTTTGCTGTTTTCCCCTGCAGATATTCCTTCCAATGTGGATTTTTTGTTGGTTACCATACCCCCTTTCAACGTGCTTGCGCTTGCCCCGAACTTGCAGTTGGTTTGGCGCGTGTCGTAGGTGGTAGAGCGACCATTTTAGGCGTGATCTCAAGAACCTCTTGACCTTTTTCTTTCTGGACAATTTGTCGTTGATAGATGTTCGTGTAGTCCAGCTGTTTTTCTTTGACCTATAAAGAAATGGAACAAGGCTTTTAAGTTCTCCGAAAACAATGAAGTATTTTTGATAATTTGGCTTTAAACGACCATTTCGCCGTCCTTGTTGAAAAATTTCAACGTCAATTCAATGGTCGTAAGGAACGCTTCTGCTGATAAAATCTATTTGAGAAGGTAGACAGGAATTGTGCTACGACGTGAATGACAAGTTAAAGGCAAAATTCTTAAAGTAAGTAGTAAAAATTGATGATTCTTTAGTTGCGAAGGACCTTCCCCAACAATTACTTTGACAAACGTCTAAAATGACGCTGCTTTTGTCCTGTAAACTGCTTTGTGTGTTGGTTTCAATTGAACAATTATTATTCACTTAAGTACTTAAAGCGTTTATCTTTAGTTAAACTGTTGAATGGTCATCCCCAGCATGTCGCCTAGGAAATGTTTTAAAATGCCGTCCCAAACTTAAAATATCTGAGAAGAAACACTTGGCGCCATTTTTCATAAATTTCGGTGAACAATATCCACGGCACAGTAATTATAAATTTTGGTAGTTACAATAAATTTACCCCTAGGCAAAAGCTATCATGTAAAATAAATACAACGGAGAGAGGGAAACCTTCAGCTAAAAATAAGAAAAAGTTAAATTTACAACCGGCAATGAAAATGAACACCGCTTCCAGGTTTAGAGGCGCACGTATAAATTGTGAAATATTTAAGAAACAAGATGCGTATCATGCGTTCACTTGTGCTACTCGAGAATAGTGTTTGGTTGTATTTGCGTATGATAATAGTAGCCAAATAGCACTACGAAATTCACAACAATACCATCTCACATGTGGCACAGAGTTTGCACAAAACTTGAATGTCCTTTAATTTAAATTTGAAAATTCAAGGCTTTAAAAGTAATTGAATTTAATAAGATGTTTTTGAAAGTACTCGAATTCAAATTTTTTTTCATCGAATTTTTGTAAACATGTCATCGCACAACTTTAATTTCGAAAGTGGAGTTGAAATTGTACGTATCCTTCACCCTTTATTTCCAAAAAATTAACTTGAGTTATACATGGTTAATGTCTGAAGTTCGAAGAAATCTTCCACCATGGAAGCTTTCAAGTCATAGAGAAAACCCACCATGATGTATTTACCCTTTGTTCAATTGAAAAAGTTCGTTGTTTTTAATTTTGATCATGTTTTTAATGATTCCTTGCTTAAGTTGTGCTTTGTATGCAATTAAAAATTGCTTGAATTTCATTGCTTCAGATTTGTACAAACCCTGGTGGCATTTTATTGTGCAAGGCTCATTAGATCAGGTAGCCCCAAGTAAAAAGTCAAAGTTGTGGGCTTTTATATCAAAATTATAACAGAAGTCATTCCCAGAGTGTGGAACTCCTTAATTTTTTTTTGCGGGGGAGGGGTGTTTGCAATGTATTCACCTGTTTGTGTTTGTTTCAACTGTCCCCTGATGTGAACCAAAGTAATATACTTTCTTCAAGTTTGATTGAAAACACCAGGGTGTGTTATCAAAATAGAATAACTTCACTTGCAAATTTTTTAGTTGTGCTCCATACTACAATGAAAATATACAAAGGTACAAACCCTAAGTTTTTCTTGTAAATTGTGATAATTTTCTTGCATGATTTGCATGTTTTGAGTCGCCTCTTTGAGCTTTTGCTGTTGCTCCTTGAAATTTCTTGAATGGGATTTTTCTTTCAAGCTAAGCATTTTTTGAAGTTTCTATAGAAATATTTGAGTACAATTATTTTATGCCACCTGATTGGTATTTGTTTTGACAAACATTATTTAAATAGGAGAACACATGATAGATCTGATTGATTGATTGATTTATTAGTGTTCCTGATGCTGGCTGCCAGTAAATTAAAAGTGTAATTAGGTCAAATCTCGTCTATCACAACTTTCGATCAAGTAATAGGATATTTTCTAACTTACTGAGATCTCTTCCTCCCTCTTTTTCAAGGTATCTTCCGCTTTCAACAGATTTCTCTCCAATTCTGATTTCTCTACCAATTTTTCCTTATCACAAAGATCTTTGTAATACTTACACTTGTCTTTTAATTTCAATATGGTCTTATCTTGCTCTAAGATTTTCGCATCCTTCTGATGTGATGTTTCTTGTAGCTTACGTAATCTCTCGCGCAAGTTTTTCACCTCGGCCGTATGCTTCACCAACAGTTGCGGTAACTCTGCCTCATCACCAATTACCTTTACCAACTTTTTCTCCTGTCTATATTGTATCAGCCGTAAGGTCTTGTTCTCTTCTCGTTCCTTCATCAGCTCATTGATGAGCTGAGTCATCCGGCTCTCAAGCTGTGTCACCTTGTGCCGATTTGCAGACAAGACTCTGTCGACAACAGTATGATCGATTTTCCTGCGATTCTTCGTTTCTGCTGAACGATGTTTTTTCGCTCTGATGAAGTTCTTGAGAGGAGGAATTCTTGCTGTAGCTATAGCAATGAAAACAAGAATAAGAATCTGCGTGTGATATTCTTTGCTTTTGCAGCTGTATTTTACTGTGCATTCATATTGTGAGATGTGATTAAGTGTTTAATTTGACATCGTTTCTACACTTCACGATTTTCTATTTTGTTTTAAAAAAAATCCCAACAGTAATCTATTGTTGATACGAAAGCCTTAAATCCATCCATATAGGTAGTATTTACTGAAATTTACACCATTTTCCTTTCCAAAATCAAACTAAACTCGTACAGCAAATAGGCGATATTCGTTCCAACTTATTTAAACAACTGCGCTCGTTTATTTACACGATTCTCAACCAGATATCGACAGCCATAATTGTGTCCTCTTTTTCTCCAAGGTGATGAAGTCTGATTTGATCTTTGGAGAGCTCGCGTGTTGATATATTTCTAAACAAAAGCAGTAACTTTGATACCTGGGTTGGAATATCTCAGCGATGCGTACGCTTTTGAACCACCAACTTTTCTCTTCCCATTGTTGACGGAGCGTGGCGATAATTCGCTTTGAGTATAAGTACGGCTCGAGTTCTTGCGATCTCGTTCAACGGATTTCGATTTTTTTTGACTTTCACCTGCAGCTCCATCGCTTTCAAAATCATCATCATAACTATCTTCGCTTGAAGAATAATCTTTGAAATCCTTTTCTTCGTATTTATCTGTGTATGTTTCTGAATCTCTGTCCATTTTTTCTAACGTGTTTTGTCTTGGCAACACCGTGCGCTCATCAGACGGTGCGATTATTTCTTCAAGTTGCTGTGTATTTACGCCGAATTTTTCAGCATTACCATGCGCTTGAACGGCTATACTCATTCTACGTACCGTTATTTATCATTGAAAATAATTTCACCATAGAAATTTTGGTTTATTTATAAAATACGATTCGTAAAATTTATCAATCGTTAATTGTTGACACCTGCTAAAATTTGAGATCACGCGTATCCCACACTGTTTATATGCGTTGTTATGACTACCGTTTGCGAACGACGCGGATACAGTTAAAACGGCAAACAGTAATTGGGAGAAGTTGAAGTTTGCCTACCTGCCCTGAGCCCTTTTTTGGTATTGACTCGCCGTATTACTCTCGGAATACCTCGTATAATTGGTAGTTCCTTTGACTTTTTTGTCTTTCTATTGACCTTTGAAATGTATCTCGATCGTTCATATTTGGTGCTCTTGTTGTCAGTGAAATAGTGTATATGGTCGATTCTGGAATATGCCCACTTTGACGAAGGTGGACTGGTACTTAATGAGCTTAACCAATTGCAACTTTCTGTTCTGTTACTAGGATCATCGACGTCAATCTGTAATGTAAAATTTTCGAATGTCTTAACTACTTTAACTCGTGTGTTACTAACCATTATTGACATTAATTCACGAACCTTTGTATGTTTTTTGGTTTCTTCATAATCATGAATTTCATTCTTACTGCCCGTATACCTTGATACCACTACACGTTCTTCCCCGTTCATAGTGTGCAAGCTTTTGTTTGCCACGTCGTTTTCTTCATTTGGCTGTTCGTTTTTTTCAGTATGTTTTTCACCCTGTAGATGATTTTTTATTTTTATATCTAAATGAGTCGTGATATTTGTGATAATGCACAATTTCATGTTGTAAGTTGGTCACTAAACCTCACCTTATCTAATACCTCTTCGTTTACTTCATATTTCTTTATTTTACTTGCGACCTTTTCGCCGTTTTTCATATTTCCCTCGTCTTTTGTGTTTTGCTGCTTCTGTGCCTCCTCGTTCTCACTAAGCAGCTCTGGCGTGATGTGATTTCTCACGGTGACGTCATCCGAACTAAGCGGATCTATTGATGACCTGGAGTACGAGAGGTCTTCAAGTATGTCATAACTGTCCTTGACTATGCGTATACTTGATGAACTTTCCATTGGTCGAATTCTTTCCCCGCTGCTGTTACATTCATTAAGCATTTGCTCTTTGCCTTCTATTGTCAGGAGTCTTCGCGTAGCTTGCACGCGTGTATGCGTGTTTTTTCGTTGTGTGCGATTTTTGCACTTGAACTTGGTTGCCTTACGTACGTGAGTCGATCCACTCTTATGTTTCTTGCGTGAATTTGTATGTGATTCGGCGTTTCGTTTTTCAATAGTTTTACGTTTTTTTACTTTCTTTAAAATGGCGTCATCGGCAGACGCTTCCGGTATTTCATATCTTACATAGTGTTTGCTCTTGCGCAACAGATTGCGTGATTTACTGGTTTTCCAAGTATTGTGTCCATTAGGCTCACTTTTGAATGTGCTGTCTTCACTTTCTTTCGCACGACGTCGACGTGTGAACTCAAAGTTTCCTCGCACGACTGACACTTGTGAGAATGAGCTTTGCACCCTGTCACTGTCACATTCAGTTTGCATAGCGCTCAGTTCTCTCTCCTTAACTGTGCGACGAATTAATATGTCATTTTCTTTAGCGTCGAACTCTGAGAGGTTTTTTTGAACAGCGTATAACGTGCCATTATCACTTTCCTTGCTCTTTTCTCGCTGAAGTGAGTAAATGAATCAATTAAGGCTCTTTTCCTCTCATCGTAAAATGCTCTCGCTGGGAGCTTGCGAGTCTGTTCGTGCGATCAACAAATTTTGTTCAAATAATTTAACTATGCTGCAATTCATTGTCAGCTCGCTGTGAGTAACTCGCAGCTTGCGAGTACGTTTCGCGATGAGTGGAAAAGAGCCTTAAGTCGACTGCATTGAATAATAAAATATGCGTTTACTATCTTGGCATTAGGTGGCTACTCTAAGCTCCTCTGCTTTTTTCAGTCCTCTGCTTTTTCCAGTCCTTTTAAACCGTATACGGTTTACAAGAAATGCTAAGAAGTGCAGTTGTGTAAATATTTACCGTATCTTGATGATTATTGTTATCCATGTTGCGGTGAGGAGGCTCCACTTGTTCCAGGTTTCGTTCAATGTCATTTGCGAACGATAAGTCTGTCACTCCTTTAGCAAAATTATGAGAAATAACATTATCAAATGAGAAAGCACATTGTTCCATCTGTATCTTTTTACTTGATGATTTTAACCACACTTGACGGTTTCCCATTCTTTGTAATCTATACTTAATACGAGGGTTAACGTACCTGAGAAGTATGACATAGCGTTGAGTTTAGGAGAATTGACACTCGTGTCGTCATCGCTGTTCTCACGAGAGTTCTCGTCCAGGCTTGGAATACTGCTCTCGGTATCATAATCTTCTTCGAAGTCTTCGTAACTTACCCTTCCTATTTCGTTGCCTTCCTTAACTTTGCGATCCTAAAAATATTAATAGCGTTTAAGTGCTGTTTGATGAAAGAGTTGTATCATGAACGAATTCGGTTGTTACACTGATTATCTAGAAAAATATTTACTGCTGATATATAGTAAAATTACTTGTGCAACTTCTTGTGCTTTGTCTTCATTATCTGCATTGTCATCGGTTTCTTGCGTTTTGTAATCACTTTCAGTGTCTTCGTCACTATCAGTTTCATAATCGCTCTCTGTGTCATCACTTTCGCTAGTCATTGTCGTTCCTTGTGTGTCATCACTGTTATCATCATACTCTGTGTCTCTATGATTGTTAGTGCTAGTGTCTTCATTACCACAACTTCCATTGTCGTTTGTCTTCTTACTTAAAACTACCACAATGTTATCATTGTAATCCAAAGATTGATCGATTGCAGTTACGTTTGAAATGACAAAAATATTTCTGTTAGCGTTTGTATTCATTTTAGCGTTCTCTGTATTGTTGTCATCTGCCTGGTCATTACCTTTATTCTCATCGTCTTCTTTTTTACCTCCGTTGTTAATTCCCCTTTCTATTCTTTGGTTGCTCTTTCCTCCTGCGCTATATCTTTCTTTCGGTTCTCGGTCGTTCTTTTGTACGTTGTTAACACCCACTCCCTTTATTTGGTCTTTGATATCTCCATTGTTAACTTCTCTCTTCTTTTCTTGACCATTCTTTCCTCTATGACTAGCTCCTCTTTCTTTATTTATTTCATTCCCTTCTGCTCTATCCTCTTCTTGGTTGCACTGTTCTCCCCTTTTTTCTTTTTTATCCACTCTTCCATCTCCATCGTTTACTTTTTCTTTTTCCCGGTCGTTCTCACCCACATTAATAACTCGTTTTTTCTCTTTATCGTTTTCAGCTTTTTGGTTTTTTTCTTTCTCTGCACTCCTTTCTCGGTTGTGCTGGTTTTTATACGAGTAGTCCTCATTACCTCGTTTATGTTTGTTTTCTATCTTTTTGTAAATCGATACATTTCTGTGAAAACCATAAACAGCGGGACGTGTTTTTATGTTCTCGTGCCGACTGGTTGATATTCCTTCGTTGCTTGTGGTCAGCAGTGTCGAACTTTTTACTTTTGATTTATTTTTACTTACAATGTATTTCTCTTCTGGTTCGATTGCTTTTTCAGTTCCTTCGTGCAATTTACTGCTTTTTTCGTTTTCCTATCATGGAAAATTGTTCAAAATTAAGTTAAATGAGAATTCGCAATTCGCTTAATCATGAAGTTCATGTAGTTCCATTCGTAGGGGAAACATTGGCATGATCTTCCACATCATCTATGATGGGGTAATTTTGACTATGAAAAATTTAGGAACTTTTGTAAAGTTTTAGGACAACTAAACAAATTTTCTGGATGTAAAAACTTTACGTTTTAGGGTTGTGTCGCATGCCAAATTTCATGTAATAGTAATATAATAAGTTAAAATTACGAAATCTGTTAAACTAATTATGACTGAATACAGGGAAGATTATTATGAAGTGGCCTAGCCACTAGCCAGCCACACGTTTTGTCGTATTTTGCTAATATTTCGGTGTTTACTCGCTATAAAACGAATGCTATGATATCATTTTTCCAGAACCCAACCAAACACGGAGGAGGGGGAATATTAGGATATATTAGAGCATGATGTTCGAATATGTTTTTCATTCATTGAATTATTCATTAATGCTAAAGAGCACCATACATGATATATATATATATGTATTTGAAAATTGGTAACCCAGGCATATTATGATAATGATAAGGATTCTCTGGATTTTTTTTTATTTTTTTTTTGTAAATAATATATTCTTACATTCTGACGAAGGCTCGAAGCACCGAGTTGAAAGCTTAATAATAAAAATTTTAAAATAAAATCCAGAGAATCCTTATCATTATCATATATATATATATATTTGTTTTGCTCTCTTACCATTAATAATTAATAGTTCAGTAGTTGCTACATGAAGTGATAAGAATGCGTCTGAAGCGACATCATACGTGTGTTCAGTACGCATCGCTTGTGGCGTATTTTTTCCTAAAACCTTCTTTCAATTCATAGATACATTGGTGCTCATCACACGAGAAGTGAAATACAAAGCACCTTTAAAATGACCAGTTGGCAGTTGCATCAGATAATAGTCAAGATTGGTTAAATCTTATTGTTTTATTAAATAACTGACTAGATAACGAACGTTCGTCAGAGGAATTACTATAATGCAGTTGCCCGCTTAGCCCAGCTATAGCTATATTTTCGAGCACCCAAAAATGGCAGCATATTAGTTTATTAGTGCAGCAATATGTCTACCACTTTTGCAAAATTTAGCACTCCATCAACGCCAAAGCGCAGTAGGCCAAGAAAGGAGGAATATATAACAAGAGATAAGTTTAAAAAAGATGTTATTTCACATTTAGTCAAAAAAATCCACAATGGAGAAGTTAACACCATGCAGTAGACAAGCGCAAAAGCATGATTCTGCATTGCGCTCTCGGTCAAGTTTCGCGCGCAAAAGTCTGTCTATTGTAAACTGTGATGTTCATAGAAAAAAGAAGTTATTTGCACAAGTGAATAATAATTTTGTTGCTTTCGCGAGTTAATTGGTAGTTTTTATTGTAAAGAGGAGTCATCATAGCATCATCGATAAGGCACAAACAAATCCCATATCATTCAATATGTGGTCATCGTTAGGTGAAGTTTCACAAAAACTTCTCCCTTCACTCCCTCCCTTTCTCCCGTTGACTGTGCATGTACTATTTTAGTCTTAAAGAATTTTTATTTAAATTGTGTAAAATAATTCTTGTAATTATTTTGTAATTTGTTATTTTCACGTTGATGAACCGGCATGTGCTTTGACACATTGCCAATTTTTTATCCAAAAAAGAGTACTGATTCATATTACGTTATATGTCATGCACATAGAAAACAGAGCTCATCAGCCTCAGAACCTCCATTAGATCCTGATTTTGCTATAATTTAGCGGAAGCGATAAATGTTTAATACGAAAATTTTTTTATGGAAAAGTCTCTGAACCTGTAATCAACTGTATTTACGTTCTCTCGGCGGTTATTTAACTTATGCTTCAACTGTTTTTGTTCATAACTAAGGTTTGAACAACAGGCACCAGTCATCGCTGCATGAGCAAGAATTTTAGAAATTCCCGGCCATGTCTGTATAGTAAAATAGGCGCGAATAATTATTTATTAAGTCCTTGATTAATGATGAACGAACAGAACGATCAAACTGCATATGCAAGTGTCAGAACATCGAGATATGTGGATTAATAAACAATTATTGAATGAGGTTGTACATGGTATCAAGAATTATTCAGACCTCGGTAAACGTTATCCGCCTCAGCCATCATGCACAACCATATCCAGTAATAGTTTTATTATTCACTTCAACTAACTGAAATATTATTAAAACATATCAATATAAAACAATTTTCAAACCTTGGCTGATTTATTTTTGTCAGATAGTTTATTCAAGTTTCTTTTGCTCTAAATAAGTTGTAAATATGTTCAAAGGCAACTTCACCGAATGAAAAACGACATTGCTTACATAGTAAATAACAATAAATGATAATGGATTACAGCATGCTGCACTGCTTGGGTTTTATTTTGGGTCGTGAATTTAACACAAATAAAAAAAAATCCTTAGTTGTGAATACTGAATTGTGGAGTAAGTCGAGTGTAGACGAAAAATGAAACAAAATTCCGAAAATTCAGTTGGCAATGCCACCGTATACGATCGAATTACCACATTAGGAATGGAAAATCTCAATGGCGTCTTATGTTATGATTTAATGTTGGATTGGAACATGATCGTCAAGTCTTAATTTCCCTGTTCGTGACAAAACTAACAAGAAAATTATAATTCAATGACACATTTAACACCTCTTTAAGATTGTGGTAGTCATTTTCCATCTTTTTGTATTTTTCAGGTCTTTTCGTTTTCATAATCTCTCGTTTCTCCATTTCTGTTTTACTGTTGCATTCGGTTGATTGTCGCTCAAACTTCATCAATTAGATTGCTTCATCTCTGATTACCGTTTAGCAAAAACCTCAATTTTTATGTTCGTGTTTTGTATTTTTCACTCCGCATTATGAGCAATTACGATAACTCGAGTTAACCTGCTAATGACTTGCAAATTAACAACAATTTACTATATTTTATTTATATGTTAATGCGATAAGCACGAGATCTGTATCATTTAAGTGTGCTGTAGCAATGGCGTAAGTTAAAAATCGTGAATTCTGTAAAGATGTGGAAATATATTAGTGATGCACTAGTTGAAATAAAAATACTCACCGAACTCCAGAGATTGGCGACAAAAATTGAAAAGATAAACCGCAACGAGATGTTTTTTTTTTCAAACCAGTACTTTGCAAATATCCTCTATAAAAACCAGATTTTTCGTCTTTGATACTCGAAGTTGTCTCGATGAAATACGTTAGACACCATTTTTACTCCGGGTACCGGTAGGGTATACGAAGTTTTAAATTCGCCTGTGTTTTTTCTTCGGTGTCGCAAATTGGCAATTCCACAGTTAGCCCAATCGTCGCGCATAACAAATATCCACATTAGCTATTCTGTGTTGCTAAATTGCTATATCATTAAGGTTATCAAAATTTTAAAAAACAATTAACCAAAGTTTTTTAAAGTTTACGATTATGTTTCATCAGAATGATTACGAACTACGATAATACCACTAGACAAAGTATATTCTGCAACGCAGGCTGCAACCACAGTACCGATAAACTCGCCAGCTTGTGTCGAAACGAGGGTTAAGCCTGCAGCACCCGCGAGCTATCAGCTGAGCTAAAAATTACTCGTGCCCGTAAGCTCAAGCGATAGCTCACTGTGTGCGGAGGAATTTTACAGAGTTTTAAGGCTCATGCAACCTTGTCTTGCGTATCAAGCTTGTTTGATATTTTTGGCCGCGCGAGACAAAAAACTCACCGTTTTCGCTGAATGTGAGCTAGATGCTCACATATAACCAACTAAAGAACCAATAGCAATGACTCATGACCAAACATAAAATATAGGCCACCGCTACAAACGAATTGATGAGCGAGTGCACGTTAGACAAATTTAAGTCATTGACAAACTCGTTGACTTATGGCCAAACTACCCTGTGTGTTTGATGTTAGTTACATAATTATGGTGTGTTGGTAAAAAACAGACCATTGCTTTTGCTGCCTTTGTAGAAGTAAAACATTCTGTTTTAACTATTTCCTAGCTCTCGTGTAGGTTGTAATCCATCGTTGTCCATAGCACTATAGAAGTAAAACCTTCAATTGGTTGCATGTACATTGCTGTAAGTGTGGATTGTAATTCATGTAGTCCCGTGAAACTATAGGAGTATAACATTCATAAGAACGGTTGTTTGTTCAAATATATCAGGTGTCTGTTGCAATCCATGGTTGTCCATACAATTTATGGTTGAACAAAACTTTTAAACAACGTGCCGAATGTTCGAGTTTATGACTTAGCAGCCGGTAATTATAAAATGTTGTGTACAAAGTTTCATTCGTTCGAAATGTAAAGAAACTTTGCCTTATTTTTAATGAAATCGAACTCTTTGAATCATCAGTTGGATGTCAACTGCCTTTCGCAGTGAAAAAGCAGACTCGATCAAGGTATGCAAGCATTGGGAGAAGATCGAGACTGACAAAAAGATGACATGATCAGGACTTTGTCTTCCCATTTGCAAACAGATTTAGCTGAGACGATTCGTGCCAACGTCTATTCGTCAAAAAATCATTGCTCAAAGATTATGTATGTTCGGGACATTCAGGCTAAGCTGTTAGAATTTGCTTATCAGTTTAAAACTGCAGTTTGCGTTGATCAGAAGGAAGAAAAATTAGGGGCTCCTTGATTGGTTATCGTTTGCTAAAAAAACAATTCGTGGTCTTGCCAAAGAAGCATAAACATGAACTTTTTAGATTTTACGTTGTCTTAAAATGGAATTACAAATGATTTTGAATACAAGAGGTTATTGTTAGTGCCGATTATCCACTGTTCAATATGAACATGTCTGGTGATTGAAGAAAGTTTATTGGGTCTTTTAAGTGACTATCCAGTTCCTTTAAGAGTTCTAGAGAACTTGGATTGTCATTTGCCAGACCAGCCAGTCGTTTCCACTCTTCCACGTTGTTTTTTACATTTTCAAACATAAGCTCTGTGCAAGGTAGAATTTCTTGTACTGTACCAAAACACTTCAAACCCAATGCTGAGCAGAAATTTACCTTTAAAAAGAAGTCGCACAGTTACATCATTCGCAATTCTCTTGGATTGAGCGACTTTTTCTCAAGGGATAATGCTTCTTGTGAAATTTGTAGTAACCGTGAATTACCTCACCAAACCCCCATATCTGGTAAGCGCATGCGTGGTGTGGTCATGTTTTTCAGTCTACGTGTTAAATATTGTCTTTGTCTTACTTGTATTTTTGGCAGTTCGTTTCTCTTATCTCTGTCGAAAAGGGGGATTGGTTTGAGTCCCATGAGTTTCTCTTTGTCACCCTGAAAGATTCAGTTGGTTTTTAATGAAAATCGTAAATTAACATATTTCATAATAAACACAAGATGTTTCGCTTTCTTCCGGAAGTTTAGCACATTAGTCTAACGTCGCTTGCTCACTTGTTTATAAAACTCATCAAGGAGTTTCTTCACTGATTGTCTATGGATATTCCATGGTTTTCCTGTGGTGCAAATATCTGCAGCTGTTATAAGCAGATGTCTTATTAAGCATCTGAAAGATAAAAGAAACATATCTAACGTTCTCTATATATAACCGGAGTTAGACAATACGATATGCAAATTATTTAACACTTTCCTCTAGCAAGTAGGAAGAGAAGTTCCCTTGTATATTCTTACCGATGGTGGTCATTTTTCATGTCAAATTCTCCAGATTGTATTATCTTTTCGACTTCGATATGAGTTTCCAAAAATGTTGAGATATCAGTGTCCAATATTGTTTTTTTGATGGCTTCAATCACCTAAAGGCCATGATATTGGTAGAAGCACATGCTCAAAGTCGTGAGTTTAATGACATGTGGAAAATCTTGTCACTGACCTTGTCGTATTGGCTTTTTTCCATGTTTTTGAAGATGTTCAAGTCGTCATTCTTTATAAAATTTCAAATCGATGATGTCGTTATATTTTGGCTGTCATTGTAAACCATTATTAGACGTGGTATCTTTTGTAAAGAAATTACGCGTTTTGTCTTTATTAGGAGTAAACGAGTAAACGATATTTAAGCTTGAGTCTTAATATATTCTGATCTACCGTGTCATCAATCTCTCGAGATGAAACTTGAGTATATAGCTATAACTCAGTATAGCGCCTTTATCAGAAGTGATATAGCTAGTGTTTATACTCGAGTCTTCATAACCTTTGTGGCATGTGGTGTAACCTTAATCGTAAGTGTTTTTATGTTGAAACTCGGTTACGCAAAAAAATACAGTGTTGTGTCTAGTATTGGAATTGCTTCCTGTGTCAGAAACTTAAATCTTCGTGTACTGCAATATACCACTTCGTTTTGTGAGAAGTAATATGATGTTGGATGTTCCGTCGAAAAAAATTCAATCGCATCATACCTGTAAGAGATACAAGGTATGCTGCAAGTGATGCCGTTCCATTGTAGAAGTTTGATAAAGCCGTGCAATAGGAGATTTGACGTAATGGAGAAACTGATTGCTGTACCCACGATGATCCACGTCATGACATAAGCCTCCAATAAACATCCCTAGTTTCTATCGATAGAAGTATGACATCAGATGTGGTCAGTCGTCACACAAGTTCTTAATGAATCCAGTGGGATCCAACTACCTAATGGTTTTGTTATTGCGAACTATATTGACTTCACTAATTCCTGCATTAATTTCATACCTCGTTGTTCGTGAAAGCATCGTCGGTTTGCATAAAGACAAGCCAGAGTATGTGTGCAACTGAAAAGCCATGTGACCAATTATGATACGACAGTGGCCTGTAGTTCTTCTTGATTGTTAATATAAAACGTTGTAAGATGGTCCTATCGAAACTGCAAAAAACAGCAAATGTTTAACTTTGAGCAAGTACCTCAAGGAAAATAAACATTCCGATTTTGCAAGGTGTGCGTTCGATGGCAGTACCTTATTTCACAATGGTGCATTAAGTTTTCCGCCATGAGGATAGAAAGCTGCATTAAGTAGTCGTCATCTTGATATAAGTTGAAGTTGAAGCTATAAGAAAGTTTTCGGTGTGATGAGGTATCTTTTAATAATACGACCGTTCTGGAATACTATAGTATTCTTACCAAGACAGGTACGAAATTAGTTAAATTAAAATTCCACTTTTTTCAAAACGTCAAATTATTGAATATGTTATAAAGAAAATATTTTACGAAATGAAATGATGGTAATTTTTCTACGCATTGTACATCTGTAATTTTACAGCTAGGCGACGAATTGTTAATATTTCTAATCTTCTGCATTTACATCTGTATTGAAGTACATGTTCTGCTGGAAGCACTAAAGTGGAAGTTCTATTCACAATCATATTCCATAAAAATTTACCCAATGGTTTTTACTTCCATGTTTTTTCAACGTACCTCCATAGATCATCGGGTATGATCGAAACTTGGTCAAAACTAAGGAATATCGACATCTCGCTTTGTGACGCTACACCTTGAAAGGATAGAATGTCCAACGCAACCAAATGTTTCTGTTGCGACACGAAAAAATGACCGTGTATCTGTATTTCGATATAAATGGATTTGATGTCAAATCATTATTTCTTATTTTTAGCATGATGGATCTGTTGTATAGTACGCATGCGAAGAAAGAGGCGAGGGAAAAAATTGTGTGCCTACTAAGTTGACGGCCATTGCCCAAATAAGAAACTTTAAGCTAATAAAAAATGCGTAGTATAAATGAAAGTCCAAAGAACAGCCATAAACCCAGCAATAGGCGAGATCTCAGTTATAAAGAGCAATGGGGTAGCTTGCTGGATGATTTGGGATGGAGTAAAATTTAATATTCATATATGTATTTTATATAATTCCTAAAAATCAATTGATTTTAAAGGAGCTTATATAATGGGGCGAAACGTGTGTGACATTTATTACATTTGCTTACAATTTACGTAACTTTGGAAGTCTTCTACCAATTTCATGTTGGCCATAAGCATACGCAGTAATTGTAAATCAGTGATTAGAAATTTAATATTGTACCTGTGAATGTCGTATGGCCAGACCACAATAACCAGCAAACAAAAGGAAGGCGTGCTCATCTACATTCATACAGAAAACGCCCAACTTTTTAAACTGTGTTTGTTAAAATTAGGAAATCCTATCATTAATTTAAAAGGGTTGAATGATATACCTGCGGGCGTAAAGATTCCTTTGCGTTTATTGATCAGTTGAACAACTCCTACGACTCTGAAAACAAGCAACGTCCAAACATTAAATCAATTGCAATCTTACCTAATGCTGTCCTTACATTGACTTTACATTCCCCCCTTCAACTTTCCGAGAATTGGTTTCTTAACAACTGTACACATCAACAAGTACTTGCTTTTTTCATGGTTGACCAAATGTCACTTAAAGGCTCTTCCCGTCCCCATCCCCATTCAAAAATTGTTGCCTTAACAACTCTAAGGATCATTGACAACCGCATGCTATTTTCCATTGCTAACAAAACATCACTCAAACACTCTCTCACCATTTTCCAAAAATTGAAGCCCAAATAACTCAACATTCATTTTGCTGTGTATTGTAGCCTTTATTCATATTGGCTAACCTGTCTTTGCACTTCATTGGCCCGCAGAGAATGGTATGTGTTGTGTAGCCAGTTCGTATATCGACTTCACGATTGAAACGTGGGTCGGAGTAGGCATCTCTGATGTTCAGCAATTTTCCTGTTTTAGCCACGTATCCCGAGATACCCTTTTCTGCGCTAAATCTATGGTTGATAACGTAGGAACGATCACGATCAATCCATTTTCACGTCAGCCGATTGAACGAGTTATTATCAAATATTAGCTTGAATATTTGGTTGAGTTGTAGGCTTTTTACCAGACGTGCAGAGCAAAAACATAGGGGGTTTTTTGGTACCTTATTTCCTTTCCTTTTAAGTAGATGTCGTTTCCTTTATCATCACATTTCCCTTCATCAAAGATGTCTGCGTGCAATTGATTCGTCTTCTCGTCTATAAGGAACATCGCGCATCTGTCTGCCTCCACCAATTTCTTTGCGTATGACTATAACAACATTGCAAAGCCGTCATTTTCTTTCGTTTACGACTAAAATGGATTTTGACGACTGCCTATTTCTTTATTGGTAATTTGACAGGTTTGTTCTTAACTTCATTATTCATTCATTTTGTATGTTATTTTGCCATTGACTATGCTTTACAATCCTTCACTATCCATAATGTTCTATACCATCCTAATTTTTCTATGCTATCCTATATTATCACACGCTATCGTATTCTAACCATAACGTTCGAGATTACACCATCAACAGAATTCTCTTTGTCGAACAAGGATCTAAAGAAAATGTTTTGAAGATTTTGTAACACTGCAGTCTAACGCGTGGGAGACATCTTAAAAAGTTGGAAAAATCAATGCATATATATTGTTTAAAAAAGGACGAGGACATAGAAAAATCAGGAAAAAAATAGAACACATGGCAAAAACTTGTTCTGTATTTTATGATAAGTTATTCGTACCTAATTACGTCCAACAGAAAGTTGTGAAGATCATTCTGCCTCTCCATTTCCTTATAAATCTACAAAGTTTTAGAAATGGAAATGGGTCAAGTCGTCTATTAATTTGTTTCCGACTCATTCTTGTTCACCTGAGCATAATGAAGTGATATTCCTCCCCAAGCAAGATAACTTGTAGCTATCTAAAATCAAAATATGACTTCAGAACCATGCAACCTAAGGATGAGTTGGCAGTACAAAAAAAACTGTATGGCTAGAACCTCTACGTGTTCTGGTTCAAATGGAGCGTTTCCTAACTCGCGTATCAACTCAGCAACGCCTGTGTGATAAATTCACATTATTAAGAGAAGTCTCTTCCTAAGACAATAAGGTTATACTAGTGTAAGTCTCTAAGTCTTACCTACAAGTTTGCCATTTGATTGTACGATTGGTTGGCAAATCACTGATTGGGCCATAATATCTGATTAAACAAAGGAGTTTTTCCTTGCAGTTTTCAAGCCGTATTTTATTTACATTCATAAACAGCTCACAGCTGTGTCTTACCCTCCATTCCAGTTCCATCGGGAAATCGCTCGTCCTTAATAAAAATGTATGAGAACCATGTGTAAAAATGTCAACAAACAAAGGTGGTTGAAAGCACGATTTTTATATCGCTAGTTTTGTCGGGCAATCAGTAGCTTGTCCGAGAAGAAAGTGTGTGGGAGCATTGAGTTGGGGAAATTTAAACGTAAAACATTACTTACAAAGTACTCTACAAAATTTTACGTAAAAAGGCGATTTTTGCTGAGATATCATACAAAATTACACCACGTCTTTTTGTCGGGCAAATTAAATGTTACGCCACTGATAGTAAGAAAAATGAAGCGACTTTACTCATCCAAAGGCATCATGAATGCAATATGATGGAGAAAGCGACCATATTGGTGTTGATCAAATTATTTTCATTTGTTACAACAACACGTCTGAGTGTGAGAGATAAAAACGGTGTGGCTAACCGTGGATAACCGTTATTATCCACTACGTAAGAAATGTCACTTTTGATTGATCAACTGCCTGCAAATAATTCTCGATATCTGTAGATATGACGTCATATCTACAGATAATAGTTTCTACAATTATGGACGCCAGTTAAAAGCCGGTCTTGACAAGAAATCAAGCAACAGCGATGTTTGCCATATTTTCTAAAAACAATGTGAAAACTTTTAAACAAAAAGGATGCGAAAAACACTAAAAAAGTGGCGAAACTGTTTTGAACATATTTTTAACACATTTAAACGAGACGAACTTCAATAAAAGCCCTCGCGCAAAAACGAATCAGCGAAGGTTTAAAAAATGTTTAAGTTGATATTTTTCAATAATATTTCAGTGAGTTAAGTGAATAATAAAACAATTATTGAACTCGGCTTTCGAATAGAATAAAAAGATAGATCGAAAACCTACCCCAAGTATGTCTTGTGTGTAGACCTCCGACAATGTTGCTGCTACATAAGCGCATATTGTTGAACCTTCAGTTATTTCCCTCTCGTTCACGCGGGTTGTTCTAGGAATTTTATCATTCATTAAATAAGAATATCCTTTTTAGAAATATATCACATAAATTATACTGCAATTTTCATGATTAGCATATATGGCTTGGCCGTTTAGGTCTATTGCACGAAAATTGATAGTTCCTTCCATTGTTTGAAAAAATCGAAACATACAGCTTAAACTGGCGAATAAATAACACATAACCTTAGACTGCAAAAGAGGAACCAACTTTTATTATTTTTTAATAAAAATCTTGATTCAAATTTCAAAGTGCCGCGGTATTTGGGCTTTTAAATAGCTAATCATTTGTTTAATTACACGAGCGTCCAAGGCAAAATTCTCTGAAAAAACTACATTTCTTTGCGTTAGTTTTTTACAATGGCAAATATTTCAAAAATAAAAACCTTATGTTTGAAGTGCGATACAACGTTTGAGGTACAATATAAACCTAAACGTTATAAACTGTTAAGCGTGACTAGTGATCGAAAGTCTTGTCGTTTATGGCCTCAAAACGCACGCAAATTAAACCACAAAAATGTGTCTTTCCCGTGACATAGTACATCGCAAAGTAACTATTGTATTTCCATACCTTTGGTTTTCATCTTCGACATGAAGATATATTTCCTGTAGTAAGTGAAAAGAACAAGCTCGGATTTAACGAATCATGTCAAAAGACTGACTTGGTATTTTGCTAATTTTTTATTGCATGCAAATCATAATGGGACACAATGTGTAGGCCTTTTAAAAAATACCATAATATTATATATTTCAATTTTCGGTAAAGGAAATAGGTGTTCTTTACAACGAAAATAGAAACAAAGCCAATATTTGATTTTTCATTTTTCGATTTACAATTCTCGTTCATACTTATAGACTACAAAATCAGCGAATTGAGTGAAAAAAGCACCTCTGCCAAAGGGCATTTTATGTATGTTGTAAGGTTTAATGTACGCACAGTTTTTCAATTTTTTTTCATCGTCATGTTTGCATGTTCCCTTTTGTGATGTATAAATTATATTACCGTATGATCTCAGAAGCACCAGATTGATTAAGCATTTAAAATAAACGACGAATTTTTTTACGATAAACATGTTTCGACTTACATTAAGTCATCTTCAGTATGAGGCTCAAGATGACTTAATGTAAGTCGAAACAAGTTTATCGTAAAAAATTTTGTCGTTTATTTTAAATGCTTAATCAATTATATCAATTTGAGAGTAAACATGCCGACATAAATGTCGCTAAAAAGATTTTTTACAGTTTTAGAAGATCCATTATATTATTTAATGTGTGTCATAAAGCACTAAAATTTAAGAGTACAGTCAAACAGTTTCTGGACAGACATTAACACTTCGTTGACTTTTTTACATGAGCATATCAGCAAGCAACTTCTCTCTATTACATTGCAGGCATTACTAACAGAATTTACCTTTTCATTTTTGCTGACAAGATAAAGAGAAAACCTGTCAGCATGCGTAGCTGAAATGTAAGAATGACGAGTTACGTTGAGTTACAGACTCAAGAGACATTTATTCGATGATCACTTGCACCACAATGTCCTACCCGATGCAATGCATTTGACTAGTTCATACATCACTTTTGACTTTTTTGAATGATTGTGAATTTCCTGCGTCAAATGCTGCAGTGTCTTTTTCTTGTCCGTATGAACACAAAACTAAAAAGAAACGTACAAATTGTCAAGTTGCCACGCAGCCAAAGAAAGGCATTTGTCCAACATCACACCTTGGCTGTCGTGTTCATAACCAGTTAATTCGAGACAATGTTTCACATTTCAAATTTAACAATTCAAAGGTTTTGTTCTTGCTTACCTTCCATCTAGATAGAGACGACAAAGAATCTAAATATGTTGAATAAATCATTTGTTATTTTGTTTTTCAGGATTCGCGAATTCAAAGAATGTATTCAAGTGAATGTAGAATTTTGGTGTAACGAAGTGATTTGAAATAGGTATGATTCAAGAATGGAGTTGGACTTTTTTATTCTTAGTAACTCAGGGATGGATTTTGGAAAGGGGTGCACACCCCCTATAGCCTTGGCTAGAATCATATAAAAACATCCACTGAAATCAAATCCAAGCTAGACGTACTGACTGACATCCCCCTTCCCCCACAAAATCATCCAGAATCCATCCCTGTTGTAACTTAAGATTTTTTCACTGTCGAATCTTGTCGGCGAGTATGCACTATTAATAGTATACCAAGCAAAAGATTTGTTCGTCAATTCAATCTCGTAGTTTACTAAAGCAGTAATAACCAATATTCGTTGTATAAAACGGAGCTCGACCGACTGATATGAGTTCTGCTTGTGAATCACAAGTAAAAGAAAGTTAGCCAGAAGAATAAATCGTCAAAAATATGGCTTAGAGCCCTAGATTGACATGTATCATTGCGATCTCTTTGCACTCTTTTACTGGCTAACTTTCATATTACGGACTTCATATCATGAAATTTGAGCAATCTCTTACTTCCATTTTCATTTGATTCCTGGGCATGGATTTTTCTGATCAACCATTTCTCGAGTTGTTCTCTGCTCACCGAATCCATGATATAGTTTTCCAAGACTTTAGGGTTTGCGTTCAGATAATCGATCATTTCTATCATTTTCAATTCTAAAATGACATTAAATGAAATAAGATAGTTAAATCGATGAAATTTTACCAGTACAAGCCCGTCACAAAAACATGCCCAGGACAGAAGAGAGGCTTGGTTTTATGTTGGTAAATTGGCACAGAAAGATGTTAAACCTACGCTTGTTATCCAGGCCAGAGAAGCTAGTTGTACGGATATTGTCTGAATTCATGAGGGCCTCGCGTTCTTCAATCTCTCGGTTTGCTTTCGTCAGAGTTCTCCCACGTGCATTGTGATTTGGTAATGGCAGTAGTCGTCTATTGCTGACTTGCTTCGTTGGGGATGACATGAACTTTGTCTTACAGCCTCAAAAAGGAGGTGAAAAGTCCAAGAAGTTCAAAAAAGATTGCGTCATTTTCTTATTTCTGCCTAATTGAGAATTCAATTAGTGATGTCACCAATGTTTTAATCGACCGAAGGACCGAACGCTTTGTCTCGCTTTTTCGGCAGTATCGGGTATATTTTATTATCGAACTACTTCAAAACTATCGAACCAAACTCAACTGTTTGTTTGAAAAATGGCGTATTTGAAATAGCTTATTAAAGCTATTGAAGAACGTTAGCTGCATTGGCAGCCTCTGCCTACTAACAATGGTTACTAAGCGACTGTTTCCGAGTTATGACGACAGTGTGCGATAGTTTTCCGCATAAATTATGATAAACAACATGGTCGATAAAGCTGTTGTTAGGAGATGAAAACGTTCATTGCTATCCTCGAATATTACTTTGAAAGGCCTTACGGGAAAGATTGATTGGTCAAAAAATGTGCGAGCAATGGACGTGCGACGATAGAAGTAAAATATGCTTTTACAAGGAGCTTACTCGTATCTTTTTATGCGATTGCGACTGTACGATCATATCATCTTTATTTACATTTAAGTATCGAAATGTAGGACGTCCTATTTTCAAATATTTACTGACATTGTTTATAATCTTATGCTATGTTGTGTTACTGTTAAGATTTATTACTTTTTTTCGAATTGAGGTGATATAACGTTCTTACTTTTGTTAAAATATCACAGGTCGCTGTGTATATTATGATTTTATTCACGACGAGTTTTTTATTCTGATCGTGATAACTAGCCTTTCTAAACTTAAATGCCATTTGATTTGGTGCTTAAAGTACTTTTTAAATCAAACCACATTAAACGTTACATTTCTTTGGTACACTGAATTTCACAATGTAAAATTATGTTAGTCTTCACTCTGATAAAAGAATGTATTATTGCTTTCAATGTTAAAAGAAATGTTTAGCTTGTGAATAACCTAGCTGTCCTAAAGCACATTTAACTGTGCCGAGCATAACATCTGTAAACTAAGAAGTTATAAAACATCATGTAACACTTGAACATTGCAACAGACTCTTCAAAGCTATACCTTCCTCTTACTTAACATTTACACAATATCAAAACATGTGAAGCATGCTACTTGCTGTTGAATAAAGCATGATTGTCTTGATTTGTTGATATGCAATACTTCATTTTGGAGTAAAAGAATGTTTGTGGATCCTTGACCCTCTACAAAGTACTAAATACCGAGCTGTCCTTCAAAAAAGACTTGATAATCAAAAAGACGAAGAAAGACAACAGTTCAATGTAAAGTTAGCAAAGACAAAAGAATTGTCACTAGATACTAACAGGAGGAGAAGGTAACCAAATAATGGAATTAATTTCTTTGATTGGGTTTATGTTATTTCATGGTATATTAATCACACAATCACAGGCTTCATTTATAGTCCAATAGTATGACCATCCTGCATGTTTAGTCTTAATATGGAAATTTAAGAATATTATCATCAGTTATTTCTTTCAAAACCTAATGTTTTCACAATGTGTAAACACTACTATTTTCATAGCATGAAAATTTCTATTATCAAAGTAAATAAACAGGGCTGCATGTGCTGCTAATATAGACATGACAAGTGACATTGTACTACCAATCGACGGCTAAATTCTATGTATATCGTATTTCTAAAACCTTCATTTTTTTGCAAATATACGTAGCCGATTTGAACCGTAACGAATTCTTTATCATTTACGGTAGAGCGTTGGAAGCAAGGCGAAAAAATTATGAAGAGGAAGAGGAAAGGATTCGACAAAAAATACTCGCTCAACGCAAGAAAGAAATTCAGGAAGCCACTGAAAAATTCCAGCGCTCAAACGTCATAAGAAGTGGTAAAAGGACCGTAAGACAAACCAGGACCATGCCTGCGTCAAAAACATCTTTCAAACATCCCTACAACCGCACTCTTTCTTCTGCTAAGTCTCCCGATATGGTGAATAAAAAACCATATTATCCATCAGTTGAAGAAGTTATGACGCTATTAAATGCAGATCGTGAAAAGTTAGATATGAAGGTTTCTAGAATTCCCGACAACAAATCACACGTTTTGCATGAAGAGGCTATGCAGGAGAAAGTAGATGTGGAAGCGCACGAACATGAAAAACTTCGTAGCGAAGTTGTTGGGCGTGTTGAGCCGAAGATAGCTTTCGAATCGGAAGATATTACTGCCGGTGTACTGCCCACTACCATTCAAGATGGTTCTCGTTCGGAAAGCTTGTCTAGTCTGGATAGTCTAGATGTATTGCCTGACAAAGAACTAGAGCAATTTCCCGAATCCACTGGTACTCCTCGTTGCACAAGCACTCCTCGTTCCACAATCACTTCCGTTGGTATCATTCGCCAGGGAAGTAATAAAACGAGACAAGCAACTCGTGTCACCTTTAAAGAACACGTAGAATATAGTGATGGTATGGTTGGAAATTTGAAAGGATTGCAAAGATCTGAAATGCTCAGTGATCCGTCTTTAATTCCTAACAAGATGTCCTGCTTTGGTTTACCGAACGGCAACACTGAAGAAAATGACAAGCAGTTGTTGGTGAAGGGTGATGGTTTGGGATCATCCAAAGATAGTTTAATCCTTAATCGTTATTTATCGAATAAGACTTATGATACAATGATCCATCCTCAGACTGTTTCCACTCAAATGGACAGTTCACACAACAAGCTGGGAGTCGGCGTTGCCACTGATAAATATTCAGGATCCAAAACGTCAAAACAGAATACCAATGTTACACCTGTTTTACCTGATACTCGTGGGGGGAATAGTGATGCACAAGAATATACAAAGGTTCCACGTGACGACATAAACAGAACGTTGAATCAAGATTGCGGTGGCAACCTAAGGAATGAGATCTATCAAGACGCTGATGTTTCAAATCTTAAAGTTGTTATGTCTCTTCAGGGAAATGAATATGGCAGTGTACCAGTAACAGCCGTCGTTGCTGGCTCACAGGATGCAACTCCTTCGTCTTTTTCTTCATTAAATGCATCAATGTTAAAGGACAGTCTAGAAATGCACAATGATGTTATTAAAAGTACCGGCAAAGAAATGAAGTCCTCAAAAATTACTGTTGGAAATAGAGACACGAAAACGACATCTTCATTGCAGAATGGAAATGCGGAGGGTGAAATATTTAACGATTTAAGCCGACAGTTTGATATAAAACCTGATGTTCCCCTCGTACCTGTAACAAAGACTGATTTCCTCTCGAAGGCTTTGAGATCCAGCTGTAGGCAGGAAGAATCGAATCGAACAAATGTGTTGTTCGACAATTTAAGAAATCGTGATAAATATGAATCCTCTAATGAATATGAAACAACGCGAAACGAACGTGAGTCGTATGCCCATGAGAATAATTACGAAAGAATGATAATTTCTCCACAGAATAGCGAGAACTATTGCCAAAAAATTAGCATACCTGTGCAGAATGCTGGGAACAATAACCAAAGAATCGGTGTCTCACCACAGAATGGTGAAAACCAGCATCAACGAATCGGTGTCCCGGCACAAAATGGTAAAATGCATGATGAAAACAAATGGTTTGTTGATAGAAAGCAAGTGCAGTCCGGTCAATCTTACGCCAGCTCCCATGAAGAAAAGTCTATGAAGATTAATGGCGGACTTCCGCCTCGCCCCACTGCAAATTCTAAGCAGACAAAGACTGAATCCAGGAGTCGTCAACATATGAGACAGCATAGTACGGTTCGTGTGATGGCAAACCGTAAGGCTGCTCATAAGTCGTTATCAAGCAACGAGAGGAAAAATTTTGCGTTGAGAAAACCTGATGCAGCAGATGAGTTGTTGAAAAGTGTGCAAGAAGATATTGAACGTTTAAAGATGATTCCATTACAACCTAATGCTGTTGTTAAGACCATTTCAACAACGAAGGCAGCCCTCTCTTCAAATGGAGAATACGAAAGGAAGTCCAGTAGTGAGACAACTGGTTCTCAACATCAGGTACATAAGAGAGTTGAAAACAAGAGAAATGATGGTGTCAGTATCAAACGGTTTCATGCAAATGATTCGGATACCATGATGGAAAATGCTAGAAGTAGGTCAAATATCACAAGTGTTAACGAATCTAGGCATCGTAGTGGAAATTGGATTGATGACGAAAGTGATCTTGCAAGTCGTATGCCGCAACACAATTATGTTAATAAACGGAACTCTAACGCGAACTGCACCGTTGGTGCGGAGCCATCGTATGTTGGTACTCAGAAACAGGATATTTCTTCAAATATAAGATATAGTAGATTTGATAAAAAGCAAAGAATGAATAGCGAAGGGCTTCGATTTCTCGACAAAACTCCAACCGATGAAGAAATCAATAATCTGTGGGAGACAGTGCGTACATGCTTGAAGCACGAGCAGCCTCAAAAAGCTGCTTCTGATTCCGTAGTAAATAATGTACGTTATTCTAGGTCAGAGAATGGTTCTTTGGTTGGTAATCATTATTTAATTGAAAATCAAGCATGGGGTGTGAAATCAAAGGATGTGAGTGATAATGATAGCCAAAACTCAAGACGCTCGTTGAATGCTTCGTTTCATCGGCAGGGGTCTTTAGATAATTTTCAACGCCGGGGCTCAGATAGATATACGCCCCCTAGAAAAGCCTCTTTGCTTCATTATCGCAGTAACACGAATGAAAGAAAGTTGAGTGCTCGGACTTTGCATGTTGGGCGTCCTCCGATCAATTCACAACAGCAGTATTTGCGTACACTGCCATCGCCATCGAGAAGTTCTCGAGGGCCAATGAAATCAAGCAGTAAGAAAACAGACGAAACTGCTCAGCTTTCTTATGCTGAATTTCAAGCTGTGATGCATGCTTCTGCCGATATAAAAAACCGAAATGTGGACAGTGGCCATCAGATGAACGTTCGGCCAAATATACACCAACCAGTCATTTTAACTCACCGTAAAGGTAATATTATCACTGCTGTCTTTATAACTGCATTCTACCATTTTCGTTGCCTGGCATTCGCGTCTCCCCTTTGATATTCTTTGTTACATTGTTCGATATCGTAGTGGAAATATTTGAGTTGAACTTAAGCCTTCGTCTGTCTTGATACTTGATGCGCAGATTGTCTTCTTTTCTAGAGCCTAGCGCATTATCAATAGAAGAGAAGAGACTTCTCGAGTCTCTTGATCGATTAAACGAGCGGTTGAAAGGTTTGTTTTTAACTAGTTCGCCAAACTTTTATTACTTACATTTAATCTCTTTTTATTAACATTTAAACAATTTTTCTTTTTTTCATTAAGTTCAAGAAGCTTTTGCTGGAAAGGTTGATAAGATACCTAGGAACGTTGTAAGTAATACTGTCAAGGTGCAGAACCTTGTTGAAATTTGACAGTAGCTACATCGAAGATATTGCTTTAGTACATACTTGGACGAACATCTTCTATTTCAGGTCACGCCATTCAATTTTTCACAGCAATCCAACGATTATAATTTTAACGGCAGCACCAGATCATTTCGTGACAAGCATCCACATAATTCTTCAGCAATGCTGAACAAAAGATAGCCAAATCCACGAAGATGGGATGCTTTTTAACACCTGTTTTTTGTTGCTGTTCTCACAGAGAAAGAATAGCATCATTTTCACTCGCTTTTGAAATTGTAATAATAAAAAAGAATCTAAGACTTTAATCGAAATGTAATTTTATATCAATTACTGTACAACCCGCCATGCTCTGCTCATAGAGCATTCTTAAAAAATGCTTGTAAATAGATTTAAATGTTGTATAACATAAATATATTTGTATCGTTAGAAAGCAATGTAATTAAAGAAATCGCAATAATAGTAAGCATCTTTTATAAAAATTTCGTTGTTTTGTGGCAGCTGTAGAAAAACTGAAACTCGAACATAAAGAGCCTGTCGGGTCCTTCATGATCATGAAAAATTAATTTTTTCTTGCTTTAATACAATGTGTTTGAGCCAAAATGTACAGTATGTACAAAACAAGTGTTGCATATTATTCAATTTCAGTTTTTTGTAATCCTTATTGATAGTTACCAGCAGTTACTACCGTGTGTTTTCTACAAAACTATTCAGAATGTAAAGCTCGGGTTTTCACCTTGCAATTTGGTATAGGGTTACACCAAGTATTGCGTGAGAAGGACGTGCGTTTTCGAACGGCATGATTTATTCATTGCAGTTTGCACCATTGCAAAAGTGCAATGTCATTGATAGCTGTAAGAAATTTTCAATAAATCCAAATATAATTCGACCATTTTCAAGGGAAGGTTTAAACTGAAAGATTAATATCTGTGATGTGGCGTTGCCAAAGGAGTTTGAAGAACTTTAAAAGCCGTTGTGGTCATGTGTTATGGCCCAGAAAGTACGATTCGTGTGAATTTTATTATTATTATTATAATAAATTCTTTGTCGGTAAATTAACTAGATTTGAATTTTTTTTGCTTATAATTTCCTTAGATGTTTTTACACAAATGCAACTTACAAGCAAAAAGAAAAGTTGAACATCATTCAAACAGCAAGTAAGGAATAGGTGCAGCTTCTGCTAAAAGAGAGTTAGTCAGTTTGAGCCTTATGGTCCATTAATTGTCATATGTTTTGGTTGCTTGTTAAGTCATGGTAGTTTATCACAGAGGCAGTTTTTTCTGGTATGGAGAGTGGGAGGGTTTGTAATGGCCACATGCTTCGTTGTTTATTGAAGAGCTTTTGGAAAGAAAGTACTTACTGTTGTATTAGTTTTTAAATGAAAACAACATTATTGCTTCTACTTTTGAGTGTAACAATAGAAACTTCTAATATGCTTTATAAAACTGCAGAAGTCTTGCACAGATGTATTTTATCAGATCCACACAACTTCATAATGCATTGCTGATGTCATTTAGACCATCGTAAACAGGAATTTTACATGCACAATAAACAAGTGATGAAATTTTATTCACTTACATACATTTATTGTCAGGTGAATTAAAGCCTGGTCAAAAAGTTCTTGGTTACACTGTTGAAAAGGTAATATCTTTTCTTTTGTGTTATGTGTTGATTATTTTACTTACTGGTACCTTAACCTTCCTTTGTGAAATCCAAAAAGATAATGGAATTTGAGGAGAACAATACATCCCTAATTTTTTAAAGCTGTTTTCATTTCCAGTGACCAAAATTTGTCAATTCTTGACTTGCAATTCAGCCATGTTGGTGGTGTGATACAAAAGAATATTTTATCAGTGTGGGCATGCAACATTGTTTGGGAAATCTCAAGAGAGTGGTTGTCAAGAATAAACAATTGGTTATAGGCTTGATGAATCTTGCATAAGGCTTATAACAGTAAAATTTTTAAGCATAAATGTTGATTGCTCAGTTTAGTGTAATTCTCAGTATTTGTGTTGTCTGATCTTTTTAAGTTCTTAACAGAATAACACTTTGAAGATGACTGCTCTTAAGTATGTCAAAATGTTTGTTAACTCCAACACCAAAAGCCTTCTCGGGATTGCACTAACCTGAACTTATTTACATGAACAAACATAAAACAAATTTCCAAGCTCAAACTATTCACTTAAAATTTTGTGATTATGAAATTAGCAAAGCCTAGCTGGCAGAATCCAAAATGATTTAAAATTTAAGATGGAAATGTTTTTGTGGTTTTACTGTGTTTTATTCAATGTTGAAAACATCTTCAAGTCCGCTGGAAAAAACTGGTACCCATGGGCTTCATACTACAGACCAATTGTATTGAAAATGGAAAAGATAAATACTAACATTATTTTTCCAAATGGTCATTTAACACCTGAATCCCACCATTGCTCCCATTTTATAGAGCTGAAGTGGTATTCTTTGATTTTACTTAATTTTCAGGTTGTACCAGTTCCTGAACTTTACTTGGTTTCTGTTAAACTGAGTCACGATAAAACTGGTGCAGAGCATCTTCATGTTGCACGAGACGATCCAAATAATGTGTTCTGGTAAGAATGCATGCTTTTAGTTATTGGCTAGATTGATTTATAAATCTATTGCGTGATAGGAGTTCATGAAAATGATAGTGTTGTGAAATACGTAGCTATATATATAGATGTCATTAATTGTCTTAGAGGATAGTTGTCTCATTGCATGTGCAAGGTATTTACGATCATTTTGTTAGAGTTGCGTGGTACCGGAAATTTGATCACGGTTTTGGTTTCGTTTTTTTTTGTTTGTTTTTTGTGCGTATAAAACCTCAATTTGCCCTTTACTTGCACGTTTCAGCGTAAGCCATCGTATGTTTTGTATGTGTTTTCGCAGACATGTGACATTACCATGTACTGCGCTGATTGCTTTCTGGCACACACTGCGCACTATGTCTTCCGTCTTGGTGTTTTTGCCTGTGAAATTGATTGTTTACTTGAGAAGGTAATTCCAGATAAGACAGCTGTAGTTGCCACAAAATACAGCGTTACGATATTTAAACTTGAAATAAGCTAAAGTTAAATTACATTAACCAATCATTCTTTGAGCATAAGTCGTTCCTCTTTTTACAACCATGTATCAAAAAACGCATAAAACAACAAATTTAACAACTATTTTTTTTAAGAATAGCATGCAAGTCATTCTCAAAGATAAATTCTACAATCCCATGGACTATGTGTTCGGCAGAAAAATAGCATGTGTTTTTAAATTTCTTTTCTTAAGCTATACCAGAAGCAAATAATCGCTATATAAGACAACCAAACAACAAATTTGAATCAATAGCATTCTACTAAAACCATTAGATTTCTCGTTCTCGATTTCCTTTATGTAAATATTGATACTGGCTTCGTCTTCATGAACTATCACCTCATAGATATCTCATGCTCGCCATAAAATTGTTGAATATTTTCTTATCAGTGTTGGCTTTCGTACGACTCCAATGGACAACACTGGTGTTTCTCATATCCTTGAACATACTGCCCTTTGTGGCTCAAAAAAGTTTCCTTGTCGTGATCCCTTCTTTTCAATGCTCACAAGATCATTGTCAACATTCATGAATGCTATGACAGGTACAGCTCAATTGTCTTACATTTAAGTATTAACAGCTATGGGCTTACAAATGTATGAATAGCAGCAGGCTAAGTATGCTCAAGCCTAAAGTACCAGTCTTTCTAGTGGCCCGTGGTATCTAGACATAATTTGTGTTTAGTTTTTTATTGAGGGAAAATGGTTTTCATACTATCTACTGTTTAAATGTGTGATCCTCAGAGCTCAAACTATTGGGTTTTCCCAGTTCCCTCGACCATGTCAATGATTTTCAAAATGTCGTTGGAACTATATTGTTTTTGTCTATTGTTTACGCTATGGTTTACAAGCATACGTCAGGAAATAAAAAGTAAGGGAACGCAAGGAAAGCAAACATCGTCAAGAGACTGAAATTTGTCTTAGTCTGCAGACCTCGTAACTTATCCGCCCCTGGCTATAAATGCTTAAAACATTGGCTATGCACATATATTTCATTTTATTTTTAAAAGCACAAAAGTCATTTTATTTGTGTGAAAATAAGTGGGCAAGTCGTTGGAGATTTCAACGTTTGACCTACTGCCATTGATTATAGCCCCCGTGCGATCTTTTACTCGTACAATGCAAGTTTTTCAGAAAAATTGTTAATTTCTTTAGAATATAAATTCCATTCATTGTTTTTCCATTATTCGAGTACAAATGATTTACATTGAAGGAGTAAAAAACGTATTGGCCTCGCTGCTGGCCACAGCTACTTTAAGTGTAATATATGTATGGGCCAGTCTTTTGCGAAATGTTTGTCAATTCTCTGCTTAGAGTTTCTGTTTTCCTGGAAGTTCTTGTCGTCGTTTGGAAAATTACTATGTTCAAAGTTTTATTAAATTGCATTGTGAAAGTTTAAAATTTTGTTCACACGACTCCAAGATTAATTGATTACAAATGTTTGAAATTACGTCTACACAGTTCCAATGTATTTACCATTATTTGCAATTATACCTCAAAAACCTTCATGGTTTTTTTGTGAACAGTAGACATCAAATTCTTTGAAATATTAATATTTTAAAGTACTTTGCACTGATTAAGTACACAATGTTAAAATTGGAAATCTTAAATCTTTTTAGAATTTAAGTTTTTTTAAGGGACTTTTTTATAAACTTGTAAACATGCAATTTTCGGTTAATTTTAGAGAGTATTTTTCGTTATTGCTTTCGCGGATTGTCAAAAACTCTTCTACTTATAGAAGCTGACTAGGATGACTAAAATATTATATTAAACCCTTTTTGTAAATTCTTCTCTCTTAGGAAGTGATTTTACCATGTATCCGTTCTCAACACAAAATCGAAAGGATTTCAAGAATCTTTTGTCGGTATATCTTGACGCTGTATTCTTTCCACGACTTACAGAGCTAGATTTCTGGTAACTACACCTTTTTGTCTTATGTTCAGTGTTAAATTTTCACTTCGATTTAATCGTTATTAACAGCTGAGTATTGGAACTCGGTGCATAAAATTAGATTTAACTTGAAGAAACAAGGAAAATTGATTTTTCTAGCTATGCATTGGACAGGTACAATTGTAGTCTGTGATGAAATTTTTAAAAAATAAAAGATGTTTACTGTGTTTGCACAGGCTTATGAAAATCGAGGAGACCTTTGGGAGAACTTGAGAGCAGATCAATGCAAGCCTGAGACCAGAGGTGATCTTATATAGATAGCTATTTAAACGGTCACTCTCGACCAGATGCAACCCTCGACATTCAGGTCTCTTAATTTTGCATAAGCCTGTGCAGACACAGTAAACATCTTTTATTTCTTAAAAGTAAAAGAAAACTTGACCCGACAAAATCCATTCCTCGGTATATCTTAATAAAAGCAATTTGAATTTATATTTTCAAGCAAGCTCTTCCACAACAGTGCATGTTTTACAGTGCTTAAAGGTCTTCGTGCGAATAGCTATTTAAACAATAATTTGCAACTTGAACGGTTATTAGAGACTTTTGTACCATTGGCTCCTGGAGCGACTGCTAGCAATCCTTTTGCGACACTATTTCTGCATTAAAACCCACTAATAAATTGCGATCTTTTACGTCATAGGCAAGAAGGTTGGCGACTTGAACATGAAGATATCAATGATCCACAAACTCCACTTATCTTCAAGGGAGTTGTATTCAACGAAATGAAAGGAGCCATGGTTTGTCCCAAAAGACCGCTTACACGGTCTGTTGTATTTGATGTATCATCATGTTTATCTTGGATATTCTTCAATGTAGTCCAATGCCGAAACGCTGTATGCACGTAACCTGCAAAGCTCGCTCTTGCCTCATCACACTTATGGTTTCAACAGTGGAGGAGAACCAATCAATATTCCCGAACTTAGTGTAAGCTCAACACTTAGACTGTATGATTACGAACACGTGTCGCTAAGGCCCGTTTCAAACGTAAAACTTTAAAATGCCTAATGCTTTGAATGTGAAAAATAAAGAATGTAAAGTCACTATCTTAGGTCTTAAATGTGCTTGGCCTCCTTAATTATTCTTAGTTGTACGTAAGACCAAAACCTCGCGACTAAAACAAAGTTTATATGAAATCGTTCGCCCTATCTCTTCAATCTGGGACTGTTTTTAACGACTTCCTGTTTTGTTAATACCCTACCTCATAAACCTGAATGAACTCGATGAAGTTTGGAGTTTTGAATTTCGACACTACTTTTTGGGGTGTCGAAAAGTATTTTTGTAACGAATTACGTTTCTGTATGTATCTACCTAATATGAATGCGTATTTCCATTGGATCAGTCTGATAATAGCGAGGAACGCTATATATAAAATATGTCCATTTTATATTACACAAGTTTATATGTTTCGTGTTTTTATTCTCGCTTTTCTCTTAATAGTGGCAACATCTTAAGAATTTTCACGCTACTCATTATCACCCAAGTAATGCAAGGTATGTGTCAAACAATGAGTTGTATACAAAAAATCGTAATAGCGGAAGTCTTATACTAGAAAGCAATAATAAATGTTAGTACCATTAACTTCAGGCTGTGGCGTAAGTTTCAACCAGATTGACCGTGGTCCTTCCAGGGTAAAACTAGACATCACAAACATTTTCCTATTAATCGTTAATAGAACACAATATTTTACTGTTTTTTGTATGTCAGATCCTTTCAGCCTTAACTCTACTTTTAAATTTAAATAAAACTTAACATAACATTCTTTCGCCCTGATGATGGCAGAAGTTAATCTTTATTGTCGAGTTTCAACATCAATTGTACGTATATACGTTACGCATACCATACTATGCTATACTATACGATACCATACCGTACCGTGCCATACTACACCATACCATACCATACTATACTATACTAAATACTATGTTATGCCATGCTATGCAATCCTGTGTTGTGCTATGCCAGGCTATGCTATGCTATACTTAATCGATACCCAAATGGATTTCAAAAACAACAAATTAGTTTGTTTTCCATTGGTATTAAGATCGATCAACAGTAAATGATTCTCACGTTTTTAGGTTTTATACTTATGGTGACACACCTCTAGTAGATCAGTTGGAAGCCATAGAAGAGATGGGATTATCACGATTTAGTGGTAAATTGGATGTGCAAACTGTCATTCCTCCCGAACCTCGCTGGAGTAGTCCGGTGAGATAATCTTATGCAACACTTTTTTTATTTGCTATTCAAACCAACTTTTTAGAATAAGCCCTTAGTAACCGAGAGCGAGGTCTTTACGGAGAAATATCGGATCGAAAGTCTTTTTATACAGACCGAGCCCAAAGGGGCGAGGTTTGTACAAAAAGATAGAGGTCCGATATATCTCTGTAAAGGCCGAGAGAGCGAGGTTATTAAAAGGTTTATTATACGGCATTATGTCACCTGAAACGAAGCTTGCTTTCTTTCTCGTACTTGCTGTTTTTTACGGGTTGGCTTTGACTTTTCTAGTTTTCGTCCATAAAAAAATAAATCGTTTCAAATTGTATCGTCTGGATGGTTAAACTGTTTTCCAAGTGTTTTCCCTTCGAATCACATTCGTAAATGGTTTTTTGTTTCGTTTATTTTGCGTTTTGCTGTTTGCATTTCGAAGTTTGTTTACATTTGACGGTAAAATTATGCGTTTTGAACCGTGGTCGATTAAGGAAAATAATGGACCTGCAAAAACGTTTCTTAGTCAATCAAAGCACGGCATTTTGCCGGAAGTGATGCTTGCCATATAATAATTACGTTGTACTGCAAAATTTTATTAAATATATGGTCTATTGCTAATACGGGACGTGATGTATATGTTTGCGGGTGTAGATCGTTCAGGTTATTGTAGTTCTGAGAAGGACTGTGGGTGTTGCTGTTGACAAAAATTTCGACAAACTTGATTCTGAAGATGACTATCGCTAAGATAGTTGAAACGTCAGTTAACATCAACAGTCTTCTTCAAGACTGCATTAAACTAAACAATCTACATCTACAAACATGTAATGATACTCAAGGAATCAAAGCATTCATTTTATTGTGTGACATGAAGATTATAAAATTTCTCTAAATATGAATTGTGCTGACTCTTTAAGATTCTTTAAGAAAATATTTTACCATATACTTACATAAAGCATGTGTTCACGCATTTTTATTTTTGTTTTAGAAAAGTGTTAGCATAACCTGTGCTTTAGATCCTTTGGCTCCTGATCTCGATAAGCAGACTACGACCAGCGTCAGTTACTTACTTGATAGGTTACCTTGTTTTCATATCTTACTTTAACGTCATGAATTGAAACATTCACGTCCATTGTTGAAGTGTTGCGGTGTGGGTGTACACCTTCCCCAACCCCTCCTTGAACATACCAACATGGTCGCTCTCGCGTCACATGAAAACACACCATTAGCTAAGACAAGCTCCTTGGTTTTACTTATTGATAATGTGTAATAAGTTAATGGTAATTTAATTTATTTAAAGATCTTCCATATTGTTGTTATACTTAAAAAATTATTTAAAATCGTTTGATGTTTCGGTTTCCTATACGGAAACCATTTTCTTCGAAAGGCTTTGAAAACGGTTGTATATTTTTTTCAACCATAACAACAATCTGGAAGATCTTTAAAAAAAATTTCATTAAAACGAGGTGTAATAAGTTCTTGCATTGATTGTGCAGTTTGTGTTTGCATGCAGTTCAAGGTTTTCGTCTTTTTTTAATTTTTCAAAATACGGCATTCGGTTGAAAGTGCTTGATATTATCGTTGCTCCTCCTGTATTGTAGGACCCTGCTAAACTAACACTTGTTTTCAGGCACATTGAAATAACACATTGCTTTCTAGTAGCTCTTCTGAAGATGTCCTAAGAGGCTGTGGTGTGTCTTCAACGACTTGTTTTTTCTTACTATAGTGCGACGAATGCGTTCGAGAATCTTACAAACGGTATCATATCTTCGTTACTGATCGACGGTCCAACATCGCCATTTTATCAAGCTTTAATCGAACCGAATATTGGATCTGATTACTCACCGGCGACTGGGTTAGCTCATGAATTTTCTTATTTTTCATTTCTTTAGATTGTCCATGTTAGTGTAGTCCTCAGAAAGACTGTTGGTGTCGGTATTGACTGAAGTTTCAACAGCCTTAACGTTACATGTTTGTAAATGTAGATCGTCCAAGTTGGTATAGTCCTGAGAAGGACTGTTTTTGTTGCTGTTGACTGACGTTTCGACAACCTTAGCGGTAGTCATCTTCAGAGTCAAATGACTCCCGGGTTCAAACCATTTACTTTATAGCCTAAACATTAGTCATCTAAGTCAATGTCAAGTTTGTCGAAGGGTCAATCAACACCAACAGTCCTTCGTAGCACTCCACTAATCTGGACGATTTACTTTTACAGATATGTAACGATAATTTCTCCCAGGTTCAAATCATTATTTCTATAAGTTTTTTTCCTTCCGCAATACTGCAATGGCGTTCCACATTTAGTTAGCTACGTTAAAGATGTTAGAAGTTGGTGATGAGTTGGGTTGTTTTCTAAGCACACCATTTTGATTGTTTTCAACTAAAGCAATCAAAGAATTTACTGTAGTAATTGCGTTGTTTTTATCGAAAATGCCACGAGTATTCAGGACTAGGTCGGGGGCTGTTACTGGAACCGGGTATAAATTTCATTGCTAAATAGGGTAAAACGTCACAGCTAAACAGGATTATTGTTGGAACTGTGTATTAATGTCATTGCTAAATGTTGTAGAATATTGTCATACCTAAATAAGTTATTGTTTGAAATGTGTATTAATGTCACAGGAGATAATGTTCATAGTCAATTCTTTTTAGTCGGTATCTATTGTTGTCTTTTTTTTGTATGGTTCTGTGCTTTCTTTGTGGTTTCAATTCAATCAATATTGTCTTGTTAAAGCTTTGACTCCAGTACTCGAGACAGTTCGTTCTCTGTTGGATTGCAAGGAATTCATAAAGATCGAGTCCAAGAGGTCTGGGATATTGCTCGGAAAACGTTCGCTCATGTTGTCGAGTGAGTAAATCGATCTTCATTGAAATATGATATTTTATTAACTTTTGAAGGGGGAGGGGGGGCGTTGATGAAATCATGTTCCTTTAAGTTAGTACGGATGGTTGGTTTGTAAATGAGAGGTTATAGAGAAACCAAGAGTGGTGTGTTGCTTATTCTTAATGTAGGCAATTTTAGTCATCAAACGTCGATCTTGAGTGACGATGCTCAAATCAACGCAGCCTTAAAAGTAAACGTGTGTATCTAACGACATATGCTTCGAATTTAATTTGAATTACGCGATCTATGTAAAAAGCATATCAACGTAAAAAATAAATGAACAAAAACGACACGTGCTTCGAATTTAATTTGAAGTACGCGATCTATGTAACAAACATATCAACGTAAAAATAAATCAACAAAAACGACATGTGCTTCGAATTTAATTTGAAGTACGCGATCTATGTAACAAACATATCAACGTAAAATAAATCAACAAAAACGACATGTGCTTCGAATTTAATTTGAAGTACGCGATCTATGTAACAAACCCACAAAAACGACATGTGCTTCGATTTTAATTGGGAATACGTGATGTATGTAACACATATCAACGTAAAAAATAAATTAACAAAAAGGACATGTGCTTCGAATTTAATTTGAAATATGCGATCTATGAAAAATATATCAACGTAAAAAATGAATCCACAAAAAGGACATGTGCTTCGAATTTAATTTGAAATACGCGATCTATGTAACAAACATATCAACGTAAAAATAAATCCACAAAAACGACATGTGCTTCGAATTTAATTTGAAATACGCGATCTATGTAACACACATACCAATGTAAAAGATAAATCAACGAACTGACAGTGAGAATTAAAGCCGTTTGATATTTGACTCATCTGTCACGAATGACAAATGTTGTTCAAAACTTCCACGCACACTAGGAAATTTTGTCGATCACACTTGTCACGAATAACAAGTACGCGCGGCAAGTTCACCAGTGTGCGGCGGGCTTTAATGACAACATTTTTGTCAAGTTTTTGAGAAACGGTTTTTTCGCAAGTTATTTTTGATTTTGGCGTAAACTCGGGTATCATGTGGGGATAAAACTGTCGTTGTTTGATAGAACGGGCTTTGAAGATGAAAAAATTGCGGCGATTCTTCATCGTATTCAACTATCACAGAAGCATCAGAGCAGTAACTTTGGATTGAATCTTATTGCTGTAAGTTAAGTTCATTATTTACGTCATATTGTTTTGTGTTTGGTTGCGGTCTCTAATCTTTTATCAATGGATGGATAATTCAGCATTATTTTGTAAGGCGTGGTAGGGTGTGATCTTTTTCGGATTAGTCACTTAAGTGTTTATCAAATTTCGGTCATATTGTAATTAGTGGGTTTCGTCATTTCTTTCTAAGCATAGTTTTAAGACTTGTGCAATGGGTAGATTATTACTTTAAATTTAGCCTTAAAAATCCATAACTTACATACGCAATATGACAATAAAGTATTCCTGAACAATATTCTTTCATCACTATTATTATATGAAAAATGAGCCTCGTTTTTTGCCCAAAATACTCTTTTCTTCCTGTGTTCTCACCATTTAGCAAGTGATTGTAACAAAATCTTTCTTTTGGCGCATTTTGTGACCAATATATGGCAATAGAAGATCAGCAACTTAGATAAACTCAGTGTGTCATTTGCGTCACCTGCATGTCATTCTTTCCTACACCAAATTACTAACTTTGTCGTCTAGATGTTCTTCGTTTTCAATGAATCTTTTTGTTTGCATTTTTAAAAACAGACTAAAAATTCAATGGTCCGACCCGACGTAGGTATATAATAGGGGGATATGTTACTGTGTAGGGGGAAAACAAGGAAAATCATCGTAGGGGGAGAATAAAGTTTTGGTAGGTGAAATGTGCATACACAGAGTGGCAGCACTGCTTGTCCTTTGCATGAATCCAGTTTCATCGTGTTACGTCATGGCCAACTTTTGACGACGAGACGATACGATGATGATAGTGATGTTGTGTGCTCTCCTTAGTCGTCTACTGTAGTTAAGTGTTCTTTTGTGTTGTTTACTCTTCTGACGTCTTCTTATGTGCTATGTCCTCTTATTTTTTCTTTTGTGCTGTATTCTCTTTAATTTAATTTTTTTTGAGTCATCTTTATTTTATTTTTTGTGTTATGTTCTCTTGTTGTGGCTTCTACATTTACATTTCTTAGGGAATTATGCAAACTCCTGCACTCCCTCTAGCCATAGCTAGGAGAGTTTCAGGCCCACTCTCACCCTCTTAGTAATTCTATCATTGTCATTTTTTACATTCAAAAACATTGTTTCCGAACTAGAGCATTTGCTCTTATTTTCCATGGTGGAAAGTTTTTGACGTAAAATCTTAAATGCCGCGTTTTGTGTCATAGGATTTCTTTAAACATCATTATTGGCAATGTTCTCTTTTTTTGCTAGTCGTTAATGTCGCCTTGGAATCATGGTGGTGACCCGACTGAATTTATTCAAATAAACAGAAACGTTGATCAGTTCAAGGTAGCTATATTGCTTCTATTCATTTCTACTCACTAAATCAAGGGTATTTTTTTCATATGGTCTCATCATAGATGTTTTTTATTGAGTCAAAGTTGACTGATCTTATTCAAATAGATTTCGGAGACGTACAGGGCCCCCGAGAGAAATTGCTTCACATTTACAAATCTTTTTATTTGAGTAAAAAGCCTGTTAGTCAAAAAGCAGACATGTTAGCATTTTTCACTGCGTTTTTATTTGGGTTTTTTCTTTGCCGCATACTCTGACATTGTTTTTGTTAAAGAAAAGTATTATCACTGATGTTATTCAATAAAATTTATTGAACGTTCATAGTCTGGCTGGCAATAAACAAAGCGAAATGGCGGACAAACAAAATATTTCATTGATATGAAATAGATTATTCAGCCTCATCTGGTGTTTTCATTACTTGCTTTTTATGTAATGAATTCATCAAAAATATATCTATCATAGTGCATTTTAACAAGAAAAAAAGCCTGTTGTGTATAAGTTGTGTATATTGTATTCGTAGTCATCATCTTCACAAAAAAATGCTTGACTACGAGTACGACAACTTGTTTATCGAACCCAGATCCCTCACGGTCAAATCACGAAGCGGTAGTCGTACTCGTAGTCAAATCTGAATCTCTCTAAAACTTTTTAAGAAGCCTTACCTAATTTTATGTCTTTCAAAATCGTGGGCTCTACTATTTAGCTCCCCAAACTGTTGAAACTACCATAAATTTTGAACTCCCACTCAACTGCAGTTCTCAACTTTTAATTCAACTGTACGCAACAACATTTGATCAAACTGTGAAGCTATTTTGATTGGATGAAAACCGAAAAACGTCGGGGGGGTTGATACTATTTTTTATGATGGCTGTGTTTATGTAAGGCCTTCTTTGGGTTTTGTTTATAGGATTCCATCAAGAATGAACGTTACTTACAAGACAAAGTTGCTGAAAGTTTCCTTGAGAATCAGCATCGTCTTTACATGACAATGTCACCCGATGTAAGATTTTTTTAATGGTTGGCGATTGTTTGTTGATACCATTGCATGTATTAAGTTGTAAATTTACTGGCACGTTTTCTAATCGAGCATTTGAATACCTAAAACGACATGAAAATTTATCAATGAAATGAATTTTTAAAAAGAACGATATGATCTTCTTTATAGAATTTTGATTCCAAGCTTTTGTTTTTTGAAATATTTTCACTTTCATGATATTTAAATAAGCTAAACTTTGTCTTGCTGTTTTGTCATTTTTATTTCTACATTTATATTTAATTTGAATGTCACTGTTATACAAATTGTTTTGAAATGCTATCCTGTGTTACAGAATAAGGAATCTACCAAATGTCCACATTGCTGCGCAACTCGCGGCTCTTTATTCGTTTAAATTACTGTCTGCCGTTAGCCATTTCATCATTCCCATTGGTCAAAAAGGGGTAATTGACCTGGTGACCACATGCGTAACAAGATATGCGTGGCACAAAAAAAGTTTCAATAGAGAAGCCCTACTTTAAATTCCTTGTTCTGTGCCAGTGTTCTTGTCACGAATACATTTTTTTTGTAGGAAAAGTACGAGGAAAATTTAGCGTTACTTGAGGCAAAAAAACTCAACGAAATGGTAACAAAATTATCGAACGAAGAGAAAGCCATCATTCAAGATAAGTGTAAGTCATTGAGACATTTTTATTTAGTCAGACTTAATACCATGAGTGTCTCGTAACAGGAACATTAAATGGATGACTGTGCGATTTACGAATGTTAAAGCAGCAATCCTATGTTCTGATATATTTAAGTTCTCCGAAGTTGACTGATCAGTATAATAGCTTGGTGTATGTTAATTACCACTCTCCTTTGCCAGAAAGTTGTCCTTTGATTTTATTTTCTTATTCGACAAGATTCACATGACGAAAAAATGTTCGGCCCCTTTGTTTGTCCGTGGAGCGTTTATATTCTGCAGATCAAACAGGCTAGGTTAGGCTAGGCAATGTTGACTACGGCAATACTGGCTAAGGCTGGGCAATATATCAACAGAGGCATGGAAATGAAGGCTGGCTAGACGATACATTTTTAAAGCAATATTATATAGTGCATTATCATACGTTGCCATGGCATCCCTCCAGCACATTTTCCACTCCACTGATCCATTCAAATGAACAATGGAGTACACATACATAGAATCGTGAGAAGGAAAACTATATGAAAATTGTGTGGTAAAGAGTAGTACGCAGAGCAATTATAATATTTGAGGACTGGAACGTGCAATGCTACCAAAAAGCCAAATGCAGTCAATGTGATATAAGCAGAAAGGCAATAGTGCTAAAAAATAGTTCAGTGTTACGTCTTGCAACACAAGCAGGCTAGTTAATGCCGGATGTTGTTCAACTTTTTCACGATACCCAACTGAAAATTCATCTTTGCTGTGTTTGAAAAATATCTTTGTTTGTTTTCATACAGGTCTTCAGCTGGCCAGTCTACAGAATGCTAAACCGGATACGTCTTGTCTTCCATCTCTCAGTATTTCTGGTTAGTAGTAAGTTATTTTAAGTAATATGTCAAGTGATAAATCGTGTTTCGGAAACTTTCTGCTTTTTGTCGTGAAACGTTTAACTGATAGATCTTCTTTGTAATGGTTGGGAAACGATGCGTTTCTACTTGACAGTGAAGATGAGTACCACTAAGGTTGTAGAAACGTCAGTCAACATCAACACCAACAAACCTTCTCGGGACTCTACTAACCTGGACGATGCACATCTGCAAACATGTAACAATACTTCTGGGCTCAAACCATTTACTTTAAAAACAGTTAGGTCGAGAAATTGTTTATCATAGGAGTGTTTTGAAGAGATCTTCTTAAGATAATTATTGTCTTACTCTGGTCGAATTTAGTTTTTGTCATACGATTGAATTGAATATATTGCAATATGTTATTGAAAACTACATGTTTGCAAATTTTGTAGACATTGATCCCAAGATCAAACCAGTGATCGTGGATGATGTTATGTTAGGTATAGTAGATTCACAATACATTTATCGTCTGCGTTTAACAGTTGAGTAGGTTGGGAAAAGTTAGGTCCATTCAATGTCGGCATTTTTTTGGCGGTTGTTCTAAAAGATCAAGTGTCATAGTTTAGTTGAAGACCACTCATAATATATAGCAATCTGTTTTTGTACAGACATACTCACCATTGTTGCATCTACAGAACCACTTGTTGTAATCATATATCATAGTTTAGGTTCAGGCGTCCATAATGTAGGCACTTGTGTTTACTATTAGTCGTATTACGTTGACGATAAACTATATGCACTTTATATCCATCTATCTATCTACCATGAAAATACTTGTTGCATCAATGAAACCATTTCATATAATCGTACGTCATGGTCTTGGTTAAGGCGCCCTCAGCATAGACATTTGCATTAGTATGGACGTATTTGCTGTTTCAGCAATGAAACCCTTTCTTCTATTTTTAGGCGGCGTTCCTGTGTATTACTGCGTGCAACCCACGAATGGGCTGACTTACTTTAATGGAATATCAAGCATAACACTTGTTGCTGATGAAGTGAAACCGTATTTACCTTTATTTTGTCATGCCATCACGAAGTAAGATTTGATAGTTTTTTGTAATTTTCATATGGAGATTCTAAATTTGCGTCTAACATAGTTGATGTGTTCTACATAGGATAGGAGCAGGTAGTATGGATCATCGTCACATGGCTCAATTGATCAAACGACGTACTGGAGGTCTTTCAGTATCCCCTCACGTAGTTGCGCATCATACTGAACCTCATACTTATAATCAGGTGGGTAAATAGAAGATGCTAATCCCTGCCTTTAACCAATCCATTTCTGATAATCAGATGGGTGGATAGAGAGTGTTCACCTCTATTTAATCAGTCTCATAGCTACCTATTATCAAATGGGTGGGTAGAGAGTGTTCCCCCTTATTTTTTACCAACCTTATGCTTATAATCAAGTAGGGTGGAAAAAAGTGTTCACCCATATTTTTAACTAACCATATACTTGTAATATAGTGGGTGGATAGTACAGAGTGTTCGCCCTTATATTTAACCAACCTTATACTTATAAGGAGATGGGTGCATAGTAAAGAGTGCTCACCCTTATTTTTCACCAACCTTAAAATCAGATGGGTGGATTGATTGTGTTTGCCTTCAATTTTAACTAACCTTAAGCTTATTGACAGGTACGTTGATAGAGAGTGTTCGCTCTTCTCTTAAGATTTAATATAAATTATATGACTATAATCTATTGGTGTGATATTGTATCGTTAACATATGATCATTTAACTGACATTCGGCGAGGCGTTGAATGATTTTGTCAGATTGAAACGATTCGTATTTATCATCTTAAAAACTCGCTGTAATAAGGATGTTTATACATAACTATAACGGTAAGTCATTTCGATTCAAAAATATCTTCTGACATCAATGACCATAAATGTAGTGTTAAAGTTTAACTCCAGCGTCTCATAATCATTTCACGTCTCGCTGAGTCTTAGGTAGCTCAGCTTGTATAAACAGATTCTTGAATATTGCTTTACAATATAGGGTGTTTTATTTTCATCTCATTGTCTTGATGAGAACTTGCCTCGCATGTTCAATATTTGGCTGGAAATTTTTACAAGGTATGTCATTCAAGAAAAGTTCATTTCCTTTGCGTGGCAAAGGCTTGTATGCAACAAAAAATCCCCATTTCCGTCTACCACCCAGTTACCACCCACCCATGTTAAAAGCATTTTTTGCTTGGCCAGTGCTAGTGCCCAAACCTAAGCTCTCTGTAGTATTATATTTTATGTACATGATCAGGTGGAGGTGGTCGCCAGTGTCGAGGTTACCTAGAATGTTGAATTACAATCCCAACCTTTGATCAGTTTTGCTGAGTTGGCAACTTTTTTCAACGAGTCTGAACTCTTTGTATTGATACTTCTCCATTTCTGTAGCCCAACGTTGAATAACCCAGATCGCCTTAGGACTCTAATCAACGGGCTGGCCAGTGACTTTGCCTTGTCTATTGTTGATTCTGGACACATGTATGCCATGAGACTAGCGTCCAGCTCTCTAGTTCCGTCTTCTCAGCTGAATGAAGTTCTCGGAGGACTTCACCAGGTTAATATGATAATTTTGAGATCATGAATTTGTATTGACTTCATCACGACCACATTGTGAGTACAATCGACTTCCTTGCGACATTGAATGCACAACCAACGTAATGTTTAAGTTTGTTGTCATTGAGACCTATACAATCTATTTTAATATATTAGGTACGTCAATAAATTACTGCAGCTCATGCTTGGAATACGCATTTTTACTTTTTTACCAATCATCAGCGGGCGGAATCCTAGCTTATTCTGCAATCTGACTGGCTGCAGCAGCGGCGGTTTTTACGATATCGTGTTTTAAAAAGGAAATTATGCGCCAACTTTGGATTGCAATAACCTTTTTTCCAGTAAATTTTGAGTTTTTAAGTAAAACGAAGAGCAAAGTTTTGATTGTTTACTTGGCCGCCATTATTAAATCACTAAGCAATCTAATAAGATTGTTGCTATAAGTAAAAAAAATACGTCATTTACCGTTTAGGTCGGTCCGGATGGAAAAATATTTCCCTTCGGTCTCAAAACGGCCTGCGGCCTGGAACTCTTTTTTGAGACCTTAGGAAAATATTTTTCAATGCGGACCTCCCAACCGGTAAGTAGCAATATATATATTCAAATCAATGTACCTTACATGCAACTCAATTTTTAAAGTATTATTCTTTAGAAATTTATAAATAATAGAAAAAAAATTGAGCAGCTATAATTTATTTTGACCATCCCTGATCATACCAACTGATCATACCAGGTATTTTCTTGTTCTATTAATCACATGTTAACATTGGAAATAATGTTGCCATCTCAATTATTTATTTGAATATTGAATAAGACAAGAAAAGCCGACTGTTCTTAATTGCCTTAGAAGGCTCCCTACAGTCACCCGAGATTCGGGTGTTTCAGGTAACCTTCACTTACAACATTATTTTGATCAAACACACTCAAACTTTGGGAATATGAACTATGCGGAATATTAAAGAATGCAAATAAAGTGTAAAAATGCTTGAATAGGATAACTGCTTGTGTTGTTATGACAACCATATCGCATTTTCTATTACACTTTTATTTTCTAGTTTTAAAAGAATTGACCGTATCTTTTTTTCCTTTCGGTGAATTTTTCTGATTTTTTCCGTGACGATTGTCTTTCATCAAAGAAGCATGTTCAACAATGAAAGAATTCTATAAACAATTTTTTGAGATATTTGAAAATTTCGGCTTCATGAAAACTTGTTTGTAGATTTTGTTCTATTTTGCGTATGTTATAATTTTTCTTTTAATAAACATCCACACGAACTTTTAACAAAATTTACCGAAGGAAAAACGAAAAAATCATCAATAAAATCAGCGCGGCCAGAAGTTTGTGTAAAAAAAATCGACTCGACATAAGCACAATATGCGCATGCGAATTGTAAACAGCCCCCTGCTCAGTAACTGTAGGAGCCTCCTTAAAACCGAAAAATGGTTTGCTTTAAATACTATGAAGGGTATATTGTATTGTTAAAGAATTTGACCAGTTGCAACTGCTTAAGTAAATTAGAGGTTGACCTATGTTACAAGTCAAAAACTGTAGTTTGAAACTTTGCACTAACCTCGATTTCCTGCTTCTGCACATTGCAATGACCCTCACAAAAAACTTGTCCCTAGAAGTAATTTTATCGAGATGTTGTTAAAGCATTTATGGTAGCTATCGCTCTTGCTGTACCTTAGGACACTACAATGGAGTAAATGTGTGTTTTAACTTACAATTAATGAATGTTTTTCTCAGGTCGAATTTATGAAAAATATCGCCGAGATGGACGATTTAGACAATGTTACGAATAAACTTATAAAAATAGCCGCTCATGTTTTGGAAAATACTGCTTTCAGGTGAGAAATATCATCTAGATCGCTAAGCAAACTGCAGCACGAGCAATCGTTTTTTAAGGGAATACAGAAATGTCATTTTATGTAATTGTGTCACTTTTAAACTCATTGTAGGTGTTCTCTTACTATGACCGAAGAATCCTCGGACGAGGCCACCGATTCTCTCGAAGGATTTTTAGAGGATTTACCTGGAACTCGTGCAGACTTACCAGCAGAAGTTGAGGTCAGGACCAGCCTTTACTCTACACTTTCCCGGATATTTCGTCTTCGGATATTATGTTTTTTCGGATATTTCGCAAAACGTTGTCATTTCTCCTTTTTGTCTGGAAAAATTATAACGTATTTTGCATGTCAAAGTTTTTAAAAATTTCGTCTTGGGACATGAGAAAAGGAATGAACAGAACCGGTTTTTGATTAATTCGATTAAATATGTGTCTTCATTTTAGGATCCGGACTTTAAGCCTCATCGATTGAAAAGTTTCTTCGAAATTCCAGCTCCTGTCAACTTCGTTTCTAAGGCAATACGAGCTGTCCCGTTTAATCACGAGGACTATCCGAAGTAAGTGGTTTTGCTGTTGTCTGTTGAATAAATCGTAGAAATAATAAATTTACACTAGGAAATTGTCATTTTTCCAGATTACAAATTCTTTCGCGGCTCATGTCCTCTAAGTTTCTTCACAGAGAGATAAGGTTTGTATTAAGTCTTGTCATGTTCATGGTTGCTCCGTGTTCACCCCAAGTGATCTTATGTCTTTGAGGTAATACATGATTATGCATTGTAGAGAGAAGGGAGGTGCGTACGGTTCCGGAGCAAAAGTTGGAGAGAATGTCTTCGCCTTCTTCTCTTACAGGTATTATATCTCACTTAAAACATTTGGAAGTTTATGTCGATTTTCTACTGATGTTTTTCAACATCTATCAAGTGCTGATTACTTTCATCGTCAATTGTAATAATGGGCGTGACAAAGCCATGTCAATGTTACCGTGAGTAATCGGTTTTGTTGTTTCTGTTTCTACAGAGATCCAAATTCACTTGAAACGTTGAACGTATTTGATCAAGCGCAAGACTGGGCGAGCTCTGGTGAATTTACTGACCGAGATATTGTAGAAGCAAAGCTCTCTGTTTTCTCGCAGGTATGGCGATTACTTACGCCCGTTTTCTAATAGCTTGCTCATACTCACCGAGTGCAACAAAGAAATCACGCCCTCTCTAATCAAGGACGAAGTTACTTGATACATATAAATGCCATTCACTGGCTGCCATTTATTTATATGTATTAGATATGGTTCAATCTATTGAACTATTTCTCGGAAATAGAGCCTGCATGGAAAGATAACAAAAGTACATGTGCGTTATATTATAACAGGTTAAAAGGCCTATTTTTGTTTAAATTATGATTAATGGATGTAGTATTTCATGTATTTTGCATTAGTTTGCCATCTCAACGGAGCTTGGCACTTGTTGAAAGGACTTAGAAATCCCATTTGTTGTGAATAACACTCGCGACATAGCACATTTGCCTTTTTATTTCCAAGAAAGATGGCAAAAAAAATTAAACAGCATATGTTTTCACGTAAATTTAAACTATAAATATTCCATACTTTGTGAGGTTATAATAATAGACAACTTGCATTATTACGTCACTTAGTACTCAAGCACTGAAAACATTGCAATTGCATTGAGAGTTTACTTGAGAACACCATCTGCTTGGTTCCAAGCGTTTCTTAATTCTAGCAAAAGGCTTCCTAATTCTTGCTTTTACAGTTGGAGGAGGATTAGTTTGAGAAGGTTTTGTGGCTTTCGGAACAATAGTTGGCAATCGATTTAAATATCGAATCGTTCATCATAGATTCGCCTTCTGAGCTAGAAATTTCCTGAAGACCGGGTAAGAGTTTTTAAAAGAATTAGGGCCTTCTTCTTGACTCAGAAATGAGACTAAGAACAGCAGTAAGATGTTTCTAAATCTCTCTTTTCGCTAGATGGTCATATTGCAATGTTTTCATGTGCGTGACTATAAAGTGACGTAATAATGCAAGTTGTTTATTGTCTACGTTTGAAGTCAGGAATGACAACAAAATTACTGTGTGAATGTCACACACGTGACGGGAGGATTGCCCATTGTTTGACATAAAAAAATTCAATGGAGTGGCTCTGTTGTATGTTTCCTATATACTGTGATATCATCCAAGTTACGAGTTACTAATGATTCTGAAATACACTGGATAGATCATCACAATTATACTGGATATCAGTAAATTACTGCTATCATTAGAGTTTCGTTCTCATCCCAAAACAAGATGTTTAACTAAAAATAATCATTCCAATATTCATAAATTCTTTTCAATTACAACTGTAGTTTAAGGATAAAAATAATCATCCGTTAAAACAGTTTGAATTCAAAAATGCTCATATAAAGTTGTCTGAATAAATGCTTCGATTCTAGTTTTGTAAAAGTAAACGCTAGCTGGTATATTTCTTGTTATTTTACACTTGAGTTCTCCGAGAAAGATAAGATAGTTCTAATGCATTTGTCATGAATTTAGGTCGATGCTCCTGTACCACCACCGTACAAAGGCATGACGCTTTTTAAACACGGCATTACAGATGACATGCGACAAGTACATCGTGACCGTTTGTTTGCTGTGAATCGCGAAGCTCTCGTTGATGTCGCACGAAGGTACGTGCAATGTGTATGCCTTATACGTAACATCATCGTGTTTTACATTATGTAGGAGTTGCCTTAATAGTTATATTAAACGACATTTACCACTTAGTAGTTTGTGTTAGATTTTATATTCACTGTACATAGTAGTTAGTCTATAGGTAATGTTACACGCTGGTAGTTTGTCCTAATTTTATTTTACCCATCACACAGTAGTTAGTCCATACGTGATGTTAAACACACTACTTAGTAGTTTTTATTTTACCCATCACACAGTAGTTAGTCCATACGTGATGTTAAACACACTACTTAGTAGTTTTTATTTTACCCATCACACTGTAGTTAGTCTATACGTGATGTTAAACACACTACTTAGTAGTTTTTATTTTACCCATCACACAGTAGTTAGTCCATACGTGATGTTAAACACACTACTTAGTAGTTTTTATTTTACCCATCACACTGTAGTTAGTCTATACGTGATGTTAAACACACTACTTAGTAGTTTTTATTTTACCCATCACACTGTAGTTAGTCTATACGTGATGTTAAACACCTTAGTAGTTTTATTTTACCCATCACACAGTAGTTAGTCCATACGTGATGTTAAACACACTACTTAGTAGTTTTTATTTTACCCATCACACTGTAGTTAGTCTATACGTGATGTTAAACACACTACTTAGTAGTTTTTATTTTACCCATCACACTGTAGTTAGCCTATACGTAATGTTATACACACTACTTAGTAGTTTTTATTTTACCCATCAAACTGTAGTTAGTCTATACGTGATGTTATACACACTACTTAGTAGTTTTTATTTTACCCATCACACAGTAGTTTGTTTATACGTGATGTTATACACACTACTTAGTAGTTTTTATTTTACCCATCACACAGTAGTTTGTTTATACGTGATGTTATACACACTACTTAGTAGTTTTTATTTTACCCATCACACAGTAGTTAGTCTATACGTGATGTTAAACACACTGCTTAGTAATTTTTATTTTACCTATCACACTGTAGTTAGCCTAAACGTGATGTTATACACACTACTTAGTAGTTTTTATTTTACCCATCACACAGTAGTTAGCCTATACGTGATGTTATACACACTACTTAGTAGTTTGTCTAAAAGTGATTTTACATACTGTTTGGTAGGGTGTTTTTATGTGGCTTCATGTTATAGTTAGTCGTTAGATGCTTAGATGATGTTACACACTGCTTGGTGCTTTGTGTAATTTTTCCTAAAAAGTGGTTTGCCCGATGTTTTCTCCCATTGCCAAGCATTTTGCTTTATGACCATACCATGCTAGTCCATTGCTCCACATTTGTGCAAAGGGTTATGCTATTTAAATCAATGGTGTAGTCAGGATACATAATGACGAATTAAAATAGATTGCTAAGTTTTCATTTTTGTTGCTTGGTGATTGCTGTGAAACTTTTTTCTATTTTCCAGCTCACATCCCTTTCTGCCATTGGTGATTTCTCTAATTTCAGGAAACTTTCTAATCTTAGGTACCTGAATGATTCGGAGGAAAGGGTCAGTTCAGTTGCTATTCTTGGGCCAGCTAACGAAAAACTAGCTGGAGACAACTCGTGGACAATTTTAAAGGAAGGCGCCAAAAGCTGAGTAACTGTTGTTGTACCATCACATCTGCCATACCTTTATGGTAAGCTAATTTGATTGAGCGATCGAACGAATGGCGAAAGTTTCCTTTACCCTAATCTTTACCCAATCCCTTACATTTACACAGGGTTGTGAAAATCCAATAAAAAGTGAGTGTAGAAAAGCCCACTGTTTTTGCCGGGCAGATATTTCTGTCCCCGATCAGTTTCCATACTAATTTATGTACATATTTTACAAAGTGGGGAGGAAGGGGAGAGTGTCACACATCCCCAGTGTACGTCCATGTCCTTAAAGTTTTTCCATAGGCTCATTTTCTAATGGATTGGCAGTCAATATAATCCATTTTAATAAATAATCGTATCATGATATTTGGATTATCTTGGTTTAAGGTTTAACGCAAGACTTGTGTATTATGGATCTACGTAAAGGTTGCTGGTTTGGCTGAAATGGATTCCTTGTGTGGCATTTTATCAGGTACACCGTCTGAACTGCGTATGATTGCATTTTGTTTGGGGAATTTATGTCTATATTCTCTCAAACACAGCAAACTCTTGTGGCCTTAATAAATAATCTTGCATGCATATAATGTATAAAATATTAATACACGCGAATCCTTGAATTATTATAATGGTTCATCCTATAAAATTCCACGAAATTTTGCTTTTGTTAATGCGGATGCGTCGTAAGTGAACACACTATACTTAATAGTAACAATCTGTTCAATGTTCAAAGGATCTTTTGAATATTTCTACGAAAACATAAATGTTCATATGAATATTCGAAACTTTTTTTCAAAAGCAAGGTTAAATGACTGTAAGAAACGTTTTCGGATACCACTTCAAATAGCTTAGTTCTTGGAAGAACAGTTTAAAATCTTGTGTAAGGTTTTAAAAGTTTTTAAGCAGTTCTGATAAGACCTCCGTCATTGACCATAGTATCTTCGACGTCTTTTAAATAAGATTACTTCTTGCGGTATTTTTTGTCACTTAGAGGCACTATTTATAAACTGTAGAATTCATGTTAAATGCCTGACTACCGTTTTTTTGTTACCTAAATATAAATTTCACTGCATAACTAACGGTTTTTGTTGTGAAGTTTACATTTATTCAGGCAACATGCAAACAGCAAATTAGATTGCATAGATGAAGGTTTTTGTATTGAGGCTGTTTAGTGAAGTTTTAAGCAGTGTATTTGTTATGTTAAATGGACAACTATAACCTCGATAGTTTAGTTGAAAATCACCGACGTGATTTTCCATGACTACCGAGATTATACTTTTCATTTACCATTATAAATACGCACACTAAAGCCGTATTTAGTGAAGTTCTTGAAGCACGTGTTTGAAGATCCCTGAGTACGAGTTTTCCCTCGGATCTTGGCTAGCATTTAAAGAATACAGTAAATATTTGAAGAAAAGCCGCGGTGTTAACTGAATCTTTGAAACTCAATTGGGGCGCTTGTTATTGAGAGCTGTTTATTTTGAATTTTGTAGCAAATGGAACTTTAACGTGTAATTTATGTTGAATGTAAATTATTACACAGTATCCGTTTCTGAACTTTAAAGTAAAATTGACCAGTGGCCTTTAGTAGAGGTTATGTAAATAATTATATTCTTGTATTTGTTTACGACGGCGACGTCAACAAATTATGGACCAGAGGAAGAAAGTTCTTTGACGGAGATGAACATAAATATCAATTATGGAAAGTAAAATTCATGTATCATGCAATTACACATGTTGAAGCTAAAGACAACCGTCGAATGATCAGAACCTAATACCTCTGGGGATGGTTGTGATGATCTTAGCATTTAGCAGGAACGCATTCTTTACTGCCCATGCTCTTGAGTCTTAAACTCGTGATCTTACAACCTGGCAGAAAATTCTTGGCCTCATGGATACTCTTAAAGAGCGTAGTAAAAGGCCTTGTCGGTCAATGATGAGAATAAGATAACTGATTGTGTTATGATAAATGACCAACACCTGAAGTAAATATCCAGATATGCACACCTGGCAGGTTCTGTTTTATGGTGTTAAGTACGCGTTAGCACTAATCGATGACATTTTAGGTGCAAAATTCACAAGCAATACATTTGCGTCTTCTTACTGCAATCCGTTAAGGTTAGGAATGTGAAATTTACAAATAAAGTTCCTTCTCAATAGTCAGATAAGCCAGAACAGATGACGTTTATGGCAGACAACCAGCTCAGAGAAGACGCTTGCATTCCTACAATTAGACTCGATCAGAGATGTGGTCTTGAATCTTAAAATTTTGGAACGGACATTCTGAAGGAGGGTACTGTAATAGAGCAAGCAAGTACACAAATCATAGAAATTCTTGTTAGCCAAATGTATATGTGAGGAGACCACTAACTCGCACGTCTATGTTAGGATAGAGATACACTCATCTATTATATTGCCAACTGCTTCACTACCCATTTTATCCTCCATTCGTATGAAGAAAAATAGCATCAGATAAGAATGCAAAATAGCAGGAAGATATGAACGAAGAAGCATAGTCAAACATTCAGAATGAAACTAACACACTCGCTAAATTGCCTGATTGCAAGGGTGTATTGCGTATGCACAGTTAAGAATGGTGATAATGGTAAAATAAAAAAGAACAGCTACTCCGCATAACATTTTGTAAATTACATGAATGTACGGTCTCGACTATCTTTTTTTAGCCATCTTCTGGACAAATGTAAATTTATAAATACAGATGTATTTATGTATACAAATATAATTAAGGAGGCCCAATGGTGTCACTGAAATATGGTCTGTTCCTCAGAAGCCTTTGCGCATTGGTCAAGTTTGTGGCTTTCTGCGTAGTGCAAGAGAGTCCAATTTACATGAGTAGAGATCATTGTTTAGATCTATCAATTATTCTACAATTGCCAAACCTAAGTTGCTTTATTTTCGTATTAGTATTATTTTTAGAATCAGGTGTTAGTTTCGTGTTGCAAATTTTCAAGAGTTGATGTAGGTGTTGTGAATGTTAATGTTAGGAATCTGTTTTGCCCATTTAAGAATTTTGAAACCAGGACAGAAAACAGATAAACTATGGAGCTTTGTTACTCAGATCAGTGTGATGGTGCTTTGTCTTACGGGGGCAGAAAACGATGAACTTGGGTTGTTTTCGGACCCTACAGCACGCGGGTTTTGTTGATAAGATTTTTCATCATGATGTATTTGCCAAAAATAGCGAACGCTCTTTCTTATTTTAGTGACACTTCATAGCTCCTCCTTAACTATAGTTATATCCATCTGTGTTTGTAATTTTACACCAGTCTGTCCTGACGATGCCTAAAATATAGACAAAACGTGCATTCATTAAATTTACGAAATTTTTATCGAAATTACTGTTATTTTTTGTATTTATAAGAGCACTCGGTGGTTCCCAGTAACTATTAGATAATGAAGACTTTAGGTATAAAGCATGTTATGTTGCAGATGGTTATTCCCCGGTACAAGGGACAGACTACTTTGAGACATCATTTCGCGTTTTAATACAATAGGCCATTGACACGAAGGCATTACAGTTAGAGAAATGGACATGAAAACCGCCTACTAATGCACTTGTACGTTGTGAGTTAAATCTACATCAGGCCAAATGATTCGCTAAATAGGAACTACGAAGGATAAGTAAGGAAGTTTGAAATGAATCGATTTATGTTCAAAAACTAATTGATAGAAATTAAAACCACATGTTCGGTGCCTTCTTAGTCAGCAAAGGATTCAGTCAATCAAATGAATCAACATGCGAAAGAGCAAACAATACTATTAATATGGGTACATGAAATCGTGGATGATTGAAATCGTCTTCCACATCCAAATATAGAAAAATGTCACGAGTAAGGTGAAATTTTTGAACCTTAAATTCCTTGTTCTACAATATCAATAGACCATTTACCAATATTGCGTACACTTTAAAGACTTTCAAAATGGAAGACTGTACGTGTGACAACACATGTATAATTTATTGTGAAAAATATGTTGACCCAAGCAGAATGCTTCTCCCTGTTCCAAATGTTGCAATGACTTAATCTGGTGGGGCTGTCTAGATTCACCAGAGCGGATCTGGTAATAAAAATTATCAAGTCTGATCACATTGATGCGGTAAGCCACAGATGACAAGCCAGGTGAGTTAGGTATGAATGAAATTATTAATGAAGTCAAGAAAAAGCAGCGGTTAAGAAACTTGATCAAGACACAGTAGGCAGTCTATTTATGCGAGGACAGCAACTAGGTCAGATATTTCATTCGCTGTCATCAGGTCATTCCGATTCCCGTCGAACCAGGCCACACCCATGCATGGCACAATATGTCCTTTGTAAGGGAACTATACAAAATAATTTGGTCTTCTTAAATTCGATAGGGTCGGATAAGTGAGTAACAGTTGCTTTGATCATTTTGGCACTGGCATTAGCTGTCCAAGAGGGAAATTCTTAAATAATGATGTTTTAATGAAACTTTAAGGCATAAAAATATATGTTTGAATTCCTTGAGGGGTCGCATATCAATGACAAGAAAATTGTGATGTTATTTTAGAGCGGTGTTTTAGTTGTTATTTTAGAGATAACTTGCGTAATTTGAGTATGGATAAAAATAAACGAAAGTCGCGTGTCGCATGATGAAATCGCGTGCTCGATCTACGTTTGATAAGTCTCATATGTTATGAATGCAAGTGTCATTACATTGATTTTTGGATGAATTGCTGCGGTTTTCATTATTTTTATTCATCTGATTTCATCGAATGTCTTGTCGACGCCAGGGGAAATGTCTCGTTTTTAAAGCTTTGTACTGTAGACATATGTTTTAATATTCACGACGAAATGTATATAAGGACGATATCAATATTAATAAATCAGTAGGCGGAATACATTTGCTTTTTCATGATGAAAGACCCAATACACAAGGTTTCTTTCATTTGTTGTGTAGGTACTTTCCATTCCCATATATAGAAATATAAAAAGTATAATAATTTACAATTACAATGTTGTGTTTGGGATCCTTGCCAGTAATATCGTTTGCCTTAATTTGATAACTTGCATAGCCAGTTGTCTGTGTACAAAATGAGTGAGAAACTTGAACCGAGTAATTATGCCTAGTTGATTTTCTGGACTGATAATTTATGGCAGCTGTGTTTAGTGACATTTGACTTAATTCAAGGTTCTCTGTACTCAAAATGGATTAGTTCCCAAATCTTTGTGCTTTTCTGATAAAAATCTGCTAGTCATAATAAAGCTTATATTGATTTGTAATAAATATTCATAAGGAATATGTGCGTATATCCATTGAATGAGGCTAAACTAACAAAAGCTCTTTCAAAATAGATAGAACAGTGCGCGTACTTGAAATACAAACAGGCGAATATAATTTCCTCTGGTAAAATCAACATCTTCTTTCGCAATCGTCTAAAATAGGTTTCGCAAGACTCTTGGTTTTTGTTGATAATTTATAGAAAAATATTGTTACAGCGATAAAATTTTTTTCCTTTAAATTTCTCTTAGAGTGCATTCATTGCCAAATGTTTTATTGATTTTTTTGTGTTTCTTACATCATTGTGACAACGAAGAATTAAAAATATAGTGATTTATTAACCACCAGGAAACTTCTCGACTAAATTGACGTATAAATGAGTTAGCATGTGCGGGAAAGCAAATGACCAGCTCAGCATCCGACATTTGCATTGCAGTTTTGTTGGATTTGTTGTGTGAGTTGCTTCTGAAACGCATTCCATAGTGATTTGGTTTTAATGCCACGGTTTGTTGGAAGACATTTTGACTTGACAGTTGACACAACTAAATTTAGGATTCAATATAGATGAATAAATTATATATGGTAATTGTTAAATTATTTGTTGGTCTTGGCGAAATATGCGCTTTTATCGTAACACAAAAAAAATAATTAATAAAGTCATTTTATACGAATTATTTCACACATTGTGATACTTCATCTTAGCATGCTACAACCGGACATCTGCTCGGACTCTGTGACATGTATTCATTTTTGACAAAAACAGGATGTGATGAATTAGCAAACTTTCTCCTCAAAGAGTGTTATAGTAAAGATTTAGATATTTGTTTTGATGTTCGTAGTCTTCTAAAAAAACTCATTTCCTTGCAAATTTTTGCTACAAATGATCGGAATATGAGATCAGAATGTAGCACCATGTTTGCTTGGAATTTTTACATCGTTTCATCATTTGTGTATTATGATGTATTTGTGACGTATAAATACCAATCTATTCTTAATGCTAGCTATTAAATTGCCATTAACGACTACAACTCCATTCTAACTGATGAAGAAATGGGCAAAACTGCGTCAAGTCAATTGTGGTAAAATTCACAGATTCGCCCTTCTGACGCACAACATATTTGTTGACGTACGTGTTTATGTGAAATGGGCTTTTTCAATGGAAACGAACATAGGTTATGACATGAGATATGGAAGTGGATTCCATATCTTATATCGAACTCTTTATCTTTTGATAATTGTGTTTGGTAATGATGTTTTTTGACGTAAGAGACCAAACACTGCTTAATGCTACCTCCTATAGCTCTGTTCAATGTAGCATGCTAGATCTTCATTCTCCGTGATAGTCGATGATAACCACCATCTGTCGTTGAATAAAAAAGCTTGTCATTTTAGCGATTTGAACATGAGATAATCGATAATTAATTCGTTCTCAAAATTTTTGTTCCCCTTTTGACTTGTCTGTCTAGGCAAAGTTGCTAGGTTGCAGGAAGGTAACCGCTGTGCTATTTATTTTAAAAAGCGAGTTCACCAACATTGGATTTATATAATTCTGACATGTTGAAATTTTTTTCGTCGATTAGAGTTCTATTTTCTTTCGATGCGACCGTCACTACCGGCATAGCGTAGTTTGACTATCAACAACATAGATAACGCATTTACGTCAATTCTTTTGAAACATGTAAAAGCTGTCGGGTGATATAGTGTGTAATATATATATATATATATACATAAAAGATAAAAGTTTCTCCGGATTTTAAGTGATTTTTATTGAGCTTTCGACTCGTTGCTTCGAGCCTTCATCGAGCCTCCTTTTATGTATTAAATGCCTGGATTACAAATTTTCAAACTTACATATATATATATATATATATATATGCAGATATTTTTCTTGACTATATGAACCTCCATATGACTTTGATTATCTCTACGGAGAATTGTTCAAGTTGATCAATTTAATATGTTTTAATCGCTAGTTGAAATTGTTTCCTTGTTAAACGTCGTTAAACGAACTTTGCAGAGAAATTTTTTCTCAGGAAACTTTTTTAAATTATACACTGAAGTAGCTATAAGTTCAAGTATCGCCCACTGGACCAGTTTTATTAATGTACACCACAACGTAGTTCACATATAAATAGGTTTGAAAATTTTTGACTTTGTGTGGTATCACAAGTTGGCGTGCGGCCACTAATACAATCGATAAAACCTTTATCTGTTGACGCTTGCCGAGCACACGAAAATATATGCTATAGTTTATTTTCTGGTCGTACTTTTGTGCTTGGGTGAGTGTCAAAAGAATGACAATAAAATGGCAAATGCGAATTTTTTTCTTGAATTATTGATTGGAATGTTTGCAGTAGCTTCAACCATGCTAAGATCATGAACATTAGAATAGTCTAGAGATTTAGTAAACTAGAAACATTTTGATTGAGTTTGTGTTGAATTTCTCTGTTTTGACATGTGTAGACGTAAGTGAAGTCCTTCCATAGGCTCTTGTCGACATAAAACTTCATGTTTGATCATATATAACAGTTTGAAGTAACGATGTGTTTCATCGATAGATACGTGAAGGTACTCCTATCTGAAATCTAAAAAGAATGCAGTTTATGTACACGTGCGCGTTCCCGGCCCACGTATGAACTACTCACCTTGGATGCAATTCAACTCTATAGCGTTGTTTCTATGCTTGCGTGCATGTTTCAAACATTTCTAGCTTATCTTATCAACGTTATGATTAGAGAGAATATTAAACATTTGTAAATATATTTCCCAAAATAATAGTTAGTGCGTTGCTAATGGACGAAGAGCTACATACATGGAATGTATAATCAGTATGCCCCGTGACGGATTGTCTGCCAATCCTTCGTCATTTAATAAGGAAATGTGTACAATGCACGCAATTCGAACTAAATGTAGCGTTGCCTTTTACCATTATACGTTTCTCGGAGACCGCGGCCTAAAAATAACTTAAGATTAATGTATGGCAAAGGAATCTGGCAACGAAAGATCCATATTTCCTATGATGAAGTGGGACTAAAGGAAAAACGTTAACGCAAAACGTGGGATGATCATTTCTTGTTTTTGTACACATGCATGTGAGAAAAACATCTCGGTCTCCATGTGCGCGTCTTTGAATGACGTGCGATGGAGGAAATTTGCATTTTCAATTTTTGTTCCATCTGTCCGGGACGAGTGTCTAATCATTAGAATTGCGCGTGAACTTGGCGCGTGTCTAACTTAAAGGTAGTCATTGTACAAGACAACAGGATAATACACGTGTAGCCGAGTTACATAAGAACAAGCTTTTTTTTATGTTATTGATTAGTTTTCACGCACGAAGAAATATTTACATGATTTGAGTTAGTCAAAATAAATTATTGCAGTTTAATTTTAAATCTAAATTACTACTATTACAAAATGCTACCCTATTATTTGTCTCATTCCCAAAGTATATAATTGCACCAACTGAATAGCTTTTGGGCGTTCTCAAATTTGAATATAAGAAAAAGAGAGCCGATCTGATTTATTTGGATATGAATTCTCCGCGCCGCTCGCTTCAAATACGTCTAAAACTCCTACAAAACAAATTCAGTGTTCAATGACTGTCGTAAAATGACATGTTTCAAACAATTTTTCGTTGCTATCACAATTTCTCAAATATTGTTATGTCTTTGTGCTTACGACTTTCTTGAGACATAAAGGTTCACTTTTTCACTTTGTTTTCTTATGCACAACGCTTGTGAAGAAGGGCTAATACGAAATCAAAGTGATTGACTGTAGTTCCCTTATTAAACCCAACGCACAATGCAAAGAATCGATGATTGTAATGTTATATACTTAGCTTATATGAATCATGGAGATAAACAGTGGTTTGCACAATATATTATAAAACAATGTTTTATAGGTCTTGTTATGTACAAAAACGGACTACCTTACTCGCCTGGTTATGACAAATGTATTTGGAAACTACTGTATGTTGATGTGTATTGTCATGTACAAAAATCAACCTATACTTTATCTCGTGGTTAGGACAATGTGTCTAGAAAACTACTGTATGTCGATGTGTCTTGTCATATACAAATATCAACTTACTTTATCTCGTGGTTAGGACAATGTATCTAGAAAACTACTGTATATTGTGTCTTGTTATGTACGAAAACAGACGTACATTATCTCGTGGTATTGACAAGTACCTAGCTACGAAACCACTGTATCTCTTATCTTGTTTTGTACAAAAATGAACTCACCTTATCTTGTGGTTGTAGGACATTAATGTATCTAAAAACCACTGTATCTCTTGTTTTGTTTTGTACAAATATCAACCTACCTTAAATCTCGTATAGTCTTGACAAAGTACCTAGCTACTAAACTGATGTATCTCTTATCTTGTTTTGTACATGAATCAACCCACCTTATCCCGTGGTTGAAACAATGTATCTAAAAAACCACTGTATTGCATTATTATGTACAAAAATCGACTAACTTAATCTTATGGTTAGTAAAATGTACTTAAAAAACCGCTGTATTTTATGTGTTGTGTTTATTCTCACAAATCAACCTACGCGCAGTCACGTTGTGTTTATCGCTGTTTTTCAAAGAATTTCAAGAATACTGGATAGTTGTAGTGATAGTATCAAAACAGTTCTCTATCAAGTTTCATCAACGAACCATAGAAATCTTCTTAATGGTAGACAAGCATGTATGCATTATTTCAATGCCCTTTATATTTGAGACATTAGAATTACACGTGTATATCTTTTTGTGCATGCTATATAGAGAGGTTTCGTATCTGTGAGTTTTCTACCTTTCATCAAAATAAAGGACAGTGATTTAGTAGGAGTAAGTCGTGAAGATTAGCAGCATGTGTGTGTGCGTGTGTGTATGTCATGTTATGTTATGTTATTGTGTTAAGTTTTCCGCGTGACAAATCATCACGAGTACACAGCTATATATTTTTATAATGATCTAGTTTAGATTTTTAATATGTCCAACACATGTTATCGCATTTTCATTGCATCATTTACTTATTTCGAGACAGCTGCTTGTTGGCAATTTAATGAACTAATAAAATATACCTTATTTACGACATGAGCGTGACATAATCGTCATATCGTATTGCCAGGAATCGCCGATGTTTATCAGCAGTTGAACTTTATTTGACGCTACGCCCGCATGAGGTTCGGTTCCCCTTCTCCATTAAAAACAACACGCGGTGATTTGTCTGCGCAACGTTCTTTATGTCTGTCCACGTTAATTTTGCATATTTACTCTGTTCCTCCACCATTTTGATTTTTGCTTTTATTCCGTCGACTGTAACCTTACGGTTCGTTCAAGGCCGTGGTCACCAGGCAAACCTGCTAAAAGACGATTTATCTGCGATTAACTTAACACGATGAAAATGTATATGTATTCAGTCATGTAACAAACAAGTACAATTTGCATTGGCATCTTTTTATTGCACCGTCTAGTCTATATTTTACTAAAGAGCCAATTTCAATGTAATGCTTACTGCCAAAATTTTTATGGATAAATGTTTAGAAATACCTAAAATAACATTCCGTAACATTGCTTGGAAGCACATATAATCATATATATTTTCTCATCTTGTTTTAACTCATCAATTTGTGGCTTTAGTTGTGCAATTTTTCTCTCGAGGTAGCTATATTTGAAGCGGCTTTATTTCCTATTTTATGTTGATGAGATGTTTTCTAATCCTCTTTGGTTGCCAGGATTATTGATTCAAGTGAAATTCTGTTGGGAATTTTTCAATTGTTTTACTATTGACGTACTCGCAATTGAAATTAAAAAGCGAGACAAAGTAGTGACAAAGAAAATTACCTGTTTCCTAGTACTCATAGTTGGCTGTCAATGTTGGCTTTTTGACGTAGTCTCAAGGCCTGTTCACACGATCCAAATTTGTCATGTCCAAAACTCCCTATGGAAAAGAACGCGCGCGGAATGTGTTAATATGATTGACACAACATCTGCAGCTCATTTACTTTCGTTGTTTTGATGTAGTACACTGCAAGTTAACAAATTGCAAAACATCTGTGATTTGAATCTGAATGGAAATCTAAGTCGTGTGGACCGCCCTAAGAGACATCAACTGAAGTTATTCGAGCAAAATTAAGTATAGCTATATAACACGAGGCAAGGTGTGTGGGGTGTATCGCCATGAATGGCGTACGCTATTCGCACCTTTTGTCTAGCTATGTAAACTGCAGGAACAGTACGATTCATTACTTTGGAAATCTATTGTTTTTGCTGCAAACGCGCATAATATGATTTTCATAGCAGGACTAAACTAACAAGCTTGCTGCGCCATTCTCTTTAAGCTACTTACTGAGGTTTTACATACCTGCTGCATTTTGTAAAGGAGTTTTAGTTCTGTGTAAACATGTATCGTCGATAAAGCAGCAAAATGTAAAGCAATGAGGGTTTGTCCTTTGGAAAAAAAGTTCTTATTTCGTGGAAATGCACTTAGTCTTAAAAAATGTGTCGTCTATAGTTCATTGTTTTACGTTCTTCCTGTATTTCTTTCACATGAAAAGAAAACCTGCTGTGATCAACAAGTTAGGTATTGTTGAATATCTACCTCACATATATATATTTATATCTTCTTATCAAATTTTGCATTGGTTAAAATCTTATTTGTATTTCAAAATACTCGAAACATTTCTCGATTTCTTTTTAATTTTTATTTTGTCATGTTTGTCGTTCGCTCGTCTTCAAAAGACATTAAACGTAAAAAAGTGTGATGCGTAATAAACACATGTGTTCCCTTCACGAGCATTCTCGAACTCGACAACGTTTATAGAAATGTCTGTTTTACGAAAACGTGCCCCTCTCAATCAGTAATCGCATAACACAACGTGAGCAAGTAAGGCGTAAAGGTCACTTAAATGTGTGATGAAATCGATACGTGCCGGTTTTATCCTGTTTTATTAAGATGGATTTAGGGAAATTTCTCATCTGTGACGCGTTCTTTTCTAATACATGCCTGTAGTCATTCAAGACCACACGTGCGATATTTTTTTACGATACATGTTGTCCTCGATGTCATTATATGGAATGGAATTTTGCAATCTTTCGACATACGTGCGCTTATTTATTAAATTTTGAGTGAATATGTTTGCGCAGTACCTGGGAACGAGTTGTCGCCGGCTCCACTATGTCGTCCCAGTGTTATTTGATAGAACGTATGAAAATCGGCTGTAACAATTTTTCACATAATATTGAATGTTAAGAAAAATTTTGTTGGTCGGAAAAACAGATTATAGCTAAAATAGTTTGTGTGTTTAGTATAACGAGAGCTTATGTATCTCTTGATACATCTATAGATGGCAACCCAAAAATATAGTGTTCATGTCCTACTAAACGCTCGTTTGGGTAAGGTGTGTATTTACGCTTTTTAGGTGCGTTGTTCCATAGTTTGGTATTTTAAGTATTACAAGTCTTTGTAATGCAATTATCCTCAAACGAGCTGAGACTCGGAACGGGTGACTTCTAGAAAGACGTAGTTCTTTCACCGTTTCTATGGAGTATCATATGTTTATTTTGACTGTGGACGCGTCCATTTCATTTGTTCAAGCCGGTAGAACTTGTTTTTGAAACTACGAGGACTTTATATTTTATACGAAGAGCGTGCTGTGAATATTATCAATGTTTAAAACGGGCGTCTGAGCTGTAAATAGATCCGAATCCGAAGTCTGCGTTACATAAATATGCATGAAGCAAGAAAGGCACCAGCTTGCTGTTTCATAACACTTCTTTATTAATCACGTTTTAAATATTGTCTGGTAACAATACGCGCTTCGAGTGGGGGGCGGAGAAAACTCGGATAAAAATAGCCGCGCATACAAATATCTCCATATCTTGTTGCGTAGCCGGAAAATAGATGTCAGTTGTTTGATGGGCGGTCTTAAAAGCAACCGAAAACGAAGAGTGTGTTAGTGAGAGATTTGAAGCTGCGTAGGTAACATCAGCGCTCCAACGAAAAGATCCTATTTGTAATTGATAAAAGTACGCTTATTAGAAATACACACGCAAAGGAATCGGTGAATCGTCTACGAGATGGAGTTTATTGGTAACGGCGTATGTTTTAAAAGAGTTATTCAAAAGGAAAGAAGATGCTACAGCACCGGAGACGTAGATAGCACTAAGAAGAATGCGACGTCCAAACGAAGACCCTCGGTTGGCCTGCTCGCTGAAGTTCTTGTTGATTACGCTCGACACGAAGAAGAAACGACTCTAAATCGACAACGCTACGAAGAAGCTATGTTAAATGTGTACGGCAGTAAGGGTGTGATAACCCCACAAAGTGAACACACAGGTCCTACTCTACCTTTCCATTCACTCTGCTCTCAGCACTTGTCAAATCCTCATTTTGCGTTCTATATGGGCATCGTAGCGAAATAGAAATGAAACTTGCATCGCGTTCCTGAAATCGCGACAAATATGTATGCAACGATAGTGGCTGTTTTATTATGTTGACTCGTCCATTCAAAATATATGTATGTATAAAATGTGAAAATATAGACTTCCATACTGTCGCAACCAGAGGCCAAGCTTAAGGATTTGATGGAAAAGGATCTGTTCGAACTTGTTGTAACACTTCGAATAAAAGTCGAACGAGGTCGTTTCTGTTTACGACCTATAAATAGACGATGAGTTGCAATGGAACAAGAGTTTAGCTGAGTATTCATCTCCGTCATCTATAGCCTTTAAAAGGACGTCGCTTTAATACGGAATCCACGTTTGACAATTATATGTTTATATTTAGTTTCAAACGTAGGAGTAATGTTTGTACGAACTGATTTTGTTGAACGCCCGCGATTTGCTCTATATATTCTGGAAGTTTCAGCACAACTTTGTGGGAGTCGTTTAGGTGACAGTCCTACTTGTATTTCACCACAAGATATATATTGAAGAAGTTAACTTTCCGAAACTGCTCGGCATGTCTGTCGAAACAAAAATTGCACAGTGTATTGTCTCATCTTAAAACATTTTGAGCCTCGTCCAATTTATTTTACATACGTGTTTAGATTGTTGTAAATTTTTAACTCTTATTTATTCACGTCTTGTTTTGTAAATATCTTTCCGAATACATTTTTAGCCTAGATATTTGAGTCTATTTGGTTTAGCTTTTTTGGGGTAAGACCGAATAGATTATGAGATTAAAGCAATGAAACCTGATCTAGATCGATGTGCGCTAAATCACTATTTGTATGTTGCTTTTAAAAATGCATTTAAACAGCATATGAGGAAATGCTCCGGATTTTCTTTCCCAATCAATTTTCAGCAAGAGCTGTGAGATTTCGCAGTGAGAAGGCGCGATTCTTAACGGTAATTTCACCGCTTAGCTACTCCTAATGTTAAAAGTATATTAAAAGCGTTTTTCTATTGGCGATGTAATATAAATTCGCGACTTAATGTAACGAAACATGCGTATACAGTTCAACTTGAATTAAAAACGCAACGAGTTGTCTGACAGCCATGCTTAGTGGCGGAGCAAATATTTGTATAGAGTATGAAACAAAGAATACCCATTAAGCTGTGGAAAAGCCTTATACTTTCATCCAAAACACTATAGAGCTACTCATTACGTTTGGTATTCTTGTAACTTAATTGATTTGCTAAATATCGCTTGACGAGATTCGAGAGATGAAATTCACATGGTTAAATGAATAGGGAGGAGAGTGTTCTATATGTTGTCATGAGCGCCTCATTTTCATATTCGAATATCAGCGAGAGTGAGAAGGTTCTATTATATTAACAAAGAAAGAAAAAGGCGTTCAATATCAAACAGACGTTCACAGCAGTAGCACTGACGTGTACTTAATATCGCATTTAACGAAAATATAATTGATCGAGTAGTAAAAACTTCTTTAACTTCTAGACACAATAATTGTTGACTATTGAATACCACATGTGTATTATTACCGACTCATGCCAATGTATATTTATAGGACTATTGTGGTCGGTTATTAGCAAATGACTCACGACAGTATAAATTCATAAAGATTGTTTTGCCATCATCACATTCCATGACTTGGCTATTGCAGTAATTATAAGTCCGTATATTTGCCCATCGCCAATAACATGATTTATTTTATTATGATCGGAAAGATGAATTTGGTTGATATGATAGCATTGTAAATAGTTCGTAGACAAGATTTAGATGTGTTTAGAGAAGATTTTTTCCCTATATTGCTTCGTAACATCTTTGGCACCTGTGTTAACGCGATTTAAGGAGGAGTAAATATCCAGGCATTGTTATAATATATATAGAAAAACTACCTACTTCCGAGAACATTACATATATTTCTATATTTGCTTCTTCGAAATTCTCATTAACCTTTCCATCACACCTATTGTATATACTTCCTTTTAAAGTCTAATCGTATGTGAGTTTGCACGTACTACCTATAAAGACAAAAAAATAATTTGAATCCCGATACACATGCCGTCCATTTTGAGTGTCTATACATTGATTAGTTTTTGTAACTCATTGCCATGGGAGGAGAGTTGATTATTGAAAAGCCGCTTTTTCATTCTGTCGTTTTTCGTTTGAGAAAGGCCGCCGTCTCAAATATTAAATTTTGTCTGATAGTTATCAGCATGTGAATCTCAGTTTGCGATAAATGTATAACCTTTCGTTACAGTTGTCGCGTAGTTCTTCGTAAATTTGTTTATGTGTATGACGGCGTATGCCTCAACAAGTATATATAATGGTGGGTGGCCGTATTCGTATCACCGTTCTTTTGGTTAAAATTGTCAATACCTCAACTCTTCAGTAAATTATACGAAAATCATTTGAAGTCATTGATCGTAATTTCACGCTTTTAGAGGGACTATATACAAAGGGCAAATATAGCTGGAAATCTACCAACCCCATTGCTCTTACATAAATGTTTCTTTTTGTGAAAATGTTTTAGATGGTAAATATAGATTGTGGTCACTTTTTTTATCAAAGTTTGTGTTGAGGATTTGAGTTCAAATGTACATAACAAACTTTAATGACATAATGCCGAGCAAAGAGCCTTGACTTTATTTATCGTATGCATGTCGAATTCAAATGCGCATCACGTAAAGTTTCATATTTCATTGTACGTGGGGATATAGCATTGTATTTATATATAGAAATATGTAAAAAGTAAAAAAAATGAACTTTACATTGGGGCAAATTATAGAAGCGCTCTAAATTTTTTGATTGTTATTCTGATTTGAACGTCAACCCACTTTTGAGGAAGTCTTTGAAGTGGTTTAGATAAGGGTGTATTTTTAAGTTATGACTCGTATAAACATTTTAAGGTTAACTACTTGTGTTGTCTTCGTGAACGTGGTTTTGTTTTAAAAAAAACATTGTCCGCTGACTATTTTATAAACATTGGCCGCCGCTTTTCATCATAAGCTTTATTTCAGCTGAAATTTGAGTTAATATTATCTCATGCACTTACGTATATTAAAAACAAGCTAATGAGTATTTTGTCA